TTTCCAACTGAATTCAACTATGGGGGGAGAAACACTATCATATAAGGATTTGTGTTGTGGGAAGTAGGCCTGCCTAACCACGTGACGTACAGGTCATCACACTTATTACTATATCTAGTAGTATATACTTTTAGTTACTCTAAAACATTATAACTAAATAAATAAAGATTCTAGAAACTAGCTTTTAATTAATTAGATATATAAAAATATTTTATTTAATATTAAATTTATATTAGATATAAACACAGTTAATAAATATAAATACTAGAATATATATAAATAACAGTAAGTTTTAGTAATAAATCATTATTTTTATATAATCTATTTAGAAATAGTTTAGGAAAATTATATAAATATAGATAAGTAAGGGTTATGACAGGTGACCCTTAAGTAACTCTCTGAGGGTCATGGCAAGGCCTACTTAAACCTCTATCTGTGACAGATAGTCCAACTAAATGCTTGTCTAATTAGAAATATCAATCTTTTTAAATTAATTAAATTTAATTGGTATATCAGAAAAATTAATTGAATCTGATTATGATTACCAAATCTGATATTTAGATATATATCTAAATATACAGATCTGGGAAGCTGTATTGTTTCCGAAATTCTGACAATATATTTCTCTATAAATTAGATATTATCAACAGTAGTGCTTTGTTAATTGCAGCTCAGAGAGCCGCAGGTAGTAGGGGAATAGCGTGCTACGGCGCCGCAGATGGCAGGAGCAGAAGACTAGGTTTCCATTAAACGATCTACTACCATGTATAGAGGTTGATCACTAGTTTCCCAAGCTATTAGGGTGAGGTAAGGATTTTACCGCAGCGGGTAGCACGTGACCGCACGTGCTACTATATCAACCGCAGGCGCTGTAAGGTGCGCCTAACATGCTTATCCAAACAAGCCACTATATAATATAGTATATAATTCAGTATATAATCTAGTATATGGTATATGGTATATACTATAGTATACAGATTGATATATAACTATAGGACATATAAGGACACTATATACCTAGTTTAGTTCTTTATAATTAATTCCAAATTTTCCAATTATTACTATAGGGTTACCTTAGTATTAAGATCAGTATTCAACTCATTTATTCTCTTCTAACTATCAAGTATATATACCTAGTAGGCCTGGCCTTTTAGACTTGAGCTATCTACAGATTAGTTAACGTCTCTTGATCAGACCTTAGATTAGATCACCTCTCGGCATCATCGTCTCTTGTTACTGAATCATAGTGGATTCTATCATTCAGGTTTGACCCTCGCTACGCAATCGCAGCTAATTGGTCGTAGAGCTCCAGCCCGAATACCGAGGCGTAACACTACACTGGTTTCTTTCAGATAAGTCGAAGTTGAGATATAGACTTATCAAGAACGCCTATTTTATATGCAATACAGTAAATGACCACTCGCTTGTGAAATACGTTACATGCCTCCAACCATACATAGCAGTAGAGCCACTAGGTAAGCGATGAGAAGGTTCACCCCACCAACCTAGCAGGAGGAAGGCGTCTTAATTGATTCCTTCAGTCAGATGGTGGCTGATTCTTGTTTCATATGCTCTCTTTACGCCAGAAATCTCCTCCACCAGTGACTCATTCAGCAGAGCTTGCCGTGCTGCTTCATTTCCTGCGATTGTCTTGTTGGTACCCTGGCCAGACCCTAGATGCTTGTTGTTCCACCCCCATCCTGTAAGATACAACCCAATAAAGAAAGTCTGCACTCCCCGACTTTGCTGAACGGGTGGACGTTCATCAATATACTTCAACTTGATTCCCTTCCCCATGATTTTCCTTGCAAGTATCTCTTTCGCATTTACATTGGGCCTTTGAGGACCAAGTTCCGAAAGCTTTGGAAGCCATAACTGAGTTAGCCATTGTTCAACTGCTTCATAGCCACCAACTGGGTCAGAGATTATAGCCGCAGCAACATAGGCCTCAAAGACGTCTGCCCTGGTCTTTGTCCATCGTTTTGGCTGTTTCAAGTAATCATGCGGCACTGCAGCCCTGCAATCGAGACCATATTCTGTTGCATACTCAGCGAGTGTTTCATTCTTTACCAGGAGTTCCCTGATCTGCGAAATCCGCCCGGAAGGAATTTCTTGAAATTTTTGCCAAATGAGCTTTGTAGCAATAAGTTCTATATATGCGTCCCCAAGAATTTCGAGTCGATCATAAGTTGCCTCGGCATTGTTACTCACACCCGGATGCGTAAAAACAGCCCTCTCGAGGGCTTTATCCATAATAGGGGGCAGCACAGGCAGACAATTTTCCGTGCTTATTGTCCCGACTGAATGGTGAATTGGGATATGGCTATTGTAATCACTAATATCTGACTTGGGGCTATTCGCGCGACGTAAGACCTCATCGAGCCCCGAAATTGCTTTGAAAATGTCGGGACTAATATCCGAAGTATGGCTTCGTAGGCAGCGGAGACTTTCAATAACATCATCTAGCAGCTGTGATACCGTACTAGGGTGGGATTTAGCCTCGCCTTTGTGCAAAGTAATGTTCTTTGAGGGTTGGTGTTCGACCTAGCAAGATCAGTACCAGATGGGAGTTTTTGCTGAAATGTACGTACCTTCACTCTAGTTTCCCTGGAATAGCTACTAGGAGAATTTGAGAAAACAGATTTTCTTTTACTGTCCATTGTCATGGAATTCTGATCGTAGTGATTAGTGCACCAAAATCCCCACCCAGTTTAATATTCGAGGCTGTGACGTCCCACATCACGTGATGGCAGTAACTTATCGCTTCATATCAGTCGATGTCTTATCCTCTTGATCAATATGCCCAAGCATGGCGGTCCCTTACAGTCGAATCTTGGACCTTGCTAAGGTAATAATTCCTCCACGAACTGTGATCCTCTTCAAATATCAAGGGAAATCTGACATCTATGCCGCGCAGGTCCAATGCCGCATCTTTTCACTTAATTTTAATCCCCAGAGATTGCGGCTGGGAAACAAGGTCCTTCGACAGCGACTTCGAGGCCCAACGCTTGCAGAATGGTATCCAAAAAAGACCGTTTCTTTCCGTGACCTACAGGATAGTTATAAACCTCTCGGTTTAACCATGTTCGATGAAGCAGAGGATGACAGAGAGGAGGCGATTCAAATGTATGTTATCCTTGTCCTCTGTCTACAACGTGTACTTATGACTACGAATCAGTGCAAAGCTTCGGGGTAAGGGAAGGCCAAAGAAGAAGAGAACAGCTGCTGGTAAGCTATATCTTAGTGTGAGTCCCCTCGCTTTAATTTCTGACACACATGTAGAATCGAGATCGGCAAAGAAGAAGAAATAGTATGGAAGTACAGGTGCTTTTGCACACTATTCTATCTTAGAATTGTAATTTTGAAAATTTTGTACTATATCTGCTCATATATTTGGAGTATATGGCTGCAATCCCGTTCATCATACTTTCACCTTTTTTTGGATTACATTTTCGCCCAAGTTATAGCAGCTCAACCTACCGAGAAAGATTGTCTTGGGTTATTTCTTCATGGTTAGTCTTGCTCTACTACCTGCACCTACACCCAATTCGTCTCTTGTGAGCCTGCATATTAGGTCAGAAAAGCCTTGGCTATGTGAGGACTTTTGCTTCAACAAACAAAGGTTGAGGTGAGTTCTGACGAGTCTTTCCCAATGTAAACTGACCAGAGTCTCAACCAGATGTTAGTGTAAAGAAGGGATTGCTGTCTTCAGCACATATTGGGTAGATGTCATTTAAAATATAGTAAAATATGAAGTATATCTGAATACACCATTGGTTGCTTCATCCTACGTAAAAATCATAAATACCGGGGCAGTTTGGGCTTGTTTGCGACGGCACGTGATTTATGACAGTACTGGCGGGTAATGTCACCAAATGTATCTTCTGAAACCACTCTTGAGAGAATCACATTCTATTGACTGTTACCTACCGCGAGGCATTGGCCATGCTGTTGTAAGTTCTTAGTGCGACTGAAGTAACTAGATTGTTGCCTGTTTACATTCATCCGGCTAGCGGGCTTTCGTCATGCGACCAAGCAAGAATCAACTGAGAAGGGCAAGGAAGAAGGCTTTGAAACATCAGGTACTTCTATTGCACTGTGAATACCTAAATTGAAACTGACTTTTTTCTAGGCTACTGACGCCACACCTGATGAGATACAAACGGACTCTCAGATAGGGGAGACTTTATCGACTGGTGTTCCACAGGGAAAAGGAGAGGAAGGACATATCACGGCAACCCCAGATCTTGAGGATCCGTTATGGCAGACATACAAGGATATCATCAGTAGATTCGATGAGGTCGGGGATAATGCAACACAGACCAAGGAGCCCGAAAAACCGGAAGTCTATTTTGACGATGATAATGAAATCCCAGACGAAGATGAAAAGGAGCCCAAACTCTCAAAAAGAAAGCGCAAGGAATTGAACAAGCTTTCTGTCGCTGAACTCAAGGCAATGGTTCGGAGACCAGAAATCGTCGAGTGGACAGATACTTCGGCTCCTGACCCTCGGCTTCTTGTACACATAAAATCCCAGCGCAACGTTGTTCCGGTCCCTTCACACTGGTCGTTGAAACGAGAGTATCTTTCCTCCAAAAGAGGAATTGAGAAACCTCCTTTCGCGTTGCCTAAATTTATCCAGGAGACTGGGATTTCGGAGATGCGAGACGCCGCCTTAGAGAAGCAAGAACAAGCGACCCTCAAACAGAAGCAGCGAGAGAGGGTTCAACCTAAAATGGGAAGATTGGATATTGATTATCAGAAATTATACGAGGCATTTTTCCGATTCCAAACGAAGCCAGAATTAACTCGCTATGGTGAAGTTTACTATGAAGGCAAAGAATATGAGACCAATCTCAGACATTTACGACCGGGTGAGCTCAGCGCTGAGCTGAAGGAAGCACTCAATATGCCACCGGGCGCTCCCCCTCCTTGGTTAATTAACCAGCAGAGGTATGGCCCACCCCCGTCATACCCAGCCTTGAAGATTCCAGGTCTTAATGCCCCCCCTCCTGCTGGTGCCATGTGGGGTTATCATCCTGGTGGCTATGGCAAGCCACCAGTCGACGAACACAACCGCCCTCTTTATGGTGGTGACATCTTTGGTGTACTGCAACCTCAGCAGACAGTGCAGCAGGGCGAGCCTGTTGAGAAGGATCTCTGGGGGGAGCTACAAGAACCTGAACCATCCGATGAAGAAAGTGAAGATGAAGAAGACGAGGTAGATGAAGAAGACATGGAAACCGGCGTTCAGACCCCTGGCGGCATCGAGACGCCAAGCGGGGTAGCATCAGCTGTTCCTTCTGAGTTAACTGGCGAAGAGAATGTTTCAGGTGAATTTGACGTGCGCAAGCATTATCGAGGAACACAGACAGAAGAGTCTGTAGGCCATAAGAGCGCTTTTCAAGTTATCCCAGAGCGACATACCAATGTCCGGGGCTTCTTCGGTGGTGACAGGGTGTATGATCTCGCCGCGCCTCCAGAGAACTTGGCTGTGCTCGGTACTGAGGACCAAAATCGGAAACGCAAGAAGCCTGGCGACATTGATGTATCCGTGGATCCAGATGCCCTACAATCAAGTGACGGGTTTAACAAGGAAGATATTCGAAAGCTTTACGAATCGCAAAGGCAACAGGAAAACAACCCGAGCTGGGGATTTCAGGAAGATCTAAGTGATATGATCGCCCAGGAGAGCCGGAAGAGGCTCAAAAAGGAAGAAGAAAAACGCAATAGGCACTGATGGCCGGTTTCCAGCTATTTTTATCGGACATGATTCGCAGAATCTGTACCAACAAAGTCACTGTATTCTTAACTCTCCTGAAAATGTAGCTTTACGGAACCAGATGATTATCGAAAAATATTTGCGTTCGAGCTTTCTGATCCAGTTTTCAACCTAGGGATAGTGACTAGGAAACGGAACGTAAAAAAGTGATATTTCATCTAAAAACCTATTAGATAGATATACTTATTGCCTACGTTATATCTATCTACAAATATGTGGCCTGCTGTGATTTAATGAAACACATTTGTGTAGTCATCATCAGCCTTGTGGTAAAGTTCAGGCGAGGCCTAGCATTTCTCTTACTTGACATGGGGATATTATCAAGAGCACTTAGAATAGGTTAATTAACTGTAACTAGTGTCTTCTTACTAATACGAATCCATGGAGCCTCAAAAAAGCAGACTATCGTTAGAATATTAGATGCTACCAATAATGTACGATTCACAATCAACAACTGTGATGTAGTTGCGCACGGACGTAGGAAGGTAATCTAGTCATGTGATACCCGCCCAGTCTGTTCTACTACTATCACAGGCGCAGCTTCAGCCAATTTCAGTGTTCGAACCCGTATAATATCTGCCTACTGAAAACAATTCCATCCGCACATCTGCATAAAACTGCACAGTTCTCGTTGTATAACTAAATTTCTTTTATCCTTCTCAGAGCAGAATGGACTGGGATCGGAATAGAAGGTCTGGCACATGGATATGTTTATAATTGTCACACTAGCTCCGCCCTTTACTATTTTTATATTCACTCTTCGCTTTCAAATCTGTTTCTCAGGACGAATCTAACATGATATTTATAGGTTTGATGATCACCGCGGTGGAGAGAGCTATCGCCCAGCAGGTCCTCGTGGTTATATCAGACGCAGTAGATCGCCACGGAACCGTTCCCCCCGCCTAGTTGCTGATACCTGGGTGCCATCTTCAAATCGATCATATGGTCGTGTACGCAGTCGGTCACCTCCGGCTTTTAGGAGTCGCTCGTCCCGGAGCCCGTCTTTCTACCACAGGGACAGTGCCCCTGGCTCATACATGAAGACATACTCGCCTCCTAGACGGTTTTCACCCAGGCGCGAAGGACGACCCAGGTCTCCTGGCCCTAGCTCATGGCGTTTACGATCACCGTACACCGACAGCCGACCTCGTGATTTCTCTAGGGATAGGAACATGTCAAAGCGGTTTCGGGATCCATCACCAGCTAATCTAGACTATAGATCAGCGAGAAGAGAGCGTCCTCTGTTGGCTGTATCTGATCAGTATTCGAGACCAACCTCACCTCCCAGGCGTAGCTTGTTGCGCGATAACATTGCCCGTGTACCGATGGCTCCTCGATCTCGAAGTCCAATTCAAGAAGGCCGTAGGGATCGCCATGCAGAGAATCACATAACCCAAAGACGACGATCACCCTCTCCTCGAGGCGTTCCTGCTGCATACACCTCCGCTCCTGGCTCTGTTTCCAACTCGAGAAGGTCATCGCCTTTAACAGATAAGGTTGGTGTTTTCCAGTTGGACAACAGGGTTCGGTCACCGGCATCTCAGCCGGTCCCTTGTCGGCGCTTGTCAAGGAACTCAGAGCATTCTCCATGTCGTCAAGAGCGTGCAACATCGAACAAGACCAAGCCAAGCCAAGACGAGACTCGGCATGATTCTCTAGTTGTGGACCAAGCAAGTAGCACTTCAGGAAAAGGGGATTCCGATTCACTCGGTCGGGCTCCGTCTCTTGAAGTTCAGGGACAAGATTCGGGTCAATTAAAGACAGCACATCATGGAAGCGTGCCAAGTTACCCAAGGGCACATAGCGTTGCGCAGGAGCATTCGCCACCGTCTGGTCCGTCACATGGAATTAGGTCTCAGTCCTCTCAAGCTCGCAGTTCAAATATCTCACTTCTTTCGGCCCCGACTCGTCCTCGTGGGGGTCCAAGCTTCAAGGACAACATTTGGGGCGGGGCTCCCGCTCGCCGTGGACTCGCGTTAGCTGGACCCATTGGTCCCCCAACTGGTCCACGCAGTAGCCATATGTCCATAGGACCGGGTTTGGATGTCCACCGTCATACTCCGTACCGACAAGGTAGTGTTACAGGGACTCCCTATCCCCGCACCCCGAGGTACATGAGTCATCTTACCGGTCTGTGCTCAATTATATCAGGAGGGAGATCTCTCCCATCTGACCTGGATGCCCCTACGGAAAAGCGCCTTTTGCAATTGGATACGGACAAGGATCGGCTAATTGAACAAATTGCAGACAGCCAAAGACTAAAACGGATTGGGATTCGAGACTGGGACAGACTAGATAGAGAGAGCTCCATTTGCGCTCTGAAAAGTGAACTCGCGGAGGGACACCTACAGCGCCTCACGGATGGTGAAAGCGCACATGTGAGCGCAATCTTCTGATTGCCTAATAATGAACATTATTTTCACTCAAGAAGGACGTGAATTGTTATTAAACTCTTTGACTCCACGCGTATGACCATCTCGGCATTGTATACTCCTTATATGAAACAGCCACGTAGAGCAAGAAATGTATAAGCGATAGTAACAATAAGAAATTAAGCAAAGCGAGGAGAAAAATTGAAGGGGAGACATGTAGGATTATATCTGTACTTCAACTCTATTAAAAAATTACCTAAACGTGGGCATCTTGGCAAGGGTGGGGCTACTCCGGCATCTAGAAATGGCGCGCGGTGTGGGGCGGGAGACCTTCGCGCCCTGTGTTGTTGTGGCTTCGTGTCAACATTGTTCAGGCCTTTGTGCTCCGTACCAACAGGGAGATTTACTGGTTTGCGCAAATATTCCATGGCGATTGATTATTGGGAATCCTTGAACTGCTATTAATCATTCTTCACATTTGCTCGATAAAATACTTGCCAACTCCGATCAACCCATACCGTACTTTGCTCAAGTCAATAAACCTCCATCATGAATCCCTTCAGGCTACTGGGTGAGTGCGTAGTGAGAGTTAAGCAAAACCTCCATGGTCCTAACATCTGAAATAGCCGATTTTTCGCACCTTGCGTCCATCTTTATTCTTCTACATAAGATGAAGTCATCTAGCGTATGTCCTACGTGCCAAATTGCAGTACCCAACCTAATCCGCAAACTAGAGCTGTTCTGGACTGTCATTCAAATCACAGGCTCTGTATTTGATGGTGTTTGTGACACGGTATCTTGGTAAGTATCCAGGGATTTCTGCGACCCCGGCCTTTAATAACTTCCTAGATCTCTTCTGGTCCTTTTCCGACTCCCTATACAATACGACTTTCAAAATCACCTTCATTGGCTCATCAGCTTATATTATCTACCTCATGCTCAATGACTATAAACCAACGCATGATCCCAATGTCGACACCTTCAAAGTCCAATATCTCCTCGGGCTCAGTGCCTTGCTAGCTCTTTTCTTTCCTCACGACTATAGCATTTCAGAAGTCAGTCTTTCTATCGCTTTTGTAACCTCGGGTGCGCCTCTGACATTATCAAGATTCTCTGGACATTCTCGATTTGGCTCGAATCTGTCGCTATCCTCCCTCAGCTCTTCATGCTTCAACGTACTGGTGAGGCGGACACTATCACGACGCACTATCTCTTTGCATTAGGTCTATACCGAGCCCTCTACATACCAAATTGGATCTATCGCTACTTTACGGAAGGCTACTTTCAGCCTGTTCCCGTCTTAGCAGGCATTGTTCAAACACTCTTATATTCGGATTTCTTCTATATTTATTATACCAAGTAAGTCTCCCCGGCAATCTTAGACATTTGATTAGGAACTGAACATGAGCAGGGTTATGAAAGGAAAGAAGTTTTCGCTTCCAGTTTGATCAATATTATAAAAGCAGATTTCTTCAGTTACATACAGGATTTGGAGGTAGTGGTTGCAAACGATGAGAAAACCTTTTGTGACCTTATCATGGCTATATCGTGTATTCCAGAACACTTTAAAAATGTCGTATCTGTTTAACTATGGATAGATTTTGCTTGTACATTCGGGGCGTCGCACACCTCCAGCCGTCTAAATCATTCTGTCTGGAGATGCCGATCAAGCAATGTGTTTGTTGCATTTGAGAACGTGGTCAGGGATTGTATTCAAAGGGTATCTTTGATGCACTCTTGATCTGGCACCTCAGTTGGCTAGCATAAGGTATCAGGCGAGCTAAGTACCTTACGCATAAGATAACCCTATTATCAGTTTTACTAGGTTGCCGTGACTTGATATAAAATTTAGGTTTCTAAACTTCAACTTCGCACTTGTTTGAGACCAACTCTCTAATCATCTGTGTATTTTAACAGATTGCTGTATTTCATTTCGCTCGTACGAGAAAATGAACATATTTTGCATTAGACTAGAAAACACAGTAAAGTTAAGGAAAGCAAGGGAAAAGAAAGTAAAATGCCAAATTGCCGGAGCCATTCCGAACCTATCTGATGGTTTGCCAAGATGGATGCTTCATTAACATGGAGGGCTCTGGAAGTCCCGATGGCTAGATGAGCCATGTGCAGGAGTGAACCCGGGATTGTAATTGATCTGCGACGATGGATCCGGTACGTCTCCGTGGAGTGCGTCCAACCCTGTGGAAATAGAACTGGGCAGAGGCCGTGCCACCTTTGTGAAGGTGTGTCGAGGGCTCATGTTCGGACGTGGGTTTATACCCTTTTGACTCTCCAGCCAGCTATTGTGGCCGCTTAGCTGGCTCAAATAATTTGCTTGCGACCTGTCCAACGGCAATTGGACGTTCAAGTTAGATTCACACCTTGACATGGGTGGGGACGGAAGTTTCGGCGAACGAGATACTATCTCGAGACGGGGTGAGCTTCTTCTCGAATTAGGGGGAGTGAGGCGCGAACCTCCCCGGCGAACTTGACAAGTCGGGCATATCTTGACAAAACGTGAAATGAGTTCTTTCGGAACCCTTTGATGGTGGTCAACGTAGCTTGCGGTCAGCTTCCCGGACAGACAGTAAATAGACATAGAATTGTTGGAAGAAAAGGAGAGAAAAAAAACAAGCACAACAAAATTGTGTTGAACAACAGACGTACCATGAGTAGATCTGTCGGACCTGCGCAGATGTTTTGTCTCTGCCACCGTGCTGGCATTGTTGGTGTGCTCTAGTGAGAATCTTGAACAGTTTCTCCCGAATAGCCACGGGCTTCCCTTCATGGCAGATCATCTTCGTGCACTTAAATCACATGCAAATATCAGTAACAAAGCCCTTCAACCTGGTCAGGGGCAGATACGGACATCTGGAGTCCCTGTACCAACTACCTGAAGTTTAAACATCTTTTTCACCCAGAACCTAAGAATTGATACTCAGCTAACATGGACAATAATCTTTGAAAAAACTTGAAGTATAATGACAGGGATGCTTTCAGCTGTAGGAAAAGGATACATTCGTACCGGAACTGCGCAGATTCTACTGTCGTATCTTTTGGATCTAGTAAGACTGTTCTTATGTTTCTCGCCCTTTTAGCGTGAATCAACGCTTTATCTTGTTTCTTTACCGATAGATCGTCGACATAACTAGAGAGATAACACTGGTAAGTATGGTATTACTGCACTGGCAGCATGAGACCAGTCCCTTGGAATATGTGAGCTATTTACCTTCTCATCAGTTGATCGAATTCTTGTACGTTTGGGAACCCGTCTACTGGGGGAACAACAGGCTCCGACAGCATTGTACTCTCGTTTCGGGAATCTTGGCTTTCGATCTCTGTCTCACCAAGTGCTTCGCGAAAAGGCAGATATCTTGGGGATTGGAGATAGCGTGATGTAGACATATATTGCACCGACTGGTGGTGATGATGATGATGGTGGTGTAAGGCTGCATGATCAGGGACCGATGGAACTGGGTGTCCAGGTGTATGGTGAGGAGATACGTGCTGGGTGTGAGGTGATATGCCTGAATGACTATAAGGAGAGCTGAATTGGGAAGTATATGTGTTGAAAGATTGAGGTGGGAAATGATATGAGCCGGGGTCGTTTATACTGAATTCATGGCCTTCCCCTTGACTGTAGGGAGCAGGTAAGGCAATTTGCTGGTTCATGATATAGCTACCATGGCCTTCATTACCGCGTCTTCCAAACCCACTCATAATGATTTTCGGTTTGATTATGGGTCTTTTGTTGACAGCCAGGGGGTTTGAACTTTCCAGGTCAATGTATGCACAGATGGACAATGTAATTCTGCTGGATGAGCAAGAATATCGTATTCTCCGTCCAGTCACCCGAATGTATGTTGAACTAGAAACGGAGATTGGGGGTAGGATGGGGCAGTAAATGTTCTCCAGGAGCTCAGTTTCCGAAGGATAAAGGATCTAATTCCCCAAGACCTTGGTGACACAACCTTTCCAGATTGTATGGATAGGAGCTGTAAGAACGTACGCATGGGAGATAAGTGATAAAGAAGAGGAGGGTTAACCAGAGAAGAGAAGGCGAAGAGCTTGAAGCAGATCCAGATGAAGAGCCAGTGAAAGCTGCTGATAAAACACGATTCATAAACAACAAATTCTAAAGACAGAGGGCGGGCTCCGAGTCTCTAATAAATGAAGAACAAGCTAGGAGCTTTGGGTGAAAGGCCAGTGTGAATAGCATATAGAGAGGAGCTGCGTGATATGTATGAGCAAGACCATGACACCCTACCCTTGAACGATGCAAGGTAACCTCGAGGAAGATCGAGGCATCGGCGACAGCTGACAGTATCTAGATTTCCTGGGCAAGGAATAAGGCAATAATGGAGTATTATCAACTTCGACATATGAAAAGGAATATAGAGAGGGGATATAGCATTGAGGCTAACAAAGAATAGGCCCAAGGAAGACTCTGCAAGGTACCTAATGCAGAAGGGAGAAGAGAGGCAGAGGGAGAGAAAAGGGGCAGAAAAAACCAAATGCAATAAGCCCTTCAGAAACAATACAGGCAACGAAATTGATTTAAAAAGAAAAGGAAAAAGACGCGGAGGTTGGTGGAGAATAGGACTCGTGGAACTGACAAGGATCAGGAAATCAGACAATTAAACAACCATATATAGTGAATAGTAAATAAAAGAGAGATTCAAAAGAAGGAATAATGTTGGTAAACACTCACGGACGAAGAGAGAGGGGCGTAGGCAATAGGACTATTCCATGTCTCTAAGAAGCCCTTTGCTCGATAAAGGAGATAAACATCCCCTGGGTTATGGAGGGGAAAGAGCAAAAAAGAAAGAAGGAAAAGAAAAGAAAGACGTATACAAATAAAAATACCTATATAGGGAGGGGAAGAGAAATATCATGGTAAAACAAAAGATTAAGAAGAAACCATGGCCGAGAGAACCTTGACACATACCACTACCAAGAGTTTATGGCTCAAGTAGAAGATGCTGGTGATACAGTTCAGGTTTACTCATTTTTCCAGCAGTCAACTTGCAGGTCTCCAGGCGCATACGTCGAGGAGCAATCAATGCTCTCATATGCTGTGTCTGAGAACTGATTTCCTCTAGGTGAAGGGAAGGGTATAGTCTGTCCGTCTGAACTTACCCTGAAAAGTAGGGAATCACCTGTTATTGGCTGCACTGAAGAGCTACTCCCTTGCTCTTACTTTCAAGGCAGGTATTTGAGTCTCTCTTACCATCCCCCTCTAGCTCTCTTTCTTCCCTACCCCCCACGTTATGTTCCTTTGTATGCATATTCACAAATACTCTCTCCCTTAGGGTGAAATAAGTATCAATCTACCTTGTCGTTGGTGTTCCCAAGAGTGACAAGGCAGAGTAAGTAATCATTCAGTGTCTCCTGAACCATGAACCAGAAATACAGCCTTCTTATCTACCAATTAGTTTACTGCACAAGCTGGCAGGGTAGCAGTGAATATGTTATAAAGTAGCCCACCTGAAGCGCTTAGATTCCCTGGAGGAGAGGCTCATCATCCTAATAAAAGTAGCTCACCGCTGCGTATACAGTCCCATCAGATAGTGTGCTCTAAGCAGCAGGGATTGTATTGTGGGTAGGACATGGCGACAGTTAAGAATGACCTCGGTGAACTGCAAGATGCGAGATATATGTAGAATGCACACATATAGACAGGAAAGGCTACTGCAGAAGGGTTAGGGTTGCTAAAATTATCATTGGTTACCTAAGAATTGTTTCGGTCACCGCTCAGGATGATAGAAGATTTGCATTATATGTATGTACAGTACCTATTATATGTGGATGCCGAAGCAGAGGAAGCCTGAATATCTGCGTGTATCCTTTCCCACCTCCCCTCTGATTATTCCTCCGGTTCCATCCTATTAATTCCCTCTCCTTCCCTCCTTCTTTACAACACGATCTTGGATGACGTTGGATTCAGGTAATGTCAGGTATGGTATGAAGCGGTATTGAGCATACTCTGGATACCCACTAGTAGTAGGGGACCTAGGTACATACAATACATCGCGTTACCTATCTAGAGTATGTATATACGTAGTACATAGGTACCTACCTTGCATGTACTATGCTGTACTGTACCACTATAGTAAAATACATGCAGTATATATTTCACCGCTTAAATTTTGTTTGTATGTATATACATCCAATGTATTGATTTATACATTGGTCTCTACCTATATATATCTCATATATATATACAGAGGAAGTACATACGTAGTAGTATAATGATCGAGAAACATCCAGGGAACATTCACTTTGTCAATATCAATATCAGAAGACCAGTAGAAAATAATCCATGATTGACTTTTGCTTGCCTGTACTGCACATGCATATTACTAGGTACTGTACTACCTGAAAATAATACAGTGTGTTACATGGCATGTCTTGTAGAGGCTACTTTAGACTACACAAACCCTGAAGTAGAGACGTGAAAGAGCGAAAAAAATACAGGCTTTACCCACTAGTATTCAGCACTATAGGTACTCTATGTGCATACTTACATACATGTACACAAACATATATACATGAACTTCCATGTACACTGCACTGATATGGGCGTTGTTTTATCATTTGTAAATAGGGCTTGAGGGATTGGTGAAGAAACTGGCAAAAGGTTGTATTGGAACCAAATGATCAGAATTAAAAATGAAAATAGAGGCAAAGGATGAAGAAGGAGGGGAGAGAAGAAAGAAAAGCAAAATTATGCGTCGTCTGGGATTATTTATCTCATTTTATCGATACAATACTCCTGTACATGCTCCGTAATTTATTGCCTAGGGCTTGCGCTCGGAGCTTCAGTATCAAGGGCGGTAGTACTGCCTTGACTGGAATTATAGGTTGACCCATTACTTTCTATCTCCTGTTTAGGCATATGTAAGCACAGGAACATATAAAAGTGAACATGAACATCGCCAAGCTGTTCTAGTTACCCGAAGAATCATCAATCAAATAAGAAGCCCCCTCATGATATTACAGAGAGAAAATACTAATAACAACTCTAATCGGATATAGTAAAATCACACTCCTCTCCCTTGTATACATGGGAGGTCTAGAAGAGAGCCCCTGCAGTTAGCTGAAGTGGATGGAATCCCATTTCTATTAGTTCCTTGGGAAGCACATTTCTATTACTTACTATTACAACTCATCAGGGATTCACCTAGGATAATGTGCATTCCGTATGCCTATTTGGTATAGCTGGTAAAGCTAATATCGGTGACTGGCTACCGTAAAGCTGAGTCTTCACAATACTTCCCCTACCTGCCCGTATGATATTATATTATCATCGGGAACTGGAGACGAGCCTGGACCTATTTACTATTGACCATAGCTAGTAGTATCCAGTGGATTCAAACGAAGAACTGGCAAATATTCTAGTAGGTTTTGCCGTCTAGTGACTATTCATGTTCATTCCAATGCAAGTGCTTATATCTAAGTTCTGCTGAAACGGACCATGGCCCTGGCTGGTCCGGTGGGGATTCCACTTTCGTAGTTGACATTCACACCCCCAAATCTTTTTCTTTCTTCTGTGTGGTGCGTAATGAGTCAGTCTTTGCGCTTGAGTCGCATGACGCCTTCGGATCTATCATCGTATCTAGAGTGCTGCTGGAACATCACCCAACGCTGTTACCAGCGGCACTGCCAAAGTCAATCGTGAGACCTGTCGATTGTTACACCGTCGAGGAGGTGAGAATGGTCTAGTTGGAGCAGTGGAATGAATAGATTCTTCTTTGGGTGTAGGTCTTGCCATCGCTTCCCTTCCTACACCCATGCCTTTGTAAACTGGGAAACCCAATCAAGTTAGGGCTTCCGCACAGGGACAAGGGTGAGGAGAGACATGTAAAGCATCCCCAGCAAATAATACATGATGGAATTCCTCGATGCTGAATACGTGGCTGGTAGACAGCTTTTGCGGTGAAAAGCCCAATCAGTGTTCTAGAATTTTAGGGTGGGCAGTTCTAATGTTCGGAGTGCTCACATTAGTATTTCTTGGTCCAGTTTGATCTAAGATCTAATGGCCTGTCTCATGTCCATGTCTGGGTATTAGTAACTGCCAACCCCGAGAGGGCAGCGATTCGACTCATGCTTCTGAAAAGCACTAAACATAGGGCACAATGAGTCCAGAGCCAGAGTATACTGTGTACTTCCGTGCACATCTAGTAGGTCCCAGGGGGCAAATGATAGATACTATTTATTGGGCATCAGGGTCATCCATAGATGCTTTAGCCCATGACACCCTACCTTGACCGTTGGTTGCTCTGCGGTTGGGTGTGTTGGCAACCAATCTGTTGCAATATCATTGGCCAGGCAAAGGATCAGTCGTCCTTTCGGGTCCAATTGCAGTCGATCCGATGCGGTGTCACACAAACAATTCCAATGCCTACGTGGGAAGGTTGGAGGCTGGCTGAGGGCCGCTAGGTAGATGCAGGCTGCACATTAGTCTGATTAGACCCATGTTAATCAGAGCAAAGTAAGATGAACCACCAGAGGACTTAACAAGCAAACATCTAAGAATCTCCAATAAATGGCCAGGAAGTTCTGGGAAACCTCCTGGAAGCCTCAGTGCAGGGTATAGTATCCATTGGACTTGATCAATTTGTCTTGATTGCTTGGCAGTTATTGGGCAGTAAGGGCGTACGGGGCACAGACACTAGTATCTGCAGCTATGGCTTATATACTGTGTGGTTTGGGGAGATTCAGACCATTTACTGGTAGGGGTGGAGGGGGGTTGTGTAGCTTTGTTCGCGTAGGTATTGGTTAACGGCGTCAATAACTGTATGTTGCCTTTTTTTCTTGTTTACCGGCCAAAATAAATTCCTTTGTGTGTTGTATGTTTTGCAAGCTGACACAAGCAAAATATAAAAAAAAAATGATCACCAAATTATTATTTGTATTTGTAATATTTAAAAAAGAAAAGAAAAGAAAGAAATTGCCATATCTGATTTTATTACAATTGTTTACTACAATCAAGGTGATTCCATGTCGGATGGACTTTCCAAGTCGCTCGTTGAACATACAGTCAGGCCTAGGGTTTAATTGCCTGAAAATTTGGATCATTTACACGAAAAGGTATATACCGTAGCAATTATAAGTACATAAAACCCTCACTTCTTAGTATCATATATAGATACTCTCGTAGGGCAACAATGGCAACCTACTTAAAAGGAAGCAGGCAGAGAGAGATATCGTAGCAGCGACCAGTTCATTAAGGTCAGGAAGTCCATGTCTTTTCATCATAACCTCATGGGGGATGCCCATAACAGTCTCAACTGCAATCAAGGCCATCCCGTTATCGTCAAAACGTTTCTTACCATCATCAAAATATCACAAATCTTGAAGGTGGAACATTGACCAATGGGGTATACTCCATTGTATCCTATGGGTATCACTGCTTCCTCAAGTTCTTTCCTCCCCCCCATATTTCTTTTCTTTTCTCTCTCTCTTTCTTCTCTTTCCACCCACGGCAGAGGGGAGTATGAGTATGTCCCTCATAAATTACCCACTATCGTGGTCCCGAGCGCTGTTGAATTGCACCAAGTCTCGAATAGCCCATCGCCAGCCATCTCCAAATTTCATACGATCAAAGCTGATCCATTTGTCAACCTTGCGCCTCCATTTTTCTTCTTCGGCGCGCTGACGCCTGATGAATTCTGGACCAACGTCAAATTCTTCCGTCATGGGCCACTCGTCTGAAGAGTCTCCGCAGCTTCGGTCATCGCCGCTCGCACCAAAACCAAGGTCATAATAGGCACTTGAGTTCCGTAGTCTAGAATTTCCGGCCTTGTCTTCCAGGTCGCCAAGGCCAGCGAAAACGTCATCCTCATCCTGGACAGCCACCAAGCCCTTTGTCCCAGGCTGCAGGGGCGCCATTTTGAGCCAGCACATACGTCGTGGGTCGAACACCATTCCCCCGACAACCTGCACATTCTGCATCGCACCAACATTAGTGATGAGAGCTGGAGCTGGTTTTGGTGACTTAGGTGAGTCTGTTTCAAATCCCTGGATCAAGCCTTCATTTCCTTCCCAACGGAAAGCGGCGGGGTTGTACTGCATGCCGTTTATAGCTAGGCGAGTTAGCCCATAGTTTACTATGACAAGTAGAGAATCAACTTACATTTGGGCTCTTGGACGCCTGCCCCCAAAGGTTTGATTAAATGTGGTTTGAATCCAGTCATGGTGGCCTGTCTACCTTTTCTGCTTCTTACAGTAGACGAGCTTGAAGGAACACGCGAGACTGTTTGTGTTTTCCAAACTGCGTTCAAAGAAGTAAAAGATTGACTTTCACGACTTTTCGCATTAAACGCCATTGAGGCTATGCGTTGCTCTCTTGCGTTTCTTGAAGCGTTGGTGTCCCGCGCAAATCTTGGTGTGGAATCTTGGGACTTTGGGGCAATGCCTGGTACCGGTTGTTGGGGAGTTGGTGCTTCTATCCTTGATGGAATGGTGTGGCTCCGGTTTAGCCTACTTCTGAGCGACCGCGGGGCCCCACGCCCAGAGGGAAGCTTGACGAATCTGCTTTCTGTTGAGGTAGATGTAGGCAAATCATCGAACGACGCCAATTCAGTACCGTCACCAAAGTTACGCCGACGGGCTGGTCGAGTAAGGGTTCTCTTTGTGGAAGCGATTAGGGTCTCGGGGCTTGAGTCATTTACAGCATTGCTGAAGGCATCATGGCGACTCGACCGTGACATGCGAGATGGAGCTTGTGAAGTGAATGTGTCATTGGAACTATCTGAGTTTGTTCGACGGGGCTGCCGGTAATTTTTGACGCTGGCATGATGTGACTGGTTTTCTGATGCTCCCGCTGGGATGAATGGTGCTTGTGATCTACGGCTCAGCGACCTTGGGTCACCCCCTGTGCGATCAACTGGAGTTTTTGGTCGAATAGAAGAAAAACTTGGTCCTTCTTGCCGAGAAGGGGAACGCTGACAAGAAGACAATGCTGCCTGCTGTGTGCTCCTCATCGATGGCATTGATCGTTTCTTTTTTAGTAGTTGATTCCCGGCGGTGATACGCTCACTACTGGTAGTTCCCTTTACAGCTCGGGTACCGACGAGCCGCATACTCGGAGTTGAGGTGATAGGGGGCATTGATGTACATCCAGATGTCGCAAGACTAGATAGTGACATATGGGAAGAATGCCCGCCAGTTCGCGACGGGGGGCTTCGAAAATTCGATAGAGGAGCTCCGCTTTCTGAAACAGTTTCTAGGTGTGTCGAGTGCGGACGATCATGACCAGAAAGACGGGGTATCCGGGTCTTTGGGGAAACTGTTGTGGGCGTGAATGTAAGAGTAGTTGCTGAACGCCTCACTGGGCTGCTAGGACGTTCTGTCTTGCATTTGACGTTTGGATTTATCGAAAGTCTCTTAGAGTCAAAAGCATCATCGCCCTCGATTTCAATGCCCGAGAAGAAGTTATCAGGGTTGGCTGATTCGTGGCTTGCCTTCACCGGTTCCGAATTGCTTAGGCTTACACATCTCGGTTCCTGTCGCTTCCTTAAAGAGGTTTCCAGATCCAAAGGTCCTTCCGGGATGATGAGACCTTCCAGTCCCTCATCCTCACTCTCGGCGGTTAAACAGCTAGAAGCGCTGGGGCTGACCACAGAGACTGAGGAGCTTGGATTCGACCGATGATCTCTCGTAGTGCCGCCAAACCGGACACCAATACTACCTTCAGACCAGTCAACATCAATATCATCAGGTGTTGGGCTTGTAATTCTCGAGTGAACCTTGCGATGTGATAGCTGTAAAGGGAAGCCATTCGCCGGTATCTCGAAATCCTCCTCAAAATTGTCTAGGTTTTGATTCTGTTGGTCCGGCTTCGGGTGGCCAAGAAGACCAGCCCTCTGGGGAGACCGAGATCCCGGGGCTCTAATTGTAGGAATATCATCAACACTATTGACACTGTCATCGATTTGGTAGCTATCCAAATTGGCGAGTGCCGACTGCAAATGGAAAGAAATGTCATCATCACCCCAGAAAGGCGAAGCCGAGGTTTTTATAGGGCTTGCAGCAACAGAGCTAATCTGCCGAAGGGACTCAGGAAACGTCGACTCCTGCGGACACTTCAATTCCAATACACCTTCAGGCCCCGGGAATTCCATGTCTTCAGACCAATCATCGAAATTTTGCTTAGGTTTCCTCCGTCCGAGACGTTTAATAGTACCCCCAACGAGAGCAGACCTGGGTAAGTTTGTAGGTAAAGGAATTCCAGCACTCTTCGCAGAAGCTATCGCCTCTTCGCTTACACCTTCTTCATTGTCTAGTAGCTGGACCTGCCAATCCTCGTCACCGCCCGCGTTGGAGTCGAGATCGGAGCGTCCGGAACGACGAGAAGATATCGAATCCCGATGCCCAGACCGGCGAATAGACGAATTAGTTACCGATGTAGCACTTGATGCGGTGCGCAATTGGATGTCCTCGTAGCACTGTAGGTCTTCATCATCGTCCCAGCATTCGACTATCTCCTCATCCCCACGCCGTACTTGAAGCGTTGATGATTCCATGGTAGCGCGGGAAAGATGTTGAACAAGCTGGAAGTATAGATTATATGTCTGGAGGGAAGGTCCAGGGATATCCGGCGTTGAAACCTACTGTATTGACAGAAAAAGGAATGTCATTCCGTGGAATCGGCTGAATTGAAGAGACGTTGCAGGTGGATTTTTCTGTCTACTAATTGGATGCGGGCTTTTTATTTTCGGGGTTTTGTGTGTCTTCCTCCTCCTGAAGCCTCTAATTTCTTTCACTTGGGACTGAGAAAGTTGAAGTAATCGAATCGTAATCGGGTGGTGGACAGGTCAAAAGCGACGTCGCGTTCAAGATTGGGCGTCTCTCCGGTTGAGCAAGAAATGGCGACCCGGCGTGCGGAGGAAATCACCAGACACGAGGCTGATACCTAGCAATCGTGCCGGTCCGCGTGTGAAGTGGTCGTAACCGTGGTGGTGGCTGGAGGATTCCCCCGAGAGGAGATGTTGTTTGAACGTTATGGAACAAGGGGTTGGGCTAACGACCACTGATCTGGAGGACATATCCCAACTAGGAAGCCTCCGTTAGAAATTCAAATTGTAGGCGGTTACAAAGGGACGTGTTAAGATAGGTCCCTTCTGTATTGTTCCCTCGTCGTCGTCTTCTTCCTGTTCACCTCCTGTGTCTCTGTTCTCTCTCTCTGACATACACACACACATACACTGTCCCCCCTTTTTTATTTTTATTGTTTTGTTTGAGAAAATAGTGATCGAGGACTGACGGACAAAAGGGGGAGGGAGGGGAGGAGGGGGGGGAAGATTAAACAACAGGAAAAAGGGTGGAATTAGGAAAAGAGAGAGACTGAGTACTATTATTGTTCACTAGTCGCATCTCTAGTTTGGGTTCGGTGGCACTAATCACTTCGTAGTACCGAGTATAGCGTATTATTAGTCTGATTATTGCTAGTATTGTTGCTCCGACGCTCACATGGATCCACAAGCCGTTGGATGCGTTCGGCAGAGGTAGTATCTCTATCTTAAGGCCTACTACAATATGTTGATGGAGTGTTGCTCCGGTAGCTAGGGTCAAACATTCGATGTGTACGCTGACTGTAGTGGCGTATCAGATGTGAGAATCCATTTTGGGAGAGGTAGAGAATAAATATAGTAGCATGGTACATAAGGTAGGTACAATACTGGCCTAATCATCTTTCTTTGGACTAGTTAGGCACTGGTATGAGAGAGAAGCAAGTCTCTTTAGCAACGTTATAAATTTATTCTTTTGCTTTGTTTTCTCTTTATGCCCCATTCTTCCTTCTTCCCAACCCTAATTACCTATACTCCCCAATAATTTGATGAGGCTCTCGATTTGATCATATCTACCAATATCCTTTCGCGTTCAAGTATAGAGAAAACTGAAAGAACACGGCTCTCAAAATCCAAGGAATGATGATGGTTTCCAGTTACATCAACATTCCGACCTACATTCTACCTGAACTTACACACGTATTACCGGGTTGTCAATAATGATAGAGGCTGAAGGGGAAACTCTGAAAAAAAAATATAAAATAAAATTCTAAGGGGGAAAGGGAGTAGTAGATTGGTATCTTAAGTACGGAGTACTATAGTGTACAGAATATAGAGTACCTCCACTCAGCGGACTGAGTTCCGTTTTTTAATGTTACTTCAAGCAGGTAAGTCGTGCGCTAGTGGACCACTGACCTTGCAGTACTCCGTCAGTGACATAAATTCCCAAGTACATTAAAATTTACTAGATAGTATATTTACTCCGTGTGTACCAATACTACTAAGGTAGCAGGCAGCCATTTCTACCTAGTAGTAACTACCACTACCGAGCTTGCAGCTCCATGAGAGTCGCGCTTTAACCTTCTAGGTCTAGGCGGCCTTTGCAGTGTTCTAGAGATATTATAATAATAAGAGCAATATCCAAACCATATACTCAGAGTCCCTCCCTCTCATTTCACTATGATGTCTTCCACGGAGCCTGGCCTGTATCCTCGGATTTTGCGCATTCCCAGGTCTGACGTTCCTGAATCGTATGTACTGGCTCATATTACTCGCATAAGATCGACTCCTTTGGACCTGAATATCACTGCCACCGAAGGGGAGAACCCATATACTGGTACCGGTACGCCGATCTTCCACTCTGCTAAGGTTTAATGTGTTGGCCAAAGAACCTGTCAAGAACTAAAGCGACCAGGGCAGTACGTCAATCATCTCTAAAAGGACTCCGTGCCAAAAATTACCAGGGCGACGATGAGGAATGGGTGCAAATTGTGTCGCATGTCTTTGGTCAACTGGAAGAGTCTGCCGAGAAGGTTGGTTCGCTGTATGGCATCGAATCATCGGCTAGTATTATCGATGCCAATGATGACGACGACAAGGAACTAGTAATTACTATTCGGAAAAGGGTCCAGAACATAACTGTACGTACATTTTCGTGTCAATCCGGGTTATCTTTCGCTGATAAATTATCGTTCTACAGCAAAGACTTGGTTCCGTGACCCTCAAACAAAATGATCAGCAAGCTATCCAGCTCTTTGACTGGTCAGGGATCATTGCAGTCAGGGCGAAGACCCTCGAACAGCGTTTCACTTCTTTGCTTGCTCACTACCGCAGCGCCGAGGACACAATAAAACAACTCAACAAACAGCTCGAGGAGTTTGTCTCTGCCAGAGTTCAGCACGAAGAAGAGCTGATCGTTAATTTCGTCCAAATATTGAACCAAAAAAAACTCAAGATCCGCAATCAGCAACGCTTGCTGTCTTCTGCAAAAGTAGACCATGAAAAAGGTGAGCTCAACCAGGAAATCCTCCACTATGAACTTAACGGTTGACCTGTGGTGGTGTAAATCAGTCTCTGAGATCCAGGATGCAACGTCAGATCAGCACCTCCGACTGTCCAGAAATAATCGGGCTTCGAAGCGTACCGCCGGGGAAATGACTGACGATGAGTCCGAGAGTGAAGATGGATTCGAAAAAATGGAACTCGACAAAGCGGTGGGCTTCAGCAATACTGAGGAGGGCAATGAAACGGACGATAGCCAAACCTCAACACCTCAGCCTTTAGAAGCGGGCGATAGTGCCATTGATGAAGGGTCTCTCGTACCCTCTGTTCCAGCTAGCAGTGGAGATGAATGGCATAAATTGGAACATAGAAGACCGACCAATCGCCCTGTAATGAAGGAACCAGTTCCCCCACCTCCACGAAGGGAGCTTCCATTTACCAGGAAAGCGCAGACTGCTGTTGAAGAACAAAAAGCACAGACACTTCGGCAACGGGATACTGCAGAGCAAACTGGGGGTGAGACAGATGATGATGAGTTATGATTCGCATTAGTATTTGGTCACCAGTGGTATCATTGGTTTTAACGTCCTTTAAATGTACTTGGTTTATTGCGCAAATGCTACTTTTGTTGAAATTCATATTCTACATAGTTCGTCGTGCTATATATAATGGTCAACCGACATCCTCGCATTGTGAATCGTCCTTAGTTCTTCAATGTTTCACCCACAGGCTTGGTATGTTAATGGACTTTTGAGAATCAAAGTACCTATATGCCCAAAAGCTGGATTTTACCCCGATCTTATGTACAAATTCACCGCTACTGACATCATAGATTATACCAGAGGGTAATGGGAGGCATCTCGGAAAAGAGGTAGCAAAACATGACAAGCAGGTTCAACAGTAAAAACAAAACACGAGATAAGTATAGGTGTTACAACGACAACGCCTAGACAAGGGACAAATAAGGGAAAAGACCTAGGTAGATCATGCTTGGGTCAAAAGGGTCTATTAGCCATACAAGGCCTGGGGAGACATTTCACCTGCAGCCATGAAGTTCGTCTCCGGATTCCCCGTAGCCTTAGCTGCTGAGCATCGGGCCATGGTTGGTGAACTATAATACAGTTAGAAACTAAAAAAACATTACATAAGAAGGTTTATAGAAACACGTACCTCCGAGAAATAGAGTCGGTAAAATAGAAGTCATCGATAATCTTCTTGAAAGGAGCTAGAGTTGGCTGGGTGCCCTTGTTCTGGTCGACTAGTTGAACCTTGCTCAATGAGCCGAGGGAAGTTGACTCCACAACGTCGTACCGACGCATCACAGGACTAATCTCTTCCATACGGTCGCGAAGAGCTTCAATGTCGTCGTATGGAAGAGGCGCGTCAAGGAACTCACTGGTGGCACGAATGATCTTCCAGTCATCGCGTGCAGCACCAGGCAATGAAGTGGCTGCACGAGTAACTTGTACACGTCCCTCAGTATTAATGTAGGTACCGGACTTCTCTGTATAAGCAGCTCCAGGAAGCACAACATCAGCGAGCTGAGCACCGCGATCACCATGGTGTCCCTGATAAATGACAAAGGCATCATTGGGGATTTCTGTCTGATTGACTTCGTCGGCACCCAAGAGCCAAACCATCTTAGGCTTAGTCTGAGCAACTTCTGGAGACGGTGTAGTGAAGCCGACTTCGTACGCAGCAGCACGAGATGCAGCACGCTGAAGAACGTTATACCCTTGCCATTCGGAGGTATTGAAGGTGCTTGAATGCTTCTCCACAAAGCTGCCGACTGTCTCAAATATCGCTTTGGAATCCGGGTGTTCAACTGCAGCGCTACCAACAATGACCATGGGTCGCTTGGCGGAGGCAAGCTTTTCGCCAAACTTTCCTGAAAGAGCTGCTTTCAGAGCAGAAACATCAGAACCAAGATGCTCAAAATCGAAGGTACTCTCGAACTCTTCGCCGACGAGTCCAATCTCGAGGTCAGACCGCAGATACTGTTTGCGGATGCGGGCGTTAAGGACAGAAGCTTCGTGGCGGGGATTTGCAGCAACCAGAAGAATAGCATCAGCCTCTTCAATGCCGTAGATTTTGGAGTTAAAGAGATAATTCGAACGAATATCAATACCGTGGGCAATGGGCGAACTGCCACCCGGTTGATCCAGGGCAAGATTATCAGAACCAAGTTTGTTAGCCAGGTCTTTCATGGCAACAAGTGATTCTGCGTCTACGAGATGTCCCGCAACAGCCTTGAACTCATTTTCCTTGAGCTGGAGCTTCTGACGAGCAGAGGAAATCTCGGTCAGGGCTTGTTCCCAGGTCGCCGGAACGAATTTCCCTTCCCTACGGATGAGTGGTGTCGTAAGCCTCTGAGTTTTCAAGCCATCACACGCGAATCGTGATTTATCGTTAATCCATTCTTCGTTGATGTCATCATTGAGTCTCGGAAGTATCCGCATGACCTCCATGCCCCTGCTATCTATCCGGATATTGGAGCCTAAAGCATCGTGGACGTCGATAGATTCGGTGTGCTTCAATTCCCATGGACGAGCACGGAAGGCATATGGTTTCGATGTAAGAGCACCGACAGGGCAAAGATCGATGATATTGCCGGAAAGCTCTGAGTCGAGGTTCTTTTCCAGATATGTGCCGATCTGCATATCATTCCCCCTGCCGGTAGTCCCAAGTTCCGGAGCACCGGCAACGTCGTTCATGAATCGAACGCAGCGGGTACAATGAATACACCTATTCATAGACGTCTTGACTAAAGGCCCGATGTTCTTATCTTCCACAGCTCGCTTGCCACCAACCTCATGGAAACGCCCACGGTCGGCGCCATAACGCATTGACTGGTCCTGAAGATCACATTCACCACCCTGGTCACAGATGGGGCAATCGAGAGGGTGATTGGCGAGGAGGAATTCCATCACACCCTCCCTCGCTTTATGGACAAGCGGTGAGTTGGTCTTGACGTTCATTCCCGGCTGTACAGGCCAAGCACACGATGCCACTGGTTTTGGAGCACGTTCAACTTCGACTAGACACATACGGCCTGTAGAAAGGTTAGTAAAGCCTTATATGTTTGTTAAAATAGAACGTACAATTTCCTGCGATCATAAGTTTTCTTTTGTCATGTTAGCAGTGGATACAAACGTAACCTTCCCAAGGAGGGTTCAGCATACTCATGATAACAGTATCTGTTGTTATCAGTTAACATTAGCCGTTCATCTAAGTTGCACGCCTCCATACCTTGGAATTGTCGCGCCCGCTTTCTCGCAAGCTTGAATAAGAGCTGAGCCGGCTGTGGAAGGGTGTAAGCAGGGATAGTTAGAACCACTTATTGGCAGTGTAAATCACCTTCTACCGAGACCTTTTTGCCATCTAGAGCCACAAGAGTCAGCAACTAAAGATACTGAAATAAGGAATTTACTAGATAATACCAATTGTGAGTTCCACTTCAGCAGGGCGAGGGGCTGTCGTCGCAAAGGACCTAAGATTGTTGACCTTTGGGACCCGGACAGACCGGGCGGCCGCACGAAACAGCTGCGGCCGCATTCTGTGAGGAAGTACAGGTGTAGGAAAGAAAAAGGGGGGAATTGAAAGAGAAAATGGATGGATGAGATGCCCAATGCAGAGCTTGAAGAGCTGGTGTTCTTGAGAGAGCACTTTTGGCCTGTTCGGATTCTGCCAGTCGGGGCGTCACTCGCAAATTGCCGGCTTCGTATTGGTTCGGTTATCCGGCAAACCATTTCATCCGGGCCACACCTTTTAATTGTGTTTTCTAATTGCCCGTTTGTGTTTTCTTTTTCTCTTCTCCATAATAAACTCATTCACGGGCATGATTATTGTAGGTGGTAGGGTTTTCCTCCGTCCCTTCCTCCTCTACTACATATCCCAAGAATAAACGCACTGAGCTGGAGCTCCTTAAGGTTATCCCATCTTGTTGATGTGGCCACCTGATGAAGGTATAGTTCTTTACTAACAGTGACCACATTTCCTACTTTCACATCTATTGATGCAGTTGACAGCGCAGCTAGCTTTTTGTACATAGGATGGGCTTGGCGTTTCTTCCATCTGATCACATTTACTAGTAAACGCACAGAATGAAATGTCTCGAAATTTTAATATGAAGCGAATTTTCTGATTAGATCGTTAACTCGAAGGACTAGTACTTAACCCGAAGCAAAGGTACCAAAATCCAAATCACCCATCGCACGGAGCAGTTTACCTTTGTTTCGTTGTAAAATGAATCATGTTAGAAACCCAACATCCCAAATTTCGCTGGATTCTGAAAATTTTTGTTTGGAACATTTACATCTAACATCATGGTGTCTTCTATATTAATCCAAAAGGAATAAATTAAGAAACAAAATTTGCCCTATGACTGACCATTGGCACTGGGATATGATACAACCAAAGCTTGTTGGGACGCAACTCCATCATGGCTAGTGGAATAACTAAAGATCATGAGAGTCAAAGTCAAAAGATCAGCTAAGAGCCTTTTAACTGCCAAGTCGTCTCTTGCCTCGTGCCAGGTGGTAACCATACCCTTGCATTACTACTTCCCCTGGGGCGAACGCGGCCGAGTGCATCGTCTTCCTTCTTTGGGTTATTTGGATGAGAGAGGGTGTCATCCGAAAATTGGCGTTCAATATTCTTCCCGGGAGGAAAAACATAGCCGTGTGATTCCCATGTTTTTGCTGTATTCCGGATGTTTAAGGGAAGTACACTTTCCTTCACGCGAAAGTGGTCGGCGTTCGCCCTTTGGTCCGCTAGATCGTCATGGCTGTTCCGATCGTAGAGGTAAAGCCCAATAAATGTAAGGGCAATACCGAATGCCTGTATAGCAGTGGTTGAATTGCCAAACCATACAATCGCAACGACAATGACAAATACCCTTTTGACCAAGGATGCGACTGAATAGGAGACCGGCGATATCATGGACAATAGAACGAATGCTAAGATGTTCTGTGCAAAATGGGAGACGCCGTTAAACACGAACTCAAATAACAGTGGACCATGATCCAAGGAGCCTTTCTTCCCTGACAGGGAAATAGATCCGTCCTGCATTACATCTGCGAGTAAAGGATAACCCTCGCAGAGAACCCATATTGGCAGTGTCAGGATGAAGGCTAATCCGGAACAATAGTAAAGTAAATTCAACTTGTCCAGTTTCCGTCGACCAGCTAGCTGTGTGTCCAATTCCGTGCGCGATGCTTCATTGAACAGCTTCTTGGAGAAGATGTTTTGGGAGACGAAGACCAAAGCCGCAACCAGTGCGCACCCTATCCCAAAAAAATTGGTGGAAAATCCAGTCGAACAAGCAAGCATAACACCTAAAGTCAACGGAACGAGTGATAGGTAGGTAGCACTGGCATATCGGATGCGAAAAAACACGCGGTATGCTAAGACTGTAAACAGAGGCGACAGCCCCTTGATTGTATGAACCAGTGAAACAGGTATTTGAGAAGTGGCCATGGAGCTTAGTATATGACCTGCTAGCTGAAATACTGCTAGAGGTAGAGCAGTCATTATGATATCGCGTGAAGGATAATGTATACCGTTCTTGAGGGCTGGTATACTATTTCTGAGCCAGGGTAGCATCATCGAGAGATATGACAGTAGCAAGCACCATATCGAAACAAATGCAAATTGCACAATTGTAAGGGTTATTGGTTTTGGAAGTGCATTGAGGATGGATTTCGACGATGTGTTAGTCAGAGCGGAGGTCGTGTACCAAATAAGACAGAGAGTCTAAGTAAATGTGAGCCATAGTTCCCGACAAAGCATGAAGGATTCTACCATACTATTAGCTTATATGATACTGGCGCCCGCAGGGCTTGGGCTAATTCTTGTGCGTTAGCACTCACGCTGGCGTTGCGTGTCCGTATGGTGCTGATAGCTTCGCTGATGCTCTTTCTCGGCCTATGCTTTGAAGGCCTGATAGTCCCGTTTGTATAGTCTGGGGAGAAGTGAGTTATCTTCCGCGGTTCCCATCGATCACTTGGTGTATAATTAATCGCAGAATTAGAATGGGGCTCTCTTGGCTGTGCAGTTGTTTCGTATAGGTCGTCCTTGAACTGCGGGAACTTGTCTACCGGGCTAGTAGTCATTGATTGTGAAGTAGAAACAACCGTCGCAGTCTGCAATTCTGGCTGCCGTATAGAAGAACGCCGTCCAGTACCAGTCACGATGGCTGTAGTCATTCCAAATCACTTGGTAACTGAGTATTCATGTGGTTATGATTAGTTCTCAGGACTAGAAGGTAAAATCGAGCGGCCAAACATACGCCCGTTGTAATACGTATGGACAGAAATTTAGGAAGACACAGCTGCTCGGGCTCCCTCAGGGTAAATTTCCCCTCAAAGCAGACTCTCGCGGGATGGTAATATAGCCACACTTTACTAAGTAAACTCGGAGAAAGAATGGAGTATTAGCAGTCTCGTATCATTTGCGGTTTCGGTACGGAGTGTCCAATCTCCACTGGTTGGATGACGAATCCCCTCTGACGAATGAACTTTCAGAACGAAAACACGGTGGGGGATCCAGACTCCCACGACATCCCAGGACTTAAGGGGTACTAAACACCTGGAAAATTAGTCACCAAATATGTGTAACATCGGGCGGCACACAATTTGGCCACGGTCCAAAACCTAGGAGATATCTCACTACCACGCAGTTAAAATAATGCTCTGTTTATATATAAAGAAAATTTATTTTCTACTAGGGCAGCTAGTTCTAATATGACCAATTTGATGGCAGTTACTGCATCGTGATGGTGCACGCTTTTTAGGAACTGGTATCCCCAAATCCTATTATCTATATAGTTTCTTGAGCAAGTTGCTAGCTAGTCTTCAGTCCCTGTCAGTACCTCTCTAGTAGCAATATAGAATCTAGAGGCTGCGCGCTTTCACTTCTGTTTCTCATTTATTATACAAAGCTCAGTTATCTGGTATTGTAATAGAATAACTTTATATATAGTAGATTCAGCTACTTTTATAAGCTGTTTTATATACTATATCTGCTTTTATATCTCAGTAGTAGTATAAGGGGTCTTTGTAGTCCATTCCTGGTCTGAAGGCCTATAGAAAGTAGATGAAGAAATAATATACTTAGTAGTAAGCGTATCCAGTACCTGCTAACAATTTAAGGGAACTAAGCTAGATACTTTAAATCTACTGTAAATATTAAAAGGTATATTTAGATATAATCTTATCGTATCACTTAATGAATCAAGAAACCCAATTTATGCTAGCAGATTCAGACTCCTGCCGGTGAGATAGTAATAGATTTGCTATTTAGTGTACTATATCATGAGTCGGAGGGAGGCTATGCTTATCCATATCAAGAATCCATTTCTTAAGAGAAGCTTCTTCTAAATCTTTAAGTTTCTAGCTATTTACTGGAACATTCAGGCGTGCTTTTTGACTACTGATTCAGTAGACAAGTGTCTAGTATAGGATATCATATGCTGCGGCTGCTGCGCGGATGCTTTTAAATTGACTCTCTTTAAACGCTTGAATTGCAAGCTGAATTCTGCCTTCTGATTCAGTTGCTGAATCTAATGGCTTTTGAGGCATTATAATGTGTTGGTGATACTATAGATTGATCTGACGAATATCAGGGGTTCAGGGGGTAGGAAACAAAAGTTTGTGCCGCTCGGTAGTGTGTGCCGCTTTGATGGTGGATTACGTTAGGTCCTCAGCACAGCTGAAATAGCTAGATATAAGCTTAATTATGGGTCTTGTGGTCAATTAGTCTAGGTCCCGTTGTTGATTGTGTCTAAAATGTGCCCACTGACCACGTGTTGCATGTATGAACTAACTAATTATCAATTGCCTAGCACATTACCAATAAATTTATCCTGATTTATGATTTGTGAGAATCCCTTCATTATAGGGTCGGTATAAAGGTTTGTTCCACGAACTGAGGTCATACCTAAAATCTTACATGGCTTCCTTAGTAATTGGGTTATCAGCTTACATATATACAATGCAATAACTAAGCGAGATGAGAAACCGCGAGACACCACTGTGCAGGAAACAACAATTTAGTAATACTTATGAAAGACTGTAACTGATTCTGTGCATCATAATAAGGCTTCAATTAGAAAGGAAGCGACATTATGGTACCTAAGAAACCATTGAGTTTAGCCTGGAGTGGCCTATTGCCTTAGTACCCGCCTTGTACTGATGCTCACTGGTGCTATCATTTTACTGCAGACTATGTTCACGAAAGTCACTTGGACAATGTTAGATCGTCAGTGTCTGGCTTCAAGATGTATATACTAGCCTGGTCAAAGATGAGGGTATAGAACCCTCTCACCGTGAATACCCACTAATTTTGTTGACTTATTGTTGCAAAAAGGAGGGAAGTTGATATCGATAGTAGTCTTCCTTTGCCATGCCTCTGGTAACTACACCACGCTTCTTTTTTACTTCACTTGCTCCTTCATATCCACACCATCCCTTTGACAATTTTGTTGACAAGATATTTTCCGCGCAAGTCTGATTTTATACATAAGGGCTTGATATCAGTGCATATGCCTGATATACCAAAGATATCTTCTGTGCAATACCCACAGTGACCGTTTGTTTTGCGGCCATTTCGTTTTGATATCTTCCATGGAAGTTTGAAATGTAATGCCTTGTCAGGGCTGTCTCTGTTTTCCTACCTTGGTCATTCTACCTACCTAGGCTATGGGTCCTTCCTCACGTCTTCCCACTTTAACCCACTTTCCATCGTCACTTCCCCATCTCATACGTCAATGATTTATCCTTCATTAGGGGCTATATCTTAATCTTCCTATTTCTGATCTGTCGCCTCTAGTCTCTGCCATCTATTCTGTGTCTCTTTCCCACCAAAGATAAGGCCTATTTCTCCACCTACAGTCATCTTTTATGTATTTCCTTTGTTACCAGTTTGCTATTGAATGTGAAAGCATTTGGATTTTCTGCAGTAACCCCCCTTCTTCTTTTTGTTACAGTGTGACTCTGATCATTTTGCTGTTTCTTGCTTTGTTTATAAAAAAGTTCTTCTACGTGCATAGCAATTCTCACGTTGCCGACCTCAGAAGACGACCTGTTGATAATCTGAGAAAGCAGAAATGTCTCTGCTATCAAGTGGGTCTCCTACAGTCGGCCGCAGGGTCCAGGCGAAAGCATTGTCCAATAATGGGCGAAAAATATCTTTTGGACGTGAAGCATCTGTAAGTGCTGCAGGCAATACATGCGCAACTCTTTACTAATGACCACATTTCGTTTTTAGAGCCACAAGCATTTGCATGCTTCTAGCAGTCCTCCTGATCCTCTAATATCATCCAAGCTTGGAAACTTCCAGCCCTCAGTCAGCGAAGACAACGATGTCCCTACGAATAAGGTCAGGTTCCTTCCAATGAAAAGGACTTATTGAAGGTCATAATGTCTCACAATCCCAGAAGCAGAAGCTGGAACATTCAAAACCCATCTCTTTAGCTAGGGACTCCGAGATGGAAAAGCTACTGACAAGGCTTTCCCCCAAGCCTCAAACACCAGGTATCAAGTTGTCTACAAGCCAGACCTCACATGATCGGCAGAAGCATACTCTTGAAAGCTGCTGCGAGAGCCTAGGAGGCCTTAGCGGAACTAACAAATCTACCAGCTTTTTACCGCTCGCGTCTATCTCGGAGCCAGTTCCGCTTTTTTCTCAAGATTTAGCTCCACTAGACGCCACAGACACCGACACATCCGAAGTCCTTCGCTTGAAGAAGGAACTGTTTGCGGCTAATTCGAAGATTGCACTTCAAGAACAAGAGTTGGCACAGACCCGTGTAATCAAACAAACACTGGATCAAGCCCTAGGGCCTCCTTCCGAGGCTGACTTCAATGGGCGGGAGGTCACCGAGCAGACAATTAGCAATCTACAGAATGCTTTCAATGCTTCAAATCCAACTTTTAGCCAGCTTCAGGACGGATGGAGTGGCCAGGATGACTCCCAGTCAGATGTTTCTGAAGCACTCTCTGCTGGGGCATACAGCCGGTCGCGAGGATTCTGGATTACACCAATTCAACAGGGGTTTAGCATGAACATAGCTACCCCAGCTACTGAGAAAACTTACAGTGACCCGATGTCAGTGCCTAACAATTCATTTAACCAAGATTTGAGCAGGTCTTGGGGCAATCCGCCTCCAAATACTGGTGTCTCTGGAAACACAACATTTCATTCTCAACGAGTGTTCTCTGGCCCCTTGAATGGAACTTGCGATTTCGACGCACGCCTTTCGGGTGAGCAAAGTAGATACGCTTCAGGCTCAGGCATCGGGCCACGCCGATCTATCACTCAAGCTAACCGTGGTGGATCTTGTTTTCCAACGCAGAACTCTCCCTGGGGAACATTTGCTGCCACCTCTCCAAGTATCCAGACGTCAAGATCTCCTGTAAACCGACAAAGCAACACATACCAGCAGGTCGGACTATATCCTATACCACCATATCATCAACAATCAATTGTGTCTCCTCTCTCTCCGACGGCGTCTGAGTTTACTACTTCTGCTAGTGGGGCTGTACCGCCATGGGCAACTTCATCTGTGAGAAATAAGTAGGCCTATATATTGAAGGATTACTCACGCTTATAGATCGGTGTGAACTCTACCCAGACATACATTTCACCCCTCGAACCACTTAACTACCGCCGGCTCCTCGACAAAAATGTCTCTTGTGATTGGAGATATATAGTGGACAAAATTGTTTGCAATAACGACCAGCAGGCTTCCATCTTTCTGCAACAAAAACTAAAAGTTGGAACATCTGAGCAAAAGTACGAGATCATAGAAGCCATAGTGCACCAGGCCTATCCTCTAATGATCAATCGTTTTGGCAACTTTCTTGTCCAGCGTTGTTTCGAGCATGGCACGTCCGAGCAGATAGCTGCCATTGCCAATGCAATTAAAGGTAACACATTGAGCCTTAGCATGGACCCCTTTGGTTGCCATGTAATCCAAAAGGCTTTTGACTGTGTACCAGAAGAGCACAAAGCTGTTATGGTTCATGAACTTTTACGAAGAATCCCAGAAACAGTAATCCACAGGTATGCTTGTCACGTCTGGCAGAAGCTCTTTGAGCTGCGTTGGAGTGGCGAGCCTCCGCAGATTATGGCCAAGGTCAATGAGGCATTGCGCGGAATGTGGCATGAAGTCGCTTTAGGGGAGACAGGGAGTTTGGTTGTACAGAACATCTTTGAAAATTGTGTGGAGGATGAAAAAGTAAGAGGTCATTCCATACCTATTTTAAACAGGCAAATGTCCTTCAACAATAAGGCCCCCAAACACAGTTGACCTACATAGTCAACAAAAAATAAAAGCAAGATAAGGGAAGGGCTGACGAGTTTTTAGCGTCCGGCCATAGAAGAGGTGTTGGCCAAGGTCGATTTACTTGCCCACGGCCAGTTTGGGAACTGGTGTATTCAACACATCTGTGAACACGGCGCATCTCACGACAAAAACCGTGCGATTGAGCATATCCTTCTCTGGGCTGTTGACTATAGCATGGATCAGTTTGCTTCTAAGATAGTGGAGAAATGTCTGAAGATTGGTGGCTCTGAGTTTCTAGACCGCTACCTTACTCGAGTGTGTACTGGCCGTACAGATCGTCCGCGAATGCCGTTAATTGACAGTAAGTCGAGAAATTCCGAGCCTACCGAGGAAATATTCTAAAGGATGGATAGTTGCTGGGGATCAGTATGGAAATTACCTCATCCAGTGGATTCTGATGAATGCCGCGCCTCATCAGCGTGAGCTAGTTGCGAGTCATATTCGGTAGAGTGCTCTCCAGTGTCCGTTTTGTTTCAGAGAGTCTAACTCTGCCTTGAAGGAAGCATATGGTTTCATTACGTGGGTCTAAGTTTGGTTCTCGCGTGGCCATGCTGTGCTGCAATCCATCTCATATCACACGTCCTGGACCAGGCGCTGGCATGCAGATTGGACGTTTTAACAACTTCAGCGACGACAGGTACCAAGTTTCAGGCCAGCATGGAAGCCGATTCAACCGTGGAAGCCAATGGAACCCTAATTACCCGCCGTTTCGCTAGAACCAACGATTCGCAAACAATTATCTCAATCTTGCCTATCCTAAGCCCCGAGAGCAACGAGAGCTGGGTCTACAGTGCTTGAAACACGGTTATACAACTGATAAAATATAATATTCGACTTAGTATTCCTCGGCGCTTTGGATCAGTGTTTCAGTGCCTTGGGCAGTATCGACCCATGACTGATTGACCATGAGCCACCCCTAAATGTTCTACATTCCCATGCTCCATTGACAGTTAACGAATAAAGGAAAAAGAAAAAGAAAAAGGCCCCCGCCCCCTTCTCTTTGTTTCAGCTTCACAATAAGAAGAAATCATTTTCCATGAAATGGTTAACATCTTACCAGAGGAAAAGTTACAGTGTGGGTTGTTTATGCGTGAGGTTTGGTTTACAGAGGCAGGCGACACAACTTGTGGAAAGTATCATTTTCGTGTACCATATCTGGACACCCCTTAATCTCTAGTGTTACTTTATTCTTTCTAAATCCAGAACATTTCCTAATCAGTATCCAATTCCTCATAGCTTATGTGTCCCATAAAAGCTATCTACCCTTGCAATAGAGTCCAACAGGTTTGCAAGTCGAAATTTTCTCTCCGGGATACTAAGGGCTCTAAGGGTGGTAGGAGGCCTTCATGCTACCATACATCTATTTCTAGGCCTGAGAAGTTTCACCAGCTTCTTCTTTTTCCCAGGGCTTCCGTCTTTTCGGTTTCGTGCTTGGTGTGTCACGGCCTTTTAATACAGTGTCTGGTATCTGCTGAATGCCAGGAATCGGTTGACCAGTAGTAATGAGTTCCACGATATGCGCGAATGAGGAAGGGTACGTAGGCTCTTGGGCGAGTCCCGACGTCTGGATGGTGTGTTCAGTTGATGAGGGTATGTCAGCCGCTGATGCTTTGAGCTGCTGCGATGTGGTCCCGATGGCCTCATCCTCAGCTGTGTTCGTTGGTGGATCGGAATTTAACCAGGCTTTATAAGCTGCAAAGTTCACGGGATGTACGAGTTTTTCCTTTCTGCAAATCGGTGCATAGCGGATTAGCTTCACCATTGGCGCATGAAAGCGCTATCATTACAGAATTTGGCGAGCCTTCTTAACGTACCTCGAAAAATAGAAGCATTTTGCTTGTAAGACGAGGTCGTCGCTGCGTCCGATCTCCGTTTCAGTTGCGGGCGCATCTGGGTGACCGAGTATGATCGCAAGGCCTTTTGCAAACTCCTGATCCAATATAAAGGGATAGGACTTAAGTCTTACATATATTTCAGTTTCGGGCTGCTGGGTCGCTGAAATTTGAGTAGTCACTTGGTCAGCTGTATTGCCCGTTGTTTCGATGGGGGGGTGAGCAGATGATTCCAATGACTGGCCATTGTTGGCAGTATCCATTGAGGAGGAAGGGGTATGCCGCCTTGAAGAGGGAGATGCTGGACGAAAATCTCTTGCTTGTTTTCTTTCTCTCCTTTTCTCTTTTGGTTGTTAAAAGAGATGCAGCGCGCGGGTGTGTGACAACTCGATGATAATTTATGTAGATAGATTCATTACCCGAGGCTCAAGTCCATTTAAATATTTATGTCAGTGTATGTACTATACGTAGTCCCGTAACTTATTCGCTATTTCAACAAATAACCAAAGTGCTCATATATTGGGGTCCAAACTCCCTAATGGATAAGTTTTATTGCATTATATTATTATCTTCTGTCTTTGCTTGTTCTATTCAAGGATCTAAGGACGTATAAACCCAGCAATGTGTCACATTTTGTTATAATGCGTTTCTATACCCTGAGGTATTTATGATTCAACTCCTGATAAAATAATAATAACAATCCCCCAACAAACGCCTGGCTATGCAGTGTCTTACTCATATAGTCTTATGCTGGACTTCTGGTCAGGAATTCTCGCTTTGCACTTATGCCGAGGTATCCATCGTTTCTAGGCCTGTTTGATTCTCCCAAGGGCCATCCTTCTTCGGCTGCGAAATCTTGCTTTGACAGCCAGGGCAATTGTGCACGACCTCATGAGCAAAGAGGTCACACTCGATACAAAAATGATTCTTGCATACAGTACATTCGTAGCGACTACTTACGCTCATTCCCTTCGCCTGGTTTACCGCCGTTTGCCATTGATCCTTGGGAGGTACCGGAGGGAGGGTTATACCGCAGGCGAAGCATACCGAACTGCGAGAAGCTCGCTGCCAGGGAACCTCAACCCAGTTCATAAGGGGGAACAAGTGATGGTATGACCGAGCAAGATGAGTGGAAAGAATTAGAGTGAGACTGCAAGAGGGGCACTCTGCAGGAAGACCACAAACTTTGCTGTTGCAACGTGAGCATAAGTACCCTCCACAAGAAGGCTTTGAATGGCATGCGCAAAGAGATGGAGATGCTTCAACAGTACGAGATGGAAACCCCATCATTAAAAGGGAACTTGTGGACTGTTTTTGGGAATATGTGGCTGGAGGGGTCGTTACGTCCATTACCAATTCACGGAAGTGTTGCTCGTTGAGTGCCACGCCATATCGGGTGTCGTCGCCGCCGTTTGTTTTTGCACAGAGCTCACGGCAGATGGCTACTTGAGCAGCGAGACCTACGATTCCCACGCGCACTTTATCATTGATGAGGGTGGACATTGTTTGATGAATATCTCCGGGGTCAGACGAAAGGAGAGAGCCAAATATAATGAATACCTCCCGAGTGCCATGGCTTGGGGTATGACTAGCAGAAATGCATATTAGTTTGCGCCGAACGAAACTAGATCTGGACTACCTTTGCAGGGCAAGACTTACAGTAATGCGCCACGGGCCATTTCAAGCCCATTCTGAATGCTCGGGAGGCCTTTTGGATCCTGAACTCTCAGAGCTTGTATTGCGCCAATATGTTCCGTGGGGTTTCCGCTCATATCGCTTATTCGGACGGCGAGGCCGTCTCTTAGGCCAAGGACACCAAGCTGAGAGATTGGATTTTGCTCGAAGAATTCCCCCACAAAATCCTGTGCGTACCGTAGCGTAAGTAGATACCTTGTTGGGCGAAGGTCTTTCTCTGCCATGGACTGTGATAGATCGAGAATCAAAATGAGATGACGAATTATACCACGTTGCAAAGGGGTCGTATCTCTTAGAAGCCTGCGTTGAAAGTGAACTTATGTTAGCCCGCGCTGATGGTATGGTAAAGCCCTCCCTTCTTCGCCAAGCCTACCTCTTTCTCTTTCCAGCCTCTAAAAGTCCTTCAACTGTCGAGCTAATTGTACCATCTGCACCCTCGACTAAGGTTTCCCAGGTTCTTGAGACCTCCCATTCTGCTCCTCCGCGCTGTTTCCTCCTTTTTGCACGGGACGCAGGCACTTCCCCCCGAGGACTTCGAAGCACATTATTGACACCTTCATCCTCGGAGACTTCCCCAATATAATCTTCGTCGGAATCAGCCATATTAGACTGTTGAATATGGGTGATGAAATAATTTGGGGCAAACACGAAACTTAGGGTATGGATCAGCCGTAGTACAGTATGTACGTAATAAACTTATTTGTACCTATCGGAGAAGCGGGTCCAAGCTCCCGCCGGAGCTCCGGTCCATTTCATCTTAGCTTAATGGGTAACTAAGTCAACTCTGTTAAAGAAAGGAATGATGCTGCCACCCTTGGAACGACAATTATTTGGCGCTCTTTCTTTTCTTTTCTTTTATTTTTTTTTCGGTGGGCTGATTTTATCCCTAAGATTTGAATATTTCTACCTCTACGTTATGTGTGATTGGTAGGCATTGATTGCATTGTCTAAGTTACTTTAGGGTAGTTAGTCTATCCTGCATGTATTTATTGGCCGAAAGTAGCCGTAGGTAGAGCATACTTAGCCCCTCCAGAGTGCTAAAACCAGATGTGGGGGAGATGTATGATTGTGTCAACCAGAGGCACTGCCAGACAATCTGCTTGTCATCCATTCCATCGTTCCGTCCGGCCAGTGTCATTCTTCCGCCCCTCCCCCTCCTTGAGTTTCTCCTCGCGCTCTTCTCATTTCCCCTCCTGCTTGCGGCCTCACCTCATCAAGCTTGGTATCCCCTCAACTTTTGTAAGGAGCTGTTCCACTGAAATCCGCGCAATGGCTGCAAAGGATAGAGAAGTTCTTCCCGATGCGTAAGCCGCTCTCTTTTTCTTTCCCCTTCCCCCAGTCTTTCCGCCGTGAAAAATTTCGCTACCTGGGCGGGGTTTCGAGAACAGTGTTTGACAAAACAATAGGGTTAAACCGGTTCACTATGATGTTTCCTTGTTTGACTTGCAGTTTGGTGGCCCTTGGACCTATAAGGGTATCTTGAAGATAGACTTGAAAATCACCCGCTCTACCAAGGAAATTGTTTTGAATTCCAAGGAGATCGAGGTTCACCAAGCGGAAATTTTTGGAAAGGATGGTTCGTCCTGAGAGGTCCTTGGCAACTGGGCCACCTTACTGACAGAGTGTGTAACTACTCTAGGATCGAAATTGGCCCTGGCATCTGAGATAACCTATGATAAGATGTCAGAGCGAGTGACTTTCAAACTCCCCCAGGAAATCGCACCGTCGAACGTATTGCTTTCCCTGGATTTCACGGGTGTAATGAACAATGCCATGGCAGGCTTTTACCGTTCCAAGTACAATCCTGTGGCAGAGCCCAGTCCTGACACCCCAAGAGAGGGTGATTTCCATTATATGCTGAGCACTCAATTTGAATCCTGTGACGCACGCAGGGCTTTTCCGTGCTTTGATGAACCGAACCTGAAAGCTACTTTCAATTTCGAGATCGAGGTGCCGAAAGGCCAGACAGCTCTCAGCAACATGTCTGTCAAGTCTGAGAGAGAGGGCAGTAACCCTGACTTGAAAGTAGTTTCGTTCGAGACAACCCCAGTGATGAGTACTTATGTTAGTATACATATAACTACTATCCTAACACATGGGACTAATTTTTCGAACTCTACTATAGCTTCTCGCGTGGGCTGTGGGTGACTTTGAGTACGTGGAAGCAATGACCCAACGCAAGTACAATGGGAAAAGCATACCTGTGCGTGTCTACACAACAAGGGGTCTTAGGGAGCAAGCTCGTTTCGCTCTAGAGTGCGCTCACCGTACTATTGACTATTTCTCGGAAGTGTTCGAGATTGAGTATCCCCTACCCAAAGCTGATCTTCTTGCTGTCCATGAATTCGTAAGTCTTCTCAACTGCCCCTTTTTAGAATAATGTACAGCTATTTACTTTGGTTTCTTCAGGCTATGGGAGCTATGGAGAATTGGGGTCTTGTAACATATCGTACGACAGCCGTCTTGTTCGACGAAGGAAAGTCGGATACTCGCTACAAAAACCGCATTGCGTATGTTGTCGCTCACGGTGAGTCGTTGTTAAAGATACCTGTTATCTTTCGACTTATCTAACCGTTTGTACACCAGAATTGGCCCATCAATGGTTTGGCAACCTTGTAACCATGGACTGGTGGAATGAACTGTGGTTGAACGAAGGGTTCGCGACTTGGGTTGGCTGGCTCGCGGTCGACCACTTCTATCCCGGTATGTTTCTCTCGCACGCTAAAAGACAACTCATTCTAATGCATTTGAGTAGAATGGAACATATGGTCCCAGTTTGCTGTACGCATTTCTCGAGATAAATATAACAGAATTTAGTAGGAAGTTAACCATTGCGCAGGCTGAAGGTGTCCAACAAGCATTCCAACTCGACTCATTGCGCGCATCTCACCCAATAGAAGTGCCTGTAAAGGATGCACTTGAGGTTGACCAGATTTTCGACCATATCAGCTATCTCAAGGGAAGTTCCGTGATTCGCATGCTGAGCGATCATCTTGGGCGAGATACTTTCCTCCGTGGAGTGGCCAACTACCTCAAATCACACGCTTACGGTGAGTAGCTAAGGTTGGGGCTGGTGAGCGCTTGCTGATAAGACACGGCGCCTAGGCAATGCTACCACCAATGACCTTTGGTCTGCGCTCAGTAAAGCATCTAGTCAAGATGTTAACAGTTTTATGGTAAGCCGCGAAATGAATTAGTTCTTGTACCAGCTATGCCTTCGTTTTTCTAATAGAAGGGTGAAGGATCCATGGATCCGCAAGATCGGTTTCCCTGTTATAACGGTGACAGAAGAGCCTAGCCAGATAAGCATTCGCCAGAGCCGGTTCCTCTCTACAGGTGATGCGAAGCCTGAGGAGGATGAAACAACTTGGTGGATTCCATTGGGGATCAAGTCAGGCTCAAAAATGGAGAACGTGAATTCTCGTGCTCTTATTGCCAAGACTGATACTGTTCAAGGCGTGAGCAAGGATTCATTTTACAAGATTAACAAGGAGCTTTCGGGGTTCTACAGGACCAATTACCCAGCTGATCGGTTGGCAAAGCTTGGTAAATCCTTGGACTTACTGAGCACTGAAGACAAGATTGGATTGATCGGCGATGCCGCCGCTCTTGCTATGTCTGGCGAAGGAAGTACCGCTGCTTTGTTGGCCCTTCTTGAAGGCTTCAAGGAGGAGCAGAGTTATTTGTTAGTTAGCTCCCAGAACCCTTCCCGTACTTTTCGGGTACGTAACCTTGATGTTGACAAAATTTGTAGGGTTTGGTCTCAAATTTCATCTTCGCTTGCAAATCTTCGCTCGGTATTTTCTCAAAACGAATCGGTGGCCGCCGGGCTGAAGGAATTTACTCTTAAATTGGCTTCTTCTGCTACATATAGAATTGGGTGGGAGTTTAAACCAGATGAGGAATATCTGACTGTTCAGCTACGGAAGCTTCTAATCGGGATGGTCGGTTTTGCAGGCGATGAGAAGTTAGTTACATTCCCACCACGGCGCTCTATTATTTCCCCTTCCCTTTAACAGCCCCTCCGGTCGCCTCGCCTACTTGAATTTTACTGATACCGTAACACAGGGTGGTCGCGGAAGCTAAACGACGCTTCGAGCTTTGGACCACAGGCCAAGATAAGAGTGCAGTACACACTAATCTGCGTTCAGTTATATTCGGTATCAACGTCTCGGAAGGTGGTAGCGCTGAGTTCCATTCTGTGAAAGAGGAATATCTCAAGTCAGACTCTGTCGATGGCAAAGAAATCTGTCTAGCAGCACTTGGACGCACCAAAGATGCAGGTTTAGTCAAAGACTACCTAGATTTTGTGTTTTCGGACAAAGTGGCAATCCAAGACGTACACAATGGCGCAGTCTCCTTGGCCGCGAACTCGAAAGTCCGGCATCTACTTTGGGATTATATAAAGAACAACTGGAACACAGTCGAGGTTCGCCTGTCAGCGAACAATGTAGTCTTTGAGCGCTTTGTGCGAATGGGCCTTTCCAAGTTCGCAGACCAAAGCATTGGGGAGGACATTGCCTCATTCTTCCAGAACAAGGAAACCAGTGCGTATGATCGTGCGCTGGTGATTGTCTCGGATAGCATTCGAACGAATGTACGCTATAAGGAGAGGGATGAGAAATTGGTTCTGGACTGGCTCCAGGCTCATGGCTATGCCTGATTGCAGAGGGAAGATTAAGCGGTCTTCTGTCACGTGAGAAAAAGGAGTGGTGGGTGTTAAGGGTGATGTTGGTTAGCATTATCAAATATTCGTTTCGCCCCTTAGTAGTACACTTGGAGTTGTAAAAATAGATTTACATTTCGGTGGTCTGTCCATGAGATAACTTTACCGATCACTTGAGGAAGATCACAACAGCCACGTTATATCAACGCGCTAGTACAGAAAGGGCATGTGGCATCATCAGCTGAGCTTGGGAGGTCTGAAGTTCTAGATAGGTAGTAGGTGGAAAGCGGTCCCCTCATGTATGTACTAAGTCCCTAGAACTAGGCAAAAGGGTGAAGCGAGGAAGGAAAGTAAGGGGTGTTATATTAGAAGAAGTCATTACTCGCCTTTAACCTAATGGTAGTTCAAGTTAGAGGAAAGCGGATCGGCAACCTCAGCAAAATAATAGTTATATTAATAGGAACATAAGAGATTAAACCTAGAATTCCAGACAAAGTACTTGGGAAAGTTTATCATTTTGATTGGATAAACTAGGCCTAATCGGGTCTTGCGCCTGGGGCGAAATGTGAAATGGTCACAAACCAAGGGAACCTGCACGCTGGGTTCTTCTGCTCTCCTGCACTACTCGCAACCGCCATTTCAGAAGACACCGGCCAAAGTTCATCGAACTAAACACTTCCAAGCAACGATTATTTACCTCTGTTTGTTGCCATCGTCCCTTGATATTCCATTCCTGATTCACGGCCTTTGGTTCTTTTCGCCTCTCGCTTGAATTAACCCCTTCCAAAGCTCTCCATCTTTCAACAGTCCCCCTCTTCCCGTACACCGTTCATCATGAACCCTGAGTGGTATGTCTTGTTGTCGCCTACATTTTAATGCATTTTCCTAAGACTTCGGATATTGCACTCCGCTTGCAAGAGCCTTCCTTGTCTTGCTCTATTAACTTTACTGATTTGCTGACTTACTGGGTAATAACCAGAGTGCCTGCCATTCTCTTTAGACACCAACAGACGGCCTACTTGTCATTCCCTTTTATCCTAACTGTCTACTTAGATACGATTATCTTTTCAAGCTCCTTCTTATCGGTGATTCCGGTGTCGGAAAATCTTGCTTGCTACTTCGATTTGCGGACGACACCTACACAGAAAGCTATATTTCCACTATTGGAGTGGACTTCGTACGTGTACCGTTGCTCGGGGAGCTACATCCCTTCGATATCTTAAAAAGCCCCATAGTACTGACCGCTACATAACAGAAAATTCGGACAATCGAACTCGATGGCAAGACAGTGAAGCTTCAAATTGTAGGGGGCAATACCGTCGCAGATGAGGATTAACTTGCATAGCTAACAGGTATCTCAGTGGGACACTGCGGGCCAGGAGCGGTTCCGCACCATTACGTCGTCTTACTACCGAGGTGCTCATGGCATCTGCGTCGTCTATGATGTTACTGACATGGACTCGTTCAACAATGTGAAGCAGTGGCTTCAGGAGATTGATCGCTACGCCACTGAGGGTGTCAACAAGCTGCTTGTGGGTAACAAGAGCGATATGGAGGATAAAAAAGTCGTAGAGTACACAGTGGCAAAGGTATGCACATCTCCTCCCCCCTTCCGTCGTCCTTAGGGAAGAATAGCTTTCGTCTTTTTGGCAGTCAACGCGAGGGGCTAACCTGTCATGTTTCTCTAATATCTAAAGGAGTTCGCCGATAGCCTTGGTATCCCATTCCTAGAGACTTCTGCTAAAAATGCCTCCAACGTTGAACAGGCCTTCTTGACAATGGCAAGACAGATCAAGGAGCGTATGGGTACCGCCACCGTCAACAACAAGCCAACTGTACAGGTTGGTCAAGGTCAGGGCGTCCAGTCCGGGTCCGCCGGTGGTTGCTGCTAGATAGACCGATTGAGTCGTGCTGTATAGTGCTACTTTAGCCACCTCGGTACGGAGTAGGGAGGTGGGTTTGCCAACTGCGCCTTGGTACTAAACAGTTCTATCTGGAATCTGACACGGCGCGGACGGCACAGCGAAATTTTCTATTTTCAAGCTCGGGATGATTATTGGGAATCATTTATGATTCTTCACCTCGCTTTAGACGGCCTGCGATTGTCTTTATATGTGCTCATATTGCCGGTACCCTTGTTTGCCCCCTGTTACACGCTGTTCGTTTTGTGATTTTGTTTACAGCATCTCCCTATGTTTTCTCCCATATCTTATTAGTAGGTTGGATTCCTTGCGATTTTGTTAGGATCAAATTAATGGAAAAGACCATGACTGTTCGGAGGACACGCTCACTTGGTAGTAATACCGTAAATTGCAAACCCTAGCTATGCAACCGAAGCTATTGACTACTCGTGTTCAACTAGTAGCAGCTTGATACACTAGCCTAGAGATATATGGCAGATGTTACTTTCTATCGAAGTACGTGGCCTGGTATGTCAACATGTTTGATAATGTGCCGAGATACATTGGCACGGTTAAGTTGTGGACTGAAAGAGCATATTCGCCATCCCCCAAGACCCATTATAAGCATGTCCGTTCAATTCTTACTTATAATATTTTTTTTTTTACATTTTCATCTTTTCCATTCCCAATTTCAACATGACCACTTTCACATTATTCTTTCTTGTCAGCTGGATACGAATGTCACGGGGTTAGATGATCATATGATTTATTGACAGGATGGTTCATTGGCATCACATGCATGGAAGAGTACCGTAACTTAGTATGAAACCACCACCACCACTACTACTACTACTACTACTACTACTACTACTACTTACTACAGTGTTCGTGGTAACCTTCACCAAGATCGGTCAATCGATTTTAATTCCAGTGGGATAATTCCCAAGGACTTTGACCTCGGTCTTAGTCTATATCAGTATACTGTGCTGCCCTTATACTGTCAAGAAAAAGGCTACGTTTTCACAGGCTTCGTTAATGTTTGTTCATAAATGAGAAGATAAGAATATACAATTTATTTGAAAAGTAATGCTTTATTGGTTTTCGGTAGTTTGCTACGATCTTATATACTCGATCAACATGGGGAGGGGGAAAGGAAGGTGTTCAATTTATCAGCCGAGGCACAAGGATTCGGCAAAACGTCATGCAAATCATTATCTCCATTCAAAGAAGCCGATCCATTCTCGCGCTCCGGCGCCTCAATCCTCATTACGCTCTATATATCGCACCCCCCAGTATTTTGATTTGGTCGATATTACGAACCCATGGTCGAATTCGCTCCTTCTACTTTCATTTCTGACCATTACAACCCTTAACCGTTCTGAACTTATCACCTACACTTCCAGATACAGTCCTATCAACTTGTTGGATACATTCCCCCTTAACACCCTCTTCGACCAATACGCGCAAGCCCCATTTCTCCCATGTCTCAAGTCAAGATTGAAGAGCCCAAGAATGTGGTTCCAGCGTCGGCTGCAGTCCAGCAAAGTGATAATATAGCACATGCATTAGCGGGTGCTGGTGGTGGAGTCCTTTCCATGGTCCTGACGTGCGCACTTCAATCCCCCCCTGTCCACATAATGGGTACTGTAATGACTGACATCCATCAATCTTAGCTATCCATTGATCACGCTTTCAACGAGGGCCCAGGTCGAATCGAAGCGTGCTCATTCAACGACCGCTGATGCTATCCGTCGTATAGTTCAGCGGGAAGGTATTAGCGGGCTGTATTCGGGCCTTGAGTCGGCGCTTTTCGGCATCAGCGTTACCAACTTTGTCTACTATTATTGGTATGAATGGACACGCTCGGCCTTCGAGAAGGCTGCTGCAAAGGCTAGCCGAGCCTCCACAAAGCTCACAACAGCCGAATCCATGATTGCTGGGGCTATCGCCGGAAGTGCAACGGTACTGATCACTAATCCTATCTGGGTTGTGAATACTCGGATGACAGCTCGCAAGTCCGAGTCCGACGAGCGGGCACTGCCTGGTGCTCCTGCTAAAAAGATGAGACCCTCCACGATCAGCACTCTCCTGGACCTGCTTCGACAGGAGGGTCCCAAGGCCCTTTTCGCCGGTGTCCTGCCGGCACTCATCTTAGTGATCAACCCCATCTTACAGTATACAATCTTTGAACAGTTAAAGAACGTAGTAGAACGCCGTAGGCGCATGACGCCGAAAGATGCGTTTTACCTTGGCGCTTTGGGCAAGATCTTGGCAACGTCTATTACATACCCGTATATAACGGTCAAAAGTCAAATGCACGTTGCTAGCAAGGATGGCCCGAAGGAAACTTTGAACGGCAGTTTGAAAAGAATCATTAAGGAGGAAGGATACGTGGGATTGTATAAAGGTGAGCTGAAACATAATCGGCAAGATGCAATAGAGGTCTAACTAAATTTTTCCATGACAGGCATTGGCCCGAAGGTGACCCAGAGTGCGATTACCGCAGCCTTCCTGTTCGCATTCAAGGATGTTTTGTATGACACGATGGTAGCTATCCGAAAGAAAGGTCGGGTGTCAAAGTAGAGGAGTATGCTTCTTAGTTGCTGCCACTTCAGTGGCCTTCTGAACTACCCAGAAGGCGCACTGTTGCCGATAGCGTCCACTCCCCTCAGTTTATTGTAAATGCTTACTAGTATATTCTAAGGTACTTGAGTGAGATGCGGCTCACCGGTGCCGGCTCAGCATATGTGTTTTGGGGTATCGAGTATCCTTTGTCTTTCTATTCTGTATGTAAAGAAATGAAATAGTTTCTCCTCGTGTGTACAACAAAAATGGCGCTTTGTAAATACATACATCATGAATTTAAACATATCATCATGAGGCTCGGACGCTCACCGCCTTCTACTCCGGGGTAAAGAGCAGGATGAACCCGCGCGTTCACGCGATGCTGCCAATTAGAATATCCTCCAAACTCATGGTGAGTTCTTTTTAAAGTAGCTCTTCCCCAGCTAAGAGGTGCGTATGAGTACTTCTGTTACATATTCAGTTTCACTACGTGATCTGACAGTTTTCATTATCCTAATCCAACCATGATCCCTTGACCAAGCGCATCCCAAGGCTTCCCCACCCCTCCCCCCCCCCTCTTCCCCTAGGATAGTGCCATGGATATTTATCTGCCCTCATTGTAGAGGTGCAGGATCAATTATTCATTCCAAATATCATCTTCCATATACACGCTGATTCGACTGCTTCTGGGCATTACCGCCTATCTTCATACTTTCCCGCCCCATCATTTCAGGACGTTTATATGAAACATTCAGTTCTCACTATCGATCTGTCGAATCCAGGAGATATAGAGGAAGTTGATCTACACGGCAGCTCCATATGAAGCCAAGTTCATGTATACGTACGGGCGCTTCGTCAATATTCCCATAGCCCAATTCTATGCTAATGATAATACCTAGGGGGTTCCTGCATGTTTTTCATTACCGGGCAATATTTATTTTCGGCGATCTAGTGTTCTCAGCTCAAGGGACGTCCCCAGATGACGCTTGACATGTCTCAGCCACCTGGATACATGAGAAAACGAGACTTTAGGTCCCAGGCCAGTCTTCATCCAATTTATGCACAGATCGGATCCGATGATCCATCGATAATAGAGGAGGCCCAGAATTTGCTTTCACGGTTTATGGGACATTCCTCCCACGAAACCCAGGGGTCTAAGAATGAAAATAAGGCCACTTCACGCAAGATTTCCAATTTGGGAACTGAAACCGGTACTCGGTCAGTTGATGACTGCCAAGTAGTGTGTCTTATTTCAGATGACTCTACACCTGAATCAATGCCAGACAAACACGCAGTCTCAACAGCACGACAGCATCCAGCTCTTCACCCTCCTCTGCGAAGCTCGCGGGCAGCTGCTGATACGGGGAGTGATGACGAATTAGACACCGTGCTGCCTACGACAAAAAGGAAACAATTGAAATTTAGGAATACCCCTCAAGTCCGACAAGCATCGTATTCACCAAGGTTGCTCAGCAACAGGAGATCCCCGGCCAGAAATAATGTTGACGTCCCAGGAATTCGACGCTCAATGCGGTCAAGAACTGGTCCAGCAAACTATTACGAGAATTTGAATCTCTTCAACTTTGAATCCGAGGAAGATCCTTACAACATAAAAAATGATGATATAATTGACAGCCCAGCTCAGTCCCGGCAGTGCCACGCTAGTGCTCGCTCATGTGATCTTTCAGCTCCGCCTTACTACCAAGACCACCAGCTCCAATATTCTATCATATACTCCTCAGCCACAGTGCAGATACTCAGGGCACCATTTACTGCGCTAGATGACTTCAAGGACATTAGCTATGCACGTTACCGCCCAGAACGCAACCCAGCCGACTATGCTAAGGGATTAAAAGAGGAAGACCTGGTAACAGGTAAAATCCTTCATTTTGATTTTGACCAAAAGGAAACGAGTGCATTATTGAATTTGCTTTCATTCTGTGGATGCCAATGGACTTATTCTCCAGAGATAGCTCCCACGGATCAACTAATAAAAGTCGTATCCACAAATATGCACTCCAAATTCTTCAAGAAGGTCTCATCCATTTTAAATCTCTCCAACTTGCTCTCAACTGAAGACGTCAGTGATACCAATGCTTTGCTTCTAAAGATATTGACATCGAAACCAGATACGAGGAAGCTACGACGTGCTAGGCGACTTGCAATGCGCCTCCTAGAGTCTCAAGATCAACATAGCTACAGAAGCTTTTCCACATCAAGTGATCAACCTTGCTATAATGTCGAGGAATTGCATAGGCTATCAACCTATCTGTCATTTGCATCTGTATTGGGCCGGCGCCAGTGCACGGATATAGAGACATTCCTTGCCGACGCCGTGAAAGGCTATCTCCCATCAGCCCCGTCTATCGTTAAGGCTGCTAAATCGGAAAGCAGCAGCTCAACAAGCCGTAAGGCTGTTGGGACTTCTGGTAATCTCAACAGGCTCCTACAGGATCGTGAAATGGGTTGTCTTGTGAACCGGAAAGTTAGTTCTTGTGTCTTGAGCAACCTCAGGCTTTCGAAAACCTGGAAAGGAGCGTCGAATGATGTTATAGTGCTAGCCTGGTCACCTGATGGAACTAGATTTGCGGCAGGTGCTACAGCCCAGTGTGACGAACATAACATGGAGTACAACAGGGGAAATAACCTGATTCTTGGGGATTTGGCCACGAATAGCCTGGAGGAGTTGCCGGATCATTGTATTCCTCGTCCCACGCTAGTATCAAGGGGGGCTGTGAGTGACCATCGTCTTTTTATGAGTGTAACAGCGTGCCAGTGGTTCGAGGACGCGCTGTATACCGCTAGTTACGATAATACCGTCAAACTTTGGAAGTTCCCTAACCAAAGAGCATCATGCTACCAGACACTTGCTCATGACTCCAAAGTCCAAGTTATGGCTCGGTCAAATTTCGATAAGGATCTGCTAGCGACAGGGACGCAGTCTATCTGGCTCTGGAAAATAGATGAACCGAGGCCCAATTACCTAGACTTGCCTCGCCAGCGCTCGAAAAGGGATATTGAGCTGGTACCAACCTCTTTAGCTTGGGGTACCACCTCGATGACAAGAGCGATTCTAATTGCTGGAATGTCTGAAAAGGGCGATGGTGTGCCACAAAACGGCCTTCTGGGCGGATGGCATATCAATGAGGCTTCAGCGACACCCATACAGTTATTGCCAAATTCTCAAAACATATTTGACGTAAAATGGCATCCGTCCCTGCCATTATTTGCTACGGCAAGCTCTACAAGAGGAGGGGGTACGACTCTGTTAAGCTCCAAAAGCACCAGGTCTGTGGTTCGTTTATATTCTCCACTTTCATCGAAGATGTGCACCATGGAGTTTGAATGCCCTGCTTTGGATATAAATGATGTCACATTCTGCCCAAGCAATTCAACTTACGTGACTGCTAGCTGTACCGATGGAATCACCTATGTGTGGGACAACAGAAACCCAGACACCGTGCTTCACAGGCTTCAGCATGGCGATCCACTCAATCAGATAGATGAGACTCTTCCTAGAGAACAGGCGGATGTCGGGGTAAGACTAGCACTATGGGGGAGCTCGGTAAATCAATTCTATACTGGGGCTTCGGATGGTACCTTGAAAAATTGGAACATATTGAGATCTCCCGATGATGCCCTTGTTCAGGATATTGCCTCTTTTGGAGAAGAGATCATGTGTGGGGCTTTCTCGCCAGATAAGTCCGATCTGTTGATCGGCGATGCTGCCGGGGGTCTTCATCTATTATCTCCTCAAGCCTCCACCAATGAGAGCCTGTCATTCATATTCAAACGTGCTTCCCAGCTACCGCATAGCGAGTATGACGCTGACTGTGAGTCCGGTGTCATGGCTGCCCGTAAAGCTTTATCAACTGGCCGCCTTGTACGCCACCCAATTTATGGTGTGGGCCAAGGCCCTCGTTATAATGGGCCTTACGCAGCATGGGCCCGTCCAAACAACACTCCTGAGCATCAGCTCGGGCAGACAGGTTTGAGGGAGGAATGGCAGTTAAGACAACTTGATGGTGGCCCCCCTGCTCTTCGGTCCGGCCTAAATGAGCAACTACGGAAAGAGGTCGAATGCCAGAGACAGCTCGCCTATATTCGCAATGCACAGCATGTGCATAAAAGGAAAAGAGCAGATTTTAGCAATGCTAAAGAAAGTCGAGCTGTTCCTATCGATTTGTACAGTGATGATGACAATCCGGGGTTCTCGCACGCCCCCGTCAAGTCCAAACGACTGGGCGCGCAATCAAGAAGCGCCATCATTGCCAAACCAGACATCGAAATTATAGATCTTACAGGCGATAGCGATATAGAGTGTGGAATTTGGCCAAATGAAGGCTCGCCCACCCTTTCTTCCCAAGATGCGGACATTGACCTCTCTGGGTTTGACCCTGTACTTACGGAGTTGGAGGACAAGTTAGAGGATGATCACTGGTGGCCACCCAGTGGCTTTATAGATCCGAATCTCCAGAATGGTGATGTGTAGCTTCAAAACAACTAGCATTTAGGTGTTCCTGGGTGTGCAAACCACCACTGTCATGCCACAATTTGCGAGTGGGCCCTGGTAAACCATACAAATACTAGTGACTTGTGTATAAAAAAAAGATGTAAGTGTTAAGTGTAGGTAGTGACGGCAGGGAAGAGTCAATAATGTACACTGGTAGCATAACCAAGCCCTTGGATCAATGTAGCAATAATCATATATTGGTAATGAAACCTAGTGAAAATCGAGGGAGCATTGGCTGGGTTCTAATTATTTATTAAATACTCCCACTTGCTCTATGTAGAATTCTCTATGTACTGTATGTACTGTTTAATATACATGCATGTACGTACGGAGTATGTCCTGTACGGTACACACGCAACGGTAATCCAAAGGACCTTTCAGAGCACTACTCTGCGACATTGTCAACCAATAGTGTTCCGTGGCTGAGCACCGCCACTGAGACATTACGTACTGTATTGTATATACAACTAGAATGATGATTCCTTTATGACTATATAAGAGCATGAAAGGAGACAAGGCATCTATCTCTACTTGGTCACCTTGTCCTAAATTCTAGAGCCATAACCACAACAAACTGTTCATTTCCTCTCAATCTAGACATAAAGTGCAAGCAATCTCTTTCACTGATAGGAAGCAGCACATCCCCTCCAACAGACTAAGATATTTATGTCGTTTGCCCCGCCTCCTGGACCCCCGCCTCCGGTTGTCCCGGAGGGGTGGAAGGCTCAGTTTGATGACCGGTATAAACAATGGTAGGTGCTTCTATTTCCTTCGCTCCGTTGATCGATCATATGTAGATGTTAACTCTACCAAAGGTTTTTTGTAAATCTGCACACTGGCAAGTCCCAATGGGAACCTCCCGAAGGACCAGCACAAGAGGGGCTGCATGCGCCGCGTAGCGAGGCTCCCCCATCATATGAAGAATCAGGGCCTTCGAACCCATCTGCACTACATGGTACGAATGAAAAGAAAAGCCTGGGCTCGAATAATCCGTATAACCAGGCTGGTGCCGGAAGCAGTTCACTGGACAGCGATGCCCGGCTAGCTGCGCAGTTACAGGCGGAAGAAGACGCCCGAGCTCATGTTAGTAGAAGCCCGGGACAGCAAACACAGCTTGGAGCATCAGCGGATTACTATGCAGAAGCTTCACGGCCGCAGTCAGTTGGATATCAGTCAGCTCCAGCCTCTACGCAGCAAGGCGTCGGCTCGGAACAGAAGAGGAGCAAAGGCTTTCTGAGCAAGTTGATAGGGAAAGCTTCAAGTGGTGGTGGTACGGGCTATGGAAGGCCATCTTCGCAGGTGTCACAGCCATACGGATATCCCCAGAGTGGGTACGGTATTCATTCCCAACAACCGGCAGGATATGGCTATCCTCCTTATCCGGCCCAGCCTGGCTATTATCCCGCAGCGGCACAACCAGCGCGGCGTCATGGTGGCGGTATGGGGACCGCGGGGGCTGCGGCGTTAGGTGTAGGTGGCGGTTTGCTCGGGGGTGCCTTGCTTGCGGAAGCTCTAGATGATCATCATGATTACAACGATTACGGTCCAGGAGGCTATGATGACTTTGACGGCGGTGACTTCGGTGATTTTTGAAGGGTTAACGTTCTCTACATGATAGCCCCCGTGTAGAGGAACTCTCCATCGGCGATTTCCTGTTCAATTTGTCCCACTTGTTTTTCATCAATGAACGGCCCCGGCTCGGGTCTCATTGAGGGGCTAGGCGGCGAGATGTACTATTATGGTGAATAGCTTGGCTGAATGATTGCCACGATAGTCGCGTTTCTGGTTTGTCAAGGCTTTTAGGATTTATGGCGTGTATTCGCACAATTATTTCTGGGTTTGTTTTATTAGGTTATGGCTGAATACCGATAAGATACAATTAATGCCCTAGACCGACTCAAACTTCCATCCTATTGCTTGAACAGAACCCCCACGGGGCGCTCATCCTCGTTTTCGTACATTTCCCCCCTCTCTGCCAGTCGCTGTTCCTTGAGAAGCAACAGGCTCGGAACTAGCTGGTCTTGGATGAGCACCAGCCATCCAGCCCGCGAAATCAAAGTTGCCCGGTGCACCGCCACCGGTCATGGCACTCCGAGTTGCCCCGGAGATAGGGGACGCTCGGGAGTGTTTTTCGAATTCGGCACGCATCTCGGGGTCCACTGGAAAACTCAGCAAGGGTATTCATGCCATATGTTCATCCATTATTGAGTCTTGTGGGGTTATAGTGACAATGGGAAACTTACTATTCTCCATCAACTTCGGCATTCCGAATGTAAACCCCAAAGCAACTAATGCGAGCAGAATCATAGGGTTCTTGAACAAAGCAAGAGGCGAGACTAAGATAATTAACCCATAAGCATCTTGAAAACAACAAGTGCACTTCACAACCAAAAGGGTTGTTGTTCTCACTGAGAGGGCAGGGAACTCACATTTGGACCTCTCCTCGTAGAAGCTTCTCTTGGTCAGGACCTTGGCATCCACTGTCACACCGGAGGGCTGGGCAGCATTCGCAGTAACGACATCAAGTGCATATCTCTCCGCACCGCGATTGTCCCATGGATTCCCACGGGATGTCTCCCAAACGCCTAGCACCGTACCGTCTGCGGCGATATCAACCCGAAATGGCGCGAAGACATATTCTGCAGACCGGATATCGAGTAAGTAGGATTGAGGCCTCCCTGTGGACTTCAGATTCTGGAAAATGAAGGTCGCAGAGTGCGTTAGCGGGGCGATCAGCGGATCCGACTGTGTTGACGATGGGAAGGACGTGAGAGTGGCATGCGTGCCGGCTGGAAGGGTATTGGGGTTGGGAAGGAAGCCAGAAGGAGGAATGGCGATTGTCAAGGCGGATGCCACCACTGTTGTGGTGACTACGAGGAGGGAAAGAAGAGAGGAGATAAAGAAGTTAGACATTCGCATGACTGGATATGATGTGAACATTTGACCTCTCCATGCACGTTGTGGGAGGGAAAGGAAAGGACGGGAAGGGAAGGGAAAGAAAGGGTACGGAATTATGCCAAGCATTTAATGTAAATAAATCACATGGTTTCACGGAAGTATCTACAGCCATCCTCTATCTCTTGTGTAGGTAAACAACAGCGCCAGCAAAATAGTACTTCGGCGGAATATCTACCGTCCTCATCATAATGTCACTAGCGGTATGAATAGCAGATCACTCGGGTTGTATGTACAGCGCCCGGAGTCAGTTGCCCGTGTCAACTGCTCCAATACATATGCGGTTAATAGAATAATAACTAGGGAAATAAAAAGCAACAAAAGTACAATTTCATAGCTTGGCCTTGGGAGCTGACTCCTGGGCCGTAGCTTGGGCGTAGAGCTCATCCAGAAGCTGGCGATACTGCTTCACCACCGGGGGCCGCTTCAACTTGAGACTAGACGCAAAACAATTAGTACGGCGTAACAAACAGATTTGAAGACGATCAAATGCACTCACGTTGGTGTCAGCAGGTTGTTCTCAACCGTGAATGGTTCAAGCATCAACGAGCAGTTTTTAATCCTCTCATAACCTGCCAGCTTGTGTTTCTTCGCAACCCTCTCGAGGTCCTTTAGCACTGCCTTCCGAATCTTGTCATCGCTCAATACCGATCTAATGCCCTCAATATCGGTCTCGCCGATGGTCCGGCCAAGCACTTTGCTGGCAAATGCAGCGAATGCATCAGGCTGGACTCCGAAAATGCCAACCAAGAACGTCTGGACGCTGTCGCCATGGATATAGCCCTGTGCAAAATACCCCAACTCGGAGAGATAAACACCTTCTAACCTCTCTGGTGAGATGTATTCTCCCTGGGCGAGCTTCAGGACATTCTTCCGGCGGTCAATAATAATGATGCGGCCCATTTCATCTATGGTACAGACGTCGCCCGTCCGGAACCATCCGTCTTCGGTGATAGCCTTGTTTGTCTCTTCGGCATTCTTAAAGTACTCCTGGAACACGTTTGTGCCGCGCAGAAGTAATTCGCCCCGAGGGTAAGGTTTGTCTTCGACAGAATACTCCATGTCAGGCAGAGATGCCAAGCATGCTTCCGTGCAAGGTGCTAGGCCCCCACAGTTGCCAGCGGTCAGATCTTTGGAAGATTGTGCGCACGCCATAGCATATGTCTCCGTCAAACCGTAACCCTGGACGAGGTCGGCGCCTGTAGCAACTCTGAGGAAGTTGTGGAGTGAAGGATCAAGCGGGGCGGAACCAGAGACCATCATTCTTGTACGTTCCAAGCCCAGGGCAGCAGCGACCTTCTTAGACCAAATCCGGTCATACAAAGCATGCTTCACAGTCGCCTTAGAGGGATCGGAATTCTTTAGGTGGGCGGTCTTGGCCGAAACGACGTGTCTCGACAACGCACCCTTGAAACCAGGTTGGTCCACCGTTGAGGCGCGGATTGCGTTCCCAAACCGACTATATAGACGAGGAACCGACATAAATCCTGTAGGTTTGAGCAGTTTCAGGTCGTCCACCAGCTCCATAATGTTTCCATGGAAGTATCCAATGCGTGCACCCGCCCAGAATGCTGCATGTTCTGACAAACGAGCATAGATGTGAGCTAACGGAAGATAGGACGCTAGGGTGTCACCAGAGGCCTGCTGGGTGGTAATAAGAGCACCCGCAGTGGCCGCAACGGCATTTTCATGCGTCAGAACAACACCTTTCGGAGGGCCTGTCGTGCCAGAGGTATAATTGATAGTGACAATATCAGAAGGCTTGGGGGCGTTGTAAGAGCGATTAGAAGTGGCACCGTATCCCTCGACCTGATCTATCGTATAAATCGAGACATCTTGCCCAGCAGCCACGGACTCCAGAAGGGCTCGCTTTGAGTGACCAGCCTGTTCACCACCATCAAGAGGGTCCAAACTGACGATAATCTTCAAATTGGGTAAGAGGGGTTTCAGCTTGAGCAAAGTTGGGATATGCGGCAAAGAGGTAACGACACAGTGCAGCTCTGCATGGTTGATAATATATTCTGTTGCGTCCGGGGCAAGAACATCATAGATCGACACCGAATACAAGCCCTGAGACATGCATGCCAAATCTGCAGCTGCGAGTCAGCGCCGTCAAACTGCAGGGAGGAAGAAAGAGATCGCATACCGGTAATTTGCCACTCCGGGCGATTTTGACACCACAGCCCTATACCGTACTGGCCAGGACGATGGCAATTATGTTTGTTGTGCAGTTCGATCAAGCCAGCACCAAAATCGGCCCGTCGCTTTTGTACAGCCTGGTAATCTAACCATTGGTATGGACCGAATGTTTTGGTTGTCGGGTTATACGGACGCCATCCCAGGCAGTGATTCTTCGGCACACGGTTTGCAGTTGACTCGAAGATATCATGCGCGGTGAGAACCTAAAGAGAGCGATGTCAACACTAAGCAATGCTAAAATCTAAGACGACTCTTACCTGTGGATCCAATGTCCTCACGAGTTCCTTTTGCGCATGGTAGGCACGATATACCTTACTCCGTCCAGGCTTCTCAGTCCCGGGCAGGGCAACCGAGTATGGCGATCCCTTTGGAGGCTCTTGCCTCAACTGATCTGCACGAGCGAGGTGGATCGGCTGTTGGTTAAAAAACATTGCGACAGATGTGACCCACGAAGGCTAACAATGAAACGTTGACAAAGATGTATATGTGTGTATATAAATATATGTATATATAGAGACAGAGAAAATATCTTCAGGAATAAATTCCAATCATACCAGAACCCAGACTCAAGAAGGCTGGCTAGTATGTACGCAACACGGAAGAGAGGTTCTGTAACTGGGATTTATAGTCTTGTGCCGAATGTCAGTCCCGTAACAATAATAAAAGACGGAGTGAGGAAAAGGAGAGAAGGTGAGTGGAGAGAGAGAAGAGAGAAGAGCGGGGAGAAAGAAGAGAACGGTTCAGGAGAAGAAGAAGTATGGAGTCGGTAGGAAGTTCTCTGTAAGTCCCCAAGCAATTTGGGGGTGGGGGATGGGGACGAGTAGAACGCTGAGTGGCCGAGCCATTCATACCCACGCAACGTGAAATGAACCTCGGCACGTACCCGGTTCATTGTGAAAAACCCCCCGTCCGGGGAGGGTTATCCCTCCGTTAGGTACTAGTACAAGGTACAGTAAAGTGTAAAACACTGTGGGCGGTGTGGTTCAGTTTAAGTTCCAAAGTGGATTAGTGACCCTTTTTCCTGGAAGTGCCGAGGTCATTTACTAAATTTCATTTGAATACGACAAAGGTTATGTTCTTTCTTCATTGACTCTTGATCAAAGTATTCTTTGATCGATCTCTCTCTCACTCTCTCTCTCTCCATTTCCATCTCCATCTCTGGTATCTGACTTATTCTTCTTGGATCAAACAAACCACCTTTCTCTGTATATGATACTACATTGCAATGTAAGATTAACGTGCAGTTGGAATCTGTGCACTGAAGAAATAAAAGAATCTTAAATCACCCTTCACTTCACATGCTTGTGAAGGATGATTAACCGAGTTGTCTATCACTTTACCCGCTGAGAAAAGAAATCTTCCTTGCCGGATGACAGTCGGTATAATTCTGTATATACAATAAATGGATAAATATTAAATACAACTTACTGTTGCACGTGTGGGTTGGCACGTGAACTTATTTCAATAATTATTTTAATAGGTACAGTTACTATACACCTCTCCTCATATATCAATGTTTAAGCAAAGGTTCGTTGCATTTCCTCTATGCTTTGCAAATGAATAGTAATAGTTCACAGCCATTCATCCCCCCAAACTCCATGCCAATGCAAACAAAACATGAGAAAGAGAGGCAAAAGAAAAAGAAAGGAAAAGGTATAATATAATGTACAAGACGAAAGGAACCAATATCAACTCGTCCATCATCCACCCATGTGATGCCGGGTTTCTCTGATACCGCGCGAAGATGTGTATATACTTATCATATATATATGCGCAATAAAATAAACAAAAACGAAAATTCGAATAAATAACCCAATGGCCCAAAGTGCTAAGGATCATCCCACGAGGGCTGTAAAAGGGCCCCCTTTAACCTCGAAACGAGCGGAACACTCTTTGGTACCACTTCGTAGAAGTGGTGGTTTCCCAGGACTCGTTTTCAAGAGAAATCCGGCCCGTGTCAATATCGGCCTCGAGTGGGGAAACGAAGGACGTCCGATAGAATATCTTATGCCCCAAGTAAAGCACCACGAAAAGAATCAAGCTAAGATAGGCGATGAAGAAATCTGTCACACTGAAACTTGGGATCCAAGCGGTGAATCCTTGAGTTAAAATGATCAATATGTTGAAGAAAAGCCCATACCAAGAATACCAGGGCTGCCACATCGCTTTGAACGGAAGAAGGTCTCGAGACATATTGCGAGCTTTCAGAGCTCGCATGAATGCAAGGTGGCAAGCATTCAGGGAGCACCATGTGATGAAGCCTGCCACACCTGCGATGTTGAGAAGCCAGTTGAACACTGTACTACCAGCATTGGACACGTTCATGAAACCGAGCAAGCCAAACATTGCAGTGAATGCGACACCGTAGTAGGGCACACCCTTTTTCGACGTTCTTTTGAACCAACGCGGGGCGAGCCCTTCCTGAGCCAAGCCGATGAGGATACGACTACCGCTATAAACATTGGAGTTGGCAGCGGAAAGGACAACAGTTAATAGGACGGCATTGATGATATGAGGCAGGACCTTGACGCCTGCAAGTCGAGCTGCAATGACGAACGGTGAGGAATTCGCATCATTTCCGTCTTTAACAAGGTCTTCGTTGGTGTAAGGCACCAGCAGCCCGATGAAAAAGATGGTCAAAACGAAGAAGAACAGGATACGGTAAAATGTCTTGCGGATGGCGGAAGGAATAGTCTTGCGAGGGTTTTCAGTTTCACCTGCTGCGATACCAACCAATTCTGTTCCCTGGTATGAGAAGCCCGCCTGGATAAGTACAGCCCAAAAGCCCACGAACTTGGCTGTCGAGTCTGGAGAAATATCGGCATAAGGTGCAAATGGGCCCGGGTTGGTCCAGTACGTAAAGCCCAGATATCCTTTATTTCCAACCCCTGCATCAATGCAAATGGCAAAGATCATAAATCCAACGACCGTGATCACCTTGATACTGGCAAACCAGAACTCCAGCTCGCCATAAAAGCTGACAGGCAGAAAGTTGAAAAGTGTGATGACCACCCAAAACACAGCGATAAAGATAGCGATGTTGATATCCTTATCCCAAAATTGTATGATCAATCCCGTTGCAGTAAGCTCAAGCGCAAATGTACTAGCCCAAGAAAACCAATAGATCCATCCCATAGCGAAACCCAGGCTAGGGTCGATCATTCGGGCCGCGTAGGACGTGAACGCTCCTTGGATTGGCAAATAACTTGCTATTTCACCAAGCGCCTGCATAACTGAGTACACAATACTGCCGACGAAGAGATATGCAATCAGCGCCCCCACCGGGCCTGCTGTACCGATGGCGGTGCCACTGCTAATGAAAAGCCCTGTGCCAATTGTGCCGCCTGGTTGTAGTCAGTAAGGTTTTTCCTGAATGCTGAACAAATATCGATGGAGGACAGCCAAAACACAAAGGGAAGAAAAATAACGAATAAAACTAGAAAGGTCTTCGCACCAATGGCAATCATTTGCAGATGTCGGCTTTTAAGCTCCCGTTTTAAATTCGGGACAGGATTGGACTCGCTAGTAGCTCCATGCTTCTCACAGTCCATGTCGTTCAAATTGGTCGAAGGGGTGGTAGCATTGACCTGGAAGGCCTCATCGTTGGCCATCCTGTCTTTTCCCTCTGCAGATTTCGGCGTGAAGTTGAGCCCGTCCCCGGAGGCCATGTTTGGACTGCAGCAGTCCGATTGTTAAGGCTTGGGTCTAAGCCGAATATTAAAGCGTCGTGAGAAGCAGAAAGTCGAGAGGCCTAGGTGAGGAAAAGAGTGGGAGGGCTGACTCCACTAGAGTTCTTTTTGAGTCACCACTGCACTCCAGCGGGCAGAGCCTTTTTATTCCCTGTGGAGCAAACTAGTGCTTAACCCAAGAGAACGGGGTGCAGCAGTTGTTGTAGGTCGTCAAGGACTCAAACATAGGAATACTCCTCTGGGAATGATGGAGATAACGGGAACGGCGAATGACAGTGATGGGAAAATGGCGATTATGTGTTCACTAAGGGAAGATTTTATGTAACAAGAATGATTAAAGTGAGGGGAGAGAATGGGGATCTCTCTTCAATGCCAACGGATGCAACGCTGATGAGATCGGCAAAGAGGTAGAGCGATAATCCAAATGACTACTCCATAAATGTAATAATAATGGCAATGTTTCTATAGATCAAGTCCTGGCAGGAGAGAAAGAAATTTCAACCCATTGGCTCATTTTCTCCAAACCGCTGTGTGCTACTCAACCGCCGAAAAACTTTTCCATCTGCGGATGGAGCCTCCGCACGAAACGTTGGCGGCGAATATCTTGAAAAGTGGGCCGTTGATAGGAAATTTTGGGCGGAGGAAAATTTTTTTCTCGTAAGTTCATGATAAATTCTGGGTCGTGCGGTGGCGGGAAAGTAGATAACGGGGCTACAGTCCCCGTTTCTCATCGCTCATACTAGTAAATGCTCAATTGTTTATCATTAGTAGAAGAACAGTTCTGTAGTATTACATATCGTTAGTACCTATAGATATGTATACTACTGGTAGTAGTCAGTACCTTGGGATGTGTAAAGAGCAAGGCGGGCAGGTGACCTCGGGGAACAAGGTTCTATTCCGTGGCCGGGAACGGATAAAATCAAGTAATATTAACTTCAAATGAATGCCTCTTTTTTAAGGTTGCCGTCGTTGCCGTCGAGGATTGGATTCCCGAGGAAAAGCCAGCAGCCCTATTCTATAAACCTACATTTCAATCAAAAGATATTTCATCACATATGTGTTAGCACTTTCCTGATACCAGAACACTGCTACGATGTACCCATACTATACTTATTTAAGTGTAACCATGGCGATGTCATTTGATATAATTAGAGCCAATTTTCTCTGAGCCTCCGCGCTTATACTAAGTATAGAGATTTCAAATTAACATTAACTACTTCCTCTGCCTCACCTTTTTCTGACCTTTTATATCCAGCATTAACATTATCATTAACATCAAATCAATCCGGGAGGGGTCGCCGATGCCGCAACGTAATATACAGTGTACATAATAGCATCGGTAAGCCTAAATGTCGTTCTTCGTGAAGTACTATCAACTAGGAAACGCCTAAGGGGCAGTTCATGGTGCCACCACTACATTCCACTTAGACGCCAATGTGGGCAGTAGTTTGGGGGGCAGGCTTCGTACTAGTAGTGCTTGGCCTGCTTCGAAATGCACACAGAACAGCTATCACACTTGTGGCCACGAATAAGGCCCTTGGTATTTTATGTTAGTAATGGACACTATACCGCTCGATAGCGTGGTAAGTCATTCGCAACCAAGGAGGACATACCACTCGAATGCCCCGAACACCGTGGCTGCCTGGGCGCAGTTGCAGGCGCTCCAGTGACAAAACCTAGGAGCAGGAAGTAAAACGCCCAATGCAATGAACCCTGCAAACCAGAAGATCATGGTAATTACTTCCACGGCCGGGATAATCAAACGATGTGCGAGATGTGGAAAGTGCACGGGTGCAAGAGCAAGGTACGGAGTCGCGAAGAAAGCCGTCCATATACTGTTGAAAAGCATGAAGTTGACAGTATCATTATTGTACACGCTGACAACTTGACTCGAGCGTCAGCATTCATTTTCAGTGTGATATATCGGGTATAAGAAAGGTGACGAACTGTATGCAGTCAACCCAAGGATGATGATCGCAAATATTACTTGGACAACCCGAACAGGGTAGATCCAGGGAAAATCCAGGGTCATGGCGATCGGTACCCACGAGAAATGGTCTTCTCGTTTACCAATATCAGCTAATAGACTTATGTCCGATTATCCTAGGAAGAGAAGAAAGTTGCAAGCTTTTAAGCAAGGCGTGATTTTAAGACGATGACGAAGTAGACTTTGGTGTCGAAGATCTCTTGCCGTTTTTCGGCAAGAAGACTCGAGCCACCGACGCGCTCTCACGATGATCTTTGCTCTAGTGCTCAACTTGTAGTATACGGGTGAAGAGTTAAGAAGATGCTGTTTGACTCTGATGTGTATACACTCAGAAAGCAGAAGGGAAAGGGTTAGAATTAGATAAAGGAGTAAATAAAAAGTAAACTAGGCCAAGACAAGTAACAGAATAAGGGTGCCGCGTATATATGGATATATATACGTATATAAAAAGGGTCAATTCAAATGCTTGTGATCCTCACGCCTATGACGACAAGCGCCTCGGCGAACCTCGTGAACACGAGGCATTGGGTGACAATGATTTCATTCAAGGGGATTCTACTTTTTAAGGTATGCAGATTTTACCGAACTTGTTTGTTGGCAGGTTCTGATTTGAAGGAAATGCGTAGTTTTTACCATATATATACTAGTTAGCAACTTCTTAGCTGTACAACTCGGAACTATAAATTGATCTATTCTCTCTTACGCCACAAGCTAATGATGACAGCATATTTATCATGTGCGTATATTGATTTATATTTATATCAATAATACTGATTGTTGCCTATCCAAAATTTTGTATCTATCATTCATTCTTATTAAACTCCAAGTTATAGGTACCTCTTTTCTTTTTTCCTCCATTTCTTTTCTCGTTTCCACCCTTCCGGTTGGCATTATAGGTTTTTTTTTTTATCGGAAATATGTGAGTAGCACTACCTTGCTGATTCCCGGTCATCGTAGTAGTCAGCATTCAATTTGTTATACATATATGTATTAATAGTCCCTGGGGTGCAGAGTCCCCTTGCAGTCACCAATTTTAATAAGACCCTATCTTTTCCCCCACAATTTAGTTTTCGATACCTCTTAAGTCTCGATGCTTTCCCCCTATAATATATATCTATATATATTTATATATACATAACATAGCCAACAATCAAATTTCATTCAAGTACAAGACCTATTTAGTAGCTATGACTATGAACCTTTTACAAGGTAACCGTGTCTGACTATATTTATTCCTAATAGATAGCACTGGATGTACATACTATATTGTATCTCTGCTTCTATCGAAAAATTGAATTCTCCTTGATTTTTTTTTTGGGTGAACAAGGAACACGAAATGACCCGTATACTAGATAGACTCCTATCGTGTTTCTAACTTTTCTTTTTCTTTTCTTTTCCCAACTCTCTTCTTTATCCCCTCCCCGCCTATTGATCACGCCATCGTATTAATATCGTTGCTGTTTTCTTCACCCCGCACCTTCAAATACCAGCAGCATAAATGGATTCCTTCCGCCCCTCAAAGTATTCAGTAGGATTTACTGATAATATCAACCTTAAACCCCCATACAACCCTCTATAACTTCCGGGTAATCCGGCCATATCTCTCACAGGTATAGCTACGATATCATTCAAGAGCGCCATGGCCGAATCGCAGCAACCTCGTTTCGAAACCCTTCAACTTCATGCTGGGTATGTATCCCTATCGCTCCTCCCTCTTCCGTGTGGAATCAGCTCACGTAACATGATGATCCTAACGACTATGAAGCCATGAGCCAGACTCGGCGACTAATGCTCGCGCTGTACCGATTTATGCAACCACGGTCAGTCTATCCATAGTCATAACCCATTAAGTGATACCAATATCTGTAGTCTTACACATTCAATGACTCCGCCCATGGCGCTAGGCTTTTCGGCCTCAAAGAGTTTGGCAACATCTATAGCCGTATCATGAACGTAAGTGACGAAGGTTATCCGTCCCCAAAAGAAGGCAGAAGAGCTCTCCATTTTAACAACCCACAGCCGACGGTCGATGTCTTCGAGAAGCGTATTGCAGCCCTTGAGGGTGGTGTTGCAGCGGTAGCAGCCTCCTCTGGCCAGGCGGCTCAGTTCATGGCGATCTCAGCGCTTGCGCATGCTGGCGATAATATCGTCTCGACCAGTAACTTGTATGGAGGCACATACAATCAATTCAAAGTCCTTCTCCCTCGTTTTGGGATCACGACTAAATTTGTCCAGGGGGACAAACCAGAGGATATTAAGGCGGCGATTGATGACCGCACCAAGGCCGTTTATGTCGAGACAATCGGGAACCCTCGTTACAATATTCCGGATTTTGAGGCCATCGCCAAAGTTGCCCATGAGAAAGGCGTGCCATTAGTAGTACGTGTCAGAGCATTTCTTAATAAATCGGCGCAAGTATTGACCGGTGGATCAGGTTGATAACACTTTTGGAGCTGGTGGCTATTACTGCCGTCCCATTGAGTATGGAGCCGATATTGTCGTGCACAGTGCAACAAAATGGATTGGTGGCCATGGTACCACCATCGGAGGTGTCGTGATCGATAGTGGTAAGTTCGACTGGGGTAAGCACGGGGCACGGTTTCCCCAGTTTGTGGAGCCATCCGAAGGCTACCATGGCTTAAAGTTCTGGGAGACCTTCGGAAATTTGGCTTTCGCAATCCGTATCCGCGTTGAGATTCTTCGGGATCTCGGTTCGGCATTGAATCCATTCGCTGCACAGCAGCTAATCCTGGGACTGGAGACTTTGAGCTTGCGTGCTGAGCGGCATGCCAGCAATGCATTGGCTCTAGCGAACTGGCTGCGTACAAACAACTACGTGAGCTGGGTTTCGTATCCCGGGCTCCAAAACCATCCCAGCCATGAAACAGCCAAGCGATATCTGAAACGCGGCTTTGGGGGTGTCTTATCCTTTGGCGTCAAGGGAGGCGCTACTGCCGGCAGTCAGGTCGTCGATGGTTTTAAATTGATCAGCAACCTGGCAAAGTAAGTCGTTCAAATGGTGACTGTGACTAGCGACAATATCTGACTAACTATTCTGATAGTGTCGGAGACTCCAAGACGCTTGCAATCCATCCGTGGTCTACGACACACGAGCAACTGACAGAGCAAGAGCGGCTTGACTCTGGTGTTACCGAGGATGCCATCCGCATTTCCGTCGGTACTGAGCACATTGATGATATTATTACCGACTTCGAACAGTCATTCAAAGCGTCTAGTGATGCAGATACTCAGTAGACTATTTAATGAGGGGATACTTGGGCGATTGCATGGCGAAGACTCTAATTCGGGAGTTGATACAATCTCAAGTGATGGGGGCATTAAAGGGGATGGAATTCATATAGTTAGGATTTGTTTAAGGTATAGCCGAAGTATGACGAACGCAATGTATGAAATCGCAAATCTAGAATCGATCTGCGCAGGGTATCTAAACAGTTGAAAATGTCCTTTTTGCACATATTGGGGCTTGTATAGGCTTCGAATGGAACCGAATTCAAAATTGTATCGCAGATTTCCTGGTTAGAAGCGCCTCTAACCCTAAATACATAACCGTAGCTTAGGATACCGACTCCATGCCAGCTTCAATTTTTAAGATAAGAGTAGTGCTACATACGACATCTGAAGCCTACAAAGATTGCGTACTGTTTTGAACTGTTTCCAACAAACTGGAATGGATGGGGAAGAGATGTAAATAAAATGTACTCGTATATCGCCTGACCCCGCACTATTTTAAGAGGAAATGCAAAGAACACTAGAAAATATGCAACAGTATTGCTGATTTTCGAAAACACAAAGATGCAAAACCACACGAAGCCGCCCATTTCAAGAAAGAAGAAAAGAAAAGGGGCGCCTAAATGTGAAAGCGTGAAGAGGTGTACAGAAAAGCTTATGTAGAGCTAGAGGGTGAAGGGAGAAAGCAGACGGCACATACTCCCCATCTCTTAACACTGCGCTCTTCGATACCGGGAACATTTGTGGTTACGCGATTGTTGCATCCGAGAAGTACTAACAGACGCAGGGCGGCAAGGTAAGACCGTGTATGCAATTGTTGTACACTTCAAATAGCCCACTAGAATGGGAGAATGTTAACCCTGCCGATGCAGGTGTGTCTCTCTGATGGGTCCGATATCGAGAGCTTCAACGCCCAGTTCCGCATATGATTTACAAGGAGCAACAAGTAATAAAGCTCGTATCAAAACAAAGGGTGAAGGAAAGGAGTAAAGGCACATTGTCTTCACTGAAGTAGAACTTGACATATAGATTGACCATTTCAGGGTGTTCAGTTGCCCCCTTGACCGGGGGGTGGTGGTTGTGCTGAGCCGCTTGATGTTCCGGCTTGGGCTCCTCCCATCATGAAGCCTGGGGGGAACAGGGGCATACCCGGGAAGGAAAAGCCGAAACCAGGCACAGCAGGGGGGACGCCTACGGTATTGGCATTAGAAATATCTCGATCAGGTTGGCCACCAGGACCGCCAGGCCCCATTCTAACGGGAGGGCCATCTCGATCTGGCCGGGGGAATCGATCTTGCTGAGTACGGGACGAGATAGGACCTCGTTTGCCTCCGGTGTCAGTCGCAATCCGTCTACTGATAGCTATAAGAACAAGTCAGTTGAGGGCACTCCTTAAGTTTTGGGGGTGAGAGGAAAGAAAAAAAAAAGCGAACCTTTGGAGGAGACACCAGCGCCTATCTCGATATCCGGTTCTTCAACAACCATGCCACTCTCGATTGATCTACCACCAGTGCCGCCATACTCAGCAGTGAGCATCCATTTACGATCCGCTTCTGTGAGTCGTTCGACCGGAATGATACTGATGCCTGTCTGGTAGTCGCTACAATCCCGCGGGCCAAATCCGACACCCCACCGAGTCTGAACAATGATTAGCTTTATCACCAAATTGCGGCAAAGTGTACGTACTCTAAGTTGCATGTCTCCAGATTTGTAGGACTCCATACCATCACGGGCATTCACAGCGTCCTGGCGGCTAATCATCTTGATGAAAGCGTGACGTTTATCGATGTTGACAATGCAAGTCTGGACGATGCCAAACTTGCCAAATAGAGAGCGCAAGTGCGCCTCAGATGACCTATTCCAGGTGGTTAGAATAAGACGGACTAGTGAGTTGAGACAACGACTTACGTGACGCCGCCAACAAAAAGGGTTCGACTCAGAACTGCATTGAACGTTAGTTAGGAAGCGTGCTTACGATCGAGCTGATACGAACCTTTAATATTGCCTTGCCCGATGGAGTAATCCCACTCGATAAACTTGGGACCGGGAGGTGGCAGAGTAGGATCTTTACGAGGAGGAGATGGAGTGCGGCGTCTACGTCCCGGGGGACTGCGCTGACGGTAATCATTGCCTCGACGACCACGAGGATCGCCGCCTCTGCGACCAGGAGAGTCGCCATGGTATTCACCGTAGACAGGACTATCGCGACGACGAGGAGGGGATACGTCGCGACGTCTGTCCCAACCGGGGGAGCGGGACCGGCGACGATACTGACCGGGAGGGGAGCGCATATAGTCTCGGTCTCGCTCACGGTCCCGGTCGAACTCACGTGACTGGGAGTCCGGGCGGCCCCAAGCGTTGACATTTTGGCCCGGTAAATTAAAACTGGGAGCCTGGCCAGGATTCATGTTGCCCATATTAGCGGCATTGGACAGACTTAGGATCTGCAGGGCAGTGGCCCACTGGTCTTGCGGGATTCCCTGTGCGGCCAAGAGCTGTAAGAGCTGGAGCTGCTGCTGCAGCGCATCAGGCGCAACAGCGGGTGTCGGCTGAGCCGGGGCTGCGGTCGCCTGTGGCAGTAGCGCAGCCAGTGGGTTTTGCGCCGCAGTCAAGGGGTTTGGGGTCTGACTCTGACTTTGCGGTTGTACCAATGCCGGGTTTTGAGCGATATTACTCAAGGCTGCGAAAGGTGCCGCCATCGCTCCAGCAGCAAATGGATTTACGCTAGCCTGTCCATTCTGGGATTGTGAAGCCTGGTCTACGGATGACGACACTGGCTGCGGAGCTGCACTCTGCTGGGTTAAAGTACTAAGAGGATTAGCTTGCGGCGCCACTGCCGGAGCTACTGACGCCGATGGAGCTGAGGAGTTCTGTTTGGCCATATCTGCTAGGGCTTTCAGTATACTGGAGGTATCCGGTGCCGACTGAGGGGTTGTTGAGGTTGCGCCATTGGGTGGCTGCTGCAGTAGCGACTGCTGGGAACCTCCTAGAGGGATGTAGTTCGGGGCTGGGGAACCCTCGGGCGTAGTGGATTCAACATCTATTAAAGCAACATCAGAACTCTGGCCGCAATTATCTTGGCATTTAGGACGGCTCCTGGCGTTATACAACCGGACCGACATACGGCAGATTGACATCCACATCGTGTCAAATAGAAGGAAGGGAAACAAGCTTACTGTGTGCTGCAGGTGCATTTAGTTTTTCTTTGAATGAGGTAAGCATGGGGGCAGGGAAAGTATATCCACGTTCCCAGATATCAACCAGCTTCCTGATTTTTTCCTATAAGAAGAGTCATGGGATACGTAAGTTGGACTATTCGCCACAATCGACAGCATAAACACCTAGGAATGGAAGGGCGGATTCTATGCAGAAAAGGGGGGGATATATAACGGGAGATACGTAGATCAAATTTTATACAGGCCACAGCGGGATTTGAATACAAATCACCACTCCTTTAACGGCCGTACGCATGTCTGCAGCTTGGGTGGTAATATGGTGACTGTTTGTATCTTGCATCTAGAGCGTACCTTTTGATCCTCAGGAGCGTTGTTTATGATATCAGTCATCAAGACAGGTAGTAATTCGGTCACTCTGTTAACACCAGCGGCAAAGGTTCCATCAGGAGCAGCACTACCCGATGGCTGACCCGCCTTGCGCGCTGCTTCTACCCACTGTCGAGTTACAGAGTCTACGACATAGAGTACGCCCAACTTGTGTGTTCCCGGAGCCTTCTTGAAGTGTGTATAGATCTTCTGGATAAGAACGGATTCATTCTGCACAAAGAAGCGAACCTGTTAGCTTGCTTGTATTCACACCTGATAGATGTCGCTGTCAACCAAGACTAGAAGAGGTGCAATACCTGAACATTTGCCGTGCAAAGTGATGTAATACTGTTGATCTTAGAGCCTGAAACACCAGGAGGCTTAAGGGCGAGCATAGACTGGAGATAGTTATCCAGCTCTGCTACAGCAGATGACATTGTTGATAGTATGTATTAGAGAATACCGGGTTGCAGTACGGAGATATAGTTGATAGATAATCCCAGAATGCTCTTTGACAAAACTATCGCTTCAGATAATATGGCACAGGCGAGTGTGTATCAAGGGTCCAACGAGTCGTTTCTACTGGGAGATCCAGCGCGGTCAAGGAGAAAATATTGTGATGCTTAGTGATAAAAAAATCTGTTTGTCGAGAACAGTTTCCTAAGCGGACTTCTGGTCGTATCACTACAGAACTCCACGAGCGGACTTCTGGCGACCAGGGGGGGTTTTCCGCCTACAGCTGGAACACAGCCAAGCGATCGTGTCCAGGAATTTGCGACTCGCGAGAAAGTGTACGAGGTACGACCTAAGGTGAAGGGTGTCAGGTAAATCAAAAAGAGAGGTAAACGTGATAGATTACAGGGTCGAAATAAGAGGTGGTAAAGAGTTGGATGTGAGAGGAATGTTGTGAAGTGAAAGAAGTATTAAGGAAGGAGTGATTTTCTGTAGTGAAGGCAGTCAGGTGAGGAGAAAAATCATAAGGCACGCTAAGCTAAAACGGGCAAGCCCGAAGTTTCACTTGATGATATTTCAGGTTGGGGGCCTAAGGCTTGAGTTATACGTCACGTGCCAATGACTTATTGGTCCTTAGGCTCTACCTAGTAACCCCTGGTGGCATTTCAGAACCGGTGAATCAAATGAGGTAACATGCTGCTAATTTGTCAAGGCGTGTTCCAGAGGCCGAAGAATCCATCAGAACTCATACAAAATGAACAAACCAAGGAATGTTTGTTCAGCATAGTACAGATTACTTTATAATATCGACCGCGAATCTGAATTTGCTGAGTGCCCAGAAGCTCTAGGAATATAATCAAATCCGTTTCGTTCACAATTATCTTAGTCATCAGGAATTCTGGTAACTATGATTCTCGGTACATAGGAGGTTACTACCTGAGCTTGGACGGGAAGGGTCCGTCCCAAACTCGGGTGGCAGCCGACGTCACTAGAGTTGATTGAATACTCCGTTTACGGATGGAGCGCGTGCCGAGATCGTCAATTTAGCGACTACCAGGTAGCCAGAGGTCCAACAGATTAAACCAAAAGTCTGATTTCAGACCACATGAGGTAAGGTAGGTGCTACATAAAGGGCGATGAAAGACAAGGGTCGGCAAAGAGTATTGTCATGGGTGGACACATTCGCTCATTCTGTTTATAGAAATAAATACCCATGATGAAAGTAGGTCAATAGATAGGGGAACTCTTCTACGGATCTACTACCTAGGCAGTTCCTCCGGTACTCCGTCCCGCGTAACGGAATTGGGCGGGTGAGGAGTGATCACAGATCTGGTGTTGTCACGAAGAAACCTGCGTCGCCGAAATCAATGAATGGAAGGGATTCGGGAGACCGGACCTTTCTGGGCATAGCAATACCGTACATTACGGAATCCCGCCATTGCCTTCTCTCGTTGCCGACCTTTACCGTACTGCACATGTACCGGCTGTACCGTTACGGCCAGATGGGAAAAAAAAAAAGAGCTTCTCCCGAAACCTCAGCATCTTTTCTTCTTCTTTCTCACTATCACACTATCTTAATATACCCAGACCATCTCCATTCCTCATTTACACTCAACCGCTCATAAAGAGTGTTTGTTTCGACATGGCTTCTTCATTGAGAATCGGAACTTCTGTCCTTCGTTCTTCTCTCGCCGGTAAGCCGGTCGTGCACTCTGCTGCCTTGAATGGTTTGCGCTGCTACTCTACCAGCAAGGCTAAGGTTCGTCCGTCGTGATGTCTCGATCGCTACCGTCCTCCATCCATCTAACTGCCATCGTTATCAAATCATATAGACCTTGAAGGAAACCTTCGCCGATAAGCTCCCTGGCGAGATTGAGAAGGTCAAGAAGCTCAGGAAGTACGCACGATTCAACCCTTGACGACTTGTTCGATTGCTAACCACGCCGATTCGTTCTTGTAGGGAACATGGCAACAAGGTCATTGGCGAGCTCACCCTTGACCAAGCCTATGGCGGTGCTCGTGGCGTTAAGTGCCTTGTGTGGGAGGTGGGTTATGGTGCTAATAACTGCTAACGGGAGTTTGCTAATTCTATTACTCAGGGCTCTGTTTTGGACTCCGAGGAGGGTATCCGTTTCCGTGGATACACTGTATGTACCGTTGGCTTTTGGTCCAAAATTCTCGTATACTCATGGTTACATAGATTCCTGAATGTCAGAAGCTCCTTCCTAAGGCCCCCGGTGGCGAGGAGCCTCTCCCTGAAGGTACACTTATACCCTTGGAACAAGTTTGGTCTATCCTGCTAATATATTTTAGGTCTCTTCTGGCTGCTGCTGACCGGCGAGATTCCCTCCGAGCAGCAGGTTCGCGCCCTGTCTGCTGAGTGGGCTGCTCGCTCTGATCTCCCCAAGTTTATCGAGGAGCTGATTGATCGCTGCCCCAGCACGCTCCACCCCATGGCTCAATTCTCTCTGGCCGTCACCGCCCTGGAGCATGAGTCCGCTTTCGCCAAGGCCTACGCCAAGGGTATCAACAAGAAGGACTACTGGAACTACACCTTCGAAGACTCCATGGACCTCATTGCCAAGCTGCCCACCATTGCCGCGAAGATCTACCGCAACGTCTTTCGGGACGGCAAGGTTGCTCCTATCCAGAAGGACAAGGACTACTCCTACAACTTGGCCAACCAGCTGGGCTATGGAAACAACAATGACTTCGTTGAGCTCATGCGTTTGTATCTGACCATCCACTCTGACCATGAGGGTGGAAACGTTAGCGCTCACACCACCCACCTTGTTGGTAGCGCACTGAGCTCCCCCATGCTTTCTCTGTCTGCCGGTTTGAACGGATTGGCTGGCCCTCTTCACGGATTGTATGCTTTGCCTCCTTCAGGAAATCTAAGAGTCGATTAAACTAACATTCCTACTTAAATAGGGCTAACCAGGAAGTGCTCAACTGGCTCACCAAGATGAAGGCAGCCATTGGTAACGACCTTAGTGACCAGGCTATCAAGGACTACCTGTGGTCCACCTTGAACGCCGGTCAGGTTGTCCCCGGCTACGGTCACGCCGTCCTTCGTAAGACCGATCCTCGCTACGTTTCTCAGCGCGAGTTTGCCCTTCGTAAACTCCCTGATGACCCTATGTTCAAGCTAGTCAGCCAGGTATACAAGATTGCTCCTGGCGTGCTTACTGAGCATGGAAAGACCAAGAACCCCTTCCCCAACGTTGATGCTGTAAGTCTATTACCCATCAACCTTCCATCAGAAGAAGCTCGCGTACTGATTCATCTCTAGCACTCTGGTGTCCTCCTTCAGTACTATGGCCTGACTGAGGCTAACTACTACACCGTTCTGTTCGGTGTTTCTCGTGCTCTTGGGGTCCTGCCCCAGTTGATCATTGACCGTGCTCTTGGTGCTCCTATTGAGCGCCCCAAGTCCTTCAGCACTGAGGCTTACGCCAAGCTTGTCGGTGCTAAGCTGTAAATTTGTTGAATGATATGAAAAAGAGAAGGGGTTTGTTATGATTAAGCACACAATTTTGTATTATTCCCTTACTATTTTATTAGACTAGGACACGACGAGTGTTGTGGTTAGTTTGATTAATGTATGATAGGACTTTGTTCGAGCAGGCCTTGTAACAGCACTCCAAAATCGTGTTGATCTCCATATCATAAATGCTTCCTTAGTAGTAGAGAGATTTCTACAAGCTTTTACGTAGTCACTAGAATAATCGCAAGACTTCTCGATCGGGAAAAGAACAACCCCCCTATGCAAGGGGGTACAGGGACGGAAAGCTACTGAAATTGGTACTGGTTGGTGTACATAATAAGTATGGAGTACGATTTCCTCTTGACTAGCACTTTCAATCCCGAGGTTCATCTAACATGGGCTCCACACATCTGACATCTAGGGATATTGCCTGATTCATCACATGAATGAGAGCGTATCTACTACTAGTACTCTGTATATGTGTGTACCTTAGTGATAAGTCGGTAATATCTCCGGCTATCGTACTAGTACAGCGGAGTTCCTGATAACTACAATAATAGGTTGGAAAAAAAAAAAGACGTAGAGGTTTACTGTTTCAGAGTATTAACAAATTACGCCGAGGTACGTATGTACATACCTACATACATACATACATTTTGCTTAGTGTTCTCTACCCAGGCAGAAGATATGGAGAACAATGGACAGACTACGGTTAGGGACACTATTCCGTATATATCTATAGTAATTTGAATGTTTCCGAGACTGAAACTACTCATTGTTTAGTTACTACTTCCTTAAGCTATTGCATGGTTGAGAGAAATATGATTGGGACGTCTCAACCATTTCTGTAATTTGCATTGTAAAATTCAAGAACAGGTAATGTTGGGGGCACCCGATTTGCTCCGTTGGCTCAACTGAAGCCAATTACACCGCCGGACCGCAATGGGTCTAGTGCCCGGAAATACTCAGATTAGGCTTAGTGCATCCCCAATGTCCCCCCGACGTCGGTTCTATTTTGGCAATTTGAGGGGAAAACCACGTTGGCCTTAGGCCGTCCAGCGCCCAGTCGGGCCTAGTAGCGCGAACCTGTCCTTTACTTGTCGTACGCCGGGTAATCCATCCATTCTGCTGCTTTTTTAATATTTCCAGTTCACCCTGTTCAGTTTGACCCTTCTCATTCTTCTTCACATCCCAGTTTTATCGGCCGCTTAGTACTCCCCCTGTGCAACTCCCAAGGCTTTCTCTCGACGCTTGAAGTTCGATTGAAGACAATCGCTCTTGTCCCCATTGCAAACAACCGTCATCATCTCGTGATCCCTTAGGCGACGAAGCCCCCAGCATCCCTTGGTCAGGGCCCCTTTCAGCACTCCCCAAGGTTAGAGATGTCTTCTGCTTCAGCCGAGCTGGCCACTGGTGGTCGCAAGCTCGAGAAGAAGCCCGTCAAGTTTAGCAATTTGTTACGTAGGTGACGCCCACCATCACAGGAATTGCTTGATTCTGACGATGTTTCTACAGTCGGTGCAGGATTGAATATGTTCGAGTAAGTAATGCGATCGATTCCCTTTGCTAATGGAGTGGGATCTCCGATACTAATGTGACTACTAGGGTCACCACTTTGGGACAGGTACCAAACCCTCAAAATGCCCAGAGAAAATAATAATATAAATAAAACAGAGATAGAAATATATTTAGGGGTTATGTTACTGATTTCTCTCTTAGCCGCTGGAAGTGATCAAGACGACCATGGCCGCGAATCGAGGCGACAGTTTCGGGAGCGCTATGGGTCGGATATGGGGTCGTGGCGGGATCCTCGGTTGTAAGTGACCTCCATCACCGTAATCAGACTAGCGTGGGTGCCACAGTTTCTGATGTGAGATGCTTTTTTAGATTATCAAGGTCTCATTCCGTGGGCCTGGATTGAGGCCTCCACCAAAGGCGCCGTCCTCCTTTTCGTTGCGTCCGAGGCGGAGTTCCGTGCTAAGGTGCTCGGCGCGCCCGACTTCCTCGCCGGTATCTCGGGGGGTATGGCCGGAGGTATTGCCCAGGCATATGCCACTATGGGCTTTTGTACCTGCATGAAGACAGTCGAGATCACCAAGCACAAGATGGCTGCCCAAGGTGTAAAGCCTCCGAGCACCTTCGCGACATTCATGGATATTTACCGCAAGGAGGGCATTCGTGGTATCAATCGCGGTGTCAATGCAGTTGCTATCCGTCAGACTACGAACTGGGGCTCCCGATTCGGTCTTTCTCGCCTGGCAGAAACAGCAATTCGTAGGGTGACTAACAAGGAAGAAGGACAGAAATTGAGTGCAATGGAAAAGGTCTTGGCCTCCGGTCTCGGTGGTGGTCTATCTGCTTGGAACCAGCCTATTGAGGTCATTCGTGTTGAGATGCAGAGCAAGAAGGATGACCCCAACCGCCCTAAGAATTTGACCGTCGGCAAAACTTTCAAGTATATCTACGAATCCAACGGTCTGAAGGGCCTTTACCGTGGAGTTACTCCTCGTATAGGACTGGGAATCTGGCAGACCGTCTGCATGGTGGCTCTTGGTGACATGTGAGTTGAGTTCTCTCCCATTCAAAAACGCCTGGCATATCTTTCGGGCCAAGAATACCCCTTGTCCGAGAAGGAACTACCCGATATCCATGTGATAGCCGAGAAGCGGAATTAGGCTAACCTGTGGGTCTCCATTGTACCGCGTTAGGGCCAAGGAAGCAGTCGAAAAACTGACGGGCGAGCAAGTCACCGCCAAGCACTAGAGAAGGTTTGAGATACCCTTCTGCTATGCATGGCCTGGGGGTGCTTGAGAGATTGGGTCTTCCCCTATTCATCACATCAGACAGACATGGTTCGGTGGGTTAACATCAACGATCCACACATGCATGTAATATTGAGCAATGATCTTTGGACCAAGTCCATGCTTCTCGAGTGTCATATTTCCCTTTTATAGTAGTACTTGTTAATGATAATCGAATTTCACGGTAATGGGTTTGCCTTCTGACGAGATGTTTTACGATGTTGAGCGAAGCCGCAGATCGCGATATGTGATGGCTTATTTACTCCCAAGCTTCAAGTTCTGTGACCCGAGTTCCTTGTTTTGATAGTTGCCTCTAGATACAGAGAGTACTTATGCCTTTTATTAGACTTTGATTGCATGGCATTACAGGCGCCGTACGTACGTACCCCTTTCATGGAGAGTTGTTCGGGGAAGTAGGTAAATATATATACCCATCTCTCCGTACCTGCAACGCTAACGCCGGAATCGGACGGAAAATAACAAATGAACCGTACTACGCCGCAGAAGTAAGCTGTATTGGATAAGGTACAATTGTATTACAGTCACTACTACAACAACGTCAAAAAGGAAAATATCTGCAAAGATTGATCTAGACACATAAGACAGGGGTGACGCTTTTTCCCAAAGACAGTCTAATATGTATTGCGCACACTTTAAACAGTCAGACCCAGGTCCTCGCCGTAGGGGAGCTGGAAGAGGTCTCCAACAGAGGCCACGGAAGCCTTGCTAGAGAGGAAGTTCTTGGCAGCCTGTAGAAGAGAATTGGTTAGCGTCCCTTCCCCAACAAAGGTACCCAATAGTAGAAATCGTATACTTACATCCTTGACCTGGGCCTCCGTAACGGCATCGATGCTTTGAGCGATCTCACCAATCTGGTAGGGCTTGCCGCCGTTGAGGAGAGCAGAGCCAGTAGCCTCAAGACCCGTCTCAAGGCTCTGAGCCGACTCAAGAGCACGGAACTTGGCGAGGGCAGTTGCCTTCTTGATATCCTCGTTAGTGACTTCGCCGGCAGCGACCTTCTTGAGGGCGTCGACGGCGTTCTTGGCAGCCGAAGCGACCTGGTCGGCTTTGCCGGAAAGAGAGATGGTGAAGAGGCCAGCATCAGAGTAAGTGACGCTCTTGGTAGAGGCCCGAACCTGGGAGAAGCCCTGGGTAGCCTGAGCCAGGAGGGAGAAGCCAGGAGTCCACTTGATAGTAGATTCACCGCCAAGGAGGGCAGCAAGGACAGAAGACTCGGGCTTGTAGCCAGAGGTGCCGAAAGCACTGGAACCAGGGAATGCAATCACAACGGCGTTGCCAGCCTTGGACGAGATACGTTGCTCGCCACCATAGTACTTGGAGGCTACGTGGGGCTGGAGCTGGTACTGGCCGGCGCTGCCGGAGCTGGGGAGTCCCTTGAAGAACTCGCCAACCCACTTGGACAGGTCAGCAGAGTTAGAACCACTGCCAACAAGAGCGATGTTGGACTTGGCATAAGCCTGCTGGGCGTACGCAGCAAGGGCTTCGGCCGAGAGGTACTTCTCGAAGGGGGCAGTAGTAGAAGGGGTGATGCTCTCACCCAGGCCGCGGTGGAAAGCCAGAGCGTTGGCAGCATCGACTGCCTGCTGCTCAGGGTCAGCAGCAAGGGCTTGTTGCCTGAGCTTAAGGTGCTTGATGACGACCTCATTCAACTCGTGGGCTGATGAACATGATTAGCCCGTCCATTGTAACAGATACGGCCACTCTGTCGACTTACCTGCAAACTTCGACTGAGAAGCGACCTCTGCCAGCAATTCGGCGAAGTAAGGCAGATCGTTAGAGAGGAACTTGGCCTTGAGCACAACATTTTCACGCGAATGTGTCGAAGAAACTTCACCGCCCAGCAGTTCAACCTCCCGATTGATCCGCAACGCTGACCGTTTGAGTGTGGACTGTCAATTGAAGAGAATATCGTCAGATTCCATCTCATACACCGATCCGGAGCCGGGAGGAGTTGGCATTGGATGCCGAGACTTACCTTGAAGGCGAATTGTTCGAGAGCATCTGAGAACCCAGGGAAAGGCTGGTAACGAGGGCCGGCCTTTGCAACCAACGCCAGGGTTGCCGTAGGGCCTGCTACTTCTCTATTGGCGAGCTTTACTCCGGCAGCCTCGGTGACATCGTACTGGAGGCCTGGGGTGGCAGTAGAGGCCATGCTCCGACGGCTGTTCACGCCGGCAGCAGAGCACTGCTTCTGGAGCGCACGGGGCGCATTTCGGCTGAAAGTAGACCGCGACAGCATTATCGCATGTGCGGAATGTTCAATATTTGAGGAGGAAGGTAGGAGACCGAGTGGCTCGACAGCAATTGGGGAGGGCGGGGAGGGGGAGGGAGAGCAGAAGGGTTCTTCTGACTGTCGTTGGGCGGGTTGGAAACGATGTCTGAAAAGCTTCAAGATGCCGGAGCCTTGATTACTCTCTCTCTAATTGGCTGGAATGGCGAGTGCGGGCGGAACCGGCTTTTCCTCCTTCTCCGTGTCAGCTGATGTCACATGATATTAAGCACACGTGAGCGTCGCGGAGCAATTACGATAAGAGAGGGAAAAAAGAGAGCGACAGAGAGCGCGCGAGCGGGGGAACAAATAAAGATATTTTAATCCGCTTTTCACTACTTTTTAGCCAGTGTATATCCCTTCCCCCCATGAAATTCTCGCGGTGACCGCTGCTTTCTTCTAGAGAATTGGAAGTTGGTATATTCTCTAGAAGACTTGAGCCAACATGACTTCTCAAGTATGCGACTGTCTGAACAGATTCCCATCCATATATGACCTCGTTTGCTAACCGGATGGGCGACAGTATGCTGGGGAACTCTGTACACTCCTCGTGGAAGACAATTTTGGGGAACTTTTCGCGGTAGGCTTGCATTTGGATGTCCATCAATTACTTCTCAACCCATTTCCAGACGGAAAGAATGGTATAAGCTGACTCTGCTTTGTCCGCTCAGCGCATCTTCTCAACACTAGTTCGCTACGACCGACTCTCCTTTACTAGGTTGAAGTTCTACTCCCGTCTGTCCAACGCCCAGCTTCGTCATGGCCTCGCTGCTATGATTCAGCAGCATCTTATCTATCACTATACTTCCTACGATGATGGCATTACGTATTATGAACCCAACATGCAGTCTGCATACTATCTTGTCCGAACCGGGAAGATTCTTGAGTTTATAGGTCACCGGTTGGGGAAGTATGCGGCCACTGTCATGTCGACCATCATGTTTCTCGGACATGCGCAAGTAAGCTATCTCGAAACGCTTCCAGCCTTAAGACCTGCGAATCCCGAGGTAAACGGAGCTAGCGAGGCGAGTGAGGAAAATCAGGAAGCTGTAGAGTATCAGGAGAAGGAAGCGCACCAAGAAGCTGAAGGGCGTGAGGAAACAGAAGATCAACAAAATGGGCTCAATAGCAACCATGCTACCTCCGAACACACGGCACTTCTTCATCCGACTTTAAAAGCTTTAGCAGGACATGGATATATATCACGTGTTCGGGATGCTCAGTTTCAAAGCTATGCAGATAATGCTTTGGATGCTGAGCGCACAATCAAGTCAAGGCCCGACATTAAAGTTCTCAAAGGGAAGAAACTAGAGGACGCGGTGACTGAAGGGACCCTCGAATTGCTCAAGGAACGTTTGGATGGGGATCTGACTCGCGGATTGATGTTCAATGGAGTACCCCGTGGAGCTAAACGAAGACATGCAACTGGAGCCACTGATGCGCCTAACAAAAAGGCACGAGCGGATTACGCCGCTGTTGATGAGGATGATGAGGGAGAAGCAGAGAACGAATGGTCAGACGATGAGTTCGACGAAGATACAGTACCCATGGATGTAGGTCTTTCCTTTTCCTAAGCATTCGGGACCCCGATGAGGGCATTGCGCTTCCTAGATAGAGCTGATGGAACGGTAACTCCAGTCCAGCATCACTGTACGCATAAACTATGAGAAGTTGGATGTCGCTCTCCGGAATCGTCGTTTCCTGGAGCTTGCAGAGCAGGGCTCGTCTCCTGTAACTGCCGAAGTTTACGATTGCCTTCTGCGCCGTATCGAATACCAAACATCAAGGTGCCGGGATACTACCGAGATACCCCGTGAAGGAGAGGAAGGCGAACAATATTCTGTACCGATCCCCTTAAGTGCAGTGGTGGAGGATGTCGACCTGCTGTTAGACCTGGCAGGATCAGTTGGTCCCATGGAGATCTCTCAACCCATAAACAGACGCGGCAAGCGGCCATTGGAAGAAAATGTGAACGGTGTAGGCCATGATGGGCCCAACGGGGTGCAATCGGATGGAAATCGTACTTACGAAGTCGACCAGCATCTCTGCCTTCTAGCTCAACCGCCTTTTAACCTCACATCCAAACGCATGGTTTCGGGTCTTATAACCTGGACTGTAGAGTTCCGCCATCTGGCGCGCAAACTTCGCCATCTTGAATTGGAACGTATCATTGAAGCGAGATATGGCGATGTCGCATTACGAGTTGTCCGTGTTCTCCATGATAAGGGGAAACTAGATGAGAAGCGCCTACAAGAAATCAGCCTTCTCCCATTCAAAGACCTACGCCAGGTCCTCGCCAGCATGCAGACAGGCGGGTTCGTCGACTTACAGGAAGTTCCACGAGACGCACAGCGTCAGCCTTCACGGACCATTTTCCTCTGGTTCTATGACCCGGACCGTGTCGGTAATAGTGTCCTGGAGGACACGTACAAGGCAATGTCTCGATGTTTGCAACGCTTGCGGTTCGAGCGGGATCGGTTGAAGGGGTTCCTCGAGAAAACGGAGCGAAGTGATGTCAAGGGCAATGAAGAACGCTATTTGTCTGAAGCAGAATTGGCGTTGCTTGAACAATGGAGAGCCAAGGAGGCGCTCTTGCTGGGAGAAGTAGCCCGGTTGGATGAAATGGTGGCCGTGATGAGAGACTACTGAGGCAAGGATGCCATCATAAGCGATGAAATGTAAAAGGCTATATATACATTGCATTTGCATGTGTGCCTAGACGGCTAAATAGTGATGACTGTACCAGCTGACCCTAAAGTGAATCTGTCATACCTCCCATGAATGATATTCGATCATGATATCATCTGTAGGACAAAGTTATCATACTTCATATATCTAGCCAAATCGTTCATCATATGGTAAGATTTGAGTTAAATATATATCGGAAGAAGAAAGTAATCTACATACAAATCTTGAGAGAAAAAATAGAAAGAATAAAGGGAAAAATAAAACACAACTGCAAGGTTTGGACTACAACACATAGCAGCAAAGCTCTCGTGTTGAATAGGTACAATTGGAAGGGTAGAGCCAATTCTGAGACAACGGCAGCGAGCTGCAGAGCTGTTAATACTAACATAAGACATAAACAAGGAAACAGGACATGAAGGCTTGAAATGAAAAATATCAGTGAGAATGGAAAAGGACAAAGCCACGCCAGGTTTCCAATTATGAAAGAAAGAAAGTGAAGAAACAAAACCACTCCCTGATGTCGTCAAGTCTAAAACCCAACCCCCATACTATTTTATACACCGGTAAATCCTTTCCAACTCTGTTTTTCTGATCACGGACTAATAGTCGCCGGAGTGCTGCCGTCGTAAAACATGTCACATAAAACTGGGTCACTGGTATTCCTAGGCAAGAGAGCATTCGGTCGAAACCACTACGATGTCCCAATCGTAAGACTATACAGGAGCCTTTGTCCCAGGCACGGCCTTAACCGCATCAGGCTCTTCCAGTTGCCCATTTCCTGGTTCAATTGAATCGCCATCGTTGGTTTCAGGAGTCCCATTCTCACCTAGCCGAGCCTCAGCATCCTGTAACTTGCCCCTAGTCTCTTCGAGTTCCTTCTTCAATGCCTTGATATAATCGATGGCCATCTCCACGGTACTAGCCTTGCTAATCTGTTGATTGCTCGATTTCTCTTTCTCCTTTTCGCTGCCTTTCGAATTGCAAGGTGCGGTAGCGTCCTTCACATTCTTCATGTTGACAAACCCAGCAGGAATTAGAGCTTCGATTTCTTTAAGCGCATTATTAATGCGATTGCGCCGACCCTGCTCCGCCAATTTGTGATTGGTCCGTTTAGAACTCAAATTTTCAGCTAACGTTTCCGGATAGGAGACGCCGGGGAGAAGGGTGCCATCCAAGATATGTTGATAATTCGATTTGGAGGCTAGGTACAGAGCTGATGTCTCACCTGATAAGCCTGATGAACGATGTGCAATTAGTTTGGATCACTGAGCTGATCGGTGGATGATGCTTGTAACCTACCTTCTCCTCGGACCAATGGTTGTATGCTGGGACTTATTTTCGGGCGTAGATTTGGGCTGGGTTGGGAGGAGCTAAGGCTTTGTCGCTTTCTGCTCACTGGCCCAAGTTTTGGGGTGTCTGATTTCTTGCCCACCGGCCCGCTTGGAGATGGCACAGCGACAGTGCGCGGACTAGGAGCTACTGAACATGGGTTTCTTTCTGGAGCCGATTTAGGTTCCAAAGCGGGAGTTACATTGGCCGACGCGGCTGGGGATGCTGCATCTGCACGAACACTTCGAAGAGAGGTATCTATGCGGACCACTTGCGGTTGGGAGAAGTGAGTAGTAGGAGTAGCTGCTTCCGGAAGAACGACGTCCTCCATGATATCATCGTGTGACTCGGACAACACAGAGCCTGGTGCTTGACCAATTGTAGCTGGACTATGCTGCGGCCGCTGAATGCGCATCAGCATAGCCGGGGTCGCAGGCTCGTTGGTTTGTGACTGCGCTGTCTGAGGAGCAATCGCGGGAGACCTCCGTGCTGGAGGGAGAGCAGGGGGAGGCATTAGTGGTTCTGACAGTGGTTCTGGCGAGACGGAATCCTGGCCAGAACTTTCATTGCTTCCATATCGCAGCCCGCTACCAGTTGCCAGTTGTGATCTTGGGCCGCCTTGGTGTTGGTTGAGGCCGTTTAAAACCTCGTCCGAGTTGATATGCAGGAGTGATTTCTTCCGCGTTTGAGGCCGCACCGAAGGAGATTGTTGCTTCTTCGCCCTGGCGGAAAAGGTCTTGGTGTTTGATAGTCGACGCCGGTGATGTTTCCGGATCAAGCCTGGCGAACTTGGAGACGACGAGGCGGGAATGGAATTGTCGACGGGGGAATGCACGAAGCCCATGTCAGAGACATGGCCGGAGTGAAAAGGATAGCTGGCTGAATTTCCATTCTGGGCCTCGAGAGCTGGAGAGGTTAGAGGGGTAAAGTACTCCCCTGGAATGGTGTACTCTGGAAGCTGAAATTGAGTCTCCAATGGCGTCATGGCGGGAGACACCAAAGGGGTATAGAGAGCCTATCAGGGCGGATGAACACATTAGCCATGCATGTATTGATGTAGGGGCCGTAGCTAGTTCAGGATCACACTTACCTGTTCCTCGTTTATGCGCGCATATCGGTCGTACATCTCATGATTCTCGTTCACGCGTTGCAAATATGTGGCCGCGCTCCCCTGCAGTTCAACACTATTGGGGGTCGGAGGGATCAAAGGCTGGCCATGAGGCACATAAGGTTGGGATGTTTGTTGTGAATGGTGAACATGCTGGTGGTGCGGTTGCTCCTGCGGTTGCTGCAGCTGGTGGTGGCTGAAGTCCTGGGGATGTGGAGGTTTTTGGGCATAGAACGCCGGAGTCATAGGGGCATTGGAGAAGGAGGCCGACATGGAGCCATGCGATTGACCTTGGTGGACTTGACTGGAGAGTTCGATTGGGAAGTCGCCCATTATGCGGTCATATGACGATGCCTGAGGGGTCACCGGTTCGGCGTCCATACGAACAAGCTGTTCCTGACCCGAAGGAGCGGTTGAGGCAGGCATCGATACGGAATGAGCGATAGAGCGAGCAGGGTGCTGATCGGATGGCCCGTGCCCCTCTAGGTCGGGGAATTGCATTCCAAATTCGAGGAAGTTAGAGAACTCATCTTCACCAGAGGCGGCGATATCCGGCCAGGAGAGCGAGTTGCTTTGCTCCATGGCAAACCTTATGACCCCCTTTTTCTTTTTTCCTTCGTCTTCTTCTTTATTTGTGTCACTTAAGAGATTCGGTTCGCCCCTCTCCCCCCGAAGGCTTTTCTTCTTAATGGAGTCTGTAGCGTAGTATCGCGGAACAATATCCAAATCTCGGAATAGGGAAAGCAACTTGGAAGGATTTTGGTAGTTGGACAAGACAACGAGAAGTCTTCAACTAAAAGCAAAGGATATTGACGATGGAGAGGTTAAAGAAGAAGTGGACTGTGAGAGCGTCAGCTCAACGAGAAAAATTGGCAGACATGGTGATGATGAAAGGATGAGGCACGGGTCAGAACATGAAGTAAAAGCCCGAATGTTGACTAACGGCAGAGGATACTAGTAGTATTAAGAGCAGGAGAGGAGGGTATAGATCTGGTGGGGACAAGACAATGGGAAGAGAAGTCCGTAAGTAGGCCGGGCGGAGATACGGAGTTGCTTAATTAACGGGGGAAGGGTAAGTGAGTGGAGGAGGTAATTTTTACCTTGATACGAGTACCACCCATCAAGTTTCAACTACTTAGGTACAACCTAAGTACTGGGTACTACTGTCTCTTGTACGCTAAGAGAGGAAAGGAAAAGAAAAGATAAGAATTGAGTGGTATGGAGTACTACTACTAGTGAGGAACTTAACCAATTAAAGAAGGTCGATAATATTTGAAGCCCTGGAGGAGGTAAAAATGAACTAACTTTCTTCCGTTGGGATTGGACAGGAAGAAAAGAAGTCGGGAGAATACCGTATCAATGATTTTCTTTCCGATCCAACCATGGGTCCTTGATGGGGTCAAGAGAGCCAACTGGAAGGTTTCTCAGTTAGTGGCAGTACTAGTACTTAGTGTACTAGATAGATTTTCTGTTCTTTTTCTTTTGTCCGGTTTTCTTTTCTTTTTTTCATAATACTCTTATATGAGTATAGTATCTAACTCTCATAGATAGTTTCCACCCAGTATAAAATGGATGATATCTCCCACATCGAAATTGATTTCCATTCTAAAGGTTAGTTTCAAGAGTGCCCAGTTGTGTCGTAGGCTAGGATTGCAAAGGGTGATTTAGTCCAATGTCGTTTGCTTCAAGTGAGTATGCAGCTAATTACTAGTTCAACCACTCATTAGCCTGTATTAATGTTAGAAGTATTCCCTATCCAGTGAGGCATTCTACCGGCTGATCTTTGGAATTTGCCCTAACCAACCCTATTTACTTTTAAGACATTATGTTATTATCATTAATATATCATTCCGGTAATTATAATTATTACTTACTTCTATTGGAGTGGATAGTGCGTGTTCATACGGAGTATTTAAGAGCACCCACCTATATATTTATATGTCTTGCCCAATGCGGGGTCGGGGTTGTCAGAGGGGTCGTGACCAGAATATAAACGTGACATGACATGACATGAGCACTAATTGAACAAACAATAACATCTTCAACCAACAACTTCTACAACAACTATATGTTCTTCATGTACATTTCTAGAACCTTGTATACCGTTCCAACACCTGTTTTCCACCATGAGACCGCCCGTCCCGGACGTCACCTTGCGTAGGTCCCGCAAGGCCTCCATCGAACAGCAGTGGATCGATCCCCACAATACTAACCCAGCGACATACTTCCTGGCCCGCAGTCGTAATCAAGATGTGGAGGGGGAGCCCTCTCCCGATGAATCGGTTCCTTCAAGGGATAGTATGTATGGTGTACAAAGCCTCGAAGAAACTATCCAAGATGCCAATCTCGCCGCATCCGAGTGCGGACCTCTCCTTTCGAGCGACCCTACGACTCCGATCAGACAACCACAACTTCCCCGCGACCACCTGAGCAGCAGTGATACCGGTGCTACCTCGTTACCCCGCCGCAAGTCTACTCTCAAACCAAGCGACTTGCTCAATTCTAGCAGACTAGAGATATCTCTGCCTTCCTCCAATCGCACTTCTCCCCGGCCGTTGACGCCCTCGAACCTGAGCAACTCAGATGACGCACCTTCGTCTCTTCCCAGCAGCCCCAAGTCATTCTCCAACCAGTCTCTGAGACATCTCGACGATATCTCGATTACCGATGATGTTAGTAGCCAGGCTGTCGTCTCTGGGGAGGAGGACAATGAATTCCCAACACCGTCCAGCTTGGGTCCTAATAGCACATCTCAGTTGGTTATGCCAAGCATCAGAATGCCCAGTCGAAGACCCTTTACAGACCGGGGGAGGTCCCTGGGCCGTCTGAAAGTGCTTATCGCGGGTGCTTCCGGTAAGTACGCACCAAGCGTTTAGATTGGAGATTTATAATGAAGAGTATTTGCTGAGCTCGGAATCTGACTTAGATACTGGAAAAACTTCCCTCATCAAATCGATTGTCCAAGCCTGCGAAGATATTGTCCATGTCGACCCCTTTCCTTCACTACCCGCCTCGAAATCGTCTCACTCTTTATCCCAACCTTCCCAGACATGCAGGATTCCTCCAGTTCTCAAGGAAATCTACGCCAGCACCAAGCCATATCCCGCCTGGTGGTCTGACCTAGAAGATTCACGTGTTTTACGAAGAAGGAAAAGCGTCGGTGATGTAGTACTTGAGCGCAATATTTGTTTTGTAGACACTCAAGCCAATTTGCTGGACCCTGCAGCGCAGACTGACAGTATTGTACAATATATCCATCAGCAACTCCTCCGAGCAATGACGTCCCTTAATTCGTTCGACCATGATTTCCAAAATATGCTTGCGGGAAATGGTGGTACCCAAGTGGATGCTGTCCTATACCTTATCTCCGAGGGTATGCGATGAGACTCGCCTCATACACTGCTTCTAGGCTAACATCTTTTAAAGATACTCTCACGAATGATATGGAGTCTATCCGAAAGCTCTGCGACTGGACAAACGTTATTCCCGTCATTTCCAAATCAGATCTTTTGACGCCTATTCGAGTTGCAGCCCTCAAATCCGCGTTCCATAAGCAAGCCCAAGAGGCCAACATCAAGCCTTTCCTTTTCGGGGATGCAGCCCTGGGCGAGATCAGCGGGCTTAATTCTCAATGCCCTTTCGCCGTCTCATCGGCCAAGTCCGATGATGACGACGTTATGGATGCTAGTACCTTGATGAGCCCCGATTACCTCCAACCTTTGATAGCGTCCGAACTAACGTTCTTGGTCCAAACGTTATTTGATCGGGAAAACATCGCCTGGATACGACATTCTGCCGCTAAGAAGCTTGCCCTACAGCAACAAGAGGGACGATACTCGCAGCAGGCTGTTCTTCAACATGGCGCTCTTCCAAGTATCCACACTTTACAGGGTAGCTCCCGCAGTTACACTATGGCTCGAGTATCCGATTATACCCGGCATGAAGAAAGACTTGCTCGGGTTCAGCTAGCAAAGTGGGCGTCTGACCTACAGAAAAGTTTACAGAATGAACGAGAAAGATACGCCGCCATGGCAAGGGGGGAGCGTGCTGTGTGGCTTACGGAGCGACTGGGGGAGTGTGTCGTGGATGGTTCGTTGGTACCTATCGCACAGACTCCCGGCTTCTGCGGTCTCCGAGTGCCCATGGACAAAGCGGGTGGGGGTCTTCTAGTTCGAACACAATCTGGGCAGCAGATAGAATATCGTGTCGCACGGATAAGCCCCCATGATCCATTGGGTCTGGTTTGGTGGTCCGAGGATCTCAAGCGACGGGGATGGACCGTTATTCAAATCGTGGGTAGTTTTGGGGTCGTTGGAGGGCTGGCCCTCTGGTTTGCGAAGGCTTGGGGTTTATCCTCACGGAGTTTCTCTGAGTGGCGATTCGATTGGTATTGCACTGGCCAGTAGTAGGGAGAAGCGTCAACCGCAGTATCTGCACCGTAGTGATTCGGTGTTCAAGGATGTCTAGGGAAAGGAGAAGAGAGTTCCGGACTGGTTCAATCCACTTTTCCAGGTGGTCACCAAATAGCGTTGCTCATCGTGTTGTGCTTTGGCCACCCGAAAAGCCTCACGTCTGACGAAGATAAACAATTTATGGTCTCCATCCACTGGCAGCGAAAGGTTGGCCCTTGAAGTAAACCTACTGGTCTGTGGCTACAAACAACTGTTTAATATCTATTGGCTCTTCTGCACTCGATTATATTCTTCATTCGCATAGGTTATGGACAGTATGCGTGCTCAAGAAATTGTCCTAAGCCGTCCCAAGTCCGGCTTCTTTGGGGATGAAAAGGCGTCTCATCCGCATACTGCCAAGGGTTAAGTATCCTAAACGATCATCAGTAGTCGCCTGTTGCGTTGAAGTCCACAGATAGGGAGCAGAATCAGCTGCGCAGTTCGAAGTATTGGGTTGACCCGTTCTACAGATAGGTCAGGTGTGCAGTCCTATTCGTATGTTGCGAATGCAAGAGGAAAATACAAAAGGTTGAAGTGAGACAGTTCAATGCTTAGCTTTTGATTCGGCATGAAAATCTACCTGTCTGAAACCACTCGATATCCGGGGGAAGGCGAGCAAACGAAAAATCTGAATCAGACGTAATAATTTAACGTAGTATGGTAAGATGAAAGAAAACGCTCAAAACGCCGAAAAAATTAAAATTCACATCGTCACTAGTAACCATCTTTCTACCGTCCCAAATGAAAAAAAGCAGGATAAGCCAGTGATATAAGACAATCCTGATGCAAATACCGCTGGAACAGTTCAAGTATTGGTCAAAAAAGCAGTTAAGTTTCGTGTCAATTCCCGATGAAGATTGGGGCTAGAGGCATTTAGTCAACCTCCTCCATGGAGCTCTCGCCAGCGGCAGCGGCAGGAGCCTCCTCAGCGGCCTTCTCCTCGGAGGTTTCGGCCTCTTCATCGACATTCAAACCGAGAGACACAAGCTTGTGAATGCGCTCGGCAAAGCTGGCGGGCTCATCAATGGTGAAGCCTGAAACCAAGAGAGAGGTCTCAAATAGAAGTTGAGTGATGGACTTGACAGTACGGTCGCTCTCACCGTCGGCCTCGACCTTCTTCTTGAGCTCCTTGATGATAGCAGACTTAGGAGAGATCTCAAAGGTCTTCTTAGAGGACATATAGGAACTCATGGAGGTGTCACGAAGGGCCTGGGCCTTCATGATACGCTCCATGTTGGCGGACCAACCGAACTGGCCAGTACGAATGGCGCAAGGAGAACCCACGAGCTTGTGGGAGACAACCACTTTCTCAACCTTGTCTCCGAGGATGTTCTTGAGGCTCTTAGCGAGCCCTTCGAACTCCTTCTCCTCCTTCTCACGCTCAGCCTTCTCCTCCTCAGACTCCTCAAGTTCAAAGTCCTTGGTGATGTCGACAAGCTTCTTGCCATCGAACTCCTTGAGCTGAGTGAAAGCGTACTCGTCAATGGGGTCAACCAGGAACAGAACCTCAAAGTTCTTCTGCTTAAGGCTGTCAAGGAAGGGAGACTTGGCAACAGCCTTGATAGACTCGCCAGTGATGTAGTAGATCTGCTTCTGGTGCTCGGGCATGCGGGTGACGTAGTCAGCGAGGGAGGTGGCCTCATCACCGGACTTGGTGGACTGGTAACGGAGCAGCTTAGCAAGGGTCTGGCGGTTCTGAGCATCCTCGTGGATACCAAGCTTGATGTTCTTGTTGAAGGCAGAGTAGAACTTGTCGAACTGCTCGCGATCTTCGGCAATCTCGGTGAAGAGCTCGAGAGTCTTCTTGACAATGTTCTTCTTGATAACCTTCATAATCTTGTTCTGTTGCAAAGTCTCACGGGACAAGTTGAGAGGAAGGTCCTCAGAGTCTACAACACCCTTGATGAAGCTGAGCCACTCAGGGATAAGATCGGTGGCATCATCGGTGATGAAGACACGACGGACGTAGAGCTTGATGTTGTTCTTGGTCTTCTTAGTCTCAAAGAGGTCGAAGGGAGCACGCTTGGGGATGTAAAGGATGGCACGGAACTCGAGCTGACCCTCAACGGAGAAATGCTTGACAGCAAGGTGGTCCTCCCAGTCGTTGGAGAGCGACTTGTAGAAGGCAGCATATTCCTCCTGGGTGATATCAGCGGGGTTACGGGTCCAGATGGGCTTGGTCTTGTTCAGCTCCTCCTCCTCGATCTTGCTCTCCTTGACGGTCTTGGTCTTCTTTTCCTTCTTCTCTTCCTCCTCGTCCACCTCTTCAATCTTAGGCTTCTTCTCGTCCCCCTCCTCTTCCTTGGTCTCTTCCTCCTCCTCGGGAACCTCCTTCTCAGTTTCCTTCAGAACGTGGAGGTAGATGGGGTAGGAAATGAACTCGGAGTGCTTGCGGACAACCTCCTTGATGCGGCTCTCATTAAGGTAGTCAGTCTGTTCATCCTTCAAGTGAAGGATCATCTTGGTACCGCGGCCAAGGGGCTCGCCCTCGGTGTCCTGGGTGAGGGTGAAAGTGCCACCAGCGGCAGACTCCCAGACATACTGCTCATCATCATTGTGCTTGGAGATGACGGTGACACGGTCAGCGACCAGGTAGGCGGAGTAGAAACCAACACCGAACTGGCCAATCATAGAGATATCAGCGCCGGCGGAGAGAGCCTCCATGAACTGCTTGGTACCAGAGCGAGCGATGGTACCAAGGTTGTTAATCAAGTCCTAGACAAAGAATAAGGGTTAGAATGAGATCTTGGTAGGTCCGCCAGGGTTACCTTACAGCTTTGGTCATACCGATACCGGTATCTTGGATAGTCAGGGTCTTGGCCTCCTTGTTAGGGATGATGTCGATACGGAGATCCTTGCCCGAGTCGAGCTTGGAGGGATCCGACAGACTCTCATAACGGATCTTGTCCAGGGCATCGGAGGCGTTAGAGATAAGTTCACGTAGGAAGATCTCCTTGTTAGAGTAAACAGTGTTGATAATCAGAGAGAGAAGCTGAGAGATCTCAGCCTGGAACTCGAAGGTCTCGGACATGGCGACGGATGCGGATTATATTCTATGCCAGGGCAAAAGGAAAAAAAATTAGTTCTAGTCACCGAAATCTTGAGGGTGATGCAATTTCAGCACTGCCATTGAGGACACAAATGTATCGCCCAGTGAGGATCGGAACGTCTTTTAAGACTTGGCTTTCAAGTGGATGTCAGACACTTACAAGGCAAACGTTAAGATCGTTAAATCAAAGGGAAGGGAGGGAGAAAAGGTTGACCAAAGATGATGGGAGAATTAAATCAAAAGACCGGCTCCGACAATGGAAGCAGACTCGGGGGTTTAAAGTAGTTGAGGATGGAAAGTAAGAATGGAGAAAGAATGAAGAAGAAGAAAAGCTAGGAAAGGGACGAGGCGGAGAACTTAATGTTTGGCTGAGGAACACAAAAATTCGGTGCGGGCGTTTCTACGGCGATCCAGCAACTTCCACGCTCTCTCCGCCCTGTCTTGACGGGGATCTTCCAGTCTCTTCTATAGCAGTATGATTCACTACGGAAAAGAATCGAAATAAAAATTTTGATCGGAGAAGTTGGATTGATTCCATGGTTCCTTTTCTTTCTGCCCCCCTTTTCTTTTTCCTCCCTTTTCTTATGTTTTAATTTTTTAAGGGCTCAATATTTCTCAATCTGTTCATGCAATTTTTGCCCCTCCCCCTCCAAAGATCTCTGTCCGTGTGTCTGTGCAACTGCCTCAGGCCATCAATCTAGAACGTTCCGCTCCACCATCTCATTCACCATCCGGCGGGATGGGATTTTCCACACGATACTGGACACTACCAGTATGTATGCGTGTATCTACATGCACCGGACATCCATCCTTCTCCTCTATCTCTCTCTCACTCTATAATATGTATGTATTTAGTGCTCCGCAATCCTTAGGATTTACGTAGTTTGATTCACTCAAATCTTCTACAGAAATACTCTCTGCATAACTACATTTCTAGATACTATATAAGCAACGTTAGAATTCACAACTACGTACAGACAGGCCGTCTTTCCCCGCGCAAGTATACGTCCCTCACTACCTACCTATCAGTCAATATCTTCCTCCTACTCTTTTCCTCCCCTTACCTTCCCTATCCCATGTCTCTTGCCGTGGGACGTTGTCATCCCGATGGTTTATCCAACCAACGCATGCGTACGAGAACCGTAATGAATTAAAGTCTTCAAACTGACGGTCTTGTCCGACTTGACAGTTCATAATTAAGGTAGGACAAACGAGCAGGCACCCTTATTTTAGGAAAGATATTCACTCCTTCATCCCCATCCTGGTGGTGGATCTCCACTGGAAAAACACAAGCACATAAAACAGGTATATCAAAGTTTGAGTACAAGAATAGACACAGCAAAAAAGAAGAAAAACAAGGGGAAGAAGGCCGCCATCCATTTTACAGTCTTGAAGAAGATCAAGGAGAGCAAAGCAAGCCAGGAAGAAGAGGAGTATAACGTAAAGAAGTTAGATTGTGACAACCGTAAACAAAATAGAAATAAGACCCAGAGAACAATACGGGCGTCCAGCTCGCTATGCTAGAAGCAACAAATAGTTAAATAGGTCATGACAACATATTCATAGAAACAAAACGTCATGAAGCACCGACCAAAGAGGAAAAACCCAGTTGAGGAAATATGAGAAAACAACTTTTCCAACCGCTAATATGCAGTGTGACAGACAAATGGGTCACATAACACATGTCATTATCAGTAAGAGGGAGTAATACATGCCCTGAGTCACCATAAGCATCTGAAACTGAATGCTGTTGCGAGCCAGGATGAAGGACTAAGAATTGTATGACCAACAAACAAAAGCAAAGGGGAGGAAATAGTGAATGAGAGAAGGCAGAAAAAAGTCTTCATGTAGTCAGTAGATAATCTTCATTTCCACTCTGTTGTTAGGGTTTCCGTTCTTTTTTTCTTTCCCTTTCCAGTCCTGTGAAGGGAGAAGAATGGATCCACTTTAGGCAGCCTGGGCCTGGTTGCGGGCTTTGGCATTGACATTGCCGCCACGGCCACGGGGAGCAAAGCCTCCACGACCCTCACGCTGGAAACCACCACGGCCCTGGCTGCCGGCACGGTCGCCACGACCACGGCCAGAGCCACCGCGACCAGCGCCGTAGTTAGGATTTCCACCGTAGGCGTTGGTACGCGAGCGACGCTCCTCTACAGAAATTTGCTCGGTTCCGATCTGGTGTGGGTTGGCCGCAACAGCCGCAGCGTAGCCAGTAGGGTCAGCAAACTCAACGAAGGCGCAGTTCTGATGCGGGTTAGTTGCCTCATTTCTAATCAGCGGAGGATTCGCGGCGAAACGTACCTTCTGACGGCTCACATCGAAATGCTTGAGCTTTCCAAAGCGGGAGAGAGTTTGCTTGAGCAAGTTTGCATCGACCTTATCGGTAACATTCTTGATGTAACCCAATACGTTCTGGTCATCACCCGCACGAGATTGGGTCTTCTTATGGTCATGACCGGCAGTCTGCCAGCCAGATCCATCGTTGGAAGCAGGTTGGCTAGGTGTGCTTTCAGCAGCAGGAGTAGGAGTGGTAGCCACAGCAGCAGGAGCCGGGGCCGACTGAGCAGTGTTGGTAGTAGGAGCGGGTTTAGCCGGAGCAGCGGCAATAGCAGGCACAACAGGGGCAGTAGCACCGGATTTGGAGGCGATGTTGGCCCAGGTCTTCGGTACAGCCTTAGCGGGTACAGCCGGCTCTTTGACAGGGCCGGCGGCCTCTTTCTGTGCCGTCGGGGCAGGTGTAGGCTCCGGAGTCGGGGGTTTTTCGGTCTTCGAAGCTTCAGATTCAGTCGAGGCAGCAACTTCCTGAACATCTTCGCTGCTCTGGGCTTCGGTTCCATTGGCTTGAGGTGCAGGTTCCTGTGGCTGCTGCTCTTCTTCACCATTTCCTTCCGCTTGTTCAAGCTTCTCGCCCACTTTAACAGTTTCGGCTTCGTTGAGTACTGGAGACTCCGCAGCCGGGGTATTTTCAGTCACAGGCCGTGCAGGTTCTTCGGCAGCAGGCTCCTCGATAGGCTGCTCAGCAGACTCCTCGGAAGGCTGGACAGGCTCGGCAGGCGCAGCGGGAGTAGTCTCTTCATTCACTATCTCCTCCTCATCAACCAAGTATCTGAAGATATCATTGAGAACATAGTATCCATTGGGTTGTTCGGCGAGAACAAAGGTCTGGATGAACTTGCGAGATGGCTCGGACTTGTTAGAGATCTCACCAATGACAGAGATCAGGATATTGTCGAACGAGGCCTGAGAATCGACGTTCAAAACACGGACCTTGCAGTCTTGAAAGTCAAGCTGCTTAATCTTTTCATTGATAGCCTTGGTGGGAGGGAAATCGTTAGCTATGGAGCTCAATGGAGGGAAAGGGCGTGAACTCACCTTTTGACCCACAGCAACGGGAACCGACTCTGCCTCAGTTCCGAAGACAAGTTGCGAGCGCCGAGAGTAAAACAGATGCAACTTGTCCGGACTACGGCTCATATTGGTATAGTATTGTTCGACGAAATACCAACCAACCTCGTCTTTCGAGATCACATTCTTCTGCTCATTAGAAGGGGCATTGGTGGGAGTAGTAGATGGCGCTGGCTGGAAATTCGAGGCATTGTTGGCAACAGCATGAGCATGGTTGTAAGAGTCATGATAGGCGTGGGGCACAGGGTAGTTGCCGTTGATAGGAGCTTGAGTATCGGCCATTGTGCGATCAATGAAGGAACAAAAGGATCTAAGGTGTCGTAATAAAGCCGAAAATAAAGGTCGATGAACAATGAGCCTCTATATGATTAGGAGTAGAGGCCAAGAAATCTAATAACGTTTCCTCGTTCGCTTGACTATCTCTCATGTCTGTTAGGTACTTGGATGACCAAGTGTACAGCTAGGGAGATCACTACTCACAATGCAAGAGAAACAGGAGGACCTCAAAAGATGCAATAGGATGGGATCAAGGGGAAAAAATCTGCGTTAAAAGCGTTTGCGTCGTAGTGGTGCGCGAGGGAATACAGAGAAAGATTCTTGTGCGATTTCCAATCGGGCAAATTTGCGGACGGCCCGAGGGGAGGAAAAGACGGGGAAAAGAGGGAGGAACAAGGAACTGAATAGATTGAAGATTAATGGGGAGAAGATGGCTAACAGGAAAAATCTGATGAATAGGTGGATAGTACAAAGGAAGATGAGGTCAAGAGGTAGTTAAGTAGGTAGCTAGTAGGTAACAGCCGGAAAGGACGAAGAGGAAGAGGGAGAAGAGAAAGTAGACTTAGCTGGTTTGCAAAATGACCTTGGACTTGTTGCTCAGTGCGGCGCCTCTTAGCGCCCATTGCTTTCGCTTTACCGCCTGCCTAACCGGTGGGTGGATCTCATTTACATCACCCATCACCAAAAGCCAACGAGATTACATTCACATTAAAGTCTATTGACATTTGGAAGGGAAGTAGTACTAGATACACTGAGCCATCAGGGATTAAAGCACAATTGGATGTAAGAACCATAACATCGGAAAACAGATATCCGGCACGGAAGAGGGGTATGATGGGCATGAGAGGCCAAGCTTCTCATCAAAGAATACGTATAGCAGGTACAGAACTCATTCACAAGATTCACCATAGAAGGCCGCAAAACATGCAATATGTGTAACCAAAAAGAAAAGAAAAAGAATCTCTCCAGGAAAAACAGCTGCTCAAGAGTACATTAGAGAGCAGACATAGATATCAATCCAAGGCGTTGTACGAGACTTGCCGCTAAGAACTTGTAGGCTCAGCGGCTTTCTCGCTCAGCACTGGCTTGCGCATGACAGCATCCTGACTAGTCATTCTCCGGTCAAGCGCACGTTCCACCTTTGCACTCAGGGCCAGCTTGCTCAAGTTGTCACTTTTTTCAGGGGTAGGGACGAAGCGTTGCTTCTGGAGAGGCTTGTTCTCGAGGCGCTCCAGGCCGTCGCGAAGGTGATGGAACTCGGCCAAACGAGGATCGCCGCTCGGTAGGCTTCCAATAGTGCCTGAAGAAGCAATTGAAGGGCTCCCGCTTACAGTTGAAAACCTTTTCGACGCTCGGTTCTACCCAAGGTCAGAGAATGCTGGTCCGCCAAAGATAAACGACATGCGATAAACCTACAGATGGGGCCATGATCGGTCTCTCGGAGTCAAGTGATTGATGTCTAGCCATAATAGCCTCGGTAACGCGATAATGCCCTCGTAAGTGAACTGCCAACAGCAGTGGGAGAATACGGTGGTTAGTGGCGGCGGAGAATCGAAAGTGGGTAGATGAGCACTAAACGGCCCAGGTAGCAACAGCCGAAGTTAGTACATTACAGGTTTAGATGTATGTATATTTCTTAGATTGAAGGCGAAAAGAATAAATAGAACGAAAGATTACTAGAAAAGCCAAGGGGGTGGATGATAGTAAGCGGGAATTATTTAGTGTGCAAGATAGTATGGGGAAAAGGCAAATCCGACAAGAGTTGAACATACCTGAAAATCTAGAGTCTGAGTCTCGCCCCTGATATGATGTATCGCGAGGTGTTCTAGTTAATGAGAGGGGATCTGGGGAAATAACAAGATGAAAAATATGAGGGGAGGCGGGAGAGAGAGAAGGCTTGTCGCTGAGCTAAGGGAGACTCGTACGTCGACCAAGTGACATGCAGGAGAGGATTCAGGAGAGCCGAAGGGACGGATGACAATGTGGGTCATTACTTACTACTTCAAGAGGATTAAACTTGGCCACGCAGAAATCGTTGGCCGTTGGCCGGTTTCGCTTTTTTTCCTCTCTTTTTCTTATTTTTCCCCCCATAATATTTCTTTCTTCTTACTTTATCCTAATAATAGTTGAAACAAAGCGGAGAATTACGAACATATAGCTCGATTAGGGCTTCGATGAATTTGAACCAACGACATATTGAGAGAGGGAACGACGGTTCAATATATTATGTACACACTCTGTACTATAGAACATACGAAGTATTCTCGACCGTATCTTAAATCGTTGGTACCCCCCTAAAAGGTATGTAGGTTGACTTTCAATGGAAAATAGGTGATCCTTAATGGCTACGGTGAAAATCCCGGTTTTGGGCTTGAAGAAGTGTTACCTCAGCTAAGCCAAAAGAAAAAGAAAAAATATAGTACAAGAATAAGCAGAAAATTTGTAAGAAAGGGGAAAAAATAAGAATAAAAATAAATAAACAATGCACACAAAAGGGAGGCATGAACCTACAGAGTACGGAGTATGTATCAGGCCATGATTCTTCGGCTGACTAAGCCCGACACGCTTGTTTTTGCGGTTTTTGCTTTTTTCCTAATCTTCTCTTTTTTACCCCTTCCTTTCTTATTTGTTTTGACTTAGTTTGGCAAACATATACAACAAAGCTTCTACTTGATATATTCATTGATTAGTCTCTACCCATATATTCACATTAGTAGACTGTGTCGGTCACGGTATAGTCCTCCAGGCATAAATATAGCTATACCTGGATCATTGATTAGACTGCCACGTGCAGCCCTTGGCAGCCACGCGGGTCGATCCTCTGTTCCACCAGTGTTCGCTTGATGTATGTATTCAATAGTTGCCATTTTATTTCTCGACAGGTCGGGCACCACATCTTAGACTATTGGTAACTAGTCCGCCCGGTACTGAATCCAGTTACTGTTCTGTACTTCGCCGAGAACTAGAAGACGCGAGGGTATTAGTATGTTCATATGTATTAGTCGTAGGAGTGGGTAGAGAAGAATTATTATTTTCCGAGTTCTCTTTCTCTGTATACCGAGTACACTGTCCACCGATTTAACCTGTAACTATGAGGGGACGCGATCCAATAGTCTCAACCTAAGATAACGACTAAATTCAATTTTATCTGGTCCTAGCGTCACCAATGATCCCGCCATGACTTCATGCGGATACATATGTCCAAAGAATCTAAGCGGTGTAGAAAGCGGTCTTTGGCTATTTCGCCAACCTCCAAAAAAAATTACATACATACATATATACTCCATATGTGTATATTTATACTATCTATAACACACAACACCATGTCATGCTTGATTTAACCCACACCAGGAATTTCTATACCCTTGGAAACGTGACAGTTCATTTTTCACTTCAATAACATCATTCCAAGATCCGTACCCACACAGTTATCTAAACCTAGTCGTGGAGAGAATTTCAATATACAATGCCGAAGCCAAAGTCTCTTCTGAAGGAAATCAAGGCCAAGAACAAGAAGGCGTCACAGCAGGTACGGTGCTCACAATGATTCGCCTTGGCATATGCGTTTGCTCATCTTTGACAGGTACCAGAGACTGCAGATGAATTCTTGGCTGGTGAGTCGTTCAGGACACCGAGCTGTGCATTAGTATCTTCTACATTGATACATGCTGTTTTATTTGGAATCCACGGCCGTAACTAATAATATGCAGCTGGCGTCGAACAGGAAGAGGCAGGCGAAAAATGGCGAGCTGGAGATGCAGCCAAGTCCATGCGCTTTTTTATGCGCGCGATTGCAACTTATGATGACGGTCTAAAAAAGCACCCTGATGCTTTTGATCTAGCTTACAACAAGTATGTAGACGGAAACCTCTACCGTGATAGCCAGAAGCGCAATGGGACAGGTTGATTGCAATTAGTGACACTAGCTTACCACCAAGCAGAGCAAGAGTTCAGTATGAAATCACCCAGCACCCCAAACTAGCTGCGCTGCTGCCGGCTCCACTGGCAGATATCTTAAGCATAACACTGCAGTCTCATCGTGAGGCCCTTGATCTGGGTCAAGACAATGCGGATGCTTTGTTCAATACTGCTCAAGTGCTCACAAGCCTCGCTGAGGTAGTCACGGATACTAAACATCCGTCGGACAGACAGCTTAGCCGAGCAGTCAAATACCTGCAGGAGGCAATAGAGCTCTTCCAACGTTGTTTCATTATTCAAGAGATGCGATATACCGAAACGCAGGAACAGTTTAAGTTGATGGAGTCTGGGGTTGTCGCTCCACCCGAGGAAGAAATGCAGGAAGAGCGAAACATGCAGGAACGCATAGATGACGCCGGCGAATTGAAGCCTTCTGATCGACAAGAGCAATGGGCCGCGGTGATTGAGCCTGTGACGAAGGATACCCTCGTTGACACAGCTGTGGCACAATTGGAGACGCTCGCAACCCTTTGCAACATGCTCACCTTCAATCCTGGAGTTGGACTCGGCTGGGTAGAAGAATCCTCCGCAGACTTGCTCCAAGAGAAGATCACTGCATATGTTGAGGACTCGAGTAGACACCACGAGGCATCTTTAGCTCGTGCTAAATTCACCTGCGCCTTGAACGAAGTGTTATACCGAAGCGAGCGAATCGATGTTGAAACGTACCAAACAGAAATTGCACGTGTCTTTGATTCCGATTTAGATCTCTCTGCGGACCCCGAAGGTCTTTGTAGCAAAGCAGATGCGCTCACATCGTTCAACACAGCTCTTACAGATTTACCTCCCTCACACGACCATGAGGTGTTCACAAAGTCGCTAGCGTTGCGATGGCAATCGCTATCGGCTGCTCTAGATGCTCTGACGAAGGCTTCCAGGCTTCCAGATGCAGGCAACCTACCCAAAATTCATATCGCACGAGGAGATGTAGAAATGAACAGATGGAGGCTCGGCATGTCTCCGTGGAATTACACCATGGCCCAACAGAATGCTACCGTCCTCCTTCGGAACGCTCAAACATACTACCGAGGTGCAGCAGCTTTCGCAAGGAGAGATGGGAATACAGACGAAGAACGTGACGGCACATGTAAAGAAGCCCTGGTTGCCGCTTTGGAAGGTCAGAAAGACAAACTGCGACAGCTCAAAGCTACTGCGCTCAAGGAGCTTATGATCGTTGCAGAAGACGTGGTGGACGACGGATGGGTAAGCCCCGGGGATATGGAAGTATTATTATCGTAAAAATACCCCACTCATCGAATCAGCGAGCTGTTTTCTTTCGTGCATGATGACGCTTCGCGTGCCGTAGATAAACTGCCAATCATATATCCGATCTAGCTTTGACTTCTTCTTCCATCTGTATGGCCTCCTCGCGAAGATTGTTCCCCGTACTAAACTGTGTAACAGCAGTCGCCGCGCCCTCTAGATCCGCAACCACAGAGTCAAGTTTCGCCAGCAGACCTTCAATCTCTAGTCTCTGAGACTGAATCTGCTGAGACAGCGCGTCATTTTCATTCTGGCTAGACTCGATTTTCGCATTCAAAGCCGTCTGAGCACCTTGCAAATGCGGGGCGAGACGTGCGCGATACAATTCATCCGGTGTCAATGTGTGGGGTCTAAGAACAAACAAAGGGCATTAAAAAGTTAGCTCCATCAAAATGTTCAAGGTGCACCAAGAGAAGGGTAGCCATACGCAACATCACCCTGTCCCTGTCCATGATCCCGCCTATGTCTCGCCTCCCCCATCAACCTATCCAACTCATTTAGCTGTCTAATGGCATCTCTTTCAAGGATGATATCTTCGAATTCAGCCCTTGCGCTCTCCTCTAACTTCGCATTCAGCTGTCTCCAAACAGACTCCAGACTGGCCGGAACATGTTTTGCAGGGGTGGGAAAGCACTCGGAGAAGTTGGCATAAGAATTTGCCCGAAGGGTACGTAACAGCGCCTGGTTGAAAGTCTTCTGCAATACGGTTGCGCGCGGTCCGGGTGTTAGGGGGACTGGCGCTGGAGGGGGTGGAGAGGGTGAGGCTGCTTGTCTAGAAGAATTGGAATTGTTGTTGCTTCCTTCTGTCATACTTGCTCCATATATTGGGCCTGTTTCCATATTCATTCCTTTTTAAATATTATTATATCTTCTGGCGGGTGAATGGATCGACGAGACCGTTGTGTTGGTATGATTCATTGAGTTCCGGTAGGCAAATGTACAAAGGAACGCGTCGGTCACATGATAAATTGGTAGATCTGCAGTGGGTCCGCGAGATTAAAGATTATCGGCCATTTGTGGCCCCCACTCCTCTCTCGCCTTTACGATAATGTCATTGAACATACCAGGCATGATTGACTCTGCTTCTCTCTGAGTATTGGATAGTTTGTCCACCATTGGGCTCTCGATACCTATATACATAGACACAATACTTTACACTCAAGTCATAACCCATGTATCATTCATCTGTCTCATGTCGCTCATACGCATTCGGTCCGTGCTATTCGTATATAGCCATTCACACTGCCGACTCAGATATCGTCGGAATTAGCGAGTCAAATGACGAACACTGTCGTCGGAGCTATGAGTCTGTGTGAAATGCCTTTCAAATCCATCCCGATTTCCGTACCTAGGGTTTCTCGCTAGACCCTCTCCCCTAAAATTCCGATAAATTGTCTTGAAAGCCGGCCATGAGATGGACGTGTAGATAATACTGTTCCAGAAACCCTGTAGCGGAAGAACAAAGCTCGATACATAGTTGAGAGCAAAGTTAGGCGTATGGGGATATGCAAGGGCATATGCCCGGTTAATCGTTGAGGGGACCTGTGAGTCGTTAATTATAGAGTTCCATAGGGGACCTCTGCAGTGATCACTAACCCAAGTGACGATTAAAGCGACGAAGAAGAGCATCGCATACTTAGTATAAGCCCAAGCTGCCGTACCCGTGTCAGACATTGCGCGACGCCGAGACCATGACTCTGAATGGGAATGTTTCAGTGCCTTTAACGGGACCATAAAACCGCCTTCAATGGTGACAGAGTACGGGTTGTAAAATGGGGATACGGGATTACAGGGCTCCTCCACTGTTGGGTAGTTTCCTTGTTGGGAGCGTGTTATTTCACTTGTCACGCGAATCTCCGTTGTCGCCCTGGTGTAAGGACGTTCGGGGTTGCGCATCTGGAAACTCTCAAAATGTTCTGCGGTCTGTTCGCCTTCACATGTGGGATTAGAATCGGCCGAGTCAAGGTTGTCAAGCTGCTGAAGTTGGCGTCGCCTTTCCCAGATGATACGGCCGGTGCGAATATAGATGGCCAGTGTCAAGATAATAAAAAACCAAACCGGACCGTAGAAAACAGCAAGACGCAGCCAGTCCCAAGTTTGTGAAACCCAGCACCAAAGCTATAGCTATAGGTGAGGACTTGTCTCAGATCAACACAATCGATCACTTACCACTGCATAACCGTAGACTTTGCCCCGGGCCTTGGTCTTGATGAAAAAGTACGCCACAGCGGGGACGAAAGGTAGTCCGTAGCAGAAGAGCAAATATTTCCACTCTAGTCGTCGCAGTTGTTCTGAATTGTATTTGTAGAAGAACGTTAGGTACACATTACAAGCCATGGCAAAAGTCCATAGCGCATCGGCGGGCATGAACCTATTCAGCATCATTAGCTCGGGACATGGATTATAATGTTAATCGGGCCAACCATTGGATCAAAAAGGCCTGAAACTGACACAGGGGACTGTTAAGCCCCATATGAATGCCTGACTGGGAAATGACGGTCGCAATGTTGGTCATCAGGTTACCCCAGGAAGCATAGAATACCAGACGGTTGATGGGTTTGCGAAAGGCATTAGAACCGAGGAACGAGATGACAATGATAGTGGTCCCGGTCAGAGATATAGCCGAACACACCCGTTCGGTTGCTGAGATGGCGTAGAGTTGTTGTTCCGACAGAGACATTGTGTAAAGACCATGCTGAATCAAGAATCAAACAAATCGGGGTATAAATGGGTATCATGCACCAAAAAGTCACGGCGTGATTATAGCTATCCATCCGAAAAGCACGTCCAACTGATATATGTATCGGATATAGAAGGAAAAAAGGAGAAGGGGAAAAAGAAAATAATAATCAAACTAGAAGTGGAAGCTCTGAAGGGGGGCTAGCATGCCCAAGAAGGAAGCCAGAGACCTGACGTGTACTAGTATATGAATAAAATATATTTCCCCACGGGGCACAGTTCTCTTTTAAACCCGTCCATGCGACCATGCGAATGACGACACCAGGTCAAAACGTTGATCAAAACTATGGATAGAGAAACGAGACAAAGGATGGGCCCTCCTCGAGTCGGTAGATGCACCGAAATCGTTCTCTCGCCTCCGCATGGGTCTATACATCTTGTGCGCTCATTTGCGGAGGTTGGGAGGGAAATGAAGGGATCCTTGGGTCGTGAAAGTTTGGATCAAGAAAGGAAGACCGCAGTTATTCTGAATGGAGGAAAGACAAAAATGTAAAAGAATATTTTCAACCTAGGATTCTTCTGTCGAATGGATTTAAAAGTGAGTGTGTGAGAGTGAGAGAGAATAAATCTTTCATAAAATACCGAAGTAAAAAATATATATATATATGCTTTGGAGATCTGAGAGTTAAGTCACACGGGTGTAAGGCTGGCAACAATTGTAAATCTACGGAGATTGATCCCCCCATTTGGTGAAACATTAAATGATTAGATCTATACAACATATATACCAACTCCGTAGGAGAATAATCCATTGGATCTCGCGTAGTGAGGAACCCTAACTGGGAACAGACATGTATACAGTACTTTATAGTGCTAGGTCGTCGATAGGTCCGTATTTCGGTCTTCATATCAGACAATGATTAGACACATTATTCCATACTATTGTTACTTACTAGGGTCAATACATACACTCAATAGGCTAACAATAGTGTATGGCTCTTCGCTACAAGCCGGTGACACCCCGAAATATGAACATGGCTATCTAGGTTAGTGTAGGAATGGTATTTATAGAGAAGGGATCATCCAACCATCATGTATCAGACTCAGAACGAATTAACCAAGTCTATCAGGGGAAGATACAAAGGAAAAGGTACAAGTAAATGAACGCCACCAAATCCGTGCGATGCACATGAAACAATGAACAGCCGCCATGCTTAGGATGGGACTGAGGCTTTTGGTGCAACAAGTAGTGGGCGTATGACCCGCGGATGCCTCAAGAACAAAGGGAGGAACATTAAAGATGGCCTACCCTGCTGAAAATTTACTCTGCTCGGCTGCTCCTAGGTTTGCCCAACAGATGATTATCCTTTAGAGAAAAGAGAAGGTACAAAACAAACAAAGGGAGAGAAGGGAGGGGAACAAGGAGGGAGAGAGAGGTAGAGAGAGAAGTGGGGAGGGGAAAATGTAAAAAGAACCTACATAATATACCGCCCATAAGAAGTCCTATCGCTCGCTTCCCAAGTCTTTCTTAACCGAACAGCTAATCCCTCATTCAATGGCCCCCATCTTCCGTCCTAAGGAGCGGTGGGTTGGGGTATATGAGTTGCCAAGATCACCATCACCGCTACTATTCTTATGTCTATTCCGCAGTGGGCATGTGGCTCTCGATATATAAGAAAGTGCTAGTATAATATTCTATTCGAACTATGAAGATGTAGATCACTGTTGCGTGGCCAGGCAACTAACTGTACAGCCCGGATAAACAAGCCAAGGTGCTTCAGAACACAAGAAGAGAGTAAGTATTTAGTGCGAATTTTGTTCTCGGGTATAACGCCAGGCTCCCTCTCAAATCTAAAACCAGTCCCATCATCTCGTCATTCCTGTCAACTAGCGAAAGAAAAAGATGAAAGATAAAGTAAGTTCCTCGGTTGACTAATATGCCTGTTGGGAAGCAACCATCCCTCCGTATCCAGCCATTTGCTGCTGCTGCTGCCGTAGCTGCGCCTGCATTTGAGGCAGATCATGGAACCATGGATGCTGCAGTGCGTCATGTGCACTGATCCGCATCTCTGGTCGTAGTTGAAGCATCCTGTTCAGCAAATCAAGACCCAGGGGGTCGATTTGGGGCAAGATGAGGCCTAGGTCCTGTGTCGCATAAACGTGGAAATTCGGCTTATATTCCGGCAGCTGAGAGATGCCCGGCCACGAGCGTTCCGAAGGCGTTCCCATGAGACGGAAGATCTTCTGCAATTGGTCCTCGTTGGTGGTTCCCGGGAACAGTGGACGGCCAGTATACAGCTCTGCCATGATACAGCCAGCAGACCAAATGTCAATGCTCGTATTGTATGTCCTGCTGCCGAGAAGGACGTCCGGGGCGCGGTACCATAGGGTCACGACCTCATTGGAAAACGTGTTGACGGGGATACCAAAAGCCCGGGCGAGACCGAAATCTCCCAGCTTGAGTTGTCCCTTTTTGTTGATCAAGAGATTCTGAGGCTTCAGGTCACGGTGGAGTACTCGATTCTCATGACAGAATGCAATACCCTTGAGGAGCTGATGCATGAATGACTTGATTGTCGCCTGGTCCAATTGTCCCCGTTCGCCCCGGGTGTCCATATACTTCTTCAAATCCTTGTCCATGTACTCAAAAACAAGCATCAGTTTGTTCTCAGTGTGAATGACATCGTAAAGCGAGACAATACTCTCATGTTTGAGCTCCTTCATCAATGAGATCTCGCGAATGGCCGTCGATGGTGTTCCCTCCTCGGAATCGAGATGAATTTCCTTCAAAGCCACTAGCTCGCCGGTTTGGCGATTCCGGCCCTTGAATACCTGCGGCCGTCTGTGTGAGCAAAAAGAGCACAAGAATCGATACCGGGCTTGCTGGGAGGAAGGGGGAAAACAGATCAGTGGGGTAAACCGGGGGTTCAACGTACAGTGGCATAAGTGCCTTCTCCAAGCTAGAGGCAGATTAGTCACACGGGTCCCTTCAATTACTGGGTCGATGAGAAATGAAAGTGTAGTGCGCACCTTTTCTAGCTGTTGAAAAGAGCTGGGCTGCTGCGCTTTATCCATTGTCGGCGAAAGGGCCGGGTCCCTATGGGAAGTTGGGGATTTTGGTGGCGGATGTTTTGAGCGTTGATGGTTGAAAAGAAAGGATTTCGGAGAAACAACAGTAGATATAATGTCCAGATACGTAGATGTGGGGTGTCGCAAATGAGGATTCCTCTGGGTTCTTAAGTGATTGTCCATGTCCGTGCCGAATTGATCCCTTGTTCCAATGGAGCCTTGTTTTTGAGCCCCGCGGCGGATAACCATAGGTGCAGAGATGCTGCAAACCGTTTACCATACCGTACGGAACCACCATTATTACTGTAACAACTAGGTAGCGGTAGGTACCGGCGGCAATATCTATATATGTACATACTGTATGTACATATACAGTACATCGACATACTGTACAGTGCATGCATATTACCAGGTACTGTTCCTGCTTTTCTTATCTTCTAGAGATAAATTCCTGTTGGACAAGATTTACAGCTTTGAACGGGACTTATTTGCAGGTGAAACAGTACAATAGGTATCTGCCCCCGGCCACAACTCGACCTGTTTTATACAATTGCCAAATCTATATATAAATAAAAGAATAAAATACCCGGTATACAGTTGAACAGAACCTCTATGTGTGTGTAAGAGAAGGAAGTTGTGCGGCAACAGGGGGTAAAATCAAGTCAGAGTTGAGACTGCAGCGAATATGAGGGCTGTCCTGTTCAATCCTCCCAAAAAGGATTGACTCGTTTCTAACACCTCCAATATTGATTATGCCTATCGGCATGCCCCTTTTGTGAGCTCGTTCTACCAACCTCCAAGCTGAGAAAGTGGCCAGGCTGCTCCCAAGGATTAGTAGCCTTCCAGCATCGTCAATCGCCTCTTCTGCCACCGTTTTTACCGCTGGACGAATGTTTTCTCCAAACATAATGACTGCCGGTTTGAGAACTCCGGCAGTAGAAGATGGTGACCACGCCCCATCCATTTCTACCTCTACTCTGCCGGATGTGCCATCTCGGAGGCGGGGAGGTCTCTCTAGGCATGTAGGACAAGGCGGATACCTAAATGCAGAATAAGGCGCCTCAGCTAAATCCACGTCGCCATCCGGGTTAAGCTTGAGACCTCTCCGCCGCTGTTCCTCAGGATTATCAGTGTTAAGAGCCCCCGTGTCGACCATCTTTGCTAGAAATTCTGCCCAGGCAGGATTGAGTCTTTCGAGAGACTTTTGAAATTCGTCTCGAGGAAATTGATTGTGACAGCTGGTGCAGATGACAGACCTCAGGTAGCCATGAAGTTCGATGGTTGGTAGCCTTGGGTGGGCTACTGGGTGGAAAGAGTCGACATTCTGTGTCACTACGGAGCTGATGTACCCCTTCGCGCCGAGATCCTTGATAGCCCAATGCGTCGAGTTCGGCTTAGCTTTCAGGAGACCAGGCCAGCCGACAAAACTCCTAGCCCAGTATCTCTTGCGAAACTCATGCCGAGTCAAGAACTCATGAAAATAGACTGGTCGATATGTTTTATTTGTGACGTAGGTACCATTCTCCCCTCGATAATCAGACAGGCCAGACGCCACCGAGATCCCCGCACCAGTCAAGAGAACGGTTTGAGAATATCTTCCAACATCAACACCACGAAGGTAGGGGGATGGAGGGGCGGTTAAGAAGGACAACAGGGCATCAATCGCTCCTGAAACAAACCGAGCCGATGGCGGTACAATTACTGGTGGAGGCAAAGGGCCAGTGAAAGGGATTCTGATTGAGGGAGTCGTCATTGAAGACGCATAACTGGCCGGAGAAAATGGGGAGAGAGAAAATGTGCTTGACGAAGTTTAGTAGGTACTGCCTAGAGAAGTGGTCAGTACGTTGATTATAGTTATATCGCACATGCTATATGCTATGGAACTTAAATATGTAATTTAGTTTGGTTTGGTCGTGGTCAATAGTTAACTAATGCCGTCATTGACCGCTGACTCATCAAGTATCACATGATATGACCTTCAACCTTGGAATGAGAGTATTCAAACAGCTGAGCTACTTTCCTCACTACTACTACTAGCTACTATTACTTCTTCTGCTGTATGAAGGTGGTCTGTGCGATCGAGACTACCCCGGATTTGTGACCACGTGATCGCCGAACAGAGTCCTCAAGCGTCATCGAGTCATTTGGGATAGGGTCTACATGATTCAAGATTGCTCATTCTTTAATCTATCTCAATTACCTAGGACTGTGTCATCGGATTGGGGTGGCTCGGCCCAATTCGTCATAATATGTTTCAACCTCCAGTCGGTAATATAGATTTAGATGCCCTCAGCGGTATTTGTGGGTAAGTGTTCGAGTGTCAAGGCATTAAAGATTGCTTGCTAATACCTATCAGATCTATATCCATTGCCTGCTGGGTTGTTGTCTTTTCTCCTCAAATCATAGAGAACTTTCGTCGTGGTTCAGCAGATGGCCTCTCGCTTCTGTTTCTTGCTGTCTGGTTAGCAGGCGATGTATTCAACATTCTAGGGGCCGTTTTTCAAGGCGTTCTGCCGACGATGATCATCCTGGCTGTCTACTACACGCTTGCGGATATCGTACTGCTGGGCCAATGCTTCTACTATCGAGGATTTACGCTGAGAGATGATCCATCATCAACACCGTCGCGTGCACAGGCCTTAGATGCTGAAGACCAGTCTTCAATTCCCGGAAAAGTATCAGAGCGAACTGCTCTACTTCCCGCAAAGGCAAATGGCCAGTCGTATCAGACAGATAATCAGGAGCAGACTGGTCGCGGATACTCAACATCAGGGCCGTCTGGCCAACAGTCATTCCCACACCATCAAAACCAGAGGAGACACTCAGCGTCCTCCTTCAGGGACATTCTCCACCCCAGTGTGGACGGAACACACCTCTCTCCCGTGACACCATTTGTTGAGCCCTCAGCGAAGAAAACCTGCCTCACTCGCAGACTCTCCGCCCTCCAAAATATCCTTTTTAACCTTTCTGCTATCTTCTTAGTCTGTGTCGCCGGCGTACTGGGTTGGTACGTCAGTCCCGGATCATCAAAGGGTGAAGACCATCAGGATGACAGCGAGCCTCTCACATTTGACACTCTCGGCCAAGTATTCGGTTACCTGTGTGCAGCCCTATACCTCGGTTCTCGTCTGCCCCAGATCTTACTCAATTACCGACGGAAGTCCACTGATGGTGTGTCATTGCTATTCTTCCTCTTCGCTTGTATTGGTAACTTGACCTACGTCCTGTCCATACTTGCTTACTCTCCAGCCTGCAAGGGAGACTTCGCCCAAGGAAGGGTTGGCCAATGTCGACCTGGCGAAGCTGTTGCCTTGTATGGTCGATATATACTTGTGAATTTGTCTTGGTTAATCGGAAGCCTGGGAACGCTGTTCCTTGACTTAATCATTTTTGTACAGTTTTTCTTATATCAAGACAACGGTTACGAGGAGACTGAAGGTATTAGTGAGGAAACCCTAAGGGGCTAATTAATCCACTAGTCTTCCACCCTGTACTTTTCATTTTGCTTCCTCTCCTTTTTCATTTTCATATTTCCTGTGCTGCCTTCTTATGCCTTTGTCTTAGAAACAATGAAGGGTGTTACGGAGAGAGGCTGTATTTCTAAAAATAAAGATACTCTTTTTCTTGGAAATCAGTTTATAATTTTTCGTGTTGCAGGAGGCGCCTGGTTATTTTCGATCTTCATGTCTCAATCATTTCTCTTTACAACATAGATAAAAGGGAGACACAGAGTAGTACCCAACCGATTATCACTCATCAGGGACTATCTGCTCATCTCAATATAAACACACGGTAACGAAAAACAAAAATTAAAGAAAAACCTCTCGCTAGAAGCAGCAAGAATCAAGAACTCCGTTAGTGCATCTCATCCGCAGAGATGAGGAGGATCAAACGAATATCAGTCGCTTGGTGGCCGAGGCTCCACCTTTCCTTTGCTCACTTCCGACCAATTAGTGCTCAGCGACGTGCCTTGACTTTCAAAGTAACTCTTATTCATAGCCCGTTTGGTATTTTCGTCCGCTCCAGCGTAGAGTTTCTTGAAGAACGCGTCAACGGCGTCACCACCGCCAAAGTCGGAGTCAACTGAACTGTCTGACTCGTCTCCAGCGTCACCCCCATTTGGATCCTTTATTTCACCAGCCTTGGCCTTGCCTTTATCTTTGGATTTAGCCTTTTTTGCTGTGAGCGATGTCGCCAATTTGTCCCAATCTTTGGGCCCATGGCGGGATGAAGATGGGTATGCTGGAGTGGAGCTACCGGCAGAAGTCAAGCCCGCAACAGCCTGGCGATTTGAAACCTTGATGTCGGCTGGGGAGGCTTCCAATGAATTCCATTTCTGGCCAGGAACATGCTTCCTCAGAACAAGCTCAATTTTGGTAGACATGACGGATACTTTTGAAGATAATGTATCGACTGATGCAAACAGAGGATCAAGAGTGAAGTCATATTCGGCACCAGAAGGAAGAGGGAATTGAAGAGAAACCTGCAGGTGACGTTGATTAGTGTGTTGTGATAAGTTTGGAAAAACAGACAGCCTAGGGAGGGCCCTACTGATTCATCATTCAGTTCTACTTCGACTTTATCTTTGGGTACCCCTTTGATGTAGAGAGTCACAACAACGGATTCGTTAGATTGATACCACTCATGTCGAACCTTATCAGACGGAGGAGCAGCGGGAGAGGGAGCTGTAGAACCAGTACTTCCAGCAGCATCATTTTTGCTGTTGGATGTAGTGGGCGTTGAGCCTCCCCCTGTGACCCCCGCAGCCTCACCCTCGACACCCTTTCCCCCAATCCTCCCAGATTTAAGAGTATCCAACTGCTTCTTAAGCTCCTTCTCCGTCGGCACTGGGACACCACTTGGAAATTCCGCAACTGTGACAGCAGCTTTCTCATCCCCCTCGGCTAATGTTTGTAGTTTACTTTTCACTTTAAGCATCCATATAAGTAATTCCTGCTCGTAGCCTTTCTTCGACGAAGATTGAGCACCGCCAGCCATACCTATGGCGTCTCTCATCTTCTCTGGCTTACCTGTATTGTCCGCCAACGCACCGGTTTTCGCCTGGATGGTCCCGAATACAAAGGCCGCATCGCCATATTTTTCAAGCTGATATAGCGCGATGCCGCGTCTCAACTGGGCAGCTAGAATCAGTTCCCTCCTCCCACGCTCCCGCGCAAGGGTTAGGGCAATCTCCGCATCGCGGAGTGCTGCTTGAGATTGGGGACCTCCATCTGTGGGTTTGAGTCGAGAGTAGGCGGTTGATCGTTTGAGATAGTAGGGTGGCGCGCGGGGTAGTTCGACCAGTGCTTGGGTGAAGTAGTGAAGAGCACCGGGGAAGTCAGAACGGGCAAGGGCTTTGTCGCCCTGCGTTGCGGAATTCATGTTGTGGTGCCGTAGGCTAGCCAGTGGGAGGGGCGAACTCTACAGCTTGATGTATAAAGGGTGAGCTTATTATAGGAGCTCAAGGCGGTGAAGCAAAGAAGAGACCAGGAATTAGAGTAGCAATGAACATTCAACTAAATTTTCAATAATCTGACCTAGAAAAACCTAACATGTTTGTTTCCAAGGCTTCTTTCTGTTTCTTGGAGACTGCGGGGAAGGATTATGTCAGCAGATGCAGTCATTCGTAGGTCAGGTGACTTGTAGATCGAATTAGTTGATTAGTGGAAGATCACTGTGAATTATTCATTATGGGTATGTGTATATGTGGGCCGAAAGTAAAGATATTATACATGGAAAAAAAGTTACTCTTCGGGGTAATGTCACTGCCGTCACCCCTGTTACAGGAGTTCTTCATTGCCAAACTTCCGGCTGTAGAGTCCCAAAGCCCGAATAGGCCAATAGAACTTGTAGTTAGGGTATGAAATCATACTGGACTGAATCAGCATTGATGATCCTATGGAATAGGGCTGTAACCACTCACCAAGATTGGTTGAAAACACCTTCAATAGCCTCCTGCAGCCACTCACCGTTTGGTTGCTGCCGAGACATCATAAGTTTCATCGCCTTCCGAAGTGGCTCCTTCTCCGGATAACCGGCCTCCATCAGAGCCAGACATGCCCAAGCAGTCTGGCAGACTTGGGACTGTTCATGATGGGTATAGACATGCCGCTCACTACTGAGGTAGGACTCACCCCAGCCCCCATCTTCTTTCTGCTTGGAAAGGAGAAATTCGCAACCTCGACGGGAATAGTCGCTATTTTCGTACGTCTCCCCGATGCTTGCAAGGCTTTCCAAGGCAAACATAGCAGCATACGTGAAGCAGATGCCCCAGGATCCATACCAGCTTCCATCTGGCCTCTGCACACGCTTGATATATCTGACTGCTTTTTCTTTAGCCACCCTAATCTCATCGGTCCGATAATCGGGATAGAACTTGCTGAACAGAGACAGTGCGGTGACGGAAGCAGTGGTACACTCAGGGTAGTCGTAACCAATCATGATACCACCGAAGACCTCAGCAGCATTCAGCCACTCTACCTTGGGTGAGGCACGAGTGGTCTCATACTCTGTAAAGCCACCAGAGGGGTTTTGCATAAGGAGTAAGCAGTCAACGCTATCCTTCAAACGCTCTGCTGATATTAATTTAGGAAAATTGTGCATCTCCTGCAGCTGAATGCTAGAACGCAGACCCTCAGCTGTGCAGTCACTAACTGTGTAACCTTGAGTTTTGTTACTGAAGGGCCAGGCGCCCTTTCGGTGCTGACGGTAGCACTTCTCCTGATCAGGTACATTCTCCCGCAATTGATGATCATCAAGAAATTCAAGGGCTTTGGTGAGCATAGGTCGCCATTTAGGATCATCTGCAAAGCCAGCAACAACGATAGCTTGCGTGATGAAAGCTGTATCCCATACCTGAACACCATTGGTACCGTTCATCAGCATGCCCTCATTCTTCATCCACATATAATCATGTAGACGTTCTCGGTGACGACGGGCAGAGTAACTATCAGGGCCGTCATGAAGATAACAGGCAATCATGTTCATAGGGTTGCTCACGGGACCAAGTCCTGCATAGTCCGTATTTTCATCTTCCATGCGGATCAGCTCCCATGTCCATTCTTCCGCACGGCGCACGAGGGTGGGAAGCCGTAGGTAAGGATTCCAGACATTGACCAAAAGTGAGTTAATTATATTCAAAAGCCAAGTCTTCGGATAGTAATTGTCAGCCTTGTGGATAGAATTACGGTGACTTGCGAAGTTGATAGAATCGTATGGCTCTGTATATAGCTCCTTCCGAAGCTGCTTGGTAAGTGGGTCCAGTGGATGAGTGAATTTCTTCGACCACAAGTAAGACATGGGCAAAAAGACCTGGCGAATATGGATCCACCACCGCCAGGGGGCAAATGGAACCCAGTCGGGGAGAAGCCTAGTTGACTATTAGTACTCGGAGAAAGCCAATAACCGATTGAAGGTGAAGGAAAAAGAAGAAGCGAAGAGTAGCACATACCAGATTTCAGGAGGAACCGGATTGACGCAATCCCATTCCATGACTCCAAGGATACTCAGCCAAAACTTCGCCCAATGAGGTCCATAAATGGCACCACCGAATTTATGCAGTAGGCCACGGGCCTTGACCATTCGATGGTCATCTTCATTAACACCAACTAACCGTAGTGCGACATAATTCATGCAGGTACCGAACACGGAACTATGGGCCTCAATGTGCAGACCCCAGCCCCCATCTTCGGGGTGTTGACGAGCAAAAAGGTATCGCTTAATCTCAGTGGCATACTCCGGAGGGATTGGGGTGTTAGTCACATAGTAGGTGATAATGAGTCCTGGCAATAGAAACATCGGCCCACCATATTCACAAGCCCAATTTCCTGGGGGAAGTTGCAGTTTAGAGAAGAACTCCAGGCCATTCTCTGCACATTGTAATGGGGTTTTTGCAGGTGGCAGCTTAGGCAGTCCCTGCAAGGAAGTCAGTCTCAGGAATCACAAGGCTGCCCAATGCAACCACGAATGTGGGAAAACAATACCGTAGGGAGGCCTAAAGAATACTTGTCGGCTACCGATTGAGGCCATTTTTCATTTTCCTCATCGGATTCTAGGTAGTGCCAGGTCTGACGGCCATCATCATCTAGCAATCTCCACCTTGAGTAGTCCGTTTTGGGATCTCCATTACCGTCGGCGGTCAAATGGCCCTGCGCTGTGGTTCTCCACGGGGCAATATGATCGGCCATTTCCACTACGGATGTACCCGGTGGAGCTTGCTTGAATAGTTTAGCTAGCAAGGAGTATATATCCGTACCGTATGGTAACCAAGTGAAAAGGGTGAGCGAGAATTGGAAAGGCAGACCGAATGGATGTCGATGAAGATGTAGGGATAAATCCGGGGTTTCGTCGATCTATTTACATATAGCTTAGTCATCAGGGGGCAGGACAGTTGCCTGAACCATGAGGAACACATCAATCTACTTAGTACTACTACTAAGTACCTAGTACTATGTATGATCATCCCAATTCGATATGATTAATTGCGATGGGGGTTTACACAGTTGGTTAATATGAATGGAGATAGTGTAACTGTGAACTGGGATTTAAAGGTCTGGGTCCTATGGTATACTATGAAAATTATGGTCGTTCATTTCCTTTTTTACTCCCTCTTAGAAGAAATCCTCATCTTGTTGATTTTGAATTAGTTCCGAGAGTCTTTAAATCTGTTGTGGCTATTGGTCAGAAAAACGTGATCGTGCTGCCATATACTAGAGCTACTAGTTTTACTACGGCGTCTTGTACTTCATGCCATTCCTCATACATTTTACCATCCTCATTCTCATGGCAGACTGTTTAGAGAATCTGGGATTGGACTCCCTCTCTCTTCCTACCTTCCAAAGCAGCTATGAAGCAACCCCACAGGGTCAAGTTCGGCGATACATTGACGGGACTCTGGCATCTTCCCTCGGCGAACTATGTACACTGGACGGTCGACCAGCCATAACCCTCAAACGGAGATCCGGGAAAATGTCACTGTTTATTAATCCCACGAATGGAGCTCTCGAGAGCGATGGGACAGAAACACATATTACCTATACATGGCCGGGGGCAAACGCCCATGAAGCCCGGAAGTTCAGTATATGCACCACTTCACCGATGACACTCCCCCAGGTCTAAACACTAATCATTAATGGCGATAGCAATTATCTTTCGGATTCTTGCGATTATTACAGACGCCGTCAACACAGGGTTGGTTGTTTCCAGAAGGTCTGCGATTCAACCCAAACTTTCAGCAGTCTCTGATATCCAGAGTAGAGACATTTATTACAATGACCCAACCTGTTTTGGGACGCAGAGAATTGTTGACACCGTAATTGACGACTTAGCTTACACGATTGGAGTCGATAGAGCTGCGTTGAACGTTGTATGAAAGCTTCCTGTCTGATGAAGATATTTGAACTGGCCTTGTGGATCTAACCGTCTCGGAAAACAGGAAGCAGCTGCGAAAGGCCTCGTGGCAGGATCTTACCGAACTTTAACCAAACCCGGAGAGCCTATGGTTGCGCATCTTTCTACTAAGGTATACAAGATGCAAGATTGCTCTGCACTCTAAATTTAGGTCTCTCCTGATCAGGGTAGGACTCACTAGTGCCAAGCTCACAAGAGATCGGTGAAATCGATGTTTTCGAAGCTAGCTGGGTCTTAATTATCGAGAAAGAGGCACGACCATTGCTATGCGTTTTTCTCATTACGTCTACTCACATGGTACACAGGCCGTCTACCGCCGACTCGCAAGAAGCGAATATTATACTAGAGCGGCAGCAGGAAAGGGGATCCTCATCACTGTAAGCCATACCCAACCTGCATGATCGAGTAGAGGATCAACATCTATCAGGGAAAAGGTTATCCAGATTTGTCAACTCGAGCCTTCGTCCGCAAAATATTCGAGGACAGCCACCGATTAGGTAGGGCGCTGACTTTTTACGCTCTAGTTGATAGCGACCCCGACGGCATGGCCATTATGTCAACATACAAGTACGGCTCCATGGCACACACGAGTCAGAATGGAAGGTTGAACATTACTCGTCTCCGGTGGCTAGGCCTCCGAACATCCGAAGTCGTAACTGGAGCATCGAACAATGACGACGAGGCGTTGATCCGATTAACAGCGAGAGACAGAAAAAAGATCATTACCATGCTGTCCAACAATCCTGTATGGATGGAGGAGGGGCCTGAGCTGGAATGGCGTGCGGAGCTGCAGCAAATGCTCATGCTGAACCTGAAAGCTGAAATAGAAATACTGTATGATCGGGACGGCGGACTGGAAGGATGGGTCGATCGTAAGATGGAAAGTTTCTCTTTGCAACAAGATGACTAGGACCAGAAGACCCATATATATGCAATGACAAGCAAGCTATTTACTTTGTATCTGATCTGTCAAAAAGCCCACTTAGTGAGAAGAAAAAAGCAAGTAAGGAGCACAAACAGGCTCTGATAGTAAGTGGCCCAGACAGAAAGAATGCACCATAAACGCCGAAACCCCCATCACCAATTGAAGACAATGCATGCATACATACACCCCAAGCTATGCCACGCGCTACAAGCACGGGCGCAGCACAATGAAAGAGACGTCACTCTTCTCCACCATGCCCTAACTCAAAGAGGAGGACTTCTACAGCCCCAAACCTTTCCGAACTTCATCACGGACCTTGCGCTCATATTCGCTCCTTCGCTCTCTCCACATCTTTGCCGCCTCGACATTGGCGGGGCTTTCATCATTTGGTTCAGCGAGCATACTCATAACCGAAATAAGGATCTTCTCAACGCTCTGGATAGGCGACCACCGCTCGGACGCATGCTCGTAGTGGTTCGGGTCATCGCCGGGGGGATGAAGAATGGAGATGCAGACGGCTCCATTGGGATACACTGTTCATTCATAGATCCGAGTCAGCCAACTCCTAAGTTCCCTATAATTATAGACAAGGACATAGGAAGTTACCATTAGGATGCCAAACCCCACCACCGACAAACTTCATCGTCGGCGGACTCAACGGATAATCTTTCGGAAACTTCAGCTCAGCGGCAAAGACGCCACCTTCGAAAGGCGTGCCTTGCGGACCCTCGATTAAAGCCTCCCAATGGAACATGTCATCTTCAGTGACAGGGCCCGCGGTGATGCCGTCTGGTGGGTTGGTGGAGAGATTCTTGTATTCATGAAAAAGACGTTTTTGCGCAACAGTAGACATATTGGAAAAGGTGTTTCACTAGGTTGAGAGAATTGCGAATATAGAGGAAGGTTGTGCGGATTAAATCAATGGACTGTTCTTTTTTGATTGTCGTATTGTACGTTAGTTGGGCGGTTTCTTAGAGAGACAACGGAGTGGGGTTGAAAAGCGATTTTTATAGGGGGCAGTTGTTGTGGATTGGGGAATAAATATGCTTGTGACCGCCAGATTTCAATTGATAAGAGTAATATGGAAACAGATCTTTTTTATTTTAGGTCAGTTTTCAGTAAAGTAATAGAACAGAATTGAAGTTGCCACTCGGCCAGAAGGGAAAGCCTCAAGAACAACGGTTGATGCCCCAGGCCACAACACCCATTGATTGCCACTGCTTATCACCAAAGGCCCCTGACATGCTGCATTGAATGGCGAAATATAACAGGGTATGTTTTAACTATAATATATAGGTCTATATATATATCTCCAACAAGAAACGCCTATCATTTGTAACTCCTATAAACATGTAAGCCGTTTCTCCGCCCCTGACTCAACGCCTTCTGAGCATGATTAGAACCAATCGTAATCATCAACCTCTCCCTCGTCGGGATCTTCTGCCGCCCATGGAGCCTCTTGGCTATTGGCCCAAGGATCTTGTGGTTCATCTGCCCAAACATCCCCATAGGGGCCTGTTTGGCCGGAGGTAGGTGACTGCGGGTCTACTGGCGGTTGTTGTTGATTTGACGGAGTAGACTGCGACTGATTACCCCCCGTCATACCTCGAGACATTGCATCATACCCGGCCATTGCCCCTGCACCAGCGATGCCTGCAGTTCCACCTTCAGCTATTCCCCCAGCTGCACTAGCTCGACCAAGAGTTCCCGCGGCCGCCTCACCCACAGCTGCAGATTCGCCGGCAGCGGCACCACCAGCCGCAGCCTCCCCGCCCATACTAGGGATCCAGATAGGCATAAAGCCGAATCCGCCGGTGCCACTATGGCGACTGAAATAGTCGAAATCTATGCTTACCGCAGTAGCCAACATGACCGCACGTTGATCAAGCGTCATACCAGTAGTGGCATTGTTCTGCGCCGGTGCTTGTTCAGGGCTGAGGGCAACTGAGTCCATTCGTAGAGCATAGACACCAGTGTCCGTGAAAATTTCGCGAGCGAAACCGGCAAAGTTACGATTAACAGACCCGATGAGCTGACTATTGGCGGTGCGAAGCGAAAAGTCCCATGACAAGAAAGGCTCGTTCACGTAGGCGAACTGGTTGTACTCGCCCATAGCTTGACCACCCTCTACCGTTTGAGATAGCTGCATCTGCTGGGTGTTTGAAAGGCCGGACTGTGAAAGCGGCTGGGATACGACACCCATATCTGTCGCGGGGCTCGGAGAGTGGTGGTAGGTGAATAGATTATACTTCCGCCGTAATGGTGCCCACTGTTGCTGCGCCTCACCGATCACACGCATATCATCGAACCCTAGTGGTGATACCCGGGCATTGGAGCTTCCAGTGGTCTGAGCGAGTGAGCCCGACTGAATGCTTTGAACGGCGGTCGAAGAGGAGTAGGCGCTTCTAGTGACATCGAGAGGGTCGTATACGCGGATACGGGAGTTGATCCATGAGAATGGCCGGTGAAACTAAACGATATTAGCGCGACACTGAAAGTGAATGGGCTGTCCCAAAGATACTAACTCGTAATACTTCATTCTCATGCCTGTCAAAGACATGCGTCACAAAACTCCTATGCGTTCGGAACCATTGTCGTGCCATCATGTTGCCCATCCCTCTTTCCTGTTCAGCCATATACCCGATATGGCTCCCGTTCGCATCCATGATAACATACTTATTAGCTTGTTCAAAGCCACTGTGGGAAGAACATGAACATTAGCTGTTATAATTCGGGCGGCTTAATGATCTATAACACTCACATCATCACGTTCATGATTTCCAACTGCCGTTGTACAACTAGGCCAGAGTTTGTCAATATGCCTACTGCGGGGTGAGTTTCCTTGAGTACGCCATGAGGATCTTCTGGTATATGCACAGGGGAGAGTAGAGTATTCTGAGCGGGATCGTAGTTTGGATTCGGGGAATTCGTGTCAGTTGCCGCTGGACTTGATAGTTCCGATTGCTGTGAGGGTTTATTTTCTCGCCTGATGGGTTCTGGTCTTCGTATTGAATTCCGAGGGCCGCGAGGGCTAGCCCGTCCTCTGGTGAATGAACAGGAGAACGCTCGGCCGGGGGCCCTCAGCCACCGCGCCGGCAAGAATTGCCGTCTAGCACTCCACATGCCCGAGGTAGATGTACCAAACGATATAAAATAGGATAGCCTTGCCGTGATGGAGTCAAAACAAAGGGTGCTCCGTCCTGTAGAGGAATCCAATGATGCTGTTGTGTTGTCGAGAGGTTGGAAAGAAGCGGCGGAGATTATGACGAACTTGTGAGTGGAGCTAAGCGGAGATAAGGATTGGAACATTGCTATGGAATCCCAAGGTCGCTGCTTCGACGATATTTATTATGCTCATTGTAGTAAACCAAAGCAAGTTTACACAAGGTATACAATCTTAAAAGCCTCCAAAACACCTCGCGCCTTAGGGAAGGCATTCTTATGTAGTATATTACAATACACCCTTCCGAGCCAACTCAATCTTGCGCGCCGCTTCACCAGGCTGAAATCCTCCCTTCGAGATACAGACAGCACTTCCTTCGCCGAGTTCAATTTTATCTTCGATGTCCGGGTGTTCGCATGGACAATGGTGAGGAAAATGAACGCAAGCAAGAGTACCGGGGCACAGATATTTGTCGCATTGTGCTATAAGCATAGAATATGTTAGCTACCTTTTACGCAAAAGAGTGCGCACGGGATACTGGGGCCAAGTACCTGACTCCCACATATTCTGGTATCGGGAGCTATCACTGGGCTCGTTCTGAGCGGCCTGCTGGTGATGTTCTTGACGTCCGCCTCCAAACATATGCTCGAAGAACTGGAACTGAGCGTGGACCACAGAGGTCAGCAGGAGCAAGGCTCCAAGGGTCTGGATCCAGGTATAGAGCATTGTAAGCCGAATTAAATACTCTACCAAACTTTGCAACAAGAGATATAGAAGTTAAAACAACAATTATAGATCACTGTGAAGTAAGTTACTGACTGCTATTAAAATTGTATGCAATGAAGCCAACTCTCGTAAATACACGTGACCTGCCAAGACCCAGACTGGCCGCCGAGAAAAAAGGTCACCACCGGAAAGTCCATCATCCAGGATCATTGAGGGTTCGTCCGTCCCTTGCAACCGAACAAAAACATGTTACAACATAGACTACTGGCACCCCTTCGGGTGCTGGAGAGAGCAATTGTGCCAACGCTCCGCTCGTCACAACCAATCTCCCGACCACCGCCATCGATACTTCTACGAACCAACATCTCCGCATCAACCCCATTCTCAAACCTCCTCCCCTTCTTTCAAGTCCGCCATGCCTCTCATGCCACTCAGGGTACGGCGAATCGACATTCCCGTGATCCCGCGGGAAAGCGTCTCGGCGCGAAACGTACCGGTGGTGAATACGTCGTCCCAGGGTGTATCATTTTCCGGCAGCGCGGAACGAAGTGGTTCCCCGGTGAGAATTGTGCGGTCGGCAGGGACCATACCATCTATGCCACCGAGGCTGGATATGTGAGATACTACTTAGATCCCGAACGGCACCCCGACCGGAAATACATCGGTGTCTGCTTTGAGAAGGACGGCAAATTGCCTACGCCTCGGAATGCCCCGACCAGGCGGAAATTGAATAGGGTCGCCGTACCTCGCTCCGATGAGGTCCCTACGCTGATTGCTGGCCAGTCGGATCTGGTTGCGACTATCGAGAACGGTACTATGGTATCTAGCGTTGAGGCCGTGAACGCCGAATCGGGCTCCCAGCTACGTCCGGGTTATATGTACCGTGAGGCGAATTGGCAGATTGGTCGGGCTGCTGAGAAGGCTGGTATAACAGCGAAGGCTTACAACCCCAAGAACCGTTGGCTGGCGTGGAGGAAGAGGCAGGCTAGAGCTGATCGCGCCGCCCAGATGAAGAGTCTCAAGAACAAGAAGAAGGCTTCGAAGAAGGGCAAGGGTGCCCGTTAACTGATACATATCCAGCACTTTTACAAGGGTCATATGTCTACTTTTTGTACTATAGAGAAATGTCTACATCTAGTGAATCGTTATCCAGCGCATCGTGTATCAGGATCGCTCATGAGGAATGTAAGTAATTGAAGTAAGATTCATTAAAGCTTTAACCAAAACAATCGCGGACACGTTGGGGGTATAACTGCTATTATAAATGCCACGCCATTAGCCCGTTAGCAAGGCTATGGCTTCCTGGCCAAGTTTATAACTATTCCAAACAATAAGCAAAAATCACAAATCACTTGAACCTCAAAGGTATATTGATTGAAAATTGTTGTTAATCAATCAATCTCCCTAGGATTAAACTTTGACAGACAAACTCATTGCCCACAATCCTAACGTTGGTGCTAAGACCAAGATCACTACCGTTTATCGATTCGGTTGACTCAGTCCTTTTTCGCTTTCGTGACCTCTGGAAAAGATAAGCTTTTTGGTTACCTGGAACAGAGGCTCCAAGAATCGTGGCTATCGCAGATGCTTTTTCGTCATTATCCACGTAGATCCAGTCCCATTCACAGGCAGCTCCAGTTCCACCCTGGTCAAGGACCGCACGAGCTGACTTGATATCAGGTACATGTTCAACTCTGGAAGCACCTAGAGCATATGTTAAGAACAGAGGCGCTCTCCTTCGCTCTTCATCGGCTTTCCCGCGCCCCATCACGACTAGCACTGATTGTCCGTGCAATAGATTAGGTCGAGCAGCTATAGTCTCATGTAGGCGTGCTTGCATGGCAGGATATGGATTGAGTATCCTTGACTTCGTTGCACCGTTGAGGTACGACGATTCCCCTGCAGGAAGCAAATACATATCCCAATCGATGATCTGGCGTTGAGCCACGCAGTCCTCTACCCAGCGATCTGAGAGGCACGGAAGATTAAGAGCTAAAGCCTGCATGTACTTTGGCCGGCGGGAATGCTTGTTAGCTATCAAACAAGCAAATCTCACGTCATCAGCACCGCTAGTTAGGCGGAACTGGTTATTGCTCGTGGTTGGAGTTGGAGATTTAGATGGTGTAACAACTGGGCGGCTCGACGGTAAATCGAACAGCTCATTGAAGCCGTCATGAAGAATGCGCCCGTCATTTTCCACGATCATCTGCGTTATGCGGTGTTTGGCTTCATCGTTCTCCCCATAAGAAACGGCAAATACCATTCCAGCAAATATACCGTTTGCGTAGCGGATACTGCGGGATAATCGAGTGCTGGGCGAAGCTGGAGTGATATGGCGGTCAGAGGGGGTTTGAAGTCTACTGCCGGGCTGTTCAGGTATAGAACTGTAGCTAAACACACGATCTTTGAGTTGGTTCCATCGAATCGTATCCAAATATATGCGGGAGATTGGAACTTTGACAATATTCTCAGGAACTGTAAGCCCTTCACGAGTAAGGTTCTTGCGTTGCTTTTGTCCTAAAATTACGGTCAAATGGCCATATACATCAGTCATGGGGATAATGCCATTAGAGGCCTCTTTTTCAAGGTCTTCCATGCTGAGTTTGTCCTCAAATCCTCGGATAATGTGAGTGACCTTTGGCACATGGGGCATATCGACCTTTACGGCATCTCCGACCCGTAGCTCGAGCCTCTTCACGGCTCCAATGGGAACTTCAACGGGTGCACTGTCTTCGAACTTGACCACGTAGCGAGATTGGGAAGTTCCAAATGGCGTTCCGAAACAGGTTGCAGGGTAGAATGCGCGTTTTGTTCCACTCCAGGCAGCAAGAACTTGGTTCACTGCGATCTCGACATTACCAGGGTCCACTCTAACCGTTTTAGCTTCGACAGCGTCCACTGATGGCTCGGCTCGGGAGTCTTCAACATGTTGCTCCACAAGGGGCGGTGTGGATTCCAGACTATTATGAGCAGTGACAGGCTGCGCATCAGCACCCTTTTCGAGTCGATCAACGTCCTCGGCTGTCTTCTCGAGAATACGAGGCAGATTGAAGAGCCGTGTTCGTTCCTTCCGTGAAACATAATGCTGAGGAGAATCATCAACATCCCAGACTGTGTCTACTCGCCGGGAAGGTCGTGATCGCTTGTCCAAGGTTGCATCAGCCCTGGTCAATGATTCTTCCGGCTGCGGGTCCTGCATGTGCATTGTTTCGTTTTCTTTGGGAAAAGCAAAGTAAGTGGTGGTACGAGGAGGAACAGGAAACACAGGGTCAGAAGCAGATACACTTTGCCCATCATTAACACGTCGTCTCTTTCTGGGTGGAGCTGGCGACAATGCGACAGCAGACCTAAACTCTCGGTCGTCGGCTGATAGGATGCTAATATCAACGTCGAAAGGTCCGGCTCCGAGTTGAGGAGACGCGTCAGCCGCAATTTCTGTCAGTGCTCTACGCTGCCTTCCACTTGGGCTCGATAGAATTTTTGAGTTATAAAGGTTCTTCACAGGGGACGAACTGTCCGAGTTGGCGGGCTGGGAATGGTATACTCGCTCATGTATGGACGGGTAAGGAGGAGGAAGGTCATCATCTTCTTGGTCCATTACTTCATTATTCGTGTCGCTTGCCCAGCCCTGGTTGAAGAAACGATTGGGGCTCGTTTCTGGAATAGTTGTGGTTGTCACCACATCAGCAAAGCTTCTCGGGCGCTGAACTGGTGTTTCGGCCACGCGAGAGGGCATCGAGGACAATTTCTCCTTGAGATCAAATGCCGGGGCTTTGTCGCCTAGATCTATGGACTTCTGCACAGTGGAGTTGCTAGACTGTATTGCATTAGTCCCAAGAGCAGTCGAGTTTCTTGGTGGATATTCATGAGAGCCATGTGAACTAGCCGAATTTGACCTGGATCGAGTAACTATACGGTCATCATCAAGTTGGAACGAAACTCGGCTCCTTTGAGATACTGAAGGAGGGGTGGATCGTATTCGGAGCTGTTTTGCAGGAGACCTAAGCTTAGCTGGAGAAGGCTTTGTGTGGAATAGTGAACTAGAAGCCTGGGCCTGATTCTCGTCCCACATTTCTCTATTTTTCCCCATGCGGTTTTCATCATCCTGACAAACTGGGGATCGTTGAGAGTCTTTCACAATATATACTTGAGATGACCTGCCGGTCTCATCAGGTTGTTTGTCACCAGCACCATGGCTGCGTAGATGCAACTGTTCAGTATCTTGCAGTGATCCTCTGCGGCTACAAGACGGGGTTCCGTTTTCAAGGGCAAGCGCCTGAGAAAGACGATCATGTACACTAGCCGCGACGGCTATTGGAGTTGCAGAGGGATTAATACAATTTTCCTTATCCTCCTCAGTTGTGGAAATGGGCTCTTGAAACCGAGATATTTGCTGGCACGAATCATCCTCCTGTTCCGTCTCTTCTTCGCTGGTTGCGCCTGCGGAAGTGGTTCCTTGATGCCCAGTTCCTGAGGTAGCAGGTTTTACTGCATCGGACCAATTTCGCTGATCTGGCTGACCGCAGGGTGACTTGCTCATTTTATCTGGGTTCATGCGACTTGCCGGTCTTGAAGGAGCTGAAAGGTTGGCCAATTGTGCCGTAGTCTCCTCATCGATGATCTTCTGCCTCCTTATGCGCTCCACAAAGCTGGGCTCTTTGTCGAATTCGCCGTCACTTTGGTCCTCTGAGTAGATATGCTCTGCAGAACGCGTCATTCTCTCCCGTAGTATCCTATCCCTTTGCATTTGTGATTCCTTCATAGTGATATAAGCGTTCTGCAGCTCTGATGAATCCTGGGGGAAAGTTGCTGCGATGTTATTTAACGGGGAAGACAGAGCTGTGGCAAGCGGGTGATTCTGAATAGGAAGATTAGGTGAAGGCCGTTCAGATATCGGATCTGATTGTTGGCCATGGACAAGTGGAGAGGAAGGGGCTTGGGTTGCCTTGAATACCTGGCTCAGTGCCATGATACCTCCGCTTGATTCAAGGTCCGTCACAAGAGGGTTTCTTGATGCCGTGGGGGTCACCGAGGAGAAGCCATCGACTTGACCCGTCTTTACTGCTGTCGCCGGAGTTTTCGACACAAAACGCTGGGACTCAGGGAAGATATTCGGCTGGTATTGCAGGGGTGATGACTCTCCCAGCTTGAAGCTGCTCTGGTCCTCATTTTCATCGAGGTTGGTTGCGTCGGTGTTTGGCCCATCAAACTCAGCCAGCAGATCTACATGACCAAGATCACCTTCATGTAGTGTTCTCAGCGTTGCATTATCTGCAAGATTGTTGTCCATGCCATTATCAGCGGCTTCTTGGTTCTGTCTTATAAGGTCATCGTACACCGACTGTGAGATGACTTGGGTGTCTGAAGGCGCCGTCTCTGCGGAGCTCATTTTCTTAGAGTAGTAAAACACAGCGGCAATGTCTTGTCTTTCTTGTTCGGGGGACGGTTGAACTGCAGTTGTCAAGCTTTTGGCAGCCTGTTTCCGAGAAAGCGAGCGAGAGGGTGACTCGGGACGAATCGACGGGGATTTCCGAGGGACCTTCTGGCCAATAGTCGACTGGGGAGCATCAGAATTCTGGGAGTGGTTCTCTTCAATGCCTGAGTCCTGGCTGGTATTCCAGACAAGCTCGGATCCAGGTAGAAGCGACTGGGATTGTGCAGCTTCCTAGCAGATGATTGGGTGTTAGAGCAATCGAGATCACAGCGCCACCAAGTGTGACCGGTCACTTACTAGTCCCAGCGCGACGCGTTGCAACTTTGCAATGTCGATGCTGTCATCCTGGGTCTCCATGGTTCTTCCAGTCGGTAAGTTACTACACACGATATTCAAAGGAACCCCTCACCCAAGGCCTCTAGACCTAGCCCACATAACAGTCTTGGCTCTCTTCTTTGCTATCTCGATCTCCGAACCGCAGAACGCGACGCGTGACGCACGTGACCGAATGATATTACTGTTTCGGGCTTAGGTCGAGTTGACCTCAGCTTCATTCATTAGTATCAAGATGTGGGAAAACATCATCTGGGCTGGGAGGAATGTCGCAAATTATAATCGAATTCCATGAAAGTATTGACAGAAAACGTTATTACATCTTCCGAGAAACACTCATGCATGGCTAGCCTAGAGTGTGTTACATATGATTACATGATCGCTGAAGATGTTTGAAGTACTATCCGTACCCTGTCCAAGTGTGATTAGAAACGCTTTAGATTAGGTGATAGGTCTCTTAGAATACGATCAAGATGAACAAAGGTTTCTCGCTAGTCCCGGGTCCTGTTTGGTACCCAACGTCTGATCAACATTTCTCGTACCTGATAACGAGTAAGGAGAGCGCCGATATCCCCCGGATCTCCGAACAGAGGTGGTGGGACTTCCACGTAGCAGACCACCATACTCTTCTTCACCTGAGCCTGCACACGGTTGACGCAATGGAGCCACCACCAGCTACGCGCCTGTTTACTAGCATAATGCGCTTTCCGCTCCTCGGTCTCGGACCAGTAATGGTGTTCAAAAGAAGGTATGACCACAACTGCAAACTCAGCGTGCGAGAAGACAGGTCCGCGGTTGTAAAGGAGGTAGTCCACTCCGAATTTCACGCCGGAGCGCACAACCCACCCAAGAGACCGGAAGTGGTGATACACAACGTACGATATCAGAAATGGATCGGCTGGTTCTAAGTCGCTCGAGGCACCACGAGGAGGGAAGTGTGAATGTTGGCAGAACAGAGAGAGTAGGGAAGAAGAGGAAAGTGCGTCGTTTCGCTCGCCATCAAAAATCTGTAGAGCACCAAGTCCGTATGCCAGAAAGAAAGCCTCCTCGTTGGACAATTGAAGGTGCTCCTCGTTATCCAGTGAAGGCTCATCCCCAGTCCCGTGCCCGTCAACGACCGAATCAGGCACACATATGACAGTTGAATCGGAAACAAACTCCTTCGCCTGAACAACTGGAGAAAATCGTACGGCTTTACCACCGTTCAAGGACGATTTATCAAGGGCGTCAGGCATGCTTCCCTCCTCCGTTTGTGCTACCGAGTGCTGGGACTCAAAAAGTTTGGCCTCCTTAGCTTTCCTTAGGGAAAACTTCTCTGCGGCAGGAAGCATGCCATTAGTGGCACCATCTGCGGGTGGTAGCAGAGACGACTGATCGATCGATGTGTCACCGACTTCCCTCGCCGTAGCTTCAGCCTTGAGTCGCTGCTCGATAGCTAACTTTTCCATCCTTGCCCTCTCCAATTTCAACTCGCGACGCTCAGTTCTCCGTTGACGTGTAACCTCTTCGCTGGTAAGACCACCAAGCAACCCTCTCCTCTTCTTTTCCCGATCCAGCCAGCTAGGCTCACTTCGACTCAAACTCCCTTTACCAAAAAAGCCCATCTCCCACAGCGCTCGGATTGCCTTCGCATCGGTGACATGAACGGATGATGTATCCGAATCGAAATAGGCCGAGTAGACTTCATGATGCGGGGGAGCAATCAAGTATGTTAAATACGAGAGGAGCACGCTGACGATAGACAAGGGATTATGTGGTATTAGAGGAGGAAGTGGATGCACACTGAAGGGTAGAGGAAAGCGATGAATATGTCTGTAGTTGGTCCTCGGGGATCGGCCAGGACGACCTTGGGGCGCATTCTTTTTTGTGGACTCGGACTTAGCAGCGACAGCTGCAGCCTCACAGGGAGGATTGGGAACTGAATTGGATTGAGAAGCCATAACTAATGTAAAAGTAAAATAGTTGTATTGATAGTATACTACAGAAGGGAAGAGTCAGCATGGAACTCTTCATTACGAGAGAAAATGATGCAAAAGAAGCGACTGTAGATGTTTCTCCTCAGATACCGTTGTAGTCAATAAAACCATCATTGACAACAGCTAGAAATCAAAGTGCCATTGCCTAGGTTTGTGTATTGATGTCATCACCGGAGATCAATCACCAATCCTTCTTCTGACCAAAGTTGCTTTTTCTCTCTTGTTTTCTTGTTTTCTTTTTCTTTTTTGCTTACCAGAAAAACTTCTTTTTTCTGGATGGTCCAGCCCAATGACAGACAGGCTGTTACCTAGAGCCGTGGAGAACTAAATACAATTGGCAAGTAGCAAGAGGTACCCAAGCATTGTCATGCTGTGGTTAGAAAATGGATGTTCATTATCATCCTAAAATCTCTTCTGCTTACCCCAAAGGTCAAAATTGGTGGATTGCAAGAAGGAAAAAAAATTCACAGACCGAAACCCGCCTAATAAAGGTCGTTGATGACTAAGCAGTTTGAACATGGTCCGTGCGCAGCAGGTCCGCCAAAAAAAAAAATGGGTTTTGGAGATTTACGGAGAGTGACATCCTTTCCAAACCCCTCTCGCTAGGAACCTAGTAAAAGACAATATATCAAGTAAGTTGGTTCTTGCCAGTTATCAGTTCTATGAAAATCGCTGACTTTTTCCTCATCAGGATGCATCTTATGGTACGTTCCCACAGATTCAACCCGTATACACCATCCTTCAATAGATGCCAATTTAACATACAATAGTACACTTTGGACTCCGAGGGCAAGCGGGTGTATACCCTGAAGAAGGTTACCTCGGAAGGAAAGGTTACCAAGAGCGCTCATCCTGCTCGGTGAGGATATACATCCGATTCATATATTGATGGTATTGGGATTAACAATGGGAAAGCTTCTCGCCCGATGACAAGTACTCCCGCCACCGTGTGACTCTGAAGAAGAGATACGGTCTCCTCCTGACCCAACAGAAGGGTATGTATAAAGGCCCCCGCTCTTGAAGGCTTGACAATCATAGAACTGAAAGCTAACTCTTGTTCGCAGATGAGAAAACCTCCGAGTTGTAAAATGCGGGATCATGGGATAAACCAGGTTGATTTATAGGTGCTGTTTGGAAATCATGTTCTTTTGGCGAATGGTGTTACGTGCGGACATCTGAATGAGAAGTTTTCGAGGGGGGCTCTTTGATGCCTACCGCTTGCATGAAGGATTCCAAATGTGTTGCTCATATTCGGTCATAATAGTACGGCCTCTCGTATGGAGAAGATCCACATTTATCTATACCCTTATATATATGCCTATGTGCTAGATGAACCGTCACAAATTGGCCACCATCATAAACCCATGCAGAGTAGGAAAGGACAACCATAGAACCTTTTTGCCAAACTCCAACCCAAAATCAATGCAGCAGAGGCAACAGTGAACCATTACCGCTTCCTCGAGTTCACGTTTCTACCAGCACCAACTTTAATCCGGCCACCCTGCTTGTTTCGCTCTCCGGTCAGGATTCCAGGGAGATAGTCTTCGTCCATCAGATCCCGTTCCTTCCGAAGTCTCCGGCTCTCCTCGGCGGTGGCTCTGACGTATTCCTTCTGGTCTTCAGCGAGAACAAGCTCGGTGCCCCAGCCGCCTTTACCTCCGCCTCCCTTCCACTTCCCATTGGAACTTCCGTGGGTGGGCTTTGGAATACTAAACACGTTACCTCTGTTGTTCCACTGCATGTTTTTCTTCAGGTGCATCTTGAATTGCCCATTGGCATCGGTAGTGCAAGATACACGGGTAAGGGTGTCTTTCCCGCACCGCGGGCAGAACTGCTTGTTCATGTCCTTGGTCGTGAAGAAACAAGCGTGGCAGCGTTTGATGAAGGATTTAAGGTGGCGGATTCTCTGCAAGGTTGTTGATGAAAGCAGATTGAGGTTCATCTGGAGTAACACGTTTTGGCACTAAATCATAATCAACCATCGGGTCTCACTGGCACATAAGGAAGTGGATGCGCTTACCGCAAAATCAGTTGTCATAGTCGCAACTTGCATAACCTTTGGCTCCGGTTTTGCAGACGCAGACATACCCTCATCGCGGGCTTGCTTCTTCATCAAGTTTGAGGGGGTAATCCACTCCCCACCGTCCGAGTCAGCGGCTTCATCCTCCTCGTCCTGGGGGTCTTGGGTAATTGGATGTTCGGCCGGACTAGGTTCTTCTTCCACGGCGGCAACTTCATCATGAGGCTTCTCAGCCAGGTTCTCTAGCGCCGTGTTCGCCAGGTCCTCCGCAACCACATCAACTTCAGCTTTCTCGGTATTCTCCTCAGTCTGAGTGGGCTCCGCCGCCGCTACCTCGGGCTGTTTTTCCTCCTCCTTGACGGGTGGCTTGCCATTCACCTGTTTCTGCCCAGGGACGCTGCGCAGCCGCCAATCGCCACCATTCCTCTCACATTCCAGTTCGTATGCAAGTGCCAAAACCTCGATATCAGTTTTACTCAGGACCGCCCTATCACCGGTCTTCTTGGCAAATTCACTCAACAGAGAGACACTCTTGGGGGTCGGAGACCGCTGTTTCAGAAACGGCAGGTACATAGTCTCAACTCTTTGCCGGGCATCAGGATCGCGAATTTCACTGACTACGGAGGGGGTAATGAGGAGTTCCTCACATTGTGCGAGAAGGGTAGATAGAGGCGGGGTATTTTTCAAGATGGGACCAGCATCAAGGACGATGGTGTGAACGGGCTTCAGCGGGGATGTCGCGTCCGCCATCCTGGTGATTTGAGAAGCTATTCTTTGGGCGATAGAGAGAACAGCACGTGCAGATGAGATACACAGGATGTGGTAGCTGGTCTTGTGATGTGATTTGATTTCGCTGGAATTTTAGCTGGTCTGTGCGTTATCCTTATCTTAGCGTGGATACGTTTACCTTACCAAAGGGGGTTAGTTAGCGTATTACAAACAATGGGTCCATTAGGTAACTCGACTGTGGGATTTTGTGTACATGTAGCAGGGAAATAAATAAATAAAAAATTAAAAAGAAATGCATTAAATACATAAATCTCCCCCCACCCCCCAAAGATATCTGCAGACAACAATCCTTCGGGAAAATTGAAAGCATCACGCAGCTCTGAGACATGGATCTTTTGCCATCAAATCTCGAGTAACATGACCTGTCACGGGTGAAGCGATCGCACTGCACGGCAGCAATAGAAGAGATCTCTTTCTTCTACAGAATGCGAATACAATTCATCGTCACGGCCGTTGGAAGATTACCAGGAAACAAGAGTCCACTCTGGGCACCTTGATGGGCAGCAGATCGGCAGTCAATAAAGAGAGAGAGAAGGTACGAACCGCATAAGCCCACTCCAGAACTTTTGCCCTCAGCCTTAATCTGGACCTTTCGATGGATCGATTGGGCTATAGCAGGGGTATTATCTTGTTAGCACATAGCCATTGATTTTCAACATGTAATCGATCAGTTGACGACAGGAGAAGTTGACAGGTAGAAAAACGAGGGTCAGGGTACGGGATCCTAGATATTTCTTGGAGTAAGAAAGTAATATAGATCCAACCTGAGATTGTATATATTGTAGCAAACAGGAACGTGCATATTATAGTCACATTTTCCATTGGGTGAGCTGGTTTGCCCTCGTAATTGGCGTCGACTAGTTACTCATGTAACCCTCTTCACCTGTGATAAGTACTGTACTAACTTATGCAGGAAAGACTAGGTAGGGTTTAGCGAATCCCAGCCGATGGGGCAAAATGCACCTCTTCCTCTCTCTCTCTCTCTATCTGTCTTCTCCGACCACGTTCTGGCGTATTGTCCTTCCCGAATCCATCAAGGATCGCAGGCTTGGCTCAGGTATCATGCCATAAGTTCTTCTCAATGTGTATCAAATTTATGACCGGAGAACTGTAGTGGCAACATCATATCAGGCCAGGGGTACACTACCTTCGAACCGATGATCCACTGCAACAGTAGCAGTAGGTAGTCATTTTCGTGACACTTTGTCGCGGAGTCAATGTATGTGTATATGCATCTGTTGGTGGACTACAGTTCGAATCTGCCGCCTTACTAGATCTTACTAATCTTAGATTGATACGGGAATAAAGAAGAGGAGGGCGAAAAAAAAAGATAAAAGAAAAAGTCCTCGGCGCAATGCAGAGGTGAGTATGAAACGAACGGCAAGATTATTTCTCGGTTTATTTGGCAAAATGACATTTCCAATTGAGAGATCTGGTTCGTGATCTTTAACGCGGAGCATCATCGAAGTTGTCTCGGTCCATCCAGCAAAGCCGTGCCGCTTGAACGCCCTTGAAAACTTTCTCCTGCCGCATGCATACTTCGACTACACACTAAATTAGGGTGATCAAGGAAGGAAATAAAGGAACAAAGAAAGTACCAGGGTACAGCTGGTAGTCAGCTCTCCAAAGTCAGGACACATCGTAGAACTACATAGTCGTACGTGCATATATATACAGATATAGACATCCCCTATTGCCACTGGTCAAGCAGACGGTATCTTGCGTAGCACAACAGGAAATTTTCTCAAATAACAGGAAAGATGGAGTATCGACAGTGCTGAGGAAGTACAACAGTCCTTAGTAGCCATATTATGCTACGTTTACCTAGGAGGATGGTAACCCTACTCGCTCGAAGTCCGGGTCAACTAGATGTGCAACAAGAAAAGGGAAAAAATGATAGAGCAAAATGAAAGAAGATTAAGATTATGTTAACGGGCAGATTCTTCGGTTCTTTGACTTAGAGATTGGTCTAATGGGAAGGGGGACAAATAAAATAGTCAGAATAATTGACCAGTGGATATATAAATAGTTGCACCAGGCAACCGGGATGCCTTCTGCATGCAGTTATGTGTCATATGTTACATTATCACGTACTTTGTTTCTCTCTTTGATATTCTAGACTTTAGCACCTTCGATAGTGCTATCGAGGTAATATTCAATCCATCATCCCGAGGGCAAACATCTCACATGTGCTACAAGGAATCCAATAATGAGACTTATTAGTCCAACATGAACAGTATTGTCTTCACCTCATTGGTAGCCATCAAAGCCCTTGGTGGATTCCCAAGAATAATAGCTTTCCGTTATAGGTCGCACGAGTTAAACTACTTACGCTGAGGACTTAATCGAGCCGACCTAGATCCCTGGCGAGATGTACAGTACGTTTTGTAGGTGGAGTTCAAGGAACCCAACACCTACCAAAAGAAAGAATTAGGGAGACGCACTAAAAGATGCCAATTGCAGGAATCTCATAATCTGCCCGGTAGAGTTGACGCTATCCTTTCAAACTTGAACTCTGGTACCCGAAGATGCAATAATCTTATTTCTTGTTACGTGAAGAAAGAATAAAAAAGGAAAAATAAAATAAAACATAAACAAGAACAGCAAACTCTACATTCGATAATTGCATATATAAATTAGTATGAAACGATAATTATTATAGGGAAAAAATAATCTTGTTGTGTGGGGGAAAATTATGAGGTATCATCTACTACTACCTTGACGCGCACTCCATACTCACGGGCCACCACTGTCTTATTGACTCAACGATACGATAATCGCATGGCGACTAATTCTGACTATACGTGCATTTGCATATGGAAGTTAAGATCCAGCTGTATGGTACTTTGCTCCCCCCTGCATGTTCGTTATTCAATGTGGCTATGTCACTCGCGGAAACTCGTTCCTTTCAAAGCCCGGAAAAGGGAATTTGACACATCGTATTTTCGAGGGCCGAGTTCCTCCTCTAGAACTTCCTTTCCTTTCTCACGGAGACTTCTCAAAAAAGACGAAAAGACAATAAAAGCCATGGACCTCTCCTGGGTCAAAGGGGTAGAAAGAAGGGAATACTACTGTGCATCCCTTGCTCGGAGGCCTACCCCAGGAATAGGATATGGATACCCTGACAGGACAATTCCTTTTTAGGGCGAGAGAAACAGTGATGTCAGTAAGGGCAGCTGTCTGATGGGCTTAGGGCTCAAAAAAATCACTGAGAAAATGCTGGGGGAAAAATTAATAAAAAGAGAAAATAAAGGTACTTCTGCCTTCTCCATAGTGTGTGCGCCGGGACGAAACTATCCCTGACAGTTCCAGATGCAGCCCCCTAGGGCAGGAATCTTCTCCATCATCACGATCCGGTTGCCCCTAAGGAGGGTGGAGCTAGCCGTATGTATGCCTATACTGTACGTACTGTATATACATAATTGCAGAAAATTTTTAGGTATACGGTACTGTTGGATTTTAGGTCTAGTACAAAGTACATTGCGCAATGATGACTATCAATGGATATCTACAGTATCAGACAATTCTGGAAGGTTTGGATACGTCGCTGATGTATTATTCTCGTCCTTTCTAACTGGATCAGGTTATATCCTGGATTAGTTACTACTGTCACTGTCGATCATTCAAATCCGTCGAGTTGAAAAGATCCCAAAGGGCTGGAACTTGCCGCTATCCTTATGTCGCAGGGGCCCTCCCTGGCTCCACCACAACTCAAGCCATGAAAAGCAAATCAGAGGGAAAGAGAAACAGAGAGAGAGAGTAAAAGAAGAAAAAAAATCTACCTATCGACGCCGTAATGTTAAACGCTATTCCTACTCTATGATTAGGTTATTCGACCTCTCCCTTGCTTGCTTACTTTTCCTATCTTCTCTCCCCTTTGTCCTCATGAGACTTTTTAGCCCTAGTCCCTGTCACTGCCTTAGCTTTAGACCCGCAAAAACCTGGAGAAGCAAATGAGACAAGGAGGATCTTCATCCACAAGGTGCTTTATCTGGGCCTATCCCTCATGATCCCTGGCCGTTTCTGGGTCTCTAGGACGTTTATATTTCTGCCCATTCCTCGGTTGGCTGCCCGTGGTCTTTCCCCTCTTAGTGTATCACCGAGTACCACGGCGTACATGAGGGCCATTGCGGCCTGTGTTATGGTTGAGTGACTTCGGTTGTCACACGAACTGCCAGCTCTAGAGACATATATTGAAATTCAAATCGAGACGGGGCTTTTCCTTTGCAGAGTCAAGGCCATAGAGGCTGGTTTATTTCTGGATAGCGACAATGAATATCCAACATATCGTTCACCCGCGGGGTGATGATAAATCATACCTTTCCAGTGGAGGCAAGAGTGGAATGGCTGTTAGCATTTCATTTACGAGCTTAGCGACCATCTTCGTCCTTGCTCGAGTCTATACACGTGCTGGCATAATGAAGCGCATGGAGTCGAACGATTATATGGTTTTGATCGCTCTGGTAAGCTCTCACTATGATCAGGCGATAACCACACATAGTTCTTGAGCTCTAATACGAGGCTCCAGACATTTTCATTTGTTTTCATGGCCTTCTTTCTTATAGAAGCGATGAATGGAATGGGGATGCATGGTGCTGACATCCCACCACCTGTCCTTCTGAGGCAAATGAAAGTGAGTATTGGAATTATTGCAGCTTCCAACAGCAACAGCTTGTCGATACTGACATGATTTACAACCGCCCAGGCGTTCTGGATCACCATCCCGTTCTACAATGCTGCGCTTCTGTGCGCCAAAGCTTCAATCCTTCTTCAATACTTCCGCGTGTTTCCCACCAGACGCATGCGCCTCATCAACTGGACTATGTTGGGAATACTCGGCATCTACGGGTCGTGGGCAGTTCTAAGTGCCTTTCTCAATTGTATCCCAGTAGCCAGATTCTGGGACAAGACAGTTCCAGGGTACTGCTTGGATGACAAAGGGCTGTGGTTCTCAAACGCCTCCATGCATATTGCTACCGACCTTGCAATCTTGATCATTCCCATCCCGGCTCTGTCGAAACTAGATCTTCCCAAGCGACAGAAGATCGCACTGATCACGGTCTTTGCATTAGGCGGATTGTAAGCTCCTCTATGCTATATTGTTTCCCCATTTTTCTCGATATCTAATTACCAATCTCAGTGTATGCATCACCAGTATCTGTCGCCTGGTCGCTTTGAAGAAAATCTCCGATTCCACAGATCCCACCTGTACGTCCTTCATGGATCATCCCCATACATTGCACGAAGAAAGAGATGATAGAACCTAACCGAGAAAAAAACAAACATCTAGTTGATAACGTTGGCGCTGCCTCCTGGTCCGCCATCGAATGCAACGTAGGAATCATTTGCGCCTGCCTTCCTACACTCCGACCTCTCGTATCTCGCATCGTCCCCCACCTCCTATCAACTTTAAGCAGTCGTACTCGAAGCTATAACCGAAGCTACAACAACGGGCCACTACCACACGGTCGCGCCCCGACATACTGGGGCGGTGCTGGAACAGGAACAGTCTCGACCACCATTACGGCAATGGACGATCTCGAGTTCGGCCATAGCGCCGATTCAGATAGGGTTCTAACACTTGTCCCGGGGATGGACATCCACGGCAAGGAAAAGCTCGTGCTGAAGGAAACGAAGAGCATAGAGGATGCTTCTGAAAGAGTGGGGACTAGGGCAGGGTCATCTTTATCACACTGATGTGATGGATGGATGAATTGGGTTGGCGATGGGGCTTGTGAGGTCTGCATTGTAAGGACACATTTTATAGAGATATCCCTTCTGTTTTATGCTTTTATTTTTACGATTCTCTTTCTTGTCGCAGGTGTTCTGATTTCGCTTGCTTTTTTTTCCCTTCTAAATTTCTGATTTGTGTTGCTCTTCTTTTTGTTCCTTGTATATATATATACAAATCACCAACCCATTAATAGAATGCCGAGCAACACACCAAATATGCGTCTCTCGTGAGTAATGAACATCTCAAGGAAAACAATTGCTGGACAAAACAACCCCCGCTAAAAAAAAGGGAAAAGGAAAAATACAGATTTAGTGGAAGATATTGGTTGTATCCGCTCTTGTATAGCTCTATAGAATATTCATGCACACATATATAGATATTACAGATCTAACCTTGAAACCTGAAATAGTCCACGACCTATCGATGGCCATTTCCACCTATAGCCCGAAACAGGAGGTCTTCAGAAATCTGCAAATTCTTTGTCAACCTCCTCGAAGTAGTCAAAAAAGCCCTTGAACAGCTTCACACCCAGGCCAGGATCCAGGCTACCGGTTGTTGCACGAATACTGTGCATACTCAATTGCGGGATCCCTACATCGATGGCTCTCATGCCAATGCGAGCACTGGTCATGGGTCCAATGGTCCCGCCACTACGGGAGTCGTTACGAATGTGGAAAACCTGCAAGGTTGAGCCACAACGATCAGCAACACGCTTGATAAATCCGTAGCTCACACTGTCCGTTGTCATGTGGCCGTTAGAATCAGCTGAGACGGCCACACCGACGTTTAGACGGGGAGCATGGTTCTCCAGGTATGCGTTGAGGAAGTTTGGGTTGACTGCATGGATCACGTCTGACGACACGAAGAAGCTGTTCGCCACAGTCTGCGCTAACACGTTGGGACCATAACTGGGCGAAAAAGCTTCAGTAATGCGCTCCATGACGCTACTCATGAAATTGGACCGAGCTCCTTGGCGAAGCAAGCTTCCGATTTCTTCGTCGTCAAACATGCCTACCATCTTGATAGAGCTGGTTGAAGTACTGTCTGGTGATGCAAGTAGAGCCTCTTGAGCGGCATAGCAGCAAAGCTTATCGTCAATCCGTCCAGCGAAGATCAGATCCTTATCTAAGCCACCAAGCCGTGCTGGCTGACTGTCGTACAGCTCCAGCTCCCAGTTGATGATTGAGCTGTAGTTTGTAATACCAAGTTCTTTGGATATGACTTTGACAAGCTTCTCCGGCTGCGTGCTTGCAAATGTGCCGGACTTGATCCCACTGCTGTGGTCGGTCGTGGACGGGGTTTGCTCCTGGAAGAGATCGGAGTTATCAATACCAATGATAGGAACCATTTGAGTCTCTTTGTTAAAGGGGCCTTGTGAGGGGGCTCCAAAGTGAGGGGCCAGGGTTGGGATCCGGGCAACCGGCCAATCCAACTTGATTAATCTAGACTCGATTTTCCCGGTGTTGGGATCCTGGACCAGGACACGGCCACCGATTGAGAGATCGCGATCCCACCATGTGTCGCCTAGGGCGCCTGCGTAGGGCGCGACTCCGAGTTGAAGAAAGCCAGCCTTGGTGGGGAGCTTGGACACTGGCTTCAATTTGGCGGTGAGTGCATCGATATGACCGGCGACAATGGCCATGCCATTGCCACTCTTATAATCTTTTCCGATTGAGAATGAGATAAAGGCACTACCATTACGCGTAACGTAGTACTTCCCACCCTTCTCTAGCTTGGAGTTCCACGATTCACGCTCGGGAAGGCGCTTATATCCCTTGCTTTCGAGCTGCTTTGTGAAGCCGTCGACTGCATGAAAAATCGTGGGGTTTGCTGTCATAAATTCACAGTATGGCTTCGAATAGTCTTCTGGGGAAAAGGAAGTAGTGCTCGCAGTTGAGGATGTAATGGTGGCTGGGGTAGCCTCAGGAAGCTGACCCGACAGGCGATAAGCCATGGCAGAATCACGGAGATCAAGAACACTCCTCTTGGTCATGTTGAATGCTAAGGGCTAAGATTACTGGGTCTAATCATAAAAAGTTCTTTGTAATGAGACTAAAAGAGGGGTAAAGGCGAGGGAAATGAGGAAGCCAGGTAAATGGGAATGGTTACGAAGAGGGGAAGAAGAAGGAAAGCTGAGCTGGAGCTAAGGTGCTGCCCGGTCATGCCTTATCGGGGAAGCTGATAAAAAAAAAAGGGCCCTCAGGCGCGCCAAGGCGGCAGTTGTACTCCGTAGTATGGTCAATACATTATGCATACTACACAATTCAAGAAATTGACCAATGCTGGCCATCTATTCATTGGAATATAATATGTACCCCAAGATCAAGATTGCTGCGCAGAGTAACAAGTAGTGCAACACGCACCAAAAAAAAAAGAGAGGTCGAGAAAGATAAATTTAGCCCACTGTTGAACTGACCCTTAACTGCTCGAACCCACGTAAGCATTCCAGTCTACAAGGCCACCCGCACACTGCTCGGTAATTGCTGGACCCATGGTTGTCACAACCTCTCGGTTCCCTCGCACGATAGAGATTCTTACAGGACCGGTCTGTCCGTTGAAGCGAAAAGATCCATGGTTGAGACCAGGCGCTGCATCAAGAACAGAATGTGGGCCTGATCCAATTTGGACATGGATCTCGCTTGGCTCAGCAACAAAAGCGCTGACAAACACCTTGTCCTGTGAGACCTCATGAGGCTTCATTTCTGGTTGTCCTATGCGTGGATTATTGCCAGTCGTGCCGTCAGCGCTACCAGACTGCCCTGGGTTCAATCGATACCAGTAAACGACCTTATCCGCATGAGATATTGGGTACTTCTGGTGGAGAACAGTTCTGGCTGCGTTGCCACGGCTGTTCGCGATGTTCCGTCTATATGCATCGATGTAATGGGGCAAAAAGGTTCGCCATGCGTCATGGGGGTGATTAGCGATATAACGCGAAGCCCCTTCAGGCACTCCAGCCTCATAAATAGGGCCGATGTAATGCGCCTCTCCATAATCATTCCAACTCAAGATCTAGAAGGCATGAGCCCGTGGGAATCGCAAATAACTAATACGAAAATAAGAATGACTATACCTGGACAAGCGGCGGCTGCAACTCAATAACCTGCTTCCAACGATAATGCCATAGATCATCTCCACGCCACAGCCAATTCTTGTTCCACTGGGGGAGATTTGTGTAGAACCAGGGAGCGACGGGCATCATATATGGCCTTCCTGAAAGAGCCTTCATCCAATCCAAATCGTTGGACACCTTCATGTCCTGTGCACCAACAGGCCAAGCATCCCAGCTGAAGGCACCGTCAACATCATCCAAAACATTGCGTATACCCGCTGGTCCCATGCTTGTCCAGGACGGAATAAATAGACAACCCGTGGCGGCCTTGATACTTGGCCAGTCGCCTGAATTTCCAACACCTTCAAACGTTGACACCAGTGGCTTCCCCTTGTAATAGTACTGTGCCTTTCGATTTTTATAAGCATTAATAATAGTGATAGCTCGGTCTGCCGGCCACGGCCCTCCAGACAAATAGTCAAAAGAGATGAAGAGGGAAAAGTCTCCAATCTTTTCAGCTGCATCATATGCGGCTAGGAGGGCTCGATCAGTATGATGATCTTGCGGTGCAATGTTCAACGCAAACCCATCAATGTGTGCTTTCTGCGCCTCTATAATGTCTGACTCCCATTGGTCAGGCGTCATATAATACGCATTTCCAATCTAAAGTTAATCAGCATGGCACATTGCTTTATGAATACGAAGCCTTCTCTTACAATAAAGTGAGCGAAGACATTATGCGAGTCGGACAGCACAGGGACAGACTGCGGTGCATCTTGGGTAGCGACAGGGGGAACTGCTAGTAGTAAAAAGCAAAAATTAACCGATAAATCTCAAGCGCATGAAATGTTAATGCGAGATACAGAGCAGAATCATATAATTGTCGTCAAGCGATGTGCACAGTGGAATTCTGAAGGTATTCCGTCATATGGTTTATTCTCTGAAAATCCGACCAATTTGATAAGAGGCAGCAATGTAGAATAGCATAGTGTTTCAAGAAAGTATGTTTTTCTCTTCCAGGATGACTGAGGACAAGTAGAATATAACCCACCTTGTGCCATTGGAGGCTGCTGGTATTGCTGTTGATATTGTGGTCGAGGCTGTTGCTGGTGATGCCGATGATGGCGGAGTTTCCCCGGGTTATGGACATGGTCAAGTATACGATCGAGATGTTTCATTGTGGAGCCCCACGTGGTAGTAAAGGGATCTCGGAAGAAAGGTAAGAATTGAAGAGAGGAATACTACTTCAACAACAACTACAGTACGCAGAAGTGATATGTAGAGAGGTTTCAGGTATTCAAAACGCTAGGAGGGGCTAAAGGATTTTTAAAGTGGACAGAATCATTACTAGATTTGATTCTCCTTGTACCATTTATCTAAACTCTCGGAGACCGAGGAAACAACACGAAGCATGCGCAGTCTCTCAGGTAGACATACATATATACATATCTAGGTATACATACATGCATCGTTTAGGCTTCAATTTCCTTTTTCGACACCTGATTGACCAGTTGTTCAGCTCACATGACCGATCGGCTCCATTTCTTTGGGCACTGGAAAGAAGTAGGCTCCCGCCTGATCTATCATATACTCCACATACACTCACTCTCACTCACTCTCTCTCTCTGTGTGTATCTCTCGTGTGTGCTAGAGTAGTTAATTTTCTCGCCAATAACTTTCATTGCTCGTGGCACTGACAACGGCGTCACCGAGAAACAAGAAAAAAAAAGACTTCTCCCTCGATAGTGAAGAGCTTGGAAAAGGAACTCAACATATTTTAGTATAATTAATTCGTATAATTAATTCTACTCAAGAAATGGTTGTGGTTGGCCGTTCCAAGATTTCCTCCCCAGGCCGACTCATAGTGATGTCAGTTTTGATGATGTATTCGATTTCCGGTATTTATTGCCTTTTAATGAGTCCAAGCGCCAATCCAAGGTAACCCTACTAATTTTTTGTAAGAAAAAAAAGGGATAACATTGGATAGCTCGAAATGGCTGCTTCTCAAGCTGCAAATATCGTCGAAAAGGTAGTTGGACACAGTGACAATGCCACTGTCACAACCGATGTCAGTAATTATGCAAAGGGTACCTATGGACAAGAAACGGGTAAGAAGATCAAGGCTACGACGTGGCAAGGGAAGAACAGTATCCAAGTTGGTAAGTCTCGTAGCCCGATATAGAAAGATTTGGTCTAACTAGCCAACAGTCGAGATGCCAAAGCCTAGAGTCATCGATGAAGGCGATGTTCTTGTCAAGGTAACTGGTAGCACAATCTGTGGAAGCGATCTCCATCTATATCATGGTATGAATTCTCCCCAACTTGTCCTCTGGGGGTGCGGCGACTTATTTCATGACCTAGGTGTCATTCCCCAGTTAGAGAAGGGCGACGTTCTCGGCCATGAATTCTGTGGTGTTGTGGAAAGTGTGGGACCGGCTGTAAAGAAGATCAAGGCTGGAGACCGCGTTGTTGCAGCCTTTCCCATTGCTTGCGGAGAATGCAGAAACTGTAAGGAGAAACTCACGTCTGCCTGCGAACGGACAAATGAAAACTCCATCACGAATGCGATGTATGGTAAACGAACGGCAGGTATGTGGTTTGTATCTAGATGCCTAAGGTCGGCTGAAGCTCATCATCCTGCTTGTCCCAGGCATTTTCGGCTATAGCCATTTTACCGGTGGCTTCGCTGGAGGCCAAGCTGAATACGTTCGGGTGCCTTACGGCGATGTTAACCTGCTACAACTCCCAGAGGACGTCCCAGATGAGAAGGGCCTTTATCTCTCTGATGTTGTGGCAACTTCGTATCATTGCGTCGTCGATACAGGGGTGAAGAAAGGTGATGTTGTGGCCATTTGGGGCGCAGGCCCAATCGGTCAAATGGCGGTGGAATTCAGTTTTAGCCAGGGAGCTACTCGCGTCATTCTTATTGACGGAGGAGAGGGGGCATGGAGGTTGCAATTTGTCAGAAACAAGATTCCAAAGCTTGAGACAATTGATTTCAGCGATCTACCAAGGGGAGAATCGATAACCTCCCAGTTGAAAAAGATGGTGCCCGGAGGGCCAGATGTAGCGCTAGAATGTGCTGCGGGAGAATACGCCAAAGGATGGGCACATTACTTTGAGATGCTCCTGGGAATGGAGACAGATACCTCGGAGATTTTAAATGAGATGATCACTGCTGTCCGACCGTTTGGACGTATTGGAATAACAGGCGTTTATGCTGGCTACGTAAGAAAATGCTCTGGGTCCTACGATCTACCCTCAGCTTTTCGCTAACCACTGTATAGACAAATCACTTCAACATTGGCGCTCTTATGCAGACTGGGATTCGGCTCATTGGCAACGGCCAGGCACCCGTACAGAAATATTGGGAGCACCTTTTGGAGCTCATACGGCAGAAAGATATCAATCCATTGGACATGGTAACCCACCGTGTCGAATTGGAGGATATGCCGGAATTGTACGCGGCGTTTGAGAGACGAGACAAGGGCATGCAGAAGGTCTTTGTCCAGACCAAGTTCTCGTCCCCACCATCGGAAGGATCACCACAACTGACCAAGTTTTGAACCGATATCTCTGCGCTTGTACGGGATTTCAATCAGGGAAGGTTGACATCATGCAATCTGCGAATGTAACCCAAATGTCAACATAAAAGAAAGCCATAACGATCAGGTACAGAGTAAAATTCGGGGATTAAAAGAAAGGTAGTCAATCGGCGAGGATCGGGAGACGGGAACCAGCCCAGTCCATGTACCTAAATAAGCATTACTGCCTTGGTACTATTTCCATCCCTTCGACAAATAGTAATCTAGTCCGAGTTGAGAGCAATTTGTCCAAACTTAATCCCGCTCCCATTGATGCTGGGTTGCCTTACTGCGTGTTTCAAAAGGTGATTGCACACTTGTATGCAGTACTTTGCGCCTTATAACTTTGCGCAAGGGGACCACAGGATATTGTCTAGACATATTGCTATACTCTGTACACAGCTTTCCTACGGAAGTCGGTCAATTAAGTATCCCTTCGAAGGAAAATACCATAGCAATTTTGGTCCGTGTTTCGCCCGTTTGATTCCGTTGATCGGCAAAACCGAGCAGGGCACTGGTTAATTGAAATGATAGAGAAGGGCAGTCGGGACTTCAAATATTACTAAAACGAAGGGAAAATTTTCTTTCTTCCGTCCCCTCTTTAAAGCTTTGGTCCCATCAGCTATGCTAAACAAGGCTAACAGCATTCGTCTGTGCAAGGGATCGTCGATGGACGGCTTAGTGTATTACGGCATCATATAACCGTTTACGGTAAGGCGGGATCAGATAAGATCAGACGATGGAGGGATATAAAGTACCGACTGGAAAGCATTGCCATTATAGTCGATATCGCTCCTCGAGTCTACGGACGAATATGGTAAAGGGAAAAAAAGTTTTCTTCACTATGAGACTAGGGCCGTCCGAACCATTCATGGTACCTCTTGTATTTTATTTTGACATTTCATCGATAATTGCTCCTTGATAGCACGTTTACACTTGAACCTCTTGAACTGAGGACACTTTCCCAAACAAGCCTGATTATTGGAAACAAAAGAATGACTTAGCAAACTACCCTGATTTACTAGACCACTTCTCCCTCTTCTCCCTCTTCTCTTTTTCTCTTTACATTTTGATTTTTCTGCGAATGGTGATCGTGGCCACCGCGGGTGAACAGGTTCCACATTAGTACCGAAAAGAGTAGTACCCACACCTACCTCATGGCTCGGAGTAAGAGAAAATTTGAGGTAATGCGGAATTTTTTGACGGGGCCTGTAGCAATTGAATTGAAGCCACCACTTCAAAATTATCTCATGCATATCTGGGACGAAATTGTTCGAGCTATCCACGATTGAAATGTTGAGAGTATTTCGGTGGTTCTACCCAGTCGACCGCGCTAATTGGGCAAGTATAGCAGAATCAGTAAAGGAACTGCAGGGCAAAGAGTTGGAAGCTTTAGTGGTTTATGCCCTAATGGATGCCAACCCCAATGTCCCCAGCATTGATTGATAACCAGCGAGCAATCATGGGTCAACGAATGAGAACCTCAAGCGAGGAGGTGGCTCCACCAGTCGCCGAAATCGGTGAGACCGCACGATAATCTAATCTGATCCGATCGCCTTTTTCCAGTCCTGTTTCCCCCTGGGTTCACTCTCTTCTCTCTTCTTTTTCTAAACCTTCATTCTACATCTTTCCTATACTTTTGTACCATCCAGAGATTCTATGCGTAGACACATCAAACACAAAGAGAATTGCTTCGACATTGCACTTCTCTCGGCCTATCAACCCTTCGTCTCGCTTACTGGTTGCAGGAGCGCACTTCCGCTCTTCCGGCCGAAGCGATCAAGTGACACCACCTGTTGGTCTCCTTCCGACCCTTTACCATCTTAACCTTCTACACCCGTGGCCTGGGGACATGACCGCTGACTTGTACCCAGACCACCTCTTGAAATAAAGAGGCAACGATTAACAAGATGGCAACTCCCGCGCCCTCAATAGTCCCTGCGCCCACCCCAGCTCCGCTGGCTCCCGCAATTGTCGCCAAGCCAGCGATTTCACCGTCTCCCGGACCGGGTACACCCGGATCCGTCACCTCCAAGGAATGGGTTATTCCACCACGTCCCAAGCCAGGCCGCAAGCCGGCGACAGATACGCCGCCTACCAAGCGTAAGGCACAGAATCGAGCTGCTCAAAGAGCGTTCAGGGAACGCAGAGCTGCTCGTGTCAATGAACTCGAAGACCAAATTAAGAAGATCGAAGACGAGCACGATATTCACGTGGCAGCGCTCAAGGAGCAAATCTCAAACTTATCTCATGAAGTCGAGCAGTGCCGGAATGAAATGTCCTGGTGGCGCGACCGATGCCACGCTTTGGAGAAGGAGGTCTCTGTTGAAAGAAGCGCAAAGGAAGCCCTTGTCAAAGAATTCCGGTCGTCTCTATCAGATAATAATGTGCCTGCTGATAGAGTGCCTTTGACGCGTGTGTCAGCCAGGAACGCTACAAATGAAAGACCTTCACCGAACAACGCCAACAGCAGTAGTAACCAGGAGGAAGTACCACTTGGCTGTCCTAGCTGTTCTTCAACACACTGTCAGTGTATTGAAGATGCCTTTGCAATGCCGGGCGTTGAGTCATTGCACTCTAAGCGTCTTGGTGCCGCAGGTCAGGGCCGTTCTGAGCCTGAGATAAAGCCCGACCCGGAGGAGATGGAGATCGACTTTACCACACGGTTTGCGGCACCCCAACCGCAGGAAGACAGCGCCACTGCTGTCTCATCCCCCGCGGTTGACCCGTGCGGTTTTTGCCAGGACGGCACTCCCTGTATTTGTGCGGAAATGGCAGCCCAGGAAGAGCAGCGTCGACAGTCTTTCGAGAATAATCGTCTTGCACCTATTCAGAACCTGTCCCAGTTCACACCGCCGCCATCTGATGGCGATGTTCGCTCTGAAGTTACTTTACCGCCAATTAGCCAGGCCACCAATCCTTGTGCGAATGGACCTGGCACCTGTGCCCAATGTCTTGCCGACCCAAAAAGTACCCTTTTTTGCAAGACGCTGGCGGCCTCCCGCTCCGCCAGCGTTGCCTCCTCCGGATGTTGCGGCGGTAAGGGTGCCGACGGTGGGTGTTGCCAGACACGCAATTCCAACCCTCCCCGTGCTGCCAATGTCAAACCCACATCCGGTAGATCTACGACTCCCTCACTGACACTCTCCTGTGCCGATGCCTTCACGACATTGTCACGGCACCCGAACTTCTCCCGTGCTAGCGATGAAATCTCCTCGTGGCTTCCTAAGCTTCACACATTACCGAATCCAAAAGATGTTGCTTCACCCGAACGATGTTCTTCAAGAGCAGCACTAGAAGTTGAGGCAGCGAGCGTAATGGGCGTCTTACGCTATTTTGATCGGAGGTTCGCCGACAAATAAGGCGTCCATCCAATCACCTTCATGAGTCTATGTCATATATTTCTTTAATTCTTTCCCTTCTTTATGATACCCAAACTTGACTCACGCGTGTCTGAGTTTGTATTCTATAACACCTTTTTTCGAACACTATGGAGGATACAATTTGGCTTCTAATACATCTTTGGGCCTTGTATGTTCTTAATCCGGCCTCCATGATCTGCACTTTGGGGACTACAGAAAGAAGGAGGCAAGAGTTACCCTCTTGCTTCGCTTCTACCCTACTCTTTAAATTAAACGGAGATGGGTGGATGGACACGGTATGGAACGGACACAATTCACTTCAGTGATTAGACGGGTTGATGATCGGCGTTATTTCTAAATTTCCCCCATACTTTCATTTGGGATGATTTTGGATGACACAATAAAACTCATAAATGAAAAAATGACCTAAAATGACTTTATATATGGTTTGGTCTGCGGCTTAACTGGAAATAACATCATTCTACTCGATAGAGGCCTATACAGTTTTGTGAGATGATGCTGAAGTCAGTTATATAGCTGGAATGAGTATTTCTGAGTGGCGACTTTATTGGCTTGATGTATCTATCTACCGACATACAACATGGTTTTGAATAGGGAATTATTCAAATATATAGAATGAATAGTTGTCGCCGGTTTTGCTTTTTATAGAAATGAGTGGCTCTATGCAGAGATGAGATGGTTGGTGTATCATGATGTTAAACCTGGACCTGCACAGTGATATACATATTCCACATGTTAGACAGATACATGATGAATGGGGTTTCAAGAACACGAAAAAGAGCGCCGCCATGACTGAGATCTATATATTAAACGAGGACAGGCCCAACGCCTTCATCCCCCTTGCGCCTGCTAGGTGAAGCAAAAAGTATATCGCACAGTAGCGATGGGGATATTGGGTAAGGCTAAGGACAAGGTTGAATCACGAGAAAGGGGACTGGGTATGATAAAGAAAAGACGGGCGGGTTGGTTTCGGGGAAACAGTGGATATCAATTGATATGCATTAAATGTGATACCATGTGTTTCAATCAAAAGCGGCCTCCACTGGCCATTGCTCCATCATCCCCGCCGGCACCAGCACTTCCAAGGAAGCTGGCGCCCCAAATACCGGCAATTCCCCACATACCAATTCTCCAGCCGCGGTATAAGCCATGGATTCCCTGGCCCTGCCGTTTCTTCAGCGTAATGGGCTTGTCAAATAAGGCTTGTGCCCTCTCAGCTTCTGGGCTCGATTGAACGCCCTCCTCGTAAACAACACCCCACATCGTTCCAACAATACCCCTGTATGTACGGGGTGTCGGGACGATAGTTTCGACCTCTGGTACTTCCGCGGCGGCCTCTGCGGATTTTGTAGAACGTAATCCACCAGTGGAGTGTTGCTGGACACTTGGGGATGTGAATGTTGCGATCTGCGCGCGACGCAAAACAGTCTCCAGAGGAAACCGAACTGCCAGTTCCAAGCCGGATCCCATGAACGTGAACAGGTTCCACATGGACGGGTTTAGAACAGGGTCAAGGGACAGGTATGATTTTAAGAAGAGCGGAGTAGTAGTCATTATGAAATTAGGCAGACTCGAATGGAGGATCGTGATGGGGACTAGGTGAGGGGGTACGGTGCAATTGGGAGTCGGGATTTGGCGAATAGCTCGAATAAGGGAGCGCGGTCCATGTGTGACAGGCGTGAGAATGAGGAGTGTGCGAGCGGTATCAATCGGAGAGAGGATCAATGCAGACAAGGATGTAGAGATGAATGACAGAACCAATGTGGCGATTGGGGAGGTCGAAGTCAGAATGTCCGCTGTCATAGAAGACGAAATATCCTCCTCTGGTAGCCCCACAATGGCTGATAGAAGACTGCGAATGAAGGTGTTGAGAGTTGGGAGGAGAAGAGAGTAAATGAATGTCGCATTGGTCGCCTTCCATGGGGACGTTGGTCCGCTGGTAGTCCACAACTGCGAAAGTACGTCGATCAGGGAGCTTGGGTTTTTGATTTTCAAAGAATATCGGGAAGAGGGGGTTGAGGACTGGATGTAACCGCTTCGATCGGTAATATGGCGTCGAGACTTTCGAGAGCGTGGGTTCGACGGTGACGAGACCGCAGGGGCTGTCGACGTGAAATAACTGCTCTCGTCATCTGAGGATAGCGCATCCTATTCACCCAAAACAGCGTTAGCCATCCCCGATATTCTCCTTCCATTTAGGATATCACATAACACGCACAACACCCTCTTCTTCCTCTTCATCATAGAGATCGCTCCGAGTACTCGAGCTTTGCCTGTGGCCATCCAGTGGCCACTGCCCATCCTGAGCGTCTGACACGACATAGACCTGTAAGATGGTTTTTGCGACGTCAAACGGCTGCGCAGTCAAGAGACTGGTATATTTCCAAAGTGCACGGTCCAAAGCATCTCGAATCCAGCTTGATACCGAAGGAGAGTTCTCCAGGTAATCCGAGTAGTCCAAGTCGGACAGCAAGTCGCGAGCAGAGCTTCCAAAAACATGGGCCGATGACGCATCGGGAGGGGATGAAGTGGCGTTGGTAGCTTCTAGTCCGGATGGGGGGAAGTAATAAGGGCGTAGAGGATTAGGCCCTTCACGAGAAGAGGACATGATCGGGGTAAAGGAATCTCTTATAGTGTTATAGTGGTATACGATAATTTGGGGGAGGAGGGGCGGTGGTAATAAGTTTAGAAAGTTGGAAGTAGTCAAAAAAAGGTTAAGTTGGATTTAATGATTATGTCCGAATTTCCCGCCTTCCTCGGGGTTTTAATCTACTAGTACTCTTTTTTCTTTCTCCTCAGACTGACTGCCAATTGAATGACCTTGAATTACCCTGACTCATCCTCCACTTCCCCCTTCACTTTTATTCCCCCCTCCCCTCCTGTTCACTAATATCGGATAACCATGTCTTTCTGGAGAGAAACGTTCCTCAGTTTTCGTCATGCCGTGCCGAAGACCGTCTCCGGCGATCGCATATGCCGCGCTCAATCGAAACGGTTTCTTACCCATTCCTCACAGACTTCTCGGGTGACCGCTCCTGTCCGATTCTCATTGCAGATTAGCAGACCCTGGTTCCCTATGAGTCAAGCGCGGTCATGGAACGGATCGAACCCAGGATGTCGAAGCTTTTCGGCCACTGCGGGAGTTCAGCACGGCCATATCACACCTCCGAAGCCCGGGGAGGAGTAAGTCATGGGGGTTCTATCATGTTTCTGGATGGAGTACATGCTGATACGTTACCCAGAATTAACGTCTCTTTCATTGATAAAGATGGCGAAAAGTATGATTTCCAAGTATCCGAGGGAGATAATTTGTTGGATATTGCGCAGGCCAACGATCTTGAAATGGAAGGTTCGGAGCCCCTTAAGGACACTGTGCAGTGCGCAGTGTGTTATTCCGAATATTGACTTGAATCTTCCTTGTACTAGGAGCTTGCGGCGGCTCATGCGCCTGTTCAACATGCCATGTCATAGTGGAGGACCCCGACCTTTTTGACAAGATGGAAGAACCATCCGACGACGAGAACGACATGTTGGATTTGGCATTCGGGTTGACCGAGACATCTAGGTTGGGATGTCAGGTCGTCATGAACAAGGAACTTGACGGACTAGTTGTCCGTTTGCCCTCCATGACCAGGAACTTGCAGGCAAGTGACTTTGAACCAAAGAAATAAAGCCGGCAAGGACACTGTATCGTGATGTGATGGCATCAGTTGGGAGATATGTAAGACGTGTTCAAGCAACGCAATGAACCAGCAGTCGGAACGATTATATAATATCGGATGATGCCGTGGGATGTAAATGTATATTGTACTATTGGGTATTCTCATCTTCATTCTATTTTGCAATAGTATGTAAATAGAAATAACTTTTAATCCAAACGTGCAATTGACTAAAGAAGGGAAAAAAGAGAAATAGCATAAGGAACAAAAATCCCCCAACGCCTTAAAGATGCCTAGTTCTTAAACATGTACAAAGCTTCATTTAGGCTTCTTCGATATTCAAAGGCTTGCCCTTCTTCCCGCTGATCAGTTCCAGAAATCCTTGTTTGCTAACCTCATTGACGGCCTTCTCTCGTTCGCCGATTCCGATAGTACCCTTCTTTCTCTCGCCCTTGGCCGCTTCTTCTCCACGCACTTGAGCTGCACGAACGGCGTTGAACAGTTTCACCACACCACGCTGAGCGACCTTGCGAAGACGCTTCTCTTCTTCTGCAACAGCGCCAGCCTCGCCTCGTTCGATTCCTAGGACATCACGAATCCGGCCGCGATCTAACTCCTCCTGCTTATCAGCGCGCAGTTTAGCTCGTGCTTGCTTGTCCAATTTCTCATCCGCAAAATCTGTGCTGGCTTGGGTAGCTATTTTGCTGCGTGAGAGAACAGGATCTGCACGGACAGAGGAGGGTAGTTTCGTCGCTAAAATTTTAGAGATAGAGGTGGAGAAGGCTGAAGGATCGTTACGTTTGGGGACAGCTCTATGGTCCGTTGTTGATGTCGGCGTAGAGACATCGGAGTTGTAATCATCCTCATCCTCCTCTACGCCAGAAGATGCGTCTGAACTCGAGGAGTCACGATCTTGCTTATCGTCGTCGTCGGCGGATTCGTCATCGTCGCTCTCTTTGTCCATTCTTTTATTTGAAGAGATTTCGGACTTCATCTGTTTCTTCGGCTTCTTCACTTCTACCTCCTCCTCAGAATCCGCCAAACTGACCGCTTTAAAATCGGTTGGCTCGTCATCTTCCGCCTCGTCGGAGCTGCTGTGGTATTCGCGCTGTTTCCTGAACTTCTTAGGTCGGCCGGTTTTGCCCTGGAGACCTTCCAAGACCTTGCGCTTCTTCGCTGTAGTTGAAAGACGCATGATGAATGAGGAAACTTCGAATATGAACCAAGGGAATTTCTCTTTTGGGTTGAGATATGTTTCAATTGAATTCCTTGAGTTTTCTTTTTTTTTTTTTTTTTTTGCTAATACATACATTTAAGGCGGAGAGAAGAGCGATGGCACTGATTGGCCGAGCGCCCGTTCCAGACTCTCCGCATCTGCCCAGGTGACCTCTCGAAGTTCGAACATTCCATCCAGCTGTTCTTCTCCTCCGATTAACTGACTTCTGCACCCATTATCCTCTTTAGAATCTATATTCTGATACATATATTTTCACTCTAATCTAATATTCCGCCATGGTCCTTCAGGATCTCGGCCGGCGTATCAACGCCGCCGTCAATGACCTGACTAGGTCCAACAATCTAGACGAGAAGGTTGGTATATTGTACATCCAGAGTTCAAGTACATTCCGCGCAACTGACACCTTCTAGGCTTTTGATGACATGATAAAAGAGATTTGTGCGGCCCTTTTATCGGCTGACGTAAACGTCCGTCTCGTCCAGTCACTTCGGAAATCCATCAAATCCAGCGTGAACTTTGCCTCTTTGCCATCCGCCGTCAACAAGAAGAGGTTAATTCAGAAAACTGTTTTCGATGAGTTGGTCGCTCTGGTAAATCCACATGCAGAGTCGTTTCGCCCTAAGAAAGGCCGATCCAACGTGATTATGTTTGTTGGTCTTCAGGGTGCCGGTAAGACGACTACTTGTACGAAGCTGGCCAGACATTATCAGATGAGGGGTTTCAAAACGGCACTTGTTTGCGCGGATACTTTCCGTGCCGGTGCTTTTGACCAGCTGAAGCAGAATGCGACAAAGGCCAAGATCCCTTACTATGGAAGTCTGACACAGACCGACCCCGCTGTGGTGGCGGCCGAGGGTGTCGCTAAATTCAAGAAGGAGCGTTTCGAGATTATCATCGTCGATACTAGTGGCCGTCACAAGCAGGAAGAGGAGCTTTTCACGGAAATGACTCAGATTCAGACCGCTGTCACCCCGGATCAGACTATCTTGGTCCTTGACAGTACGATCGGTCAGGCAGCTGAAGCCCAGTCAGCGGCTTTTAAGGCGACGGCTGACTTCGGTGCCATTATTATTACGAAGACAGACGGTCACGCAGCTGGAGGTGGTGCTATTTCCGCTGTGGCGGCCACGCATACTCCCATTATCTTCCTTGGTACGGGTGAACATATGATGGACCTCGAACGCTTCGAACCGAAAGCTTTTGTTCAGAAGCTACTGGGAATGGGTGACATGGCAGGATTAGTCGAGCACGTTCAGGCCGTGACCAAGGACTCAGCAGCTGCCAAGGAGACTTACAAACATATCTCGGAAGGTATCTATACGGTGCGCGATTTCCGAGAGAATATTTCTTCCATTATGAAAATGGGTCCTCTGTCCAAACTTTCTGGCATGATCCCTGGCTTGTCAAATCTCACTGCAGGCCTAGATGACGAAGATGGCTCACTCAAACTCCGCCGCATGATTTACATCTTTGACAGTATGACCACGGCAGAGCTTGACAGCGACGGCAAAATCTTTGTGGAGCAACCCAGCCGTATGGTCCGTATTGCCTGTGGTAGCGGCACGACCGTGCGCGAGGTCGAAGACCTTCTATCGCAGCACCGCATGATGGCTGGTATGGCCAAGCGCGTCGGTGGGCAGAAGAAGCAGATGCAACGAGCCCAAAACATGCTCAAGGGTGGCAACAAAGAGCAACAGCTTGCAGCGATGCAGAAACGAATGGCTTCCATGGGCGGTGCCGGTGGCGCAGGTTTCCCTGGAATGCCTGGTATGGGCGATATGGCTAAGATGATGCAGATGTTCCAAGGACAGGGCGGTGGCAGCGGTTTGCCCGGCCTTGGAGGGATGGATTTACAGGGTATGATGAGCCAGATGAGTGGATTGATGGGCGGAGGACGTGGTAGAGGACGGTGATTCAAACGTTTTGCTTCTCATGTCAATTTTCGTTTTTCTCCTGTAACTGTTTTACGTGGTGATACCGCTTAATGGGTCACGATTTATCGATTGTATACCTGCATGTGGATGGTGTTAGGCGCGTACTGTTTTCATTGCTACGATACAACCTTTTACCTTCTTCAACGGACGATGTTCATGTGATATCTCGTACGTCAATACATTACATTAGTGATGGAACTTAAGTCTAGCTCATTGTGTTGCACACCAAGATAGATTTTACAGTGTAAATGAGTACACTGGTATTCATTGTGAAAGCGGACAATAAACACATCTATACCAACTCCGCATATCTATTTAGTCCAGTCTCTCCGCAGTTTCTGCTTTATCCAAGAATTTATAGACTTGATCTATAGTACGGCTAACCAGCCGTCTTCCCACTTCTTCTACCTGGCCGAGTGCGGCCGTGAACTGAGCATCCCACCCAACAGTTTCGCGATTGTCATCAAGAACCTTACCAGGTAGGAGTCGTGGGTGTCTAACGGAGGCAGCAGAAGCGATAATATTCTCGTACCCGGGCAGTGGGACGCTGAGACTATATCTCCAGGCGACATCCTTGTCAACGTAGAGCGAGTAGGTAAGGACGGAGCTGGGTACCATTGCAGTCTTCCCAGTGGCAGTGAGCACAGGTTCGTCACGGATGTCGATATTGATCAGGCCGTACTTGGTATTACCGGTTGGGATGTACTTGACCATGACATCTTCGTTGTCGGTTTGATGGTAGGTCCGGATGGGTAGATAGAACATACTGAGCGGACCGACACTGAACTCATGGAGGCCTTCTCCAGCGGTATCGGGGAGGAGCTCATCGGGAGTGTAGTCAAACGTTGGATCGGGGAATCGGGTTGCCCCGAACTCGTGTCTGTCTCCGCTCAGTAGAATAATGCGAATTCCCAGCTCTCGCTCGGCACGCCACATAGCTTCAAAGACTGTGCGACGTTCATTCAGGAATCCTCCCCATGTGTCGGTCGTGCCGACATGCCAGTTCTTGGTAAAGGGGACGCTGGAGGCGACGATCTTCCAGCGCACTTCGGCTGGTTCGGGGCGAGACAGATACGCAAGTAGAGACTGCAGCTGCGCCGAGCCGATAATAGTAGAGTCGGGTTGCGCAGGCTCGGAGCGATAGGTGCGGGTGTCCAGCATAAAGAATGAGGCCGGCCCGTTAATGAATGAGAAATAGGTCGTGTTCTCGGGTTTGGCAAAAGGGGTGGCCGGAATTGGGGGATTTATACTAACGTGGTAGTGGATATAGGGGTCGGCTGCAGCCAAATAAAGTGCCGTGTTGTTGCCCTTGGACCAGTCATTCTCGATCTCATGGTCGTCCAGTGTGTGAATCCAGGGGAGATCGATGGCCGGGCTATCACCTTGGGTGTGCCACGAGGGGGACGAGTACACACGACGATATTCGCTACGGTAATGCGACACAGTGGAACCAAATCGCTGTGGGACATCAATATAAATGAAGTCACCGAGGAACAACATAAATGCTGGTCGAAGCATGGACGGCAGTTTGTTGACAGTGTCGGTCATCCTTTCAATTCCTTTTATGCGCAGCGGATGAGATAGTGGGTTGTACGGGAAGTTTGGCTTCATACAGCTAGACGTTAAAAAGCTAAGTCTGTTGGCAGATTTCGAGCCATGGAGAGGCGCGGTGACGAAAGAGCCTGTGCGATTGTTGGACAAAGAATAGCGGTAATGGGAGGATGGCTTCAAGTTTTCCAGGGTAACTGAGGCCGTAAAATCCGTTGACTCATCAAGCGCATAGATAATCCCTTCTTCGACCCATTTTGAAGAGTCCGCTTGTTCCGCGCTCTGGTAGAAAACTACCAGGGGCAGTTGAGAGGAGTCCGGCTCTCGAACAAGAAGGTTTGCCGTTGTTGGGGAGACATAGCCAATGCGAGAAAAAGCAGCATCATTTACAGGATAGAAGATCACACCACGGAATAAAAGGTCGGATGTGAGAAGTGTAAGAACAATATTAACGAACACCGTTAACCGTGTCGTTAGAGGCGATCTGGAGGAGGGCAGTCCCGTTAAAAGAGTCTTGAGAAAACCATCCCCGACTGGAGATTCTGCCGGACCTGCAGCAAATCTTGTATGAGCAACTCTATAGCTAACATATTCCGGGGAAACTGCTTACTAAAAATACTCCGAGAGCCTTTCAAGTCATGATGACGATCGGGAGTGTCCTTGCCGACTGAGCGACTGAGCGAGAACAATGAAGACAAGTACACCACTAACGAAGTGAAGATTATAGGCGGGAAGTGATGACCGGGGATCTGCGCACGAATGAGCAGCCGCTATTTGTAACTGAGACCATTCAATGGACGAACCCAGCGTAAAAAGATAAAGGTAGCAAGCCTGAGAGTCGCGGAGCTTGTGGCCGCGGCAACCCGCGGCAAGGAAACCATAGCTTCGTTAGGAGCGTTTTTCAAGCACTAGGAGATATCCACTTGTTTCTTAGCCAATGTATAAATCACAAGAAGCTCAGGTGACGTTCTGGAAGGTACAAGAGTGGATCTGAGGAGAAGGAAAGAAGAGAAGAGGAAAAAAACAATAGCTTAATGTTGGTGGAATGACCTTGGCGGTATGACGACATGGATCTACATTATTGGCCTGAAGTACTCCTTCATACGACAATAATGTTAAATTATATACATACCTACGGATTATACAAATCTGCAGTATTTGAAGGGACAAAAAGAGCCAGAGATACATTCAGGGATTATATATTTTCGCCTTACGACGCATAATTACCGTCGTTGGTTCATCATGTCTCGGAGAACGTTCATCAAACTGCTGGTCATCGGTCCAGACAGAAGTTGTTGTGTCGCCACGACTACATCCTTCATATGCATGCTCAGCGACATCTCTGCCGCCCATTGCCATGGCTTCTCACGTTCCCCCGGCTTAGAGTTGAAGTACTCCCAGCCCATAACGCCGCCGAAGTTGGGGAATTGCTCAACCAGCTGGCCTAGTATAGGCCCGATAATCTCTCGCGGAACGTAGCCCTGCGACCCATTGCCGGGATTCGTCAACAGTCCATATACAACGCGTTGTGGTGACCATCCTTGCGCGACAATCGCCTCATACATACGGGGGTCATCTGCTGGCCCCCAACCGTTGTAAAACTGCGTGTTGTACCAACTAATCTTCGATGCTCGCTGCCGCTCAAGCTCTCTGTAGTCAAATCCCGAAAGATTACCAATCCCTAAAAGGGCCGCAGCGACCGGAGCCAATGTAATGATGAAGCCGTCTCCCAGGTCCAACTTGAGCCGATCAATAAGTCTAATAATACCGGCAAGCGACATATGTTCCTCCACATCCAAATCCACACCATCTAGCCGGTGGTGCTGAATCATGGCCAGGAGAGGCAAGTAATAACGTTCGAATGTCTCCTGATCGCCGTCCAGACACTGGAAGGAGCCTGGAGCGGCTCCTCCTAGCATTCCCATGACGCGCACCCCACGCTGTTTCAAGAGAGGCACCTCCGCCCACATCTCATCGTACATGCTATGATGGGGAGGATCATCGTTGAGCGTGATGTGGCCCGGTTCGGCATTCAAGTGGAAGGCAGCGATGATGATGTGCGTGATGCCCGTGTTATTGTGCACTAGCGGCAGGGCGGACACATATTGGCCGCGGTCCGGACAGAGTGTCTGGTGGTAGCATATCACCCGGCGTCGATCGACTTGTGCAGGTACTGGAGGCATCGTTTAACGTCGAATGGCGGTAGGGACTAAATGAAGGTTTGCTGCTCTAGTCAGGTCGGAGGTCCAGCATTTCGATGAGGAGCAACAGCGGGGTAGTGAGATTACAGGCAATCTCTTAGGGCCGTAGATTAGCCGTTGAGATCTCGCATTGCTTTGCGACGGATTTTTGGAGGAATGCCCAGTCTGAACGTACCTCGAGGAGCAGTATCCGGGAATGGATAGGGGAACGCAAGATCGTCGATAATTCGTAGTATTGTACAGTATGTAATGTATTCTGTATGTACTTGATCATCCACCGTTCAATAGTGCGACTTCTCTTCACAATACGGTACGGTATATGTATTGATAAATTACACCTTGCGGAGTATTCCCGCATTCGGGAAGTGTATGAATCTGGTGGAGTTTGTTTGTTTTTTGATTTTTGAGGTGATGCAGCATGCATGGCCTGGGGCATTTTAGGTCCTACTACTAGGGAGAGGAACATTGTCACACTTATACATCGCTTTTACGCTTTTTGAGACTAACTTTTATTATGAATACACAAACCAACTTCGCATAAAAAGAAACACGGCTGTTACGTCACAGACCACATACCGCGCTAAGCCTAATATGGTACTCGATAAATAGCTGATGTGGGAGCCTGAGGAATCCGGCCCCGGCCCTTGTCGCGCGTCCCATCTATCGCTCTATCTGTTACATATGTACCTATAGTTATCAGATTCCGCGACACACATGAACCATTCAACAACGATCTCAAGCCTGATTCAATAATGTCGCGCTGAATGAGTGATCCCACCCCCACCAGCGATTCACTCATTCACCAACTGCGACAGAACTCACCATGGACACAACCTCCCACGATACAGTCGGCGCGTCCACCCTCGCAACGCCACCCTTTATGCCCTCCTCGCCTCCACACTCACATCACAGCCCCATGGGATCACCTGAGCGTGCGCAAAGTCCAATCGCCCGTCGCACTGGTGACGACATCGACGATGCGCACTCACCAGCCGGCTCACCCCCGTCCTCCCGGGCATCGTCGCTCGATCGCGCGGCGAAGGCACTAGACGCTCGCCTGGCGGACTACACGCTTGATTTCAGCCAATTCCCGAGCGGCCAGTTAAGTCTCGATGGCCGAGATGAGGAACCGTTCGGGGAGCCGAAATTGCCCGATGAAGGCCAATTGTCTGATGTGGGTGGACCGGAAGATTTTACCGCCAACCTAGAGAAATATCTCATGGGCGACGATGATACATTCGACCATGAAGACTTGGAAGATGATGAGGAAGAACGTTTAGTGCCCAAGGAGCAAGAGCTACCGCGGCCGCAGCCTCGGGAGCAGAAACAGCAGGAACAACAGCAGAATTCTCATCTACAACAGCCTGCCGTCGAGGACGAGGCAGAGCTTGGTGAATATAGTGAATTTGCTCCGGTTGATATGTCTACGCCATCTCATCTATTGCACAGGGGCAATGCGCTGTCAAAGGAGATGACGCAGCTCGAGAACATCGAGGAGGATCCAGATGATGAGCCGGACACGGCGGGGACACCAACGGTTCGGAGGCATAAAACAACACCTAGCACAGACCAGACAGATGCGAAAGATGACTTGCTCGGGCAGATTGCAGAGCTAAAGCAGGCAGTCCAAGACCGAGACGAACAACTGGAAAGGAATCACAGACGTGTCCTGGAAGCTGCTTCGGCCGGTGAACAAATAAAACATTTGCAGGCGGAGGTTCAGAAGAAGACAGCTCTATTAGATAAAGTTCATGCGAAACGTAACGACGACGCGCTTCTACATGAACAGATTCAATTACTTCAAAAGCAAAATGAGGAGAAGGAATCTCTTCTGCAGAGGTCGTCCATAAACGAATCAGGACTTAGTGCTCTCCAGAAGCAGATTTCAGATATGCGAGAAGAGCTGCAAGACCGACAGGCGTCTACAGACATAGGTGCTGAGAGGCTAGAGACAATCGCGAATTTGCGCCAGCAATTGAATCTAGCACAAGAGCAACTCAAAAAACGGGATGATACTCTTGATGAGACCCTTGCTAAGCTTAAGGAGGTTACTGCGTCTAAGGAGCTACAACTTCGGGAAAAGAATACCGAAATTGATGAACTCAAAGCTCAGATTGACGATCAACTTCTAGAAACCCAGAAGCTTGAAGCGGAGGTAGACCGTGCAAATCGGGAATACCGGACTTTAGAGGACAGGGTCGCCACGCTTGAGGTAAAAAACCGGCCCTTAGAGGAGAAGAACAGTACGCTTGAGGCTGATTTGAGTCGCGCGCAGTCGCAAGTCACTGCGCAGGAAAACGCTCTCAAAGCAATGGCAGCGGATCTCCCCTGGGAGACGAGCCGCAACACGTATGAAGATATCTTGGAACTAATAAATTCCATGCCAATTCGCTCCGAGGCCGTCCCGAAAGACAGTGACTCAGGTGAGCAAGAGCTTGAGCTGCGCGAAGAACTAGCGAAACTGCAAACCGAACTAGAGCAAGCGTCATCAGCTGAAAAGGCACTTGAAGCCCAATTAAAGCGGTCCCAAGAACAAGCCACGGAGGCCCAAACTCTCATTAACTCGATCGAAGGCGAGAATACCCGTTTGTCCAAACGAGTAGAGGAACTTAAATCCAACTTCGACAAGGCCAACCGCGAGCTAAACGAGCTGAAAGACGAGTACTCCGAAGCGCAGGGTACCATCAAGCGTCTCCACGAAGAAAAGAACACACAACAACCCAGCCCTCCCCCCTCCCCTCCAACACAGAAAGCGTCCGACTTAGAAGAAACCCACCAGGCACAACTACGAAGCCTCCAAACCGCCCATGCCACCGCCATCTCGACTCTCCGTGCCGCCCACTCCGACTCAAATCGTAAACTACGGAATCTCCTCGCTACCGCTGAAAAGCGCGAAGGAAAACTAAAGTCCGAGCTCCAAGCATTACGCAGCTCACGCGCGACCCAAGAGAGCGAGATAAAATCTCTCCGTGCAGAGATCAAGGAGCTCGAGAACATCATCACGGCGAAAGACGAAGTAGCTGCGGCAATAGACAAGAAAATCGCCCGATCCGTGGAAACCCGTGAAAAGGTATGGGCGGATCGTGTGAATGCCGCCCTTCGCCAGCGCGACCAATTCGGCAAAGCCTACCTGTACACGGTGGGCCAAAAGGAACTTGGAGAAAACAAGGAGAATTTTGACGATAAAGGACGACCGATGCAGCCGTACCGGTATGCCTATGTGAAGAATGGAAGGAAGAAAGCATGAACTGGACCAACATGACGCTTTGTTAGGTGATTCCTGGTTTGTATCGGCGATTTTGTTCCTGGGTCTGTGTTTGAGACATCTTTTATATTGGTTGGACTTTTCTCTTTTATTGTATAAGAAGGCATTCATCGGGGTTTGGTTTTCCGGGACATTAACATTGAGTGGTGTAATTTATAGTCAATTGAATCCATGGACTAACTTCTTCCTTTTCTCTTCTATATGTTCCCTTTCCCTATGGTATAGAATTCCTATTGTAGCCTTGTCGAGCCTTTGCAATACTGGTCAGCTAACAAGATCCATCTAATAGCTTTTACAATAAATCTGTGTCAACGAGGATTCAGGGCGAAAAGACGGTAGTTTAGACAATAAACAAAAATATCAATTCCGTTAATTCTCGTCTCAACAGTCATCAACTTCAAATAAAAAGACTAATACATGAGCGTTTGGCATCGGTATATTGCTAGTATTTAGACAGGAGAAGATAGAAGAAAGTAGCTCACTCAAAAGACATAGGATCAATAGGTTTGTTTATATCGCTTTTGCTGCCCATACCAGTGGGGTTCTTGTTCCCTGTTTTCTTATCCTTCATCTCTACAGTCTGACCTGCGGACTGAGATAATGATTAGTACCCGGCCATACTCGTACGATTGGTCCCGCGATAAGTGTTGGCATCAGAAACCATGTCCCGGGTTTCATCCACGGATGCTCCTGATTCCCGGATACAATCCAGAGCTCCTGTTGATCCAAGTCCACCACAAGTAGTGCTGCGTGGCCGTCGCGTGCTAGGGTAGTGGATTTCGACATCATTCCTCCGGGACTGAGAGGACATGCGACGCGGTTCATACCGGCCACGGTAGTTGTGCCGGCTTTGCGGTTGATGATAACTTCTGGTATGGCGGGGTACATGCGACTGTTCAAACTGGTAATGTCGACTTTGTCGTCGTTCTTTAGACCGTGCGTTTTGACGGATTTGGGTATCAGGCTCCACCACGGAGGCTCTATGACTGGCTACCCTACCAACAGGATGCCATGCCAGCGGATTTGGTGGGATGATTGTATAACTAGGTTGGCGGCGATGGATGCTACGAGGTATCGGTGCGGTATGCGATGTATTGGATCTGTGTACTTTGAGAGGCGCAGGTAGCACGACCTCGGGTGCATCAGAGGAGCTCGAGGACATTGGCCGGGCCTGGATGCTTGTAAGAGCCTGACCCTCTGGTAACCTTGGCAATTCAGGATCGACAGTGGTAGAAGCCACTCCCTCTTTCTCTTCGGAATCAGTATCAAATTGCTGTCCGGAAGCACCACCCTTGCTTAGTATCTCCATCTGTGGTTGCTCTTCCACATCCCGAGGTGCAGCGGAATCAGCAAGAGCACGAATTTGAGGATCCGCTGATAAAGGCAGTGATATAGGGAAGGCTTTTGGAAGATACTTGCGAAGCGATGATAAGGAAGACTTCTGCCTCTTATGACTAGACCTTGATGAATCTTCTTGACCACTGGGTAGTTCTGCGACGGGACTTTGCATGAATCCCTCACCGATACTTCCTGAAGTTCCAAAAGTGGGTGTGCGAGAGATTGAATAAAAGTTGGTGGTAGATGTACCGTTGTGGATTAGGGTTGAGCCTGATAAGGTCTCGGCATTTTCCGACTCAGGGCTTACATCGAGTCCTGAGTGTTGCTTTTGATGAATTGGTGCAGAGTGCTGGAAATGAGACACGGTAGGTTTCTCGAATAGCTGACCAGTGGATGACGGCCAATGCGGGTCGCGGGCTCCATACGGAGCATTGGGCCCGGGACAAAGATAGAGAATGCCATCCTTCAAGGTATCACTTTCCAGGCTCGAGTTTGAGAAGATGCTCTCATCACAAACCGCTTGCTGTCTGTATACACCTAGCATTGATACATCGTACGGGCGCTCGCAGAGCTCCCTAGAACAGAAGTAGAGACAGGCGGTTATGCTGGTATTTACGAATAAAGTCAGCCAATGAACGCCACTACTCAATGCATAAGCGTTCGTGACTTACAAAGACATAATCGATACAATGACAACCGCCCTGTGAAGAGCACAGCTGACGCCCGTATTCCAAAAGCTACCGTTGGCAGTATCAGGAAGGCACGAAGCTTGTTGCGAAACAACTACTAAGCCTGCCACACTGGCCGCCAGCCATATGATAACAGTCAGTCGCAAAAGATATGTGCAAGCAGTCCGCAACATCGTCTTCTGGCCTTCAAAACCAGAAACTCTGTTATACTGCCACGCAAGAAGACTATGGAGAACAATGAGAGGTACGGTGAAAAAGGACTGAGTATTATAATCAGTACCGAATATTAGAAATTCTTTCAGGGGTATACTGACAGCTACAAGAGTAAGGATCAAGCTCGGGGTCATTTTCGTGTCGACCTCTCTGTTCCCATAGAGATAGAGGACAAGAGCCCACTCAATGACCGATTCCAAAAGCAAGACATAGAGGGAGATGAATATGACGACTTTTGTCCAAGCCCCTCCTCTCGCGGAGTGCATTCGACCATTGGCCATGGTGACCTTCGCCAGGTTAACAATTGAAGCGAGCTGTACTACAGCCTCCACAAGTGTGGACGATGGGCATCCACGGTGAAAGACGACGGGGGTGGGTTGAAAAGTCGGGTAATTTGAGATGGAAGGTAAACGGGGGCTAACGCGACGAGTTGACAGTGATCAGACTTATATTCTTCTTTTTGGGATTGAACGTGTATGTATAAATAAAAATCATGAGGTAGAACTCAAGGGCCCATCAGAGACTAAATGGGAAATGACATCGAGGGCTCAGGCGCGTCAAACACGGATAGAGTGTGAGTGAGAGGGGCTGGAATGTATAGGCAGGAGGCCTGGAAGCAAAATAGTAGGGCTCGCATCTTGTATGGGACGTCATTCCGAGGAATGTAGATTCAATATTCCTCATGGAACGTATAAGGGGGGTCAGTAAAGTCAATTCTTAATCCCTATCCGAGTGCCATAGTGTCTGCTTACATGTACTGAGTTTCGTCGCACTGTCCTATCGATTTTCACTCAATTCATTCTCCTTGATTTAGGTTACGGGACGCATTCCAAGGGGCGATCGCGTGGTGTCCGCACGAATAGAACTGTCGACATAGAGAAGCACTAGTGAGACATATGCTCGGGTAGAATGCAGGGGAAGAAATCAGTTGAAGTGCTGGAATCATGGGATGTAAATGTTCCAGGGGATGAAGGGTGTTTGCAATGAAGGGAGAGTTAAAGAGTCGGAAGTATACAAAGATCGAAGGGAGAGAAAAGAAAGAGGGCGACCCCACGTGATTCAGACCCCTTCAGCACACACATTTAACATACCCTTGCTAGGATGAATTATGTGGTAGTGGCTCTATACATCTAGGTCTATTGATGTCTTGGTCAAAAGCATGAAGGGTTTAATGGACGCGTGGCGCGGACAATCCGGATAGAAATGCTGAATTGTCTGCCTTTGAGGTCAAGATTGACTGGAAACACGGTTTAGGGCGCAGTTTAATAGGTAATGATATTATTATAAGCAGCCTCACGAGGGGTCAACGGATGGAGTCCGATACACTATCCCATACTCAGAGCAGACATATGCCAACACAAACGCAATTCTACACCATGCGTCTACCCCATCAGACTTCAGTGGCATGGAGACGCATTACTCCACTCCCTGAGGCTTTGTTACCAGTCAAGTCTCCGATGTCTGCTGTACTCTCGAAATGTATCGCACCTCCCTCAGCCTTCTGGCTTTTGTATCGCCGAACCAAGCGGTCCACTAATGGCCAACTTCCGTGTTGTTCCCGGTACCGCATTACAACGAACCAGACGATGACCACCAGCCAGTAGAGGTTGTAGGAGATGACAGAACCATAGGTTGCGGAATTTTGCCATCCAAGGATGGCATTGAAAATTCCCCATCCTCCGCCACCATTCACCAGGGGACTGCAGCAATTCACATGCCACACACTTTGGCGGATGTCATAAGATCCAGGACCGGCCCCTGTTTCTCCAGCATCGCCGCCGATGAGATTACTCCATGTATTATTCTCCAAGAACCAAACGCCTCGAGACAAAAGTCCAGCAGCGACCAGGTAGAGTAGACATGTCGAGATGACCATAAATATCTGAAGGGAGGTTTGGTTCCCGCCCCTATGACAGGACGTAAGCTCCATTAGCACAGAGGATTTATTGTCACCGTTCATCCAGATCAAACTCACCGATAAATGATATAGCCCACCACCACACCAGCCAAAATCCCAGTGAATACAGGGAGAGGGAACGCACTGGCAGGGAAGCTGAGACTAACACCCCCGATAAACACCACTGCCTCAAGGCCCTCTCGGAGAACCGTGATCAGGGGTAAGATGAACATGAAATACTTTTGTGTCCATTGCTTGATCTTCTCTCTCATTCTTCCTTGGGACTGGGGTTTTGCCTCTAACGCCTGGGCCAGCTTGACACGCCATTTCTCCTGCAGTTTATTCACCCGCAGGAGGGCTGCTCCCATGACGGTGATGATGACGGCGGCTACTAAGGCGAAGATGCCCTCCCATAGATCCTCTGTACTAGCAAAATGGTCCTTACCGTACCCATAGAAGGCCCCAATCATACCTCCTCCAATACAAAGGCATATAAACAGCCCGATGGCAACTCCCCACCATACCTAAGGACTGTTAATGCGGTCCTCATATATTTTTGCAGGGAGGGGGGATATTCACCTGTTTGACCAGTTTTTTGCGAGTAACAGCATCAGTATCCGATCCCAGTGTCTGCTTGATAAAGGCGAGTAAAACGGAAACAATGATGCTGGTTTCAACGCATTCTCGAAAGCAAATAAAGAATACTTCAGTAAGAAGTTAATCAGACTAGTTTCCTCTATCGACGATAGGGTATAGCGAGGATGAAACAAGCTTCAAGAGGGAATGGGGAAGAGAGAAAGAAATAACACTACCTACTAGGAACTGCAAATACGTCGGTGGTCATGTTGCCTAAGGAGGGGAGAAAGAGGATGAAAGAGGGCTGAAGATCTATCGGAGGACAGGAGAACAAGAACAACGCATAAATACTTGCGGACAGCCCAGCCGTTGATAAGTAAAATAAATAAAAGACAAAAGCAAAAGAGAGCCACTACCAGTCCAAATCGGGGAATAGATTATCTGATTGATTGATTATAACACAACGGGAAGATAATCATAATTAAAGCCAAAAATAAAAAATAAATCCCCCGAGTGAATCCAGTAACCGTAAACGAGGAGTGAGAGGGAAGCGCATGAAGGGATTCGGACTGAAAATATCGTTCCACCCTTTCCCACCACTATTTTCCGTCACGAACTACAGGGTAAAACCTTTCTCAAATGATTGCCTAATGGAAATGAAAATTTTCATATCAATTGATTATTTGATTGGCTTTGGGTGGCCTGAGGTAGGATCTGATAAGTGGGATCAACAATTGAAATACTAGTCTAGAACCCTTAACGAGGGTTAAGCTTCCGCTAAGCCGTATCAGATCATCGCTTGGCTCTTTTCTCTTTTTTCCCTTTGGGTAACATTGAGTGGGCCCATTTAATCTAATTCGAAAGACATTCTAGTACGAATGTGTGCCAGCCTTCCTTCAAACGTTAGGAATGCCCTGTCCTGTCATTTATCTACGCAATGGGCATGAATCATGTTCCACCCACTCCAAAACTCCCCTGTCCCATCCCAACAGCGAGGATAGAGCGTGAGGAACTTTCTCATTTTCTAATCTGTGAGCGCTTCACCGCAAGCTTATCATGCTGCTCTGGTTGGTGGGCTACCTTGTCCACATTCTCGCAGCTCGTGCCAAGACCCTCAATTATGAATGGAACATCACTTGGGTGTCGGCCAATCCAGATGGCTTGCAAGAACGTCCTGTGATTGGGATCAATGGCCAATGGCCCCTTCCCGTGCTCAATTTTACCCTCGGCGATCGAGTGGTCGCCAAGGTATACAACGCGTTGGGTAATGAATCGACCAGTATTCATTGGCATGGCTTTTTCCAGAATGGAACGACTCATATGGATGGTGCTCCAAGTATCACGCAGTGCGACATTGCCCCAGGCTCCACTTTCGTCTATAATTTCACGGTGAGTGGCTTCGATCTATACGGGTCGCTAGATGCCTTAACCATGACTGACGGTACAGGTCGATCAAACTGGTACATACTGGTATCACTCGCATGCTCGGGGGCAGTATCCGGACGGACTACGACAGGCTCTAGTTATCAAAGGCGCTGACGAGCCATATGCGGGTCTCTATGATGAGGAGCGCATCATTACACTATCGGAGTGGTATCATGACCCCATGCCAACACTGCTCAAGCAGTTTATCAGTGTCTTGAATCCTACCGGAGCAGAACCCGTGCCAAAGTCGGCCCTCATGAATGATACTCAGAACTTGACTCTAGCGGTTGAGCCGGGAAAAACTTACCTGTTTCGACTAGTCAACGTGGCGGCTTTCGCAAGCCAGTATTTCTGGATCGAAGGCCATACCATGAAGATTGTGGAGATTGACGGAGTGTGGACCGAACCAGCAGAGGCCAGTATGATTTATATTACCGCCGCGCAACGCTACAGTTTCTTGGTCACAATGAAAAATGACACAAGCAAGAACTATGCTATGGTGGGCAGCATGGATACCGTAAGTTGCACTTCGTCCATTGACCTGCCATATTATTAATCATCTGGTAGGACCTTTTCGATACACTCCCTCCGACACTGAATTACAATGTTACAGGATGGTTGGTCTACGATGAGAAGGCTAACAAGCCCTCTCCGACAGACATCTCATCGTTCGATCCCTACGACGACTTCAACCTTGTACCCGTCGATGGCGAGAAATTATTGGGAGACCCCGACTATACCGTCACCCTGGATCTTACCATGGATAACTTGGGAGACGGTGCTAATTAGTATTATGATCACTTTATAGACTACATTTCCCCACGGCTGACCAGAAGCAGTGCCTTCTTCAACGGCATAACGTATATTATGCCCAAAGTACCCACACTTTACACGGCACTGTCCACCGGATCAGCTGCGACGAATTCTACTATATACGGATACAATACCAACGCCTTCGTGCTGAACAAAGGGGATATTATCGATCTTGTTTTAAACAACGACGACACTGGAAAGCATCCTTTTCATCTTCACGGTCATAATTTCCAAGTCATCGCCCGTAGTGATGAGGATGCAGGCCACTACGATGCCAGCAATCATCCTGCTTTTCCGTCCGTCCCGATGCGACGAGATACTATTTATGTAAAGCCGACAGGGTACTTTGTTATCCGGTTCAGAGCAGATAATCCAGGTAGGGCTCCCAACCCGCATTCATACTTCTGACTGGGTAGCTAACTGATGGCCTAGGAGTATGGATCTTCCACTGTCACATCGAATGGCATATGGACGCTGGCCTTGCCGTCGTTCTAGTAGAAGCACCACTAGAATTGCAAAAAACACTTACAATTCCAGACGACCACTGGCAGGCCTGTGATGCAAGTGATACTCTCAAAGAAGGCAACGCGGCAGGGAATGCAAAGGACTTTTACGATCTAACAGGGGAGAATACCTCAGTTCCACCACTTCCCGCTAGCTTTACGGCCCGAGGCATTGTAGCCTTGGTGTTTAGCTGCATTGCAGCAATTCTAGGCCTGATGAGCATTGTCTGGTATGTATATATACTATCCTTCCCGGCCGTGATTCAACCTATCTTCAATCTCCAATTTGGAGTGAAGTGGTCGTTGTGTACTGACGGATATAGGTACGGTATGGCACCGATTACTAGGACACAACCATCAACCGATGAGAGGCGGGAAGTAGAGAGTAACTAGATGAGTGATATGTCGCTTTCTAACGGAAAACCACATTCTTCCCTCCAATCCTTGACACGGATAGCACTACGTTTAATTCGGAAATCGCTCTTATTTAGAAGCCGTAGAAGAATGACCACGAATGTTTCTAACTGGATACTCCGCCAACGCATAGAATTTTAGTCTAAATAGCAGCAATACACTCAATTTCCACATCTGTATTCAAGGGTAACGTCTTAACAGCCACACATCTAGAAACACGTTAGTATAAAGAATTAAAACCAAACCCTCTCCATGTAAAACAAGAGCCAGCCCGAGGGTAGAGGGCAAACATACGTCCGACAGGGCTTCACATCTCCCCAATACTGCATATACACGGAATTCATCTTGTCGAAGTCACTCATATCAAACAGAAAGACGTTTACCTTGAGGACCTTCGTGATATCGCTACCGGCGGCTTTGAGGACGTGCGAGAGGTTCTTGATGCATTGGTGCTGGTCTTTGTCAGTACCTATCTATGGTTTTATATGGATGCAGTGAAAGCTTTGGAACAGGCACCGTATGAGCTTCGATGTCTCCGTCGACAATCTTGCCGGTTTCTGGATCCATGGCGACCGCACCGGAACAGTATACGACGCCATTGGAGACGATGGCCTAGGAGTAGATTCCCGGGAGAGGCTTGGGTGCTTTCTCGGTGAGGATTGGGATTTTGGTAGCCATATTGTTACATATATATATGTAGTAGTTCTGTATCATGTCTCTACCTGGGTTAGATGTATGGTTAAATTTATATAAATTGAACTAAATGCGGGGAAAGCAAAACAACTCCATTTATCCCCAAAATTTACTTCCAATCTAAACCCACACCCCCACGCCAAACTTCCGACTTCCAATAACATAACTGTCAAACCCCACTTCACTCGAATAATTCTGTAAGATCAGTGGCTAGGAATACCGATAATCAATCAGATTGTCATCGTTTCATCGGCATATCTTCATGCACATACTACTTCGCAAGGTTCCATATCAGGAATATGGCACGGAAACCCCCACGTCCCTTGCGTCGGGATGAAACCCTTAAACCTGGAATGTAACGCTCGGCGAGGGGACGGTAGGGAAACAAAAGGGCACTGAATTTCCACTGACTCATACACCTACTGTGATCCTTGAGTATTCCCTTGGTACAACCCCAGCATTGAAACACCATGTCAATCTCAGCTCCTCAGCCTCCTTATCCTCTCCATCCCTCTGTGAAGGATCTCCTGGATCCTGAATACGTCTCCTTCTACAATCAATATGTCATCAACCAGCAGCAAGTTCATCTCCAGCCCGTCGAAGCCTCCCGGACAAGTGGGGTCTTGATTCCTGGTGGGGGTCCGCTCCTCGAGGTCGGAAAGACGGAGGATATCACCATCAAGCGATGTGCGACACAGGGTCCGGAGATCTGGGTACGCGCATACACGCCAGCTGGGGAAACACCAGAGGGAGGTTGGCCAGTAATGCTGTATTTCCACGGAGGTGGATGGGTACTGGGGAATATCAACACGGAGAACCCGGTGTGTACAAATCTATGTGTGAGGGGGAATTGCGTCGTCGTTACGGTCGATTATAGGTACACGCACCTTCATGATCTCAGATATAACTGAAGCTGACTATGGAGTTAGGCTCGCCCCAGAAAACCCCTTCCCCGCAGCTGTTCATGATTGTTGGGAAGCGCTTCTCTGGTTGATTTCTGACGGACCATCTCGCCTCTCTATTAGCACTACCAAAATGGCGACCGGTGGCTCCTCGGCGGGGGGCAATCTAGCAACAATCATTACTCACAAAGCCCTAACACTCTCACCACCTGTCCACTTCCTTGCTCAGCTGCTTTCCGTCCCGGTGACTGATAATACAGCGACGGTGGAAAACAATGAATCCTACAGATTATACGAACACACGCCGGCCCTCCCAGCTGCTAAGATGATCTGGTACCGCGATCACTATCTGCCGAATCATGCGGACCGTACAAATCCCGAGGCAAGCCCCTTGTTCTACAATGGCGATTGGTCGAAGCTGCCAAGGGCACTAGTCATGGTTGGCGAGTTGGATGTGCTTCGGACGGAGGGAGAGCAGTATGCTGAGAAACTGAAGAAAGCTGGAGTGAAGGTTGATTTGCAGGTCATGAAGGGCATGCCGCATCCCTTTTTGGCGATGGACAAGGCATTGAAGGAGGGGAAAAGGTCCATTACGTTGATGTGTGATCTGTTGGCGGAGGTGTTTTGGTCCTAGTCATACTTCATAGAGTCGTTATCATTATATATATTGGCTAACATATTCGCAATTTATATAGATGACATACGCAAAACGTTCACCAGCAGGACCCCTATAAAAAAATATGGTAGAGAAAGAAAACAGAAAGAAACCTGCCGCAATCACATTATTTGGAGCTAGTCGGGCCATTGTTAGGTATATCAATGACCAGTCAAGTTCGAAAAGTACATTACAGAATCCAGTCCTCCTCTCCGCAGTACTCTATCCCTCGTAGTTTCCAAAGGTGATCAAATTAATCATCAACGTCCTTCAGATCATTCTCTTTCCCGAACTTTTCGTACCCCTCCTAAGACTGGGGTTTGAATTCCACCGGCCACGGAGCAAACGGCGTGCCCGTGTGCTCAAAATTTTCGAGCCGCTGCTGTGCAGAGGCCGAAATTTGTTAATGCTATAGACATTGATTTGATGAGCAGAGCTCTTTACATGGAGACCCCAGTTTCACGTGGCCCGAACGTTCAAAGGCTGTGTGTTGATGGAATTATCCCTCCATCGGCAGACGATCTCGATCTAGCCTTCGACGTCGCAGGGGAGTTGAAAATGCCAAGTGCACCAGACCCATTTATATTCCTAGGAGAGGTTCTCGATTAGAATGGTATGCCAACTGGAACCCCCGTCGGCTGACAGTTCCACGCTCTCTGGCCATCTACCGCCACCCGAACATGCCCAGCCTTTACAGTAGATCTTACAATTATAGATGACGGCCTGTTTGTTCCTGGGAGACATGATTACTGAGATTACTGGCATCTCCTGAATCTGGATACCGTCGGTCGGTCGCTAGTTGTACTTCCCTTCTTGCTGAGGAAGTATAGGTACTCCTTGCTCTGGACAGAAGCACGGCTTGGGTTCTTGATTGCTTTTAATGCGGTATAGCTATTTGACACTTCGGGTGCATAATTACTCATATCAATATTAGAATAAGCACTGTCCGCAACTCGTTAGATATTCCAAAGCAAAGAGAGCCAGCTATCGTTTCATGGACTTCACTAAGGCTGACAGTTTGTAGACAATCGGTGTACCCTTTCGGGATATCACCATCGTGAGTTCCCATACATATTTAATGCCCGTGAGACTCGCATAGGATTCGCTAGGTAGTGATGAGGAGCGTAGAAGGAGAAGCCTATGAGGTTCGTCTGACCTGTTAGACATCATGGTAAACCGGCCGTACGGTTCACAAACTCTGGTTAGTAAGTCTTGGAGCCTCGCGAGCCTACACTGCCATTGTCCTTAGTACGGCTATGTCATGTTACGTGGTGTTATTTCTAGCGAAATTGACTTGTTTCGTGTCTGGAAAAGATCCTTGTATGTGCTACCTGCTACTCCATACCCCGAAAGCCTAGGCAAGGAACTTTGGAAACCGATAATTTCTTTGTAAGACGTGAAAACTAAAGTATCCCTAGCCTGCTGCTTTATTTCTGGGAGCAATGATCCTGCGCCATAAACTCCAACTGGGCGTTGAATTCCTCGGTACTCAGGCGCAGGTGTCCTTTCCTCATTCTGTGGATGCTAGGACAACATGGCTGTTCTGACAGATTTGCAAGCGAGGGATAGGGTTGAGATCAGCTTTCCTCTCGATGGGTAGACAAAACTGGATAAGTACGATTGCGAATATTCCAAGACTATTAGGTAAGTTGACCGTCATCCCCTGCATATCGGCATGTTGAGGAGCTCGTTATTGGTACGCAGCAAAGGATGTCCGCCCAGTTGTTGCCCTATATCCCCACAGATCTTTACCAAGAAAGCCCTATTCAACATTCATTAGCGGATGTAGGTCCACATTCTTGGTATTTGGGATCGGTCGGGGATTTCCTCTGGTTGGGTTCCTATATCAATGGCATGATGATTGGCTTCGTGTGTATATATATGTATGGACAAGAAACCAAATCTCAGAGTAAAAATATGCTACGTTATTAAGACACAAAGGCCACTTAAGACTAGAGTTTCAATATCTCCCTACTCTTTCATATCCTACTATATCCCATTGCCAGGGTTGGAATCCTAATGCATGTTCACCTTTCTTTCCCTCTGTCACCTGTCTCTCATGTAGCAGCAGCATGTAGTTTTATTCGCCATTACCATGCACTCGTCCAAAGCAATAATACTTTCATCTTTACTTCATGTACCTAGCTTGGGGAGCCTGATACTAGGGCCTATCGGAGAACTAGACCCATTAAGTCCTCTAATACATACTGCCTAAGGTATAGGTGAACTGGGCAAAGGGGCACCCAAGAATTGTCTCTCCTCCTAGGCGCTATCCATGAGGTCCAAGATGATAAGATCAGACCTCCCTCCAGTGTGGAAGAGCCTTCTCTCGTATATCATCTACTCCCAGTCGCGGCAATTCCTCGTTGCTCCAGACAGCTATCGACCTGGTGGCGCAGGGCCTGGTACCGACTAAGATTCTCGACCTAATTTGCAGCTTCACGGACCTGGAAATCAATACAGAGGTTAATAAAAACCCTCGGGAGCCGGAAACGCCAATATATCCCAGAAAGTATCCCGAGGACGCGCCCTGTGATGTAGATGAGGGCAAGCTTCGATCAGCATTCTATATACCATCTGGTTTCTCCTATGGTGCGAACGGCAAACAACCCGTCCTATTGGTGTCTGGAACCGCCTGTCCAACGGCTCAATTTATCGATGGGGGTTAACGAATCTGCTGGCGCAAAAAGAATTTGCAGATCCGATGTGGGTCAACCTCCTGGGGATTTCCCTAGAAGACTTTCAGACAAACGCTGAGTATATTGCTTATGCTATCAACTACATCTCAGGAGTGTCCAACAAATCCCCGATAGGAGTGATTAGCTAGTCGCAGGGGGACTTACTACGCAATGGGTGCTGAAGTACTGGCTGTCCACACGCGGTGTAGTGAGCGACTTCATACCCATCAGCTCCGACTTCCACGGCACACTGTTGGAGGGAAATTGCATTGATCCCAGTCAGATGTGCACGCCCGCCATAAAGCAACAGGGGTATGAGTCAAATTTCGTACACGCACTGCGCGCCAACAATGGTGACTCGGCGTATGTGGCTACCACGAGCATGTACTCCGGTGTCGATCTGATTGTCCAGCCACAGACGGACCCCGATGCCTCTGCTGCGTTATACGATGTGAGAAAGGTGGGCGTGACGAATGTGAAAGCTCGAATATTTTGTCCCGGGAAGCTGGCAGGGAGCTTTTATTTCCATAAAACCATGTTGGCTAGTCCTGTCTCTTGCGCGCTCGTTGTCGATGCTCTAAAGCATGACGGACCTGGAAGTTTGAAACGTATTGGTCCACAGTCTGTGATCAGCTGCTGGTACTGGGACCTACATTGAAAGATCTACCGGGCTCAGAGACGATGGCTATATTATATTCTATGATTAATGTGATGACATATAAGCGAATTGGGTATGCAGAGCCGCCATTGAAAGAATATGTCCGACGGCCTGGATGGTAAGTAGCACTAATAGATATATATTAGAGAGTGAATTCAGGAAACAAAAGTTGGAATGGCGTTTCTGTACACTTCAAACGGAGGGTTTGAAGAGCGACAGTGTCACTAACAGCAATACGGACTTCGTACGAGAGCAGTGATTTGTTCCCTTAAGGAGACCAGTTCATGGGAGCATTGGTGGCTGGCCAATCAATCAACACACTATAGGACATTAAAAAAACTGTTACGTTAATTTAACATCGCGACTTAGTAAAATCATAGTAGTCAATAGCCTCTCGCCTAGGGGCAACTCTTTAGAATCTCGGCCCATCATTAATGCTGAGCGCTTAATGAGCTCATACTGTACGTACAAGGTTATATAACTCACCGGTTAATTGAGAACCGTGGGGTCGGTGTAGCTTTCACGCTGGTCTGCTGCTAACCCTTAGAGCGGCTCTGATATAATAGCGTGCGGAGTAGTAGACTTTGGATGTTGTACATATTCGATAACTACATGCTGAGTACTATACTGATAAAGTATTTAAGAAATATGAGAGGACTACTAGGTGTTTTTCTAGTTATTTTGTAAGATATATTTGTTCCAACTTGTCCATAACCCGTTTTAAGACCCCCGTATACGAAGTACAACCTGTTTATTACTACTGCCTTCGGATTTAAGTAAATCAAAATGACCGAAAGAGGTAAGGTAGAAAGAGGAGGTAGCATCCCATTGTTGTATATCTAGAGTAATAACTAATATAAGAGGAGGCTCTTAGATTGAGAACAATGGAAGACACAAACTAGTCCAGGAGATAATAGGTGGGAAATCTTCCATCGGCTATGATCACCTCCGATGTTGCCTAATCCTCCTGCCCTGAGGACTAAATTTCATTGTTTTTCCTGGCACGGACGATGGACTCGCTCTTTTCTTTCCCAATGAAAGGTCTGTACCTAGCCCCCTGTACTAATGATGTGGAAATTGGAGTCGGACTAAGGAAGTCAAAGAACGCCTTTTCCTACTGGATGGATAGAGGGAAAATTAGACTAGTCGATAGCGTGATGTAACGCTCCCATTCAATCCAATTCTCAAAATTTCCCGGTATATCTCTTCAGGTGTGCTCTTTTATTCGGTAGAACCTCAACAAGTATATACAGTATGTATGACTGATTGTGAAACCAAACCAGTAATCGTGCAAGGTCGAAATTGAATAGATTTTATTCATGTCGATCTCGATGATCCGGTCGTTGTTCCGGACGAGGTCCGGCAATCATGGAAGTTTGTGACTTTTTAGAAGTCACTGGACGCCCACCTGACATCAGGCCAGGGAAGGAGCTGGGCCACGTTGATTGGTGTTCCTGACAATCCCTGTTAGTTCCACTAGACCAGATCAGGTAAGTGCCCAAAGCGCGCTAGACTAGATTAAGGACGATTCACGAAACTCCGAGAGCTTTGCCTACTGCTTGTATGTAAATAATTGTAAAAGTTCGGTATCATACCGAAAACCTACTCATTCAATCTAATTTGGTCACTCGAAAATTTTGAGTCCATACCGGACCGAGATGCTACTTCAACTGACTACCTCCTACTACTAGTACTACACTATCTCTACCACCACTACTCGCATGCACCCAACCCTGCACTACGCCGCGTTATTTTCCCTTACTGTGTATCATTGGGTCGAGAATCTTGAACCCACGCCAGTAAAAGTATTATCCCCACAATTCTACTTTGCTTTCGAATGAAGGAAGAGAAGAGATTATGTGTACTCGGTAGTATGCCTGGTTTGGCCCCTCTCCTGCCTAACGCACGCCCACCGACTGACAACCTTTAGGAAATTTAGACCCTGGTAATGCGGCTCTACGGCGGAACCACCGCCGTTCGCTCGAATCATCGTGAGCTCGCTATTCAACGGCAATTTCCGATGTGCACCTATTTCCTCTTTCTGGAGCCACTCAGAGCCTTCCATGGTTCAAAGAATTTAGTGCTCTACTATCGAGCTCCTCACTAGCACCTGCTTTTACTGGAATAGGAAAATTTTCCTCCAACCTATCGAATGCGCTAAGGCATGGAGGCATGAACATTTCCTGATTTGCCGGGTTACTCGTCCCTAGACGCTCCGTTCTGGTAGCACCATGCAAGTGGTAGTGAGGCGACGGGAGATTGGCTGCTTGCTGGCCCCCTGGATGCTCTCGTATATAGTCTACTCCCGCTGCTCATGATTCCATTTCTGTCAGTCCTGTGGCTTTGCTCGCGGTGACCCTCCAAGCAGACGTGTGTCTGCGTCCTTTCATTGATTTATTCTACGCTCGTTCTCTAGCCTTGGCCGACTACAAGTCCGACCTGCAGTCATTCCTTTTAAATCATGGTCTTCAGCAAGAGCCTCGCCGTTGCCTCGGCGGTCTCAGCCGTGTCTCCTTTTGCACATGCTTTCAACGCACAGGCAAAGTCAAATATTGCGGTCTATTGGGTATGTATGCCCCATCAGAGGATATTGCCAACATAGCATTTACTGATTATGCTATAGGGCCAAGGGGATAACCAGGCGCGCCTCAGTCATTTCTGCCAAGACACTTCGCTAGATATCATCAACATTGGATTCGTCAATATATTTCCAGACCAGGGTGCTGCCAATTGGCCTGGCAGTAACTTTGGCAACCAATGCAATGGACTGACCTACGAGATTGGTGGTGTCAAGACGGAATTACTCTCGGGCTGCCATCAGATTATGGAAGACATTCCTATCTGTCAGGCAGCGGGCAAGAAAGTTCTCTTGTCTTTAGGGGGCGCCACTCCTGACAACCAGAAAATCCTTTCGACAAAGAGCGCTATTGGTTTCGCCGAGTTCCTCTGGGCATCCTTCGGACCAGTGGACGATGCTTGGGTGGCATGGGGCGGTCCTCGTCCGTTTGGCAATGTATCTGTTGACGGTTTCGACTTCGATATAGAGCACAACGGTGGATTTGGTATGTTCTGATGCTTGCTTGTCCAAGGACCTTTTGCACGCATTCTGGAGACTAATTGATCTCAGGCTACGCATCTATGGTCACTCGTTTCCGTGAGCTTTTTGCCGAGAAACCAGACCAGAAATTCTACCTGTCCGGTTCTCCTCAATGTCATCTCCCCGATAAACAACTGGGCCTCGCGATCGCAACATCCGCATTTGACTTTGTATGGGTGCAGTTCTACAACAATGATGACTGTTCTGCACGTAACTTTGTCGGTGGCGAGGGGTTCAACTTCGACGCTTGGGTCGACATCATCAAGTCTGGCGGAAACCCGGATGCGAAGCTCTTCGTCGGTCTGCCTGGCAGTAAAGCTGCGGCACTTGATGGGTACTATTTGCCTCCTGATGAGGTCAAGCCTTTAGCTTCTAAGTATATGAAGCTGTATCCTGATACTTTTGGGGGTATTATGGTTTGGGAGGCGACTCAATCTGACCGGAACCAGATCAATGGGACTAGCTACGCAGGCAATATGAAGAGAATACTGACTGAGCTTGATCCTACGCCTCCCGCTCCGACGACACCTCCTTCAAGCTCCCCTAATGTATCGAGCACCCCTATTCGGTCCAGTACCCCAGTTAGCTCTCTAACACCATCGCCTTCAACTACACCTGCTCAGTCTAGCACGCCTGTCGCTTCTTCGACCTCGTTGGTCTCTAGTACACCCGTTCGTTCCAGCACGCCTATTGTATCAAGTGCTCCTGCCCACTCTGGCACAGCTTCTTCAACCCCGTTGATGTCTAGCAGCCCGGTTCACTCCACTACACCAGTCCACTTTAGTACTCCTCTTATACCAAGTACTTCTACTCGCTCAAGTTCTCCTGCCACTCTGGCACAGCTTCTTCAACCCCGTTGGTATCTAGTAGCCGAGTTCGTTCCAGCACACCAGCTCAGTCCAGCGCCCCAGCTCACTCAAGCACTCCTATTGTGTCAAGTGCTCCTGCCCACTCTGGCACAGCTTCTTCAACCCCGTTGGTGTTTAGCAGCCCAATTCACTCTAGTACACCAGTTCACTCTAGTACTTCTCTTATACCAAGTACTTCTACTCAGTCCAATACACCTGTGCAGTCCAGCACACCTCTCCATTCAAGCACTCCTGTCCAGTCAAGGCCCCCGTCATCTTCCAGCATATCTGATCAATCGAGTACCCCAATTAGGTCTGCAACCACGTCAACGGCTCTTGTTCCAGACCAGTCGTCTACTCCGGCCACATCTCTGACACAATCGGGTCCTGGAACGATTGTTCACTCTAGCTCGCCTATCAGCTCCATGGCATCTTCAGTATCCGGAACACCCATGAGCTCGGGCTGGGCAATTCCCTCGGCAACGCCGATTCATTCTGGGACGCCAATCTCTTCTGGAGAGCTTTCCTCATCGAGCGCTCCAACTGCTACCAGCTCATCGGTCACTCCAACGGAGCCAGGCCCGTCAAGTTCAGCAGCAGTATCTGAAAATCACTCGTCCACCGAGCCAGATGTGTCAACAACGCCATATTCAACTGATGTTTCGGTATCCCCAACTGCATCTGGGCCAACTGGTACCTCTACTTCGGGCTCCTCTAGCACTATCACCAACTCAGGCCAGATAAGTCAATCAAGCCCTATCCAGCAACACACCTCCTATAGTGCCACTGCATCCTCGTCTGTCCAAACAGCCAACCCGGCCACATCGGCGGGTGCAGAGCCGGATAATGGGAGTGGAACAGTTCCGATTACTTCCGGAATAGCAACTCCGTCCGTTACACCTACCAGTACCACCTCGGAGCCTATCACTGTCACGACGGTCATCGTCACTTCGTACATCGACATCTGTCCCACAGGGTTTACGACGATCACTACGACTTATACCACAACGTACTGTCCCGGAACGGTATCTGCAACCGCCACAGCTACGAACTTGCCCTCTGGACCATTGTCCCAGACCGCTCTCCCCACCCCCCCTGAGGGTTGGACTTCAACTGTGACTGTCTGCACACATTGTGCGCCAACGCCAACTACAGTGACCCTTACCCTGCCAGTGACTACCACCCTTGCTGAACCCGTCACTGTACCGGAGTCGCAGACTACCGCTGCCCCGCCTGTTGAGGGCTGGACGACAACAGTGACTGTCTGCACAGAATGCACTTCAACGCCAACCACTTTGACATTTACCGTTCCTGCGACCGGGGCTGGCTCCAACTCTGTCGACCCTACTAGCACTGTCTCTATTGGGAACACTATCAAGCCATCCGGACACGAGAGTTCCACTAATTCCGTGGTCACAAATACTGTTATCAGCCACAGTCAGGGCCCTCCACCTAGCTCTTCGGTGATCGTGGGAACGGGTAATGTGCGCCCCTCGTCGTCAACATTGGACATCAGACCCTCGGTTAGTGGGTCTCGAGTTCCTGTAGCTCCTAGCGAAACGCAAGATAACACGTCCCCCGTATTCACGGGTGCGGCATTCCAGACTGTTGCTCTAGGCCGTGGAGCCTCTGTTCTGGTTGCTCTTGCTCTACCTGTATACCTTTTGATGTGAAATCTTTCGTTCCTATGATTGTAATGATGGATGTTGATCGTGGATCTCATTACCACCATGGAAGCCATGACAATGTATTCCACTGGCTTAATCTTCGCTTCTAATAGTCCTTCTTTTCAATAAGTTTTATTACCTTCTCTGGCATTGGCCATATGTTTTCTCCAAATCATGTCATTCATTTAGCAGATAAGGTTACCAAGTGATGTTTCTATTCTATCAACCGAAGCCGCAGATTTATTGATCATAACGACTTACTTTCTACTTGACTCACAGCCTCTCTCTATAGAATCGAATACAATGCGGACATTAGAACTTTCATAATAGACAAGCTTCCAGCCAAGCCGGGACGATCCGACCGAACCAGAACTGTATTACATACAAAGGCGGTGGGAGGGGTGGGGTCACAATGGGTTCACTCGTATGAGGGCCAAGGCGATAATAGGTTGATCCTTATTTGAATACCATGCCGTTATGATGGTATGTGGGCATTCTGTACTCCGTAGGTATTGTATGTATGTACTTTTGGGTATCCCGGTTAGAGACAAAGCATAACACAAAGTGTGTATATATCCATGTATGTACAGTACTGTACACAGTGTGCCAGGTTGCTGGCAAGATCGTATATTTGCTCTCTATTTTAGTCAAATCCTACAAAGTATCAGGTAGACTAAGGCTCAGTTCCTAGCTCATTATTAATAAAGTCAACTGGGATCTCAATTGAATGCTTTACCCCTGTAGTGTGGTGTTAGATCCTGGGTATTTTACACCATACAGCGCCGCCGCTTGACTGTCAGGGTTCAAGCTTCAGCTACTGTCTAATCTAACTTAAACCTACTGCCCCAGGGGCAGTGCTAAATCCCTCTTTTCCCTTAATTACCCCTCTTATGTTTCAGCTATTTCTAGAACATATTTCTTGGGTCCTCCTTTCCTTCCCCTTTCACTTGAATTTCGCCTCCTCTTTTGGTCCATCTTACTACCAAAAACACACCTCTGCCAAATACAATGGATTTCGTTAGCAAACTCGCCGAAAAGTTTCTCGACAAGGACAAGTCCAGCGGCAGCCAAGAAGGCTATGGCAGCCAGGGCGGATATGGTGGACAACCGAGTGGCTACGGAGGTCAAGGAGGATACGCTGGACAGCCTGAAGGCTACAGCGGTAGATATCCCCACCAACAGCAACATTCAGGACCTCAGGTACCTCCCCCATGGGTGGCCCGATGGGATGATCAGTCACAACGCTGGTTCTACGTGAATGAGCAGACCGGTGAGAGGACCTGGAACCACCCGGGCCAGGGCGGTGGCTACGGCCAGCAGCAGCAGCAGCCATCGTACGGTGGAGGTGCGCCTTACGGTGGTGGGCAATCCTACGGCCAGCAGCCGTCCTACGGTTATAGCGAGTCACGCCAAGGAGAATACTATCAGCAGCAGGGGCCTAAGAAGGATCATACTGGGGCGAAGATTGCAGGTGCTGCAGCTTTGGGTGTTGCTGGCGGAGCGTTGGGAATGTATGCCGCGGGAGAGATGCGTATGTTTTTTTTTTCTTGAGTCTTACCGCCATTTTCTTTTTGGGCCCACTATACTGCTGTTTGTTTCTTTTGCAATGGGGCTGACATCGACTAGACGATAGTTATGAAGAGCACAAGGAGGAGTGGAAACAGGATGTTCAGGATTTCCCTGAGAATGCCGCTGAATGGACCGGTGAGAAGGTATGTTGCATTTCTTGTGTTACCTTTTCTCTCCAAGATTCATGTTGATCCGGGCATGTTCGGGTATATTAACATGTACATCAGGTCGGTGAAGCCGAAGTAGGTTGGGATCGCGCCGAGGATCGAGTCGAGCAAGGCTGGGACAATACCGTCGATAAGGTTGAAGACATCCCCGAGAACGTTGCCGAATGGACTGGCGAGAAGGTTGGATCTGTGGAACGCTTCGGCGACAACATGCACGATGCATATGAACGGGGAGAGGATGAGGGTCGGGGTGACGATTGGTAGTTCCTGGAAACTCAAATGGGTATCCCCGTCGGTTATGCATTTCCTGTTTTTGAAGAGATCTTTAGTTCACACAGAATTGATATCGGATTCTAGATTCAATGATATTGAGCAAAGCGGACTATTCCTGTTCGGGGACGGAGATCACCTGGGCATTTACATGGCATACTCTAAATCTACGGCGTAGTTGCTTGCCATGGTAGGTTATTGTTACTTCCTTGCTACTTAGTAGTAGGCAGCAGTTCTTATGGTCCTCTCGATTGATACTCTCCCTCTTTGTCTTTTTCCCCGCACGTGAACCCCGGACCTCGGCTGCGGAGAGTGCTCCCGCATCATTCTTCAATAACAAGACATCCGCCGCATCGCTGCCAGTGCCCTTTCTACTACAGCAAAGGATATCACATCGACTTCAGATCTCTAGAGTTGGCCGCGTAACAACCCTACCGGTTCATACACGTCGGCACAGCTACAGAATGCCCGACACACGACCCCTCGCAGGAATCCGCGTGGTCGAGCTTGCAGGCCTAGCTCCCGGTTTGTCCTGACCGCAATCTATATCGGCCGGGATCTGTCGGTGTAACTAAAGAAATTACGTATTTTGACTGATTAAGGCTTACAGGTCCTTTTGCTGGACTATTACTCTCCGATTACGGGGCATCCGTGCTGCGCATCGATCGGCCAAACGCTGTGAGTAGCGATCAGTTAACGCGTCATAAAACCTCTATCACTCTGGACCTCCGGAATAAGGCATCGCATAACATCCTCCTTTCTGTGTTGGCCAAAGCCGATGTTCTCATCGACCCTTACCGCCCCGGCGTTCTAGAACGCCTGGGTCTTTCACCATCGGATATCCTCTCGAATCATAACCCTCGCTTGATTGTGGCGCGCATGACGGGATTCCGACGAGACGGTAAATACAAGGACATGGCGGGTCATGATATAAATTACATTGCGGTATCGGGGGTCCTCTCTCTGCTCGGTCGGGCCGGGGAACGCCCCTATGCCCCCGGCAATATCCTTGGCGACTTCGCAGGCGGAGGCGCCATGTGTTTTATGGGGATATTGCTTGCTCTGATGTCGCGCACACGCACGGGACGGGGCCAGGTTGTGGAGGCTAACATGGTCGACGGGTCTGCATACCTGGCGGCGTTTCCGCGGCTGAACCGACAGACGCCGCTGTGGAGTGGGCCTCGGGGGCAGAACATGTTAGACGGCGGCAGTCCGTTCTATGACACGTATGAGACCAAGGACCCAGGAAAGTATTTTGCAGTTGGGGCCTTAGAACCCCAATTTTACGCCGAGCTCCTCAAGGGACTTGGGTTCGGCTCCGAAGAGCTTCCCTCTCGGGACGATAGGAAAAATTGGCCGGCCCTGCGAACGGCGTTTGCGAAGCGATTCAAAGAGAAAACGCGGGCGGAGTGGGAATCTATTTTTGACGGGACGGATGCTTGCGCGACACCTGTATTAGAACAGGATGAACTCGAACAAGGTGGTTTTGAGCAGCGACCTGCCGTTCATCTTGTTGACACGCCAGCAGCGCCCATTGCGGCAAATGATGGGGGCTGGACGGGAGGTGGCCTGACGCCGGGGGTTGGTGGACAGGAGACGTTGACGGCCTGGTTAGGATGGAAGGAAGGACGGGAATATGATGTCAGACCGGATGGGGCATTGGTGAAAATTGCAGAGGGGAAGGCGAAGCTGTGAGGATGAGTTAGATAATACGAGGTTTGATGTGGCCGCGGATCGGGATGAGCTCACGCGGCCATAGGGCTGAGGCTCCGCGCCCGATTGGGTAACTGACCAGTAGTTCCGCCGGAGAAATTACTGTCTTTATCAGTGATGCTGTCATTGACTTTCATTTTTATCTTTGTTGTATGTAGCAGACAATAGAAACGTACCAAGGTTAGGGGATGGGTGAATGGAAAAGAAAATGGTTGAAAGTCATCCATGGTCAGACTGAAACATGCACAACTTTATGCGGCCAACCGTTTGGTACAGTGCTCTTTTATTCTATCTTGGGTAAAGTATGTATGTATGTTAGTAAAGTAAAGATAGGGAGGTATGGAGTGAGACTACGGAGTACTCCGTACTTGCAATGGAATTGGTAAGCAAAAGTAAAAAGGAAAAAGGGAAAAAAAAATATTAAAAGGTATTGAGACGGGAAGATTGATGGCGAGCTGAAAGACCCATCCTTCCGGAGACAAGTCCGCCGTTGGTTGGCAGGAAAGGTTACAGCGTCAATGTAACACATGCCCAGTTCGCGGGGATTGATTCGATGGTCACGTCATTATTGGTGTTTCCAGGCCGGAACCGTGCATCCGTGACTTATCATATCATACCCAAAAAAACAGACTTCTAACCCAGATCAAGAAACTTTTCCACTAAATTGGGGGGAAAAAAGGTGGTATGTACCTGGATACCTACCACAGTTCCATCAAACATTCCTTATCGATGGTCGACAATTCATTCTACTACTTCACAGTGACCATCTACTCTCAAAGTCATTTCCCGAGCCTTCCGGATGTTTGAATGGTGGAGTATTCGACGTCATTAATCACTTGCTTTTCACTGGTTCTTGGGGGGATTTTCGACTGTTCCTAGCCGTTATTAAAGGGTACTAGTCGGTACTGGGTACCTGTACCATCTGGAGACTCATTCCCCTTAATTCTTTGCCTGGCTCGGTACCGTGTACTGGCTCGGTACCTCATGTAATTTAACAGGGTAACGTTTGGATACCTGGGCAGTACCAGGCCGCCACGTGCGGGTACTGTGGCGCAGCCTGGCCCTATCTCCTGATGATCTTTTTTTTTGTAGGACCCGCGATACGATCCTTGTGATGGAGCTTTGGTTCCTTATCGGAGCACGCCACGATGACTGGTCATTCCATTCATGTGTCTCAGACTCTCAGCTTCCCTTCCTCTGGTTTCCTTCCATTCTAAAGTAAAATCACCGAGTTCGACTCCCAAGGTGTGGTTGAGTAGTGGCTGTGCAAGAAAGTTTTACCCAGTGTATATACACCGCAGTACCTCCTTCACTATTCATTGTCTGTAATTTTACCCCGTATGGGCACACATTTCGTATTCGGTACCGCCGCCTGCTTGGGACCGTCACACTTGGTTTTTCTCTGCTCTTCTTTTCTTCTCTCCGTCGCGAGAGCCGAAGCGACCGGTTTACTCTCTTCCAAGTTCTGAATGCGCCGTAATTTATTTCCATCTTTTCTCCTCTTTTTCCGGCCTTGATAAACAGACCTCCTCCCCTGCGGGCAACTTGGGATTGGTTCTCCTTTGTGTACAATTGTTGTCGTCAGCTTTTGTCTCGAATTCCTTCTCTTCAACTCTCTTTCCACCCCGCCATACAACATATGTTCCCTGCAGGTGTGACTTGGTAAAATTGGGTACCCGCCAAGTGCCAGGCAATTAATTGTCTATCGTTTTCTCACTGCGCATTATTACATTACTACTGAAAAGGTGGTCTAGAAAAAAGCTCTCCTAGCTTTTCTTATCACTGTGTCTTTTTGTTCTTTTCTTTTATCAATCGCCACCATCATTCGCTTGCACCTGCTACCTTTGCGTGCCGGTTCCTGTTGCAAGGATTGTACAAAAAACGGAAGCGCTGGCCGTTCATTGATCCGTTAATCGTTCCCCAGGGCGGCTCGGCTTGCCTTACTTATCCCCTCAATCAACAACATTGAATTGCGAGTACGACGCTCCCCTATCCCCTCAAAAGTTTGACCCCCCTGGGTAGCTCGTCCCGTCTCCTGCCGCAAATCTTGGACGGTGTAAATAGCCTCCCATCCGAGACCCTTCTGGCTTTTGAATTACATGGCTGGCGTACAACTGCAACAACCCACTATGACCGACTATCGATTGCCGCTCCATCAACCGCCGCCTTCACGGAAACCGGTCCCTGGGATGCATGCTGGTTACCCATTTCAGTCCTATGATGGGCATCACAAGCCACAACTCTCTCCTCATCCATCCGCCGGCTCCCTCTCTCATAGCCGGAGTCGGATGTCTTCGGCCAATGCGTCGCCGTATATGGCACACCAGCAACCGTATTCAAATACCCCTTCGCCACATCATACCATGACCACGAATCCCAGTTACCCCCCCTCAAGAAGATTGTCGAGTGCGACGACCTCCACGAGCTCGACTGGCAATGCCCCGGGTAATTCCGCCGCTTCAGATATCCGCCGAAGCACGTCATCCCGTTCCGCCAACTCCCAACTGGGCTATGTAGCTCTCATGCGGAGGCAGAAGGCAACGGTGTGGTGTGACCGAGCGCAGCCGGAGGATCCGCGCCTCCGAGCGCAGAAGCTTGCCGACAAGAAGAGGGCGTACCTTGAGGTCCATGGCGCAGGCGCTGGTGGACGGGCTGGTACCCTTGGAAGCGGCAAAATCAAACACTCTAAAGGAGGCACCGATTTCTCACCCTCGAACCTGGTGTCAGCGACGGTTCCAGTACGACTCAGTGCTAATGAAGTGGGAGATGCGGATGAGGATGCACACAGCGATCATGGGTTCCCTTACCGCCGCACTGGGAGCGGTCGCAGCTCGCTGGGAAGCAACCATCGTTACCCCAGTGGCTATCAGCGGACGCCCCAGGGCACGATGGGAAGTAGCAGCACCCCGCCGAGTGAGAAAATGGACTTGCCAAATGTGACGGAGCATCCGCCGGCAGAGGGCCACGAGGAAAAGAAAGTTCAAGATGACGCCACTACCACATACAGCTTCGAGGCCGCAGATGAAGATAACTTTGGTAGTGTAGGGGAAATGGCCGCCCCCAGTGCCGCTACCACAGCGGCCGAAAAGGCAAGGAGGGCGGATGAATTAAGGCGGCGAGGCAGTGTGGACGACCGAACGAGCTCGATGACCAATGTCCGGCTTTTCGTCGCAAATCCAGATCTCAGTGATTAGTGGCATTTGAACTGTCATATCTCACATTTATCTCTCTCTCGGATCTATATTCATGAAAATACCCAGTCGGCCGGAGTTCGGCAACCAGTCCAACTTCATGCAGATTATGCCATCATTCTTGTCTTCTTTCCTCTTTCTGCTTCCTGCCTTCCCGTCTATTTCTTTCCCTCCCCTTTTTTTCGCCGGGTTGTCTTTCCTCGGGTAGTGCTTGAGCTCCGGGCGATGGACGTGCCCCCATACCTTGGTTTTCGTGCTGCATGAGGGCAGCCTGATGCATTGCACTTGGTTTGTTTTATTCCCCTCACTGCATGTTTTGGTACCCGTGCTTCTGAAGCATTAATTTGCGCGCGTTCCTGGTGTTGCATCCGTTGTACCGTTGGCGTCTATTATGGATTTACGAGCAGTTAGTAATAATAATATTGTCTGTACATACTCTGCAAACTATGCTATCCATGGTTATGTATATTGATTGAAGTTTGTAGAGTTGCAAGATACAATATACTTTTGTTGCTACATGTGAGCTGTTGCAAGCTTCGTCCCTCGTAGGCTTACCAGACAATGGGCAGTTAAGCAAGACTGCTCTGGTCGTACAGTAAAAGGGGCCTCTGATCACCAGTAGTCCTGCCAATCTCACTCCAAACTTCATTTTCTAAACCAACTCAATTCCAGATACCAGATTGACCTAGTTAAATCCAATTATTCTAACACAATAAACAACTCAACACGAGTTCAATCAAACTTATCATTATCAATATTATCATTACTCCCTCTTACATAATCCCCCGCACGTGCTCCCGACGCGAAGCAGTCGCGCCGGAGAATCCAATTAACGCGCGTTCCAATTCACCTCCTACTATGACATGCCGCCATCCAATACTATCCTTTCCCGGAATCGAGTTCCCCCATTAGACCATCACCATTGACGTATTAATATTCTAGGAGTGGGAGTGTGTCTTGTTTGATTCATTCGAAGGAGTTGTCATCAGCGTTTCTTCGTTCTTGGGGAGTGAACCGACCCGACCGACCCGACCCCGATTTGTTCGATGTGTGTGATCACTTTCTATTTTTATCATTACTTCTCTTCTGCGTTCACTTAGACTTCATATTTGATTTTAATCTTGTTCGATTAGTCTTTGCGCAGATCATTCCTTAACAAGGAGCAAAAAAAGGAAAATTAAAAGATGGACGTTTCAATGGACACAAGTCCGTCCGCCCTTTCTCCCCTCTCACAATCACAGCCGCAGCCGCAATCAACAACAGCATCCTATCCTACAACTCCGACCGCCTCCAGGAAACGCTCCATTCAGGACATCGATGCACAGACTACGGTCCACACCGACACCATCAAGTCCCCGACATACACCGACAAGGAGAATCAAGAGAATGCCGATCCCTTGATAAAGAGCTCTACACGTGTATCTCCCGCAATGGAGATGAGCCACGTTGTGATTCGAAGTGGGGACCTGTCGGTGGGCTCGAAGACCGGTGATGAGGCTCCGGTACAGAATACGAAAGAGGCTACGCTTGGGGAATCGGTTGTGAATACGATTCCCAGTTCGGAATCGACGATCGCTGTTTCAATGTCTAATTCATCTAGGGGGGATGCCCCTTTCACTAAGAAGAGGAAGCTGTCTTCTGCGAGTAAGGAGGCTAAGCAGCAAGAGAAGGAAGCTAGGCTGCAGGAAAAAGAGGCCAAGTTGCAGGAGAAGGAGGCAAAGGAGCGCCAGAAATTAGAAGAAAAGGCGAAGAAGGAAGAAGAGAAACGGGTGAAAGAAGAGGAAAAGAAGAAACGAGAGGCCGACCGCGAGGAGGAACGTAGGCGGAAGGAAGACAAAAGACGAGCTAAGGAAGAAGAAAGAGCTGCCAAGGAGGAAGAGAAACGGAAGAAGGAAGTAGCCAAAGAGGAAGAGAGGCGGAAAAAGGAGGAGGAGAAACTGAAGAAGGATAGGGTAAGCTTTCTAAACTGACAACTCATAGCTCATGTATGGTTGGTCTAACGCCTACTCGCAGGCACAACCAAAATTGAATGCCTTCTTCGCAAAACCTAAGCCGTCTGCACCGTCATCGGTCTCGGCGATTACTGGGTCGCCCAAAAAGTCAGGAGGCGATGGCACCGCAAACGAATCTTCCTACGAGGCTGGCCCGTCGGATTATCAACGAGCATTTCCCGAGTTTTTCCTGCAGTCTCACACGAAAGTAGCCCCGCCGCATAGGTTCGAACGCGATTCGGAGGCTCTTCGACTAATGAGGGAGAAGGTTGATGCGTGCTTGAAGTCGCCCAATAGTTCGGAGGAATCTCTTGCGTTCCGGCCTTCAGATATTTTCAGCATGATGCCATACAAGCGACGGCGAGGAAGGCTTCCTGCTTCTGTTAGGGAGATCCTTCTACAGATGCAGACCCTGAGCGATCAAGCAGGAAGCTCTGAGGCTGTGCAACGGCAACAAGGCCTTTTAAAGAAAATCCGAATGAAATCACTCAAGTTTGGCGAAGATGTCCGGCCACCATATCAGGGAACATACTCTAAATCCCTGCCTGAGTCCTCTGCCTATAAGATGATGCGAAACCCATTCTACCGCGGCTTACCCGAGACAAATTACGATTACGACTCAGAGGTTGAATGGGATGAACCGGAAGAAGGCGAGGAACTCGACTCGGAGGAAGAGGAAGAGATGAGCGAAGACGGTGATGATGACATGGATGGCTTCTTGGATGATGAGGACGACCAATTGGTCGACGGGAAGAGGCGGCTTATTGTCGGCGATCTAGAACCCGTCTGCACAGGCATTCAATGGCACGATGGGAGGGGGGATCCAAAACTTAAAGCGTATAAGATCGAGACCATATCGGATACGGTGTCATTGCCTATTGACCCATTCTCAACGGCATATTGGCAAAAGCCAAAGACATCGGAGCCAGCTCAAACCAGTGGTGCAGGACGGTCGACGCTTCACTCTTTCCTCAGCAACCCATCTTCGGGGAGTGCGTCAACGCAGGACGGCAGCGCATTGCCCCTGTTGGGATCCGGGAAAGCCAAGCGAACCTTCCCGGCGGAACAGCTGACGGAGTTCAAGCAAGTTGTGGATGGAAGCGATCTGTCGAAGTTGGGGTTGATTGAAATCCTGAAGAAACGGTAAGTAAAACATGGGCCGTCCAGTTTCATCTGCCGCTAACGACAACCCCAGGTTCCCGAAAGTTTCTAAGGATGTCTTGAAAGACACGTTGAACAGCGTGGCGATTCGGGTGGGACAGAAAGAGGCTGAGAAGAAATGGGTCTGCAAATAGTGATGGTATTGGAGGAGACATGACAGCAAGCGTTCGATGTTCCGAACAACGCATGGCTGGAGTTCTGGTGTCAGGTCGACTCTTGGATCGTGTCGGGAGAAGTCTACCCTTGAAGGAAATGTATTGGTTGCAAATGTTTCTCGTCTTCAAGTGTAATTGGAATCGCATGGACATTTGCAGCCACTTATTCTTTTGCAATTGATGTGTCATGACTACGATTGCTTTGCGGGCTAGTGGGATTGTGACTGGATGTTGATATTGTATATTGATAAACTGCTTACTATAGGAGCCGGTTTTAAACTACATGGGATACTATTCTTACCAATGATACCTACATCTATACAAAGGGATGAACCTTAAACGCAGAAAGAAAGACCCTGCGAGTAGGGCAAACAGACAAGGGGGAAGAAGCTAGAAAAGAAAGAAAAGATAGATTAAAATCAAAAGTTCTAAAAACAGACATGTTGCCATCGAATAGTTCGTTTCCTCTTCTCAGCCACAGCTGCAGTGGATGATCATGCAGTTCTAGACAGGAGTATGTATGAGTTGTTAAAAGGAAGGAATGTTAATGAATTCAGCTGAGGATGTCACTGGCACTAGACTGTCTTAGGGCTAGTCTGAAGGGAAGTTGTTCAGTGGTGGTCGAACACGTGCCAGTGGGGTCTGGAGTCATTTGAGTATTATTTAATACGAAGCTGTTATTTTCTTGTACTTTATTGTTGACTGAATTTATAGGTACATATGTATTTTTTTTTTTTTTTTGGTGTTAGCTCGCCTTGCTGTCACTGGGAGTGGCTTCGGTAGTACTAAAAAGGGACATATTAGCAATATCTTCCTAGTGTCAAACATTCGGAGGAATTTCCACTATTGATACTAATGATCCTCCTACGAACAGTTCGACCACTAGCAGTAGATAGTAATAGTCCCTTGTACCTCACCTATCTAGTGAGCGAGGGAAGTTTTAAGATGCAGTTTCATGCATCCCAACCCCCAGAAACAAGAAATGGACAGGATTCCCCTCCTTAACCCAAGGCCAGCAGTAAGGGGTGGTTGGGCAGCGAATCATAGGGGGGCAACCGGAGCCATCATGCATGCATGCAGTGCCAGCGCATCACTTTCGACGAAGAAAGTTAGGACCGGTTGGTACAACGGGTACTCCGCTGGTACCGATCCTTCCAGTCCAGTGAGAGTGGAAGAATGAGCAGTTTGACTCTTCCCTCCTATGTACTTAGTTTGTCCATTATCTCCTGGTACATGCATTCTGAAGTGTATTAAGTCTATCATTCGACTTGGACGCTTTCGTGTCAACCTCTTTTTTTCCCTTGCCTTCCTTCCCGCCATCCATTCTCAGCACCTCAGAATGGTTGAGAGGAAGTCTTCCCGGCAAAACGGAGGAAGTGGGGGGGGATGGGACGTCATGTCCTATATTGATTGATGGTTTCTGCAGAATGGTGGTATTTCAGTAATAGCGTTTCTTCCTTTTTACTTTTTACACTTTTTCTTTTTTCCTGTCCTAAATTACTAAAATATATTGATAGTTGTATGTCAATTTTTGATTTTTGAATTTTTTTTTTATTCCATTGCAGTGGGTATTGTATATATATGCATATACACAGGAGGAGGAACGGGGGGGACCAACTTCGCTAAATAAGGATTTTACTTGCTCTCATGCAGTGTGAAGTACAACCCCATGTAGAAGAAGTATTTATTTAGTCGAGTCACACCAACATTGCCTCACTACCACAACACCTGCAGTTGTCCTCCACTGCATCCGTCCGATTCGAGTCACCGCCAGGCTGGCACTTGGCTACCTTGAACAAATAAGAAACCGTCGTTGTTGTTCGCTTGCTTATTCTCCGTTCAAACTTGTCATGTTTCCCCTACTTTAGTGGCATACTTACATACAGTACATGCTGCCAACATACAGCATCCAACCTGAGCCAAAGAAACTCTCCTTTCTTTGCCATTCCCCCTCCCCTCCGCGTCCATCCAACCATTAACCATACAGATCCCGTGGATTCCTTCGACTTGCTGGCAAGCAATCGCCCACTAAGGTATCCTTACTCTCTCACTTACTTACGTCTTGCTTTCCCTCTTCTTCGCTGCATGTCATCCTTCCGCCAATTCAGCCAGTTGTCTCTTATCGTCTGGACGAGACCGTCAGATCGGAATTTATCGTTCTTTTAATAATCTCCCAATATTATTGATTTGCTTTTGAATTTCTGATTTTTCGATTTTATTTTGTATTCTTTTATTTTTCCCTTGATTCCAGCTATACTTATTATTCCTACTTGCATCTCTCGAACCCTCGCCCCTCCCCCAAATATCTACCTCTTTATTATTATTATAATCCCAATATCTATCTCCCTCCCCTCCTTCACCTTTGTCTTCCTTCCCTTCTACCCCGCCTCCCATCCTTCCTTATCGTCCCTCTCGTCCCTCTCTCTTACTTCCTCCATCAATCCTGGAGCCATCGACCGTATCGCATTACCCTCTACTAGATCCCCATGAGAACCGCCGTCCTTTCCCTTCTTCCCCTCTAAGGGCTGGACCATGCGATAGAGAGGCGGTTCCTGGAGCTAGGGGCATCTTGCGACGTCACACGTCTCCTTGGCTACCTGGCCGGGAGACTGCCCATGGCAACATCATGTTCGATGCCCAATCCGATGGTCTCTCATCGACCCTAGCTTATGTGACCAGTACGTTCTAGTTGACTAATTTATTCTGAGGCCTGTGTGCAAGATCGCCAGCCCCCCTTTTTTCTGGATTTTATTTCAGCCGCATATAACTACCAATTTTCCCCCCTTCGGCATCGCAATTTCTTTTGCCTCTTGAATGGGAATTATACCGCCTCCTCTGCTAACACCTTCCCCACTTTCTCTACCTCAGATCTAATGACCCCCATCCGGTCTCTTTCATCATGTGAAAGTACACCTCAGCCACCTGCTGCGACTGCCAGCATGTCCCCAACTCGGTTCTCCCCCGAACCAATGGGTCCGATTATAGGTGAGTCTGGAGACTCAGACCGTGCGAGTTCGCGATTCATTGCAACACCCGTCTTTTCCGAAGATGGATGCCCCTCGGAAAATCCGCCCCAGGCCATGCCATCAGTGCCTATGGAGGATAGCCCTAAGGTTTCTTTTGAGAATTTGGCCAAGTGCTATCGCCAGAATCAGCAGAAACAAGCCCGTCGGAAAAGTTTGGAACAACGTCTTCATGCCACCAAAGTGTCTATGGGGGTTTCTGCGCGACTGGTCCGCGTGGGCGCTGCGGTTCAGCGCGGCTTGGTTGATCGATTGAGATATGACGACAAGGTCAATTTCATTTCACTCTACCATACCCTAATTGATCTCCAGGAATCCTGTGATTCTGCCTGTCGACGCCACTTCCACCGGCAGGACCCGTTGGAAGATTGGCCATCATCTCCCGAGTCCACAGTGGACCGGACCCCGGACTTTTTCCTCCAGTTGAGTCCCCAGTCCAGGGCTGACCTTATTGAAATCCTGCAATTGGTCCGCACCGACCCCCAGTTTCTGTTTGAACGATTGTGCGGCTTGACCCCGGCCCAGCTGGGCGCTTTGGTATCATCTTCGGCCCTTTCGTGGGATGCCGGTGATCTCACATCCCCCCCAACTCTCCGATCCCGGCACTATCCTTCGTTTTCTAAGCGCGGTCCTCCCACTTCCGTCCTTGTTAAGGATCATGTCCTCGCCTTCGAGAGAACGGACGCTGTATCTACCATGTTGTTTAATGCTTTTGCGGCCCCCCTGGACTCGGATGCCCCTGAAGCTAAATTGCGCCTGGACGTGTGGTCTTCTGTTTGCGCAAAGCTCATTGCGGATGGCAGCAGTAGGTTCCATCCTCTTCTAAGCCACATCTTGGCCGCCTGGTCCATGGGTAGTGATTGGAAAGCTAAGCCCAAATTCGAGCTCTACCTCATGGATATCCTTCAAACTGGTGCATTTCTCTTGGAACATGTAGATACCCCACCCGGTCTGAACTTTGACGCCGAGCCTCCAGACCCATTGAGAACGGACGTAGCCGAGGAATTCTTTGCCTCTGCGGTTGATTCTTTGTTCCGGATATTGGATGATCCAGATGGAGGACTTCCCGTTTCAGTGATGGAACTGAGCAGTGCCATATTGCAAAAATTAGATCGTCAGGACTGCCGTGATCGTTTTTTGGAGTTCCTATTTATTCAGTGGTACTTTTCTAAATTCCTATACGGCGCACTAACCTTCCCTGAGGTATGATACTACTCACTTAACCTGCCGAATTTTTTAGGCGATAGATATACCGCGTCTAACTCTGTCTGTAGGCCCACGGACTTTTGCTTGACTTTCATATCAGGAAAGATGCACGAGAGAAACTCCTCGGACAAGTTGGACTTCAGGCTTACTCTCAGGTCTACGCCATCCTACGCTCAATGTGCGTTGTCCTTGTTTCCCAGATACTGCGAGCGAGCAAGTCTACTAACTAAATTTCACTCTTGACAGGACTCATTTCTCTATGGCTCGTCCCATGGTCCGGCAGCATGTTGAGAACATGCTTTCCCGGTTTCAAAACGCGGCCTATGGAAGACAGATCAATATCCCATGCTCAACTTACGGTGGAGGACGCGAGTCACCTGCTGTCTTCCTGATGCTTTCGGCCACTGATGTTCTCAGTTTATTGAATGCCCTTTTCCCTAGGACATGCTCTCCAGTGTGCAACTCACCAACACCGTCTTCTGGAATGTCTGGGTCTTTCAGGTCTCTCAGGTCTCTACAGTCACTTTCGGAGAGGCAGGGAGCTCCAATAGCTGAGCCGGGGTTTTTCAAACCCTTTGTTGACAAACACTCTAGGCGGCCTTCCATCAGAGGCCTCTTCTCAACTGACATGGATTTCTTGTCACTTCCGGAGAGTTCCTTAGCTCGTAATGCCGATCGGATTCGCTTTGAACTATCCGATTTGGGCGAACCCTATGGTCGCTCAAATCTGGAGCCACCATCCGCTGAAGAATGGACCGTGTTTTCAGTTGCTCAGAATGGACGACGTCTATTATGGAGCCTGTTCTCGGACGATCAATCCAGTTACCCAGAGCATGCATCCGAGGATGAGGTCCAGGCCACTACCTTAGGTCTAGAAGATAACTTCGAAGCTCTTCAGACGGCCATTGTGAAACTGATCCAGGAGAATCCCGCCGAAGACCACCATGAAATCAGCTTTCAGGCTCACAATACTTTGCAAACAGACAGCATAACCCTTAAACAAAGATTTGATCGAGCCATGGCATATTGTCATCATGCCTCGGATTTTATCGGTGCTCATTATTGGTGGAACGCTGGCAGACAGCTTCGTCGAAGTGCCGCCAACTCTTCAACTCGACTTGCCGATGACTCGTGGATCCTTGAACCTATGTATACTTCAAGCATCCGTGCCTTCCAGACCTCAAGTTCTGTCATCGAACGCTGCGAAGGTGACTTTGTCGCCCTCGATCGCCATATGCAGCGACTGCAACGGACGGTTAAGGACACAATGGCCACTGTGTCAAAACTGCGAGACAAGATGTGGTACATGACCGACGTAAAGAACTCTAAGAGGTACGAGGAAGCTAAACATGTCGCGCTGGCATTGAAGACTATGGTGTACTCCGCTCGCCTATACAAGCATGCACCTAATGAGGGTCGATCCCGTGGTACTGGAAGATCATTTGGAGGTTCTCTACTTCAAAAGCCAGAGCTACAGGTCATGGATGTCATGAAGGCCCCAAGGAACTATGGGAGCCCGAATAAGCTCTCTGACGAACAGGTGGACTTACTTCGAAAATGGTTATCCCATAACAACATCGAAAATTTCTGCAAAGGTGAGGAACGTATTCACCGGTTTTGTTACGAGGTCAAATCAAGTATCAATCGACTAGTCGGAGAGACTATGGCGGAAACGCCTGTGCTCTGGGCCAGCGAACTATACTATAGAGAGCGAGCTAAGTACGAAAGCTCCAGCAACCGAAGTTTCCATGGTCTTTCTTCCAGTCTACGGCCCTTTAGTATCGGCAGTGATGAAACTAGCAATCCGTTGCACTCATATGCCAACAGCACCCGTCCATCCGACTCACTCTCCAGATACTCGCAAGAACTCCCTCCATTGAATACGAAAACCTCTTTCCAGAGTTTGGTCTCTGACAAATGGCGAGTTCCTCGAGACCTGTCTATCCCTGATACTTCTTCTATCGTGGGCTCTCCAGGAAGGGCCGCGTCAACTTGCACAGGAGATTCTTGCAGCACGTTCTGGTCTGCACCACACCAGCAGTATGCCCCGAGCGCATCCAGCCTATACTCTAGGCCCCCATCACTTCTAAGTGATACGCCAAGCCAACAACCCCGACGAAATGACCGTAAAGCTCTTGGAAAAGCAGCTTTTCTAGATGGACTACGACAAACCCTTACAAGCCTGCTCTTAAGCGATCTGGGTTCCCCGGTATGGAGCTGTGGGAGTGAGACTGATGCCTGGTTTGGCAATGCTCTAGACCAGAACAGAATTCAAACGCAAATGAAGAAACGGTCTCAAATCCAGCGGTTCTATGCGGAGTATGACGAACGGTTAGTCCGCCACGCTATCCATCATGCCCCATTGAGTACCCGGAGAAGCAAATCACTCGGGCCTTTAGAGCGAGAGGAACCCCAGACTCCCGCAGCCTTACCTTCCTCTTCGACTGATGCTGATGCAAGCATCGATGTTGAATCCCCATTCTCATACAAAACTGTGTTCTGTCGTTTAACAGAGGTCTTCTCACGTCATGGAAACCCGTTTGCCAAACTGAAGGCATTGCGAGATCTGCGTGCGTTGGTTATTGCATCACTGAACTCGGCTAATGATGATAAATCTCTCTTCCCTCTTGTTGAAGAGTCACCTTGCCAAAGACGCAATTCTAGTTTTCAAAGGAAGCGAGCAGCTCGCCACAGCTTCTCAGATCCCCAGGCAACTCGTGTCCTTGGCAAAGGCTTCTTCCATACTACAACATCTCCTACCGATGAGTCCGTTATTTTCGACACCCGGCCTTCTGACTACCTAGGCCCCACGGAAAGTCAAATCGTGGAAGCCCTGCGCGGTATAATCCTCGAGGTGAAACCAAAGACTCTTTTCCGCGATTTGCAGTTTATATCGGCATTTGTCCCAGGAGAGACGTTGAACAAGTCCGACAGTGGGACAGCGTTCCTACAGTTTGGTTTGGCTGCACTAAGCTTAAAGGACGAAATTTGCAACAGCATGGTTGAGATTGCCGACAACATTGTTTCCCAGGAGCTCAGCCGGCGTCATCCACCCCAAGGGTATCAGTATGATATGCACGCAAGGCCGGGTCATGCCATTGAGGATGCTGCCGGAATGTGGATTATTACCGCGAAGGAAGGAAACCCAGTTGCTCAGCGGGAGCTGGCAATTCTCTATCTCACCCACCCGGAACTTCTCCCCCGTGTTACTCTCCCCCTCACGTTTTTGCGGGATACATTCAAGGAAGAGACCTTACTCCGTCGCGATAAGGATCCCAAGTCTGACCCGCAGAGCATGTGTCTGGCCCTGCACTGGATGCAGTTGTCGGCTAATGGAGGAGACGAACTTGCGCGGAACAGGCTTCGCGAACTGGAAGAATTTGACTCCATCGCATAACATTCGTTTTACACTTAACATATGCCCAACTTTTTTCCATCCCCAAGCAGCTTAGGTTTTTTGGTTTCCTTCTGATTTGACTTGATACCATTCATGACTTTCAATTGTTTGAATTTCTTTCCTCTGATCTTTCCTAACTACCTTTGGCCCTTTCTACCAGACTAATTCTTCTCGCAGATATTGCTGATTATGTTTCACTTTTCATCACTTTGGCGACCTGCACGCTTTTCTGCCTTGTAGTTGTACTTTGATACATCGTGGCGTGGGATGTCTCGACCTTGCACGGGAGCAGGAAAGGGGCATTGCCTCCCTTCGTTTTATTTTCTTCTATCCTTTTCTTTCCTTCTTCTTAATCTTATCTTATAAGATTCCCCTATACACGTCGGTGATTTTTAAATGGGTGGCATTCTGCTTTCACTTACTCCCCCACCCTTTCATGGGTTCCGAATCTGTGGAGTTCTATAACCTTGGATTGAACTGTAGAGACGATAGGACTGGCGGCCATCTGCTCAGTATTTAGGGTTACAATTTCATACTATACAATGACCATGGGGTTGAACGAATGTTGTTACACTATGAGAGGCGTATGGAAAATTCAGGTTTTAGGGCAGCCAACCGTGTAATTGACCGCTTATTTAAAAAAAAATAAGGGACTAACTGGTCACAATGGTTATTGTTCATTGAGTGATGCCGAGGAAATATTTATATTATGGAATGGACCTTTTCTTTATATCTAATTTTTTCCGTGTGCCAAAAACAAAACAAATCCCTTCGACGTCATCGGCAACGAAGGCCCACGTGCCAGTTCATTGACAATGTTCAAGTTGTTTTCCGCCTGTCACTTGCACTCTTTCGCCATCTCATGTCCAGTACGACCGCTAGATCTACAACTTGCCATTAATCACCCTGTCTCTTTCTTTTCGACATTGCTCAGGGTGTGGAGAGATTCCAACAGTGAAGCGACTTTCCCACAGCAAACCTTGGTCAGCCATTCAAGAGGCTGAAGAACCCCTCCAATCCCATCCATTCACACGCATCATCCTGACGGCCACTCAGCCTCAATTTCATGATCTTTGCGACCTCAGCTGACTAGACACTTTTTGGTGAAAGGAGTGATTGTGTTTCCCCTTTCGTCTCCCCCGTTTCTTGCGCCGCTTTCTTTTAAATATCGCTCCCTCTGTGCTTTTGTTCTCTCTATATCTGACTCGGTCGGTCTCGATTGGAGACATACGATGACGATGGCTCACAACATGGATGAGACACACAAGAGGCCTAAGGGTAAGTGGGTATAACTCAGTTGCTTCGAAGAAAATACCTAAACGCTCTTTCTGTTCACACAGGTATCCTGAAAAACCCAAGCTCTCAGAACATTCAACCGTCGCATGATACTCTAGCCCCCCGCGCCCCCTCTACAGAACCTATCGATACCAAGGAGCTCACCCTTCAAAATACTCTTCAAAATGCCGGGTCCCGTCGCTCCTCGTCTACAACTCGCCCCGGGACCGCGTCTCGACGCCAGTCGGTAGCCAGCATTCAGCATGACGAGAACTCCCCACGGTTGAAATGGGACGAGGCGAATCTTTACCTGACTGAGCAGGAGAAGACTGCCAAGATGAAGATCGATGAACCTAAAACGCCGTATGCGCCGCATTACGATCCAAGCCAGGACGAAGAAGAGATGGAGCTTGCAGAAGCCGAAGACAGCTTGATCGATGCGCAAGGGGTAGTTGTTGACGAACTCGACAAGACGAAGAAGGGGCCTCGGAAGGCAGTTACTGAGGATGATATTCCCGATCTCGAGCTAGGGGAGCCGGAAGATCTGTTTCCTGGTGGCGCTGATGCCCAGAGCAACGATCGCATCGTACGTGCGCGGAGTCTGAGCAATGAGTCCCACCGGAGCGATAAGCATGTGGTCATGGGGGATGACGAGCCTAATGGAAACACCAACACAGATGCAGATCACTTGTTGAGCCCCGAAGAGGCCCAGGAAAAGCATCGCCAGTTTGAGAAGCAGAGGAAGAAGCATTACGAGATGCGGAATATTAAAGAGCTTCTTGCGTAGGCGATCCTCTTTATCTTTCCGGAAGGCTTAGCTTCAAGCATGCTAACGTTGATCTTTAGGCATTCCACGGAGCTGGAGGAAATGGATGAAGATGAGGACAGTGGCGAGGGCACTCCTGCTGTTCCGCCACCGATGCCCAAGATTCCGGAGAAATTTGTGAAAGGGTGGAAGTAGAGGATGTTTTTACTCGTCTTCTTCGGGTCACTTTCTAGTCGTGCCCTTTTCTATTCATTTATCCGTTATAAATTTTTTTCTACCTCCTCATCGTGTATATTCCCCAGCGATCTCTTATGTTTGATGTTACCAATTCTCAGAACCAGCATGGGTAATCCATTCTCCCTATCGCGATGGAGACATGTCATGTCATGTTTAGTTTTACTTGGCTACGTTGGGACATCATGATGGATCATTTGGTGCAGGAACGAATGGGAGGGAGCACCATTGACCTGTTGGGGGGGATATGAAGTGAAGTATTGGTGTAGGTAGCCAGGGAAACTGACTGTTTCCTTACAGAGTTTCATGCATGTCTAAGTGGTACAGTCACCAGTCAGGGGGAGAATCTACAGGCAGCCAACGCAGCAGGCTCCACATAAAGCCTTGGAAGGTGGTGATGCAGGATTTGAAGACCCCCCAGGATAGTAACCTACTCGAACGGGGCAGAGAATAAAAGGAAAAGAGAGAAAAAAAGAGACAAAGAACCAAAAGAGATCACATACTACTTTAGCTCGTAACATAGAGAACAATATAACCTGTTCTTTATCATATATAAAGAATATTATTTCCCGAGGTTTCATATTATCCCAAACTAGCGAGAACGGGCCATCAATTAAATGAAACAAACATACTTTGCGCAGGAAAATAAATGGAAAAAGGAGGCATCTTCTTACCTTACTCTTTTAGTTGGGCCAGATTGGATCATTTTTTCTTCTTCTTTTTTTTTTTTTTTTTTTTTTTTTTTTTTTTTTTTTTTTTTTTTTTTTCTTCCTTCTTGGTTTTTTTTTGTTTTTCTCTTTTTTTTTTCTTTGTGATCCCTATATATATATGTATGTACTATATCTATGTGTGTTTACATTGTACTTTACTGTAACTCGGGGGAAATGTGACTGATCGATGATTTATTTATTACATTAGCAGGGAGTCCATTCCAGCAAATCAAACCACCGATGTCGAGGATCTATAAGTAGTCCTTTTCTTCCCCCCCTTCCCCTCCCTCTTCCCCCCTTAAAATAAAATGCCAATCTGTGAGTAATAGTTCTGGATTTAAGGATATTTATAGTACCACCCGTGTGAGATTAAGGCTCACTTGTTAGATTAAATCAAATCCACCCCCCCCAAAAAAATAAAATAAATCAAATCTAGTACTGTACGAGTATTCCTGTCAATTTCCTCTCCCTCGTGACTTGCGCGCATGTGATCTGTGTTGCCTGCTTTTTCGTTTGTTGTTTCTCTCTTCCCTTTCCTTCTCTCCTTCTCATCCTTCATCGATTCTTTTCCTTTACCGTGGGTTGCTTAGAGAGCAGCTCTCCGCCAATATCCTAATCCATCTCTATCGCAACCTCCACTTTTCCACTTTACGATCAAATATCATCGATATGGCCGATCAGCAGAAGACAGCTGCGGCTGTCCCCGAATCTCAGCCTCCCACTCAGACTCCAGAGACTACGATCCAACCAGCCGCAATCCCAGCTCCAGAGACTCCAGCAGAATCGAAGCAGCCTACCGAGACTAGTCCGAGCGATGCCAGCCTTACAACTGAGCAACCCACCACCCAACCTGCTGCAGAAGCGCCTAAGGAGGCCGCTGCGCCTGCTGAGTCGGCACCGGCTCAGGAACAGCAGGAAGAGGACAAGCCCGCGGACGATAGGCCCGAGTATCTGACCAAGAACCCGGCTTTGAGTGAGCTGTTCGATCGTCTGCCCACCATCCTCTCCACCACTGGTCATGATGAGATGTGGGGTGTCCCACTCAAAGATTTCAACGACGTTCCAACCGTCAACGTTCTGATCAAGTTCCTTCGCGCCAATGAGGGTAATGTGAAGCTGGCAGAGGATCAGCTGACCAAGGCGTTGCAGTGGCGCAAGCAGACAAACCCTACCGCGTTGGTAGAGAGCCGCTACAGCGCCAAGAAATTTGGAGGATTGGGATACTTGAGCACCTACAAGGATGCTGATGGCAAGGAAACTGTTGTCACCTGGAACATCTATGGCGGCGTCAAGGATTTGGCTACCACCTTTGGAAACGTGGATGAGTATGTAGATCCCTACTCGGTGTGAATTGTGACAGCTTATCTGACGGCACGTAGGTTTATTAATTGGCGTGTTGCGCTCATGGAGCTCGCTGTGAAAGACTTGAAGATGGACCGAGCCACGTCCGTTATTGACTATGAGGGTGAGGATCCTTATCAGATGATCCAGGTTCATGACTACTTGAACGTCAGCTTCTTGCGCATGAATCCCAGCGTCAAGGCCGCTACCAAGAAGACCATTGATGTGTTTTCCACGGCCTATCCGGAGTTACTCCGCGAGAAGTTCTTTGTCAATGTTCCCTCTATCATGGGCTGGATGTTCGCTGCCATCAAGGTCTTCCTGAGCAAGAACACCACTCGCAAGTTCCACCCTGTCTCCAACGGTGCCAACCTGGCACGGGAGTTCCCACCTGCCGTGAAGGAGCAGTTCCCCAAGGTATATGGTGGAAGCGGCTCTGCTCTGCAGGAGGGCGCCCGCACGGTGGTCCTCGAGGAGGACAACGAGCCGGCTCCTGCCCCCGCTGCTGCTGCGGAACCCACCGAGGCTGCTAAGACGGAACAAGAGGCGCCAAAGGAGGAAGCAACCCAGGAAGTCCCGAAAGACGAAGCCCCCAAGGAAGCTCCGGTGGAGGCCCCGAAAGAGGAGCCTAAGCAACTAGCCCCAGAAGAGCCAAAGACCGACGCGGCTGTTACGACTCAGGAGGCACCGGCCACGACTGAAGCTAAATAGATGCAACGAGTTGTTCTTTTATCTGATGCTTAGGTCTACGGAAGGTGCTTTGATGGTCACGGTCACGGTCGGATTAATTAGCGGAAAAATCAGTAGAATGGTTTGCGATGCTTGATTTGTGTCTGAAATTTTGATACCTCGGAAAGTTTTGTGTTTATGTTTACAAGAGCCTGTTTGCTTTGAATCACATAATTAGAATAGTAATTTTTAATCATAGCCTAAGAGCAACAAATATTATTGTTCTGTTATTGAAGCCAATGAGATGTCTGTGCATCATCCTATGTACTTACTAGTACATACATACTACCTCGTAGTATAAATACACTGAAGGCGGTGTGGGAACAGGGTAATGTCCTTCACTTTCTTCTTACCTCTTAAAGCTCATATAAAGTATCATAGCGGGCCCTCCAGCATTCTACATTCCTACTTAGGTTAACCAGACCAGCATGCTCCTCGCCCCCCTTCAATCATCTCAACTGCTGCGATAATTCGACTGATTTAAAGGATCCCTGACGATCTCTAGACACCCTTGACTGAACGCAGAATCCCATCACGCGCCTCCCATAAACTCGTCAGAGCAGCAACTTCCAATCACCTCTAAATGTCTGTCTGGAATCCAGATAACATCCGCGATGTGGCCGAGTCTGTTGGCATCGTCAACCTGAACAATGATGTAACCGAAAACCTTGCCCGCGACGTGGAATATCGGATTGCCCAGGTTCTTGAAGAAGCCCTCAAATTCATGCGCCACAGTCGACGCACTCTTCTCACTACACAGGATATTGCGCAAGCTCTGCGCGTGCTCGATGTGGAACCGTTATATGGATATGAGTCTACGCGACCGTTGCGGTTCGGAGAGGCATCGTTGGGACCGGGGCAACCGTTGTTCTACGTGGAGGATGAGGAAGTAGATTTTGAGAAGTTGATCAATGCGCCGTTGCCAAAGGTGCCCAGAGAGGTCTCTTTCACTGGTATTTTCAACCTCTGTTGGGCATGCGCGCTGATGAATCGCTAATCCTTTCTACTAGCACACTGGTTAGCGGTTGAAGGCGTCCAACCGTCAATTCCTCAGAATCCTACTTCGGCGGACTCGAGAAACCTTGAATTAATGTCCAAGGGCCCTAATGCAAACTCCACGCTGGCGGCAATGAGTGGGAGTGGGAATGTGGCCGTGAAGCCTTTGGTGAAGCACGTGCTATCCAAGGAGCTGCAATTGTACTTCGAAAAGGTTTGCAGTGCCTTCTTGGATGAGTCTAGCGAGGAATACAGAACGTCGGCCTATTCCAGTCTGAGGGATGACCCTGGACTTCACCAGCTCGTGCCGTACTTTGTACAATTCATCTCCGAAAAGGTCACGCATGGCCTGAAAGATATCTTTGTCCTGACCCAGGTAATGCGCATGGCGGAGGCGCTGGTGCAGAATAAATCGCTCTACGTGGATCCTTATGTGAGTTCTCTTGTAATCTCGCGTCTTTTGTCTCTCTAACATGAATTTTTAGGTTGCATCTCTTGTCCCTCCTATTCTGACCTGTCTAGTTGCTCGGCAGCTTGGAGGCAATGCGGATCTATCCGAACAGTTTGCCCTGCGTGACCTAGCCGCATCGCTTCTGGGTCTTATTGCTAAAAAGTACTCGCATTCTTCCCATACGCTCAAGCCACGCTTGGCTCGCTCGTGCCTGAAGACGTTCCTGGACCCGTCCAAGCCGTTCGGGGCTCACTACGGAGCCATTATTGGCCTCCAGGCCGTTGGGGGCACGGAGGCCGTACGGGTTCTCATTCTCCCTAACTTACCGACTTATGGATCTCTACTCAAGGACGGCATGGCGGAAGAGAATCCGCGGCGCCCAGAGGCAGAAAAAGTGCTTAACATCTTAATCGGGATACTCAGAACTCTTAGTGAGGGACGCATGGCACTTGCCAACGGGCATAATGGCGTCGTGACACAGGATTTACGAGAACGCCTGAATGGTAGGGTAGGAGAATTTCTTGCAGCCAAGATTAGTGAAGCGGGGGAGGTCGAAATGGCGCATGCGATTCTGGAATCGTAGAACACAAGCATTCTCTTCCTCCTTCTGTTTCGTTTTATTTTCGACTTTTTTATTTATTTATTTTTCTTTCTTTAATATCACATTTCGCACATACAATGACGATGGGATAGGGTAGGGGATTATTTCATTGATGTCAAGGCGTTTGGGGGTTTAGAGCGGTGTTATCGGTTGCTCAATACCATTAGCGGTTTTTTTTTCCCTCGTCCCTCGCTCTCTTGAATGGGTTTACCCCATCTAATTACACATTGAAACTGATCGTAATGAGGCATGTTTAATTGCATGGACCTTGCATATCTGCACGTCCGCCACTAGGTTCTCTTCCTCCGCGTTCCTGAACCGACGTCACCTTCCGGCTGACTCAGCTCTTGGTTCACCGCCCACTATTTGCGGTCTGCCCGGGGAGGTTTATCCAAATCGGGGAAACCAAGTGGAAGATTGACGGCAGAAAAAGTTGACAAAAAAATTAGGGAAAAAGGAAAACGAGTGTCGCATGTCATGTCTAGTGTTCTTCTCTCCCTCTTCCCTCTCTCAGCATTCCCACTCAGCTCTCCGTCTCAAGTGGTTCTTTCTTACTCTAAAACTAGTCCTCGTCGTAGTGAGTGAAGTATGTCAAGATTATTCCATTGTTTTTTTTAACCTTCTCCTATTTCACTTTTATATAGATCTCATAACTGATCTTGTTCTCTCAGATTCTGCGCTGCGGACGAGCCCAACCCAACTTCTCTCGTACCAACCACTCCCGTCGCTTTGCGCCCCACGGACTTTTTCTTGGGCCCACACACCAGACAACAATTGTGAATATCAACAATTCACCTGCACACTCTCCAACCCCACGTCAATACAAATTTTTTATCTTTTCATTTCGTCTGTACTCTGAGCTCCTTTTTCGTTCCTTGCTCAATTGAAAAGCGAGACTCGATCCCTGTTCTTCTGTGAGTGTTCGCTTCGGTCTACGTATCCTCGCAGATGTTCAGAGTCGTAGCGTCTCGCCATACCGTGCTGCTTTGAGCTCTATTGGATTCTAGCCTTCTATGAGCCCAAAGGACCTACTACGATACCTGTCAAAGCCTGCAAAGTAGGTTTCTGGTCGTGACGGCTTCGGTGGCGGACCCAAAGCTAACCGACATTTCATCTAGGCCCCGATAACGCGACTCACGTCTTCCCACTCGTCTCCAACTCACCGTTTTCTACCTATTTTTTCTTTCTCAAACAGAGCAGATATCCTCGTCTGCTAGACCCGATACTTTTACCGGTATCGGTATCTTCCAGCACGAGGGTTTGCGACTGATAGTCACAATTCCTTTCGCCAGAGGCATTTTTCTCCTTTCCCTCTCATTTCGCCCTCCCTAGCAGCCTTTTAGGCTTTTATTGGACCTTACCTTCCTGGCTGTGTGCCAATATATCCCGACTCGTTAAGGGCCTTCTCTCTCAGGCGGACATTCCCCCCCTGTTCGTCTGGGCAGCAGATAGTGCTTCCTAGGCTTTCTTGTCTACGGGCCACACATCGAGCGCGTCGCTCCACTGCACCACCAAGTTCATATCATTATAATCAGATCAGTTCGCTTCTCAATTTCCTGGTCAATCAAGATGGTTTACATCGGCATTCCCAAGAACTACACGCAGTCGCCGTCTTCGTTTATGGCGACTCCATCTCTGACAATCAACCATGAGGTGACTCAGGATCTTGATTCTACCAATGCCTTCGAAGGTACGTCCTCAGCGAGTGACTAACCTCGCGGTGCAAAGACTAATGAGAAGCAGGGCCCGAGAAGCTCCTAGAGGTCTGGTTTGCCCCGTCTGCTAATGAATTGGGCTCAACCCAGTCTACTGGTCTGAAGGCGGTGCCGGAAGAGATCTGGAAGGACATGCTGGATCTAGTCAATTGCCAGGTGCTTTCTATCGTCTCGTCTGAGGATGTGGATGCCTACCTTTTGTCGGAGTCTAGCATGTTCGTTTGGCCTCACAAGCTGATCCTCAAGACGTGCGGCACCACAACTTTGCTCTCCGGGCTGCCTCGTATCCTCGAGATCGCTGCTCTGTTTGCCGGTTTCCCCAAGTCTTTGGCTCCTTCCAGTGGAATTGGTGTTGCGGCTGCTCCCTACCGTGTGTTCTACAGCCGCAAGAATTTCCTGTTCCCTGACCGTCAGCGTGGTCCCCACCGCAGTTGGAGGGATGAAGTGCGTACTATGGACAGGCTTTTCCTGAATGGCAGTGCCTACATGATCGGCAAGATGAACGGCGAGCATTGGTACCTGTACCTGACCGAGCCCAACACCATGCTCACCCCACCGGCGAGTCCTAAGGGTGACGAAGAGCTGACCGAGACGAAGTTTCTCCAGATCCCAGAAGGTTCTCTGCCACTGGGAGAGGATGCCAATGATGAGACACTGGAGGTGTTGATGACCGACTTGGACGAAGAGAATGCCAAGCAATTCTATCTTGACAATGCCACCGCTGTTGCCGAGAAACGCTATCGCAACTTTGATAAGGATAACGGCGACCATGTTGACGTATTCAGCAACAACTCGGATATGGATCTGGAGGACACCGATGGAACCCGCATTCTACCACCGGAGTTGACTACGGAGGGCCACGCCTTGGGTACCGTTGTTTCAGAGTCCTGTGGTCTTTCAGATGTCTATCCCAAGGAGAAGTTCCCCGAGGCGCGCATTGATGCCTATCTGTTCACTCCTTGTGGCTTCTCTGCCAACGGCGTCATCCCGACTCCAGACCCGAGGGCCAATACCCACTATTTCACGGTGCATGTGACGCCCGAGCCTCACTGCTCCTACGCGTCCTTTGAGACTAATGTGCCGCACTCCCAGAACGGCCAGACCAGCGCCGGGATTGTGCAGCAGGTGGTGAACATTTTCAAGCCTGGTCGCTTCACTGTGACCGTGTTTGAGAACAAGCCTAGTGAGGTCGAGCTGAGCGGCCTTGGAGAAACCAAATACATCGAACGGCAGGCGGCCCGTCGGAAGTCTAAGATGGAGCATATTGAAGGATACCGCCGTGTGGATCGGATTGTTCACGATTTGGATGGATATGATCTTGTCTTCCGCTACTATGAGCGGCTTGATTGGAAAGGGGGGGCCCCTCGGCTCGGAGAAGAGCGCATCTGAGCGGCGTCAATCCAACCATTGTGCGATCCGTTAATTCATTCTAAATTGGAATTTTTTTTTTAGCACTGTCTATTGCGCCTTTTGATCTTGTTTTTCTGTGATTTGTGCTTCGTCCTGAGCCAGTTTCATTAATTATAAACCTTTCCAAGCTTATTTTTCCTGGTTCAATCAAGTTTCATGTACCAATTTTCCAATAATTCACTACTGCAACAGCAACACTGAACATGAACATGAACATGAATAAGAAATATAAGTAACGGATACCCCGTCAACGATCTCGGACTGATGGCTCGCCACGTCCCATGTCTGTTCTGGAAGTTGTTTATCTGGCTCCTTCCGTCCCTCCGAGGGCTTAAGTTATTCCAGATATTCGTACATCAGTATAAGTGCGCGGTGTCTTTCGACATACTAAGCTCCACGGTAAATCAAGAAACGGGCTCCTGATGAAGTAATACTGAATAGTTCTATAAACTTGGACTTAGACTCAAGAAGGCTTTATAGATCTAGCTGTATTCTCTCAGGGATCCTAAGGCAATGAGAATATAATCTCGCGAATAGATACTATCCTCGTTAGGCCTACTTTAAATAAAATGATAAGTCGACGGAAACATGGATCAACTAGTAAGCCCATACAGGAAGAAAGAAACGTTAGGTAGCCTTATTTCATATGAGTTAATGGTACTTGAAAGGTATTGAAGGGTTTGTTGCAGATCCAATACTACTACGACGACAAGAAAAAACTTTTTAGGGTTGAGGTTTGTTTGATACTCTGGACACCCAAGGCACCAACCGTACCCGAGAACGGAATAGCGTGTCAAATAATAAATCAGCGCCGTTATCGTTCCGGTTGATTAGGGAAACTCTTATACTTACTTACCTTACCATACTTACTGTACCTTCGCTGTTTAAATCAACAGCACTCTTCAACACATCCCCTCCGGAACAGAACCTCCATCCCGAAGCCAATACAGACCAGCTCACAATGTCATCGCCGCCGCCCACAAACCCTTTGAAACGACCCTCCATCTCATCCTCCGCTTCCCAACCTCTCGGCACCAACCCTAAACGGCCTCGCATGCACCCTCTCCGTCAGACTTCCTTTCCGACCACTATCGACACGGATTCGCGCGCATATGGTACTGCTAGCGATGCGGGTAGTGTTACCGGCAGTTTCACGGGGAGCTTAGGAGGCACAAGCGCGGATGGTGTATTTCGGAATAAGAAACGCGGGCGCAAGAGTAAAGCGGAGAAAGAGCGGGAGAAGGAAGATGCGGCGAGGGGGGACATGAGATCGTCTGTTGATGCGGAGGGGTCGGTGCGAGCGGGTGCGGCTGGCGGTGGAGGGGATGATGGGGATGATGATGAGGATTTCGAGGATGAAGGGGAACTGTTAGGAAGAGAGGAAGGGGCTACAGATACAGAGGCTGACAAGAAGAATCTTGCGTATGTTTCTTCTCCTACTTGCTCTTCGTGGCGATTCTATGCGTCTTTTTCATGGTGAATATGCTAATTGCGGTACTTGTATAGATTGCTGGTCGATGCTTTTAATCCTTTACAGTCGGAGCGATACGATCTATTCAAGCGAGCGAAGCTGAGAAAGGAGACTTTGCGACGGATTGTGAACCATGCACTATCACAGTCTGTGCCGGCGAGCGTGGTTACCACGATTAATGGATTTACGAAGGTGTTTGCGGGGGAGATCATTGAAAAGGCTCGGACAGTGCAGGCCGAATGGGCAGATGCACACGACCAATCTGCGATAGCGGCTTTTGAGGCGGAGGGGGCCGCGGCAATGGCGAGAGCTGCGAATACATCGGCCTCTGCCACACCAGGCCCTGCTACTCCAGGACAGCTCCTGGTGAAGCAAGAACCCTCGAACCACTCGCCCTTTCCTCCCACGCATGTTTCTGGGACACCGTGCCCATCGGGTGCAGAAGGCTCGCAGCATTCTCCATACAACGCTTCGCAACCTAGACCGGAGAGGATATTCAAGCTACCTCCTAACCCCCATCGGGGACAACTGCTTCCAGCACATCTGCGGGAGGCACTGCGACGCTGGAAGCGGGACGGTGAGGGCGGTGGTGTAGGGTTCTCAGGACTGAGTATGGGAAATCTGGGAGTTCGGGGATCGGTGACGTGGAGTGCCGGCAGTGTTGGAGGGAGACGAATTTTCCGCTAAAAGAACACCGCTCTCTCGAGGTAGACCTGTTAATGATGTCACGAAGGGCGTAATTACTGGGATTCTGTAGCAAGGATTACTATTGTTTTGCGACTTTCAAAAACTGGAATTTGAGCTTCTCATTCGGAAGGATACACTCACCTGCGGCGCCTTCTAGCGATGCTCCTCGTTGTCAGTCGATTCGGGAATCACTTTTTATGGAATATCCATATGAGCAGTGGACACAACTGACCCGCACCGGAATACTTCAGATAACGTCACACTGCTCTAAGCCACTAACAAGGGCAACGAAGATCATGGTATTACCTGGTCTTCTTCACCGCGTTTCTACTGCGTCGGGCAGATGCCATGCCTCCGACATTTCTTCTCATCCAGAGTCTCAATGTATCAGTAGCAATTACATCTGTCAGTGATATAATTTCACCTTTCTAATTCATGGACTGAAGGAAAGAGCTCCTCTCAGCACCAGGCCATTCACGATTGGACATCAAGCATTCCCTTCAAACAAATCCCCACATATACATCAGGACGGCAATTCATGTGTCCTACTCGACGTAGTCAACTCCACGGGACTAGAAGGGTTCTTCCACTGCTCCATCTCATGCTGCTGCATCCCATACACCGGAATCCCGCCAACACCACCATCATTCTCAAATCTAGCCGCAGCAGCAAGACTCTCCCTCCTAGACCTCCTCTCATAAAGCGCCCAAGCGACAGCCCCGATAGCAATAACACCCAAGGGCACACCCACCCCCGCGCCAATAGCCGCATCCCTCGAGCTGGGGCTTGAGGATGACGTCCCATTACCTGGCGCACTATTACCTGATGTGCTATTCGACGCGCTCAACGACGAGATATTCGCCAGCGCCGCATACCCCGCTACGAGGGACCCATCCGGCACGAAGAAGGAGCTCCCAGAGGAAGCGGCACAGCCAATTTTGGACCCGTTAAGTATGGGCTCATTGCAGCAGTATTCAGCTAGACCGTTGCTATTTAGACCCAGCGGGAAGAGAGAGGAGCCAGAGCCGCGGGAGACATTTGCTATTTTTGCTCTGTGTTAGTCAAATCGGGACCCTTGTCTCTCTTTGAATTATGCAGCGCTGAAAGAAGGATAAAGGTGTGGGGGTGTAGAAAAGGAAGTATAACGTCCAACGACACCGCTGCATTACTGGAATGAGAATGAGGTAAAGTCAGGAACATACTGCAGAACTGCGGACAATTATCTGAATTCCAGTTTGGATCTGTACAAGCTCCTCGAGACAAAACGTATGGTTGGATGGCGACGTTCAGACAGAGGTTATTCGATAGGCAGAGGTTCCCGGCGCGACAGCAGGGGGCGTATTTCTCGTCCGAGCAGGGGACGTCGGCGGTTGCGGGTGTACCATCAGGCCAGTAGCAGGTTGACTCGCTGTATACTACCGGTAGGACTAAGGAGAAAAGGAAGAGAAAAGACAGCCGAGGAGGGCGATTCATGGGGATTTTGGGTTCTTTTTCCCCCTTCTATTGAGAGGGCCAAGTCGATGTAAGATGATATATGGAGTACAAGGGCCCCCGATAGAGGAGTGGGGTTGGGCTGTCCGTCAGGATTTTTCAATTTTGGAAGCTAATCAAAGGGTAGTGAGAGACCATAAGAAGGGATGGTGAGGAGGTCCTGTACATGGAACAGGCTGATGTTAAGACTTGCATGAAGTGTTACCAATCAGATGGGGATGAACTATCACTCTTCCAGTAAGATCTTCACTCGCCTCCAGGTCGGTTATTTTAACTTGTCCATAAAGGCTTGAGTGCACGAGATCCAATCAGCTTGGAGTTGGTTTAGTAGAATCATGTGAAGTTCTCTTTGATTCCTGCTGCTGCATAGCCCTGATTGACTATCTTCCATATCCGAATCAATCCCTCTGAATCCCACCCACTGCCCGAATCCAATCTCCTCCCCATGGACCGATCATGAAGCGAAGTCAGGTAAACCCAAAGACCCTTTAAAAGCAACAAGAAAAGTGAACCCCATCTGCGACTACCATCAGAATCCCCCTGCCTTCAATGGCTGAATGTTCTCTAGGTTTACCATAATAAGCTTCACAATGTCAAACAAAGTGAGCTGCAACGGGGGCGCTCATCAGAAATGTTGCCACAATCTTCCAAGATGAATAGTTCGAAATGCGATGGGCTCTTCCCCGTATCTCCCTAGATGACGGTGCGGGCGCTGGTCGTCGAGTCGGATGAGTGCTCTGCGAATTGTCTCCACGATCAGAAGAATAATGATGGTGGACAGAAGTAGTTCGATCCACTGCACCATGTAACCGTTGTATTCGCTGTCCTGCTCCATACTGGCAATGCATTAGATGTAGTCTGTGCTTTGGACATGAAAAGCACGGGACGAGAAGGATTGTCATCTAGGAGGCTCTCTTGTCTTACAGATCAGAGGATGTTGTTGGAATGTCTATGTTTGTGGCCCGTTAGCCAATTCTTTGTGGAGAAATACAGAATAGGGCACGTACACTCACTGGAGATGACAATGTTGGAATAGCTGTGCACCAAGAGATAATAACGGAGTATCCTCATTGAGAACAAGTTAAAAGTCGAGAACAATATGAGGATGCAGAGCAAGATAAAGGTACGGAGGAAGAAGTTTTTAATGAAAGAATGACTTTTGTGAGTTCTCAGAGCCATATTATCATTGTCAAGGCGACTAAGCAACGAGTCAGCAATGTTTTGCTGTGAACTTTCTCACAGAGAAATAAGGAACTCATACTAGCCATTTGTCTAGCATGCATTGCTGGCATGTTCACAGCACACTCTTATTTCTGGACAAACATGCTCCTTTGTCCTTGGCGGACATTTATGATGGCCTTCTCTCAGCTGCTTCTCACCATGCCTGACGTGCCCGATGACCCGGCGGAAAAGAAGAAGAGTATTGTCCAACGCGTCTGTTTGACCCTCCCTTTTTCTGGGCTCTGGCAAGATTACAGTCGGGCTCATGTTAAGTCGGCGTGTCGTCAAGGCGTTGCCGCCGCAGTTACACGGGAACTGAAAACCATGCCTGAACCAGAGGTTCATCTTAGCATGGCGACAGTCATCTTCTTGATCGGTAAGCCCCAATGGTGCTCTCGGGACAAATGGGCTTAATCTGATCAACGCTCAGGAGGTCCAGGTGCCGGAAAGAGTACTATCGCCACTAAGCTTGCCGCAGACCTGGGACTCATACATCTTGATCCTGACAAGATCGTCCGTCGTCTGGAGATCACTGGTCCAGAGGAGATATGGCTTGCAGTGAAAGGCACTATGGACGAGAACGGAACTATTCCGGACGATGTACTGAGCCTTCTCTTGAAGTTTGAAGTATCTAAGCACCTAGAAGCACCTAAATGTGTGTTTTTGATCGAGGCCTTTCCTAGGTCGTATGCGCAGTTTGTAGAATTCATCAGCGTGAGTTGGCCCGAAGTACTACGGCCGTTCTAACCGCGTCAGTAGATCTGTGGCTACGGGCTTACTATCAGCCTTGATGTGTCCTCTGCCACTTTGATGAGACGCTTTATAACGGAGACTGAATCATTTTCAGAGAGAGTGGCAAGGATGGAAGATTTCCTCAAACGTGAAGACGCCTTTGCTGTTGCAGAACTTGCTCTCCATCTCCATCCCAGCTTCACGGAAGGGCTAATCAAGGTACGTAGGGCATGTTCTGCATGTCAATATTACGCGAATATTGATTGGCAGCAGGTTTGCGCCGAGCTGAAGGTCGAAGAATACTACCCACATCTGAAAGGCCTTGTCGAGGTAGGAACAGGACACCGGGGCCGAAGGGAGATTCGTACACTGATTATAGCTAGAGAAAGCTTGCCAGTCCTAAAATGGTGCTCTGGACCAAAGAATTGGGTATGGAAATGGTGTCTCCTGCGGAAAATATTGAACTTTAGGCCCAGCTTCCCTGTCGCGCTCCAAGCTCAGTATTCGTCCGAGATCGCCTGTTCTTTGGTGGGTATTCGCCATGCAGCCAAGGGCTTGTCAGTCCTCTGACGTAGGTTCTCATTAGTAACTGGCTTTTGCATAGTATTCTGTACTAAATGGTGACATTGTTGGCCTCTCTAACAGAAAAGAAAAAGTTATCGAGTGGTTGTTGAAACATCGGATCGGACCTGCTGACGGGCAACCTCCAAAACCGATGAACAAATCAAGAGGATAGATGTTCTATTCAATCCGACTCATTCTAAGTAACACATAAAACAGAGCTGAATGGTACACGCCATATTATACAATGAAATAAATCCTGGATCTGTAGATGGCCGAGTGTGTGGCATTGACCTCGTGCTCACCTTTGCTTGGAGTTTTTATACGCAGAACGAGCCTTCTCCCTTTCGAGCTCTAGAGCTCTCAAGTGAGCTATTCTCCGCGCATGGTTTCTCTCCTCTCGTTTCCAGTCATCTTCCTCTTTCCTTCTCTGCTCATAGTCTGCTGCTAGTTTGCGATCCTTTTCACTGAGTCGAGGGGTTTCGGCTAACGACCCGTCGGCGTTCTTCTTGGGTTCATTGCCCATCGCGGTGTCTATTTTTTCCTTCATATCATTTGTAAGGTTGCCATAGCTTTTCTTGACGTTATCGATCGTACGGTCAACGAAACTAACATCCTGACCCGGCTTCGCTACAATGACCTCGTCTCTTTTATCAGATTGAATGGCCTCTTCGAGCATACGAATCGATCGTTTTTGCTCCTCGGGCGTAATTTCCAAAGTTGCCGGCTTGTTTGGGATGGCGATATTGGCAAATTTCCGGAAGCTGGTAGAAGAAACTAGGTAGGCCTGTCCCAGAGCAAACAAGCCGGTCGATAGGAAGTAAAGTTGAAGAGCGCTAGGGAAGAACGACATGAACGCGAAGGAAATGGCAGGCATTCCGTACAGGAAAAACATGCCGAGAGGTGACTTCGACATCTCATTCAAACCGGACTCTCCACCTTTCTATGAGAGTGAGTAGAGATTAGCTTTGGGGTTGGGAATATGGAGATGCAACTGGGAATACCTTGAAAGAAAGATACATGGCGAAGGCTGTGGTAGCCGGCAGCAGGAAGTACGGATCTGCAACCGTGAGATCCTTGATCCAGCCAACAGACTCCGCCGCCAATCCCGGCACTGGCAAAGCAGTCATTCCCTTAACAACTCGATAACAACCAAACCCAAAAGGAACTTGAATCAATGGTATAAATGACTTGTAAGCATTGATATTGTGATCAGCATGGATTTTCTCCACCTCCGCTCTCGCTTGCATAGCTTCCGCAGTTTTACCTTCTCGTGCAAACGCCGTCATCCTAGCCCGGATGGGTGCAACTAAGGGTTTCACATTGTTGATTTTGGCGGAGACATCTGCAGCAGCAAGCATTGGTTTCAAAAGGGCCAACCGGATCAAAAGCCCTGTTCCAACAATACTAGCCCACCAAGGCAAACCACCCCAGATATGGAAATGCTCAATGAAGTATTCGATCGTGGACGAGAAACCCCAGCCATAGTCGAGTCCTAGCTCTTTCAGATATCCAATCTTCTCAGGGATAGCGTTGATATCGAAATCAGAAAGGTCAGATGCTGGTGCGGGTGCGGTCGTCGTGCCTACAGCGTCGCTGGTAGTTGCGGCAGCGGCAGCGGCAGCCGGAGCAGAAGCGGTTGAGTTGAACCTTGGGGCCAACACTTGATGAACGGAGGATACCGGCCTCCAGGATAGGTTTCCAGCAAGCGATTGGTTCGATCTCCCATATTGCGCAGGGAATCCTGAGGCCTGAGAACGGAATGAAGACATCTGTCAATCTTTTAGTATTTGCCGACGGGAATCACATCCCCGGTGAACGAACCAATCGAGCAGTCAATCGCTGCCGGGCAATGGCCGGCACAATGCCGCGCCCTTTCAGGCCAGCCCCTCCCAACATCATAGCGGTTAGATTGAACAGAGGGATAACGTAGAATTGTTGAGCGCAGTCCTGAAGGGGAAAAAAGGCGCGGTCACGGCCAATTGATTGGACTTTTTGCGCCAAGCCTTATTTTTCTGCCGGGCGGCCGGAGAACACTTATCGACGGGTTTCTTGTTTGTATTAATTATGAGAGAACGGTGTATACAAGATGGTGAAGAACAAGATGACGATGATGGACTAGCTGCTGGTAAATTAGGAACCCCATCCAGCTGCCCACGGAGCCATCGCATCGATGCCGAACTTCAGGTGCTTCGCCGGACGCCGTCCAATCAGACAGTATAGGTACTACTCAAAGTCTTGGGATCTATGTACATATGTCCAATTTTATGATGATAATGAATCTTGTTAATTATTCTGTTTCTGTTGTTGTGCATTTCAATGTGAGAGCGGTTGTAGAGTTTACATTGAGCTTATTCTAGAGACGCTGTGTCTCGCAAGCTAGTATTCCTCCGCGACGGAATTTCTCGAACTTCCACACCAGGGCCAACTGGTCTCGATCGCCGATAAGTTGGAAATATCTAGCGAGAAGATAATATGATTAGCAAGGCATGCGAAGACCCGTTTACAGATAGGAGCACGCAGCAGAAACTAATCGGGCAAACGGTACCTTTGTCCCAGACCATCCTAGCCGGAAGGCTGCCTCATGTGCAAATAGTTCACCAAACCCCAGCATAAGTCCATTCACAAACGGAAGGACCAGGTTGATAGCGGCACCTCGCAGGATACTCCAGATCGTAGGGGGCGTGTAAAGGATCAAAGGGGAACTAGATGTCGACTCGGATAACTCGTTGTTGGCCGAATAGTTCTCCGAGTCTGAATGTAGGGTCAATCCGGATTCGTAGAGCTCAACCTCCGAGCTTGTGTGGCCATCCGAAGCCATGATGTGGGGAGGGAGAGAAGGAGCGCGCCGTCAACAAACGAGGGAGGATCTAAATCGGAGTTGGTCGTCAGAAGACAAGCGGTAGCCGTGGTATTTTGGTTTAGAGCACTAGTTCACAAAGGCAGGTTCGAAATTTGACCTTTGATAGTCTTAATAGCGGGGGTTCAGGATCTGTTGGATATGAATAGAATTGCATTCAACTCTACTGCGTTAGATAGTAGTGGCCGTATGCTATGATATGCTTGGATACACCTGACTGGTTATGTAATCAGGAACTGTAACTACGTGACACCAAATCAAGTCTAGCATGGTATTAGTTAGTATTTTTTGTTATATATATGTTATTGATGGTAATCAAATGAATGCCTTGCTATAACAATATTAATTTTATATAAGTTGCTGCGTCACTTACGCTTACTAGTAATACTATATTATACTTTACCATACTATACCATACTCCTACTAAAGATCGAGCAGTAACCTCCAATCAGTTTGGTAACGATGAATCTAACGGCAATGATTGGGCCCAGGAGACCTCGTCGAAATACTAGGTAGGTACCGGTTGTTCTGCATGTCAAAACCGTACAAAGCCACATACATTTCTTAGGTAGCTATTTGTATGTACTTCCATGGATACTTGGGGATAGTTCACTAGCACATACATGTACTTATAGTAGCTATTAGAACAAGAGGGGAGGATGTTTCCTGAAGCATCAGCGGAAGATCCCCTCTTCCGGATGACCAATCAGGTATCAGTGACGTACCTCCCCCATTTGTTGTTCCTTCAGCTTTCTCGGAGATCTTTAGTATCACAACTTCAGAATCCCTTCTTACTTCGTCTACCAAAACTTATCTCAAAACTACCACGCGCTACTACAAAAAAGGACATATTCGGAACGCAGCTGCTTATACAGTCAGCATGGAACATAACCCCGCCGATCAAGACGAGGTTGTGTCTCAGTTCTGTACCATGACCGGGGTACGTCCTGAAGAGGTAAGTTTTCTTCTCCCCCCTCGCGTACATCTCTCTTTCTAACTCATGTATTTTCGAAGGCAAAAGAGTACCTCGTAGCCAATGGATGGGATCTCGAGGCTGCCGTGACCGAATTCTTTGCCGAACAAGACGAAGCCTTACAAGAGGGAAACTCGGGCGCAGGCCAAACTCTTGGAACAAATGAATCAGTGCCATCAGCAGGCCGGTCGCTAGGTGGCAGTTCTTCTCAGTCTCCTTCACTTACACCTCAACCATCCTCCGCATCACGCAAGTCCGCCCCGAAAAAGAGGTTCGCGACGCTAGGTGATTTCTCCGGCGGCGGTGATGACTCCGAAGAGGAAGACGACATAGAGAATCAAGATCTCTTTGCTGGAGGTGAGAAGTCCGGGTTGGCTGTACAGAACCCTGATGATATCAAGAAGAAGATTATCGAGAAAGCCAGAAGGTCAGTTCGGGAGCAGACTTCCGTAGGTCATTACAGCTAAATGTCTTTCAGGGCCCAAGCCCCAGCATCTGATGACTCGGAGCCCCGACGGTCTTTCTTTACGGGTCCCGCTCGTACACTCGGCGGTGATGACACCCCCAGTCGGGTCATTGATGTTCCAAACGAACCTACGCCGCGATTGCCGCAACGCGTACGGCGGACACTGCACTTCTGGGCTGACGGGTTCTCCGTGGACGACGGCGATCTTTACCGTTCCGATGACCCCGGAAACGCAGAAATCCTCGAGGGTATTCGACAGGGCCGCGCTCCTCTTTCTATCATGAATGTGCAGCCCGGCCAGGAGGTAGATGTAGAGATCAAGCCGCACGAAGAGAGATATGTTAAGCCAAAGCCGAAATACAAGCCTTTCGCCGGAACTGGGCAACGACTTGGAAGCCCAACGCCGGGAGTGAGGACGCCAACTCCCCCGACTGCCCCCGCCCCCGCTGCTGGACAGGTCAGCTCCGAGCCTGCGAAACCTACTGTGGATGAATCGCAACCCATCATTACCCTTCAGGTCCGACTTGGTGATGGCACCCGTCTGACATCCCGATTCAATACTACACATACCATTGGTGATGTCTATCAATTTGTCACTGCCGCCAGTCCAGAGAGCCAGAGCCGTCCCTGGGTGTTGATGACCACATTCCCAAGCAAGGAGCTTACTGATAAGGCTACTGCTCTTGGGGATCTAAGTGAATTCAAGCGAGGAGGCGTTGTAGTACAGAAATGGCAATGAAGTATTGTCTTCTAATCCATACTTAAGAGGTTGCACAGGCTGGGCGGGACGGGTTCGATTGATTCTAAACATCTAAAGATGAGGATTGCACACACTACTGTTCCATAAAAGACCCAATATTATTGGATGATTCATGGTAGTGAGCAATAGACTACTAACTTGTCTCCTGAGAGCAATAACGAGACATCACAAGTTAGGCTTTAAGGAAGTATGTATGTACAAAGTCTAGTATCAGTTTCCAAAAAGAGCTCGGTATACTTGAAATAGCCTGGTTCAATCTAATGTAGTTTTATAGCATCGATAGAGAGCAGAAGTTCTAATAGTAACATGTAACTTCCACCACCGTTACGTGAAGTTGAATGAGCCGTCCAATGGAAATGGACAAGTCAAGTGATTGATAAGCAAAATCCACTCCGCAGAATGACGCAGAACTTCCGCTGGGAAATTGGCATTTGCCATCTTATCAATTAACCCAACCATGCAGTGAAGTGAACTTTTACTTCCTAGTAACCATAGCGACCACCAAAATGCCCTTAGATGGTGTCAAGAACATTGTGCTGGTGAGTTTGTCCCCAATTCATGGAGAAGAGAAAAAGAGAAAAGGTACCCCTCATCGCTTATCGATAACGTTTTCTCGCCATGACCCCTAGCGAGGGCCGTGTAGCAGGCGCATTAACCCGAATAGAAGAACTATACTAGCCATGAAAATGAAATACAGCTACTAACATAAATCGCAACAACAGGTCCTCTCCGGCAAAGGTGGCGTCGGCAAATCCTCCGTTACCCTCCAACTCGCGCTAGCCCTCACCTTGCAAGGCAAATCAGTCGGCATCCTAGACATCGACCTAACAGGTCCCTCCATCCCCCGTCTAGTCGGACTCGAAGATGCAAAGATCACCCAAGCACCCGGGGGCTGGGTCCCCGTGACCGTACACCCAGCATCCATAACTGACGGTGCACAACGGGGCTCCCTCCGCTGCATGTCGCTAGGATTCCTGCTGCGCGATCGCGGCGACGCCGTTATCTGGCGCGGACCGAAGAAAACGGCCATGATCCGACAGTTCCTGTCTGATGTGTATTGGGGGGAGACGGACTACTTGCTAGTGGATACGCCTCCGGGTACGAGTGACGAGCACATTGCGTTGGCTGAGCAGTTACTTAGATTGGCGACGACGAATCCGGGTGCTGCGTCGTCTAGTTTGCCGAGATTAGCCGGAGCGGTTTTGGTTACGACGCCGCAGGCGGTGGCGACGTCTGATGTCCGTAAGGAGGTGAATTTCTGTGTCAAGACGCAGATTCCCATGTTGGGTGTTATTGAGAATATGTCGGGTTATACGTGCCCGTGCTGTGGGGAGGTAACGAATCTGTTCTCGAGTGGTGGGGGGCAGATTATGGCGCAGGAGACTGGGGTGAGGTTTTTGGGGGCTGTGCCCGTGGATATTCAGTTTGGGGAGCTGGTTGAAGGGAAAGTGGTTGATGAGAGTGAGGATGAAGACGATGTGCAGCCGGAGCAGAAACAGGACGTGATTGTTGATAAGAGGTCGTTGGTGGAGAGGTATAAGGATTGCTGGTCCTACTCTCGGTTTGAGGAGTTCGCAAAAACACTACTGTCTGAGATAGAGGACAGTGTGGGGAAATAGTCTTTTCGTTCCATGGTGTCTACGGTTCGTTGTTCAGAGGGCGTATTCCTATATTTATATTATACCACATTTGCACATATAATTGAAATATCCATTGGTAAGTATGCACTAATATGCTTGATTTTGTTATTAGAGATAACGCTAAAGATTACAGCGGCAGACGGACATTTTCATAATAACTTTTACATATCGTCATAATCATAACAATAGGTATCGCTGGCCCAGAGTACTTATCCTTCCTAACATGCATAGTCAACCGTGACCAATACAAGCAGATATATTTACATAAGATAGAGGGCAAATTTTGTTAGGTATTATCGGCGTGCGCGGTGGAAGCATCCAGGTTTTGCTGCCGCTCAAGCATCGCACGCAATCTCATCTCAGCCGTCTGCTCGGTTTGGCCAAAATCTAACCTGTCGCGCGCAGGATACTTGAGCCAACCGAAGACATCCGTTAAGGCAGATTTTCCGGCTGCAGGTAAAATCCAGCGACTTCGCGCTGCATCAGGGGTAAGGTTACTACTTAAGGTTGGGTGGTTTTGATTGACATAAGATCCCGGCTCCAAATGGCGTCCATCAGCCTGAACGTCAAGAATAACTTCAGACACCAGAGCTGGCGTTTGAATAAGTCGCCTATGATCTTCCGTGCTCGGTTCAGCGCTATTTGCCAGCAATGCCCGGCCGCACGACTTCGGTCTCGACGCAATCTCTCGCGCTGTAGGAAGTGGCCCTACCGCGGAAGCTGATTCGACTGTAGCACTAAACCCCATGGAGCTTGAAGTGTCGGGGTGTACTTGGACAGATGACCCGTCTCCACCAGACAGCGGTAGCATCAATTGAGAGCCTGCGTTACGAGACGTTGTACTCTGTCGGGTATTCTCCATGAAACCAAAGTGCACGAGCGAGTGATCCCGCCCGTCCATAACACTATGGTTGTCATCGTAGATAACCACATTCTCGTTAGCCTGTCGTTCATGTTCAGAACTAGCTTCGTCCACGGGCATGAGACCTCCAGGGGGCACACGAATTTCGCCTAAGGGTGCTATATGGCTTCCGTATTCGTTGGCCAAGCTGAGCTTGCTCCGCCCGCAGATCTCCCCGATCGAATCCAAGGTGTGACGTATATTAGGTTCAATGGCTCGTAGGATGCCATCGATGCTGAAGTCCTTGTCCGAGGGGAGTTCTGGCCCACGCCTTTGGGATTCAGTACGACCTGTGAATGGGAATGACCGCCGGAGAGACATCCTTGATGTTCCCGCAGTATCGTCGGGGCCGCCAGAATAGGCACGAACTAGGACGGGCTGCGATGGTGAAGTCGAGGGCCGAGCGCCAGCTTGACTTGGTGGTTGTCGGCGATTCCAAGAGAGGGGCCTAGGGTTTCCATTCAAGTGACGTAAAGCAGTTGGACGATAGGTTCGAGTAGAGTCGTCTAGAGTTGACTCATAGTGACACGGGTTTGCTTGTTGAGTAGTCTCAACCACTGGGTGGGAGTGCGCAAGAGAAATCCGGGGCCATCTCTGGCTTGAAAAGGAAGACGACGAGCGGATTTCATCGGGGTGGGTGAACAGTCTGTTTGGCCTGTAATCCATCGTACGGATAGGTAGGGTAATTCTCAACCAGTTGTGGTGGATGCGGTGTTCATCTGAAGGTGCAGAAGAAGCTCACTAAGTGATGCAGGAGACCACAGAGGGAACGATGCGACAACACCACTACGAACCAACCCCGCCCTCACAGTAGCAGACAAAGGCCTGTGAGACACGTATCTGCGCTGCTATGCATTGCTTGGAGGCAACATTTAAGGGGGCATGATCCCACTTGCTGCAGAGCTGGAGTTCTCGGGTAGTCCGCTGATTAGGTTGATTTGATTTGATTGGGGTTGACGGGAAGATGCACTTGTTTTGATTTCTGTGCTGGTCGACTAATACTATTTCTTTTAAATGCATACATAAAAATAGTTAAGTTCATATTGGATTATAAATGGTATTGAACCTAGAAAATTAAATGTCTTTCCGTGATGGTGTTCTCCCTGTATAATTAAAATTGAACTAGTGAAATCAACGAAAGCTATTGATTTTAATATACTTATATCAGTTTAGCAATGAACAATTATTCATTTTATTCATGGGTGGAACCAGGGAAATTAAACTAAGAAAGTACCCCGGAACCCAAGCTTACAACGACCTCCACAATAAAAGGCTCCTTTTCAAACTGACAGACGTTTTAACTTCGGTGGATCTTTGGATTTCCTAACCTCTATTAACTTTTTTCAATATCCTCAAAAAAAAGAGTAAAAGACACTCTCTCCTCTTGAATCATCGCCATGAATAGGTTTCGCGTATGCAAAGCAGCATCCCTCTCCCCAGCCATCGACTTCATTCTTATTCTAACTAATCGAGTTGTGACAGTTTGGCGACTCCGATGAGTCTGCCTCCGAGGTCGACGATGATACCTCCGGACTTCCCTTTCCTGAGCCATTGTCCCGCTCATCCTTTCTCGCGCCCGACTTTGACCCTGCAGAGTACTTATCCTCCCTGACTAATCGACACCAAAGCCTGGAAGACCTACGGCAGGAACTGCGCGACTTGGACCAATTGCTTAGCCGAGAATTGCTGGACCTAGTCAACGAAAATTACCGGGATTTCCTGTCGCTTGGAATTGCACTACAAGGAGGGGAGGAGAAGGTCGAGCAAGTACGTGTTGGGCTACTGGCATTCCAACGAGACGTCCAGTCCATCCGCGACAAGGTCGACGCAAGGTATCGAGAAGTGGAGCAACTAGTGGAAGAAAAGAAGCGCCTACGAAAACAGGCAAACGTTGGGAGGGCCCTGCTGGATTACGCTGATCGGGTCGATGAGCTGGAAAGGAAACTAATGATTCGTGACTCAACACCTGCCCATCAAGGCGACTCTACCAAGGACCTCGATACGGATTCTGACTTGCTGGACAGTGAGAGTGAGGAGAGCGAGGAGGAAGAGCTTCCGAATGGTGCATCGGCTACCCCTCTTGTATCACTGAAGAGACTTGAGCATCATATTCAGAAATATGTCTACTTGACAAGGCTGTCATCGCGGATAGGGGACGATCATCCGTTCCTTCTCAATCAACAACCGCGATTATCCAAGATAAGGTCTGCAGTACTCTTGGATCTCAAAACGGCTCTCGAACAAGCAAAGAACGCGGGCGAGAAACGGGATACAAAAACGCTGGCCGTATTGCGTCTCTACAAACTGATGGGGGAGGACACCAGTGCAGTATCTGCTCTGAAGAATCTGAAATTATAGATCGTGCCCGGTACTTACACTAGGCATGTGCATAGCGTGGGCGTTTGGGATGCTGGGATCTCCAGGAATATATATGAAACAATACCATTATACACCGTGCCTTTCCTAATAAAACATAATCTGTACACCCAAACACTCGAATAAGTTGAAGCTATTTTACAGACCGCTCAAAGATGCAGGCTCGGGGGAATTGTCAGACTTGAACTCTCCGTTCAAACTGAAACCAGGGCCATTGGTCGAGCTCAGCACCTTAAAAAATAGTCAGCGGAGATACTACATATAATATCGAAAGTCGAAGCTAACTTACCACTTCATGGATCTCCTTATTCATACGATCGTTGAGGCCAGCCGCATCCTTCTTGATTTGCTCGATAGTTGCGCGCAGGTTGTCTCGCAGCTGTTCAGGGGAGAATGCCAATTGCCCAATTGGCAGTCGAATGACAGCATCTCGCTCTCTGTATACCGTACCGCCACGCAGCATCTCAACCCTCGAGGCCACGTCTTCAACGACGGTGCCTGTTTTTGCGCTAGGCATCAGTCCTCTAGGACCGAGAACTCTGCCCAGTCCAGCCTTGTTCAATGCTTCCAAACTATCCGGGTGGCAGATAAGACGGTCGAACTCAATGATGCCCTTTTTCACATTATCGAAAACTTCCTGTTCCCCAACCAGGACGGCTCCTGCAGCACGAGCCTCCTTCTCATGCCTAGACCCAGTAGGGCAAACGACACAAATCCGTGACTCTGTTTGAACTGAATGAGGGAATCGGAGCATGTTGCGGATCACAGGGCCATCCCTTCTCGTCTTCAATCGGATGTGTATCTCGTACTTGGAAGTAGTTGGCTCGCGGCCGACTTCGAATGCGCGAATATACCTAGAATGACCAAATTCCCGCGTTAGCGAAATTGTCGCCGACGGGCAGGAGAAGACGATAGACGTACCTCATGGCATCGCAAAGAGCGAATTGATCAATATCCTTCAAATCACTCTGCTTAAACTCTCGAGGGCCCTTCTTTGCCTTCTTGCTCTTTTCCTTTTCCTTGTTCTTTTTACCCTGTGCTTGAGGATTGTTCTTGGCTCCTCGAACCTGCTGGAAGCTTGAGAGGAGAGGGGTCACTGACCCCTGGCGAAGCGGAGAGCGACATGACGACAAAAGGCTCCTTGCCGCACTGGGCACAAGTGAACTGTAGGAGGACATAGCGCTGGCTATGAGGATGTGACCTCGGGCTTCTTGCGGAAGGGAATGTTTTCTGCCCGGGGAGCTCTCACGGACTTGCGGGCGGAGAAACGTGACACCGGCGGAAGCGCCATTGAGTTAAATGCCCCTCCAAGTATTTTACGATGCTCTCCTCCCCTACCGCGAGACGTCTAGAAGGACTCATTCGGGTTCCTACCAGTGGATTCAGAGACATCATGTCCAACCTGCAGTTGACCTTAGCGTCAAAGGCTAACCAGGCCTCTCTACTTCCTGCTCTGCTCGTCGCAACCTCGCTCAACGAAGCACGGCCATCCCCGGTGATTACCATCACCTACGAGGATAAGGCCGTCCTCGAGCAGGGCGATAAGGCCGTTGTTCAGTTCGTTGGACTCAGCGGTACTCCCGTTTTTGGGACTGTTAATGTTGTAGGAGAATTACTCAAGGATTTCCCATTCCTCAACTCGAAGGACCAGAAGCTCGTAAGTTACATTTGCCTATGGCTGCTCCGATTCAATGGTAATATGAGGCAATTCGTCTAACAATCTTACTAGGAGAACGAGTGGCTTTCTCAACTTGACTCTTTCACTACCCTTGACTTCAAGGCTCTTGATCTTTTGCTCCAGCGCCTCAATACCCATCTCCTTTTGCGGTCCTTCATCGTTGGATACTCGCTGTCTACTGCCGACATCTCCATTTGGGGTGCGCTCCGCGGAAACCGTGTTGCTGTCTCTGCTATCAGAAAGGGGGCTCTTGTCAACTTGTCTCGCTGGTTCACCTTCCTGGAAGATCTTTGTCCGTGGGCCACATCTGCTCTGGAGGCACTGAATGCCACCGCAAAGGAGAAGAAAGCGGCGAAGGCCAAGGAAGGAGCTAACTATGACATTGCACTTTTGAACACCGAAAAGGGTGTCGTGACCCGGTTCCCACCCGAGCCTTCGGGCTATCTCCATATTGGTATGTGTGTGTGTGTGTGTGTGTGTGTGTGTGTATAGCACAAGTTCCAGACGCTAAATATTGTGCAATGATGATAGGTCACGCTAAGGCAGCTCTTCTGAATGATTTTTTCGCGCATGAGAAATACAATGGCACCCTGCTTGTCCGTTTCGATGACAGTGAGTCCACCTCCAATATATGACGTTTTGGATTACTTTCTCACACTTGTGAAGCCAACCCTACCAAGGAAAACACCGAGTTCCAAGATGCTATCGTCGAAGATCTTGCTCTGATGGGGATAAAGCCGGACCGGATGAGCTATACCAGCGATTACTTTGACCAACTCTACGACTACGGTGTGCAGATCATTAAAGACGGAAATGCGTACGCCGATGATACAGACAAGGAGACCATGGCGGCACAGAGAATGGACGGCCTACCCAGTAAGCGTCGTGACGCCACTGTTGAGGAGAATCTTGCTCGGTTCGAGGAAATGAAGAAGGGCTCCCCAGAGGGTCTTGGTTGGTGTATCCGTGCCAAGGTATTTAAGGGTTCTATCTTCACCTGAGGAAAAAGTTCTCATAGAGTTTTTTAGATCTCCGTGGACGACAAGAACAAAGCTCTTCGTGACCCGGTAATTTATAGGTCCAACCCGGACGTTCATCACCGAACTGGGTCGAAGTGGAAGATCTACCCCACTTATGACTTTGCATGCCCCATTGTCGACTCTATTGAAGGTGTCACTCATGCTCTTAGAACGACTGAGTACCGTGATCGGAACCCTCAGTACCAATGGATGCTGGACGCCCTCAAACTTCGCCACGTGCAGATTTGGGACTTTGCTCGCATGAACTTCATCCGAACCCTGCTGTCCAAGCGCAAGCTTACTAAGCTTGTCAACGAGGGCGTTGTTTGGGGCTGGGACGATCCAAGAATGCCTACGATCCGGGGAATTCGGAGGAGAGGAATGGTAATTCCAGGACTTCGTGAATTTATTCTCAGGCAAGGCCCTAGCAAGAACATCACGAACTTTGACTGGACCCTTATTTGGGCGACGAACAAGAAATATATCGATCCGGTTGCACCGCGTCATACTGCCCTTCTCCAGAAAGACGTTGTCAAGGCCAATGTTACAGGAGTGCCCGCACCCTATACCGAGGAGAAACCTAAGCATATTAAGAACCCTTCGATTGGCACGAAGAAGGTCGCTTACAGTGGCTGTGTCATTCTTGACCAGGAAGATGCCAAGAGTTTCAAGCAAGACGAGGAGATTACTCTCATGAATTGGGGCAACGCCATAGTGCGGAAGATCGTGACTGACCCGAGCTCCGGTATTGTCAAAGAGCTTGAGTTGGAGCTGCACCTGGCAGGTGACTTCAAGAAGACTGAGAAGAAGGTCACTTGGCTATCTACCGACCAGGAACTGGTCCCAGTTGAATTGGTTGACTTCGATTATCTTCTGAACAAGGACACCTTGCAAGAGGATGACGCTCTGGAGGATGTCTTGAATAAGAACACTGAATTCAGAGAGGCCGCTACTGCCGACTGCAATGTTGCCGAGCTGAAGGAAGGCGACATCATCCAGTTCGAGCGCAAGGGATTTTACCGCGTCGACAAAGCTTACGCCCCGGGCCAGCCGGCGGTTTTGTTCTACATTCCCACTGGAAAGACCGGCGGTAAATAGATTACACACCACGAATGTCTGGTAGTCGAAGATATGTTGAAATGAGAAGTTTATTACGTATATACAATGTGGTAGTCATGGAAGTTAAAAATTGGGCGAATAGAGTTCGTCGCACCCAAAGACAAGGTGGTCCTACTGTAGGATTGAGATGCAAGAGAACTCTGATCATAGAGTGAGTGGATGATCCGACGATTACGTCGTGTTATCATTCTCGGAATCTCAAGGAAAGTAAAGTGTGGGATTTTGAAATTCTATTCTCTGGTCAACGTTACATTCGATGAGAATGGAGAAATTGGAATCCAGAGAATGATTCCAAGATAAACCCTAGTACCCTAGACCCATTTCGGCCGTTAGTGCCGATCACTTGATCTCCATTTTCTCCATACTCCATACTCCATACTACATACATAGTTCTCCACCCCACAAAACATATTGACTTGGATCTTCACGTCACGAGAATATTAAGCTCTTTCTACCTTGTTTATTTCTTTATAGCTTTTGGCTTTTGGGCTACCAAGTGGCCAAGAGTGAAAAGTCTTCAGCTCTTGTTCTCATCCTGTCATCGTCATGTAGGCTACGTAGCCTCAGTAGCAGGCCTTCCCGTGGATTCCGATACTCTTTCTGCTGGCATCTCATGCCCAGATCCTTGGGTATCATCATCGCGTCATGCGGTTAATTCTAAACTCAATTGTGCTCGTGTGTATCTTTCTTGTCTGGGCATACAAGTGTCAGAGCGAATGACTCACGATGTTTCCCTGGCGCCTCGTCCGTATACTTCCACCGGGTCGAATCGGATAGGTCAGCAACTTCTCATACGTCAAGACAATCGAGGAGTCGTCGAATCAACTTTACATGTCCCTAATGTATATCCAAATTGACTTTGCCCTCGAATGGTGTACGCAGCTTTTCCTGGTCTCTACCTTAATTAGTCTCCATCACAACTTGACTAGCCGGAAGCTTCCTGGTATCTACTACGTCAGCATGATAGCCTTTTCGTAGGACGACTCTCTCAATCTATACGGTGGTTGGTGGAGCGAGTGGTTATTGTAGTCCCTACACCCTCGCGAAAGGAAAAAGAAAAAGAAAAAAAAAAAAAAAAAGAAAATTCTTTACGGCTCCGCGCTCTTACTTTTGCCTACAAGGGGAGGTCATTTTCGTCCGCCGTGCGTTCTATCGTTTTTTGGTGCCCTCATATTTGACCCTATTCACTCACTTTTGTCAGTCGCAGAAGCATCGGGCACGTTAAGGGAGGTCCTGCTGCCCCAGGCAAGTCGACTAGATCAAGATGGCCGAGCAAGGCGGCGCCTCAAATGATGTCGAACGGGTAGCTCAACACGCGCCGGGTTCGCAGGGTCGTCTTTCTACCTCGGAGGGACGCGCATCTAGACGTATTTCCCGAGTCTCTTACAAGGAAGACTGGGCCAATCTTGACGAATATGGCAAGCTTGTCAAATACGTGTCGACCTACCGCGAGGGCGGTCAAGGCGACGAAGGAGAGACGGAGGTAGAGGTGAGAAGAGTTTGGTATGCTCCCTGGAAGAAACGCAAGGTCCGTGTTAGACATGTGGACCAAGACAGTGGCCAGTTCCCGGAAGACTGGCTCCTCACCGATATCCATCACGGCCTGTCCAGCGACGAGGTTGCCAATAGGCGTCGCAGAGCGGGATGGAACGAACTTGTGTCAGAGAAGGAAAATCCAATCGCCAAAATCATATCGTACTTTAGGGGCCCCATTTTGTATGGTGAGTCTTGCTAAATGCTAAGCCTGCCTTTGAGACGATAGTATCTCTGACCGCTCGCAGTAATGGAGCTGGCCGTTCTTCTTGCAGCGGGTCTGGGTGATTGGATTGATTTCGGTGTCATCATCGGTATCCTGTGTCTGAACGCTGCTGTTGGTTGGTACCAAGAGAAGCAAGCTGCCGATGTTGTCGCTAGTCTCAAGGGCGATATTGCAATGAGGACAACAGTTATCCGTGATGGTCAGGAACAGGAGATCCTAGCCCGCGAGCTCGTACCTGGTGATGTGGTATGCCTAAACCCTAGAGAACTTGGTCATTGCCAAGTCCTGCTTCAGAGTACTCACGGATGATGTAGATCATAATCGGGGACGGGCAAGTGGTCCCTGCTGATTCACGAATAATTTGTGATGTGAAAGATCCAAATGGATGGGAAGATTTCAAAACTCTGCAGAACCAGGGAGACCTGAGCAGTACTTCGGAATCCGATATTGAAGATGCCGAGGGTGCGGATACCAAAGAGAAGAACAAAGAAGGTGCCGACGAGAAGCCGCAGAAACCTAGAAAACGTGGCTACCCTATCCTAGCTTGTGACCATTCAGCCATCACCGGAGAGTCTCTCGCGGTTGATCGTTATATGGGCGAGATGATTTACTATACGACCGGCTGTAAGCGTGGCAAAGCCTACGCCGTGGTTCAGACTTCGGCGAAACTCTCGTTCGTGGGTAGAACTGCTACCATGGTCCAGGCAGCCCAAGGTGCTGGTCATTTCGAAAAAGTCATGGATAACATCGGTACATCGCTTCTCATCCTCGTCATGGCATGGATTCTGGCCGCATGGATTGGGGGCTTCTTCCGGCACATCCCAATTGCTTCGCCTCGCCAGCAAACACTACTCCATTACACCCTAGCATTGCTGATTGTCGGTGTTCCTGTCGGTCTTCCTGTCGTCACGACTACTACCATGGCTGTAGGAGCAGCATACCTTGCAAAGAAAAAGGCTATCGTGCAAAAGCTGACTGCGATTGAGTCGCTCGCGGTACGTTGTGAGAAATACTTTCTGCCTCAACAGAGAAGCTAATAACTTCATTAGGGTGTCGATGTCTTGTGCTCTGATAAAACCGGTACACTTACGGCCAACAAGTTGAGCATCCGGAATCCATATGTGGCTGAAGGTGTCGATGTCGACTGGATGTTTGCCGTGGCAGTTTTGGCATCGTCCCACAACATTGATTCACTAGACCCGATTGACAAGGTCACTATCTTGACACTCCGGCAGTATCCTAAGGCACGAGAGATCCTGCGCAGGGGATGGACGACCGAAAAGTTCCAGCCCTTCGACCCGGTTTCTAAGCGTATCGTGACCATTGCCAGCTGTGATGGGATCAGATACACCTGCACCAAGGGAGCGCCCAAGGCAGTGCTTCAGTTGACAAATTGTTCCAAACAGACTGCAGACTTGTACAAGGCTAAAGCACAGGAATTTGCGCACCGAGGCTTCCGCTCTTTGGGAGTTGCAGTCCAGAAAGAAGGTGAAGACTGGACCCTTCTTGGCATGCTTCCGATGTTTGATCCACCCCGAGAGGACACGGCCCAGACAATCCACGAGGCGCAGAATCTGGGCATCAGTGTCAAGATGCTTACAGGTGACGCACTGGCCATCGCTAAAGAGACATGCAAGATGCTTGCCCTGGGAACCAAAGTTTATAACTCCGACAAACTTATTCATGGCGGGCTTAGCGGAGCAATGGCAGGCGATTTAGTAGAAAAAGCAGATGGATTTGCGGAAGTGTTCCCTGAACATAAATATCAAGTTGTCCAGATGCTTCAGGACCGAGGCCATCTGACTGCGATGACTGGTGATGGTGTTAATGATGCGCCTTCGTTAAAGAAATCCGACTGCGGTATTGCCGTTGAAGGAGCTACGGAGGCAGCACAGTCTGCTTCAGACATTGTCTTCTTAGAACCAGGTCTATCAACAATCATTGATTCGATCAAAGTTGCTCGACAGATCTTCCATCGCATGAAGGCATACATTCAATACCGTATTGCTCTTTGCTTGCATTTGGAGATCTATCTAGTCACATCAATGATCATCATTAACGAAAGTATTCGCGTTGAATTGGTTGTCTTCCTAGCCCTGTTTGCTGATCTTGCCACTGTTGCCGTCGCATATGACAATGCGTCTTTCGAGCTACGGCCTGTGCAATGGCAGCTTCCGAAGATCTGGTTTATCTCATGCCTGCTTGGTCTTTTGCTTGCAATGGGGACATGGGTGGTTCGTGGTAGCATGTTCCTTCCTTCCGGCGGTGTCATTCAAAATTGGGGCTCGATTCAAGAAGTGATCTTCCTAGAAGTCGCGCTTACGGAAAACTGGCTTATTTTCATCACGCGTGGTGCCGACACATGGCCTTCGATCCATCTGGTTACCGCCATTCTGGGTGTGGATGTACTGGCGACTATTTTCTGCCTATTCGGCTGGTTCACTAACGAAACAATGCCCACCAAGCCCGCCGATAAGTTTGTTGAAACTACTAATGGCTGGACCGATATCGTGACGGTGGTCCGAATTTGGGGTTACTCCCTGGGCGTGACCATCGTTATCGCATTGGTATACTTCATGCTCAACAAGTTCAAGTGGCTTGATGACCTGGGCCGTGAAAAGCGCGACAAGGGTGACTTGAAAATTGAGAATCTGCTTGGGCATCTTGCTCGCTTGACCGTTGAGTACGACAGACCGGGACAGCCACCAGCTCGTTTTTACTTGGCTGCCCCTAAGGAGGAAGAGGAGGTTGAGTAATAGAATACCTCAGGCGTCGTTCTGTATTACAGAACCTGCGTCCTGCAGGTCTCACTGGGAATGGAATGTTCGACAATTGCTGAGGTGGAAAAGTTGTCGGATCATAATAAGTATAGGCGGAGGAAGTTTCTTTCATACAAAACTCCAGATAATTGACCTTAATTGACCGTTTGTTAATCTCTAATAGTTCCATAAATGCTGGGTTTGGTATATTAATTGACAATAATCTATGTGGTACTTCTTGATCTCTGTAGAAAGCTTCACGACGTAGGTCCAAGGATGCTTCCAAGCAGAACTATTAAAGCAATTTATTATATACTAGATTTGTAAACTATATCATAGATAAGAAAGAGGAGGGCCTTTGAATAATATCAACCACGTGGGTCAATACAAATCACAGGCCTCTGGCTCGGTTGTAAATCTTCTCCAAATCATTGCCCATACGCTTCTCAGTCTCCTTCACCATCGCCACGAAGTCACCGCGCTTGTCAATAGCCGCATTAGACTCCTCCTTAGCCATTTCGACTGTCCAACATCGGTCAGTATTTGTCGCAAGCAAAAACACAATGATATAATACAAAACATACCATGAGCAAAAACAGCAGCCTTCTTTCCACTGAACATCGCATGGGGCACATTTGTACTGTTATCGCTGTTGCAATCCCCAACAGCAAAGACTCCAGGCAGACTAGTCCTCATACCAGGGTTCGTAGTAGCATCGATTTTATTACCGAGCATCGCCAAACCCAACTGGGAAGGTAGATCAGACCGCTGCTTAGTGGGATAATTAGTGATGAAGGCATTCCGATCAACCGCTGAGCCATTGGTAAAATGCACACGGAAGATGTCAATCTGCCTGGTACCGTTCCGATCCTTCACCTGGCCGCCGTCCTGGATGCGCTCGAAGGACTCTATGGTTGCGTTCTCCAGACGCACATTGTACGCTTCCAGCTGCGCCTCCCAGTCCGGGTATTTCTCAGCCAACTCGGCCTCCTGGTCCGGAGTCTGCGTTCCGTTCACAAACGCAATAATATCCTTGTTCAAGGTGGACACTTCTAGCACGCTGCCTACGACATCCGGTAGCGCACCTAGGATACCGAAGGGCTGGTCCCGGTGCTCGTACCCGTCGCACCAGGGGCACCAGTAGACACCCTTGCCCCAGGCTTCGTGGAGACCCGGTGTGTCGGGGAGGTCATCGATGAGGCCGGTGCCTAGGATGATCTTGCGGGCAGTGTACTCCTTACCTTCAGCGTCTTGGGCGCGGAAGTACGAGGTGTTAGAGACCTTGTCCGAAACGGGCTGGATGGCGTTGATTTTCTTATCGATGAAGGTTGCAGTGTCATATTTGGAGATTTGCTCGCGGGCGAGACCGCGGAATTCGCTGGGTACGGTGCCTTTTGTTTTGCACTATGTTAGTTTTATGTAATAGACTTTTTTTTCGTTTCAGAGGTGAGGTGCTTTTCCAAATTTTCGTACCATCGTTGCCGATCACATCGTGCATGTTCCGGGTAGCAGAGTTACGATATTCCCCGGAGTCGAAGAGGGCTGTCTTGCGTCTCACTCGAGATAAACCGCTGAGGACGCTGAGACCTGCGGGACCACCTCCTACGACGATCACCTCATAGTCCGTTTGAGGGACGGATGCCGCGAGGGCGACGGTGAGGGAGGATAAAAGCGTATAGAAAAGGGACTTGGGAGCCATTTCAGTCGATCAACACTCGATGTGGAGGAATGATGGACAGCTGGGTGAAGGGGGGGGATCCATGGCTCCTTTAAATATTAGAGAATGGGCAGCAGATTTCAGCAGCACAAACACACTGCTCAGCTGAGATCACTGTGGGTTGTGTGCTGCCAAGGTCATTAAAACCCACTGGATGGCTAAGTGGTGGTGTGAGATGGGATCAGCATATTGCGTATCCGTGCATCTCGGAGGTCAGCTAAATCCCCGATACTCCTTGGAATATGGCGAGGAGAGGGGTCGTGCATAGGCAGGATTTGTTGGTTCTGCATGTCGAGTGCTTTGATTGTTTGAAGAATCCAATTATTGTGAAAGAGGTGGGATCGTTCGTGGCCACCTTTAATCTAGAGAGTGGAAGCTGAGAATACTTTTTAGTCAGGGCAATAGATAGTGGATATCAAGCTGAAGACTCAAATACCACCAGCAAGGAGGATCGGCATGGCCGAGAACCAATAGTTCATGCACTGGAGCGGATCCTGATGCGCTAATTTCAGATCTGGATTCCTGGAAGCATTTCGTACGGAGGACTTGAATCGGAGCTGAAGGTGTTTTGTGCAAGATGGAATTTATTGGGAATGTCACAAAATAGGGTCAATCAAGACGAAGGACGACAGATGAGGTTTTGGTTACATGAGCTGAAAGGCTTCAATATCACGACACGTGCCGGGTGTTTGCCCTAAAGGAAAAAAGGTAAGGGGAAGATTGACCCAAGTAACACCCCGAGACAGTAAAGGATTAATGCCCTCATTCATATATACATCCTTCCGTTTGCCAAGTCCACTAACAGAAACAAAATATGAACAGCAAACTCCTAGCTCAATGCAAACATGTGCAAGGTAATATAAAATCTCAAGTCTAACGGCTTATCGGAGGATCGCCGGAAGGCGATAGCCATGGTGCAAAAGGCGTGATGCGGTTTTTTCTAGAGCGTCTTGCACTCCGTCCAAGAAGCCCTTATTCCCATAGGCCTGAGTAACATCCCACATCATAACACCCCCAAAGCTCTCAAACGATTTGCTATATTCGATCACCGGAGCCAGCTCGGACGCTGGAATGTAGCCTGTACTCGCGGCGGCCGTGTTTGCTGGAACACCGAGCAATATCTTGGCTTTCTTGTTCTTGGATACAGTCTTGGCCCATTCGTCCCATTGCTCAAAATTGAAGCTGCTCTGGGATTTTTGGCCCGCGCTGAAGGAGTTCACGCCACACCAATTGTTGTAGAATTGAACAAATACTGCGTCAATGGATACAGGCCCGTTAAGTATATCCTTGTCTGCCGCATCTGGATATGGGCATTGGGGTGCAGCGGTAAGATAATATTTCTTCAATTTGTCGGCGTCTGATAGCTCACGAAGCCGGTTCGCGAATGGTGCCATATACTTCACATTTGCCTCAAAGTCGAAATCGAATCCATCAACGGTCGCGTCACCGAATGGTCGACGGATCGCTGTAGAATTAGCTCGAGCGCCGTGGATACCAGTGCTGTTGAACCGATTGACACGATTGAAACGACCGGTATGGTAGCGAGACGTCGCATTTGGATAGGAGGTGTTCAAAAAGGAGCCTTTGGTTATTGGAGGACCAAACGTCTCCCAAATTAGGTCGGCACCAGCTTTGGCAGCGGATTCGGATTGAAACCCTCCCTCACTATAAGTAGCACCGCCAATAGACAGAATGATAGTCTTCCCCTTCTTTTGGCAGGTTTCGATGTCCGCCCTAGCGTGGTTAGCTTCTTCCTACATCTGATGATGTTGTACCTACCCAATCTGAGGGCATTTCAGGAGGTTGGTGCCCTCAAAGGTGGTGCAATTGTCCTTTGCGTTAGCAAAGTCAAACTCCGGCGCACCTCCTGGACCATTGATGGTCATAAGAAAAGCAAGTATTATGGCCTAACAGCAGGTCAGCGGAATTCGTGTAGACCGCGAGTAGCGGAATATCTCACATCAATCCTCTCATCTGAAGCCCCAGTTAGTGCTTTTAGTAATTAGAACCTTTATGCACCACACTTACCATTACAGTAATATCCCAGCGGCTGCTGTGCTAGTTCTCCTTCCCCGTTGAAGGAGTTCTGACCTAAGTGAAGAAAGCGTCAGTCGAGTCAAGGCCAGTAATCTTCTTTTCTCACCCACACACCCCAGTATACAGCGACATTAGAAGTGGAGGAAAGGTCAAATTTAGCATACACGACTCCTAAAGAAGCCGCAGCCACCGCTAAGGCAAAAATTCTTCTCATCAAATACATGATCTGGCGCTCAATCTGCGTTCTCCTCTAAATAAAAGAAATTATCGAAGGCTTGAAAATGAACAACCGTTATGACCCTGCCAACAGACGGGAGCACAGTGACTTGCTGGCACCCCTAGCAATTGAATAGCCCTCGGTGCATGAAAGGAACAAGTTTAAAGCGCATGATAACTCTGTTTTTTAGGTTCTGTTGTACATAGCATACCGCAGTATGTTATTTATCGCTATAAAACGAGCCCCGTGAATGGAATGGCTGGCATTGCTGTGAATTGAGACAGTAGGCATTCCGGGAGACTGCCATTTTGGACTGCTTGAATGTCGTTCTCTCAGAAAGTAATAATATTCAGTATACCTGTCAAAGAGACACCATTTTGTCAATCAGCTGTGGCGGATTTTCTCGTGCGCATTCCTAAATCGTTGTTGGGCAGCAATGGAATGTATGCTCCTTTTTGGGAAGCATATCAGTAGCTCCCACATAGCCCGAGTTATACCGCAAGGGTTGGCCATGCCTCGTAACTTGATCCTGACATAGTTGTTGGCTTTCTGCCATCGTAAACAACCTAAGCTTCCAAACGGTACTCCACGAGCATGTATAACTATAGATCGGAAGATCCATAGGCATCTGCGGCGCCTCGTGCGCCACTGTACTACCCTATATATCATTTCAGCCAACAGTTCACGGGCAGTCAAAACTGTATCACAAGACAAGAGAAAAGGGACTATAATTTAGTCAGAATTTGAACTGTTTGATTGTCAGCTATAGACGACCATCAAGGTAGTACTACACACCCGCAACTTGGTTGAGAGCAAGACTTTGACACAGCCGAGGAATGCTTCCTTGTCGTCCTGACAATGAGATATGTGAAGCACGCGACAAGCGAATTTGTCATCATCCCTTTCGTGTAAAGTTCTGGAATGATTATCAGGATGTTTGAATACATATGCGCAACTTGGAAAACAATATCTCTCATCTCTGACATCAAAAGGGGAGGGAGGGAGTGTACTCCTTGGTGTAGGAAATGGTGAAGTTTGACCATAGTATTATCTGCCCCAGGCAGTAACTTCCTAGAGTATCATAACACCACTTCCCCCTCTAGGCATGGCAATGTAATATATTAAAATAAACATGTCGCTCACAATTCCTTTTGTGGGACCACAACCAAGAGCTTGATTGTGGCTTTTTAAACACCATGGGTCTGGCCAAATCTATCGGCGAATGCCTACCACCCTCTCAATAGCCTCATTATTACTCATTCCACTGTCAATAACCCCTGCTACCTTGAGAACATCCACTACACCTTCGATGGTCTTCCGATCTACACCTTTTGTACCATGGACGAACTTGACATCCTTCAACCATTCCGTCGCATCCTCCTCTCCATACGTACATCCCAGCTCTCCAGTACCAAGCAACTTCACAGCCTGCGCCGTGTCTGCTTCAAATTCCTTGATACCTTGATCCAGGAGCTTGAATAATTGCTGCAGCTTGCCATCATTCTCTGGATCGGGAAATACAGCTGTCGACGCAACGATCATCCATGACGGCCATGGTGTGTAGATCTCTCCAATTTTCTTGAGTGGTGGATGAGGCTTCTCATCCGTTGGGTGGAAGTATGGCTTCGTGGTAAAATGCTCCCACATGAAGAATTCCGCTGTTGGCTCAGGCTTCTTCTCCGGCTGTGAGACATCATACCCAGTCACCCCGTTGCGCAGAGCCTGGAATGGTCCCAGTGGGACGCTGGTCAAGGAGTCGGATTTCCAACCGTGTTTCTGAGCGAGGACAAATGACATGATATGGGAGCCACTGCAGGTCTATTTAGCACGCAACTCTTCTGATAAAAAAAAAATGGTCCCAAAAGACCATGGAAATGAAGATCACTCATACCTGCCCAACCGACTGACACCGACTCGTTTGTCCTTCAGATCAATAACACCATGAATGTCCTCTCTCTCTCTGCCCGTGACGATAGCCCATCGTAATGGTGTAGCAACCCATTCCCCGACTACCTTGTATCCACCCGAGGCCGCATCCTTCTGTGCCTGCTGTTTACCAGCCAGACCGGCGACCCAGCCCTCAGTCAATCCAATTGCAAGGTCAATTTCCTTCTCACGGAGGGAAGTGATCATGTGTCCCGTCCCGGATGGGAACGGAACTACAGAGATCTTGAATGGAAGTGATGCGAGAGCAGGGGAGCGGAGGACAATGTGGAGAGGGGTGAGATAATGTTCTATAGTCAATAGTGTTAATGAGGTTCATTGCATGTTTCTCCCTCCTGGAAGTTGTTGGCTCATGTCGTCGTATGGCAGTATCAATGGGAATTAAGGAACGCGGAGCCTACCGGGAACATAGCCGATTCGGACGGTTTCCGTATTCGAAGCCATGATGTTCAATTCAGGGTTTAATTCTGATGCGACTCGGTTATGGAATAGTAGGATTTCTTTTTATTAGGGTGTACTAGATATAGAAGAAAAAAATAAAGGCAAAGGGAGTTTTGGTAAACAAGTGGGGGGAAACGCGGGGTATCACGTCAGCGATCAACTTAATTAATATATAATATGATTAAATCAATAATACTTCCAAAAATCTTTCCTCTCCAACATCTCACAACTCAAAGGGTAAATAAATTATTCTAGCAATTAGTCTAAGCAAAATCTCTATAGAGCTAGGATCCCCTCCCCAGTATTTACAATGCATCACGCACCAGGGTACGCCAAATGGCCGTTACACATTCAAGTCATCCGGATGTCTTTCTCCTCGACGTTCCAATTTCCATTGGATTCCCTGAGGCTGCCTGCAGCCCTGATCGAGGGCTTCGTGTACATCCAAAACTGCACCCCGAGGTATAAATCGCAGACACACTGGAACAGTGCGCACAAGCGGAATGCCCAGGGAATTATCTCCTGACTGCAAAAGAAGTAACTCAGTTTCATCAGATCACCGAGAATCCATGCGGCTAAGACCGACAACCGGAATCCCTTGCATGAGCGCGATTGATGGTTAGCAAGAATCTGAGGCAAAGGCAGCGTAGCCTCTACTGTCAGCCCAATATACCCGAGACAGTTAATGTATAACTCCGATTGGGCGATTGGGGGCAGGCAGATCTGGATAAATGAGAGTGCGGAGAGGAAGTAGGCCAGAAACATCCAATACCTAGGATCACCGGTAATGTAAGTTCCCACATGCATGAATAATTTAGTCAGAATACATACGGTTTCGCGCTCTTCCACTGCCAGAAGTCGTAGGGCCTGGTAAACCCGCTGGTATTACTAGTACTGCTGAACGGGACGTGCTCGAGGCTGTTTTTCACACCGGGTGCCGGCCGATTATCCAGCGCAACCTTGAGCATTACCATTTGCACCCCGATCATGATGACCGCCTGCACCAGCAGTGCAAGTGAATAGTTGTCGCCAAACCAGAAGAATACCCTAAGCCCAAAGGTCAGCGCCAAGCGGTTCCGCATCGAGAGAGGCGAACGATATATTCATACTTCAAGATTGATGCGACCAGCATGATGAGAGGAATATCTAGAGAGAAGCCGGCGGAACTCCTAGTCCGATGAATGCTGAGAATCTGGTCGGCATAGGAGGTCACGGGGGAGGTAATCAGACTAGAGTAGGAAGAAAGGTCCACTGTCAGCGTGCCACGGTGCTGGTTATTGGAAATAAAGATTGAACCCACAAAAACGGCGCTCCATATTCAAGAACGAGAGAGACAAGATACATTGTGCAGTCAACCAGCCGACAGGCCGAAAATGCGGGAAATTGAGTAGAAAAAGAAAAGAACAGATCCCAAGTGTCGGCGCAGTCCAATCTCCTGTGCGACGTGGACGGAGTTTGGCGGATGAAACTACCGGAGAACACAACAGGTCAGGGGCGGCCGTAAGACAAAACCGGATACGGAGTAGATAGATAGATATCACTAGTAGATAAAAATAAACGGTAGTCAATCGAGCCAAGCAAAAGCCGATCGAGTGCTAGTAAAAGAGTGGGAACATTATTTTGTGACTGACCGAATTCGTCTTCCTCTTTTTTTTCTGCCGTTCCTGGTGCTCGCTGACTCAGCCGGCTCCACCTGGACCTTTAAATTTGCTTGATTAATTAGTATAACACTATGGATTGTTTTGATTCTGTACGAATCATATATCTAATCCATACTTCAATCAATCAAGAACTAAATAAATAGAAAAATAAATAAATAAATAACCCGGTCTACATACTTCTATTCTGACCAGCTTAAAACTCAATCCTCCAGGTCTTTCCAATCCCAACATTGGGGTTCTTTACCACAGCATATGAGGCTTGGCCGTTCGGCTGGGCATGGAACTCCAGGGCTGCCGTGGATGCAGCCTGGGCACCGTCCTCAATAATGGTCACAGTGGCCTTTTCCTGCCACTCTTGGGGTGGATCAATTACCACTACCCTCTCAACTCGAACGCTTGCTATTGTTTTCACGTACTCATCCGTCTTGGCACCCTTGGTTCCGATGTCCTCGGACGACAGAGCGGAGTCGTGGAAGTGGAAACGACGATGGATATACGCTCCTCTTTCGTAATCAAACGTCTCACCGTCATCCACATACAGCGTGCCATCTGCCTCGCCGTTCTTATCCAAGACGACAACAAGCGTGTATGGATCCCATTTCATCAGTCCACTACTGCGGCGTGGCCGGTCCTTGCGAGGAATGACATGGCCACCCTGCATCAACACGGGTACCTTTTCAAGAGGCGCAGGAACCTCGTGTCTCTTACCGGCCCCTTGATAAACCGTGTAATCGAAATAATCATAATACTTCTCGTCATCAGCAAGGTAAATGTCTACAGTAGTGGCTCCCTCAGAGACAACCGGCTTCGTGAGGATACCAGTAGAGCCAAGGTACAGCTGGTCATCAATGGTGAAGCCTGCTTCGTCCGAAGGATGAACATAGAATTGAGGTCTCACAATCGGCGTTCCATTAACCGACGCTTCCTGGAATGCGGTATACCAGGCAGGTAGGAGCTGGTATCTCAAGCGAATGGCCTGGGCGATGATCGATCGGTGAGGCTCACTGATCAAGTATGGCTCGCGCCGGCGAGTATCGATATGTGCGTGCGCACGGAAGAAAGGATACCAAATACCTGTTTGGTACCACCGTGTGAGAAGGTCCTTGCTCGGGTTGTGGAAGAAGCCACCAACATCAGCTCCTGCGAAGGGGAACCCGGAGATACCATTATTCAAAACCATGGGGAGAGAAATGGCCAGGTGCTCCCAGGTTGCCTGATTGTCACCAGTCCACATGGCGGACATCCGTTGGGCTCCAGCATAATAAGACCGTGTCAGAATGAATGGCCGGCGAATCTCTCCTTTCTTACGTTCCAGCATACCACCGTATGTCGCATTCACGAAAGTGATACCGTTAACATTGTGGATGTCTCGGTGCTCCCAGTTGCCATAGTGTAGGTTGTCTTTGGGCATCGTAGTTTCCGGGCCGTTGAACACGGACGGCTCGTTCATATCGTTCCAAATGAAGACATTTGGAAGTGTACCCTTGAACTTGTCGTACTTGAACAGGCCTTCCCACCACTTGACAGCCTCCGGATTGAAACAGTCCACCCAATGGGATGACCCTGGCCAACACCAACCCTCATAAATCTCACCATCCTTGTTTCGAGTGGCAAGTTTCTTGCTCTGGAGTTCTTCAGAGATGGTGTATTTTTCCTTGTTCTTGATATGAGGGTCGATTATCACAACGAGCTTGCGGTCAGAGCCATCAAGCTGCTCCTCCATACCAGTCGGGTTTGGAAAGGTGAGCGGATCCCAGGTGAAATACTTCCTGTCATCTAGATACTCAATGTCGAGCCAGATAACATCATATGGAATCTGGTACTTGTCGAAATTGCGATCAACATCTCTCACGTCCTCGTCGGTGACGTAGTTCCAGCGGCACTGGTGGTACGCGATAGCGAAATGTTGAGGCAGCTGAGTATAGCCAGTGAGTTCTCCATATTTCTTGCTGATATCCTGTGGTGTGGGCCCTAGGAAGACAAACAAGTCGATTTGTCCAGATTCGGAGAACCAATGACTTTGAGTATCGGTTTTTGAGCCCACCCCCAAAGAGAGGGGGTTGGCTGAGGATGTTGACTTAACAATGTCCACCCATGTCTCAGCAGCGTTCAGCCAAAACACACCAACGGTAGAGCCCGGTCGGTGTGCCTGCATGAGTGGAATTGAGCCATATAAAGTCATGGGACTATTGAGTTCATATTCAAACACATCTGAATTGTACATGCGGTAAGGCTCTTCATGGTTTCCCGGGCCGCCCCTATCATGTCGTTAGCTTGCTTTATCGAGCGAAGTAGGATATTCGGTCGAACTACCTGGTCTCTCTTAAGGACAGGGAATCAGCATGCTCTGGGATTCCAAAAACATGGCTGTACGCAGGGAAGGTGATATCTAATCCCACACTCTCAGGCCCTCTAGGTTTCGAATCTGTATTTCCACCGAACGTCTCTTCCCACCAGGTACTCTCGTCTTCTTGAGATGCAGAATTATGCTCACCGTCACCTTCCACAGCATCAACCTTCGGTCGCCAGTGTTCTAGGTTCAAGTATCCTTTGTTGTTCAATTGAATATGTGTCTGCCCATCTCTCTGGAACTCTACCCTAAACGGGGAGTGACGAATGACTGCTTGGTAACCATTTCCTGGTCCGTACAGAACTCTGGTAACTCCGGTCTCCGATATGGAATCCAGGATCGCAGATTTGCTCAATTCTAAGCCACCAACCAAAACCCATTTTTCTGCTTCATTATATCTCTCCTTGCGAGCCTGACTATCGTGGCGAAGGTCGATTTCCCCCTTCAAGCGCTTCTCTTCATCGATAACGACTCGAGCAACCCCAGACTCGAGGAAGGATACGACGAGAGGCAACTTCACCTTTTCCTCTGCAGATATCGATTTGAGAATAATTCCTTGTAATTGGCCATTTTTGAAGTGAATAGACGAGGAGTCAAGCTCATATGGAGAGCTCCAAGCTGAGCCCTTGGCGGTAGCGTCGTCGGCGTATGCCCTGTTTCGTTTACAGAATCCAGACTGAGAGCATTTCTTGAAATTCTCGTGCTTTACAGAAACTAAATTGAGATGTTAGCGCCAGTATAACTTGGAATTCATACATGTAAACAAAGCTGACCTCCGGGCATGATCAGACACCCGAGTAGGATGACCAAGGAAAGCAATAGGGTCCAGCGAGTGGACAACAGCCGGCTCCCGGCCATCTTTGAGCTAATAGACGCAATCAGAGACACTCAACCTCTGAAAGTATAATACTTGTCAGCCACTAATGCGCTGACCTGCATCTACCCAAGCTGAAAGTCGGACACACGAAACTGTCACGTTTGTTAGATAGTTGATATTAGTACAATGATCGTTAGTTCCAGGCTGGCCAGATGGTCGGCGAAGATGGGGAAGCTCCATATTGGGTTAGAGCAACGCTATCCCCGTTAGGGCGGCTGGGGTGAGACACCTCAGGCTGTGAGGCAGTCAGGCATAGATCAGGCTTCTATCAGCCAACGACCGCCCCTCGTGCCCCACCGTTGCGGTCCCTCCGCTGCTATATTTTTGGCCAACTCACACCAATACCTCGACTTTCCTTTTCTTCTCCCCTTCAGTCCTGCCTGTTTGATTCAATTGTTACCTTTTGACATCACCAATCCATCAAAATGTCCGACGAGCAGACGTAAGTTACCACGGACCTTCTCCCAATCCTTTCTACCCCTCCCTCCTTTGCCCTTAGCAATTTTTTTCCCATCTCCCGATTGCCCCTCATTGTCTACTCAAAACTAACTGATTGATGCAGCTTCATTGCCATCAAGCCCGACGGTGTCCAGGTAAGATTTGTTAAACCATTAGATTAGTGCCATGAACTAGACAGACGGTTCTTTCGGATTGAGCTAGAAACTAACCTTGTCAACCAGCGCGGTCTCGTCGGCCCCATCATCTCCCGCTTCGAGAGCCGTGGGTTCGTATTCCTCCAATTCTAACAATATATATATGGCACCTGTATTGACGTTTCATAGATTCAAGCTCGCTGCCCTGAAGCTCACCTCCCCCTCCAAGGAGCACCTTGAGCAGCACTATGCTGACCTCAAGGAGAAGCCTTTCTTCCCCGGCCTCGTCTCTTGTAAGTACCTTCTAGAAATCGAGACAGAAAATTTTTGTGCAGACAAATTGACGCTTGCCTTTAGACATGTTGAGCGGCCCCATCGTCGCCATGGTCTGGGAGGGCCGTGACGCCGTCAAGACCGGTCGCAGTAAGATTTGATTCCTTAATGATCTCTGAAGACAAACACTCATCATGACAATAGCCATCCTCGGTGCTACCAACCCTCTTGCCTCCGCCCCTGGCACCATCCGTGGTGACTACGCCATTGTAAGACCCCCGCTCTTTTGGTCTGTAATATACTGCATTATTCTTACTCTTATATAGGATGTTGGCCGCAACGTCTGCCACGGCTCCGACAGCGTCGAGAACGCCAAGAAGGAGATTGCCCTCTGGTTCAAGCCTGAGGAGCTCCAGAAGTACAAGCACAGCCAGTTCGACTGGATCTATGAGAAGGCCTAAATTTCTCTTTTCGATCTTGGATTTAAAAAATCTGCTTCCTGGTTACGGTTTTAGACCATGCAGGCGGCAACTGATATAAATCAGAAAAGACACGAGAAATAGAAATTATACAATATTTACGACCCAAAATGGGACCTCCCGGTTTGGTATATTATCGGTCCGGAATTTTTAGCGATGGTGGGGAACGTCAATATCTACCTTCTCCCCAGCAACCTCCTCAACCATTTGCCCATTGGCACCAGTGTAGTTCGAGCAAACCAAGGTGTTGCCCATACGCTTGCGGCAATTCGGAGCGGCAGAAAAGCCTTGGTGACCGCGTAGGCAGTCGCAAATTCCAGCACCAAACGTACGCCTTCCTTATTGCTCCCCGCAATCGGCTTCTCTGTCATAAGGTCTTGATGGTTCACACCTACATCCCCTTCAACAGCATCCACATCAACGTCCTCCACCCAGCCCTTCTTCCGTAACCATCGCCCAAAACGCTGTGTTCCTTCCTCGAAGGCGTTATTAGAGGTTAAGTCTGGTAACCAGTTCCCGTAGTGAAAAGCAGCTACTAGTCCAAATAGAGGTACGATGGCAGTGAGTTCATGTAGGATCAAAAAGGACGTAACATGTGTTGCTGGAGCCCCGAGTAATGGAGTTGTGTAGGCGCGAAGGAAGGGCGGGAGGCGATCATTCAGCTTGCGAAGACGAGATGAAGAGTCTTTTGAAGATGAATAAGGAGGAGGAGTTGAATATTGACGGCGGAAGAAGTGCTTGAAGGGCGACGAAAGGCGAATTTGGTGAAGGAACGCCGATTGGCGTTGGAATGATGACATCTTGCGTTGTGTTCCAAGATCATTGACTAGAAGCTCCAACTTGTTGTATGGCCCCGGGGGCAATTGGGGGAGAAAAGAAAGATGTCAACCTAGCAAAATCTGCCGAGTCAATCAATGAACATGATGGAGCATTATGCACTGGCGTATGTGGTCAAGAGAGGCGGAGAAGTCTGTGTTGATGAAGGCTATACATATTGCACTGATCCGCGATAAAGGGTTAGTGTTTGCTATGTTTGCAACGCGGCGTCCTGAGTCATTGATGGTCTTATGAAAACACTGAGCCATCATTTTGATAGCATGCTCTAATAGTGTACGAGTCCTTGAGGATTGTATTCTAAGAAATGTGTAAGCACAGATCCTAGTCGATCTCGAGCCTGTCATGCAGCCCTACCTCATGGAGATGTCACCGGCATGCTTCCGCTTCCGTTAATCGGAGGGCTGGTCAAACTCCGACCTGAACGTTTCGCTCCCCGATTGATGACGCCCCAGTCATCCTCTTTCAACTACCACCTCTTCCATACCTTTGCCGGAACAGACACTGGGGATAAGATGGAGAAGATCACAGATAAGATTGCGGCTTTGCCGCCGGATGCAAATTACTTCTCTTTGGAGTTTTTCCCTCCAAAAACTCAGATGGTGGGGTACCCCTCCTCCCCGCATCGGCAGATATCGAGATTGCCTGCTAATAAATTATGATTACATAGGGATTTGCTAACCTTCAAGCCCGTTTGGAGCGTATGGCACAAGCCTTGCGGCCGTTGTTTGTCACCGTCACCTGGGGCGCTGGAGGTACCACTGCACAGAGATCGTTGGAGCTGGCGGAGATCTGCCAGCGCCAGTTGCAATTGACAACATGTTTACATCTCACATGCACCAACATGAGCCGTGCCTTGGTAGATGAGGCACTAGAAGAGGCCAAGGTCTTGGGTATTCGCAATATTCTGGCTCTTCGTGGTGACCCGCCGCGCAGTGAAGAATACAACATGCATGGAGAAGACGATAGCAACAAGGACTTTACATTCGCTGTAGATCTCGTACGATACATTCGCCAAAAATTTGGTGATTACTTCTGTCTAGGTGTGGCCGCCTATCCAGAAGGCCACCCAGTCGATTCTTTCCAAGATGTTCAAGATCCGAAGAAGGATCTCCCATATTTAGTGGAGAAAACCCAGGCGGGCGCAGACTTCATAATGACACAGTTGACATATGACATTGAAGCTTACACTAAATTTGAGAATATGTTACGGAACCATGAATCTGGCGCATTCAAAACTATCCCTATCATTCCTGGCTTGATGCCAATCCACAGCTACAAGATCTTGACGAGAGTGACGAAACTCAGCCATGTTAAAATTCCGCCTCATATCCTTTCGAAACTAGAAGAAGCGAAACACGACGATGATGCTGTGAAACGCATCGGTGTGGATATAATCAGCAATATTGTGGGTGGTGTTAGGGATATCCCCTCTCCTGGGCTCCGAGGTTTCCACTTCTACACTCTGAATCTTGAAAAGACAGTGTCATTCATTCTCGAACGCTGCGATCTCATTCCCCCATATTCCGAGGACTTTGATGCATTAGAAGATGGAGGGGATATCTCTGCTATGGACGGGGCTCAACTACGTTCTCTAACGAGACGGCGGGCCTCGTCTATCAATTCTCTTCCGCATAATCGGGTCATTGTAGACAAGCTACAGATTTCCGAAGGATCATCAAAAGCCTCCGTCTCACATGAAGCTCCTGCGACAAGTGCTGGAATGCCTGCGATGCCACCAGATCGCAGCACAACCCTTCAGATTTCGGAAGGTCTTGGTGCCCTTGGCAGGGAGGCCACCTGGGATGACTTCCCGAACGGTCGCTGGGGTGATGCTCGTTCACCAGCATTCGGTGAAATTGATGGCTACGGCCCATCGTTGCACGTTCCCCCTTCGGTTGCTCACCGAATCTGGGGTTTCCCAGTGTCTCGTGAAGACATCAGTACCCTCTTCCGCCGCCACGTCTCGGGTGAGTTACACATGGTCCCATGGTCAGAGGGTGGTGCCGAGGAAGGCAGTCCCGGTTTGAATGCGGAAACAGAGATTATCCGGTCGGACCTTCTAAAACTCATTGATGGTAATGGCTGGTGGACGTTGGCATCCCAGCCAGCTGTGAATGGCGTTCGCAGCGATGACCCTATATTCGGCTGGGGTCCTCCCCGCGAGGGATTTGTCTTCCAGAAACCGTTCGTTGAGTTCTTCTGCCCAAGCGAAGACTACCAGTCGGTACTCAAGCCATTACTTAAGAAACACGGTCATGAAAAACTTGCCTGGTTCGCAGCCAATGTAAAGGGTGACTTCGAATCTTCCTTGCCAGCCCAAACTTCCGACGCCGATCCCATTGAGATGAACCCGAACAACGTCAACGCCGTGACATGGGGCGTCTTCCGTGGAAAAGAAATTGTTACCCCCACTATCATCGAAGAAGTCAGTTTCCGCGCTTGGGGCGAGGAGGCGTTCCGTATATGGGATGAATGGCGCCGCATCTATCCACGCAACTCTGCAACCGAGCGCTTCCTCAACGATATCCAGCACGATATCTGGCTCGTCTGTGTTGTCGGTCAGGACTTCGGAGCGGGAACCGAGATGGGATCGGAGGATGAGGAGGATGAGAAGAAGTGGATGTGGAAGGTTCTAGCGAATGCTAAATAAGCTCTACTTTGTCTCAAGTAGTGAGATGTATAAAATACGGACCAAGGAACATTAAGTATCATCTTCCCACGATCATGATTCTTTCATTGCATAATGATCTTATAACCAATCATAACCACGTTGTAATCATTTACAACACGGCAATCTAGGTCTTTTTGACTTCCTATATCTAGCTGGGGAGTATCGTTGTGGGAGGCGCGCTTGCACACCGTTAACAGTATCGGTCTCCACGAATCAAGACTTTAAGAGAAAATAAACACCATGTATGCCTCAGCACCAAATCCGTGTCAGTAGCGTAAATTATGGAATTGATGTATAATGTAGAAATTGTATCATTAAGATAGCTTCTGGGCAAACCCATGTTCCTCGAGCCCCTCGGCTCCGGTGTCCGGGGTGGCGATTGACGATTGCGATTCGGCGAACTTATCTATCGCATCGTCCAAACGACCATATGCGCGAGGGTTGCGGCGTGGTTCATTTGGTCCTCTGCTAGGAGATTGGTAGCCACGGACACTGGGAAAGATCGAGTTAGTCGGAGTTGGGTAAAAAGTGTATAAAAAGAACAGAACGGCTATCTTACCGTGGGCCCTGGCCTGTTTGTTCAGGTAGCTGAGGGTCGTAGACCCGGTGAAATCTTTCAACATCGGACTCAAAAGTACCCTGTTGAATACTTTTTCTGATATTGGCGAAGAAATTGTCCATCGTGTGGAGATTATGGAGCTGGAGAAGGGTCCAAGCCAGCATTTCCTTTGCCGCGAGAAGATGGTGTATATAAGCGCGATGATGATTTCGGCAGGTATAGCACTGGCATTTTTTATGGAGCGGTGATGTGTCTGTTGTGAAAGTAGTTGCCCATAGGTCGAGGGCTAGCGGTTTAAGTTCTGCGACAGATGTATCACTGGCATCGGATGGCGGCGGAAAGACAAAGTCCAAGGCTATGCCGGCATCCGAAGAGACACCCAAGAAGGGGATTGTAAGAAGATCAGCACCAAGAGAGACCTCTCGTAAGATGTCATGTGGCGTAGCTGGCTTGCTGAAGAGTAGTCGTGGAAGATCCCCCAGAGACTCAGGAACGATAGATAGTGATGCCGACTCATATAAAGCAAGTCCGGAAATGTACTGCCGAAGATCCTCTTCCAAGTCCTCCAAGTACAGTGTCTGCTGGGTATTATCTAACGGCAGTAAGGGCGCAAAGTAAGCCGTTTTCGAGCGATTTCTGCCTAGGACCGCGCTCCCATAGAGCTGCTCCGTCGAATACGTGGTGAATGCATGAGTCCTATCGACCATCTTCCCTTGTCTCTTTAACCCGGGCTGATGGGTTAGGACCAAATCTGCCAGTCCAACTACAATATCCGGACGCATCTTTTGTACAGCTTCGACATACTGACCAGCCTCCAGTTGTCCGAAGCCTACCGTGGTGAGCACAGCAACCGAGTTGGGCGTATTCGAAGGGGGACACGGGAGCGGAGGCACTCGACGTGGACCCAAAACCACCACAGGATCTTCAGGGAGACAAACAAAGTTGCGTAGAGGCGATTCATTCGGAGCGGCTGGGGTATTGTAAACTGGAGGGCATGCTTTCTTCTGTAGCTTTTCTATGACTGATCTAGGCCCCGGTGGGCATTAACTGTCAGCGTCTCACGTGCTTCAAGCCTCAAGGGTATATATACACAGGGGATATGATCAAATGCATACAATCTTCTAGACCAAAGTACAAACCGCTAATAGCAGTCTGCTCGCGCATGACATCGTGCGCGACATGGGGGAGAGCTCCCCGCGACGTCAATGGGATGTAGTGCGGCGTAGCAATCGCATTTCTGCCCGCAATTGCCAGCTTGCCCAATCGCGGTGCTAGGGTTGAGGCAGCAGCAGAATTTAAGATATTGAAATTGACCATGTCATTAGGAGGCCTTTGTGAAGTATCATGACCCATGGCGATCACCGGGGAAGTTCCAAAATTGACGCAGTGCTGATCGGATGAATAAATGATTGTCGGGAGACGAGAAATTAATTTGAGCAAATCTGGGAAGTTGGATGCCTGAAAATACAGAACGTAAACCCGCCGCCACATTATGACTTCTTACTACTCCTCCTCTTGCATCTTGTATATACTTGGGTGATACCTTACCTTTCAGATCTGACTAGATTCTTGCCCTTTTTTCCTCTTTTTGTTTTCTCATCATCTTAAAGATCGCTTTTTTATTCAACAATCGCACATCTATCTTTCTAATCATTCATACAATATGTCAGAACGTACAAATCGCGGGGCTCTTATTGTCGTCGAAGGCTTGGATCGAGCAGGAAAATCAAGCCAGTGCGAATACCTGCGCGACTACCTGCAAGAGTCGGGTCACCCGGTAAAATACATTCGCTTTCCAGGTATCTCTCGCATCACGATCAACTTCGGTCATGCGGACCATACTCTAATTTAGTCCTTTCCAGACCGCACCACAGCCACTGGCAAACTAATTGACGGCTATTTACGTGGTCAGTCGCAGTTAGATGACCATTCTATCCATCTTCTCTTTTCTGCCAACCGCTGGGAGATAAGTAAGGTTATTGAAGAAGATATAGCCAATGGGATCACTGTGATCGTGGACCGCTACTCCTACTCAGGTGCTGTATACTCTGCCGCAAAAGGGAATCCATCTTTATCCCTTGAATGGGCATGGCAGCCTGAAATTGGCCTTCCTCGACCAGATATGTGCCTTTTCCTCCGAATCTCACCTGGAGAGGCTGCAAAGCGGGGTGGGTTTGGTGCGGAGCGGTATGAGAATGAAACCATGCAAAGCCGTGTGCGCGAGCTCTTCCAGGCTTTATTTGACTTGCAACCAACTGGCGACATCCACATTATCGATGCGGGGAGATCATTCCAAGAAGTATCGGAAGAAATCCAGGAGAAAGCAACTGACTGCATAGCACAGATTACTGGGCCTTTGCGGAAATTTGACACTATTGTAGCTTGAGTTGGGCTCGATTGGCTAGATGTGGAAAGAGTCCCAGTACGTTCTCATCCTGTATCATCACAATCGCTATCCTCAATGACGATCTCCACTCTCGGGGGCATTGCAGGAGACTTCGGTGGATCACCGATCGCGGGGTCTGATTCGAGGGCCAATAACTCAAACCAGTCATCATCTAGAGGGAGGTCGCCTGGTATGCTTTCATCAGAGCTATCATTTGTGTCTTTTCTTGCGTCGCCGACCGACACGGGAAGGTCGCGGTGTTCTGCAGAAGCAGAGTTCGCATTATCAATGTTCTCTCGCGGAATATTATCTACCTTGCAATCGCCTTGTTTCTTCTTTCTCAAGATAGCCTGCAATTCTTTTCCTCCACGGGTCCGAAAACTCAGCTCCTGCATCATCAAGGACCATTGGACGATCTTGTGACACCCAGGACACTTTCCCGATATAGGGATGTGTCGTTCTGGCTCTTTTATGGAATCTAGAAACCTAGCCGATAGACATAATATATGACTGATGCAGTAACAGCGTGCCTGGGGGCAGACAACTACCAGCTCTTCCTTTGGAACAACGGGGCTTTGGCACACTTTGCACTGCAAGTCCTCCGGATCATCCAGTTGAAACACTGCCTTCTCTAGATAATCTTGTATCTTACTATAGTCAACCTGGAGGTATTCGACGCTACCAACCCTCATGTTATCAGCACCAGGCGGGTTATCCTCGGCACAACTGCCATCTAGAATGACTTTAGTGTGCTCTGGGATGACGCCATCTATACGATCACTCCAGATCCGCCACAACTGGTGGGCGTCGGCAGAGAAAAACCGTACTTTGAGAGGCAAACTGGAGAAGTATATCGATCGTAGCAAGGCGTGCAAATTCTCCAAGTGTCCTTTGAGGGATCTCGCGGGGCGACAAACTCGCCCTTTGTCTTTTCCTCGTGTAAATTTCGCGTTATAAGGCGTTTCCGGAGCGGTTTTATTCTCTTCACAAAAACCTAGATGACGAGATTTGCTCGGTTTCTGCCATGCCCACCTGCAAAGGCGTTAGACAGTCGGGTACACAGAGATAAGAAAAATAATAACCAACACCGCTTACTCAAACTGCAAGGCGGCCGTCCGACTCATGAAGCCTTCTACGATGACTACCATCTCCCATGGTCTCTTGTCATTTGCAGTCTTGCGTGCTCCTCCTTTTGCGACGCCATTGTGCTGCGCAAGCCGCCTGGATGGATGAGGAGTAGAGCCGATGTAGAGAGAAGAATGCCGAACAGTAGATCGGAGGAGATAACAGCAATAGAAGGCTGGGATAGGTTTTACATGGTCATCATATACATCGGCCATGGCGTTGAAAAGGGTGTTCCCGTGTTGGGTTTCGCCAAAATTGAATATATATGGATTTAACGATTCATTGGAAACGTATTAAATTGTCTGGTCTGTTTGTATGGATTGAGAGGCAATGACACGTATTGTTTGTCGTTACCGTACTGCGATTATTCGTCGTTTACTCCGATATATATTCCTAGTCACATGACATAAATATAGTAAGCAATGTCAATACCGGGGGCCTTTTTTTCAAAAAGAAAAATAAAAGAGAGGGTTTTAATTTTTAGAAGTTGCATTCTCTCGAGATATTACTTGCTGTGTTTATGCAATGTAACATTACACAACCCCCACGTCCCACCTCAAGGTAATTGAAACCATGAGGAAATTGTACCTGTGTAGCAGGGAATGGAACCATGCCTTAGGCACTAATTCCCGGAATCATATGATCTCACCGAGCAATAGTTAGTGAAAACCATTCAGCCTCAGGAATAAAAACGGAAGGAGCATTGCATGATCTGCGAGGTCAGTACAACGGGACAAGAAGCTGGAAAAGAGACAATAAGGGAAAATAAATAAATAAAATAAATGACTAAAAACTTTAAAAAATATATTTCTTGAATTTATTGAAAGTAAATTAAAATATTTAGGTACGCTGGTTCATGCAAAATTCAACTAACTACTAACTTCTTAATTTAGTTTAGTTTACGGAGTACTCCGTAGACATTATTAGGTAGTACTACTTACTATGTCCACTTTTTGATAAGTAAACATGGGTTCTCCCCGTTGAAAATCACTCGCATACCTCACTACTCCGTTCTAAGACGATAAAAACACTGGCAAAGCCGACGCGGTGGCTTTGGAACCGAGTTCGGAAGCAATCCACCCGTAAAATTACGGCTCATGTGATATGAAAAATAGCGTACCCTGCATGACGAGCATCACCACGGACCAGTGAAAAGTGACACTTATCAGGGCACAAATCCACCTCTGAAGCGCTGGGTGTCCCCTCATAAAACACTTGAAGCTAGATTATGTCTCATTATCACTTAGGGATCATTGCTATTGTGGTTGAATCCGGACCGCGGTTGACGTGTCATATTTGACTGCGTTTCATTCTCCCCAGACACCCTACCTAGGGCTCAGGGACCGGAAGATCCTTTTCTTCTGAGATCAACTCGGGTCTACGGAATATTATAATTCTCATCAGCTAATTTGGAGTGTTTGCTTGAAACTAATATATATATACCAAAAGTTAATTTGAGCACATATGAAGGGCACCATCAAGTTATATTAGAATCCGACTTGTGGTTGAAACTAAGTAGTGGACGCGGGACATCCCCATAGCCTGCGGTAATCATTACCGACCCCATACATCTCCCGCTGTACAGTAACCAATATAGATTTCCGTCAACCCGACGTGGGCAGCTATTCCCTTCCCTCCTATGGAGCGATCGGATAGGGAAAGATGCCCATCAGAATTTTGTCCGCTGCCTAAAACCTATGCCAACTACTAGCTATACCACGACTACTTTGATATACATTAATTTTTGTTGATAAAATGTGTGATGGAGCTGACTTTGCGGAGTATGTGGAAGTTCCCATTAGGGCAATATCTCGTCACATCTCACCGTTTGCGGACAAGAGATATCTTTCGATACAGTAATACAAGATACCTTATATTACAGTTCAAGGGTTTTCGCTACCAGCCCCAGTAGTAGTAGTGAAGCAGTTCCCATGCAAATCATGGATCGAGGTCTTGACTCCTATCAACTCTTCTTCTCTTTTCTCTTTTACCCTTACCCACCCCCTTCCTTTTGGCCAGAGTCCGTGGCTTCCCCTTCGGTCTTCAGCGACCTTAAAAAAAAACAAAAATTTCCTCCAAGCGTCGATCCACCCACTTATATACTCTGTGCTTATAGTATCTTGCATTCCGATTCCCTGGGCTACTGGACACAAGAATCGTACTACTAGTACCTACAGTGCCTAGGTATTTTCCTATAACCGTAAGTACTGTCTGTACCTTACCGAACCTGAGATACGACTCGACTTGACCTGGCATGAGCGACTGGTCGGATTACTTACCTAACCAAACCACCTGCCCTACTTTTACTAACCATCGATCTACTAATAATCCTCCAATCGTGACGGGCTGCTAACTCACAATTCCACGCATAGCTCCTCTTCAATATCGACCTAATTGCTACCTATTATTTCCTTCCTGCGCTGACCTGCCTTCTGGTCCTGGTGGCACACGCTACCGGTTCTTGATTCTCTTCCGAGATTCTCCACACTCTTTGTCCTCCCGGATTCATCTCGGCCTTCCCTTGGACATCTACTTCTCCTCTTCCATCATCGAATTCCTCCTTCGCTGTCCCTTTCACCTACCCCCTCGCTGTACCTAATCCTTTCCTCAATCGGTCGGATCACTCTCTGAACTTCTTCGCGGTCCATTCCTCATCGGCTGTCCTCCCTCTCATGTGTTTTTCGCATCGGATGACTGCCCCCTTCCAACCGCGATAAGACACGCGCAATTTTCTTTCCTCCTCGATTTGACTGTCGCAGATAAGAGATGGTGGCTCCGGCCTCGACGGGAGGCAACTCGACTGGCGGACAGCCTTCGGCGAGCCGTCAACCCACCCGATCCTCTAGCACCCACCCGTCGCATTCTCACAATGTACCTCTGAGTGCTCGACGGTCTGCACCTCTCGACTTGTCCACGGTCGAGCGACGAGGACAACCCAATGCCCCTCGAGAGCCGGGTAAACGAATTCGGCCTCATGGCTTAGAAGAGGCACCTACGTTCCGGCCGACTGAGGAGGAATTCAAGGATCCCGAGAAATACATCCGCAAGATAGCGCCTGAAGGTCAGAAATATGGAATTTGCAGGATCATCCCACCGGAAAATTGGCAACCGCCGTTTGCTATTGACACAGAGGTACGCACACACTATATGAACTGTTGGCCTGCCGGGGTACTCTGTGTTGACTATCTGCGCGGATGTTTCCCCCTTTCCTAATCACAAATAAAACTGACAATTTAATTTTGCAGCGATTCCACTTCAAAACCCGCCGACAGGAGCTTAACTCGGTTGAAGGAGGTATGCCCCCGCGTTCAGCCACGTCTGCTGCCGGTGGTGCTCCGCAGCCCAGTTCTGACCCGGACCCAGGAACCCGTGCAAATCTAAATTATCTCGACCAGCTGGCCAAATTTCACAAGCAACATGGAACAAATCTCAACCGCTTCCCGAGCGTCGACAAGCGCCCTCTGGATTTGTACAAGCTGAAAAAGGCGGTCGAAGTGAGGGGTGGTTTTGATCAAGTGTGCAAGATGAAAAAGTGGGCAGAGATTGGCCGCGACCTTGGCTACAGTGGCAAAATTATGTCTTCCCTTTCCACATCGCTCAAGAATTCCTATCAACGCTGGCTCCAGCCGTACGAGGAATACCTCCGCGTGGCTAAGCCCGGGGTGCAGCAGCAATTGGAGCTGGAACATGGTGGCCCTTACACGCCGTCGCCCCATCAATCGCCTATGGCTAAGAAGCCCATGCCCCTAGACATTGGCACGCCACATATGGTACCCAAGGGAACAATGAGTGTCCCGCCGTCCGTTCCCCAGAGTACTCCGAGGGAGATGGAGACAACCCCAGATAAGGCTACACCTCCGGTGGAGCCGACACCTCCTCGCCCGATAGCGTCTGGCTTCACGCCTGTAAATGCGAGTTCTGGATTTACTGCCGTCAACCGGTCGCCATCATTTATAGCGGTGAACAACAATCCGACCATAAAACGCGAAACGGAGAATGGTTCTCTTACACCAAAAAGCGTCGCTGAGCATCATTCAGTTACGACTCCCGTGCCTAATGGCCATGGCAGCCATCAAACGAAGCGCGCGATCAGCCACGAAAGTGGTTCTCAAACCGAAAATGGGGACGATCCGAATGGTCGGCGGAGTAAGCGTCTTCGCAAAGGTGTGCAATCATTAGTTTCACTCTCATACCTTGTTCTAATGTTTTCTTTCAGATGCGCCTTTACCTACAATTGCCGGTTCACATATGACTCTTCTTCGACCAGCCCCCCCACGGGCACGGAAAAGTGACGGCCGAAAGATGGGCGATGTAAGTTGATGTCACATTGCCGATCATGACCATACCGTGCTAACTGGACTTAGAAATGCGAGAATTGCGGCAAGTCCGAAGACAGCTCCTCGATTCTTGTATGCGACAGTTGTGAGCATGGCTATCACAAGTACTGTCTCGATCCTCCTCTAACTACTGTTCCCGAGTACGATTGGCACTGCCCTAAGTGCCTGGTAGGCACAGGGGAGTTTGGTTTCGAAGAAGGAGGGGTTTACTCTCTTCGGCAGTTTCAAGAGAAGGCAAATATTTTCAAACAGAATTATTTCGCCTCAAAGATGCCATTTGATCCTGTTCTCAACAGCCATAGGCGAGAGTCTGAAGACGACGTGGAGCGCGAATTCTGGAGATTAGTGGAAAGCCTAACAGAGACTGTGGAAGTAGAGTATGGTGCCGATATCCATTCGACTACTCATGGTAGTGGGTTTCCCACTATTGAACGGAATCCTCTCGATCCTTACTCGGTTGACCCTTGGAATTTGAACGTTCTTCCCTTCCACGGTGACTCTTTATTTCGCCATATCAAGTCGGACATCTCCGGCATGACAGTCCCCTGGGTTTATGTCGGTATGTGTTTCTCAACATTCTGCTGGCACAACGAAGACCATTATGCCTATTCGGCCAACTATCAACACTTCGGTGCTACAAAGACCTGGTACGGCATTCCTGGCGCCGACGCAGAAGCGTTTGAGGAAGCTATGCGGCAGGCAGTCCCAGAGCTTTTCGAGGGTCAGCCGGATCTTCTCTTCCAACTAGTCACTCTAATGCCACCGGATCAGCTCAGGAAAGCTGGTGTCAACGTGTATGCGCTTGACCAACGGGCTGGACAGCTTGTCATCACCTTTCCCCAGGCTTACCATGCAGGTTTCAACCATGGCTTTAATTTTAACGAAGCTGTCAACTTTGCACCTGCAGACTGGGAGCCTTGGGGTGCCATGGGTGTTGAGCGTCTACAGCACTTCCGGCGACATCCTTGTTTTTCGCATGATGAGTTACTTTTGACGGCAGCAGCTCGTGATACGTCCATTACAACTGCCAAATGGTTGTCTCCAGCGCTTCAGCGGACCTGTGCAAGGGAGCTTTCTGAACGAGCTGCATTCTTCGCCCGGCATCGAGATATTGCTCTGCATCATTGCACGCTTGGATCCGAAGATGCCAAAGATACTGGTAATTGCCAGCTGAAGTTCGTAGTTGAAGATGAGGACCTCCCGGAAGAAGATTATCAATGCCAGTGGTGTAAAGCATATGCCTACCTGACGCAATTCCGCTGTCACAAAACCGGGAAGACCGTTTGTTTGTCGCATGTCGATATGAATATCTGCTGCGGAGAGCCACTAAAGCAAAGGCTGCTTGGACCGGATCACACATTACGTTACCGAGTTAGCGATGAGGCTTTGAAGGCTCTGGTGCAGAAAGTTCAGGACCGTGCCAGGATTCCGGAAGCGTGGGGTGAGAAGCTTGACAAGACATTGGAAGATGAGCCTAGGCCACAGTTGAAGGTCCTTCATAATCTATTGAGTGAAGGTGAGAAAATCCCATACCATTTGCCTGGTCTCCAAGATCTTGCGGCCTTCGTCCAGCGCTGCGATAAATGGGTTGAAGAAGCAACCAATTACATCACCCGGAAGCAGCAGAACCGGAGGAAGAATGAGAAGGCTTGGCGCAAAAGTAGTTCTAAGGCCGCGCAGCTGGAAGAACGTGATCGTGAAGTTCGCAGAGTAGAAAATATCTACGCCCTTCTTGCAGAGGCTGATAAACTGTCGTTCGACTGTCCACAGATGGCGGCCCTGGAAGAGAAGACCCGCGATATCGAGAAATTCCGCCAGGACGTTAACGCTGCCCTTATGAACCCCCACATCCGATCGGTCCAGGAAATTGAAGATCTAGTGGAGTCCGCTCGCAATTTCAACGTGGATATTCCCGAGGTTGACGGTCTGGAACATATTCTCCGGCAAATGAAATGGAATGAGGAAGCGCGTCGGAAGCGCGATCAATACCTGACACTCAAGGACTGTCAAGAAATAATACTGGCTGGCGAGCAATTGGGTTTGTCGGACACCAACGAGCACCTACTCTATTTCAAGGATCTATGCCGCCATGGTGAGGCCTGGGAAGCTAAAGCCAAGGAATTGATGTCTGTAGAAGCTGTTCACTACCAGCAGCTAGAAGCCTTGTCTGCGCAGGCTTCCCGTTTCCCTGTCTCTCCCGAGACTCTTGCCGCGGTAGATGCCATATTGACAAAACAGCGTGAAGCGCAGAGAAGGATACAGTCCCTGTATGAGAGAAGTAAGGACCCTGATATCAGGAACCGCCCCAAATATAAGGAAGTCCGTGAACTTATGGAGTCCTTGGAGGAGCTGAACAGCCGACCAACTGGAGCCATTGACCTGGAACGCGAGCAGAAGCGCCATGAGGACTGGATGAGAAAAGGCAAGAAACTATTCGGAAAAGCCAATGCCCCGCTGCATATATTAAAATCGCATATGGAATACGTTGAAAAGAGGAACTCGTACTGTTTTGACTTGGAAGACCGCTGTCGACCGCCTGTCGAACCTTCGTCGCGAGATAATACCCCCGATGGCTTGTTGGACAATAACACTACCACCCCTAGCATGTGGGGTGGTGGGAAATCACGAAAGCGAGATGTTTTCTGTATTTGCAGGCACTCTGAAGCCGGGATGATGATTGAGTGTGAAGTCTGCCACGAGTGGTAGGTCTCTTGCGGGTAATTTGACGCTATACAAACCGGCTGACTCTCGAAAATAGGTATCATGGCAAATGCCTGAAGATCGCGAGAGGGAAAGTCAAGGAGTTCGACAAGTATACATGCCCTATCTGCGATTGGCGCCAAAAAATCCCCCGAGATGCCGCCCGTCCAAAACTAGAAGATCTTCAAGACTGGCAGGCCGAAATCCTTGGCTTGCCTTTCCAACCTGATGAGGAACAAATCTTGGATAACATCATCAATCAAGCGGTTGGCTTTCGTGATTTCCTCCATGGTTTCACCAATGCCGCATGTACCACTACTGAAGAAGTCCCCACGCTGATATTCTATCTACGAAAGATCGAAGGTGCTGAGGTCTTATTGGCGTATGAAACGAACTTCTTCAGACAAGAGATCCATAAATGGGCCCCGGTAGCACCGGAGCCACCGCCAATCTTGGAACAGTCTCTATCTACTCGCAAGCCACGTCCGACAAAGCAGCAGAAGATTATGGCACAGCTGGGCGTCGATCGCCCGGAGGATCTTCCTCCTCATCTACGCACGAAACAACCCAGCCGTAAATCAATCGATTCGCAGTCGGGAAAATCTTCTCTGCTTCCTGGGGCACAAACACCTGGCGATGGGTCGAATTCCGATTCAACCCGCGGCGAACCTACGCTAGCCCCAATGTCCGATGCGCAAAACTCGATTTATCCTTTCTCGGCAAATTATTCTCTTCCTGCAAGCGACTCTACACCGGCCTTTGCTCCGGGCTCTTCAGCTTTCCTGCCCCATGCTGCGGCTCATTCGCCCTCATTTCCTGCGCGCTCTCCGTCCCCAACTCATCAAGGACTGGATGCATCCCTCTTTAGCTCTCCGCAGTTCAATCGGGACCCCGACGACGGACCGTCAGGAGTTGATGTCGCTAATGAGAACCCCTTTGACAGTAGTCCTAGGCAGAACCTAGACGATGTCTTTGCAGATTTGACAAATCAAGACGCAGAACCCGAGCAAGAACCCGAGCCTATGGAAAACACACATGCTAACGAGGCTTTGGAAGTACTTGATGCGAGTAATGGGGATCATTCTGAAACCCCACACGATGAAGAAGAGCCACAGGATGATAAGTCCAATGGGGAAATCAATGGCTCAACCAAAGCCAATCGCAGTACAGAGGATCTCTAACATTATGCTTGAGAATAGACTACCAACAAGTGGGTGCTTTGCGGGCTTCCGGCTTTACGTTTTTGGGCCCCCACATCGCGGGCAACGATGCGAATGCTACGATATATGCCGAGCAAATTAAATGTTGTGCTGTTCCTTAAGTCTTTTTGCCTGACGAGTCTCCGGGAGGCTTTCTCTTGTGTTCTTGATGTAAAGTTATTACGGTCTTGATGATACCGAGACGCACAATTCATGCATTCCTTGTCAGCTGGTTTTGACAATCCTTTTACTCGTTGCTACTAAGCGGTCTGTTCCCTCTTTATCTTTGCCATGGTCTGTTTACGTTTGCTTTCATGGATCGGGTGTATCAAAAAATGTGGGGTGCCTGGGCAGCTGACACTTTCTCAATGCGTGGTCTTTTCTTTTCTGCCCCTTTTCGATTGATGTTTGCGTTGTTTTATATCTACTTGGGTGAACATGAAGCGTTAGCCCAAGGCCTGTTCTCCGGTTTCACCACCTATGCCTCTATAAAGTCAGTCAAGCCAGCCTCTGCACTGGTACACTGGTATTGCTGAGCGGCATACTCATATCTCTTCGATTTCTCTTCTCTTCGCCGCGTTTGATCACATGTTCCCTGTAATACTAGTCAGACTACTTATTATTTCTGTACTCTTAATGAATAGATATTAGTTTGCTCAAAACAATATTCTCGCTCTTCCCTATTCACTCAATATCTGCATACGCACTTAAGGCCGACTGCCCACCGCTGTGGATAAAAAGTGCATTTACTCGACTTTGGTTAGAGGAGGGATCAGAGTGGTGCGACCAATCTCTCTCGAGTTCACCTTCCTGTATCCAGTGCATAGCGCCTCTCATAACTTTGACGGTATATACGGGGTCGAGGATGACTCCTTCTTGTTGCGCCATAAATTCCAATGTTTGCTTGACATCCGAGTCCAGTACTCCATAGGCTGTACCAGCGAACCGATCGTCTAAATGGACATCGCCCGGTGTGACATCCCGTTCAGGATCCAATCCGATGAGGTGGGCCGCACGCCGGGTAAAGTTGAGCACTCGACCTTCATGGTATTCTCGTGGTTTGATACGGGAATTTAAGATCCCAATAACTTTGCGGCCGATGACCTTCTCTGTTTTATTGCCTTGTGTCTCCATCTTTTGCAGTAACTTGAACCCGGCAATCAAGCCTCCTACTGTACTCCCACTCCCGCATGCAACAAATACATAATCGAACCGCCCATCCTCCCCCAATTGCTCCTTCTCCTGTGCCGCAATTTCAAACGCACAGCGTGCATAGCCAAGCCCACCTAAAGGGTGTAAACTAGCCCCCGAAGGTATCCAATAGGGAACCTTGCCCCGAGCACGCAATTCGTCCAGAATCGGCGTGATCGGATCGCCCTCATCTACAGTTGAACTGTCCTCGAGCGTTCTCACCTCCGCGCCTAGAAGCCGGGTAATTTGCACATTACCCGTTCGTAGAAATGCAGTCTTATCTGAACTGGCTGTTAGGCCGCCTCCTGTGGCCTTGTGCAGAATAACAATTGCCTCGAGTCCGAGCTGTCTCGCTACCGAGGCGACCTGCACCGTATGATTACTCTGAATAGCACCCTCGGTTACCAGGGTAGTGGTAGTTGCCACTCCGGACCCATTGGGACTTGAATTGGCAAGAATATCGGGGACGATGTACTCGAGTTTGCGGTACTTGTTGCCTGCGCAGGCGAGAGGGGAGGAGTGATCCTCGCGCTTGGCGAAGAGGGAGACGGCGCGGGTGGATTTGGGGTTGTGGTTAAGATGTCTTGTTAGTGCTGGGAGAGGATGGATGGGGGAGGGATAGGGGTATAAAAGGGGGTGTCGGGGGAGCTTTGCGAAGGTTTCTGGGAGAGAAATGGACATGTCGATGAGAGGTTGGTTTGTTGATTTGGAGGAGAGAGATGTGATGTAATTCGGGGGAAGTAACTATATATCTGTAATAGAGAGAAGGGAGAATCTGCTACATAATATCAACTTATGGCCCAAGTCGCCATCGACATTGGGTCCCGTAACTCAGTCGGTTAGAGTGCTGAGCTAATAACTCAGAAGTCGAGAGTTCGAGCCTCTCCGGGACCACACTTTTTGTTTTCTCCGTAGTAGTAGTATTCGTACACCCTCGGAGTATTTGTCCCTCCTTTTTAATTCTTCCTCTTTTTCCCTTCTTCTTTTTGTACCAGATAAGTGAGTCTATACTATGCTGGGTCGGTGTTGAGTGCGGTGACATTCTGCCCACCGATACCTTTTCTTATCGCTCATCACCGTCAAAACATCGATCAACACTACGGGGAAATAACAAGATATTGAAAAAACCACACAATGGCTAATCACCCCCAACACACTCTGTTTAGATTCTTAAAATCCGCGATACAGGCCCATCGCCGCTTTCTCTCCGGCGCAGTAACACGTGCAGAAGCACCCATCTACGTCATCGGTAACCCCTCCGCCGATCTCGACTCGGTCATCTCCGCTGTAATCTATTCATACTTCGCGAACAACACCGGCCGTCGCCATGTTCCCTTGATAAACCTTCCGACTATCCCCTCGGGCCCTGAGTTGCGTCGATTACGGCCCGAGTTTGTCAAAGCTTTATGGCTCTCTACTCATCCTCCCGCGCAAGATGAACAACCATGGGATGAAACACCTGAATCGGCCGGAGCAATCCTGCATGATCACTTCCTCACAGTGGCGGATTTCAGCGCGCACCTGAAAGAGATCGTAAAGGACAATGAAGGCTACCGGATAAATGCCGACGCGGTCCTCGTGGACTGGAATGCGCTCCCGATCGGCACACCCGACGGACAAAAAGGAAAGGGAAGCCTGGACGGCCTAGAGACGGTCGATTTCAACGTGATAGGTTGCATTGACCACCACCAAGATGATGGGTTTCTTCGGCCCGGCATAGACCTGAAGGTCATTGAGAAGAGCGGGTCATGCGCGTCGCTTGTTACACAAACGCTGAACAAGCGGGGACTATGGTTGCAGGATGCAGCAGCAGCCAACAACCTTCAAATGGCAGCCGAGGAGCAAATAGCCTCGCTAGCTATGACGCCCACCCTCATAGACACGGCCAATCTCACAGCAAAGGACAAAGTAACCCAATTCGATCTCCAGGCTGTGGATTTCTTGTCCCCTAAGCTCAGCAAGGGAACAGCCGACGAAGACAAGCTCTACGCGCAAGTCCTCGAGGCAAAACAGAATAGTTTGGATCTTTTGACGGTCGACGAGATCTTAGATCGCGATTACAAACAATGGACCGAGACGTCTCCTCGCGAACCAGAGAAGCTCCTTAATATCGGTTTCTGCTCCATGGTCAAGTCAATTTCGTGGGTTGTTCGTAAAGCAGAATCCCCACAGGCCTTTCTGCAAGCAGTGTATAAATTCGCCGCGAAACGGGAATTGGGCATCGTCGTTGTTATGGCGGCGTTTAGTTCGAATGATGACCGTTTTCACCGGGAGCTCTTCGTTTGTGCGCTTGATGAGAGTCTTGCGGTTGATGCGCTGAAGAACTTCGTCGAGCAGTCAGGCTCAAAATTGGGGCTTGAGGAGTGGTCTCCTCTTGATGGTGATGAGGAGGTTTTGTCCAAGGTTATTAAGGACACACTTAATAGCGACGATACGCATAAATGGAGGCACATTTGGAAACCAGCGGATATCACGAAGAGTAGGAAGCAGGTTGCTCCGATGATGAGGGAAGCCATCACCACTTTGGAATAGATAGCTGGCTGGGTAGATAGAGAGACATGCTATTCGTAGAAAGTACATTATCATTCTTCCTCATTGGCACTATCCGAGTTACAAATACATTCAGCCCACATGGTTAACTGAATAGACGTCAGTAGCGAGTGACTCCAGCCCCACAAGTCTAAGTAAACAGTGCGTCAATCTAATGCTCTAAGTCGGCTTCCCAAGCCTTCAACATGCCTAAGGGACCAAGATAATATCTATAGAACAGGAAAAGAAAAAGTAACCAGAGTAAATCGTCACACACTGAACACCGGCTCCGTAGAATTGAGAATATATCCGATAACTCCATAGATGTCGTAGCCTGAACCAATAATGCTGCAGTCGACCGGATAACAATGAAGATTTCTTGATGCAACAATGCAGGACCCCAACCCCAGCTCAGATAATGCAATGCATGCATGCAATCGACAAGCAAAGGAATACCGCGAGAAAAGAAAAAAAATTTATGAAAGGAAGTTGGCTAATTGTGCTGCTCTCTATTGCCGGGAATGATCTGGAAGAAAAATTGGGCCTCGGGGAGGATAAGATCGGGATTTCGAACGAGATTTGAGAAGAGATGCTCCGACATTTCAGAAACACTCCCATTCACAGAAAACACACCATCGAGCGACACGATCCGCTAGGACCAAGCCTCTCCACGTCCCCCGCTCTCCGATCTTGATAACCGTTTCCCAGACACTTCCGTCAGCCGTAGCATCGGTACCCGATTCGGCGCCGGAGTTAGTGCTGATCATATGATCGGCTTTGCGAGTCAATCGCAGGATCTTGCCTGACGGTGATTGTATTGCTAGTTTAGCCGGCTTCTCCCGCCCCGAGCTCGACCGACTGGATGAGATAGCCGACGTCGAAGCAGAAAACTCATTCGAGACGGTAGACACAGAAGACCCACCAGCAGAGCTGGAGACCATGCTCAGTGCACTGGCGGGTCGAGAAAGTATGGACGGAGAGACGCGCCCACTGACACCTACCTCGTTGCTGGCTGATGCAGACGGTGGCGAGGAAGGATGCTGGCGTACTGCGAAGACGAAAGTATTGTTGACTGCAAGCCTTGCACACTGAGGCTGCATGATATACAAGTCATGACGTTGAGCATGGGGTGTCGGATGACGTAGCACAAAATCATAAGGTGGATTGTCCCCAACATGAATTACCGGGAGAGCAAGGGCTAAAGGATGAGGGATATCCCGGCTGGAATGCATCAATCCCTTCTTTCCTGCATACACCTTGAGCGTGCCCTGTCCCTCATCGCCTGGCAAGACAGCCTTAACCGTGATACGCTTTTGACCGTTGACCCAGTCGGGCTGGACCAAGGCACGCTTGTGTACCACTTCACCACTCTCAAAAAAGTCTCCATCTGCGTCACGGGCAAAAGCCGGAGCTTCAACTTCGGCTGCACATTCCACATCTGGAGGTACAAAGAGACGGATTTGCAAGACCTCTAGGCCCTCAATTCGGACAAAACTGGTATCGTAGTCAGGAAACTCTAAGCCCAGTTTGAAGTAAGGCGGACAGGTTGTCGGTAGAGCCAGTAGCACATCCGGGGAAATAGGAGGGCAGATATGCTGCTCTTCATGGGAAAGAGGTACATGTGTATAGCAGATCTCAAGAGGGCGAGCAAGGAAATACCAACCTTCAGCTGTGGAAGAGTTATTGGTAACGAACTGATTTCTCCGCGGGTTAGTTGGACTTGCTAACGAACAGTCCATCATACGCCATTCGCCATCAACGAGTACAGCGTTCCACCAATGGTTTGCTCGAGATAGGCTGTCCAACTCGAACAGCTCACCTGGAGATTTGAGGTATCCCTTAATTGCGTCAGCATGCAGGCCGACTGCAGCACACATTTCTCTGACAAGGAATGCGATTTCTTGAGGGCTTCCTCTTTTCGTCTGCAGTACTCTCTTAAGATCCATTTCAACTTCTTCAACTGGCTCATCCCAAGCGATTTTCTCGCTGACCCATGTAAAGATGGCGCGAAGCCTTTGGACATCACTTTTGTAGGGCCGACAGACATACCCCTGTGCGAGACTTGAGGGATTGGTCATCGGGGGAAGGCTATTAACGAAGCGAGCACTCTTGTCGACGAGAGACAGATTGACAGTACCAAAATTGGTAGGTTCACTAATCGGTAAACCGTCAATGCTTTCATCACCCTCAGCGGTCTCGTAAAGCTCCTCCACCGCGTAAATTACAGGATGATCCATCATCTGGCACCGCTCTGCTCTCTCCATCCTTTCGTTTCGGCTAGGGGAGCTCGCCCGGTTCACATCGCGCCGCACCTGGACCCAATCTATGCCATTACTGCCGAGTCCCATATCACGAGCCGTGTCACGGTGGGAGTGTGAGGAGCGGATTGGAGAAACTGCTCTTCCCTTCGTAGGTGAATAGGACCCGCCATTTTGACCGACTGCGATACTACTTCTGGCATTAGCGGCACCGGTCTTTGCAGATTCAAAGATCTTCTTGAAGAATCCCTGCTTCTTCGCTTTGGGGGTGGAAAGGCCTCCAAATACCCCGGCAGATTCATCCGGCCCAGTCCCCGAAGATGACCAGTCCATAGCTGATGAAGCGCCCTGTCGCGATGTATTATGACTTGAATGGTACGATACACCGGTCAGAGGTGTTTCGGGTCGGGAAATCCTTGATACATCGCTGAACCCTCTGGTGCGGAAAGTATCTAGCGCGGTATTTGGTCGTTCACTTGCTCCAATTCCTCTCCGGGCATAACTTCCCGCACTGGTTGCACTAAACCCGCCAGCCGATGGACCACTCATCAAACTCTGGCTGGTTCTTTCGGTGCTTGTTGTCATGTTTGTACTAGTACTCTGCACCCCACTCGAATAATTTGTAGTGCTCGACTTGTTAGTGTAGCTCCGGTTGAGCATATCTGCTCTGAGATCTTGCCCGGATCGACGATTCTTTAGAAAAGGATACTGGGCCGGAATAGAGTTGTGTCTTCCATGGTAAGGAATATTTCGGGGAGGAGGAGGCGGCGGCGCCTCATCATCTTCTGGCATTCCTATGTCTTCAGATCCTCGTCGGTTTTGCTCCTGCATTTGACGAAGCCGACTTTCCATCCTTTGCACGTAATTGTTCAACTGCGGGGGTCCGTCGAGAAAGTGGTCCTGGGAGTAAACGCTGCCACGACGCGGCTGGCTTCCATGATATTGATAATCTTTATCACCATCAAATCCTAAGGAGGTCAATGGCCGATTTACGGTTTGTGAAGACCGGTTGTCCCGCAAACTCTCATAAGCATCCGGCGACCATGGGTTATCGAACATCGCCTGCGGAGATGGAGAATGAGTCTCGCGGGACATTCCCATATCTTCCAGGGACGTCATGACATCTTCCATTGCATCACGTAGCGGAGAAGGTGTATGCCCAATTACGTCTGAATGTGCAGCCGGAGAAGGTGTCCTGGGCATTGCCACATAACGATCGTTCATGTCGTAGCGAGTTGGGACGGTTGTTTCTATGGGCGGCTGACGACTGACAGCGACTCTATGTGGGGGCGGAGGTGGAGGTGGTGGCGACTCTTCACGTTCCTGGAGCTGGAGCGGAGGTATCTCGCGGGATGTTGGTCGGGACAAAGATACGCTGTGTCGAGGTACTGAGGGTGGCATGAGATCGGACCCATCCAGAGGCTGAGGAGTCACCGCGCGAGAGGGAGGATCGAGATTCACGATATCCTGTCCGTTAGTGATGGCAAGGACTATTGAATCAGCTTCTGGGGGTGGGCGTGGGGAGACTGCTCGTGATGAAGGCCTGTACCGGGTAACTGCTCGGCTCGAGGTGGTGGGCGTGGAAACTGGTGAGTGATCGGATTCTTGCGGAGGCCGGGGTGATATTGCCCGTGATGGAGGCCTGTACCGAGTGACTGCTTTACTCGAAGCGGTGGGTGTGGAAACTGGTGAGTGATCAGATTCTTGCGGAAGCCGGGGCGATATTGCGCGCGAAGGAGGCCTGGATCGCGAAGAGGGCCTAGCTGTAGGAGTCGATTGCCTCACCGAGCTCGCGGGGGTGCGCAGAGGCTTGACTTTCCGGGAAAGACTGCCATCGCGAGGTGGGGTTTGCGGAATTGAACTTTTGACGAGCGATGCTGAAGTCCCATTCCTGGAGAGCTCACCTGAGGGCGCGAGGGCTTCCTTGTGTGCTTGGAAAGGCCTTCTAAAGACCGTCTTTTGCTTTTTAGGAGCTGAAGTGGGATTCGTGATCGGAGACTGAGCGGCTTGCACCAAGGGACCTGTCGTTGTCCGACTGACTGGGACAAAATCTTCCCCTAGGACTTCAACAAAGTTGGATGGAAATAGTCCCACCATGCGTCTATCTCGCCGTAACCGACCCATCCACCACTGGCCATCTCCGGCATTTAGACATTCGATCAGATCTCCCTCCACAAATCCTAGGTCACGTTTGGTTTCTCCGCCCCATGAATAGACAGCTCGACACCAGCACGGGAACCGGGAGGGTAACTGAGGTGCGCTGGGGGCCATCACGGTAGAGGAGCGAGGAAAGAGGAAGGTGGCGTTCGTCGGAGATAACGCACCGGGGTTCACTAAGTGTAAGGAATAATGAGGAGCGTAATCAATTAAAAGAATGCGCCAAGGTGGTTAGAGCCACTTTCGCGATAAGGTATAAGAAGCTCCCTAGTGGCGCAGCGTTGTCAAATGAAAGAGAGTTATGGAAGGACTAGGATCCGTGCAGTAGAGGGAACAGGAACATGATAAGAAGGCGAAGAATCCAACAATGAGACAAGAACGGCGAGAGAAAAGACTGACAGGATTGAAAAAGGGCGAGGGTTACCTGCCCCTGTCACTGGACATCGGAGACCAGAACAAGTATCCGATATGAAAAGGAAAAGAGGCAGTAGAGCAGGAGTCTGAAGCGAAAGAGAAGTGACAGAGAGAGCTGAAGTCACGGTGAGGCCCGAATGTTTTGGTGTTTACGTGGGCGCCCGTTTGGGACTAGTGGCCAGGCTTATCGATAAGCTTAATGCGCACAGTCCCTCTCGTGATCATATGTATATCTACTGGTGAAAAAGAAGGGTCGTTCATATTTATATTTATATTTTTATAATAATAATAATAATAATAATAATAATATATATATATATATACCTTTTCTTTTGGACTTTATTCCGACCAGCATTCAATAAGCCTTCTTGGTTTAAGACTCTATATCAATACTCATCGCTCCACGATCTACAGTTGTTTGTCACGTCTGAATATGTTACCTTCTCTTACTTAAACGACCCATGGTTATTCTCTCCACTACCCGCACAGCAATCCATGGACAGCATACTTTTGGATTTCCAATCAAATTCCATTCTGATAGATTTTGTTTCATTATATATGTAAGGGTCACAGCTGTCCTAAAGAGAACAACTACTCCATGGGTTTACTTGCGAGGACCAAGAATATAAATCCTATATGTGAGATCATTAGTAGGCTCACAAGGGTGTGAATCTATCTATTCCAAGGATTGATTAGTTCATTCATTGACATGAAAATTCATGTTATTGTGAGACACGGGGATAAGATACCTTAACCCTTGGCTTCAAAGTTTGACGATTCTTTCCTTGGTAGTTGGACAATGCTAAATTCCAAAGCTTATAAAAGTCAATATTCTTCGTTGATTCAAGTACATTGTGACTTCACACCTCATGAAATTTAGGTACGGCGGTTATTGTGTACTAGGGAATAAACCAGAAGAGAATTATCCTAAAAATAATAAAATAATCAATAATGAAATAAAACAAAACAAATGGCAGGTTTACTATTTTCACAAGGGACATTGATTCATGGCATTCCAATGATCCTCCCTTTAACTGTATAAAATTCATCCCTTGTTACGCCAACCTAAGACCAGTAATGGAATACGAGACTGAGGCACTAGTTCCTTGTCTTATGTCTTTATGAACATTTCTACTAGATTTATGTAAATGTTGTGTGGACGGAATAATTTCCCCCTCCCGGAAACAAAAAGCAAACAAGGGGGTACTATTCTTCAATAATTTATGTAATACAAGAAATGCAATCGGCTACTGATTGATGTCGGAATTTGGTAGCTTTCACGTTTCCGGCGGAAGCTGGAGTGCATTTGGCAACCGGCACGTGTTTTGACCTCCATCAGCTTTCCGCATTCAATAAATTAACCGCTGAGGAAACACCATTGGGGAGGAAAAGGAAATAGAGCATCTACTGAATCTTCATTGGATTGTCAAGTAAACTCTTGAGAGATCGATCGATAACGTCTCAATGCCACACCAGTAAACTTCTAAGAATGCCCGTTCTCAGATAAAATTCTCCTTGTTGAGTTCCCACGCTTTCGGCCTACATTGCAATTCATGAGCATACCGACGCCTTGGCTAATATGAGGATCATATATATAATGAGAGTGCGGAAATGTATTTCTTGTAGGGCGTCATGCTCTCCAGGATATCGTTCCATATATACCTTGAAGAGCAATTTGGTCACTAATGCGTATTGTAAAGATGGCGCCGTGGAAACCACTCGCGGCCTTGCTCAGTGCCAGTCTACTTTCTTCAGTACTGGCAGAGCTGGTTACATTTGAAGCAGATCTCACTTGGGCAAAAGGCGCTCCAGATGGCAACCTTAGAGATATGATCTTCGTGAATGGGCAATTCCCAGCCCCTGCGTTGACGCTGAATCAATATGATAACGTTGAGGTATGTATTGGTGGACAGCCGTTCTTATCTTGTATATGCAGTATTTTCTTTTCTCGATTTACTGACCCTTCATAGTTCACTGTCCATAATCTGATGCCTTTCGAAGCTACCATCCACTTTCATGGAATAGAGTATGCACGAAGCTGCCTCATTTGGCGCACAACCTGATGGCTAATTCACTCAATGGCGGAGCTCTGACTTTATACAGGCAGTTAAACACCCCGTGGTCGGATGGTGTTCCTGGCTTGACGCAGAAGCCTATCTTACCCGGTGAGACGTTTACCTACCGATGGACTGCCACGGAATATGGCACGTATTGGTACCATGCCCACGCCCGGTCTCTGATGGCGGACGGCCTCTATGGAGCCCTTTGGATCAAGTGTGTAGTACTGAAATGACCGTTTAATCAGATGCGGAAACTGACATGATCAGCCCTGCGCCTGACACCCCACAGCCGTTTCACTTGATATCCGACGACCCTAGGGACATTGAATGCATGCGCAAAGCAGAGAGTGACCCTAAGCTCGTCGTATTATCGGACTGGTCACACTATACTTCGGAGGAATACCAGAAAATAATGGAGGAGAGTGGGGCAGATCTCTTGTAGGGACCTACTGCTTTTGCAAATAGAGTATTTTACTAACGATGCATAATCAGCTGTATTGATAGTATTTTGATAAACGGACGAGGACAAGTGCATTGCCCTGGAGCCGATTACATCAATAGCCTTCAAACAGAATATTTGAAGGCTTCAATTGATAACTTACCACTAACTGACAGAGGGTACGTTGTCCATTGGAAGGATCCCATACGCTGCCAACCATTCTAATTGTCTCTTGACAGATGTTATCCCAAAATCTGGAAGACCCAAGGGAGCTTCCCTCGAAATGACTCAAACATTCCACCAGGACTGGAGTCAGGTTGTATTCCCACAGCCGGAACTCATGAAGTGATAGAAGTTGACCCGGAGGACCGATGGGTTAGTCTTAAATTTATCAGCGCTGCCTGGCTTAAAGCCCTTATCGCGTCCATCGACGAGCACCCTATGTGGATCTACGAGGTCGACGGTCACTACATTGAGCCTCAACTTGCTCATACGATGGTGATGTACAATGGCGAACGTTATTCGGCAATGGTAAAACTGGACAAGGCGAGGAAAGATTATACGATTAGGGTCCCCGACACAAACGCCGACCAAATCATAGCGGGGTTTGCCACATTGAGATACAAAGGCAGTGACCAACTCGGGGAATCCGAGCCCTATATCGATTATGGTGGGTTAAACACCACTGCTGACGTGGTTGCTTTGAATGAGAGCATCTTGGCACCGTATCCTAACATTCAGCTTCCGACGGCTGCCGACCAGCTGATCAATCTTACCTTTGGTCGGCGAGAGTCGGCATACCAGTGGACGCTGGAAGGTGAGCAACTTTATGACGTTATGGCCAACTACGACGATCCGATCCTCTACAACTTGACCGCAATGGAAAACTTAGCTGATAGGGTTACCGTTCAAACTCGAAATGGAACTTGGGTTGATGTACTACTTCAGGTCGGTCTAATGCCAGACACCCCACCTATTCAGGCGCCGCATATCATCCATAAGCATTCAAATAAAGCCTTCATAGTCGGGGAAGGTGATGGGTTTTTCAACTGGACTAGTGTTGCAGAGGCAGCTGCGGAAAGACCGGAGCTTTTCGAATTCGAGCGACCGCGGTTGCGAGACACTTATATGGTACTGGGTCTTCTTGGTCCCAAATGGATGGTTATTCGGTACCAGGTGGTTAACCCAGGTCCTTTCCTTATCCATTGCCATATCGAAACGCATCTCTTCAACGGTATGGCGGTTGCTTTACTTGATGGTGTCGACGAATGGCCGGAAGTTCCACCAGAATATGCTGGTTGAGCTCTTACCCTATGGAGCTTGTCATCTATGACTAATTATGTTTGAACATTGCGTTTTTTGTATATAGTACGTAATTTAACTCAATATATGATCATTCTAGACAAATCTTATTTTACCACTTTCTAAAAAAAAAGAAAAAGAAAAAAAATTGACCATCGAGATCGTACCAAAGTTGCGGAACCTTTTCTCTGGGAAGCCGTTAAAACAACAGGTTTAGGGTTTGGATAGCAAAAGATAAGATGTAACGTTAGCAAACTTTTCCACGATTGATTCCAACATGTCTTTTTTTTTGTCTCTTTTCTTTTTTCTCTCTTTTTCTTAAATGGAAAAGGATTCCATCATTTTTCCTACTGTTCGGTTTATTCCGCTTATCCGATGTTACATATTACGGGATATACAACTTGTATACAGATAGCATGGTAGTACTCCATGCTCTAGTAACCTGATTTTGAAATCAACAAACATAGAGTGTCTAGTTGTAAATGCTATAGTAGGCCAAGCTACACAAATATGTGTCACAGAATGTCTTAACCCTCTTTTTCTTAGTAAATGCTCTCTATGAAAATCTAAGGTAAGCCCAGCCTCCAGCATACTTAAGTATCTCACGAAAGCAAGGAATGTTGGCATTCGGGGCATGGAATGGCACGTGACTTGGTCACCGTCTTCACCATCGCCGAATGCGGCGACGACTCCGTTTACGTTGCAACGACGAGAACAAACTTTGCTACCAGGTTTGTGTCTCCCAATGCAATTGAGTCAAAGCCAATCATTTATGTCATTGACAGGAGTCTTGCACGCATCTGCAAAGTCTGGTTGCCTACTGTATCTGCCCTGAGCCTCGAAAACAGAGTTTGGAACCTTCGACTCCTTACGGCAGAGGCCTGGCTGACCTGATGTCTACCACAGGATTTCTATCCGGGGGGCAAATTATCGAGTCTAGAATTGTATATATGAAGGGCCAATATGATTCAAGCCGGATGTCAGCGGCCTCATGGGCGTAACGGTAGGATTCAACACATCGACTCGCAAATCACATTGGCCATTCAATTCCAATGGAGATAATTAGTATTGCCCTCATGATCCAGTCTTGGCATTCCAAGAATAATGAACGGCTTTAGAAGGGTCGGACAATGTGACCTCATTCATTTTGGCTGGAAACGAGCTTGTGATCGCCCTTGTGGTGATCGGTGGAATGCTCGGCCAAGTTCTTTGCATGCCGTAATTGAGACATAGACCCCCACTGTCGCATGTGGTAGTAACTCTATCTTGTTATAAATCATATTTAATAACTAGCCAATTGCTTTGGAAAACAATCTGATCAACATCTCTGCGACTCTTTACTGGCACCCCTTTGACCCAACATGGAGGGGCCACGCGGCGTCTATCTCTTTGGAGACCAGACAAGTGATTTCGACGCCGGCTTACGTCGCCTGTTGCAAGTGAAGAACAACACCATTGTCGCGTCGTTCTTCCAGAGATGCTTCCACGCGTTGCGTCAAGAGATTGCGAGCCTCCCGCCGTCTCAGCGCAAGATCTTCCCTCGGTTCACAAGTATAGTAGACCTACTGGCGCGTCACCGCGAATCAGTCCCTAATCCGGCTCTGGAGAGCGCGTTGACGTGTATCTATCAATTGGGCTGCTTCATAAAGTGCGTATCTTGGCGTATCCCGTCCCTTTTGGAAATGATCCTAACCCAAGATAGCTACTATGGAGATCTCGGAAACAAGTATCCATCTGCTTCGGAGTGTCATATAATTGGATTGTGCGCAGGTCTGCTTAGCTCTGCAGCTGTGAGCTCTTCGACTAATGTCGGAGAACTACTACCGGCCGCAGTCGAAGCAGTGGTAGTAGCTCTCCGTCTCGGTCTATGTGTACTTAAAGTTCGAGAGCTGGTGAGCTCTGACCAATCGACATCAACAAGTTGGTCAGTCTTGATATCAGGGATCAGTGAGAAAGATGCCTCGCAACTCCTGGGTGATTTTACCGTTGAAAGAGTAAGAATTTTCCAGCTGGGATACCTCATGGGACCTGGTGTTCTAACCACTCAACATAGGCAATCCCTCCTTCATCCCAACCGTATATTAGTGCGGTGGGATCTAACAGTATTACGATTAGCGCACCACCTAAAGTCCTCGATGCTTTGATTGAGACCAGGCTATCAAAGAGCTATAAACCTATGAGGGCTCAAATCTATGGCCCTTACCACGCGCCGCATCTGTATGATGGCCGAGACGTTGAGAGGATACTCGAAAGCTACCCCAATGATGTCGTCTCCGACTACATACCTCGTATTCCCGTGTTATCAAGCACTACGGGAAAGCCAATAAAGACTAAACGAATGAAGGATCTGCTCAAAGTCGCCCTTGAGGAGATTTTATTACGCCAGCTATGCTGGGATAAAGTGACGGATTCCTGCTTGTGGATATTGAAATCTGCACGCCACCAAACGTGCAAATTGTTCCCAATTGCAAGCACCGCCTCACGGAGCTTGTTCACAGCTCTTACAAGAGCCGGAATATCCGATATCGAAGTGGAAAATGGGATCGGTGATATACCCACAAACCCTAAGGACAATCTGAACATAAGCGGCAGAGCCGACTGCTCCAAGATTGCTATCATTGGCATGTCTGGAAGATTCCCAGAGGCTGATGGCATAGAAAGCTTCTGGGACCTTCTATATAAAGGACTTGACGTACATCGAAAGGTGCCCGCAGAGCGTTGGGATGTTGATGCTCATGTCGATCTTACTGGAGCAAAGCGGAACACCAGCAAAGTTCCATATGGATGTTGGATCAACGAACCAGGCCTGTTTGACCCTCGCTTCTTCAATATGTCACCACGAGAAGCTCTTCAGGCAGACCCTGCCCAGCGGCTTGCCTTACTCACGGCCTATGAAGCTCTTGAAATGGCTGGGTTCATTCCCGACAGCACCCCGTCAACCCAGAGAGATAGGGTCGGTATATTTTATGGAATGACCAGTGATGACTACCGTGAAATAAACAGTGGTCAAGATATTGATACGTATTTTATCCCCGGCGGCAACCGAGCTTTTACACCTGGACGGATAAACTACTACTTCAAGTTTAGTGGACCTAGCGTCAGCGTCGATACGGCTTGTTCTTCAAGTCTTGCAGCGATCCACATGGCTTGCAATTCAATCTGGAGGAATGACTGCGATGCAGCCATTACAGGTGGTGTTAACATATTGACAAATCCCGATAATCATGCTGGTCTTGATCGTGGCCATTTCCTTTCTAGGACTGGGAATTGCAATACATTCGATGATGGCGCTGATGGATACTGTAGAGCAGATGGGGTGGGAACAGTCATTCTCAAACGACTGGAAGATGCTCAAGCAGATAATGACCCAATCCTTGGCGTTATCAATGGAGCATATACCAATCACTCTGCAGAAGCGGTGTCTATTACCCGTCCTCATGTTGGCGCACAAGCTTTTATCTTTAACAAGCTGTTGAATGATGCGAATGTTGATCCCAAGGACATCAGCTATGTTGAAATGCATGGAACAGGCACTCAAGCTGGAGATGCCGTGGAAATGCAATCGGTTCTTGATACATTTGCTCCTGACTACCGTCGTGGACCAGGGCAGTCCCTCCATCTCGGCTCCGCAAAAGCAAATGTTGGTCATGGAGAATCAGCCTCTGGAGTGACTTCACTCGTCAAATCGCTTCTAATGCTGAAGAAGAACATTATACCTCCTCATTGTGGTATAAAAACCAAGATAAACCATAACTTCCCTACTGATCTTGCGCAACGCAATGTTCATATCGCCTTCCAACCTACTCCCTGGAATAGGCCGGCCTCCGGAAAGCGCCAGCTCTTCTTGAATAACTTCTCGGCAGCTGGTGGAAACACTGCTCTCCTTTTGGAAGATGCACCGATACCTCAGATTAACGACCAGGATACCCGGCCCGTGCACGTTGTGTCTATTTCAGCACGATCTCAAAGTGCGCTCAAGAACAATATCACGTCCCTGGTAAAATACATCGATGAACAAGGAAGATCATTCAATATAAACGAGGGAGAGTTCATTCCAAGCTTGGCATACACCACCACAGCACGGCGTATTCATCACCCTTTCCGAGTTACAGCTATCGGGTCTACATTGCATGAGCTGCACGAGTCGCTCAATAGTAGCTCTCGCCTGGAGAGCTATACCCCTGTCCCTGCGACGGCCCCAGGTGTTGGATTTGCTTTCACTGGCCAGGGAGCTCAGCACACAGGAATGGGCAAGCAGCTGTACGAGAAATGCTCGCAGTTCCGGGCCACAATGCAGCACTTTGATTGCATCAGCCAAAGCCAAGGGTTTCCCTCAATTCTTCCTTTGATTGACGGAAGCGTGCCGGTAGACGAGCTGGGCCCTGTTGTGACACAGCTTGGGACTACATGTCTTCAAATGGCCTTGGTAACTTATTGGGACTCACTCGGTATAAGACCCGCGTTCGTCCTTGGGCATAGCCTTGGAGAGTTTGCTGCCTTGAACACCGCAGGTGTATTGTCGACTTCTGATACTATATATCTCTGTGGTCGCCGAGCTACGCTCCTTACGGAATACTGCCAGATTGGAACACACGCCATGTTGGCGGTCAAGGCTTCTTACCCACAAGTCAAGCAGTTGCTGAAAGAAGGTGTGGATGAAGTGGCCTGTGTCAATTCACCCAGTGAGACAGTCGTCAGTGGTCTCAGCGCCGATATTGATGACTTGGCCCAAAGATGTTCTACCGAAGGCTGGAAGTCTACTAAGTTGAGGGTGCCATTCGCTTTCCATTCCGCTCAGGTTACTCCAATCCTTGAACGATTCGAGGAAGAAGCCCGGGGTGTCACGTTCCGCAAGCCGTCAATACCGTTTGTCTCCTCGCTCCTCGGGGAAGTTATCACGGACACTAATTACGATGTCCTTGGAGCTCAATATATGGTGAAACAGTGCAGGAAGTCGGTGAACTTCCTTGGTGCTCTTGAGGCTACGAGGTATGCGAAGTTAATGAATGACAAGACTGTCTGGCTCGAAGTTGGCGCTCATACCATATGCTCTGGTATGATAAAAGCGACATTTGGCCCTCAGGTTACAACCGTGGCGTCTCTTCGCCGAGAGGAGAATGCCTGGAAAATCCTTTCCAATAGTTTGGCAGCCCTTCATCTGGCGGGTATTGACATTAATTGGAAAGAATATCACCAGGACTTTAGAGCCAGCCATCAGGTGCTTCCACTTCCTGCCTACAAATGGGATCTCAAGAACTATTGGATTCCCTACAGTAACAATTTCTGCCTTACAAAGGGTGCCCCTCAAGCTGAAATCCAAGCCGTGCCGCAATCGACATTCCTGTCCACAGCCGCTCAAAAGGTTGTGGAGAGTCGTGACGACGGTATAACAGCGACCGTTGTTGTGCAAAATGACATCGCTGATCCTGAGCTGAACCGCGTTATTCAGGGTCACAAGGTTAATGGAGCTGCCCTTTGCCCTTCGGTAAGTATTATACACATTGTCAGAGTATCAGCCGGTGTAAATCGAGTACTCACACATTATATAGTCGCTCTACGCGGATATTGCTCAGACTCTTGGAGAGTACTTGATAGAGAAGTACAAACCTGAATTCAAAGGTCTGGGTCTCGATGTATGCGACATGACCGTACCGAAGCCACTCATCGCAAAGTCCGGAGAACAGCTTTTCAGAATATCTGCTACTGCCAATTGGGCTGAAAAGAAAGCGTCGGTTCAGGTATATGCCGTAAATGCTGACGGGAAAAAGACCGTTGAACATGCGCATTGCACTGTGAAGTTCTTTGAAGCCAGTGCCTCTGAGCTGGAATGGAAACGTATTTCGTACCTGGTCAAGAGAAGCATCGACCGCCTCCACCAAAATGCGGAAACAGGAGAGGCTCACCGTATCCAACGTGGAATGGTGTATAAGCTTTTCAGTGTGTTAGTCGACTACGATGACAATTACAAGTCAATCCGCGAGGTTATCCTGGACAGTGATAATAATGAAGCCACTGCTCTTGTTAAATTCCAGGCACCTCCAGGCAATTTCCATCGGAACCCATTCTGGATCGACAGCTTCGGTCACCTTTCCGGGTTTATTATGAATGCAAGCGATGCGACGGACTCTAAGAGCCAAGTATTTGTTAATCATGGGTGGGATTCTATGCGCTGCCTGAAGAAGTTCTCTCCTGATGTCACCTATCGCACTTACGTGAGAATGCAGCCATGGCAGAACAACATCTGGGCAGGAGACGTGTACATTTTTGAAGGTGACGATATTATTGCTGTGTTTGGAGGCGTCAAGGTGGGTACCACCTGTTCCTTTCTCTTGGTCTCTAGTTACTAACATAATAATGATTAGTTCCAAGCGCTGGCGCGCAAGATACTTGATACCGTCCTTCCTCCGGTTGGAGGTTCAAAGACCCCAACTGCAGCCAAATCGTCACCTCCAGCTCGCACTCGGAAGTCGAGCACAGGCGCCAAGGCCCGTCCTGTTAAAGCATCTGCCCCATCCAAGTCCTTCATCAAGTCTTCCGGACCAAGTGTGGTCATGCGTGCACTCAGCATTCTGGCTTCAGAAGTTGGTTTGGCAGAGTCTGAAATTTCAGACGACCTCGTCTTTGCGGACTATGGTGTAGACTCTCTCCTATCCTTGACAGTTACCGGCAGATATCGTGAAGAGCTGAGCCTCGATCTGGAGTCTTCTGTGTTCACCGATCACCCTACTGTTAAGGACTTTAAGCGGCTTATCGCACAAGTGAGTCCTTCGGATAGCAATGATGGGTCATCAAGCGAACAAGAATCGAACTTCTCCTTCAATGGTGGCGAGTCTTCAAGTGCAAGCACTCCTGACCTCATGTCACCGCCAAACGAGAAGGTAGCCCAGGTTGAGCAGAACAACACCATGAAAGAAATCCGAAACATCATGGCGGAGGAGATTGGTGTGCCTGCCGAAGAGATCAAACCGGATGAAAACTTGGGAGAGATGGGCATGGACTCGCTCCTCTCCTTGACTGTTCTTGGGAAAATCAGGGAGACACTGGACATGGACCTACCAGGAGAGTTCTTCATTGATAATCAGACCCTCAATGACATCGAGGTTGCTTTGGACCTGAAACCGAAGGCCGCTCTGGCCCCAACGCCTATGCCAGAACCAGTCAAGTTCCCCGACGCCATCCAAGGCCTTAAACCCAAGGTCACTCAACACCCCAAGGCCACATCAATCCTGTTACAAGGAAACCCCAGGACAGCAACGAAGACATTATTTCTGTTTCCCGACGGCTCTGGCTCAGCTACATCCTACGCTACTCTCCCTGGAGTTTCACCCGACGTCTGCGTATACGGATTGAACTGCCCCTACATGAAAACACCTGAAAACCTCAAGTGCAGGTTAGACGAGCTCACTGCACCTTACGTAGCAGAGATCCGCCGCCGTCAACCCAAGGGCCCGTACAACTTCGGCGGCTGGTCAGCAGGCGGAATCTGCGCATACGACGCAGCACGCCACCTGATGTTTGAGGAGGGCGAAGAAGTTGACCGCCTGCTCCTCCTCGATACCCCATTCCCCGTCGGACTAGAGAAGCTGCCACAGAGATTGTACGGCTTCTTCAACTCTATCGGTCTCTTCGGCGAAGGTAAGACAGCACCACCCGCCTGGCTGCTACCACACTTTCTTGCCTTCATCGACGCCCTCGACGCATACAAGGCCTCACCTTTCCCGTTCACAGACGAGAGATGGGCCAAGAAGCTACCTAAGACCTACATAATCTGGGCTAAGGACGGTGTCTGCGGGAAGCCGGGAGATCCCCGACCTGACCCCCCAACAGACGGTTCTAAGGATCCCAAGGAGATGGTCTGGCTCCTCAATGATCGCAAAGACCTGGGACCTAACAAGTGGGATACATTGGTTGGAGCTGAGAATATTGGGGGAATCACGGTCATGGAAGGAGCTAATCACTTCACCATGACGAAAGGGGAGAAAGCGAAAGAGTTGTCGATTTTTATGGCAAAGGCTATGGCTTAAGATTGGTGAAATTTATTACTTCCTTTCTTTACTCACTTTTTTATATCAGTACTATTATTTCGCTCATTTCTGTGTGATTGAGTGGTTGATTTATGTCTTGGGCCTTCCAATTTTTGATAACCATGTGTTTTATGTACTATCATTCAGTAAGTAATGTATTGATATACACGTAATTAAAATCATTATTTTTTAGGAGAAAGGGAAAAGAAACTATTTATGAGGCTACACTATAGACTATGGGATATTCTTAGAGACAACTAGGTTGAGTGATATAGACACAAAAATCAGGCATATTGCCAAATAGGATCCAATTCAGCAACCAACTGTAACATTGCGAGGGAAAGAAACAACTTGAGAAGGGATGCAAGACACGGAGAAACGGCCAGATATGACAAAACGCCTAGACAATGCAAAAAGTCATTGACGAAATGTAAAGCCTCTCTATGTAAGCGTCATAGACTTGATGACGATAACCGGTGGAGCCGCTACAAAAATAAAATTAAAAACTAAACAAAAATAATGATATCAAAAAGGAAGTTCCTCTCTGAACAGGTGTGGGTTTATGCAAAACAAGTAAGACCCTTCCTTAAACGGACATTTCAGAGCTGAACCTCAACGCGCTGCCACGTCCATTATGATTATTGATCCCTGGGCTCGTGGGCCGGCTCCCCGCGGCCAGCCTTGGACTACGAGGTTGAGTGCTCGTTGATCTGGTGGAAGGTCGGTTTTTGCGGATCTCCCGCAGCTCATCTTCTTTTCGGCGTAATAGATCCTCACGAGCCGAGAGGGTAGCTTCCAATTCGGATATACGAGAAAGATGTCGCGCCCCGTCGTTCTCGATATTGATTTGTCGTAGGCGACTAGCATTGCCAGCAATTTTACGCTTCAGTTCTTCGTTCTCTTCCCGAAGTTGGCGAACTTCATTACCAGTTTGGGCCGCTACATTCGAAGCGGTCTGGTACTGCTCGCGAGTATACTCAGCTTGCTTGGCCTCATATTCTGCCTTTCGTTCCAAGACAACGTTGTCTCTTGTTAAGCGCCGAATGTCTTCTCGGGCGGTCTCTAGCTCTGCAACACCACCCCCTCCAGATTTGATCTCTTCCCTTGCCTGCTCGAGATCGTGCCTTAGCTGGGTACGCTCATCCTTTAGTTTGCTTATCTCCTCTCTCTGCTTTTCCATTTTCTGGTCCGATGTAGCTTTAGCTTCGACCAAACGATCTCGCTCTTGGCGGATTTTGTGGATATCTTTAGTCCGAGTTTCATAACGATGCTGGAGCGACTCAAGCAGTGTCTCTCTTTCTTGTAAGCGAGATTGCATGTCCGCCAATGCCTTTTGGAATTTCTGGAGCTCCGCCTCATGGGCAGTTCTCATCTGCACGAGGTTTTGCTCCAATGCATGCAGACCACTATCCAGGGTTTGGCTGGGGAATGTCGTTGAGTCGGTAAGCTGAGTATTATCCTGGGACAGCTCCATTCTAGGTCGTTTGGAAGGATGCTCTCCCGAGACTTCCACGAACAAACGTTTTGGAGCCTGAGCGTTCGGGATCGGTGTACCTTCAGTATTCGTCTGAGGATGAGCTTCAAGTTGAGCGGAAGACAGCTCATTTGAGCTCACAATATACAAAGGTTCCACGGAGGTTAATGGCCAGCTAACGCCAAAATGATCCGAAAAAAGCCAAGACAGAATCTCTTCCACATCTTCCCGTACCCCAAGGGCATCGTCCTGCAAATCACCTACTATATCACGAAGACGCACGGTATACTGGATGATTAATTGAAGACGCTGTAGCTCTGGAGGATCTGGGAAACAGAGCTCAATGTGCTCGCTAGAGTTTGAGACAATAAGCCGAATGACGGGAAGTAGGCTTCCGTTACGAGCAAATGTAGTTCGCATATGTTCAATCGAAGGACTCTTCACATTCAAAGATGAGTCCAGTGCAATGATTGCAGAGGGAGACTTGTATCTTTCTAGAACCCCTTCATTGTGTGTTGACTGGATCCCAAAACTCAAGGAACCCTTTACCAAAGAAATTTCCAAATTAGTGCCGGGCCCCATCCCCTCCCGAGGTCGAGTGTATACAAGGCCTTTGCCCATTAGATATCGTTCGACCACCTTTTGGGTTTTATCTCCATTTACCATAACCACCAAGTGAATATCCCGGCTACTTGCAATTTCTACAAGGTAGCCTAGAAATAGAAACTTTGCGCTGGAGTACTCAGCCCAAGCTGCTTCCTTCCTTAGGTCTGAATCTGAATCCTTGATATGCTCCGCAATATTAAGATCAGGATGTGTCGCAACGTTGCTAAGACTTCCTAACACCTCGCGCATCTTTGCCACAAGACGTTCCTCATGTCCGTTGAAGTCTCCTAGAGAGCTTGATCCTCTGAGAAAATCTCGAATACTCTGAGTTTCATTCATCAAGACTCGTTCGTAGTCATCTTTAACTCTAGAGTCCATAGGGAGTGGCACGGCGTATTCACATGGGCCAAGGTGCGCCGATCCGAGAGGAACCTCTTCGGTATGAGTGACCGTCAAGGCGCTTGGTTGAATAGTTTGTATGCCATGTTGTTGTTGTTGGGACATCTCTTCAAGTGGTTCCGATATAGCAGTTTTCCTTCCTGGTCCAGGGTGGTGAATAGTGGGTTCCTTGTCAACTCTAACACTTAGAGGTGCTGTTGCCTCCGGCACGGAAGCAGGTGCCGAGGGTTCAATATCTCCTATAGATGACGGAGTCACGCTCGAATCAGCAGCCTGGAGAGAATTTGCTTTTGCGTTCAATTGCGCGTACGCGTTCTTCATCTTCTCTCTCGGGGTTGCTCCTTCGTAGTGGCTATATTTCTCCATAGTTTCAGCCAATGATGGCACCTCCTTTTTTTGGTGGTCCTCCATATTCTCGGTAGACATTTCTGATGCCCTATTACTTTGTCCTACAGATAATGATCCCTGGTCCAAGAGTTGAATGAAAGGTTGTGTTGACCCCTGTGATGTGCTTGGATTTGATTCTGGTACAATAGACCTCGTTCGATTGGTTGTAATATGGCCTTTGGAGAAACGACTCCCAGATAGGAATAGCTGAGATAGTAGCGAACTATAACCGGAGAAGCAGCTTCCTGAGGACAGGGTATCCTGAGAATCAGAAGGGCTCGATAGAGGATACCGAGACGGTTTTTCCCTTTCAACAATGGCCAAAGTAACAGGCGGTGTCTCTGCTATCCCATCTAATTCTTCACGTAGGCCGCAGGCCGGTGTCTTAGACGGTTCTTGGATGATGGGTGATGTGGTTGACCTGGCCCTTGGGGATCCTCGGATAGTCTCGAGCGGCAATGAGCTGCTAGATTTCGGGGTTTCGATAGAAGAAGCCGGAGTTCCACTGGGACTCTGAGCGATTTGAGTTGCAAGGTAACTTTGAACTTCGCCTGGAAGGAGATATTCCAGTGGGATAGATGTATTTGGGCTATACTCAAACACACATGTAGCCTCTGACGGTGCGGCTGGTAATGGAATTAGCACAGTCAAGCCACTGTGCCGGCGTGTAGAAGCTGCAGGTGTTCCTTGATTTGATTCTGGGACTTCAAACCATCGGCTGTCCTCCAGAGGTGGACCTGGTTCAGATACAATATCGACAGGAACAAATAATGGTGAATTCCCACGCTGTCCCAGAGGCTGTTCTGATGAGTTGATGCACTCTACACTATGATCCTGAGAGGCCTGAGCAGCTGACTGTGTTTCTAAAATTTCAGCAAGATGACTATCGTTCTGGGAGTGACAGTGTGTCTTCTTCTCTTCCCAGACCTGAATTGCAGCGTCGTTGGCGTGTTCCTTTGGTTCCTGATCATCGGAATGATTGTTAGATGACGCTTCATTTCATGAAGCTTTCTAGAACTATATGAAATGTGAGATATACAATATGCTTAACTTACCCAAGTTGGTGACCAAGGGCCCTCCCAATCAATAAGATAATGAGATTCTGTTTCGTCAAGGATACAGTTAATATACCATTCGTCTTCAGCTAACTGAGAGCTTTCGTTGTCGTGTTCTTCGACGCTTGAGATGACGATGTAATTATTTTTCCGCTTTTTCTTCCGGGGTTCAGCTGTTGAATGTGTTGATACAGAAGAGGAGACCTTGCGCTTGCGCCACATTATGCGCGTCCCAAGAACATCGCCGAAGTGAGGAAATCCATGGTGGTAAAATAAAACAACTAAGTGCAAAGAAAAGTAAAATATAACTGGGACCTACTTGGGGAAATAAGCACTTGTGAAAGTGGAACTGAACTTGCACAAGCACAACAATGGAAATACTAGAGAAGTGAATTGGAGTATGAAATTCGGTCTGAACTCGGACGACGGGGAGAGCTGCGCGGATGATCGCCGACACGTGATATCTTATCAGTGCCCAACTCCACTATGATAGTAATCCTCGGTACTCCGTACAGGATTAACTACCTGCACAATGCAGATGCGTTCAAGACCAATTCACTATTCTCAGATTCTATCACCTATTTCTAGTAGCATCGTTGATTCTGCCTTCAATACCTCTTCTAGAATACCTCTTCTATTCCCAAAGAGCCGGTCTAATAAGCAGTGTATATACATATGATTTATGCGTCTCTATGTTGTACTCCGTACTTCAATCAAAGATGTGCCTGCTCTTTTCTAAACTTGTCAAAATCGTAGCCAAGCTGCTCGATGCTTTTGAACTTGTGGCGTTCATCACATTTTTCAACAAACGTCCTTCTGATCTCAGGGAACAGCTGCCGCATCCACTTCTCCCTATCTCCCCAATGATTGCACTGCTTACCATTTCCGTTGTCGATCAATCCACGGCGCGGTTCAGCCTTGGCTGCCCATTCATATAGTAGATTCATGTAATTCGCATCCAAAGGGAAATGTAAGAGGTGAAATGCTGTTCCATTGCCTTTCTCAATGGAAGTGGAATCCTCCCAGGCTTTCATCTCAGTTGCATCCGGTAGTGTAAGTCGTCCGGACCAGACACGAGCGAAAACAGCAGCCTGGTTTTCAGATAAGGGGAATGGTATCACCCTCTGTGGTAGGACTGGGAAGACAAGGGTAGGGTTTTGGATATAGAACAGATGCTGATAGGTATTTAGGACTCTCCGGCCATCCGTAATAATGGGAGGGTCAAGTGAGGACAAGAAGGGGAAAGAGTATAGGTAGCCGGTGCAAAACACGACTGCATCAATCTCGTTCTCTATCTTTCCATCGGCAAAGCGAACCGCTCTTCTGTGCTCGGTTGGGGGTAAGAATTCCACAATTTCCGAAACGTAATCTTTGTCTGAGGCGCTAGACGGTAACAGGTATGACTTTGTTCGCTGTGATGCCAGCACTTTGCCCTTGCTTAGTTTGTTTATTTGATTACCGATATCGACACCGGATGCAGAACTTCCCACAACTATCACCTTCTTTCCGCGGAAAGGCTCAGGTGAATCATAGAACTTGGAGTGGGAGATAATACCTGGATATGTTTCATTCCATAGCTTGATGCCCGGTATATCTGGTGTATAAGGAACATCATAATGGCCACTAGCAACGACCACAGCATCGTATATGTCGGTGCTATCGACCCCAGTTCGCAAGTTCTTCGTTGTCACCACCCAAGGACTTGGCCCAGAAGCACTAGATTTGATATTCACAACCTGAGTGTCAAGGTGAATGTAATCTTTCACGTCTTCTGCGTACTCATCCAAATACTTCTTCACCGTAGAGTACTTCGGCAACACTTGGGCATCTGGAGGAAATGGCTTATCTCCATAGGCCATTAATTCCTTTGGAATGTTGGTATCCAACGTACTATAGATGGGGGATATGAAAGCTGGCTCAAGCGACCCCTTAGTGACCCCTATAGAATGCCATATCGGCCCATCGTCAGGTTCATTCGGGTCAAGCTGCGGCACAGGTGCCGAAGCACTCTGTTTTAGAGCTGGTGGAGTATAATTCCATACACCAGCGACAGAGCTTCTCTTTTCAAAGACGTCGATCTTGGTAAAATATTTCTCAGCAAGAAGGTACCTGATGTATCGTGAGAAAGATGGCATCAGAAACGAGCGCGGCATTCAAAGTTTGCTTCATACTTCACCGCCGAGAGACCCGATGGCCCTGCGCCGATAATAGCTATGCGACGGATCTGCTTTGGGATTGTCATATTCGGCGTCAATGGGCAGCTAGTACTACCCTCAAATATAACAAAGCGAAGTGAAATCTGTTGCCAGCTTTGGAGCTAAGAATTTTGTAGTTGGTGATCAGACGATTGTCATGTTATCTGTTATGGAATCACCCCACCGGGCGATGTCGTGATCTGCTGGTAACCGCTTTAGTAGGTACTCGGACAACATCGCAAACTATAAAATCAACTACAATTTGGGGTTCAAGAGAATGGAATTTATATTGAAAGTTGATAACAAAGTATCCGGAAACTACTAGGTAGTTGAAGTCTGTACATACGGTACCATCCCATATCGTATTACATAGAAAAACGCAAATCTCCTCATTAGGGCAACCGAAACCATGGATGTCCCACGTAATATTACACTTCTGATACCGCCTAACACTTGGACTGAATTGTTTGTCAGGTGAAGTCACCTGCGGTTGCTCCGGCCGCCTTCTGAACGCATGCTATCGCTTAAACCGAACACCTTCATCATCTTATAAACAGATACGTGCGCCAGGCTACACGACAGAAGCCACAAGGCAATGCAGTACCTATGAGTGATGCCACGCGGAAGTTGTGTGTCGATTATTAGCTGCAGTGATGGATGCCCACGAACAATCTCCGATCTCTGAACCCTTACGTGCGAGTCGCATCCCTATCGCGCAGCTCTCTCCGACACTCGAAGATTTCTCCAGAAGCTCTATTCATGCATGCGTTACTCTTATATGGCCTTATTCGTCCTCGACAAAGTCACTTAGCCTCTTATTAGCTGAGCCCGACTTCCGCCTACGTCACTCGAATGGACAAATTAAGGCGGTTTTTCATGGGCCTATCGCAGAAAGTGTGGCACAATCTCGAATTGGGATCGGTGATTCGGTCTATCTTGATCTGGCGGGAGCGAGATTCTCAAATTGTGTCGCAGCAATTGGAACTCCTGGTAAAAGTGTGGCATGGGATGTACACTTTGATGACCGTGTGTCTCTTGAGGTACCGCGATTGCAAGTCACCAAAAGAATGGAATGGTTTCATGCTGACTGCGAGCACAGATTTGGCGCTCATCCAAGCATGTATTGACCGTGAAAGTCGACCCTCCTTCCCCCCCATTGCCAAACAATGATACTACGATTGCAGCACCGGTCACCCCCGTTGCCAAAGGTTATGCTCAACTTGATAGAAACGGCTCGATTGGTGGGTTGGAATCATGGCAGTCTCCGGCTTTTCGAGACCGATCGCGCACATACTTGAGCGGTCTAGCCGACTCAGTGTTAAACCCTTTCACGGAAGAGGATGGGTTTGTCCCTGGAAAAGGAAGGAAGCGTCCTAGGTTCAGTATGCAAAACAGTCAGTGGCGGGTAATCGACGAACCTGAAAGCCCCGGTGAAAGGGGCGAGGTTCTGGACTGGACTCATATCTTCGATGAGGATTGGAGAAGCGAATTAGACACCTGTCAGGAAGACACGGCTGAGAAAGAAGTCAAGCCAGAAGTCAAGCCACCGGGAACCCCCGGAATTGAAAACACATCCATAGATTCGGAGAATGTATCTTTCGCTATTCCAGTTTCGAAGGCTGATGTCACCAAGGAAGATGCCTCGGACTCTTCGGTAACAAATCTGGAACACCATATCGGTCAGGCCACAGACGAAATAGAATTTCCTTCAACTGGTGTATCTCGAATGGCTGAGCTCTCTCGCGGTTCTACTAAGCGAGGTTTTCTAGATTATTCCGCCCACCTTCCGATAGAAACTCCTCGACTACACCCTATTCCGTCCCCGGGACTCCCGATCCCCTCGCCGCTCGTGACCATGTCAAACAGTCCACAGGGCTATTTCACGCCGATTGCAGCCACAGCAAATTCCCACATGAGTCAGGTGCCCACGACTCTATCTCAGGAATTCACTGGATCAGAAATTGAGATACCCGATGCCCAGACTGGTACTTCACGGACATCAGGATATGAGGAGAAAAGCAGTGCTTCTGAAACTGAAGCTCAGGCAGTCAATTACTCGAAATCCAAACCAGAAACAAATGCTATTAGCATTGCTCGGCAGTCCACATGCCAGCCACACGCAATGAACAGCACTACAGTAGCAGATGTGTCACTTGGCAAAAACTTGAAAGTAACAGCTGAACAAGGCGGCCAACCATCCCTACATGCTGCCGAGAAAGATACAGGGAAAGCAGACAGGTATGTGGGAGACGCTGATCAATTGAATCTAAATAGCGAAGTACAAAAAGTCAGTGAGGATCAAACGCGCAATAGAGCCCAGGAAATTGAATCTGAAGAACACAAGGGAGAAACACATCAGGGAAGAGAGATCGTAGCGAAGGACGATCTGAAAGATTATGGACGCAGGCTGGGACCTACCGAAGGCGGTATCGTTACCGAGGACCCTCAGAAAGCTCGTGTATCCGAAGAGGTTGAATATGATACAGATGAAAGCGAGGAAGAGAGCACAGACAAGCTAAAGAAGCTGACACAATATCATAATTTGGCTGCTGAAAGTGAGACCGAGCCACCAGAAGAGGATCATGGACATTATAGTGAAGTTGGCGATGAAGGAGAGGAAGAGAGTAATGGACAAAGGAGCGAGGATGAGCTTGAAGAAGTATTTGTGGAGGAAGAGGAGGAATACTCGGAAGAAGAACAAGCTCGAGAGGTTGAAGAGGTCGAAGAAATCGAAGAAGAGGAGAATGTAGAGAGTGAGGAAGAGGATCAGGTAGAGGCTGGATGGGATGATGAAGAGGGATGGTCCGAGGAAGAATTAGAAGAGGAGGCAGGTGTTGAGGACATGTATGAGGATGAAGACGATGAACATGTTGAGCTTGAGATCGAGTCGGATCAAATGAGTGTTGATACGCCTGCCCCCAAAAAGGTGCATCCGGAAGTCATCGTTCTAGATAGTGACAGCGAAGATGAAGCCAGACCTACTTCTCAGACACATCCCATGACCTCGTCAAGGCAAGAGATCAGAATACTGGAGAATGAGTCATCTGATTACGAGACGTTTACTTCTGGAACCGGCTCTCTTGGACCAGGACACCCAGAAAACTCGGAAAGCTTGGAGGATGAATGGGGTGAAGGTTGGTCTGAAGAAAACTCGGAAGAGGAGCAGCTTATAGATGAGGACATGGAAGAAGGAATAGTAGATGATGAACATGAGCAAGCGAACGACGAACAGCAGAAATCCGAACAGGCTGCAGACGAACAACTCTATAAGGGACGGACGAGGGACGAGCAGGCGGCCAAGGGGCTGATGGGAATAAGTGAGGGATACCAAATGGAAGATGAAGCAACTGAAGAACACGCTGGGATTGAACGGGAGCAGGTCTCAATTTCATCGACATATATTAGGGATGGAGCCTCGGATACTGAAGAGCGACAAATGCTTCGCCGAGAGACATCACAGGATCACGAGCAGGGTGGTCTCGAATATCGCTCGAATATCATGGTCTCTAACGAGGGACCTACTTCACGCAGATTGGAAATGGCTATTGATCCCGAGTTGCAGAACCTGGAATTCGATAGAGAACAAGCGACCAAAGAGGTGGAAGAGGAACATTGCGCAGATTCCAGTTATGCTGAGATTAGGACTGGGGAATTCTGGAAGGTATCCGAGCCAGACCAGAATATTGATCATGCCTTAATTCTTGACGGTAGTTCATCTTCACAAGTTTCACATGGCTCCCTGGGTGCTGTTTTAGGAAAACCTTCGCCAATGCAGCAATTGGTAGCACTGGGTGCTTCTCAACTGGTTGAAATTGGTCAACGTTCGACGGAACCCACCGCTGTTGAAGTACTTCCTACACCTGAACATAGGCAGGAAGAAACGTCTGTGCAATATCAAGGTGAAGTGCCACTCGCACTTCATGTCGAGAAATCCTTACTAGCAGGACAAAATGTCCCCGTCATCGAAAATGTTGAACATGATGATGCACACCTCGTTCCTGTCTTGCCGGAGGGACAGCATGAAGTCAAAGACCTCTCTGAGCATGGGGGTGAGGGCACGTCAGCGTCTCTCAATGGAGATAATGCTGAGGAAGTCGAGCTTTATTCGGAAGATAAATCCGTTCGAGACTTGGATGAAGTTCATCTTGTGGGGGTAAACCGCTATTACCCTGGCTTGCGCAGCAAACTCTCTTATTTCGCTCCCTTAGCCACGCTTGTCGATCACTATAATGTCTTGGTGGATACGATTTCCGTTGTGACGGAAGTTCAACCTGTACTCCAGGCTGCACCAGGAAAAAAAGACTTTATCTTGACCCTTCAACTAACTGATCAATCTATGGCTGGAACCACGCTCTATGCTCAAATCCTTCGGCCCTTCAAAGCAGCGCTTCCCTTAGTTGAAGAGGGGGACGCCATCTTGTTACGCAACTTTAGGGTCAAAAGTTTCAATCACTCGATAATGCTCGCCAGCGTTGACACCAGTGCCTGGGCTGTCTTCACTACCTTGGAAGATAAAGTACTGGTTGATGGTCCTCCCGTTGAATATGGAAGCGAAGAGCAAGCGTGCGCGACTGATCTCCGCCAGTGGTATCAAGAGGCCGGTATGGCCATGGTGGCAGATAATCAACTACAGGCATCTATAGACAGGGAAAGTAGAGAAGGAACACCTGCTAGCAGTACTGCACTCAGCGATTCAGGGAGTATTGACTCGGCACTACGCGACGTGCGCGGTGAATCATCTCTATCAAGCCGGGGCTTACGGCGGGCCAAAAAGCCTCACCGGAGAATAACAATCCATGAGTTGAGAGATGGAAGAAGATACACTGAGGTTGGCTCCCCGTCTGGAAAGGAGAGTATACACGAACTTCGAGACGGAACCGTTTATGCCAATTTATGAATGGACTTCCTAGATCTTGTGTCTTGACTGGCGATACCTACTCTTATTGCTGACTCATGTACATTACCTAGACTACATGACGAGTTTACCGGCGTATAGTGATCTAGGCCGAATCTATGGTCTAGGGTTTATACAACTAGCAGGTGAATGATACCTGAACTTTGTGTATTTTCTTTCTGTATCAAAACGGAATCATATCCAAGTATCACATACGAAGCAACTCGCTCTATGCTGTAGTCTATAATATTGATAACATGAGTATATAGACGGCGAAAGACATTAGACAGGAAGAAGAAGCCGTAAAAGCTTTGTTGCCTACATCTTTGAGGCCTTGTCTTCTGTCAAGAGATCGATGTTGATAGCTGCTCTAATCAATTGGTTCGCGATGGCAGTTGGTGGCGGAAGTCTCAACCCGCCCTCCTTGTACTCCGGACCGGGCCCTTCACCCAGCGCACTGATGCCTACTCTCAAGGCTTCCTGCACTTCCTCGACGTCAAACCATTTCGCATCTTCCAGCTCTGGGTCATGGCTTAGGTTGATCGTTTCATGAGCAGGATCGCTAACCTGCGCGACTGCACCAATCATGAGATTTGCTGGGTAGGGCCATGGTTGGGATGAGTGAATAATGACACGTGAAAGAGTAACTCCCGCCTCTTCCCAAACCTCTCTCCGGACGGCATCTTCGACCGACTCTGCTGGCTCGATGAAACCGGCAAGAGTTGAGTACCAGTTTGGTGGATAGCGTTTTGAACGGCCCAGGAGGACCCGTTTGGCATCGGTTGAAAGAACAGCCACAATAATTGTCGGGTCGGTGCGCGGGAAAGATAGATTGGAGAGAGTAGTGCGCGTATTACAAGCTGGCCGTTCGGCTGGTTTTCCCCCTGCGATACGGGCAGCGTCTGTAGGTGGACAGGTACGCTTTGTACCAGCGTTCACAGATAGGGTCGGATGACCGCAGGTACCACAGAAGCTATTCCGGTTGTTCCAATCCATAAGGGCACGGGCTTGGGCGTAAATGGCAGCTGGAATATAGTGAGTAAACAAAAATCGGCTCTGATCTATATTCGAGTAATGCTCACCTTCGTCAGCCGAAAAGGTCATAACTACCCTCGCTTGGAAGAAGCTCAGCCCCCTTTCGCCCATGGCATTGATAACATCTTTGGCATTGGTCTGTTGCTCTTCATTGCCTTTTGGAGTCACGTCAAGAGCAAAGAAGGGAGCACCGGTGTAGATCTTCCAAGCGAGCCCATCCTGCTTACGGCTCTCGTCTAGCCCAAGGAAGATTAGCTGTGCGGCTGTCTTCCGCGAGTCATATTCCTTGATTGTCTCCTCTTCTGATTTATCATAGACCGTCTCAGGAACAAGCTTTTGAACTTCGTTATACTGCGCATAATATAACTCCGAGGGAGACTTTGTAAGAGGCGCAAGATCCTTCAGAAGTACAAAGCGCGCAGAAGGATGCCGAATAGCTGCCGAAAGAAAAGAATGCTCAGTCCGTAAAAATGAGAGCCGATTTAGAGGCGAGCCTAGAAGTATCAGTACCGAAACAGGCTGTACTACCGACTTCAGGTGGCGTACTGGAAAAGTAGTTTACGGTCTCTCTGCCAAACTGCCGAGATAGCATTGAGTCGGCTTGCGTATGTGCAGGGGTAGGAATCTGAGGGTGACTGGTCATAATGGACTTTATGTACTGATTCTGTTGGTGAAAAACGAATGTAGATTTCAGATCCCAGTGACTCGGACTAATGCGAAGACAGACAGGAGTAAAGAGAATACCCTGATAACGAGTGATTAATCAGCTGCTTCTCTGTATCCGAGGATTAGCGTGACGGCAACTGACGTATTCCGGATACCATTCTTTCACCTCATTGCTATGGTACCGTATGGGCTCCCTGGTAATAGCAAAACAGCGGCGGGGTACGAGGGGAACCTCCCCACACACGTGATGTGCGTCATTGCCGGCTTTCTCCAATTCTTCTTATCACCGGAAACGCGAAGACAATTCTGGTTTACTATCTCTGTGGCTTTCGGTACCTGTCGGCCATTGATAGAACCCGTTACTGTTCATCCAACATGGGTCACCTTGTCACTCTTGCAACATGGTAGGTGGTGTTCTATCAGTCAACTGCGCCCTCTCTATACAGGATTAATCTGATATTCTCTCCCCGTCAGCTCCCTTAACCAATGGGCCCTTGATTTTGAGGGCAATTGTGAACGGATTATTGAGAGTATTCGTCTGGCTAAGAGGGCTGGGGCTACTCTAAGAGTCGGTCCGGAACTCGAGATCACCGGTAACATTGGCATTGACCATAACTCGCACTAGTCCCTTGCGTTGATATATCTTTTAGGATATGGTGTTCTTGATGGATTCCTTGAGGGCGATACGTTCCTGCATTCGTGGGAAATGTTGTCTCGTATCATCGATCATCCTGACTGCCAAGATATTGTGGTCGATGTAGGTATGCCTGTCCGGCATAGAAACGTGCGATACAATTGCCGGTAGGTGACTTCTAAGTTCAGAATACAGCTTCCTCGCTAATGTTCTTTCCATTTGCAGTGTCATTTTCTATAACCGTCAAATCATCTTGATTCGCCCGAAAATGTGGCTCGCCAATGGTTTGTTTCTACCTTCCTTACCTTCATACTGCTTTTCCAGTCGCGCTCGCAAATACCGTACCATAGCTAATATTCAGACTGCTTACTTTTGTTGTGATCCAATCAGATGGAAACTATAGAGAGATGCGTCATTTCACTCCTTGGCAGCGCCCTCAGGAGATTGAAGATTATTATCTGGAACAGATTGTCGGTAAAGTAACAGGGCAGTATAAAGTTCCTTTCGGCGATGCAGTCATCAGTACTAGAGATACTTGCCTGGGTCTTGAGACATGTGAAGAGTTGTTCACCCCAAACGGGTACGTCCTCTGGCCCCAAGGCCATTGTCATTGTACTAACCATAAGTAGGCCTCACATTCCTTACGGTCTTGCTGGTATGGCCATCATTCCCATCATGTGGCTTTTTCTTTTTCGTACAGATGTTATTAACATTCCAAATAGGTGTGGAGATCATCTCAAATTCATCAGGCAGCCATCACGAGTTGAGGAAGCTCGATACCCGTATCAACCTGATCACACAGGCTACAAAACTGGTGAAGTTAACTGCAAATATAAATCCGAGTTCCCGGGCTAACAATTCTTTAGAGTGGAGGCATTTATCTATACGCAAACCAGCAAGGCTGTGATGGTGACAGACTATATTACGACGGCTGTGCCATGATCGTTGTCAATGGCAACATTGTAGCCCAGGGCTCACAGTTCTCCTTGAACGACGTAGAGGTCGTTACAGCTACCGTTGATATAGAAGAGGTTCTACTCCGAGCTTGCCCTCTTTTGCTTCAAGGATCTAATCTTTGGTAGGTTCGGACGTATCGCTCTAGTGCTAGCCGCGGTATGCAAGCTAGCAAACAACCACCATTTGTTCGTCTTGACCTAGATGTGAGACTTTCCCGCCAAAACGAAGAGGCTGAGCCTAGCCTTGCCCCATCCGAGACACTCTCACCCCGGTACCATGCACCTGAAGAAGAAGTCGCCCTTGGGCCCGCTTGTTGGCTTTGGGATTACCTCCGCAGGAGCGGTGCTGCTGGGTTCTTCCTTCCGTTGAGTGGTGGTATTGACAGCTGTGCTACTGCCATCATTGTGCACTCGATGTGCAGGGAAGTTATCAAAGCGGTTTCGGAAGGGAACGAGCAAGTGATCAAAGACGTCCGCAGGCTGTGCGCTGAGCCAGAGGATTCCACATGGTTTCCTAGCACGAGCCAAGAAGTGTGCAAGTAAGTAGCTAATCATTTTCACTTTGTAGTCGCTGACCAGGAATACTAATATCATTTTAGTCGCATCTTCCATACTAGCTACATGGGTACCCAAAACTCCAGCAAGGAGACGAGGGACCGATCAAAGCGGCTCGCCACTGACATTGGATCCTATCATGTCGACTTCAACTTCGATACAGTTGTAACTGCCTTGACCAACTTGTTCACAATGGTGACCAATTTCCAGCCTAAGTTTAAGGTTCATGGTGGCAGTCGTGCAGAGAACCAAGCACTACAGAACGTTCAAGCCCGCTTAAGAATGGTGCTTTCATACTTGTTTGCGTCTTTGCTTCCTACAGTCCGTCAGCGGCCAGGTGGAGGTGGACTGCTTGTTCTAGCGTCGTCAAATGTAGACGGTGAGTAGTTTCCCTGGAGAATATTGAACCTCACTAAACCTCACTAACTCCCATTAGAATGGTATATACAACTTGACCCCCTAGACCCTCCAAGTACCCCGGCCCGGTGTTCTTCGAATGCTAACTGACGTAAACAGTTTGCGTGGCTATCTGACTAAATATGATGCCAGTAGCGCGGATGTATGTCCCGACTCTTTTCCTTAAACCTTTACCATTGATTCCAAGAAATTCAATACTGACAGTCACCTTTGAATCCAGTTAAACCCGATCGGTTCGATCAGTAAAGTCGACCTGAAGAAATTCATCGCCTGGTCTCGGGATTCATTTGAATTGCCTATTCTTCACGAATTCCTGCATGCCACTCCAACCGCCGAGCTGGAACCGATAACGGCCACATATGTTCAATCCGATGAAGCAGATATGGGTGTAACCTACGCTGAGTTATCTACCTTTGGATATCTGCGCAAAATTGCGAAGCTTGGACCTTGGTCTATGTACGAAAGATTGCTCCACGTTTGGGGTAACGAATACAGCCCTCGCGAGATTTACGAGAAGACCCGCCACTTCTTCTACAACTACGCGTACGTACCACCAGTCTAGCTTCCCAGGTTTGATCTAGCAACTTCTAGAAACTAACTTTATGTTGCAGGATTAATCGTCACAAGATGACTGTACTCACTCCTAGTTATCATGCCGAACAGTATTCCCCTGATGATAACAGACATGACCTTCGGCAGTTCTTATGTGAGTAGTCTTCCATGGTCGACTTATTGGGATTTAAGCCGTGCTAATGCGTTACCAGACCCTTCATTCACGTGGGCGTACAAGAAAATGGAAGACAGCGTCAAGTACTGGGAATCGAAGGGGTGGACGGCTGGAAAAGCTCAGAAGAAGAATGTCAAGGCAGACTAGACAAATGCTATTTTGTGAGCAATCACTGAGACATCAGCTATGTGGAAATTTGAACAAAGATAAACTGAGAAAGAATTAGACACGGTCGGTGGTAAGTTGAGCTGTGGTGGATTCATATTTAATTTGGAAAGTATTATATCATGAAAAGGCGAATAGCATAGCCAGGCAACCATTACAAGGCATGGGAACTGCATATACGGAGATGTAACTAGCATAAAGATTGCTAATTATTCGGCAAAAAGAATGTAAGAAGAGATAGGACCAATCATAGAACGCCAATCAGGAAACGCAGCGCTGAAAGACAAGATATAGGGAAGAAATCAAAGGAAAGCAGATGATGAACAAAGAGTGTACGATAAGAGGACAGGAGCGTTGGAAAGTCAGCCATTCTCGACTTAATTACCCTTCCAAAACCAGCCGCTCGGGTTCTGATCAGATGCAGATTCTTCTAGACCAGCGGAATTCCGGTTGACCTGCGGTGGATTGACCACCTCGATAGTTTCATTGCTTTCTTCCCGACCATCTGCGAATCGTTGGGTCTTTATAGTCTTTGTCTGAATCGATCCATCAGGGAGTCGGATACGCTCTGTTGTAGTTTTAGTGGAAATCACGTGGGGGTTCTGCTCTGTCACCAACTTGTTGGTCTCAGCAGGGGACGTGTTAGTGGTCGAATGAGTCTCTGTCGCAGAAATATTCTTCTGTTTTTCGCTAGACGCATGGTCCAGCCAGTTCTCCGTATCATCAACCCGGTAACCTTGTGATGGTTCTTTATTATATGGAACTCTGTTTCTGTCCTCAAAAAGGATACGTAAAAGAGGACTTTCGTATGCACCGTTGAAAAACTCCCGCTCACGGGCTTCGATGTCTGCAAGGAAACGGTCGTACAGATCCAGCTCTGTCACTGACTCGGGTTCAGTGCTACCCCAGGTGATCTCTGCCTTAGCATCTTTTCTAGAGGCTTCCTCCCCGTGCTCATCCCTTCCGTTCTTCGAGTTATCAAACGCAATAGTTGACCATGGCTGCTGACCTTCTGTCCCTGAAATGTACTTCCAGCGATCTCCAAGACTACCCCGTTTGACGAGTCCCTGCAGCCAGTCCTTGCCTGATTCCCTCTTACTAGCATCTGCGAGTTCCCTGTCGAGCATAGGCTTTCCATTTTCGAGTCGTAGGAGGTCCTCAAAAGCCTCTCGCCACTGGGGCTCCGCAGGGTCATGTTCAGTGGAGAGGTTCAAAGTAGACATAAGGGATGAGAAGACTCCTCGCTCACGATTGGACCGGTATTGCGCTTGACGCTCCAAATGCAGGGGCGAGTAAGGGCTGAACATAAGATAGGTAACAGGCCAGGCGGGAGATTCGTCGTTTACCATGCTTGAGAATAGGGGTCTATTGTATGGGTGGAAGAAACGGGAAGAAACGCGGTCATCGAACCAGAACTTATCGAAGAAAGAGTTGAAGAAGTCAACATCGAGATGATCGTGAGACGGACCCTGTCTTCTAGTGCGATGGGCCTGCCAAGGATCTTCAGATTCTGGCCACTGCGAGCGCGACGACGTGGAGTGATTTGACTCGGGCGTTGCGCTGGTTCCCGATTCCGATGAATAATCTCCTTGTTGTCCGTCGCCGCTTTGTCTTTGACGAATATGCTTGTCGCTGTAATACCTGCCGTCTTCGAAAACAGACCAATGATCGGGTGGCGGGGCAGTGACCATAGAAGGGAGCCCCGTTACGGACTGTAACATCGAGGAGATCTGCTCGTCGGCAAAGCGACGGAAAGCAACGAATGGATTGTCGTCATCAGGCCATAGTTGGGAGTTTTCAGCGGACGAGTGTCTGTGGCGACTTGCGTTTTCGTCACCTGGCATGGTCGATTCCTATTTCGGGGGGGGTGAGGGGGGATTCAGTACATAGATATAGCAGATTGATCAAGTAGATGTCGATCAGGATCCGACCCTAGATGGAAAGAGAAAAAGGGCAGAAAAAAAAAAGATGATGGGGAAGTGTATGATAGTAAAAGTGGAGAATGGATGAAGCTGTTGGGGAAATTCAATGATTAATTAATCAATCGCCCCACTCTCTCACTGTCCATTCAACTATCACCACGTGATCATTCATGCAAACACGACAAACTGTTGGTTCCCTTTCCCACTTTACAAAGCGCGTAACTTATGCAATTCATTGGTGTTTCCACTATGCAGCAGTCTGTGGTCCAAAAGAAGTACATGAATTTCCCTACGGGTTATATGTCACAAATTTACAAGCCCGACCTGACATAGGACAGCTCTTCAAAGATGGGAGCGGTCATCAAACTCTTCCCATGCACCATCGAAACCTGTGGAACGGACCCACACTGAATGCTCATCAGAAGTTGAGTCCATAACTGTATCCGTTATTAGCAACGACGGTTGGCTGTTATGCGCAGTTTGTCACTTCCACTCACCCATGTTCCCAATCTTTAGCCACATATCACCGGTGATCATCAATCCCCTTTCCTTGGCCTTGGTCTCATAGGGGCGGCAGATTCTCTCGCCGTTTGCCATGGCTCTTGCCAGCTTGCCAATATGTCCGTCATCTCTTGGATGTGCATTGGCATACGCAAAAACATCCTCCCAACTCCTCGACGACTGGTACTCGGTCACCTCGTTGAGGTGCAGCTCGGGCGTATTGCGTGATACATACAGCAAGAGATTCAATCGTCCCATACCCTCAAGGAGACGTATCTTGGAGCGTATATCTAGCCAAGGGAGTGAGATTAACTTGGTGAAAAATATCGACGCATTCATGCCATGTATATAAAAGAAGTCAAATTTAACCTGCTTGGATGGTCGTTGGGCAGTGGCTGTGAAATAGGCTGGATGGCATACAATTAGCTCCCCTCAATGTGCTCCTCTCCTTGGCCCAGTGTACTCACCAACCGTGTCAATAATCTCGACAAGCTTTTCTTCCAGTTGATCCTTGGAGACGGTGAATTCTGCAGCGTATTTAATCATTTCATCGGGTGCCCGTGCAAGGACGCCGTCCCTCATCCTGTTCCCATCCTCCCAGTGCGCTGAATTAGCTAATTTCCTATCGTTCCGTATCTCTTCCAGGATATGCTGCAATGTTTTCTTTCCCGGCTTTCCAATGCCGCCGGCCGCCTTTTCAGCAGGGAAGAGGAACATTGGCCCAGTCCAATTTTCATGCGTAGCAGTCTGCGCAAGGGCCTCTGCTATGATGGCAGGCTGATTGAACTCAATTCCAAATCCCAAGTGGATGAGTGGATGAATGAGACCTATGAAGTACAAGTAAGCTTTGCACATACGTAAGATCTCTATCTGAACTAGGAAATTACCTCCGAACAATCTTGCCAGCATGTCTTGCGCAATATCATCCTCGGCGAAAACGTATTGGTTGACAGTATCCTCAACCCCTTTCTTCTCGATCTCTCGTTGAAAGAATTCCAAGAAATTGGGGTAATCTTCTCGGTTGCCTAAGCTATCTTTGAACTGGGCCTGGTCGTATAATGACTGGACTACACTCTCGTTGGTTGGTAAAACAGGCTTCTGATAGCTTTTGTCTCTCTCATAAGCAGCCTTTAACTCATTCGGGGAAGCTCCGAGGGCAAACATGGTTAGGATATGGTGAACGATGTGATCTACTACGTTAGGATTATGACCCCTTTCTAGGACATCAAGTCTAACTTACTATGGAACCCCGAATCATTAAAGTAAATGTGATTCTTCTCTAGATTGTCTTGTAAAATTTTGCTGGCGGCTCGAGCAGAATCCTCCCTGGCCCCGGCGGAGAGGACACCAGAGTCAGATGTGGACAGTTCAATCTTCCGTGCCGTAGCCATTGTGCGTCGTATAATAGTATTAGCGCGACACGTGGTAGCTTCAGAAGAGTCAAGGCGAATCCCTGTTGCCCGATAATTGAGTATCCCGAACGGAGACGAAGGTGAAATTGAAATTCGCCAGGGATGTTGAACTAGCGGAGTATAATCAATAAAGCTCTTAGAGCCCAAACACCGAGAATGACCAGCTTGAGGTTGTCTCGGCAAGATGAACGACCGTTGTACAAGTTGGCGGCGTGCCAATGGAATGCGAAAACGATGGCGATTCATACAAGCCCGGGAGAAGGATGACCAGGAACCATTGCCTCGGACAAGCTTATTTAATGAATTGAATTAATGCGGGGAAGGTTGTAAATTATTAGCTATTATAACAAATCCAGTCGGTCTTTCGGAGCTTCGCCCCGCCCGATCGACGTCATTTATATTTCAGTCTGAAAGCATATACCAATCATAAAACAACGACCTCGTATTCTACAAAGGTGGTTAGTAATCCTATTTATTCTATCTCGATCTGGAAGGAGTCTGGATTGCATCTCGACCGCCTTGCTTATATAGGTAGGCGTACTTACTGTACTATCTCTACGCATCTATCAGTCAATTTTGGAGGGAATCTAAGCTAGTAATAGTCTATCGACAAAGTAACGGAGTAGGCAGATCACTACCAACCGAGATCGTCGCACCTGTATTCCTCTACTGAGTTCTCCTCGCTCGCGGATTGCCTCTCGTCCAGGCCCAATAGTCTTCTGCATCTCCAGAACTTGGTGTTTGGTCAGTTTCAATCTAGGGACGCGTTCTAACTTCAAAAATCCCCTGAGGAAGACAAGTCTCGAGTATACAGGAATCACTTTGGGCATATATGTTCTCTTCTTTCTCCTGCGCACTAATCATCCTGTTCCATCAAAACCCGCAATATTGTCGAAGTAAAACAAGATCAATCCTAATATAGTCAACCATGAATCTCCTCTATCTAGTACTGCTCCAGTATCCTGCCCTATTCCTTGCAATCCCAGGGACTGCCTTAAGTGCATATCAATCAAGAACCCGTCCCTACTATGACAAACCTGATACGTGGATGCGCTCCAAGTACAACTAGAGCCTAACTGATTAAGAGAAGTTTATCCTACATGTGGTCACATCAGGGACTACTGTTGCACCTAGGGAGGATGAGATGCGCGAATTGCTGCTTCCTCCTGACATGCTTCCTCGACATAAATCGGGCCCGAGGCACTGTGGTTCTTCATAAGCAATCCGCGGGCACACTGAAGTTAGTGTCTCTCTGTGTATCTGTCTGTCTATATATCCTTCAGCCCTAGTGGCTAGTGCGGGCGTTGTTATCTATCTCCTTCCTATTAGCTTTTGGTTGATTCTCAGTCAGCACGGCATCATCCCGTCAATTTGCGACATCTTGGTAACAGCGTCATGTTAAATGGGACTGCAAATCGTTGATGCAAGCCTTGAGCCATGGAAGTGGGGGGTTGCCCATTCAATTGTCATGACTGTTTGTGATGCATACTATGGACGATGGTTTGATTTTTGATTATTTCGTCAGCCTGATATGTCCCTAACGAGGAACATATCAGGGTAGGCATAGTCAGGCTCGATCAGTGAATGGTTTATCAAATTTATGTTATAACCTGCTTAATGGATATAGCTAGATTTACGGATTTATACGCTGACTTGAATATAACTGCTATCTAGGAAGCAGATGCCCTGAGGACACTCCCTCGTGTAGAAGACAGTCTTGGCTCAAGTTATTAAATGTACAGTACTTTGTCCAACAAAATGATACGTTTTCTCTGTCGGTCCCCAAATTATCAGAATAAAGCAATCGGGATAAGCACCCATCCACAACCTGACAGCTCCATAGAAAAGAAGGTCTTCTCAGATAGTGGATACAGTTTACCTTCAGGACAGGAGTAGACAAATAACAAGACCATTCAGCCACATAGCTCATCCTCCAGGGGGAAGGTGCAGAAAAGGATACCGATCATCATTACATCCCTTGATTCCTAATTAGACCAGCGGCACCAGCCAACTACTCCGTACTCAAGAGCGACAAAGCCTCTATCCAGTATAACCCTCATGGTTGAGCATATTATGAAGGAACCCACATCAATTGGACAGGATAGACCAGGAGTAAAATGCTTGGATAACCTCCACATATGAGAGCGGAGCTCTAGCCCCATCTCAACAGTCAATGAACTAATGTTAAGAAAGTTTAGTGTCGGAGCCCATCTATCCAATTCCACCAAAGTTTGCCCTCAACCCATCCGATAAAAAGAGGTATCCCGCCCCCGAAATCGGTGTAAGTCGTGAATAACCTCAGGAGCCCCTACTAAACCCCCAAAACTAGCCTGGGAAGAGCTAGTCGGGGCCGAGTGCTTCAGGTAGGTAACAATAGAAACGGAACCAGTATCACGTTCATGAACGGGTCTTGGCCGGGCGTCTTATTTAAGATGTCTGAGAAGCTATCTAAAACAAGACATTGATGATCCGTTGGTCTGAATGACCAGATCTACAGGCTCACTTGGCTTGCTTCTTAATACGTACCCTCCACTAGTGTTACCGTATAGCCCCTAAGGGACAAGAGAATCGCACATATCATGAGAGCCTTCTATCTGAGAAACAACTATCATACATAGTTTTGACACGCACGGATAACCCCATAGGATCTACTATCTATCCCGTTTACCAACTACTATAGACCTCGACAACTGACAGTAAACCCATCTCACCTTTCTCAGGTATCGATTAACATACCGCCTCCAACAGCATACAATAACATATAGACCTTTTCACCCTCCTACTTCGCCGCAAGAAAACAATCCAACCATTCTCTTATTTTCATACTTTCTTTCCTTTCTAACCCAGCCACTCTTTACATTCACTCATTAAACCCGACATTGCGCTTCTCCTCCCTCGCAATCACCATCATCGCAACCGGCGCCCTTGCGGCCTCAGCCCCAGTCCTAGTGCCAGAATTGCCAGCTCCAGTCTCGCTTCGACTCCGACTCCCAGCCCCACCGTTGGCTGTTGTTAACCTGTAATCCTTTTTGGCGAGTATCTACGCAGGTTAAATGTATCTAGGAGCTGGGGGAGTGTAACAAATAAAAGCTATGGTTAGACTACATGGGGTTGTTATAGAATATAGAGTTAGGTAGTAGAAGTTTGAGCTGGGGTAGGTTTACTGTCTAGTTGTTCTATCTATTGGGGTTTTGTCTTTTGTGAAGTGGTTCTTTTGTGGCTGATTATTGTTTTCGAAGTAGAGAATACTGCACTGCTTGCTTGAGTGATGGCTTTCTGTTTCCTGAGTTTGAGAGGATAGAGTCAGCTGGAGAGACTAGTTAAGGTTGTACTTAGTTTTGTGGAGCGAGATTTACGGAAGTGGTCCTTGCGAATGTGATATTGTTAGACTCCTGCCCTTTGACCAAGTGCATTTGCAAAAATTTAAAATACATGGATATGGAAGCGACATAGCAGATTATAGTAGATTTTTATTATATATCCTGTGGATAGATGATGTCAACTGCTTTTCAAGAAACAGATGCAGGACCAATGCAACCCTATTACCAGGAGGAAAAGTACCAATCTGATGAATGAAACCGAGTCAAACTCGAGTTCCTTTGGCATCTATATCAATTCATGCCCAATCCTCCATTTCCTTTTTTCTCTTCAGACGCTCCCGCTCGATCTTGCGGAATAGCGGATGATGTCCAGCCTTGTCCTTCAGCTGCTTGTTCCTGCTCTTGTTGTATTCGATATATGCCATGTTTTCTCCACCTGCCAATCCGCTAAGGGTAGCCGCACTGCGTTTGACGGCTCCCTTCTTCGCCCTAGGTCCACCAGAACGTTCAGAGAACAAGTCATCCGTGACAGCTTCTACATCCGCAGATGTTTCATTCTGCAACATGACCTCTTGTAGAAGCTCACGTCGTTCACCCGGAGTGGCATAGGCCAGTCCGTCCAGGTTTTCAATGCCTTGAAGGTGGGTGATAACCTTGAAAGCATAGCCTTGGTCAACAAGGAAAGCTTGTCGTTTGGAAGAATAGAACATCTCATCCGTATCCTTAGAGACAAGCGAGTAGAAAAATGCATTGAAGCCCTCGTCATTACGACGCTTAGCCCGCAAAATACGGCCTAGCCGTTGAGCTTCCTGACGACGGGAACCATAATGTGAGGAAATCTGGATGAGACAGGTTGCCTCGGGCAGATCCAGAGACGTATCTCCAATTTTCGACAGAAAGATGGTGTTTACTTGCTCGTTGTGCTGGAAGTTCTCCAGGATTCGCATACGTTCGTTCTGGGGAGTGCCACCATAAATATAGGCCTTGTTCAATTTAAGGGCATAACGCTCAAGAGCATAGACATTATCAGAAAACACAATGACCTTGTCTCCTCGCTTTTCATGGTAGTCGATAAGGAATTGACAAGCCTGGAACTTCCGAGGGTTCATGATGTAAAGCAGGGCTGCCTTCCTCGACTTCTCTCTCATATACTCGGAATAGAATTCCGTAGTCATAGGACACCACACCTCAGCACATTGGACCTTAGCAATATGTCCTTGTTCCGCAAGTTCCATCCAGTTGGCTTCGTATAGCTTGGGGCCAATCAAGAAGTTCAAATCCTTAATCTTATCATCTTCACGCAAGAGGGTTGCAGTCAACCCGAGTTTGCTTTGTGTTGCGATAGCCGATGTAACTTTACGGAACATTGATGCAGGCACGACGTGCACCTCGTCGAGAATCATTAAGCCCCATTCTCGTGATTGGATCCAGTCCATCATTTTCTGTGCGTCATGAGACCGGGCTCTTGTTTGCGAAACCATTGAGTATGTCGAAACAATGATACCGGTCGACCTGCGGAATTTTTCCTTGTTGTCTGAGGTAAACACGGCAATATCGCCTGGGTCAATATTCGACCATCGGAGGAACTCATTCCTCCACTGAACCACAGACATGGAACTCGTACAGAGGATAATTGTACCCTTCTTAATAGTACAAGCAGCCGTAATACCGACTAAGGTTTTTCCGGCACCACAAGGAAGGACGATAATACCACTCTTAGCACGTCCGTTACCGAACATTTTACTCAAGCTTTTCTCCTGGTAACTCCTGATCCGGGCCTGCGGTTTCAAGTCGATATCCAATGTAGGGTTGATTTCGTCGTTCCGGAAGTCATACTCCTCCAACGCCGGGCAGCCCATTGCCTGGCAGCGTGCCTTGACAGGCTCCACTGCCTCGTTCGGAATCTCAAAACTATGGACCTGAGCTTGCTCTTCTTCGTCATCCTCATCGCGTATGGCTAGAAGTAAATCGTCCTCCAGGCTCTTCTCTCCCTGATTTTCTTCTACCGGCGGCTGCTGGTCCGTGCTCTGCTTCACTCCTGCTGCATCCTTGGTTCCAGGAATGACGAGTCCACCCATTTTTGGAGCAGCTTGCTGGGTGATGCCGGCTGAAGCATGCTGTAGCCTCTGAGCTCCAATGACTTCATCCTGGAGAAGCATCTGCAACATAGACGGGTCTGTGCTTTCCACAAAGAAGCGATTATGTTTCACCACGACCTTGATCTTTCCGTATGACTTTGTAAAATCGATGATGAAGGATTTGATCGTATCCGGGAGGGGCGTCTTCGACAACCGGTCAAGGAAGTTGATGATATCCTGAGGCTGAAGACCAACTGATACCGCCGCATACAAACTATTTCCCGTCAACCTGTATTCGTGCAGATGGGTCGGACGTGACAGCGGTTCGGCGATGGTGGTCAGGAAGTCCTGCGCTTGGGGGGCCAACGGAGAGAAACTCTCCAGGGTGATGGTTCCTTTCAGAGGGTCGATCCACAGGGGACGGTTCGCATGGTCGGGTTTCAAGGATAATGAGGAGAAGTCCTTGTAGCCAAAATTTGGATCTTGCGTCTGCACGGAGCTCTTCTTGTTACTGAACGATTCGAGGGAGAACTTGTCCACGACCTCTTGAAACAAGTCAGCACCAGGGTGATTACTTTTCAAGAGGTCCCCTTATAATACCTTTCAGGCTGTCTTCCTTTGGATCATATTCTGAAAATTCATCGCTACTATCGACATCCTGAATGTCCGGAACGGGGGTCGCGCGCTTCGAAGCTCTACTTGACCGACCGCCTAACAAAGGTCAGTCCTGTCATCTACCGGATTCCGGGGAAGGGAGTATACTGTCAGTTGCCTTGCGCTTAACAGGCATATTGTTGTACTGTATGATAGCGCCCTGAAACCGATGTCTATTGTCTATTGCGTTGATGGTATGGCAAAACGAGTGCGTACAGCCCAAGGCTACCAGCGCCTCAGTTGAGTACCATGTAAATCTAAATGTCTTTTTTTTAGGTTTGGAATACGAGCAGTACCGTCCAGCTGAAATAAAATTATAAGAAGCTGGAAGCAATAAGCAAGTTGAAGGAGGAAGTGAGAAGAGAGAGACGAAGACGACGAAAATCAGATGTAATCCGATGAGATCGATGCTTACTCCGATGTTAGTCAGCCTGAGGCATCCAGATTTGGCGTAGAAGGCGGAAGAGCAGGATGATTGGCTGGCGGCCCAGCAATGGCTTTTAGAGCGAAACGGCCTGCCAAGTTCCGACCGTCGGCCGAGTGTTGACGTAGATCCCACTCCATCTTCATTTTTCCTTCAATTGAGGATACTTGGCTCAATCTCGGTGACCGCACAATAGACAACATGAACACGGTAGGTGCTCTATGGCTGTAATCGTATCAACCGTGCATTCACACTGACAGCTTCTTGGGGAAACCTGTAGATCCGATCTACCTGGTGAGCGGGAGACCAGCTGCTAAGCTTCACTATATCCGGGTGGCATGGAACCCAGATTACTGACTTGCAATCGACACACGTCAACAGGGTGGGCTGGGGTGCTCTCTGCGTCGGTAAGACAACTGTGATGGCAAGCAATTACATTCGATGTTCCACGACTAACCGCGATAACAACCAGCTGGCGGCGGAGCCTATTATTTCGCTAAGAAATCGATCAACGCCGACCGAGCTGCTCGATATGAAGCCGAGACCAAGCGGAAAGCAAAGCTTGCGCAGGTGGAAGCTGAGCACCGACGTCAGTCAACTCTTAACCAGCGAGTCCCGACCCCGTCCGACTCCGCCAGCTTGAAACGGGCCAACATGGCGCAGTTCCAAAGCGCAGCGGACGATGTAGCCTCACCAAGCGCGGAAGCCAGCCACGATCCCGCTCCAACTCGGCACGAGCCCGAATCGGAAGCAGATCGGGTGCTGGAGAAAGGGAAGTATGAGGCTGCACAACCGTTCCGACCTCCTCGGGGAAATCGATTCAGTTGAGCGCGGTAGCACTCGCGTTTTACGGGCTTGCGGAGATGATCTTGTTTTCCGGGGAAAAAATGATCATAATAATAGAGATAGCAAAATGTCATATGCACCAGTTGATTCTGTGGTATAAGTTTGTATCATATATCATATTTTTTGCGAGCTAGCCGACTTCTTGAACCTCGCGAAGTCTTGCGGAGGTCCTCAGTGTATACTTTACGGGTTATTTTAGGGAATTAGAATGCGGCCTTCATTTGAGTATTCATCCTGTGAATTAGATCTCAAAAAGTTATACCGTTTTAAAGGCAAATAACGCGGCCGTGCTTCATCCTGCCTTGCAACCATATGATCATGTCACTTCCCTACAAGAGGAAAGAACATACAATTTGAATGTGGGTAAGTTCAGATGACCGCTGCGGTGATCATGCATTTCTCTGGTCCACATGGTAGGCAAATCCCCCAGAATTCGTAATTATAAAGGACCGCAGTGAGAACAAAAATTAAGGATGGGTAATACTGATCCAAAAGAAAACGCCAGCAAACTCCAACGGTCTGTGCTTGGCACCACGGATTCCATGTTGTCGTGTATATAAATGAATGCATGTCAACGCCTGTACTCCTGCCAGTTGCAAGTCCACTCGAGGTGATGATATCGAGAGAGAAAAAGGAAATAAGTCGTAATGTCAAAGATTAAGAGTCGTACGGAAATATCCCAGATGGCCAGGAACCGTTATTCTTAACGGGCATGGAAACAGAGAGGGGGAGGCCTATTGGAGAAAAGGTCAGCCAATCAGGAACCGAGACCTCGTATACAAATCTTGAGGAGTCGAGATGGTTAGTACTTATTATAGTTGGGACCACCCGTACTTTTGGCGCGAGAGCTTTCAAGAGCTGGCGGAACAAATGGCAACACCACCGCAGAAAAGAGACACGAGCTGGTGACGAATCGGGAGATGCGAGTATCTGGCCGTGGACGGCGGACAGAGAAATGGCGAATCGCTGGGCGGACGAACTGAACGGCGAGAGCCATCTTGTAGTTGTAGCTGCAGTGCAATGCAGGTAGTGAAGTGTATTATAGTGTAGTCTTGTATGATTGTATCGCGTAGCTTGGTACTTGTAGCGTACAGTATGTGGTACGATAAATTTGACGGAGTTGGGAAAGAAACAGTGGTAATCACGAGAATTTAAAATTTGAACTGTCGTCCAACACAGAGAAGAAACAACAGGGGTTTCTCAATATATAGGGGTTGAGAGATATTATTATTAGTAGTAGTAGGACCAACAACGTTGTATAGAGAGAAGGGAGCCGAGTGGGCCGATTTGTTGCGACCCAGTGGAGACTTTTTGTATTGTTGCTCTGCGGGGTTTCTTTCTCATAAATAAAATAAAATGAAACTAAAAGTGTGTCGATGATGACATGGTGTGAAGGGGGAAACATTCTATTCTCCTAATTCCCTGTAAAGTACTCTTTACTATTACCTATAAGAGGATGCACTGTTGTTACGACGCTCAGCATGATCAATATAATTACAATTAAAAAGAAATATATAAGGGGAAAATACACAAAGTGGTAACAAAATCAAGATGCTTAAAGCCATAGGGCATCAACCAACGGTAAATGAATTCCGTGATGTGCAAACTCACGCCATTGAGGGGCAAAATGGACTTCCGGCCGAAGGAAAGATTTATTTTAATTTATTTACTTTATTATCAATAAATAGGGTGCAGGAACACGGGCGGGGATCGCGTTTCCGTCGCATCATTCGATACCTGCGGCGCTAATTCATCGTCATTCAGTGCTCTGATGGCGGCAACTACCCTTCCGAAGGCAGCGGTGTGCTTTTCTTTCCTTTGTCTGCCTGTGGTCCCTAAAATTGCCATAGTTACCTAACATCCCCCTGTTTCAACTCAAAGTCTAGTATTTTATGCTATACGACACGTCGGCGGGTTGAAATAACGCTCTAATCCCACCTTCTGGAAGATCTTCAGTCAGCGCTTGAGAATGATCTTTTAGCCCTACATTGGTAGATGTATGTATGTAACTTTTCCAGGGCTCAAGCTTCTCTACGATGATTATATGAGTTGGTGGGTCAGCGATTTATACTACTACTAGTTAGGGCATCTTGCTCCCCACGAGCAATAATCACGTACTACTAATACTAGTAGTAAAAGAAACTGTTTCCTTCGTCACTTATTATACTAAGTTATATTCCAAGTATAAACCTGGGGAATTCACATCAATAGGCCTGCAGACAGATATGGCTTAGTCTAGTATCTGGTTAGGAAAGGAATCCATTGGAAAGAACTATAGTAGATCTAGAAGACACAATAATATATCATCGCTCGACCCACTTAATTTAGGTCAAGCTTATACTGTAGATAACAAAGTGCAGGGCTGCGCTTTGTCCCACTAGCCTAGTTGGAAGAGTTTGTCATGTTTAGTGCTGATCGTGGAGAACTCTTTCTTTTGTGACATGTATATATATGTATGGAGTCTGACATGAGTACCCACCGCCATACCTATCCAAGGCTTAATCTAGGAGCAAGGTCGGTGGTCGATGGTTAATTATCGTACCATGATGTAGGGCTGTGAGGCTATTAGAGCAAAACTACTACATGGCTTGGCTAAAGATGGTGCCGATGATCGTAGATAGGATCTACATACATCGAAAGACTGATGCTCCACCAGTGGCTGCAAGACACCAGAGTTAATTTTCATCATACCACCTCTCCACTTTCCCCCATCGAGAACCACGTACACTTAATGTCATGAAAGGAAGTCTGTCTTTCTCCTTCAAACTTTTGAGATGACTATACATCTATAAATGCATGTATATGTACACGAAAGTAAATATAAGCAGTAAATAAAAAAGGTAAACACGATGACACTGTTGTTGAGAGATAGAAACGCAAAGAAGACCTGAAGAGGGAATATGGGACAATCCTATAGTTTACTATGCGAGGTAGAAAATAGACTAGTCTCCATGTATAACAATTTTCATAGCGTGAAGCTAGCATCTAATGCCGTCTTCCGTGATGATGACGGTGTTGAAGTCTTCTAACGTGGCTGCTATGGAGATGGGAAGATGGAGTTCTGTTAGAAGAATCACTTGCAAGTGCATCCAACTGGCCACTCGCCATATCAGTTGACTCCTGTTTGTGTGGTAGGCTGCTATTTGCAACAACGGGACCGAATCCTACACACGCGTCTGGTAGGGCCTCCTTGAGATCCTGCCGGAGGTTAGCGATCTTACCAATACCTTGCATGTATGCGCAACTTACCGCAATAGTTATCTTTGCCAATGGGTTCGCCGAGTCACTGGCTTTCGCAATTTCTGCATTAAGACTAATGCCGGCCGAGGGGACCACGCTGACACCAAGGACATGGTGCTCTGCATCATTCGCACAGGCATCACTAGTTGCTAGATCCGTCAGCCAAAGAAAAGAAAAGAAAGCATGACTTCTACTCACACCCAGAAAGAGCAAATGTAGCTCCAAGGACAGGCTTCAGATTGATTCCTGCCTGAAACCCATGACCTGTTCAGATCAGTAATGCTATCCATGCATGTAATATCAATCGTACATACCGAACGCTACAGCGGCTAATTGGATTGCAGCTTTGGCATGAAAATCCACGCCAGCCTTATTTTGAGCATCTACCTTCATGGGTTCAGTACGCAACTGCGGGGTCCACCAGGAGTGCACTACCTGAGGTGAGATAAGGTCAATCTTGAGCTCTGCAGAGTCCATGAGTTCGATATCTATTCCTGAAGAAACCGATGCCGATCCAGAAACCGGCCCCACGCTGAATCCAGGGCTAAAGACAACTTCTGGACCTAAATCTAAGATCCTAGGAATTGAATACCCATATATCGGTACTTTGGCAATGTCGAACTCTTGAGAAGATCGATCGGTAAAGTCTCCACTCAACGTCAATTTGGGCCCTATTCTTGCAGACACGCCGTGGAAAATGAGTGTGAATGTTGCAGCCTTTGGTATATGCTTATCGGTCTTTCAGATAGAAACCAAGTTCGAGGCTTCCCTTAGTTCCACAGCTATCGCACGACAGTGTGAGAGAGAAGGCATCACTAGGAGTAGAGAAACCCTTCTTGGGAAGGTCCCACAGATGATTGAAGTCCATGGTCAGGCTCTTGTCGTGTTCTCCCCTCTTTTTGTGCTGCAGCACGACACATGCATTATGCACGGTTTTTATAGCCACTTTTCCCACTGAGAGCTCCAAGGAATCGAATACGTCTTTCCAATCTGATCGTCGAGCCTGCTATTTGCAGTCTTACTGTGCTCATCAAATCGAACTTCTGAAACGGCAAGGGGCAACCTATGAGTATTCCATCCACACTGGCCAGTGCCGACAATCAGAACGAGGGTGTTACGTTCGATATTTAACCCATTTCCATGCGCGCTTGGTAAATGCGAACGACTTATGGTCTTTGAAACTGACTGCCAAACTAGTGTTGGCGCAATGAATTGACTTCAATAGGTACTTGAATTTCTCCATGGAGATAACGCTCGTGTCGTCATCGTTATCGACTATAACTTCGGCGAAAGCTGTGTTTCCATCTTGAGACGCTGTTGCTAGGAGTTTAGAGGATTTTTGATTGATCTGGATGTTTCGGGCATGCCGCCCCAGTAGGAAGTGTCCTGCTTCTGAGGCTCCAGATGAGAATGATGTGACTTATTACGGTATCGTGTACGTCGCACTAGAAGCTGTTTACTGAACGCCTTAGGTGGTTCGGCATCGCGTAATATTAGAGGCGCACTTCGTTGAAGAGAAAGGGTAATTAAACGGCTGAAAGATAGCCACGAACGAAGAAAATTGACCATTTTGGCTGTCTGGGCTCAGCGTCACGACAGTGGCGCGATAGGGCACCAATGCTCAAGCTGGCAAGAAGAGCATCCGAATAGTTGGAAACAGCTGTATGGATGAATGTTCGTGTGCCAAACTTCATGTTCGAGAGGTCTTCGCCTATATATGAGGAGCTGAGTGTGGTCCAGCTTCCCAGATCAGCAAATCACCCTGTCATGTAGCTCTACTACCAACTTCACTATCCGTAGTGTGGGGGGTATGGGACTGTTCAGGGTTTCTATCTGATAGCGTGGTGGAATCATTCTTGGCAGGGCAGGATTTTAATTCAGGATGCTTCGGATAAGCGGTAAAGCTAATGTAGGCAAAAGAGCAGTATCCCTATGCGCCTTCGCCTTTTCCAGAAGAAATCTCCATTACAATCAACATCACCTCGGGCTGACCAGTGAATTGTGGCTCATATTGTGTGGGAGGCGCAGCCATGGTTGTATGAAAGATAACATATGCGAATATGTACCCTGTTTGAGCAACTAAGCTGATCAAAAGCTCGAGCATTGAATAGCATATCCAGCATCTCAGCTTTTTTTTTTGCCACTGTGCATATTGGTACAATTAAACTAATACAGGCAGGAGTACGCCAAAGACGTGTGTACGTATTGAGACATATATGTAGGATTAGATGACTACTGAAATGGGAAAATAGGGTTCACTTTGGCTGGTTAAAGTGCCAAGATTTTCCGTTATTAGTGAGACATTAGTTCAATAGGACCGTTAGACTGTGCTACTAGTATCTTATATTAACGACGTCTTATAGATAGATCCTGCACAGCGGCACAGCCATATTCGAATCCCAGGCGCCTGTGAAACTCAGTATACTCCGCTCATTTCGGGGTAGAGCCGAGTTCGGAGCTGAAAAAAGTATAAGTTCCGACGCTGCAGATCAATGTCGCTGTACGTAAGAAGTATTAACACAAGATAATCGAAATAGACAAAGCTAGGGACTCAGGGTTCTCTCCTGTCCGTATAAAGTGATGCGGCCAATTGTGGTCTGCTAGATTACTAGCTTCAAGTATCCTTGTAATTTTCCGGTACAGATCAACGGCGCGCTATGGGCCATGCTGTGAACCAAGGAATATTTTGATATCTCCCGTTGAACTTCCAAATGAAACCCACTTAAGGAGGAAGCCCACATGGCAAAGCTGAAGGCTGCTGACAGCAAGATCCACTCCCAACGCCATATGTGGTATAAAATTCGGGGAGAAGAGTTTGCGGTTCATCAAACTGTCGTTATAATAAGTTTTGTAATCGGTATTACCACATATAGGCTACCTTAGCCTGCTGATATCCTCTGACCGAAGCGGTCCAATAGCCACACTCCCAAGGGACTTTATTGGTCATGCTCTTTACTCCTATGACAAACCACTGTAGATCCAGGAGATTCTTCAGCTGCAGTAGTCGGGTATATAGCTTACTGAACATGGACAGGATGGAGATCATCTCTCCAACGCACAATTAGAATGATCCTTTGTTCCCACTGCGTATACGTTGAGCCAAGGTCTTTCTGGTAGTCCCACCCGAGAGGCGACAGCAATGCAACAATGTGAGCTCTATACTCCTTGCATATTCAACGAAGATTTCTCTGAAAAGGTGGAGTTTATATGAAACTTTGTAGACTATTTTTAGGGCAGGTTCCTAGAAAATGTCCACTGTAGGAACTACCCATAACTTTAGGACTTCGTATACCCACCTATATATTTTATTCGATGAGTTGGGGTTCTTAGTACATCTCTTTGTCTTACATCGCACTGCATGATGTCATGCACGAAAGCCAATCTGCAGAGGCCTTTTATCGCATCCATCTAGATAACTTTGAAAGTACTAGTATCGATGTAACTTCCATGCCCCAGGGTCAGCTGCATGATATAGCCGTGAAATCCTTGCCAAGGGATTCATCTGTGAATATGGGATTTGTATCGTAGCAAGTGTTGGACAGTAGCAGCCCTCGTGTGGCTTTTTTTGACATATGATCTTTGATATTACTGCTTCTATGAGAAAGTTGGTCAGAAAGGGGAACAGTATGAGAATCTAGGATTGGTCACGTGCGATAAGCGGAACCTTCAGCACAATCAACACTCCGTCGCCAAACTGACATCAAGAACCCCCAACACCACCACCCTTGAAGAGATACTGCTGCCCGCAATGGCCTCTCATCAACTTGCCATTGCGAAGGCCTCTTTCTCCGCGGGGCTTTTACGCCCAGACCCTACGTCTGTCCCGCGCGACGAGATTACAGCATTCCATACCTCACTCGACAGGGCGCTATCGCATTGCTCCCCAGCAAACATCCAGGTTTGATTGCGAGTCCTTGGCATCGGTGTAAACTGCAATACTAAATTTGTGACTCGGCGCGGCCGCTAGACCTGTAAAGAATGGCTTCTCAATTACGTCGTCTCGTCGTCTAATCGGGTAAATGTTTGGGCCAAATACCTGGTTGCGCTATCCAGTTCATTCAGCGAGGACGGAGAGCAACCGCAAGCCAAGCCGCAGCAGACCCAGTCCGCTTCCATGAAAAGGAAAAGGTTGCACATACTATACCTGCTGAATGATTTATTCCATCATACCAAGTATCATCTGGATTCGACTGCCGCATTTTCCACCTTTACTGGTTCATCACAGCCGTACATTGTGGAGTTGCTAGGCTACGCTGCTTCCTACGACCGAGAGAAGAACCCGAAACACCATCGACGACTGGATGCACTGTTGGATATTTGGGATCAGCATGGCTACTACGGCAGTGATTATGTCAACAAACTGCGGGAGGTGGTCAAGAACTCCGCATTGTCGGGCCCTGTCAAGGCATCCATTGACGTCGAAGAAAGTAACACAGACTCTGCGAACCGACTTCCGAGCAAGGATGTACCATTTACCATGCCATCCACCCATGGGGACCCGTCTACTCCTTACTATGACCTTCCCGCTGGTAACCTTGTCCCTCACATCATCCCGGACTCAACTGCGCCTCTTCGTCCGGATTCGGTCAAACCACTGCAATTCCTGGCTGGGCCAGCGGATGACAAGCTGGTAGACGCGTTAAAAGCGTTTCTAAAAGACGTTGATCAGATTTATGGAGCCGATAAACCAGAGCCCAAGGGAGATGAGATAGTCGATATAGACGAGCTAGGCCAGACAGTCATTCGTGACGGGATTACAGGCGACATTCTCGATAGTGATACATACTATGGCTGGTCCCGAGGATTCTGCCAACGGATGAAGAGAAGCTCAAAATCCGGCTCTCGAAGCCGGAGCCAAAGCCCTCACAAGAGAAGGCGTTACAGCGATAGCCTCAGCGACGATAGCAGACGGAGCAGATCAAGGTCACGGACTCGCACACCACCTCGTAGATTTGGCCGATACGACTCTCGTTCACGCTCTGTTTCTCAATCGCGATCACGTTCCAGGGAGCGATCTTATTCCCCTCGCCCTCCATCACCACCACGGAGTATGCCCCCAGCACACCACCACAACCAGTTCAACAACGGGGTGCCTCCAGGCTTCCCCCCGCCGCCACTGCCAATGCATTTCCCACCGGGACCACCCGCATTTTCTCAGGGTATGCCAGGAGCACCTCCACCTCCACCTAATTATCAGGGGCAATGGCCACCCCCGCCCCCACCTCTGCCAAAATACGGCCCTTCCAACTTTCCACCCCCGTTCCAACCACAAGGTGGGCAGTTTCCTCAGCAATTCCCCCCAGTACATGTACCACAGGGACAGCAGATGCCGCCGGGGTCTTATCACTTCCCTCCGCCTCACTCTGGGAGAGGCTGGAACCAGCATGGCTACCCGCCTGGCCGTGGATGGAGATAGAAATGTTATGTATAATAAGATACTAAAATGATAATCTATGAAAGCCAACAATACAATTCGCACTGTACGGACAAATCTTAACCTACCCACAAAGTAGCTCCACAAATACACTACAATACATTATATAGAAAAGTCTCAAATCAGCCGCAAGAAAGTAAACATTCGAACCTGCACATAACTCCACCTCTACACACACCCAATAACGAACACTACTGACCCGTAGGCACAGCAAACACACCCCTAGAAACCAACCCCCCAGACGAAGCAGCAGCCGCTGAAGACGCTGCCAGAGAACTAGTCATAGCGGCGTAACTCATGGCTTTCTCAATGGGTCGCAGCTTGTTCCTGTTCAGAGCATTCTGTTTATCCGCAAGCGCTTTGTCGAACGGTTCGCATTCCTTGAAGAGGTCGCCTCCTTTTGCCTGTTTGTTTGAGTCAGTTTATGCCCTGTACGTGGACATACAAGGGATGGTTTGAGAGGACGGGAAGGGGAGCATACGTTCTTCCCCGGCTGGCCATTACAACACATGACATCATGTCTGCAGTCTGTGTTCGGGTCTGTATCGGACATTTCTAGGCCTATCATTGTATCATATTTAGCATCTGAGTAGCAACATATAAAACAGAGATGGAGAGAAGGAGGGACCAGAGAGGGAACGACCTACAATCAAATCCTAGGATACTACTGATTGTTGTCCCTTCTAGTAATGGGAGGAGGCCACCCAGCGGCTTGGTGATATCATCAGCGATTGAATTGACGCTTTCACAGCATTGTTTAGAACGGTGGGAGGGTGGGCAGGTGTTGTTGTTCGCTGATGCTGAGGCCGAGGCAGCGATGATGGAGCTCAAGACTGGGTCTACGGTTTGTGTGGTTGAAGTTGCAGTTGGGGTTTGGGTCTGCTGCTGGGAGAAAGGGATTGCGGTTGAGAGGGTTATAGTCGTTAAAAGGAGGAATATTGATTTGGGATTCATTTTGGTTCCGGGGGGGGGGGGGGGGGGGGAAGGTGTGTAGTTAATTGCTGTTCACTTTGCGGTCGTATGGAGTTGTTGAATTAGAGTGTCTGGTTCCTGTGGGTGGCGATAGAAGAGGGAGCCTGAGGAGATGTATGTTAGTTTGATAAAAGAACGACGAAGGTATGGTGAGGTACATGCGGTCAATTGCTTTTTATGGGGGCACTCCCTTTGGCAAGGGCTACGCTCATCCCTATGTTTAATGCGCGGCAAGTATCCCCTTGATCAGCTTCGGGTGTAGGTGTGAATGAATATATTCAAAGCGCGCATCGCAGGGTATATGCTGAGACCAGAAACAAGGGATGTGCGACGGGACACGTTGGTATCCGCGATGAAGTTAGAGTGTGTGGATGGAATGCAGTGGCGGGTTAATTAAGAGTAATCAGAAATGCTGGATTTGTCGCGATATAATCGATATCTTTCTTCTAATAATAACAAAAGGGTATATTTGATCACAAAAAATCTGCGTTGTGGGCATTCATTTGTATTGAGGTTAAGACGGGGGATGTAGAAACCCATGCAAGGGACCACAGTTGTGAAGTCAGGATGCAAACCATAAACTTCTGAGGAAGTTTATACATAAGGTATGCACAAGCATCCTGTCAGATTGTATTCGCGTGAAGTGAATCACATTTGATCCAGACTTTAAGCGGTGGAAAAGATATCAAGTGCTGTTGATGCTTGAGCTGATAGTAAAACACGGAAAACCTGTCGTAGTCACTCAAACAAAACACCGTACATGAACATTCTAGGAAAACATTGTACACGAAAGCCGCTAAAACTGTTGTCAAAAGAGAATTATACAGGTATAGCAAATGGTGGAGTAAATGGGGGAGTAAGTTGATTCCTAGCTGTTCGTAACTTAACACGACGAACAGTTATAATCAAAAAAGAAGATGAATTAAAAAATGGCAGAGTCGTAGGCCATAATACAATGACCAGCACTGCAGAACGAACGACTTTATAAAGGCAAAACCAAACTAAAGTGGGTTTCCATTGTTTCTGGGTGGACAGTGTGCCAGCACATCAAAACCAATAGCACTAAACAGGGAACTTGTCATGTCCATTTTAGAGCCGATTGATGCCTTGCAGGTATCAGTTGATGGAGAAAGCTCTAAAAGGAGCATATATATCGAATGGGCTAAAATAAATGAAGGACAGGCACCAATCTCGGCTTGACCACGGGATTGCTCTCAATGCATCTGCTGAAGCAGAACTTCTCTCGCTATAATAAAACGCCTGAGGACACCAAACGGTCTCCTCCACATCACCAGAATCTTGTATACCATATCGTCAACTCGTCAGCAAGACACGCAGTGCCTTTTTGTCAAGGTAACGAGATACCAGTACCACGTTCAACCGCCCCCCCTTGAGGCGCGAACGCTGGCCAGTTTAGAAAGATGGGGGTTTTCCACCGTGCCTAGTAGACTTGCGACCACCTCTCTCACCGAAGTCATGGTGGGAGACACCTGCAGAGGTAGGTGCAGGGCCTCGACGATACATGCCACTAGACAAGTCACCGCTCTCGCCGCTACCTGCACTGCTTCTACTGCTGCAACTGACGGGGGAACCCTTGTCGGCATCCAAGTCGGCGAAGGACGCCATCCGGTTTTGCGTATACTCTAGCATAACGCGGCTATAATTCTCAACTGACGTAGGGGGATTCACCGTACGATCCATCCGAAGGGAACTCCCACCAGGAGGGCGGGTCCCTCCTCCGTCGGGGATATCCATAGGCTGTACGCTTTCCGACTGTTGTATAGAAGTTGTCATGGTTGCTAGCTCTGAGTGAACGGTTAGTTCAAGTCATCATCACAATGTGGCACGTAGCGAGCATCTGCGGCCGGGAAATCATCGTCTCGGTAGCGGTACCATCGTCTACAAAACCGGTTCAGAAAGAGGCATTCCATACGGCTGCTTTCGCGCGAGATAAATAGAGGTCGTGTCAGGCGATGACGGCTCAAATAGCATTGACTCTGGTATGAAAAGGCAGTCTCCCACTTACCTTCACCAGAAGGATGTCAGTAAAAGACGGCAGCCTGGAAGTTGGGAAGTGGTATTTCGAGACGCAGAAGTAGTACGGATAGTGTAGTAGACACAGACGCTATCGGAAGGGTTGAATATTGATCTTTAAATCCGATATAGCAGATAAACCTTGGGAATCCGTGCAACCGGCTCAAATTAATAAGGAAGAGTATGGGCCACGGTCCCTACAAGTGCGATATGAGATCACAAGCGAACAACGACAATATACGAGCAGAAAGAGCATTGGCCAGACTTGATCCACAACGGCAACATGGGAACTTTCACTTCCAACTTGCGCCATGATGTCATTGGCCCGAGGGACGTTCAACTTCAGCCAAACCCTCTCAAGGTCCAAACCCTCCGCCTTGGTGAATCTCCAATAATTCGTTTTTGATCAATCATCTGAAATCGATCGGAATTAACCGTACTCCACAGACCTCATGGGTCGGTAGATGCTCGACCGGCCCACCACTTTACGAAGCAAAATGAAGTCACCGAACAATACGACTGATGGCCTCTGTCGATCACCCAACTCAATATTACTAACCCGTCCCCTGCAGATTGTTGCTAACTATGGCGGGTATCTTCTTTTCTGATCTGTTGCCAACGTTGGAACAATGATGTTAAGGAGGTATGTACCAGGTGTACATATGTGGGACGGCAGACTAATGTTGGCAGAAACAACTCTCCTAACAACAAAACATTTGGGATGGATCTTGGGACCTCGAGAATGCCATGAATGGGCCTAGAACTAACTGATTTGGCATGTGTGATATCAGCCCGTCTGCAAATTTAGATGTCTCTTCCCCTTGAAGTAATCATCGGCATAAAAGGAGCAGAAAAAAAGAAACCGTTTGTTCTGCCCAAACAGAAAAGGAAAAGAAAAGAAAAAGTGGAGATCAGAAAAAGGAAACCAACTATTACCACTAGAGCCCTGACACTGGTTCCCAAAACTGTCGGTATACCGTACTGGAGAGGTCACGGGTATGGTATGTGAGGTGATTTAGGTAGTTCTTCCCTTGGGATATCCGAGCTTATGATGCATGTCTCTGAATACTACATGGTAGGAACCAGTCAAGGCGAGCAGTGGGTTTCCGCCATGAAAAAGACTCCACCAGAGCCATGCGCGAAGGATGCATGTTCGTGCGATAGGAGCAGGAGCAGCAGGAGGTGTGTCTGAGGTTGGAACCCCGTGACGTCAGGGGCGTCGACGGTTAGAAAAAAGGTCAATATCTAGTCAATACACTCAGGGTACCAACGTCCAATCGTCCAAGCTTTTCCTCATGCACAATGGGGATACAACTGGCCCATGTCCACTACTCCTATTGGGATAAGCAACGAAGGCTCCATCATGTTCCACATACCCCTTCAACCCAGAAGTCAAGCCAAATGGAAACCGATTCCGATGACTTGGGATACTCCACCGGCCCCTGTTCCGGGTGCATAAGTGGTGTATCTATCAGAAAGGTACCTAGGTTAAGCGAGCTGTCGCTCGGTTCACTAACACATTCACACGCAAAGAGGAAAAGGAAAATTCCTCACCCTAAGGAGTAAATGGCGGCCGGAGAACTTCGAAAAAGACGGGGCCAGTCGCGAGTATCGTCTACCCATCCCTGAATAGATCATACTCTGGCCTTCCCCCTACACATTAACCAATAGTGACGGACTAAACCTCCGATCAGCATACATATTGCCACCCAGCAGATCAAATTTAGAACAGAGGTGTGAGGCTTCTGAAGACATGCGCTTCTTGAAGTTTCAACAACTGTCACTTGGCAACCTGCATTCCAACGTCATACTAAGTTGGGGATAATTCTTCCTTCAACTCTGCAACGCTGCTCACACCTCCTCACACGGTTACGTTTGATCTTTCTTTCAAAGAGACATTATATTACTAAACATATGATGTAGGACGCATGCAGACCTCGGTTCCATCCGCTTATGTGACCATCGCTTCCTCAGCGCGTTAGTTTCTGAAAGTTGGATCTCCTGCACGAATGAGTATGGGTGTTTACTTCTTACTCACTACTGTGTGGGGGATAGCCTTGATATTCATTGATCCCAGCGTCGAAAAATCTGTAGTAGAATTGCTGTGATGTCGGTACAATAATTTACCGGGACATTTGTTCTTCTTGTCATACCTGGGTCCTTGTTTTGGTCTGGCCTACAGAGTAGAGAAATGTAATCAGTCTAAAACCAGCCTTTACGTAACCGGCGAGATGCATTCTCGTGTCCAAATTCCCAAAAGGATGACGTACAAACCACCTACTCCATGAGGAGATCCGAAAGACTGACTGGATTCTCGAGACCTGGAGCGACGTAGCATTGAAACTCAAACGTTGGTCCACCGCAAACAACCTCCCTTGGCAACGTGTTGTTAGGAGAAACCAGCTACGAGGCCGGGACCATCTCCACCGCGACCGCAAGCGCCTTGCGAGCCGATCAATCGGTTCATCAATTGATTCGACTATACTACAATCGGACCATACGACCCTGATGCTTAGATCCACAGGTTTCAAAAGGGAGGAAAGGAAGAAATACACATATGCAAAGATCCTAGGCCGTTTAATCAGATTTACATACAATAGGGGAGGCCCCAATCAAAGAACATAGACTATCGATTCATGCTCATCACACGTAACCTGTATCTGTTAGCAGGGGATAGCCTGATTTGAGAAAGGAAGAAAAGGGAGGGGGTGGGTAAAAAGCCACTAAGCGGCTCCCTTGTACGTACCCTTCCTGGCACCCTGGAAGAAGAACCGAACAACAAACACCTGCAATCCAGCCATTGAAACCATCATCAAGCCCTCAATGACGCTGAAATTGAAGATCCGACGCTCGGTGCTACGAACAGTGCTGAAATTACGGTTCTCACGAGTGCGGAAGTACTTCTGGTTCCGAGAAATAGTCGAAAGCTGAGCGGACAGCTTGTAGATGGACTCCTCGAGCGCGGTGGCCTGCTCGGGGCTCGCACCCTGTCGGGAAGGCAGTTGCGCACGTTCTTCGTTTTCGACCTGGGAGAAGAACCGGTCAATATTGGGCTCCAATGACGTAGAAAGAAGACAATGATGCAATCCGGAACCCCAGCATACCGCAATCTCGAAATCCACAAGCTTCTCGGCGAAGGTTGACATTTCATTATTGAAGCAGAATCTGTACTCTCCAATGCTCTGCGCCGTGAAAACGAAGTCGCCCTGGCGTTCCTTGGTGCCGTCTAGGACCACTTTCTCACCAGGCCCGACAACCTGGTAATCCACATCAAAAGAGCCACCGGATTGGACCTAAGATATATAGACCATAAATATCCATACTATGCGCGTAAAATTCAAGCCAAAGTGGTGACAAAGAACTCACAGCGAAATAGAATGCGACCTTCGCGTTCCTTTGGTCAACATAGTTGTAGAAACAAGCTTTCTCGTTGGCTTCGAGTTTGTAGGTGAGAGCGGTGGCCGTCACCGTCGACACGAAAGTGGCCAAGAGGCCTATGACTAGAGCTGCAAAATGCATTGTGAAAATTATCGGAGAGCCAGGAGCTCAAACTAGGGTGACTGGCTTGCTTTGGACAGGAAAGTTGAAGTTCTGGCCAGCTGTGTGTTCCGCGGTGTTTGTTGTGTTTGCATTGATTGTGCCAAACCAAACAAACTATCTCCGGCGAGTTGCAGTTTACTACTATACCGTTAGTAGTTAGCCCACGGTCTTACCAAACGATATCTTGCAGTACGAACTACAGCCACAGTCACAGTGCCTCTCCGTTTTGTCTTAGCTTTCTTTCCCTTTCGTTATCAAAGGTTGTCTAATTCATGACGGCAGTATAAAGAAATGGTTCACATTGTCATGCATCACTTCCAGTGTCGATTAAGGGGCTCTTGAAAATTATCATCATCCCGTCATTGAGACCCGCACGTCTACAGAGGAAGAAAGAAAAAGACATAGATAAACAGGGGGTCCACAGATTCATTTGAGTTTATAAATCTCTTCGTAAACAAGACTGATTGTGCAAGCATACCGTATTTTCATATGCATTTCCCGCTAACGGCAAGGTAATTGTGCACGAATCCCAAACACTCACAAGCATAGATCAACCCTTCTATCGGATGAAAAACGACTCACTTCTGTTCCAAAAGTTGCGGTTCTTATTTACATGGTCAAGTCCGAGGAGATCGTCGGAGTCGCCGACAATGTCGGAAAGGATATCATCTAGATGGGCGAGAATGTTAGCTTATGCTTGTAAACTACGCCCAAAACAATTGCAGAAAAAAGGAAGAAAAGGAATAAAAGGGAAAAGAAAGTAGACCTACCGTCTTCAAGATAACGCGGGTTTGAGTATAGAGAGCGAGGAACCACAGCAAACTTAATCTTTTCAAATTGTTTACCCTTAATTCCAGTCCGCTTAGAAAGCCTCTCTTTCGTCTCTTTGAAAACCTCGCCCTGCAAGAAGTTATTATACTGCACGAGTCTAGCTGATAGAATGATCTACTTACCGGCTTGAGAAGGAACTTGAACGGCACGCCGTGTGGCCTATTCAAATCACGATCGAAGTTATACGCGTTAATCGTACGCTCGCCCTCTCCCATGTTGACCTCTTCTTCAGGTATCCTTTCGGCATATAGTGTCACGAACTCATTGATACCAGCAATCTTAGAATCTCCCTGGAAGTCTCTGTAAATCTTTCCGGCGTGAGTCTCGTAGATCCTCACTTCTCGAATCGTATCATCGTCCATATTTGCCTTCTTTTGCAACCCAACGAGAAGATCTGAAACAGTGCCGTCTCGAGGCACCAGGACTTCAACTACTTGCTGTCATGTCGTTAGCCTCAATCCGCCATAAAGTAAAATTACGTCGATTTACCTCTTTCGTGATGCCTTCGGGAAGCCAGGTAACCTTTAGGCAAGTCTTAGACTCGTAGTCACTCAGACTTGTCTCTAAGACTTCATAATACAGTGCATCGGAACGGTGCATACTATATCCGTAACCGGCCATTGTCCCGCTAAGGATTTGATACAGGGTTTGATTGGCTTGGTTGGGGTTGCGTTTGATGAATTGCTTGGCTTTCCCAGTGCTCGCCATGACAGGAGCGAAGCGCAAGTGTGTAGACTCGACATTCAAATGTTCGCCAACCTTCTTGGAGAACTGATCGTAGGTCATCTTGCGACTCAGGGTCAGGGTGAATTCGTCGCCCTCGCCCGCCTTTATAGGGGCAAAAGTAACATTGATCCTATTCAAAAGGTAGTCATAGTACTGTCTCGCATCCTGATAAAGAGCGGTAGAAGGCAGCTCCGATTCTTTGATTGACTTCTGGAAAGCAATAATATCGCCATCCTGGATCTCGGACTGTTGGAAAGTCTGTTTCGGCTTCATGACATCGATCATATTATGTTTGATTTCCTCATACAGCATGAATTCCGTACCAGCAGGCCAATCCATCTTCTCGAGGATTGTTGGTGCAAGTTCAGCTACTTTCTGGTTCTTGCGAACGTATACGGAGCCAACGCCCGATAGTGTTTGCGACGGAGCGTCAAAATGCTTCAAGAAGACCAGCACTGAGTCCTTGCTGTCTGGCCAGGAGACCGTCCCGTCTGCGGAAGGCTGGCCGACCTCCATCCAAACTCTGAATGGGTTCCCTTTAGTGCCGAATCTGCTGTAGGCCTCTTCCACAGTCATGTCCGGGTCCTTAATGACCTGATCTGGTCGAGTCGTCTTGTTTTGACGGTTCACCATAACCCAGAATCGGACTCGGCTAGCATCAATGCCTTTCTCTCCCGCAAGCTGCTCAGCAAGCTCACCGACCTTTTGAGCTCTGAGAATCCGGTATTGCTTTGGAAGTGCTGGGTCTCCGGCTGGTAGGTCAAGGCTCGTCAGGTCGAAGCCGTGATGAGACCTGAAAGAATCCTCATTAATGACTCCGACATTGATATACAAGTGGGCTTCCTCTCTCTCCTTCTTCCTGCGTGCCAGCTCTACACGTTCTTCAACCAAACGGTTCTCAATGTGAGACGGGATATCTTCTTTCATAATTGGAAGAAGGACGTCATCCAGTTTTGATTTCCGAATGTAAACCAGCATGTACGCGTTCATCGAGCGCTTCGTTGACAAGGCACGTGTATAAGGCTGCTTGACACCGGCCGCACCATTAGACAGCTCATATTCTCCACCATAATTCTCTTCGAGGACTTCCTTGTCCGTTGCTCGCGTAACCCTATCATCGTCAAAGCGATACCAATATCCGTCCTTGGTGGGCTTCAGAAATGCGTAATAATGGCCTGCATTCAGATCGCCACTATGTACCAGTACACCGTGCAACTGGTATATCCATGGCTCAGACTTATCGGCATCATTGGAGAGGTAAGGTGTGGCATCAAATTCCATGGGGAAGGCATGCCGATCATTAATTTTCATCATAGCGTCGCGGTTGATGTCATACTCAAATCGCTTTAGGTGAAGATGGAGGACAGGTGGGAAACTTTCAAAGATAACACCCTTCTTGGCATCTTGTAAACCGTACGGTGACCCAGCGTCGTACTTGTTTTCACCCTCGAGTGTTTCCACTTGAATGTAATCCTTAAAACTGTCGTCCAAAGTCTTGTTGTTCCTTACGTTGAGTTGAATATCCCAGAAGTCTTCCACACGCGAGGATTCATAATCGACATTGATGCAGGAAATGTAAGTCTTCGTCTTCCCGACAAATAGCTCCGGCAATGCTTTCTCCGCTGGGGTGCCCTTCATTTTCTCCTCAAGTCTCTCCATTAGCTTACGCGACAGCTCCTGGACATCTTGCTGTTCAAAAATCTGCCTCGACTCCCACCCAAATGATGCAGTAAGCTCAGCTGTTGAGACCGGGTTTTCGCTCGTCTGAAGATTATAGAACAACCTTTGTAATGTCCAAGCGCTGTTGTCTCTCGAGGCCTCAGCCGCGGTCGGGATTTGATATGTGGCCTTCAAGAGAGTTAATTGATAGACAATACGTAGACGGAAAGTATTGGACTACACACCTTTCGAAATGCGTTGGTGAAGTATAATGACTGTAAAAGTGAATTGAGGTAACAGGTGGCACCCTGGTTTTTCAACCCGACCATGCCAGTCTCCTTCTTCGAGTCATAGCTAAATTGAATTAGTATGGTTCTCGACGACATCTTTAATGACATACTTTTGGAAGCTGTGCCACAAGACACCTGTGGGATCCTTAACGACACGGACATATGCTGTGATATTAGCCTCATCGTTTTGTACCAAAGATACTCCGTGGCCGTCCCATGGCACGTTAAACAGCCTTCTCAGTTCACAAAAGCGAGTAAATCCCCAGTCTCCCTCATCCGCATTAAATCGATGAGTAGCGACTAGCTAGGATCAGTAAATAGAACATTTCACATAGACAAGCCATACATACCGTGGGATATTTTGATGGATGGATCGTTGACATTCCACAGTACAAGGCCGAACTGAACACAAGCGTACCAGTTCTCCGGTGGCTCATTTTCCCAAGCGTGTTCCAAGTAGAATGATGCGTGCTCGACGTGATTTCCAAATGGGAAGAAAAGAATCCGCCTACGCACCCAGGTTAATACCTTACTATACAGTAGGAAATCGCGACCAGGTCATGTACCCACCATGGGAAGCCTGCGCATTGAAATGTTGGTCCATGTTCCTTCTTCTTCAACTTCCGCCAGTCCTTAATATGCCATGTATGATATGCCTCGTCCTCGGTTTCCAAATCCGGGTCTTTAGGAAGGACTCGTGCCATCATCGCTGTATCTATACCGGAGGCTTGAGTTAGAAGGTACTCCAAACAGGCGAGGAAATTTTGGGCATCAGGTTTGGCGAATAGAACTTCCGACCCCGCGGCGGGGGATCTCATAACCTTCACGGCCATCTTTAAAAGGAGCAGATTCAACAGATAGGCAACATATAGAATGAGTCCTTACAATCATCTGCAGGAGGCTCTGGCTCCGGCTCCTCCGATCCGGACCGAGAGACAACCACATCGTCTGTCCTGTCATTGTGATACTGCTCATATTCGTCGACGAGCATTTCATTATCCGTGACCTAGGGATATGATACCAGAATCAGCACGGTATTCCAAACATAAACCCAGGGGGAAAGCATTTTCATCGTCCGTGGGTATAAAGAAAGATGATGGAAGAGTGCGGACAAAGACTTACGTTATCCATAGAGGGAAAAAAATAGTGCGCTCACGCACTCCAATCTAAAGGTACACTTGGTTTGATACTGAACTGAAAATTGAAACAAATGTACAGAAAAGAATGGAGGGGGTGAGAACAGGCACAGAATAGGGTGAAATTGGCAATGCGTAGGGGCGCCGAGTGGCTCGAGACAAAGTAAGGGAAAAAGGTAGGCGTCTAGGTGCCAGTCCGAAGGAGTTGGAAGCTAGGTAGTGGCGGAGTGCGCAGAACCCAATAATAACGGCCATGCCTCGGCGGGACAAATTATTATTAAGATCCTCTTGAAAGAACCACCCTGGATGGGCTGACACCTTGACCACAATAGTAGATAAAAGAAACCATCTAATTTCTGTACATTTGGATATAAAATAGCTAGGACAAACAAAAATTTCACAGGATAAATAAATTTGACTCCTACCCAGACAGTAGCGCCTCAGGCGCATGAAACATTCCTATTCAATTCAGTTATATTTTCACCCTTTTTCTCCCTTATTGATTGATCCTGGCATGATTATTTCAAAAAGATGAGTAAATTGAATATAACACTATCCACATTGATATCATCTCACTGTCTACTTGGTTATCAAGCATTTGAAGCAACCAAGGACGGAGGGGGAATAACTCAAGGAAGAAAAGTACATTGAATATATATTCAATCGTTTGACATCGTCTAATCGAGTATGCCTAGGATTTGGGGCGTAAATTCTTCCTTCTTCTCCGATTTTGATAGTAAACATGTGAGGGGAAAGCTCTTTTAATATGATACTTCAGGCCCAATATACATGTCACATAGATATACACGGGGCTAAGCCCCAGCTTAATTCCACCTCGGACTTTTTCTCCAAGTCTTATAAAATGTCCACACATAGTGCATTCTAGATCAATACTAAATATAGTTGAGTTTTGACTAGAAGTGCAGATGAGAAAAGAAAAAAGAGAGTAAGTCCTTGGAAATATCAGCGGAAGTGAATTAAATTGTTCGGACATCTACACGTCACATGCTAGTCGGAAGCTCACACACCGCCTGCGGAGGCTGCAGAAAGTTGACTCGATTCCACCCGCAGTGAAATCAAGTCATGGAATAAAACCATCATGTCATGCCACTGGTAGAGACTCCGCATCCTACAACCCGGTGAGCCATGTATGGAAAAGTTTATCCTGACCTGATTTTGGGTGAACTTTGCTGGTCAGAGACCATATCATCGTGTCGCACATCTTACAATCCATGAGACGTCTTTGATCGAGTTCACACCAGAGCAATATGCTGCGGAGTCATCCAGCTCGGCGCTGGCATGCCTTCCGGCAATGCGCTCCAACACTCCGGCCTTATTCCGGCCTTCATCAATTTCAACCCCATAACCCGCCCCCATGGAGACCTGTTTCCGCGTTGGATGAGTATGGACTTGCCTAAGCCTAAATTCCCCTCAGTATCACTTGCAACTGACGCCAATCTTTCATAGATGGGTCGAACGCGATATCCGGCCCATAAGTCTACGGCAATTGACCTTCTTTGGGCGGACCCTCACAGAGTCCCGACTTATTAGCTCGGCTAACTACGTACGAACGGAGCTTCCCACAAGGTTAGGACGCGTCTTGTGGTTACTTTTGCATCCAACTAACAGCTTTTGCTTCCCTCGGTGGTTAGACTAGCACATCGCCTGCGAGATATTCAAAAGCTGCCGTACGTCGTGGTAGCTAACCCTCATCTATCTCTCGTGTATGAGCTCTACTATAAAGCCTTCGAACGATTTCGAACTATTCCAGAGATTAAAACACTCGATGACAATGACAAGTTTTGTGACATCCTACGAAAGACGTTGAAGGAACATCTCGTGGTGATTCCAAGATTGGCGATGGGTGTTCTAGAGTGCCGCCATCTGCTACGGGCAGATGTATTGGATCAATTTATGAATACCCTACTACGCGCAGTACGCCATGTTCTAACAATTGTGTCGCGTGACTTAGTGGCTAATTATTTCTCTCTAACAGAGAATCTCTCGTCGAGTCATTGCGGAGCAACACCTGGCATTGACGGAGACATTCAATTCCCCGTGGCACTTTCCTGGCTCTCAGGATCGCACAGATCTTAATGCAGACTATGTCGGGGAAGTCTTCCTCAAATGCAACGCAAAGGAGGTCATTGAGCGCTGTGGCAAACTTGCGCAAGATATGATGCGTCAGGCGTCAGGAACCGAGAAGATCCCAGAAATTTCCGTACAGGGCCACCTAGATGCCACATTTCCTTACATGTTGAGCCATCTGGAATATATAATTGGCGAGCTTCTACGGAATTCGATCCAGGCCGTAAGTGAACAGTATAATGGCTTGCCTGAGAAACCACCACCCATTGAAGTGCTCGTATGCGAAGCGCCGCAACATGTAATACTGCGGATTTCCGACCAGGGTGGAGGAATACCTCGCGAGGCTCTGCCGTATCTGTGGTCCTTCAACAAAGGTCCCCACAGCAAGGCACGACTACAAAACCTGGAACAGGTGCCCGCAATGGCCGCCACAATGCAGGAGCTGACCGTGCCGAAGGAGACGAAGCGGGCCGACAAGGAAACTTTCCGAGAGAGCTCTCTTGACACGCTTACCTCCCGGCCGCCCAACCTCCGCCTGGGTATGGGGCTCCCTATGAGCCGAGTATATGCCGAATACTGGGCAGGCAGCCTTGAACTGCACAGTTTAGAAGGATATGGTGTGGATGCATTTCTCCAGATATCCAAGCTTGGCAATAAGAATGAGCAAGTCACTACAAGGGCATCGATTGATGCAGTGTGATTCACGTGGTTTTTCTTTGAACATTTTTTTTGTGATATGTATGATGATACCTATACCTATATAACCATAGTTATAAAATAGACCAATGTGAAAGCGACGACTTAAATTAGCCACAGACCCACTTCCCCAGGTTTTCGCGCAGCAACCGAACCTAAACGGGATACACAGGGAATCCATCCGGCTTTTGGACCCGGCATGACGTCAGTAGGGATGAATTTCCGCTTTCCAAATTTACCTGTGTAAGATACCGTACTTGTTTTGGTGACAGGGCTTATGAAAAATGAGGTTGCCTGAGAAGTACTAAATCACATTCAGCCTTATCCGTTCCCTCTTTTCCCCCCAGTGACGTGACGTCGATCTTTCCACCCTTCCCTCTTATATACGAAGTATAAAATCCACCATGAAGCGCCTCAACTCCCCCAAAGACGACAACGTTCCAATCTATATTTTCGCCCTTCTCTTTATGATTCTTTTTCTCAGTTTCCTTGGCACATATTTCGACACCAGCAAATCGCGCCCCTTGAAATCAACTGCAGGTACTGAAGAAGTAATACCTAGCTGACAATTCGTCAAGTCGAGTCGGCTCAATCGAAATGGCTGGAACATGCTCGATGCTTTGCCTGATTCTCATCACACTGTTCAGTAAGCCTCCCTACCTAGATCTGTTTAATTAACCCTATCCAATAACCTGGAGTCCCTCCCTCCGAATACGTTTTGGTGTACATATCTAGCGTCTCACCCCATGCTCCCGTCACCGGAACAAGCGAATAGGCATTTAACTAACACGGTAATAGTCCCTCCGCTTGGAGTGTTCCTCATTTCCGGCTGCAGCGCCGATTTCTTCATCAATATCCTGCTGACAATTCTCGGGTATCCTTTTATCCAACCTCTCCCTTGATCCTCCCTACAGAACTCACAAACCTTGACTATTTCACAATTGATATAGTCATACCCATTCGGATGGCGTTCCGTTATATTCAAAAATAAATTAGAAAAAAACAACTAACACAAAATAGGTACCTCCCAGGCCATATCCACGCCTTCTATCTCGAATACGTATACTACAGTCAACGCAACGGCGCAACAGGACGTGCACCTGGGGTATACTCCGACCGAATCCAGCGTGGTAGCCAGCGCGAGACAACTTACGGCACCATTCACAATTAGGCGGTTGAACCTGCGATTATGACTTACGAAGGGGGCGGCGCACACTTGTTTTCATTAATCCTTTGCCCTACTTTTTTTGGGCTAATTAATTGCTCCGTTCGTTCACCTTTGCATGAAAAGCTAGTTCACTTTCGGTAGATATCATTATTGCGAGTCCTGTTTGAACACTTGTCGCTCTCCACCATTTCTCCTTTTCGCTTCTCGCAGTCTAGGCTGTAATTAAATATATAATCCGCGAACCACATCCTATAAATAATAGAGGTTGAGCCCAAAATCATTGATTAAATTCATCAACTTATACACAAGAGGAACCTTACACCGCCTTCTTCTCCTGCTGAGCTTGACCCTCTGCCCCCTTAGTATTGGCCTTCGTTTTCAACGCCGGAAATACGAACGGCTTACTCCTCCTTGTACTACCCTCAGTCCTCGGCACAGCCCCGGACCCAGGACTCCACCACAGAGCTCCAACCCAAGGCTGCACATTCCACCCAACGGAAAGCGTCACATTGTTCCGCTCCGCCATCTTCCCCGTGATATCGCCGATCTGATACTTGGCCCTCTGATTCCTCAAACGCAGAACACCAGGCGCGGCCTTATCCTTCTTAATAGCCTTCTTAGCACCAGCCGTCCGTTTCGACGAAGTCTTAGCCGGGAAAAAGCGCTCCTGGAGAGCAGCGAAGGAGTACGGCGATTCGGGGGCTGGAATAATAGTATCCCAAATGATAGAATCAGACTGCGGGAGAAGAGAAGATTCGTTGTCGGAAGAGGAGTAGGAGGCGTAGACGTAGACGAAGAGTTGTTTTGTGTTCCAGTTGAAGAGGGAGGAGAGGTCTAAGTGATGTTAGTTTGCTGCCATTCCTTTCTTTTCAGGGATCTACATGTGGTTTGGTTGCACATACCGGCGTCCAGGTCGAAGCGCATCTGGGCGTATTCTTCTTTTTTGTTAGAGTAGTAGTGTGGGCGTCCTTTGATTCTGTTGGTTGTTAGTGGGTTTGTTGTTTGTCGCAGAAGAGAGGGACACATACACTTTGACATCCCTCAGGGTGACAGCGGTATTTGCGGCGTCGGTTGGATACAAAAGAACCGATAGTGCAGCGAAACCCGCCACGAAGAGGGCTACGGTTGTGAAGAAGCCGAAGACGGCCTGCGCTCGGTTTAGAGTCGAGTGCATGGTGACCTGGGTTCCTTGTTACTGCGAGGCAATTGGTGATGGATATGTCCGGAGATATAACTCAGGGAACCCAAACGGAAGGACAAGCAACGTCTACAAGTTGAAGTAATCAGAAGGGAGGAAATCTCCCTGTGGAACACTCTTGCGCCTGGGGAGTTATCAAAACACGAGATGATGTTGAAGCCACATTGACCTTTTCGCGCAGGCGGTGAGTGGAGAGGCACGGAGCTTATCGATAAGGCCCATGCGTATCTTGTGAGTAGACATATATACTAAGTACAACCAAGCTATGGCGGAAGACTCGCCCTTTCATTTTACTCATTCCCTAGCTCCTTAGCTCTCTAGATTTCTGATAGCCAAGTTCGCTTGATAACTCTAAGCCCTCGTCCGTTTATCCCGGATCCATCCGCCCCAAATTAGCAACCCCACAATACAACTAGATACACTGCCAGGTCAAGATCAAGCAACTCCCGTTACACACGCACAACTCACAATGGGCGGCAACGTCCTCTTCTTCTATGGTGAGTTATCCCATTGATTCCATAGACGTACTTAATCTATCATATCCACCCATGCACTCCCCACCAAACTTCAGCATATCCAATCCCTATGACTCCAACATTCAATCTCAAAACCCCAATCCACCCCACTAACCAACCCCCCAAGCCAACCCAGCACGCAAACAAAGACGATACCACTGACTACCACCCAAAAGGAACCCTGATGGCACCCCAAATACTGTACCGAGTAATCCACGGCTCGCCCAATCCAGAGCCCTGGCAAAAAGCCCTCCTCACTTTCAAACCAGCCATTCTGCACGGGTATCGACGGCACCGGGTGCGGGGGGCAGACTACCCTGGAATTGTAGCAGTTGGCCAAACTACTACAGAGCCAGGCGCGAATGCAAGCGTTGGTAGCACGGCGTCTGTGCTTGGGACTGTTGTTTCGGGATTGACGGACGGGGATATCCATCGATTGGATATATTTGAGGGATCGGAGTATGAGAAGGGGAAGGTGAAGGTTAGGGTTTTGCAGGAATCGTTGGATCGTCAGGATGTAGGGTTAGATGGGAAGGATACAGATAAGCATTTGAGGGACGTTTTGGATGCGGCTGGGGCGGAGTTTGCGGATGAAGGGGAGGAGGTAGAGGCTGCTACCTATGTTTATGTTGCCGGAAGGAGTCGGCTGGAGGATGGAGAGTGGGACTTTGAGGCGTTCAAGAGGGACAAGATGGCGTGGTGGGTTGGGGCTGATGAGAGTGAGTGGTAATACTTCTTAAGGTACCCGAGGTTTTAGATGGAAAACCAAGGGTTTTTAGATTTTTAGATGGTCCAATTCAACATGGTTTTCCAGGCCGAAAGGCAAGTCTAAAGTAAATATGTACAGATCTAAGCACGCCAACTAATGGAACGTCAAACATATATTTGCGTCAACAATGTGGGTGCTGTTGAATTGTCCGATTAACGTAAATCCATATAACCATAAGCAATGCGTGGTATCTTATGCACCCAGAGGAAACCCTCCTGCTCATAACCGAACGCCTAATTGAGTACCAACTCCTATAGGTTATTCGAAGAGGCTAAGGAAACGGAAAGAAAAGAAACAAAAAAAATGAGGGACATCACCTAAGGACGCGCCAACCATAGCGAAAGCTTGGTTGCATCGAAGTCTATCTGGGGGATTGTTTCGTAGATCGCGGATTCTTTATGTTGCTTAGATAAGGCGATTGTGTAATCTGTACTTCGACTTTCTGAGGCTTCATTGGCTGCCCAGTCTTCGCGGCCTTCTCCTTTCCTCTATATTCGACTGTACGAATAAGATCCTGATCCTCCACCGAATCCATCGCTGCTTGACCGCTCGGGAGGGACCCGTCTTGTTCCTTGACAGTCTTAGGCGAAGGGGCGCTAACTTCCTGGACTTGCTCCTGACTGTCAGGGACCTGGACTTCAACGAGATTATCATCTAGATCCTTGGATGCATTTGGAACACTGACTTCTACACGTGCGCTGGAAAGGTTCTTTGAGCTGGCCGCTCGTTGAGCACCTACTCTGCCCGTCTTTAAGTCGGCGCTAGCTGACTGGCTCGCGGCTGGCCCTTGTTTCCTATGGGGAGGCTTCTGCAAAGCTGGTTCAACAACCGCAGAGTTCCCGACTCGCGCGTCATCACTTTCCAGACCTTCGGTTGATATCGATGCATAAGATCCCAAGAGGTAGGATATTGGCTGCCTGTCTGCCATGGTTCTCTTTTCACTTGGTTTTTCAGGACCTAATTGCGCCTGTTCATCGTAGAGGTCATCGAGAAAACCTCGTAGTCGACGTCGAAGAAGACCGGATTTTAGAGGTGGCCAATCGTCCTCCGTCTTCATTTCTTTCCTAAGAAGCTTCCTGAAAAACAAGTCTGGGTCCTGAACGAACTTCTCCACGTATGCTAGGAGGTACAAACCGCAGTCTGAGTAGTTAGGCTGCAAAGGAATCGCTCGAGCTCTCATTCCCTTGATCAAGCCTTTTTCAATCTCAATGCCGCGCTTTGATTTAGCCTCCTCGTAAAGGTAATCGCGCAGATTACAGATTGTGGGCGATCGAGACAAATCTAGGGAGTCAAAAGTGACTATAATTGTTTGATGAGTATCAAATTTGGTGCCTCCAGGCTTTCCTCCAACCTTTCCCTTCTTCTTCGGGCCCTTCCGGGGAGATGTTGCCAGCCCGGGATTATCCTTCGTGTCAAGTTTCTGGGATGACTCCACCTTAGCTGCAGGGCTGTAGAACTTTGCGGGAGAAAAGGTGAGGTTCTCTTCTTGTTCCGGCCACTCTGTTGGAGGCAATATATGTGCACCGTCTTTAAGCTCTTCTTTATCTGACAAACTCATTGACTCGAACGATTGTAGGGTTACTGCGTCTTTTGCAGGTTCCAAATCTCTATGGCTGGTATTCGTCTCTTTACCAGCAGGAAATTGTTCGATGGGTTCGGGCGTTTCCGGAATTTCTCGAGCTTCACTATCAGGTGCAGCTGAACTGCCTTTGTCATATTCCACAGATTGTGGATCCCCGTTTCTTTCATTGGCAATACCAGGTAAGTTCGGTAGGTTGCAGATGATGGCAACGTACCAGTGGGCATTTTCATTGATAGGGACCACAATGTAATCGAATCCGAATATATCAACAGCACGAGTCCACTTCTGGACTCCTTCATAATTGATATTTCTTCTGCCCTTTGCATTTGTCAGGGTTGCAAAGAAGTATGAGTTGAAGAAATAGACTCTTTTCGCCACCTCCTTATTAGTTCGCTCTAAGTGATCCTCAAGAAAGCGCATATAGAAGCCTATAAGGTTATCATTCAAAAATTCGTTGTCACGCAGCCGTTCACGATCATGGGCATCGACCTCGGCTTTTTTCTTGCCAAAGCGGGGGTAGACAAGCGGTCTATCATAAGGTCAACGTGAATGATGCGGAGAACAGGAAGGAGGACATACTTATTCCACTTTTTGCCCTTATTATCAGGCTTTGGCTGAGGGTTATCATCTTCAGCTCCATCATCACTGCCACTTATATTAGATAGAATCGTCGATATGTAGCAACGGGTCACTCACCAAACGACTGTTGTTGCCGGAGCTCGACGCGACATGGACCGTGTAGCAGCTCGATTAGAAGAGGACAGTTCTGGGTGGAATCTCTTCACGGGTATTTCCACCCCTCCCTGTTGTTTTGAATTTGAGGAGATATCTCCTGTCCCACCAGCATTTGAGGTTTCCATGGTTTTCTTTGTTGTTGAAGGTTTGGAATGTTCCATAGAAGCGGTACCCGTAGACTGCATTTTTCCGGCAGTATGTCCGTTGCCGTCCTGCAAGGAGTCGGACAATTTCACCCTCCTGGCAACTTCTGGTGCCTCATTCACAATCGGTTTTTGATTGTTTTCACCAAAGCGCTCGGATTCATTCGTTTTGTTTTCCAAGTCTAGGGCCGTCCTATCAAATGCTTTCCTCAACCATTCGCTGTAACAACATAAGCTTCTGTGCAAGGCGTTCAAATAACAAATAGTGCAGGTAGACAAAAACATACTTGGACTTGTAGAACAGGTGGACCTGCTGTCCACGCAGCAATCCCTGTAGTAGATTACAAAAAGTTTCCTGTTCCTCAGACGTTGAGAACTCTATGTCCATCTCATCATCAAGTCCTCCTTTCCTTGAAAATTTAAGACGGACTTTACAGCTAGGCTGATTTCCTTGTAGGACTTTGTCAAGTCTCTGGAGTGAGAGCTTTTTGCCATTCCAAGGCAATATAATAATAGGCTCCGTAGTCTCTACACCGATTTCAAAGGCGTCACTTAACCGGCGCTCAGATGACCCAACCCGAACGAAAGTGGCATAAAAAATTTTAACAGCGGATTTTTCTCGTGAAGCCGGAGCTGTTCTCCGCTTGTCAGACTTCCGGTGGCGTTGAGACGAGCTCGTGAACACCGTAGGCTGTATATCGGACGGAGACGATAGTCGACCGATGGTGCTAGGCCGTTCTTCAGCCTCGGATTTGGACATCATGATTTCATCCTCCTGATATTGTCTCAGAGACACGGGTGCTCGCTCGACAGTTGCGTCTCCTTGCAGCTCATCGGGGCTATCCCTCGAACCGTCTGGGCGTTTCTGATTTGTCGTTAATTGCTGTGTTCGTGAAATTAAACCAGTTTGCTGTTCTGCAGGAGAATAGGGAGGTATCTCGATACTGGGGATCATCTCATGCTTTACAGCTCGATCGGGCCACGCGAGTTTGGTCTGTTCCGGATCCATATTGAATGCCAGCGCCCGCCTCTCTCTGACTGCGTTTTCAGAAGATCGCTCCTCATGGTCACCACCCGAAGATAATTGATGGTTCTTTTTAGAGCCTTGGTTGGGGGTTCGAGGGGGTCTCATGCTCCTCTCCACATTCCGGTACTCATCAACCTTGTTGCGCTTGGAACTCGAATCTCGTGGTTTCGCTTTCCCTGAACGTTGGCTCAAGGAAGGTGACAAACGTGTCGAATGTCCAGCGGAGGATGTGTTATCTGGGGGTAATTGTTCCATTATGTCATCATCGGAGATGCTTATAACACCTCCGGATGTGTCCTGGCTCTCCCGGCGCCGACGTTTTGACGGCCTCTCTTGATGCTCGTTTACGACACCATTTTCTGGATGGGTGATGCTGCTTCCAGGGCCCCTTTGATTACCACTGCCTCGTTCTGATTTCCCTCGCGCACGAACTGGTCCACTCTCTCGAGCTCTTCCTGAAAGTGTATTGTAAGGTTTGAACGATGACGGAATATTCTATTGCCATATAATTAGAAAAAAAAAAGACCGACAATAGCGCGGGGTTCGATAGCATACCACCTTACTCTTGCGACCAACCTTTTGCCCCACACTGCCAGGTACGATCTTGACCGCACCGGGATCAGATCTAAAAGCGACCGCTTGTAAGCTCTTCGCCACCATTATTCGATGAGATAGAGGTAAGACGCACCGTACGGCATGACCAGGCAATAGCCTTTCTTCGTCGTTTTGAGTAGGTGGAAGTTTCTGGCTCCGCGTCGACTTATCCTCTCCGAGTCTGCCGTCCAATATATCAGCATACCCGGAATCGCTTGTGCGGTGCGAGGTCATATTTACAGACGACGCATCCCTACTCCCGGTTGAGGGATGGTCTGGCGTGATTGTAGACGTACAGATTGGGAAGATTGGGGTCTTTCAGCATAGCTATGGGGTGACTGGATCTGAAAAAGCAAAAAATTTAGCCCGTGCGTATACGTATAGTCCAACTCCCGGCGGAGAGAGATATAAATATCCAAAGACAACCATATAATTTTGCCGTAAGAAGAAATAGGATGATATTTCTTAATATAGAAAAAAAAAGCAAAATGAAAGAGGAAGCATACATTTAAGCAGTGAATCAGCGTGTCAAAAGAAGAATCTACAGGCAGAGATTCATTCCTCTCACCGGACGTCTGTGTCCGTCGCACTTGATCAGAAGTCACATCAAACGGGAAAAGGTTGGCTGTGGTTGGTCGAGATTCAGTGGGCTCACTGGGGATCCAGTTGGACAAAAGTTCTGAAATTCTCCCAAACATGTATTCACGTCACGAATCATTGCATCGCTAGGACAGTTTAGCAGATAGCTAATTCTCATGCACACTGAGGGGGAAGTTCAATGGGGAGAAAGAAAGTATCATGACGGCGGAAGAAAGGCGGTGGGAGAGGCTTTTTGCCGCATGATTAAATTTATTAAATGCGGAAATTTAAATAACAGCCATTCATGAGGTAGAGTTTAGTTTTAAAAATAATATTTATATAGTTGACAAACAGTGACAAACACTAAGCACAGTTAGAACCTACAAATGGTAACTCTAGGCTTCATCAATACATATCACATCAATACCAATCAATCGAATCGACAAAAGAGTTCGGAGATAGATACATTTCAGTACCAATGCAAATCACCTGGCAGTGATTACGGATTACGCTACACCAACCAGGCGCCCCTAAAAAGCTCCTTTTAACTTGCAAAGCGCACCACGCATAAGAATAGAACAATGACAGGAATTGAAAACAAGCCCAAGTCAAAACAGACGCAGTATTCGCCCCAATGCCCCGATCCCAGATCGTCCCAATTATTTTTTGTTTTCTTTACTATACAGGACCATATATTAGGCTCAAATAATCATGTCACGACGTTGTGCCCTTTCCTTTATCCCCCGTAGGATCATCATTAGCTGTAACCCTCCGTCGATCTGCGCCAACGTTGTGATGTTGGCTGTTGTTGTTGTGATGATGGTGATGATGATGGTGGTGGTGGTGATGGTGGCCGTTGTTTCCCGCAGCCTTTTCCTGGCGAGCTTGATCAATGGCAGAGCGTTGAGCAATGCTATCATCGTGGCTCTTCCATACAATGTTGGTGTCTACTGGGAAGCCTAGCAAACGTTTGATCGTTTCCCTGCACTGCATTAGGAGAGAACGAAGGGATTTCCAAGATAATCCGACAATGAAACTTACCTGATCTTTATGTTGCGCCCACCGTCAATCCTGGTCCAGACACTCAACACATCCTCACCACTCCGTACACTAAGGACAGCTCCACAAACTTCATCACCAGCCTCCGCAAACTGATCACCAACCATAGCCAACAGAAGATCCTCCCAATACCGATCAGCAACGCCCTTCTTCAATCTAACCACCCATTTCCCACCCTTCTTGTTGGCATCATCTTCCCATACAGGACGAATACCCTTCTTGAAAATATGATAGTCGGAAACGGTGGGGAGAAGAGAGGGTCGCTTCAAATGCGAATATATCGACCAGAAACTCTCGACAGATGATATAGACGCAAGGGGGACGGTGGACTTTTCGTAATCGGAATATTTAGGTGTGGGCGGACGGTACCAAATTACCCAGGTAGACTTAAGAGGGTGCTCTTTGATGGCAGTACCAGCGGCCTTGGCCTTCAAACCTTCCACTGAGTCATGTTCCACAGGGTTATCTCGTTTCTCGAGGGGTGTCTTGAGGTCGGAGCCGCCGGGGGTTTTGGGGGCACCAAATGATGCAAAAGCGCCGGATCCCAAGCCGAATGCAGAGGAGGCGTTAGTCGACGGGGAGGACACACCACCTGAAAGAGGTGATAGAGCGTTAAAGGGGTTGGATCGACCGTGGGAGCTATCAGGACCAAAACGCTTTGTGCGGGGAAGTTCGACTCTGGCACCACCGTCTTTGCCGTCTGTTCCCGTCATAGACAGAGACAACTTGGAGGAGCTAGACAAAGGTGAAATATCAGCGAACATGTCTCATTTTTTCCAATGGCATAAATAGAATATACAAGTGAAAGGGGGCTTTTTGTTTTATGAGAAAAAAATCGAAAGAAGAAATCAATATACATACTTAGATCGGCGAGTCCAAAGATTTGCGTTATCCATAATAGCTACCTAATAAGACGGCTCAGGAAACGAGCGGTCATCAGGCAATAAAACGGAGAAATTGGCGGCTTAACTGCGTAGGGTAAAAACCGAATGATACCGTATACCTGGAAAGCGCTAAGATGTTCAATGGAGACAAAACGGTAAGTGGCAATTCAAGGACCCAAAAAAAGAAGATAGAAAGAAAGGAAAAATCTAGAAGACTAATATACTAATTAAAACAAGATGGGCGAGTAAGAACAATGGATGCTAAATAAAGGGAGTAGAAATCGTGATCGTGATCGTGAACGTTAAGCAGGAGAGGTGGGGGGAAGAATGCGCGGATTGCAAGATTGAACTGGAAGAACTCAAGTCACTGTCCGCTCAATTGGAAGAAATGGATAATTATTGCCCTTCGCGTTCGACCATTTCTTCGAGCTCCCTCTTCGACCAATCAGTACCGGGCCCGCTCTCAGCCGCCCGCGCCGTAGTTTTTCCTTCCGTTCCATCTTTTCCTTTAAATTCTTCCCGTTCCCTTCCTTCTGTTCTACATCTTTACAACAAACCCAAGACCACCAACTCAAATCATCGCCAGCTGCAACTTTTCATATCCACTGCACTGGCGACTCCGATGAGTGTGTCGAGAACAATTATTCAAACCCGCATCTAAAACCATCATCACGAGGGCTTCTTGGGGCTTCCATGATGCGATGATGACCTGATTGACGGGACATTCCTTCCTGGAATATTAGAATCTATCAAAAAAGGTAGACCTTGTTCGCGGTCACTATTAGACTTGATGTACTCACAACTGGTGCGTTCTTTCCTTTTCTCGGCCGTCTTGATCTTGAAGAATCCACCGACCAGCTCATGAAGAAAACTTTCATTCTCTGGTAAACCGAGGTGCTCAACCGCTTGTCTACACTGCCTTTCTGGCTCGGCTGGTTGAGTGTGAGGTTCAAAGGCAAAGTCTGATCTGTTGCATTTCCTTTTGATAGCATCCGTGGATGGCTGCTTTTTTGCTTCAATCCTCATTCACTGACCTACAAATAATAGACTAAATGCAACCATCCGCATGGACGCATAACTAGTAGGAGTACCGAATGACGGTTTATAGTATTGTTTTAATACACCTCGAATGGGAAAATTCTATACACTCTCGTTACACTAGTAGTTTTGATAATAATAAGTACTGGATATCTGTTGTCAAAATGCGTGGCCATAACTCTTCATCGTGGAAATACCCTGGGCATGAATTTTGGAACAAACACGAATCGTGCCTCCTTAGGCATCGACTTATTGTTCTGTCGGCTGTATTGAAACCTGCGAGTCCTCAGTATCTTGCCTTGCACGTTTGGTTTCTCTTTCACTGGGCGGCGCTGAAGTGCCAGCTTTCCGTTTTTCTTTGTCTCTGATATACTCGGCGCGACGAGCTTCCCTGTCCTTCTCCTTGCGGAGTGCTTTGGATTCAAACTCATGCCAATCACCCTCGATGTTCTCCAACCTAGAAATCCATTAGATATGAAACAAAGAATATCGTATATCGCTCGAACACTTACTCAATGGCCTGTTGCGGCCTTGGCTCCTCGGAAACAAAGTAAGGATGCGCCAGTATCTCCTCAGCAGTTGGCCGTTTTGCAGGGTCATAACGGAAGATTTGAGAAACCAGGTCCAGAGCGGCTGGTGTCAAAATGTGACCGTAAAGCTCTTCAAAGACTCTTTTCTTTCGCTCAGTCGGCCGCATCAACTCGAACCATGGCATCTCAACAATGTCTGGCCACTCTGCCCGCGTCGGTGTTCCGAGGCTGTTGTAGAGCTTTTCCATTTGGCTGATCTCACCACCTTCGCCCGGGAAGACAGCTTTCTTCGTGAACATCTCGACGTACACGCAAGCTGCACTCCAAACATCAACAGCCGGACCATATCTGGTTTCACCCAGGAGAAGCTCCGGCGGTCGATACCATATAGTAATGACACGATTCGTATAGTCAAGTTGGCGACTCTTTGAGAAAAATCTAGCCAAACCGAAATCGGCATATTTGAGCTGTCCGCGGTTGCTAATGAGAATATTGGCGGCCTTGATATCGCGATGCAACACTCCACGATGATGTAAGTAGCTCAAGCCTTCAAACATCTGCTTAGCTAGGTCCTTTTTGTGGGCTGCCGTAAGCGTGAAAGTTGGATGATTGATGAGACCAGTAAGGTCATGGGAGAGATACTCGAACACCATGAAGCACTCGTTCCTCTCAACCATGACTTCCAGCAAGCTGACGACATTATGATTGCGGAGGTGCTGCAGCAACTTGATCTCTCGCACAGCTGTGACAGGGAACCCGTCCTTCTCGCCTTCCATTCGTATTTTCTTCAAAGCCACCTTTCCTTGGGTGTACACGTGAATTGCTTTAAAAACCTTTCCATACGTACCGGCTCCAATGACAGATTCATTCCCGGGTTTCCGATAATAAACGGAGTCCGATTTGGCAAATTCTTCGGGTAGAGTCGGGCGTGGCTTTGGTCGAGTCAGAATCTTAGGCTGCTTCTTCGGTTCTGGGGAGCGATCCCGACGGCGTTCGGGACGGAAATCTTGCCTTCGGTCACCTCTTCTCCTGTCATGGCGATGATCGAAGCGGTGATCGTCTCTTCGAGTATCACGCCTATCCCTAGGATCACGGATTCCGCGAGGGTCCCGGAAATCACGTCGGTCATTTCTCCCCCTATCCCGATCTCTTTCACGATGCCGTTCTCTTTCACGCTCTCGGTCACGATCACGACGGTCAAAGCGTAGCTCGGGTTTGAATTTAGGAGGAGGGACACTCGCCATCTTATTGCGAGGTGGTTCGGCAGCCCGGGGGGGGGGCTCTCGAGCCAGCATCCTCTGTGCCAAATCCGGGACGGGTTTAGGAGCAGGAGCAGGAGTTGTCTTCGCCTTGAAAGCAAAACTGATTTTGCCGCCTTTATTAGGTGTTACAGAGATATCGGGCTGCCCTGTAGTAGTTGGTAGAATTTTCTGAGAGTCACCATTTTCCGAGCCTGGCTTTTCACCGTCAACTGGACGATCTTGTCCAGCCTTGTCAGCACCCACTGGTATCTGATCTTCTGTGGGAAGTGGAGGTGGAGGACTCTGTGACGGCTTCCCATGTGTTGTATGGGAGCTATGAGGCCCTCGACCCCGGGATCCGAAACCACCCCATTGAACACTGTTAAAATTACCCCGGCCACGAGGCGATGGTGCATTGCTGTAGCTTTGAGAGCCTGAACCAGAGAATCTACGGGCGCCTCCCTGGTTCTGATAGTTTCCGCGATAACCCGAAGGACCTCCACGAGGGCCAGTGGGGATATTGTTTGGGAAAAACTGGTTCTGTGGTCCAGTTGGTGGCTGTCTGTATGGAGGAGAACGACTAAATTTGCCCTTACGTCAGCACCAGCACAAATTGATTTGTTGGGATATAAGAAAGGGAGGGGAAGGTGAGAAGAAGATGAAAACGTACCCCTGATGTGAAGGCTGTTGCCCATTCCACCCACCCCGTCCACCAGAATACGGAGAAGTAGACTGTGGAGAACCATGGTAGGAATTAGATGATGTTACGTATTGCGGCGACGTGGAATACTGCTTCGCTTCAAGGTGCGAACGTAGATTTGAAGGCTTGCTATCCCGTGCATCAGATGCCCGCACCCCATGCATCGGAACCGCCTCACGTGTGGTGTCTCCGTCTACCGAAGCACTAGCAATATCGACATCAAAACTTGGAATTGGCCGAGGAGGGGAAGGAGATCTGAGAGGGTTGCCCGCTGACTGGATTGGTCTAGTCGAATGCATCGTTATAGATTCTCGGCGGGAGATGGTAGATAACTTTGAACCGACAGAGTCTGCCGAATGGCGAGATACAGATCGGTACCGTGACTCGCCTTCGATATCGTCTCCAGGATGGCCACGAGGATGGTTGTAAAATTTAGCCCCACGAATGGGAGACTTAGAGTATCTTGGGCAGGAAGAATTTCGTCGATCAGTGTCGTCCTTCCGGCGGTCTCTCCCTCGTCGAGGTGATTTTCGACCTGACCTACCGCGACCTGGGAAACGTCCTCGACCCCGTTTATGTGGAAAACCTCGCTCAGGATCGTCACCTTGTTTACTATACGGGTGGTGAGGAGGGTCTTGGTTAGAACGACGGGGATACAACCCAGATGAAGGACTTCGCGTTCTTTTGCGTTTTGATGGAGGGGGCGTAGAGGGAGATTGGTCTCTGGGGTAGTCTCTCTCGATCGGCCTATCAACCTCCAAAGAATGCTGCGACTCGAGGTCGGGATACTCAGTCGGTTTGGGCGATGAGTGACGACCGAAGTTCTGACTCGGCTGGAAGTCTAATGAAGGGCCTGGGGAAACACGAGCAGACGCAGTGCTAGGAGAAAATTCACGGTGTGAACGGTGTCCTTCGTTATCAGCCTGCGCGAAAGAACGCGGTGGTGGCGACCGTCCTAAATGGTCGGCTCTGCCTCCTTTGGGTCGGCGGCGACGTTGTCGTTCACGGTATCTCTCCCTCCCCCTATCGCGGTGCGATCCTCGCGACCTGTGCCTTTCCCGATCTCGTTGGTCTCTAGTGTCGTTGGAGGCTCTCCACTGATCTCTCAACACCGGACTCCTACGGGACCCAGCCATGTAAACTTCTTCAACTGCATCTGGTTTAAATAGAAGGAGGTAAAAAGGCAGTAGGGATCAGATAGACTGGTCCACTGAGAATAGACGGGTTTGCATATAGATATAAGCGCAGGAGATTCCGGTGGAGCCTATTGTTCGTCTAGTCTGCCGGGCGTGTGTCGGCCGCGTTCACTGAATGCTTTCCTGTCGGGGGATTGGGTGGTGCGGAAGGCTGGTTTTTCCGAACTGAAAAAAGATGAGCCCTGTATGAGAAGGAACAAGAACGTCAAAACTCAAGAACTTTTGAATAGAGGTTTAGTAGAAAAGAGGGGTTGTTCCTTTTTTGTTTTGTGCTTTTTCTTAGGGGGAGACGCACCTCGACGTTGGTGTTTTCCCTTTCTCTTCACCTCACCTCATCTTTTCTTTTCTTTTCTTTTCTTTTTGGTTTTTTAAATCGAGTGCATACGAGTAATCAAGGTTGTGGTGACGGCAATCTACTTTTTCTTTTAAGTGGTGGTGTCGGCGGGAGGGAAATCAGGTGGGCGATTGACGGGCGGCTCCTCAATCAAGCCCAGAGGCACCTCGCATGCTCGTTCTTTTTTCTCCTCTCGCCTGCAGTGCAGTTCTACGATAATGGCCAACGATCGCTCAAATGACAACAAGATAGCGGCCAAAACTGGAGTTGTCATCTGAAGCCTTCGAATGTCTTCAGCCCAGGGCAAAGTAAAATGCATATCATAGCCACACAAACACCATCCTGGCTTTTCTCAAAGCGTTGTAGTCTTGGCTTGAACGACTAATGTCGCTTTGTCGATCCAAGGAAGCTATTCTTTCTTTCCCCTCAGAATCGCGAATGACACGCTTCTCTTCTCTTTAATTTCCTTCTTTCGAGAATCCTATATATGTTAGTCTTGACTGACGGATAAATCCTTGACTTGGTTCTTCTCCGCTCATATTTCTCTCCCAAACCCCCTCCAAGCTTCTTAACCTTCGTGAAGTTGTGCCTCTAATTGTTGGTAGAGGTGTTTGTTCTTCACCTCCATAAGCACACAGGCCTATCTACGGAACGCAATAAGTCGAGAATGAAAAGAAGGGCAGCAAAGCAGAGAAGCCGCCATGGCCGGATTGCGCCATTGCTGGATAGAAACTCCACAAGGCGATATCCTACTGTTAGTATTCGGCAGTGGAACGACTGCTGGGTGACAATCAAGACACTGGACAGTTCCCAATCACGCCCTAGGCCATGACCAAACAGACGAGAAACAAAGAGATACAACCGATCCCTAACAATAATGTGTAGCACATAGACATTGAAAGGGCGCTGTGGCTCTTTTTCGGGTGCTTCCATCAACAAACATAGAATTCAATCTCGCCCAAAAGAAAGACAAAGATGATGCCATATGTGCGTTTACTTGAGAAGATCACAAATATAAGGCAGACCCAGTAACGCTCCACTCAAATGGACAATAGTAAGGCTTGTTGTAGGAGGCCCTCACGGACGAAAACACCTGTAAGATCTACCAAATATGACGAAGGTACAGCTCATCGAAGCGAGGAGTAACCGAGCATTATTTGCGGACCATTCACACCCATCCACGACCTAGAGCGCTTCAGAAATGAAAACCCGCAAGGGTGCATACCTCATGAGACATTGGAATGAACTTCGGGTAGGTCAAGAGACCGGACAGACCGGTACTTGACTTTAGGGGCGCCAATTAGCAATAGTATCGAAATAAAGAAGAAAAATCGCAGAAGAAACTATTTCTTAAAAGTCTCTTGCCCTTTTGACTATGTCCAGATTCCTTGTTTGAAATGCCCAAGAAAAAGAGCGAGGCGTTGGCTCATGACGTGTAAATGGGCGGTGGGGATGCGGAATTAGTTAAGTCAGGACCAACCCAACAAAGCGGTCGCCCCAGTATCAAGCGGTCCTGGGCGGGAGTTCAGGCATCATTAGGAAAGCTATAGAGGCATATCCAATGAATTGCAGGCCCTAATATAATACCACAGCGAAGTGGGGGACGCAGCACATGCAAGCTCGTGGGCATACGGTGTTTAGGCGAATTTGGTGAGAAGTCGAGGTTACCCTAGGCTCAGATTTAGGTACTAGTGTGGTTCACGTGACACAGAGTGAGAGGAAAACAACTCAAACTATGCCTCAGGTATCAACACTCACATCATACTATGCAATACTATAGCACGCACATTTCTTCTACAAATTGAACGTGGACGTTTTCTTTTATTTAGCCGAACTACTGCAATCTTTGGTCCCTGGGTGGCCCCTGATTATGTAATGAATACTTTCAATTAGTTAGTTAACTAGCTAACTAAGAGGATATTCATCCATGCAATGTTATCTATAAAGTTTTATTCAAATGTACAATAACTAACCCTGTGCTCAAACAAGCCAGGAGGGTTATAGCCTCAACTAATCCCGGAAGGCAAAAGAGGCTATTTATAAGTAGACCATCACAAGCAGAGTATATATGTCTTAGACCGTTTTCTTTATATATCCAGTTGATTATATATCCAGTTGAATATGTCCTATTTACCGGGCACTAGCCTATTTGTTGACTGACTCATACGTCTATTAGTAGAAAACTATACATATTGGAATCTCCTGTCACATGCGACTTCTGACCAGGGCAGTACCAATTATCTCCCAATTTCGGCGCACTTGGAGGGATCATAGGTTCCCACAAATAATATATTTACACATATAGACTGGATACGATCAGGAACTGTAAGCTATATATTATGGATGCTATCATGGACGTCTAGAATAGGCCAGTAGGTATTGCTTGTAGATGCGCAAGCATTGTGTTTGAGTTGTATAGTAGATCTGTATACTGTATAGCTCGTCTGGTCAGACCATCAAGGAAGGTATTCAGCTTCACCCGCTCGGGATCTGGAAGCCAGCGTGGCATACTATTAGAGAATGGGACGTCGTAGTTATTGTAGAGCCTTGTATTTACTCAAAACCATTCTTACGTCTTGCGAATTTTCTGGATTCCCCCACAGCCTCAGCGAGTTTATATTCCCGTGGTTCTTTTCCGATTGAAAATTTAGCATTTACCGAGATGATCCTCTGGCTGAAGTAGAAAACCAATACTGCGAGCTTATATGTGCATGAGGCAGCCTGATACAGGGTTGGATATAGACAGATGGATTTGATATTCTCTGTATTCATGCTTTTAGAATAGGACCCTCCTACATTATGCCTTCTACATGAAGGCCATTATTTCATGCCAGACAGCCCAATGAGCAACTAACTAATCCAGGACCCTTCACACCAATTTCTAATAAACCCGAAATGGGATTTCTGAACGCCGAGTGTTTTAGTGTACATGAAAGACCGCGTTTGCTTGTTTTTGTTAGTACAACTAGTCCCCTTGTTTGGGATGAGCACCTATTAGTTTATTCATGGTCGCCGGGACAGTGAATCAAAAAGTTTTCTCATGCACGTTGAAAAGAAAGCAAAGCAAAAGGAACTCAGGCAGCCTTCGTACTGCAAACAAACACCCACCACAATTTCCCTACCTCCTGCATACACCACAGTCCCACATCAAATAATTAACATCAAGGCATGGGTCTTGAATGAACGTCGTTGACCTCCTGGTCAAGGCCCAGGCGATCCAAACTCACAGCCTCCTGCCAGTCCATACCCTGAAATTCAGCCTCACGCTTCATTTCTTCATCCCACAAAGCAACAGCTTGGGTGGACCGCGAATAATAGGGAGCCACATTGCCCCACATGAAGATATCCTTGTACATCTCACTGAGATCAAGGTGCCTTCTGTTCATTTCTCTTAGTATGAGTTCATCTGGCCGCATAAGTTTAATGGATCTTTCATCGCGACCATACCCTTCATATTGGAGTGCTCCGACGTCTTGAGGAGGAACTCCATAAACGTAGAGTTCAGTCTCGTGGGGCAATGGAGTGTATTTCCAGCGGACAAAGGCTTTGAGAATCTCGAACTCGTTCCGGAGAGCAATGTCTTTCATCACGTCCCAAAGCAAGGTCAACGTAGGTTGAGCCATCAATAGACGGAACAAACGGCCCTTGATAGTCGTGCGTTTTTGCTTTAACGCCGTATCGAGCTGGGCAATGAAGAGCACGGCGAAGAAGATGTCGATATTTTCCCACAAGTTGCAGTTGTCCACGGTCCAATTACGACGTTTATTGTCCGGGATATCCATAAGGAACCAGATCTTCTTTATGGCTGGCTCACATCGTTTGGGTAATCCATGACCTGCTTGGAGCATCTTGGCCATGATGTGTTGAACAGCTGCCTCGCGGTACAAGATCATTTGCAGCCAGCGAAATGAAGGCGCAAGGTTGCTTTCGCTACCAATGTCCTGAGTAGGAATGGATTGCTGTCTGACATTTGTGTAATCGATGCACAAGCTTGGATAGCATCTGAACGGAAAGATTTGCGCAGATTCGGGAGCTTTCTGCGTCGCCTGGCGTATCACGATTTCTGAACAATATTTCTTCACGAACTGATTGAAAGGCTTGGAGATAGTGAACAAGAGGATAAGATCCTCAACTTCGAGATACTCCGTGAAATCCAAAGCTACTGCTTGATGATACGTGAAGGCCAGAAGAATGTCAAAGCCATTATGTGGGAGGTCTATGCTCTTCGAAGCCTTGGTATCATTCTCTGGAGGGACATCATTACGAGGTAATGACATAGCGCTGATCGAGCCGCGGGACAGGGTAGGGAAAAGTTGGATTCGACGCTGTGGTCTATCCTGTTGATCAGACAAGGCAAGATGGTTATTTTGCTGTCCAGAACACCGAGCCCCTCTACTTCGAATCCCACCTCTCGAAATTTGCTGGTGAGGATTTTCAGAGACATGATGTCTAAATTGATGTGCTCCTGAAGCACTCGATCCTTCATGAGACACAGGATTTCTGCTTTGAACAACTTGGGTTCGAATCCCAGATGCTGACTGTTTTATCAGGCCTACGCCAGCGCGACGGCACGTCGATCGCCTTTGAAGAGGGACAGCGGCGCGGTGACCCTGAACTGCCTGAGCTGCCTGAGCTGCCTGAGTGGGAAGTGGGTGGAGGACACCGGTGAACCTTGCCGGTGGTATATTGGGGATCACAATACCGTCATGTGTGATTTGCATCACAGACGGGTCGTTTGGCTTGTTGACGACTGAATCCTGAGGGTGGCCAGGCCTGGGACTCCTCATTGATATCATATTCTCAGGTGCGATCCCTGCTATTAGTTGCTGTCGAAACAGATAGGCCTGCAGAGCTTGGTCTGGAACTGCCCTTTGCTGCACCGCGCTCCGAGCTGACATCAGGCGTGAGCCAATGCTAGGTACAGGTACGGATGCAGCGGAACCTAAGCCAGTACTCTGCTCAAGATGAGGGGTATCGATATCCATAGGATCACCTTGCCGACTACGCCTTCTGGGATCAACCGAGGGCTGTGCACGACGAGATCCTTCTCTTCTCGCAGTTTCAGCGAGCGCAATCAACACTCGAGCAGCTTCGATATCTTTATCATCTAACGAATCCATATTGTTCGGCTGAGGTTTGTTCACTTAATTATTAAGAGTACTGTTGAAGAAACAGTGTGGTCAGCTATCTGATGGTGAAAAGGATTCGCAAGCGTCAACATGTCAAGCAACACAAACCTGAAGAGTCTGATAAAGGAAAACAATAATCGATAGAGAAGTATCTGTATGTCTACAGCTAAACAGAGAGTTGAAAGGTTTGAAAGCAAAGGCAAGTTTCTAGTATGAAGGTACATACAACTGTTTATTTTGATATCCCCCCCTGTCAGTGAATATACGACACCATAGGAAAAGAAGTAGCTCGAAGTCAGTATGCAGTGAATCCAATCCATAGACAATGGCTTCAGTGTCGGTCTTAATGTGGGGAAGTCCGGACTTAGCAGTCAATTCACTTAGTATGCCACTGTGATGATGTCAACCCTACTGGTAACAAGACCGCACTGGCCATTTTGCAACTGTGACTTATTGAGTCAACCCGTCCTGATCCATCCCCAAGAAGTGAATTGCTGAAGCTAAGCTGACTTGCCTGTCTTTATTACGGTATCCTCCGATTGCTATAGATGCTGAGTGGTCAATAACAGTAAATATACTCAGAAAACCATGAGAGTAAACATCAGCATGAAACACAGATAGTGTTGAATAAATATTGAATGTTGTACATAGTATAATTGAATGGTCAATGGTTGAGCTGAAACCTATCATGAAAAGCTATTTCCCTTCATGCTTCTTATTATTTCTTGTTTCTACCACCCCTATATGTAGCTTCCCAAAAATCCCCCCCACACCACAGGTAATATGACAAGTTTCGCAATGTTCTATTGCAGCGAAAGAGAGAAATCCAAGATGTGTACATGTAGTATTTAGAAGTTAAGAAAAGAGAGAGAACCAACAAGTGATGTGCCAAATATATGACGTGGCAAAAAACCAAAACCGCCAAACCCAAACAACCTGTTGAGAGGTAAACCGCCCCGAACTCCATTGAAATCATGAATACCATCCACTGTTAAAAAGGGGGTAACAAGTATGTATCACAGAAAATGTTAAAGACATTATCTCCGGTGCAAGAGGGTCAAAAACTCCTCTCTGGTCTTTGCACTAGACCGCATACATCCCAGCATGCAGCTTGTTGTGGTGGTGCTACTTGTTTTCTGCACACCACGCATCACCATACACAGGTGCGAGGACTCCATGACGACACCGACACCTAATGGCTTCAAGACCTCCGATATAGCGAGCGCAACTTGTTTCGTAAGACGCTCCTGCACCTGGAGTCTTCGGGAAAACATTTCCGCCAGGCGAGCCAATTTAGAAAGGCCAAGCACCCGGCGATCTGGAATATAGCCGATATGCATCTATAGTAAAGGTAGCCGATCAGCAAAAAAGTGTATAACACCAATTGAGGGACATCGTCCGTACCTTGCCCATAAAAGGGACCATATGGTGTTCACATAGGGAAAAGACCTCAATATCCTTGACGATAACTAACTCATCGTGGTCCTCGTGGAAAACTGCGCCATTGACTAGATCTCGGACGTTCTCCTCGTAGCCTTTGGTGAAGTAGAGCATGGCTTTCGCGTATCTCTCTGGAGTTTCCCGCAAACCTTCTCTTTCTGGGTCCTCTCCGATGCACTCTAGAATTGTTCTCACTGCTCCTGCCAGTTTTTTAACCCGTTCTTCTGATTCCTCGGGTGATGACTCCAACCGCGCCCTTGTGCCGGGGCCTATGTGGGCAAAAAGGTGAGATAAAATGGTCATGAGATTGATTGGGTCACTTACAGGGCCAGCTCAGTCCATCAAAATCAATTGGAGGATATAGAGTGTATGGACTTGCCGGACGACTAGCCGTCGATGGTGGGGTCAACGCCCGAGTGTCATCTCTCGGATCACGGGGCGGGTCGTTCGAGGGTGGTCTAGAATCCCAATTAGACACAACCAACGACATGGTAGACAAGTGACATACTTCATAGCGCCATGGCCAGAAATAGAGCCGTCTGCATCGTTTGCAGACTCGTTGATAGGGTGCACCACCGTCTCGGGCAAGTCGAACTCTGCCGGGATGCGGGGGGCAAATGAGGAGCGAATGGATGAGTTGAGACTCTCTCTTTCGCGAGCGCCACGAGAGTTCATGGTAGAATTGAGCGAAGAGCTCCCGTTCAACAGACGAGGAGGAACAGCAGACTTAGGCTTGGGCCCTGGGGGAGGAGATCCAGAAGTCATGGTGGCGGTTGGAGGGGGGTGAGGAGAAACAAATGAGTAATTAATGATGTGGAGGGAGGGTGTTTTAGATCGCCGATGAATTGGCTGACCGGCGCCCTTGCAAAGAAAGAGGGAAGAAAAATTAGCAAATCAGAAATTATTGGTCATAGCAAGAGTAGTGATCGTAAGATTATTCAGACATGCAACAATGAGACATAATTAAGATCGTTTTTGAAGGGGGGCAGAAAAAAAGTTCACGAGGGGACGCCGTTTTTTTTAATGGCGACATCTTGATGGACGATTGGACCCGTCCGACACCGATCTGATTCATCGTCTCATCGTCTCACCGCCTGCGGGATCGGCCAGTGGTAGCCAGTCAGATTGCCCACTGTTGGCAGACAAGTGGGTTGTGCTTCAATCAATGGTATTGCTTATTATTACTTCTGACTACTAGATACTTTATATATCTCAACATCAATACTAACGGGGTTCATGCTATATATGCTGCATATTGCTCCATAAATATCCAATACTAGAGTATACTATCCAAACTCAATACTACCACCACTACTACCTAGTAGAATATACTACTTTCTCAGATCAGATTACCTGCATGATATGTCGCACCGGTATGATTTAGTGGTACTACCCCATCTGCTCCCTTGCATTCATATCCCGAATCGGGAAACTTATACTCTTACCTAAATGCTACGTAGGTTTTCCTTACAGAACGTTCGGGAAAATAGGCCGCTGATTTGTCACGAACCCCGCGCATCTAATACCTTCATCTTACGTGTATTCTCTTTGCATAAGCCGTGATTCTCCTAGCGATATCTACATATGGCTAAATCGGCCTCCAAGAGCGGTAATAGAATTCTTAACAAAGAATAAACAGTTTAGAAACAATGGCAACCATTCCGGACCCTAAAGTGCCCCACTGAAGGGTGATGCCAAATAATACATGGTGGACCTTGTTTTTCATTTATCATTTACCATGCACAGCCATAGTGCTATAATCCAGATGTTTGAGACAGTCAACCGAACGTTATTGGGATGAGAATCGCCGTTTCATGAGTTACTGAGGCCTTCCCAATGCACAGAAGTTTCACTAAGAGTACTGGTCTAATAGCAGACTAGAGGGCCAAATACTATTCTCCCAATTCCCAGGATCTAAGAGTGTACCGGAAGTAAGAGAAACCTAACGTCAGCACCACCAATGGGCTAAGATATCAATGAGTCGAGTGATGGAGTGGAAATCCATCATATTGGATCCAGACGCTGAATCGCAGGTCATATTGTTGCATTGCTCTTTAATCTTCATATTCTGGTTGTGGCTATCGGTACAGACGCAAGCTCCCATAATCTTTCTGATATTTTCGATTTGTCTGCAACGCTTATACAAGGTCGCAGGTTATAGCTGCATAGAGTAATGAAACCCCCCAAAAGATCGATTATCGACAAGGAATTAATTAGGCCTCCAATTCTTCGGTTGGTACATCCTCCAAGTCCTTGCCAACAATGGCATCAGCAACCTTCCATACCTGCAACAAATTGTCTTCGGCGGCAGAACAGAGAGCCCATGGGTCGTTAAGGTTCCAGCTGAAATCAGAGATACGGTTGGTGTGGCCACCATGCATGAAGAGGCTGTAGGAAGAATGCGTTAGCGACCAAAGTTCGACAAGTGAGAAGCACAAATGGAATTACATACAGCTCAGGGGGTCCGTCCTGTGCGTCATCGGGTGTTTGTTCCTCGCCAGCTCGGCTGAGATCCCAGAACATGATCTTACGATCATAGCTTGCACTTGCCAGCACAGCCTCCTCGAACGGATGCCAAGAAAGTGAAGTGACGGAGTCGGTATGGCACTCAAGCGTGTGTAGCTTGGCCTTGAGGTTACGCAGATCCCAAAGACCGATAGATTTATCAGCCGATCCAGTAGCGAGGACTGTTTCTGCAGCTGGGTTGAAGGCAATTGCGTTGATTGCATCGCGGTGCTGACCTTCCGCAGAAGCTGCTGCACGGGTTGTTTCTGGTTCTCGAATGTCAAGAATTTGGAGAGTAATATCATCGGACACTGTGCCAATGAGAGAAGAATGGAGTGGATGGTATTGAACATCATTGACAATCGACGAATGATGGGTGTATGTACGGGTTGGCTTCAGTGCCTTATTACCTTTCGTGTACGTCGTTAAATCCCTGCATCGAAGGTTAGTTATCAGACGATAGATGTGGCGAGTCGAGGACTGCGCAATTACCAGAGTCGAACAGTCCTGTCTTCACTACCAGTGACGAGATGGCCTGTGGTATGCGGGCTCCAGCTGAGACCAAATCCTTCTTTTGTGTGGCCTAGAAGCTCCATTTGAGGGTTCACTGTGCCTGTAGGTAGACTAGGGTGTTTCGAACGATCCCAGATCATAACCCTTCCATCCGTGCACATGGTGGCAATTACATTGGGATTTTGAGGCTGATACCGTGCCTTGTTTACTTCACCTTTATGGTCAATCTTCTGGACGATGTTGAACTTGATTTCCATCGGGGCCTTTTTAGAGCTGCCGCCATAGCCACCAATCTCCCCGCGCTCCTCGTCATAATCGTCCGCATTGGGAGCAGAGGGATTGGGAAGTTGCACGTGAGCAATCTGTAGATAGTTTTGCGCATCACTTGAAGTGTGTGTGCCAAGCAGCAGTCGATGAGTTGAGTACGGCTTGTCGGGAATACTACAGAGGTTAGAGATCATGTAGCACAGCAAACAGCAAGACATGCGCATACTCTTGTTTATCGGGTAACCATTGTGTTGTAAGAGTGGGCCATTCTAATGCAGTACTAAGAATCATGTCATATAGGAAAGGCGCATTCTTCTTCCATGTTTTGTATTCTGGGTGGTCATTAGTCACCACTCCATGACCGAGTTTCGAGGGAGAGTGGTTAATTACCCTCATTAATGACCTTCTCCTCAGTGCGCTCCTCCTCCTGTTCTTCCTGCTCCTCAATAAATCCTAAAGCGACGGAGAGTTAGATATGTTGCGCAAGTAAAAGTGGAACAGAAATCGCACCGTCGTCGTAGGGCTCCATGATAATCGTAGGGTATGGCTATAAAACAGAGAACAACAACAGTTCTTTGAAAGAGGAAGAATTAGGGGACTGTGCTACGCACACCAAATGAGGGAGAGTAGGGGAATGAGAGCTGTGTAAGGCAAAGGTGAACAGAGCTTTGAGCTGTGGACTGAGCTTCTTCTGCTGGAGAAACGCGCGACCTTCCCGTCCGCACCGCGTTAATGGGCGCCAAGAGGGGCTAACCATGTTTGGGGAATTTCGGCTTGGCGCCATCATCTCAGAGAAGTTGGAACTATCCTGACCTTACGACCTCTGACTCGGCAACTCAAGAGACATCCTTTTTTGACCTTTACGATTCTTAAAGGCGCTCTCGCCTTCGTTTTATGTTTCTGTCTGCTTGGAACATTGATTTTTTTCTGTTTTAGTTTTGAATCTCACGCTCTCTGAGAATTCGCAGTCGGTTATTCCTGTCTATATGACCTTTCATTGAATGATTTGCCTCCGAGCTTGAATTCTTCTTGCGTTTTTGACGACTACGACGACCACCACAAGACACCTTCCTATTTTCTTATCCTTACAATATAGGCTATAGGGAATTTCATTGTATTGGTTCATCATGGGTGTTCCTAAGTTCTTCCGGTGGTTGAGCGAACGGTATCCGGCGATCTCGATGCTGATTGCAGAAAGTCGGATACCTGAATTTGACAACCTGTACCTCGACATGAATGGTATTATTCATAATTGTACACACAAAGACAGCGATTCCCCTACTTTCCGCATGACGGAAGATAAGATGTTTATCGCCATATTCAACTATATCGAGCATTTGTACGGCAAAATCAAGCCAAAGAAACTATTCTTCATGGCAGTGGATGGCGTTGCTCCTCGGGCGAAAATGAACCAACAGCGTGCACGACGATTCCGAACAGCCCTAGACGCCGAGGTTGCGAAGGAGAAGGCCATTAGTCAAGGAGTCGAGATGCCTAAGGAGGACGCTTTTGACAGCAATTGTATTACCCCGGGTACAGAATTTATGGCTAAATTGACGGAACAATTGAAATATTTCATCAGCAAGAAGATTTCAGAAGATAAGGACTGGCAAGGGGTCGAGATCGTACTTTCCGGCCATGAAGTACCAGGAGAAGGCGAACATAAGATTATGGAATACATCCGGCATGCGAAAGCACAGCCAGGATACGATCCCAATGTTCGCCACTGTCTCTATGGTCTCGATGCTGACTTGATCATGTTGGGCCTTCTCAGCCATGACCCCCACTTCTGTCTTCTTCGTGAGGAAGTGACATTTGGACGCCAAGTCCAGAAAAAGTCCAAGGAGCTTGAGCATCAAAATTTCTACCTTCTACACTTGTCTATGGTCAGGGAGTACTTGGAATTAGAATTTCAGGAGTTAGAACAGAACGACGCTCTGAGCTTCCCTTTTGATATGGAACGAGTTATTGACGACTTTATTCTCATGGCGTTCTTCGTTGGAAACGATTTCTTACCTAATTTGCCTAATCTGCATATCAACGAAGGTGCTTTGGCGTTGATGTTTAAAATGTACAAGGAGATCTTACCAAAGATGGGTGGTTATATCAACGAGCAGGGAGTCATTAACATGGAGCGTCTAGGCATGCTTCTTGACGGCTTTAGTGACGTCGAATTTCGCTTTTTCGAAGCTGAGTATTCAGGCGAGCGATGGATTCAGGCCAAGAAAAACGGCGGAGAAGACAACCCCGAATCACAGGAGAGATCTAAAACCTTTACAATCACTCCAGCACAGAAAAATCTTTTGAAAGAGGTTAAGAAATATGTACTCAACCGACCTGAAAAGGCGGCAGAACCTAAACCTCTGGACTTTCCACCTACGCTGCCCGCTCGTGACCGTAAGTTTTTAGAGCAGCTTGCAGACGACCTTCGACTGCCGTGGACCACTGAGCCAGACGAGCATGGCGAAAGATTTATAAGATTTCAACTGCCTGCAAAACAAGATGAAGACAGCGAAGAGGAGGAAGATGAAGAAGCATCTATGGCTGTTCAACGTATCATCCGCAAATACGAGAACGCCAAGGTCCAGGAACACTCTGCCGAAGACGCCCAGAAAGCAGCAGAGAAAAAGTACGAGGAAAAGTTCCAAGAGTGGAAGGACAAGTACTATATGAATAAGTTTGAATGGGGATTGGACAATCACGAAGAAATGAGGAAACTGACGGAGAACTATGTACAAGGACTTCAGTGGGTTCTGTACTATTATTACAGAGGCATAGCATCCTGGCCGTGGTTCTTTAAGTATCACTATGCTCCAATGATCTCCGGTTAGTTTTTACTACTACATTTGCAAAGAATTTACACTAACCCATCCTAGACGTTAAAAAGGGTCTGAAGGCGGACACAAATTTCCAACTTGGTCAACCCTTCAGGCCTTACGACCAGCTGATGGGTGTTTTGCCTGATCGAAGCAAGAAGATCGTACCTGCTGCTTACCGCGATTTGATGACCTCGCCAGAGTCTCCGATTATTGACTTCTACCCTCGCGATTTTGAGTTGGATATGAATGGAAAGAAGATGGAATGGGAGGCGGTTGTCAAAATCCCCTTCATCGAGGAAAAACGTTTGCTGGATGCACTTAAAACGAGAGAGCACCTTTTAACACCGGAAGAAAAGGCACGAAATGGCTTTGGGGCTAGCCTTAGGTTCACCTACTCGCCTGATGTAGAGTTCATTTACCCAACGTCGCTCCCTGGTGTCTTCCCAGATATTCCTAAGTGCCATTGCATCGAGAATATCTTTGACTTGCCAACTATGGATGGTCTTGAGCCCTACATTGGCTTAGTCGATGGAGCTCAACTCGGAGCATCAGCGTTAGCAGGTTTTCCAAGTTTGAAAACTTTACCCCACGTTGGTCAGTTAGGCTTTCATGGGGTGTGTGTCTTCCAACAAGAGAGCCGGAACGAAAGTATGGTCATCACAGTGCTTGATCCTGGAAGCAGGTCAAGTAGCTTGTTGGCTAAACAGAAGCTCGGAAAACGTGTCTTTGTGGGTTATCCCTTCCTGCAAGAAGCGTACGTTATCCGTGTTTCCGACGAACTGTTCGATTACATCTTGCCTGAAGGAGAGGAGCACGCCGTGAATATCCCCCATACCGAAGCCCAGATCGACCAATGGAAGAAGAAAGCCGATAAGATTGAAGGGACGTATAGTAGGAGGCTCGGCACGATCATTGGCCCTGTTGAGGCGATGGTACATGTTCAATTGCTGAAGGGCTTGGTTAAGACCGACGAGGGTGCTACAGTGAAAGAATTCGCAGATATTCCGGGGCAAGAGACCGATTATGCTCTTCAACTTGTCGTTGATGAAGTGATCAATCCCGATGAACGGTTCATTGAACGTGATGCTCTACCTATCGAAGAAGAATTCCCCGAAGGCTCTCGAGCATTTTTCTTGGGAGAATTCAACTACGGCAGGCCCGTACATGTCACAGGGCATGATGATGGCAAGGTAGAAGGATTAATAGCTGTCGTGAAGGGTCGAGAGTCTGAGTTTGGAAAGGAACGTGCTAGGGATGCTGAGAGGTTCTGTCCATACATGCCCTCGTATGCGATTGCCCGGAGCCTGCAGCTAAATCCGTTGGTATTAGCCAAAATTACCTCGTCCTTTTCTGTGGATGTGGAGGGTCAGCGTGTTAACCTGGGTCTCAATTTGAAGTTTGAGGCGAGAAAACAAAAGGTCCTGGGTTATTCGCGCCGTGGTCCTTCCGGTTGGGAGTTTAGCTCCAAAGCAGTTGAATTACTACAACAGTACATGATCAAGTTCCCCGAATTCATTGCTGGCATTCAGGCGAGGCCACAGGGTGATCGCTATAAGCCAACTGACTTCTATCCTGAAGAGACCGCCCTCGTGAAGATCAAGGAAATTCGTGATTGGCTCAAATCTATCGAGGCCAAGAATTTCGAGAGGGTTCCTCTAGAGGCTGAACAGCTTGATTCCGACATTGTCAAGTTAATTGAGCAAGATGCGGATAATCTCGTTCAAAGCCAGTCGGCAATTCAACCCAAGAAGATTAAGGGTGTTCCGCGGAGTGCTCTTCTCAGGCCATCTGATGTGGAGCAAAGACTCGGAAACCAGACGTTCAAACTCGGTGACCGCGTGGTCTATGCCCAAGACTCTGGAAAAGTACCTATAGCCACTCGAGGAACAGTCGTTGGTCTCACCCGGACGGCACGGGCCCTGCTTCTCGATGTTGTTTTTGACGTTTCATTCATGAGCGGTACGACACTAGGCGACCGGTGTTCTCCATTCCGGGGACAGACCGTTCTGTCCTCTTCTGTCCTGAATGTTTCGTACCGACAGCTGCTCGCCACTAGCCGAGCAGGCACCAGCCAGCAGCAAAGTCAGTCGTCTCCTTTGACAGTCGCGGGTTATGGCGCTCCTACTGGGCCCGGTGGACAGGGACAGCTGAAAGAAGCTGCAGCCCCTCCACCACTGAGTCATTCTTACCGAGGTGCCGTAGCAGGCATGGGTAACAGTCGCGGTAATGGTTCCTCTAGGGGTCGGGTTAGTGGTCGGGGGGGACGCGGCTCCTCTAACGGAGTCGGGTCGCAGACGACTCTACCCTTTAGGCCTCATCCGAACGGCGGAGAACAGCAGAGCGATGGGTCGTTTCGTGGGGCCAGAGGCAGAGGGCGCGGCGGCGCTGCCCGTACTCGCGGCGGATATGTCGCTGTGGACCCCGATCCCGAGGGGGGCGTATTGAAGCACAACCCGAACTTCCGGCCACACAACTACTCACAAGTTCCCCCACCTAGGAACTTGAATCAGCGCGGCGGACGAGGTGGTCGAGGAAATTACCGGGGTTCTGAGCGAGGAAATGGACATAAACCGCAAGGGAGCTATCGCGGCAGAGGTGCAGCAGCAGCGGGGAATAACCAGGCTTGAACCTTTCGTCACGTCTAGCTTCGTGTGTAAAGTTACCTCATTCCCCTGGCATTTAGGTTATATGAATTTACAGGGTGTAACGCTACTGGGTCATTTGTAGCCTTGAATGAAATAGAAGCATAGGAAGGCATGAGTAACTAGTATTGGGGACGTATCCGTATATACTGTACCATAGCCTACCATTACATTACATGCAGCGACAAAATCGGAGTGAACTGACCCGAGGCTTCAGCGGACTAGACCTAAAAGGCTATTAGTGACCCCCGCATTGAGCTTGATTAACATCTACGTGGAGAATGACATGGATAAATATCCGAATCCTCATATATAAGATGAGCTGTAGAATCCCAGTAAAACAGACCCAGTAAACCTCAACCTAACCGAACAGAATCGAACAAAAATGCCCGCAATCCCCACTTTCGATAACCTAACCCTAGATCCTAAAGGGCCGGTAGGAAATGCATGGGGCCTCTTTCCTAGAAACGATATCGGAATGCTCAACCTACTCACGCCAGAAACAGTCCAGCAAGCAGCGAGCGAAGAGATTCGTACGGGAGTCCGGATCTCGCTAGATCTTGCCTTAGACCGACTCAATCATCCGAGTTATGGGCGCAAACCATTCAGCCAGGAAATTGTGAATAAAGCACCGAGGATTGTGAATGATGATATCTTGTCGTTCAACACGCAGACAAGTAGCCAGTGGGATGGATTTCGGCATTACGGTATGTTTATATGTGCCCTGATCTTTTACCACGAGATTGTAACGATGGAAAGAGAATATTGACAATCGGTCCACATGTACAAAGGCCACCAGGATCTAGGATGTTACTATAAGGGGCATTCGTTGGAGGAATTACAGAACTCGTCCGTTATCGGGGTGGATTGTAAGCTATTTACTACCACAGTCTGTCATACTCCTCCGAATAGAATCCATACTAATAGCTATATATTAAAAAAGCATGGGCAAACAACGGCGGCATCATAGGCCGAGGAATCCTCATCGACTACGCAACATGGGCCAAAAAGAATTCAATCCCACTAATCCCCTTCGAAACAACCAGTATCCCCCTCTCCCACATAAAGAGTGTAGTCCAAGAAAGTAACATCCAATTCCGACCCGGTGACATCATCTTCATCCGCACGGGCTTCACAGAAGCATACAACAAGCTTTCCCAGGAGGAAGAAGCGGCGCTAGCCCAACGCCCCCGTCACGATTTCGCCGGCATCGAGAACGGTGAATCTACACTGCGCTGGCTGTGGGAAAACCAGTTTGCGGCAATTGCAAGTGATTCACCGAGCTTTGAGCCTTCGCCGGTTATAAGGGAGGATTCGCCAGCCGAGACGACTTTGCATCAGTGGTGTCTTGCGGGGTGGGGGATGCCCATTGGGGAGTATTTCGATTTGGAGCAACTTGCAGAGCACTGTTGGGTTAAGGGGAGATGGAGTTTCTTTTTGTCGAGTGTGCCGCTTAAGGTGAGTGAATTGGATCTCATGGGAGCTATGGCAAAGGGGGTATGTACATACTGTACTAATTGAGATTATAGGTTCCAGGGGGTGTTGCGAGCCCGCCTAATGCGGTTGCCATATTCTGATACGTCAGGTTATGGTTTATCTCTGATGCTGAGAATGCTTTGTTTTGCAGAAAAATGTGAATTATGGACAAACTTCGGCCTTGGAAGCAGTAGATACAAAAATAGGGAAGAAAGGTGACTATCGCCACATCTGCTTAAATGGCACCGGATAAGCAGCTTCACAGCGCACATTTTAGTCTCCACAAAGCTTCACTTCCATTTCCTCGGCGAAAACCTTAGTATCCATGCTAGGCATGATCTGTTCTCCACAAGCCCCATTCTTTGGCCTGTCCACATGACCCTCCTTGAACTTGAATTCATAATCTGCGATGAAGCGGCTCATGATGGCATTCGCAATATTCACCCCGAGGAATCGCCCAGGGCAAGCATGTAGGCCGAATGCAGATTGGCGAGACCGACATCAGTGAAATTTGCACCTTGGACATCAGGGTCCATACACCAACAGAACACGTCAAATTCAAGTCAGTTAGGGACAATAGATGGATGCCCCAGACATAAGGCCCGAGGGAGGCAGATAGGAGTTCTTTTGGGAGGATGAGGCCATCGGAGAGAGTCAGGGGTCGTCTTATGATACGTTCGGTGGAGACTGGTGTCATTAGCCATAAATACAATATTAGTGACCGAGAACAAAACAATCATATCAATATGTATTTGCATGAAGGTAATAGTACTTACCCATAGAGGTAGGGATAAGACGCTGTGATTCTCGAAGGAAGTTACCCAAACGCCGCAGGGCGCCCAAATCGCTCGGCGAGGTCCGGATCCATTTGTTTCTCAGGCACTTCTGTCTCCTCCCTCAAAGGTTCAAGATACTCAGGGTGGGCCATCAGATCATACATAGCATGGGTGATTAGGGTAGTGGTATGTACGACAGCCAAAGCCATGATGACCATCAATCCGTCGGCTAAGTTCAAAGGGTCATTTTCGAAGTCGTTGTCGGCCAGCTCCATCATCCATTGTAGGAAGTCATCCTATTTCACGAATAGCGGGTCATTTTACTCACAGTCCTGCGACTCCAGATCAACAGATGAAGGAATTCTTCTGTGATCCTCTCGAGCTGCACACCGAGTCTCGGAACACTAGTAAGGACCGGGGCTATAGGGCGGAGGAATTTGGGAAAAGGCCGTAGGTAGATGATATTTACATAGTTGTCATCGCATTTCGTTTTACAATTGAGAAAGCGCAGTAGAGCTCAGGATGAAATCGCGGAATAAGACGGTCTATTTCTTGGATATCAGTGCTGATGCTCAAGTCGTATTGAGGCAAGTGAAAAAGCAATAACATTCAGACATCTTAAGGCGTCTTTCTACTCTTATTTAGTCCAGGATTCAATGTCTTTGAAATGGTGACCGACGGCAAGTCCCTATCAATGATTGTATCGGGGTATACCCCTAAAATGCTCTACAAGATATCTAGTTAGCCAGATATATTTTGCCATAGATGTATATACTTACTCTGCTATCGGCATCGAGAGGTGTCAACCTGAACTCATCAAGGTATTTCAATTCCTCCAGATATGTCTGAGGTAGTACGGCCAAGTCTCCGTCCACCTTGAGGATTCGAAAGGCCTTGGTTTTGTACTGGACCGTTGTCAGCATCGGGCAGCGAACCAATAAGTATAAAACACATAACTTTTCGTATCCTTGATAGATCTGAAAAGGCGCTACAACGAAATAGAGGATACGGGTGACAGTACGGGTGACAAAGTCGGGTAAGCCCCGCTGGTATTTGACTACGGGGAATTTGAGCTGGTTCGCATCTGGAGCTGAAGACTTGACGATAAAGTAAAGGGCAAGGAGACTCATTGGAATCAGCATCCAATACAACATGTACTCCATGATCCAAATCATGATGTGGTTTAGGGACCAGATGGGCGCTATGACTGGGGGTATGGATATAGATGCGTAGTGGAGGGTGAAGCAATTTAAAGAAACGAAATTAAATGGAAGAATGAAAGTCAGAAGATTGATAGTATTAAATAGCCATCATAGTCGCCGCTATGGTGACAGGTTTGTTGTGAAATATCACTGTGTTTCGTGAATGTCAATAGAATACGGTGTATAGGGTTATTCAGTTACATATGAGGCTGTTTACATAATAACACCCGCCCAGTGCTCGTGTGGCTATATCGTTGTGTTCAGACCGGCAGGTAGTTAGTCACTGTCGCCAAGATGCACAGGAATGAACGGAAGTAGGTCAAGTTTCTTTTGGTGTCTTGCATGATTTCAATTATTCATATAAAGACGTGTCTAGAGGTATGTACATCGTGCTATCCAATTACAAGCAGTACCCCAAACTTTTGCTGCCCCTTTTTATCTTCCAGGTATACCAGTATCAAACGCCAGACGCAAATGCGAAGGATAGAGAATGTTGGACGAGAAGCAGAACACGTAACTAGAGGAAGATGACTCGCAATCATTCAAGTCCGATCCATTCCTCTTCCCCATTTACAGCGTCACCCATGTTCTCATCATCATTTGCTGTCATATCATTGTTTTCCATAGCCGCCAAGGTTAGGGTGTTACTGGCCTTTTTGCCCGCAAGTACGGGTTTCGAAAGTAGATAATTGAGATCGTACAAGTTCTTCTCGGTCATCCTCTTCAAATTCTCCCGGATATCGTCAATGGCACGTTGGACGGCACGAAGTTCTGGCGCAAAAGTACCGGAGTTTTCTTTGAAATACCGCCCATGGCTGCTCAAAAGAGCTTCAATCCACAGCAGGTTGAACTCCAGATGCGGGGTTTCCTCAGTAGCATGAGCTACGTAGCGAAGTAGACGAGGGAGGTAGACTGTTGGCAAAGCCCGCACTACATGGGAAATTTCGGACGGCGGGACTCCTTCATGAACTACACGGATAAGTTTCGATTCGTTCAAACGGAACGCCATGACTAATGCCTTCAGGAAAGTGTCATCGCTATCGACCGTGCCTGATGTATAGGCCTGTTTGGCATTCTGCAATGTCTCCATGATGGTGGATGGAGTGATTGAAATGTCCAGGTCGAACGGATCGAAAACAAATTCTGTATCCAGACTATAGATAAGAAGACCTTCCGTGGATGCTGCGCAAAAAGCACGGCCGGTTGGCGAAAAATTGACGGACATGACACGTACTTCCGGTCGAGTAGTGCGAGCTCCGGCATCACCGCGCTTTGCGCCAGGAAGGGCGCGATCAATTCGGTCTTCGAGATCCGACGCCTCGCCTGTCTCATCAATCAGACCTCGGGCACCAGCTTCTGTTAAATCACGACTGTTCAAGATTTCCTGGGTGCCATCAAGCGAGGTGTTGACAGAAACTGTGTACTTTTTCACTAACGAGCCCGTCCTCACATCGTACAGGCAAATATACTTGCTGTTTCCTCCAGCTAGAATGCAGCTTCCATCAGCACTGTAGGTAATACAGTTAAAGAACTTAGTTCCTGCGGCGTTCGCAGCGGTTTGACGATCAGTTAGCTTGCGGCCTCCTGAGACGTCACGACGACCATCAATCCCACTCTCTTGCACTGCATCTTCGACAGACCAGAATGTCAATTGGCCATCCAGCGATGATGCAGCAACTTGTTTGCCATCCGGCCTGAAAGCAACGCTAAGGACATCAGACACAAGTTGTAATGGCTCGCTGGTCTGAGTTCGGCCGAAAATACTCCAGATGCGAACAGTACGATCCCAACTACCACTGACAAGATGGTTGCCATCTGCCGCAAAAGCAAGAGCAGAAACAGGGCCTTCGTGACCGGTTAGTTGATCGAGTAACTGTCCTGTCTGTACGGACCACACGTGGATGTCGAAAGAATCTGGGGATCCAGCGCAGACCACTTCGCCACTTGGGTCGACAGCAAGCGAAGAAAATGACAATCGAGACGGCGCGGTGAATGTTCGGAAGTTGCGATAACGAATGAGGTCCCACGCTCTCACCGAGCCATCTAACGAAGCTGTGAACAGAACGCTTCCTTTCTTGGCGAACTGGCAAGCAGTAACTCCGCTGCTGTGCTCTGTAAATGTCACGAGACAGAAGCCAGACTTGACGTCCCAGACTTTGACCTTTCCATCATCGGAGGTAGTAACAATCTTCTGGCCATCGGGAGAATAAACCAAGGTGTTCATCGAGTCCAGATGGCCCTGTTGTTTCAAGATGTACGATTCCGATTGCCATTCCCACACTAGCAGTTGGCCATGCTTCGAGGAGCCAAATGCTAGCCACTCGCCAGTTTTATTCACCGTCACATAGTCAATATTGCTCTGAGAAACACTGTTCTTCGGTTAGTCATATATATAATATCAAGTCCAGAGAGAAGTATACCTCAAAAGATGAATCATGTTGAACTCTGGCAAGTCATAAAGTCCAAAAAGACCATTCGAGAATCCCACCACTAAAAGGTTCGTGGAGGCATGGAATGCCGCGCAATTGACCTTAGCATCATTCTGCATAAAAAAGTCCTTCTTTACAATCCTCCAGCGAGCCTCGGCAACATCCTCCATTGTATCAGGGTCTTTCTTGGTCACATATTCCCATCGGAACAAAGCTCCGTCTTGACTGACGGTATAGATCTAGAATGGAGTCAGATAACAGCCAGCCGCACAATCAAGGAGACTTACAGATTCCTGATCAGCAGAAAAGAATGCCGCTTTCACACCTTGCCGGTGCCCCGCCAATGTGGTGGGTTCAAATCCCTCCTCTGGATCCACGCTCCATACGCGTGCTGTTAGATCCTTGGAAGCAGTGAGGATGAAACGCGAATCGTAAGACCATTCCAGATGTTCAATGATGTCAAAGTGGCCAGCAAGGTCTCGGTGCAGGACAAAAGGTGCGAACTCGATCTCCCCATTATTATCTGTACCCGGCGTTGAGGGCGTGTTCCAGAACTGCAGTCGTCGCCCCACTCCTACAGCGAAGAATCGGCCGGACGGGGAGAACTTGAGCGAGGAGACCCGGCCCTTGAAAGAGAAGTGGTGGATGACAATTCTACGCTTAAAGTTCGTCAAGATTGCGCGGCCATTTTCATCAACGGTGAGCAGGAGATTGCCCTGAGGCGACAGATCTAAACGGTCGATATTCGTGCGGTGCGCAAAGGGAAGAGTATATGATGTATTTCTTTGCGCGGCGTCGCATTAGCGTCGATTTCCAATTAGCATTGAGAAAGAAGCGCATGGGTACATACTGGACAAGGTCGAAAACTGTGACCCGGTTCCCTACCGGGGAAAGCAAACAGGTGCCATCGGGGGTAAAAAGAAGATTTCCTTTGCGATAGACCGTACCGAGCAGGTTGGAAAACTAGGAGATTGTCAGGTTCACCGGCTTTTTGGTTATTTTTCTTTTGTTTTGTTTTATTTTCATCTAGAGAAAAATAATATTGGAGGTAAAAGCAACTGACCTTAAAATCCGTCTTCATTGTTGCCCAACGTGCAGTCAATCAATCACTGTAATCCAGGCCTTCAATCATAAAAATTGTCTTTTTTTCCTCTTCAAAACGGTCGATAAGAGAGCTGATCCGCAGGGTTAATCCGGCACCGAGGAATTAACCCATAAGGGGGTTAGCGTGCCCCAGAGATGGCCAGGTCGGATGTTTGCTTCTGTTTGCTTCTCCACTGCTGACTGGACGGGATTCAGGGGCAGTTACCCAACCCAAACCAAGAGAAGGCACGACAAACTGCCCGCAACTCTTGTTTGTCTGTCTCCCATTACCTAGCTACATCCCCCCGACGGCCATTGATCCCCGGACTGGTACTGTTGCTCATTGGATTCCCTTCTGCTCGTTTCCTTCCCCCTCCCCAGTTGGCTAATTTCCTGTCTAAAGCAGGGCGTCGTTCCTCCGGCCATTACCTTGTTGTTTGTCTTGGTTGAGTTCCCTCTCTCTGATCGACCCCTTTATCACAATGGCCTCCACTACTGAGACTGCCTCCCCCATTGGCATTGCCAACGTAAGTGATGGAATACGTTCAAGGGCTTTAATAAATTAAACAGATCACTGATGATTGATTGCAATAGCTTCCCAACCAGCGGTATGTATTCTTGATTAGCTATGGTGAGCAAGGGTGGAGGGCCCTAACTGAAGCTTTACAGCCACAAGATTGTCGCTAAGCGGGGTGCGGCTTTCACCATTATGGTTTGTCTAGAAGGGATTTAACGTGACGATCAAATCAATACTGATAGCACTGCAGGTTGCTGGAGAGTCCGGCTTGGGAAAGACAACCTTTATCAACACCTTGTTCTCGACGACCATCAAGAACTACGCAGACCACAAGCGTCGTCACCAGAAGCAGATTGACCGGACTGTTGAGATTGAGATCACCAAGGCCGAGCTGGAGGAGAAGTTCTTCAAAGGTACACTATAAAATTGCCTGCTCGTTGAACGACCGCTGACGCTCTGGATGTGTCTATATAGTTCGTCTGACCGTTATCGATACTCCTGGGTTCGGAGACTATGTCAACAACCGTGATTCCTGGCAACCTATCATTGAGTTCCTTGACGACCAGCATGAGTCCTACATGTTGCAAGAGCAGCAGCCCCGCCGCACAGACAAGATCGATATGCGTGTGCATGCCTGCCTGTACTTCATCAGACCCACCGGCCACACCCTGAAGCCCCTTGATATCGAGGTTATGAAGCGTTTGAGCTCTCGCGTCAACCTAATTCCCGTCATTGCTAAGGCTGACACCCTCAGCCCCGCCGATCTGGCCCGTTACAAACAGAGAGTAAGAGCAGTTTTCGATTTCTCTTGTTAGTGAGATACTCGACTAAAATCCTCGCTCCCTAATAGGTCCAAGCTGTTATTGAAGCTCAAGGCATCAAGATTTATACTCCCCCGATTGAAGAAGATGATGAGCACGCCGCCACCCACGCACGGAGCCTGATGGCTGCTATGCCTTTCGCTGTGATTGGTTCCGAGAAGGACGTGAAGACCAGCGACAACCGGGTTGTAAAGGGCCGTCAATATGCTTGGGGAGTTGCTGAAGTTGAAAATGAGGACCACTGCGACTTCAAGAAGCTTCGTTCGATCCTGATCCGTACCCACATGCTGGATCTTATCCATACCACCGAGGAGCAGCACTACGAGGCCTACCGTGCGCAACAGATGGAGACCCGGAAATTCGGCGAGGCTCGTCCCAGGAAGTTGGACAACCCCAAGTTCAAGGAAGAAGAGGAGTCGCTGCGCAAGCGGTTCACCGAGCAGGTCAAGGTCGAGGAGCAGCGTTTCCGACAGTGGGAGCAGAAGCTCATTGCCGAGAGAGACCGCCTCAACAAGGACCTGGAGGCTACGCATGCTGCGTACGTTGCCCCATTCTCGTTGGTTTTCGGGATGATAATTAGGCTAACTGGAGAACAGTATCAAGTCGCTCGAACAAGAAATCGAGTCTTTGCAGGGCTCATCTACTCGGAGCCATGGACGTCGCTAAGGCATTTCTGGACCGCTGCAGACTGTGGTCTTTCGATCAACAGTGGGAAAAGCAGACTTGTGCATTCGTCAACTTTAATTCATGTTCATTTGACTACCCCCTGAAATTTTCATTATTTTTCCTATTTTCGGCTTTCTGTCTGCTCAAGGGAGACAATTTGCGTGGGGCATTGACACCCTATCTTGAGTTTCGCTGGGTTTTCTTGTTATTATTCTCCTTACCTGCTGGTAGCTAGCGATGGTTTTTCTACATCCTTGATAATAACCTACTTGTATTCCGTGGCATGTCAATACAGATTTAATTTGGTTATATGGAAGTATAGCATATAGGGTTCACTAGACCTCAAGGCAAATGAGTGGGACGCTACATAAATAGACCGCCCTGCCAAGAACGAAAGTTCATTCTCCACATTTCATTTCATTTCAACGGCTGCCCATTACGATGAGGTCGCCAGCTTAAACCTCGACGATATCTTTGAACCATTGCAATGCCAGTGACGAAGCAGTTTCCCACCCGTTTAGTCCACACCCTCAAGACGCATAATGGTAGGCTCCCTCAGCTTTCTGTAGCTTCCTCTGACATTGCGCAGGGCCCGTAAACGCGGTCACATTCTCCAGTTATCCTGGAACCTACGTTCTGACCGGTTCCTCCGACCGTGCTGTGCATCTCTCTCGCGCAATTCCCAACAAAACTGGCACGTCTCCTGAAGAAACGACAGCCCCGATCCAGAAATACGAAGCCCACGGGTACTCGGTGCACGATATCGCCGTCGCAGGAGACAACGCCCGCTTCGCCAGCGTCGGCGGAGATAGACAGGTTTTCCTCTGGGATGTCGAACAGGGCGTAACCGTCAAGCGGTGGAGCGGGCATGGGGCGAGGGTAGAAGCGGTCCAGTTTGCCGGCGAAGGCGACTCGGTGGTTGTTTCCGGTGTGTTTACCTCAACCTGCCTCATCATTTGCGACCTACGTGACGACCATTCTATTATTTATCTATACTAATTTTACGCTTGTTTTTGTAGGCAGTGCGGACACTACAATTAACCTATGGGATACACGATCCAACTCTACCAAACCAATCCAAACCCTCACCGAAGCTAGCGACACCGTCTCATCCATTCACGTCCACGCCCCTACGTACTCCATCGCAAGCGGAAGCTACGACGGCCGTGCGCATATCTACGATGTCCGCATGGGTCGCACAACTGTCGATGTCCTCGCTCACCCGGTAACGAGCGTGCGGTGCTCGGCGGACGGGAACGCACTCCTGGCCTCGACACTGGATAGTCGCATTCGCATGCTCGATCGCGCGGATGGGAAACTTCTCCAGGCGTACGGGGATGGGGACAACAGTTCCAGGAAGGCTGGGTATCGAAATAGCGAGCTGAGAATCCGGTCCGTGTTCGCCAAAGGTGATGCGGTGGTGCTTAGTGGGAGTGAGACGGTTAAGGAGGATAGGACGGCTCAGGCGCATGTCTTCGCTTGGGATGTCTTGAGTGGGGAAGTGGTTGCTAGTGTGCCAGCTGGCGAGGGCGTCCGGGTTGTGAGTTGTGTGGCGTGGAATGAGAAGGGGGGCAATTGGGCCGGTGGGTGCTCAGATGGTGCGTATACGGTTTTCTCTCTTCGGTCCCTCCTTCTTCCACATCTTTCATTCTTATCTATGGAAGTTATTTTCGGTGTCCATATTTCTTGGGCCTTGTTTATCAGCAGGTCTGCTAACATGAATTTTAGGAACTGTGAAAATCTATGGCTAGCGATGAATAATTAGCTCCAAGGTCCTACCACGTGCTCTGATCACGTTGAACGTATCGCTTCAATCACCTCCAGCTTACAATGGATGGTTAGGCCTACCACCCAAGGAACGACAGCTGCATGGCGATCCCCAAAAGGAAACAACGCCTCCCCCGAAACAGGGCGAACAGGTCTAACCGCTCGCACGATATCTCCACCTATCTGTCTTCAGCCGCCTGCCAAGTGCGCTCTTGCATTGCGTGTTCACCGATATCTATGCGCCATTCAAGAGCCTCAGCTTGCGCCACCACGGAGTACTTGGGAAAGCTAGGATATACTTTCGCCCATCACGAACGCATGACGCAGTCACGAACCCCGAGGTATTGACTAGTTCCATCTATTTCCTGGAAGCCACTACTTGCTTCGTGAGGATTCATTCGTAGGGTCTTACCGCAGTACGGGGCAGGGTTTTAAATTGGTCTGGTCCAAGCTTTTTAGGCGCCTGCAATTACGAATGGGGTGTGCTTCTATCAGCTGATAGGGACTTTGTTACTAGTACTATGGGATCCTAGTCAGAAAATAGTTTGTGAGATTACAGAATGCAAAGGGCAAAGCGCCATAAATGAATGTCGATAACAACCCACATTGAGATATCTAGCGCCACCAATCCAAGTCATGAACATCAAGCACCATATCTCACACCAAGACCGACGAATTCGCTCAGTATCAACACATATTTTGAAAAAAATAATACTACAAACAACAAAAGAAAAAGAGGAGAGGCCAAAAGAAGATAAAACTTGAGGTGCTGTTACCCATATCACGTCACAATCCAAAAAAAATAAGATGAAAAACTTTTGGGGAATTAATTATCTTGAACTTCAACAAATTTTTGGGGATCCAAACGTAAATCATAAACGGGGAGGAAGAGAGCTTTAAGAGATCATCAAAAGATAAGAAGATTGAGAGTAAAGCCTTCTGCGGAAAGCTGCCCATGCGCTTGATATGTTGGGTCAAGGTGGGTAGTCGGAGGCAAACCAGCCAAGCATGATCAGAGCTCAAATCCTTCAGGTTCATCGGGCTCATTGCTCTCCGCATCCAAAGCGTCCACCGCTCGCTGAAGTTCGTGCTCGCCGACTATGATGGTTCCCGCCCGCGCAGTGCTGAGGAAGCTGATCTCGACAGCATCTATTGGACTGTCAAAATCAGGCTGCAGGTGATGGGTAGGGTTGCCGTTGTTGGGGGTTTTGCGTCCAGAGCTCGGCGCCGGAGGTTTCACGGGTCCGCCGGATCCGACACTCGTAGAGAAAAACCGGCTGATGGTGTCGTCAAAGGACGGAAAACCATTAAAAGAATGAGATAGGACGGTGGAAGAGCCGTCCGTGATGTCATCGCCACGAGCATGCGTAGCATCTGCCAGCCTACTGGCTACCCCACAAACAATACCGGTGGCCTCTAGCGGAAGATTGCGCAGATCCAACATGATAGGAACGAGGATCTCCTCTTTTGAACCGAGTAAGAGGCTGGTTTCGTCATCTGGTTCAGCGGGTAGTGTAGGGTCACTCGAAAACCGGGGCAATAGCCGTTTTTCCAGTAGAAGTGAGGCCGCAGGATCGGCTGCTGTCATGGTGAGAGAGAGAAAGCGTGGCTTGTCCACAACCAACGCTATCGTCAGGGCATCACGGAGTATGGCTATGGAGCTGATCTCACTGCTATCACGATGGTGAACTGCACATTGAACCAAGCGGAGCGATTTGTCAACGGAAGGGATAATGCTATTCTTTCGCAAGGAGGAGAAGGTGCGAGACTGTAATTCATCGAGGGACGATGGCGGAGGAGTGGCAGGTGGTGAGCCTAGGCTACTGGCGGAACGAGAGGACACAGGACTGAAGCAAGATTTGAACTGATTGATGTTGATGAATGCGTCTGTCGACATCTCGAATCGAAACCCACGCTTTTCCAAGGCTTCAATTACATGCGTTTTGCTGCGAAGAGGAACAATAATATAATCTGAAAAATAGGTGGAAATGAAAAATATAGAGCTGCAGAATACCCGCGTTAGCACATTTTCACCGTCCAAGAAATGGCAGAGACATACATTCCGGCCATTGCTAAAGGACTCGTGAGTTCGAGTACTCGTTGACCCGCTTCAAGACCCTCACCATACACTTGCATGGCAACAAAGTCCTCACGACTGATAGATAGGCGGCATTGGTTGGATGAGTTGTCTTTAGCAAACCGTTCGACCAACGGAGCGAAATAGTTGTCGGCGAGTTGCCTAGGGCACATAATGGAGCATTCCACTGGTGTGATGGAGAGGTTCAAAAACGCAGGCTGAGCACGTCTGTGGCCCCCGTCGGAGCCACCATTTTGGAAATCTGCATGACTTCCATTGAGTGGTGGTACCTCGTGGAAAAGGACCTGAAGGATTGGATTTAAAAAGTATGGGTAGAGGTCCAGTGGAATATGGACGAGAGCCAGTCGGTCATCCTGCATTACCACGACTGTTGTCAGCAGGCTAAGCCTCAAGAAACGAATGATCACTGGGAATTCCCAGCTGTCATCCAAAGGAGGCATATCTCGGAGGCATGCTGTACGATAATCAAATACATGTAGATAGGGTAGAAGCTCACCATGAACTGGACCTGAGCAGAGGTGAGCGTTAGTGACTGCTCCATCTTTTCAAGGGTTGTTGTAGAGTCCGTGTGCCTCAAAAACCAGTCAGTTGCCCTTCACGAGAGCGAACTCGTGAATATATCAGCGGTAGATCTAGTGCGGCGCAGGACAAGAGAGCTAGGCTGAAAGGAGGCTCTTCGTTGATAGTGACAAGGCTGAATCTCAGAGGGATGGCTATATATAGGGGATTCTAATTAAACAAGAGAGGACACCCGAGGGTCAACTCGGTCAACTCCGCGTGATTAATTACTTGGGAAGGTTTGGAAGGCGAAAATGGTGTGCTATGAAAAGTATCGAGGCGGTGCTGGTATGGCTTGTCATTCGCCTTTGCGAGCAACTGGATGCGCTCAACAAGACGGTTTCAGGCGAACAGCGGTCAATATATAGAGGCGTTTCTTTCGTTCTTTTTATACTTCATTGTTTTGTTTCTCTGAAATCTCTTGCGCGGCATGAGACGATGAGCAGTCATTCTCGTCGACTGCCTTTCGTTACGCCATTTTCCGGAGGGAATGATATCAAGAGACCAGCACGTAAGGGGGAACCGAACGATCTCAGGCGATGATGCGATAAAGGGCGGGAATCGGGGCAAGATGAGGAGAATGGCATCAGAGATGGTTGCAAGCACACCAGAACTGCGATGAGTCAAGGAAGCGGAGGAAAGAAGAGCTCCTCAAGTGACTTTTGACTCTATGCCTCTTTGGATTTTCACCAACTCCGTCTCGCCCTTTTCCCCAATTGCACGGAATTTTTAATGCTTCGTTTGACTTTCTTCAACCTGTTGAGTCACCCAGAATGAAGTCTCAAAAAATAGATGTCTCCACTCTGTGATATCCACAGTTCGAAGCTTGGCCAGGTTGATAAAGGGAAAAAAAAAAAAGGTAAAGTACTCAAGCAATAAGGGGAGAGGGGGAGTATATGAACGTTGGACTGTCCCTTCAAGTCCTTTCTAAAAAAAATTTTCTTCTTTCTTCACCCCTGAACACACTGCGTTATCCTCATGCACCTTTTTACCTAATGACCTTTCGCAATAGATCTAGCCGTTGCCCGAGTGGTTCGTCCGGGTCTATCTCCAGTGTCGCGTCTCCACCGACACCACTGCTTATCAGCAGTGGCAGCAAATGAGCAATTCCGCTGCGATCGCCACTCCGCGGTAGGCGCCACTACTGATAAATGCCTGTGCGTTTGGTGGTCTAATCCTACCGGCGCACGGTTCCTATGCAAATCCAATGGCTCTGTGTGAGATTTAGAAACGATTCATGATGCTCTCCCCGCACTTTTCGCGACAAGGATCATGGGGCGACTTACTCGGACTAGTCAGGCACCGCAGGACTGATCGGTCACACAATCTGCACTTCTAGCGTGGCAGCACCGCTACTCGACAGGTGTCCGTATCGTAAGATATGGACATTTGGCAATTGAGGGGGAAAAGATAAAGCGGGTGGGTTTGGGAGGGTCCCAATGACACCGCAATGAGTTGAGTGGAGTCCTGCCCTTCCACGGAATGCCAACGGGAAACCCTTATGATAAGGAAACCTTTCCAAAAAAAATTTTATTTTTTGAACCTGCCATATTCATGCATCACTCTGGTGCCCTTCGGAATATAGCATCAGCGGTGCAACCCTAGAACGGAAAATTTCGCCGTCCAACCTGTGCCTCTCCAATGATATGGCAGTGTCCCTAGACCCCCGTTGGAGATCAACTATCTCGTCATCCTCGACAGCAAATAACCAGGAAATCGATCGTCCCATGACCTTTGAGAGCGCAATCTCCATTCGTTGCGAAACTTACTAGCAGTCCCTATCCATTAAACGCTATCCCTGTATTGTGCTCACTAAACATGCATCTGGTATCTACTTTCTGACTATCATCGAATCGACAAAGCCTGATATGATGCACGAACCTCGCAACCATTGGTGGCTGGGGTACTCAATCATCCGATCATCTCGCCATTTCGGTGATCTACCGGACACCCTTGCGTAGTCGGTTTCTGACAGACGCCCCTCTAAATGATCACTAGATCTCTTGTATGTTGGTGACGATCACAGCGCTTTACTTGAGAGTTGAGAATCTGGCGTTGCTAGCATAACTTGCCAATTCCCGCTCTCTCCTAAGCAGAGATCAAGTGCATATACCTATTATTGCCGGACCGATAAGACTCCATGAAAATGAGGGATTTAGAATCCTTGACTTTTCCAACAGTTTCATATGCTCCTCGATAATTAAATTAGTCTCGAGGTGCGCATAATTATCTTGTTTCCTCTATCCGTACAGTGACTTAAAACTCCACTAGCATAGCATATGCACGCACCTCTACAATCAGGAGGTTCTTATCAACGATTTGTTGTCTCTTGACAGAGCCTAACACCACGATGCTATCTAGTAAATGAGTACTAATACATATAGCGCCTGTCCTATAGCTAGGAGAGTAGGGAAAGGCTGCCACTTTCCAAAACAACTTCTTCAAGCCGTCCACGGAGTCTCTACTCCATACATTCTCCTGGTATCCGTGTACTGTGCCCTCACGACCCCGTATTACACCCGAGAATCTGCTACCTAAGCACACCCGAGACACCATCCAATCCAAAGGAGCGAAAGATTTTTCAGGATAATTAAGCCACCAACCAAATACTACAAGACTTTCCCGATAAATCGAGAATTCCCAGATTAGGTATCCAACAGCACACGACGTTACATAGCCTGTACACACTGACTGTGACTTAGCCCGTCACTACTCTCTCCCAATCAGACGATGGGATCGCCAGTGCAGGGAAGGAATACCTACCTAGTAATAGGTACCTGCCTAGGTACCTAACTGCTAAGGTACATACGGGGTACATACTAGTACTTCTCTCGCCGGAATCAAAATTGCCACTAACTCACGGCTGGAGTGCCACCCCCATACCCGAATGCTACTAAGACTAAGTACAGTACCTAAGTAGTACCCATAAAACATTAATTTCTTAAGAATAGCAGTATAACTGTTCTCCGCGAAGGATTCTCAGATTATAGCTTGGTAACTACCCAACTCATCCACTTAAAAAGCTAGAATAGATCTCCAAATACCTCTACTATCCATACAACACTGTCATACGCCCCATCCACATACACGTATATACACAGACAGAGACTATACATTCATAGACAACACAACACGCCCCACCCCAGTGGATCTATATACATCACCCCAATATAAACAACAGCTTACAAGCCCAGGCCCTAAAACCCCCTAAAGAACCACCAATCCATTCAACTCATTTAAAAATATATATAAAAAAAATAAAAACAGAGAAAGAGAAAAAAAAAAAGAGAAAGAAAAAGTAAAAAAAGGGAACCCAGCAAACGATGATCACCTCACCAAACATCCAAAAACGACTCCACCACCACCACCACCCTCAAAGCCAACCCAACAAACCTCGACCCCCTCCCCGACCTTTTCCTTTCTCCCCGGTCGACCTCACCCACGTAACCGACAACCAACAAGCAATCTACGGCTGCCTCCGCTCCCGGGGCTGGAACGACAGCTACTGTTCCTGGCTTCCGGATGTCGATCACATACAGCTGTCCCGACCCGGCTGGTTCCGGGCGAAGGGGTGGAGCGAGGAGCAGCTGCGGGTGTTTCGGGAGCGGTGCGAAAGGGACTTGCCGGTGGGTGTGGCGTCGCCGGTTATGGGGACGGAAGGAGATGGGTGGGGGGCAGAGTTTGATCTGCAGGTTAAGTTGTTGGGGGAGGCGAGTCGGAGGAAGAAGGTCGGGGAGGAGATGTCTGGGATATATGCTGTGGATGTTCGGGATATTGGATTAGGCTGGTTCTTCTCTCATCCAGTGCGGGTACAGACAGTGGGTTTTACGTATGTTGTGGAAGCAACAGAGAGGCTCTGCGATTCAGGCTTATAGCAGGACATGATATCCCCGGGTGTAGAGCCTAGAAAGCTCAAGTGGTTTGATTTACCTTCATTTGAATAGTTCTACGTCGGGAGGGTAAAGAGGTGCTTTGTGGAGAAACAGGTACACAATGTATATAGATCATTGATTCAAAATCATTACCCACTTTAGTCCGTCAGACAACAAAGTACAGTTACATATATCAACAGTGTGGCCCCATGAATTTTGAATTTGTCCTCAGCCAGAAACCGACCACAGAGAGGTAGAAGAAAAGATGACAACGCCGGCAATGCATGAATCATCCCAAAAACAGCAGTGGTATAAATCAAATCCTAAACCAGACCGCATCTATTGAATCAGTCGTCGTCGACTCTGGCGCGCTTCGAGCTACGATCTTCACGATCGACCTCCTGAATTCCGTAGCGCTTCTGTCCAGCTCCACCAGTGACGTCGGCGATCATGGTGTCAATGCCAAAGGGATCGGTGGTGTCTTTCTCGAATTGAACAGGGCCATCACGAGTCTGTTTCAGTTGGTTAGTGATGATCACAATACTTAAGTCAATGGAGGATACTAGTGTAGAGTTACTCACCTCAGCATCTGCGGCTCCTCGGAAGCCTTCTTTGGCTTTGCCCAGGACTTCAAATCGGCTCGATTTCTGAATCCTGCTCATTTCGCCCTCGGCACCACCTTCGTCGTCGTCTGCGTCGACTTGGGCCCGGGGACGGTAAATGCTGTTGATGGCGTCCTGCGCAGCAAACAACGGCTTGTCGTAAGGGTTATCCTCGTTAAATCCGGTGTCCATCCCACTCGTCTGGTTAAACAGACGAGAGTCCCACATAGTCTCAGAGGATTGTGTTGGCTTAGCCAATCCCAGAGCCACCTTCTCCGAAATATCACGGTTCTGTTCACGGGCCATTGCTTGAATCCGTCTCTCTGTGCCCATCCTCGACTGGCGGAGCTGCCTCTCAGCTTCCTGACGGCGCTCGCGACGCATGCGCTCACGCTCCCGGGCAGCCCTTTCATCATCACTAGGAGTACCGGACCGGTCAGAGTACGGAGACGGACTGCGGCTGACGCTGCGGGAGCGAGAACGGGAGCGAGAAACAGCGCGGGAATCGCGACGGCTGCTGGCAGCTCTCTCCTCGCGGGCCTTCTGCGCGAGCGCCCGCAGATGATCCTCCTTCTGTGCCTTTTCCTTCTCCGCCAGCTTCTGCTGCATCTGAGCACGTAGTCTAACCTCCTCACGAGCATGTCTATCAGCAGTGAACAAAGCCTCAGCAAACTGGGCAAACTTGTCGTTGATCGAAACATCCTGCAGACCACGACCATCCGCCGCCAAACGCTTGTCCAGCGGAACCGTATAACCCTTGGGATTCTTCCAATTCGACACGGGAGGGGGAATCTTCCAAGCCTCCTGATCTTCGGCCGTCAGCTTCCGCGGCGGCGAATGCATAATCGGTGGAGGAGGCGAAGGCGGTCCACGAGGGATCTTCTTGTGCTTGAACTTAGGCGGCTCCATAGGATCCTGCTGTCTCTCCACAATCTTCATGATCCGATCGTTCTTCCGAGAATTATCACCCATCTGGTTCGCTGGCGTATAACGAACAAAAGTCGGCTCCGCCCGGCTACCACCCTTCACGTTCTTCGGCTTCTGCGCTGCCACGGCTCCCTGCACCAAATTGGCCAGCGCATTCTTGGTCTTCTCCATCTGCTCCGCAACTTCTTCCTCCGACGGCCGGTCTAGCGATATTTCACCCATATCCACCCGCTGTCGGAGCGGGATCAAATCCTTAAACGAGGCATGCACGATCCGGTTCTCACTGTGGCCCCGCCGCGCAATCGCATCGTATTTGACCTTTCCCTCTGCATCAACCTGGACGGCAAGCGCATTCGACGTTGATGCGGAGCCCTTCCGGCCCATGTCGAGCGGATACTGCGCGACCGAGATCTCGGGGAACGCGCCACCGTCGCCAAAGTCTTCGGGGGCTCGAGGACGCCATCCGGTACGGTTTCCATATGGAGGGGGGCCGGTTTTCTAAAGATCCAACATTAGCATCCCAGACACGCTTGTTTCACCATTCATCGGTGAGTGTGAAGATGAACCTACCCTTAGTACAATCTGAGTCTGGTCGATCTGGTCCGCGCCCACAACCCGCGGACCACGGGGCTGCGCGTGATGCGGCAGCTCCTCATCCTCACCGGTGTATTTCGGCTTTGGAAGGGATTTGAAAAGACCCTCTGCAATGGACGTCATTGTCGAGGGGGTATAAATGTAGACAAGGTAATGGGGGGAGGGGAGTGATTGATAGGTTGAAAGTTTGAGTGGTGGTTGGATGCCTTTTCTTCTTTGGGCGGCGGAATTGCGGGTGTGGTTTCTGTCGCCCGCCGGAGTCACCCTCCATTTTGAAGTTGTCACATCTTTGGAATGATCATTCGTATCAAATTATGTCTACAGATTTGTCTTCACTGTTTTTATTTTGTCGCACGTGATGGTGATATCTCTTACTGAAAGCCTACGTATTTGAATTGTATGGGTATATACTTATTAACTTATACAGGATAACCAAGCACCTAAGGATTTTTGGTATCTTGCCCTAGGACACAAAACGCTGGATACTGTTTCACAAACCAACGACTATGGCAGTGTCAGGATCAAAGGTCCCCCCTCTATCTATATATCAATGTTTTGAGGCTAGAAAGGTACTCGGTATCTACTACAACTAATACTAACCTAAAGTCGCTCACCTTAAACACACTTAAGCAGTCCAGTTACCAATGCTGTATACCATCCAATGAGCCCTGTGTCCAGTTTTCAAGGAGACACTGGCTTTGTAGATCCATCATCGCGGGCCTTGTACGAATGCGGCCTTAGAAGACTTTAATGAGAGCCACGAGGACCAAGAAGGTATGTTACATAATAAAGTGTCATGGAGTAAATTACATTAAGTTCAACTAAGCTTTCACCATCAAGGCACGAATTAGAATCTCCATCGAATTGCAAGATCTTGGGGTTATCAGCAAGCTGTAGGTCGTCAAGACTTGCAGCAGCAGGCCTATCCAGCAGGCCAGTGGAAGGCCTTGAGTCCGCAGTGCACTGTCATCAGCATCAGAAACGCATGAGTGACTACAGCACAGAACACAAGAAAAGTACAAAGAGAAAAGAAGAAGAAAAGACAACGGCAAAAACCTCCCGCCCGATCAGAAAGGCTGATAGCGCTTGTGGAATTCAATGTGGCTGAGTCCGCTCATCTCAAAGATTGCATTGAAATCCTTAGGATCGTACCTGATCTTGCGCTTAGGCTCACAGTGAAAGTAAGGCTGGCCAGTGCAGGTGTTCGCCCAGTGACCCGCGCGTTGTTTCTCAGCGATTTGTTTGACGGTGCGGAGCACATAGTCACCATTGGGCTCACGGACCCAGAATTGGCGATCCTCTTCCACGAGGTATGGCACCTGGTAGAGCAGCTTTGTAGAGCTAGAGCCTATCAGGAAGAGTTAGCACCTTGCGTCTGGGAGATCTGATGTGGGATCGCAATACCAGCAGAAACAGCCATCGAGCGGTTCACCTCCAGATACTCAATGGGGTAAGGCGTAGGCGCAATGGGATCAGGTGAATTAGTACCATGGCAAACGCATTCCCCGGGAAATCCTGGAGCCTAGATATATGTCTTGTTAGTCAGATAATGGCGTAATTCTCAATTATGTGCATACCTGATGACAGCCAACGGAGGTAGGATTAACACCGACATAAGGTCCGACCGAAAAGCATCTTGGGTGGAATTTGTATCCAGGGCAGCACTGATAGCCAGCTGAAGCAGGAGCTGTGGTGGTCGCAGTTGACGCAGTGGTAGTCGTTGCAGTGGAAACAGTAGCGATCGCGGCCACAGTATGCTCCTCTGGTTCAGACTTCTGGGGAGATTGCAGATTCTCTGAGGGCGTAGGCAGCTGCTCGGGAGGCTCAATGTCTGCAGCAGTAGGGACAGATTTCAAGGATCCCAGGGCAGTGGGAGGTGCAGTATCACTTCTCTCATCATCAGCAGTAAGTGCCATGGTGAAGTAGGGTTACTTGAACAAATAGCATGAGGTTAATTAAATGATGATGTGATTGGAGGTGACGGATTGGAGATGTAAAGTGAAACTGTCGTAAACTCAGAAGGGAAGATAAGAGGGTGACTATTGCAACACTGAAAAACAAATGATGGGATTCATTGGCATGACAGGCAGAAACCAAAGTCCGTTGCCACCCTCCAAGTTCACAACAGATCACCTCAACTTCTATTCTACCGTGACGATAATCTATACATTACTTAGCCATGCAACATTATATCATCATTGACTAGTAGGATCCAGACTTCGAAGAATGCAGAACAATGTCTATCTTTTAGTATATCATGGGAAAAGATGCAGAGTCATGAGTGGCGATATGCAAAACAATAATACTGTCCAAAGCACAAGAGATATCAAGATTATATAAATACAGGAGTCATGCGTACAGCAATGATTGGTCAGAGCTGTTCGGATATCAAGTGGGTGCGCATAGGGCAAGCAATAGCCTCAGAGTCAGCTGCTTCTACATAATGCTGCGCCCCATGGTATGTATACCAAATCTTCAGGGTTTTGGGCTGAAGAGGAGCTGGATCATAGAATCCAAGGATATGGAACTGTTCTCGATCAGCTAATTGTGTTCATAGAAGAATGCAGGCTAATGATAGACTAACCTTGACCATATTCTTAGGAATCACCAGCTGGCTGCGGTCCACCAACCCAGCCACTGGAATGGTGACATCTGCCACCTCATATTCTTGACTAATGTCATTCCCTTTCTTTCTAGAAGGGAAATGGGCATACTCTGCTTTCGTGATGACCAGACCATCCTGTCGCTCCTCCTTTGATTGTCGCCGCCGTACCTGTTCAGCCATGAGTTCAATCGCTTGCAAGCTTTCTGCTCTCTTTACTGGAATCATCTTCTTCAACTCCTTCTGTCGTCGCGCTATCACACGTCGACGGTTCTTCCTTTCTCTTGGTCGGATGAACCCAAATTCTAGCGCGCAATATGCCACCCACGGGAAAATGACAGCAAGTGCGGCAGCGTCTGCATTGACCACGCCAAGGGGACAGACAGCGATAGGAAGCTTGATCCTCTGGCCTAGTCTGCTCCATGAGATCGTCATGACAAGGCCCTGGTTGCCTTCGATTCCAACACCAAATCCCATGCGAGTCAATTCTCCAACCTGACGAGACCCTTCTACTTTCCATGAAAGCGCCAAATCCATACCAACAGTGCTGGACACTTCAACCCGTACGGAGCGCGGTTCGCTTGCAGGTGGTAAAGGATAATGTCCCTCAGAACTCCACTCGGAGCGCACAAGGTCATTAGCAGCCGAACCAGAGAAAAGGTTGCGTGCATAGGTCAGGGATAAGCCATTTGCTTCTGGGGAAGCAGAAAAGCCTATTTGCCAGGCTTCACCAGCCTTGTCTTCCGCGCGCTGTCTGGATCGAAGCTGCCGGTACTCGCTCTCTTCTTCCTCTTCCTCCGACTCATCGTCATAATTATCCATAAAAGCAGCCTGCTTGGGAGATTTCGGGAGACATAGCAAACCAAGCTGAAACTGGCTGGTCTGTTTGGGGATACTGAACGCGGAATCCACGTCCAGGCCCATGTCAATGAAAGGGCTGAGCAAATGCACTATGGCATTTGGCCAAGCTATGGTACCACTTTGCCATTTACAAAAGGCATGTTTGTTTTCACCCACCTCTTTCATGACCTGAACACCCACCGCAGGTGGGCATTTCACAGGAGACTTGTAAAATATACTGCTGAAGTTAACTCTAAAAGGCTTTGTCCCGGCAACAGGTGTTACAGCCTTCACCATGTTCGCCTGCAATGATGGGACAGGCAAAACCATAGCACCGACGGAGACGCCTGAATAGCGAAGGAACGAGAAAGGCCACTTGCTAAAAATGCCCTTTTGACTCGCAACATCACCAAAGACGTGGTTTACAGTAGCTCCAAGGGTGATCTCCTGCGATGCTAGAATGGGCGGCAATGGAACCTACACCGGTCAGCCTTGAATCAGCTACTCACGACGATACCTCTTACCTCTCGCGTTTCCTGAGTCCCATCCGTGAGCTGCAGAGTAAGCTTCTGAGCCAGATGTTGCATCTGACCCGCAATACCAGCATTGATCACCATCTCCGGCTCACCAACCGCCTCGACCTTCTGCTCCGCAGACCCTTCGGCAGACGAAACCTCCTCCTTGTCTTCCTCCTCCTCCATCTTCCCCAATAACTTCCGCGGCGTCGGGAAAGGAGCCTTAAACGAATACCCAACACTATATCTCGACGGCCTGGGCGACGGAATCCCAAAATAAACCTCTCCCTCCTCCTCATCCACCCAAATCATATCCGAAGCATCAATACCCAAGACCAAGGAACCCTATCAAGCAACAAAAGCAAGAACCCAACAAGTCAGCAACAACGCCCCACCCAGCACAAGGATAAACGAAAAAAAGAAAAGAACAAGAAAGAACATACCCGACTCATAACCATAGAGTTAACAGCCTTCCTCTCCCTCCTCTTCATAGCCTCCAAAAACCACTTCCGGAACTCCTCCGGTGACCTAGCCTTAACACCTACCCTGCGTTCCCGCTCCGCCTCCCCACCCCTACCCATCATTCCGCCGGGTCCCCATTCCTTCCTGACCCCTTCCACTCCCATAAGGTCATACACGGTCCTCTTCCGATGATCAATCAGGGTCTCATACGCCTCACAGATGCGGTCAAAATGCCGCCTTGCAATCTCCTGCCATTCACCCGGCTGCTTATCTGGATGAAAGCTTAGAGTAAGATTCTTATACGCAGAGCGAATATCCGCCTCGCTAGGCGGTGGGGCCCGGGACAAACCCAGGAGGGCATAATAATCCGAATCCTGAGGGTAGGAGAGGAGGGCGGAATAATCCTCCGAAGCGGGCTCGGGTCCAGGGATCGTAGTACTAGTATCCGGATATGGATATTCAGCACTAGAAGCAGGGTTCTCGGCCGGTGATTCTTGAGATGAGGTCGGGTCAGCGTGTATCCAGTCCTCGGACTCGGAGGTCTCCATTGTCGAAGGCGTAACCTAAGTAACTAGGTGTTATCTAGGGAGGTGAGTCGGGGGGTTCGAGAATTAATTAAAGGGATAGGCGATGAGGCATCTTCTTTTTTTTTTCTTTTTTGATTGGTTGGGGTCCTGGGGATCGATGATTTGGGAATTTCTTGCTGGAATTTTTTTTTCTTGTTTCCTTTTTTGCGGGGATATCTAATGATTGATATGTTATTTGGGATGACGTCGCGGGAAAAAAAGTGTCGGGGTTTCGGAGGTGGATCCCCGTTGGACGGATTAGGTATGGTGGGTTTACTTGCTTCCGTTTCCTTCTTGGTATGGATGCTCGTGCTTTGTTTGGTGTTAATTGTTGTATATATCTCTTTATTGTTAATATGAAACGTATGGTATGATAAAACTATATCCCGCGGGTCAATGATCTCGTACAGAGAAAACTCAATTCAGCGCACGCTTAGACTAGTAATGTCTCGCTAATATACAAGCCCATGATAAGGCATTCAGCATATCATTCATGTCGTAAGGATCCTCAATTGATCCCAATCTAGTTCAACAGACATTTATAGCTTTCAAGCAGACTAGATGGAAAAGGTTCAAAAGGCACAAAAGGCAGAAGAAGAGAAAGAAGAGACCAGCCTCCAGGGTATACGGTAACAGAATATAATAATCCGGTTTTGATAAACCACGCCATGCAAGGATGTAAAAGAGATTGAGGGGGAAACTTGAAGGGGAGGGGGGAGGAATGTAAAGCAGATTCACCAACCCATTTGAATGAGTAACATTAATGCTGCAATGCAATGCTTTTAATTTCAACTAGTGTCCCTGATCCAAAGTATGTTTTCTTCCATGAATGGAACGCTTCCGGTACCTAACGCGCTGAAAAACCGTTCGCGAGGTAAGCCGCCGTACATGAGATCTTCACTAGATGGTAGCTCCTGCTTTTGGGTGCCGGTGCGGACCTGACTATCCAGAGAAGCTCCGTTCACAATGAAAGCAACCTTGCCTTCCGACATCATTGGGTGGTGGCGGTGCTCTATCATGGCATCTAGTCGTGTTTCGATCAACGATACTAAGGGTGTAGATCCAGCCCAGAAGTGACTCAGCTCCTTCACTGCTTCGAGACCGCCTCGAATAAGAGTGATGGTCTCGGGGATATCAACCATCAACCCACCCGCGCTGAGGACGTCAACCGCAGAGACTATCACGTAGCCCAGGTGGGGGCTCAGAATTGTGCCCTTCGCCGTGATCGGTTCCATGGCGAGCCGCGAAGGATCGTACTCAGAAGCGTAGCGCATGAGAGTAAGAGATATGCGGAGTATTTCTGCGGCGTGATTTCGAGTTGTATGTACGTGCCAGTTAATTGTGGCTTCAGGAAGGTTGCGGTGACGAGCATGTCTATTTAGCTTCATCAGCGTGGCGTGGTATAGTAAATGGATCTCCACAAAGGTATCGGCTTTCTTCGTTCGGATGGCTCGTTCCAAATTTACTGCTGTAAAGGTAAGGTGGTCGGGAAGTCTCGAGATCAACTCGTCCGACCGCCGGACAATAGAGGAATGGAATTCCTCAAAGAGCTTGCGGTACGCATCCGCGGGAATCAAAGATAGCCGGAAGACATGATCAGACACGTCTCCCCAGATAGCCATAACGTCTATCAAAAGCGCCATAGCACTTACACCGGAGAGCTCATCCTCCGGCGATACTGGTGTTTGGTTTAGGAACCCTTGAAAATATGGTACAGTGGTATATTGTTGGGCTTCGTAAACTTCTTCTCGGCAAGGTAGTCTAAGGTAGGCAGTTTGGGAGGAGATGAAGGTCGAAGAGGGTGTATAGAAGCATGAGAGGCGCTAGTAGGCATGTGTGGTCAGCGCAGGTTCGAAGATGAAACCAACTGAGTAAGATCATGACGTTCCGGGGAACCTACATCCAACATAAATGCAATCCAGAATGTCCGCCGGCGGCACTCGATCAACGCCTGCGGGTGTAGACCATATTCACAAGGTTGTTGGCTCTGGTCGACGATGACTCCGCCAGACTCAACATTATACCGTAATCCACACACTGTTCGGACTGCGGCACCTGCGGCATCCCATGACTTGACGAGTGCACCGATAGCATAGAACGAGAGACTCATGATGATACGGCTTTGTGCAAGTTGCAGTGTGAGGCCGTGTTGGCTGCGCTCCACTGCATATCTGGCAGTGCGTGAATACCTTTTTAACGCCATCACCCTATCAGGACGATCTGAGAACACCGATCCCAGGGCCATCATCGAGTAAAGAAGCATTTTATCATCTAGTGACTTCGTATGACACGACCTCAACCACAAAAGGAAGCGTTTTCTGGGTAGCATATAATATAGGCGATCATTGACGTAGTTGAAGTAGGTTTCAACATAATGAATCGTGATTTCCGGATCGGCCTCATACGGGTCGATGCCCCAGTCGCATGCAATGGGATCTTGAGGATCCAAATCTTTCATCTCCATCAAGATTTCGTTGTAATCTGGCGGCACATGAGCCGCGGGGCGTTTGCTAAAATCCTCCGCCCCCATGGAGACCCGGCCCAGGCCCTGCATCCTGAGCCTGTGCTGGTGTTCAGCTTCGAGCATATTGTCCTGGATGCCCTCCATGGCGGAAGGGGTAAGCATAGAGCCCTCAGATACTGGGGACTGGGAACTGGTTCCCGGGAGGGACGTAGAACTCTCCGATGCCCGCACCATCGAGTAGAACGAGTTAGAAGAGCCAGGGTAATTGTGACCCGCGGCGAAACTCTCTCTAATCTCATATCGGTTTAACAGGTGCGAAGCCTTCAGTGCCGCACGGTGGCCGCGAGGTCTAAATAGACAGAGAAGTTAGCCACATGTTTGTTAGGGAAGACTGGATCATCTCCAGTACTTACGCGCTCTCGAACCTGCATTCTCGTCCAGACTTCTGACACTGGTCGCATTTAGGCAGGTTCGGCTGGCACTTAATTTTCTTTTCCCTGCATGTCAGACACGCCTGTGCCAGCCGTTTTCTCGGTTTTCCAGCCTTGGTGATGCCCCAGTTGGCGTTCACCGGTACACCATCGATGAGCTTCGGACAATGGGAGCCGTCGGCGTATATATAGCACAAACCCTCCCCATCGATATATTTTTCGTCGATAACGTGAGGTCTAACATTAGATTGGGATTTACTTGCTGTGGTACTGCCGTCAGAAGTCTCTGAGCAAGCAACATCTCCCGGGTCCCTCTCGGGGGCCCTGAAGCCTTGTGGGGAATAAGAAGGAGGCGCGAATGGTGGAATCGACGGGCTGCTCTGACTTGTAGAGCTAAATGAAGGCTCATGTCCTAGACCATGGGGAGACATGTGAGCGAGGCGGGGCAAAGGCCCCGATTGCAGCTGTGGGCTGGGATCCGAATGGAATTTAGTGCTGTCGTGGATATCACTCCGAGGCGTCGCGAAAACGGGGCCAGTCTCCTTGGGACGATACCGCTGTGTTGAATCTGTCGCTCCGTTGTGGGGGGCATAGTTAAAGGAAGGAGGGCGATAAGGAGATGGTGGTCGGCTCTCATGTACAGTAGGCGTCAACAACTGACTGACCGACGGAAGCTGTTTGCTTGGAGTCTGCTGATGGCCTGGAGAAGGTCTCGAAAGTGGCCCTCCCGAATCAGCTCCCTCTCCCTGATTCCGCTGATGCAAGAAGGGATCAGTTCCCAACTGCAGAGGTGCTGACGCACGAGGGGGTGGAAGTTGGTATGGGTGCGATCCGGGAACTGGCGGGTTAGCTGGTTGATTGGAGTCGAGACGGCCCGACTGGCCGTCGACGGTAGGCAACCTACGTCCGAAGTGTCCCACATAGTAGTTCGACATGGTTGACATTGGGCGTAAACGAAAGACGATCTTGCGCAGCTGCCTAAATTCTATACCCAACAGCAACGGCTGTCAAGATGGTATCCGAGCGTTGGAAAGAGATCCGAGCGAAGTCTGAGGTCTAAGGAACAAAGCAATGGAAATCTGGTAGAAAGAGCAAGACGAAAGATTAAGATTGTTTAGCAAGGGGAGATGCTAACGTTGAATCAATTGCACGGGCAGGTCAAAATGCATCCACACACCTCCTAAATGACTTTTGTTTTGCGATGCTTTTGTTTTTAGCGTCAAAGTATCCCCGAGTGTAGAGAAAATGAAGACCATCAAAAATCCAAGTAGGAAATGATGGATAAAAACCGTATTTATAAAGCACTTTTTGGTTGAAAGGGCAAAGAGACAAGGCTTCTCTTCGAACCTCGTACTGATGACAGATCCCCTCTATCAAGGGAAGTGAATCGAATATACCGAATGCGGAGATGTGGCGGACGCCGATTGAATAGAGAATGACTATCAGAATTGGACGATCTGGGACCGGCTTTCTGCAACAAAAAAGAATGATTCCGCGCCACGCGGACTCACTTGAATGTTTCCATACACTCACGGAGGATGGAGACACAACGGGAAAGGCAGCAGCTTGGTGGTATCCAATCTAGCAAGCCTCAGTCATCGCGCAAACGAGCGTGATATTGTGCCAGTTTGGGGCACTCTCTCCATTCCAGGGTTACGGCAAGTCTCCGGTTGAATGTCCCGGACATCCAACAGTCGCCCCCGCTGGAGAGGGGGGGGGGGGGGATTGTTGGGTCCGAGTCGAGGCGGCACTGGGAGATGCCCCGATACGGTGGAGAGTAGTAAGGGTCAAGACAACGTCTTGCTAGACACAAATGATATAGGGATAGCGTCGTTGGACTGCAGACACTAGTAGGGTCAGAACGGCAGGGAAACAAGCTTAGTGAGTGAAAATAAAGGGAAAGGGCGTTTGTCGAGGACAAATGGTGTCCGCGGCCGCGTAGGACAATAGGCGAATGCAAGCACTAAAGTAACAACGAAGTGGGTTGCTGTTCTTTGTTCCTCTTTTTTTTTTTTTCTTCTCTTCCTTGTTCCTTCTTCTTTTTAAATTTTCATTTTGGAAAAAAAAATTGTTTTGTTTTGTTTACTTTACCAGCAAGCCTCTTCCGGCGTTGACAGCAGACCACCGAGTGAACCCTTTCAATGGGAAGCCCATACGCACCTTAATTGACTTAACCCGTTCAGAGGTTGGCTGAGAAAATAACACTGCCGCTAGAGGGGAGCGAATGGACCCTGGCAGAAGATAGCGCAGTTGCGGCAAATCCAGAAGGGAAACGACAGAGGAATTCGATAGATGATTTGCTACAAGGGGCGGAGGAGTATCGGGGGCCAAGTGTTCTGACGTTGAAGTATCTGCACTCGTACACAAAAAACCCCTGTAAGACCGTCCAGACCAAGAGAGGGGCGGTGCTGATGAGAGAGAGAAAGAGAGAAAGACACTGGTAATTCAGGAAAGAAAATAAAAAGAAAAAAAATTAACAACCCACAAAAAAGATAGGTCTAGAATGATAAAAAAAATAAGAATAAAGTAAAATCAGAGGTAATCAATCCCAATTCGTACCCGGATGGAAAGTAGTAAGAAAGTGAGGAAGTGAGAGAGAATGGGGTAAAGAAGTATAAGAAGGATAGATAGTAATAAAATGGAAAATAAAAAATAAAAAAAACTATATCACTAGATAGAAAATAAATTTCCAGTGGATAAAATAAAAAGTAAAATAAAACAAAACCAAATGATAGCACTTTCACTCGAAGTTAACTAATATAATAAATAGTTCTCTTTCAAATTAGACAGATCCATCAAAGAAATTCCTTCGGATGATCATGGGGAAAAAAGGGTTCAGTTTTAGTACGTTCTCCTCGGGTTCTGTCAATCCACACTATCTTAGCATTAACGGTCGACGCCCAGACTTCCCTAGCATTGACGGGTCCCTTTTCTTTATATACTGCTTAATCGAGATAAGTAAAGTACGTACTGTACTTCTGAATATTGCCTTACTCCTACTAAATTTCCAACAAAGACGATCTCTATCCACACCACATCCCTTCCCATGACTTGCATACAAAGCGTTATTCAGGGATTTTCCTATCATGAAACGAAGTCTGCACGCCACAATGCCATACTTGTCAATTTCTAGAACCCTTCCAAGGTTTCTCTTTTTGTTTTGTTTTAGTTTTTTTTTTTTTTTTTTTTTCCACTTTTGCCCTTTCTTTTCCCTTCTTGTCTTAAATGATCAGCAGGGGCGCCAATGCCACAGTCAAATTGTTCAAATTGTACAGCAGGAGGGGTCATCGCCAAGAGCAAAGGAAAGACAAGAATCGTCATCATCACCATCACAGATCAACTCAATCGTCAGAAGTGTCGTGAATCATGCCACGGTTGAAAAGGGTCCCAGATAGTTTCTGTGGGATGCTCCATCCAAACCGAGCTGAGCGCCCTCTTTTAGTCTAAAAAAGGAAAGAAAAATCCCTCAACATCTGTACAATATTTTTTAATTAACTTAGGTTTGTTCTATTTCATTTTTATTTTTATTTTTTATTTCTTTTGTTCAAGCGGACGACCCGCAGGATATAACCTATTTGGTACATAGTAAAGGGGGGCGTTGAAAAACGTTCCAAAAGATCCCGTTTATCTCGAGGGCCCAAAAAAAGATACAAACTACTAGTAGTACTCCGTATAGGATTAAGAAACTGGAGTCCCAAACCAGACTATAGGTGACTGGTGAGACGTGGGAATGGTTATGGAGGGAGAATCTTCGGAACGGCAGTTGAAAATAACCTTGTTTTCAATGTTTCAATCAATGCACGATGGAAAAGGTACAAATTGTGGGTTTTGGTCCCGTCCGTCTACCAAGCTCCTTTCATTTCATATTTTGTCTGGCCGATAGGCAACATCTTATTTCAATTAGTTGGATGTCTGTGTGCGAGGATCTAAAAAGCTCCCTTTTGAGGCAACGAATGAGGTGGGATGTTGAACGACGGAGTAGATTAAATCCCATTCCCAGGAGAAGACTATCTACGGCTAGTGTTTGTATTTATTTATTTTTAATATTCTTTTCAACCCCATATCATGATATTAATATGACTAGGAAATGGAAAGTACAACCTAAAATCAGTAAAGAATCCTCCGGCCGACCATGTACCACGACTCGGAAAAATTCCCTATACTTGACTTATATGGGGAGCCACATGCCCACCTGCAAGTCCGGCCGATCCCTTCTTCTAGAGGACTTTATTCAAACAGGAAATCCAATTCGGACACCTCCGAGAAGACGAGGTGAAGATCACTTTCACGGGAAGGGCTTCAACCCAGCCTCAATTAGTCTCAATCTGTATACGTAAGTCCAAAAGACGCGGGAAGGGACAGGCAAGACAAGAGTTACAGAAGAAACAGCTTCAGGAGCTCACACCACCGACCGTTCCATTGGACTACTATTCGCGGGGAGGGTCCATTGCACCAAGTGGGCAAGGTGAATCCGACAACGGGGCCAGAATGATTCTTATTATCATTTCTATTAGAAAAGTGAAGAGCATGTGTCTCTCGGCTCGGCTTAAAACTACCACCAACTAGGTCTCCGTATACTATGCTGTTTTCAGTCCGGAGGAGTTCCTCCTTAGTAGGAGATTCAACGGCTACTCTCCGGCACAAGGCCCGTATCGTCAGAAACGGAGAAAATTCAATTTGTCTCACTTCGTGACGATCGGATCTGCAATCCGTCACGGTTGTCACGATTTTCCACATAGTTTCTCCTTTCTTTTTCCGACAAATACTGGATCCTTGGTTGGACGGGGCCGGACTAGTATGGTAAGGCTATTAGCCGGATCTCTAATAACAGACGACGTTATTTTTTTGATTACTGATCCAGGAAATTCAAAGAAAAGCAGAGCCGTTCGTCGATCAAGGCTTACTGTATCTACTACAAGCATTCTAGTTTCCAAGTCCCACGGTTAAAGCGATTATTCTCCGTCAATTTGCTCGCCTTCATCATAGAATAGAAAAGATAAATTTAGCATAGGGCTCGTGCCCTAACGACATGGATTCAATACTACCTTACCCCGTAGTGCTAACGTTATTCGAAGCATCATACGATCCACTGTCAACAGAATCTTGCCGAGGGTTAGAATATCCCAGAAAATGCGAAACCTAGAAATGGAAAAAGAGTTGCTCGGGGGGGTAGACAAGGCTGGCCCCCTAATTGGTACAATGAGCCTCGGGAGTTAAAACGAAGGAAGTAGTACCTAGATCAAAACGACATGTTTTCCCGAACAAATACCGAAAAATTTGGAAGAACAACCGACGGGAAAATCCAACTTGACGGTGCGCCAAATCCTGAAGCAATAGAAGACTACCTATAGTTATGGTATTAAAATACTAAGAAAGGAAAAGAAAAGAGCAAAAACGAAGGACGATAGATCCACCTCCGATGAGATACAAAACAATAGTTGATGCTAGTGAGTCAAGAGGTGAAGACGCTTAATCTGATAGCATTGTCGAGGGGGGAGATGTACAGTATCACTACCAACTGATTCCGTGTACTATGTACTATTGTAGCTGCCGGGCAAGTGCTTCACTGTTCCCAACTTCCCTACGCTCTCTAGTCACGGCATTAATGCCACTCCAAAGCCGTGACTTTTCGGGATGGACGCAGCAAAGTGTCCACTTCTCCTCTGGTTCTTTTCCGATAGGGTCATTCAGCACCGGCCGGTCTGAGACATCCTTGTAATTGGGATGATAAAAGATTGGGACTTAATGGCTAGGATCCGACGGAAGGAGGATAAGGAAGAGCCAGATCATGAAAAAGAAAGCCTAATATATCAGGATTCCATTAATAATAGCAATTATAGGATGGTCAATCCTTGCACAGCCATCACCCTGATCAAATCAATCAATCTATTTAACATCTCCCTAGCAAACCGGATCGTCCGCCTAAATACTCTTTTGAAGCGGATTGACGACGATCCCGCCACCGATTTGGCCTTCTGACGTAGATGTCAGAGATAAAATAGAAAGGTCCTTGCCGAAAGTTACACCTAGATCTTGACAACTCGGCATATCCGATTATAAAACGGAATCACAGACACATGTGCATCTGTGGTCAAGAGCTTCTAGGTTCTAACGGTGGCGCCAAATTTCAGCATGTGGAGAATTTAGCTGCGGCCGGGAGAGGTTGAAAGTTGAAACATCAGGTAAGAGAAATTAGTCTAAGGCAGAACACAAGGCCGATACGTTTTTTTTAAAGCAGTCCTACGGGGAGACGTCGTTTAATAAACAATATATATATATATATATATATATATATAATTTATTGTAGAC